AGCGAAAAAGAGGTTTTATACCGCTTAGTGCTTAGTTAACTAAGGGATATTTATTTATCCTTTTAAACTAGTACTAAGCTCCTAAGACTAATTCGCACTAGTACTAATAGACTACCGGTCTTATAGGACCTAACTACTACTAATTAGATTAGTCGCTCTTAAGGTAGTATAGTAAGTACTACTAAGCTTACTAGTACTAAACTTATTAGTCTATAGACTATCCTTATAGATAAAGAATAAGCTTTATAAAATATAATTAACTATATATATTTCCTATATACCCTATTTCCTAGAAAAAAGGCTAATAATTAATAGGCTTTCCTAAATATAGATACTATACTTTATATTTAGTATATTACCTATAATATAGAAAGTTATACTAGGCCCTATATCTATTATTACGTCCTCTATTAGCCTTCCGAAACCCGCCTTACTAATAATATAGTATATATTAAGATTAATATATAGTAGATAGAGATAAAGGATAACTAGTATAGTATTATCTATACCTAAGATACTAATAGTAAAACTAGAATAGAGGGTTAGTAGCTCCGGTTCTAGGATAAATATACCTACTTTCCCGAACTACTATAATATATAGATACTAAGTAGATTCGAGGGTATAGTAAAGCCTTTCTATAGTACTATACTAAGTATTTCCTATACTTTAATTAGACCTCTATATCTTATATTAAGTCTATATATCGCTATCTAAAGATCGACCTTAACGCCTTAACTAAGGATCTACTAGCTCTTACTAAAATATTTAAGTCTATAATTAAGCGATAGGCTATAAAGATCTCCTAGGAACTTACTAAGTAGCGAGATTAAAGACTTATTAGTAGCCTCTTTCTCTTTATATTTATTAAAATAGTAGTCTTAAAAAACGCTATTATAAAGGTATAGTATATTTTTAATTACTATCTACTATATAGTACTAATAAAAAGCCTATTCTATTAATATACTTTTAGTAGTTAATATTAATAAGAGAAATACTATATATTTACTATATTAACTAAGCCTAGGAGAGTAGTAAAAGCCTCTCCTAGGCTAATTTCTACCCTTAGTAGTAGATTTAACTAGTAGAGGCTTTACTAGCCGGGACCTAGGGGGTATATATATACTCCTTAGAACGGATAGTATAAAACCCCTATATTATATACCCCCGTAGTCGACTATCTATAAGCTCCTAGCCCTAGCTTCTATTATCCTAGGTATCTTAAGCCTTTAAGCGGTTAACTCACCGAGAGCCGTTACGATTTAAGTCTATACGCACTAAGGAAACTACGATAATCCGGCGGTTAGGAAGAGCGAGGTAGCTAGTACGGAGGCACAAGGATTAGACTATATAAGGGGAGACTATAGAGTTATTAGATAATAAGATCGCTATTAGCTAGGTAATATCTAGGAGGGGGTAATTAGATCTTAGTCTTATACGTATTATATCAAATAGTATCTTATTTCTATACCGTATAGTAAAAATGTAATATTTTTAGTATAAAACTCCGTGTTAAACTAGCGGCTAAATCGTCGATTAGCACCATTTTTAAAAATCAACACCTATTTTAGAGTTATATAACCACCCTATAAAAACTCTATATATCCCTATTTCTACCCTAAAAACTCGATCAAATCAGCCCTTTTTATACGGGATCAGTAACTAGGAATAGCCTTATTTCTGCACTGAAAACCCCTATTTCTACCCTAAAAACTCGATCAAATCAGCCCCTTTTATATGGGATCAGTAACTAGGAATAGCCTCATTTTTTATAACAGCGATATCATGATATGGTATGAAATATGATGTGGCTAGGGGGCGTCGATATCGTATATAGGGCGCAGAGAGTACTACGCGGATACAGTGTAAAATACAAAATCAGAGGGAAATCAGTTGCCAAGAGGCACCTTACCTAAAAGGGTTTAAACAGGTGTGCAAATAGTATCTCTCTAAGGTTAAGGGTACTTTCGATTACGATACTTTTATTTCCAGTCTTCAAACATCTAGGGACTAGATATATTCTTTCGTGGGGGAATATATGACGATCCACGTCATATGTCTTATTTACACCTTCCGATCTCCTAGATTGTTTGCTTGTTTCCTTTATCCAGATTGTTTGCTAGTTTTCCTTTGTTCTTCCAAATATTACTAAACCTATTTAGGATATGCAGGTTTGATTGGTTTGCATAGGAGACAGGGTATAAAGTCTTGTCACCTACCAGATCTCTCTCTTCTTTCCCCATCTTTGGTTTTCTCGTTTTTGTACTCGATTCTCTCGTAGGTCGACTGGCAGGTGACACTACTAAGGCTCTATCAACGTACGCTTAGAAAGTAGCGGGAGTATTAGCGAGTCTAAACGGTATTACTATATACTCGAAATATTTATAATAGTATCTAAATGCTGTCTTCACATATCGAAACCTGCATACTACCGATCCATGGGCTGTATACGGCGTGAAAGCTTGGATCGAAGTTCTCCATCATCATACAAAAGACCGATATCCGCACCTGGGTAGGGCGCGTCAAGTTCATCTTTCAACTTCTGTGCTGTTTCAGTGGAGAGCCACATATATCTCTCCACCATTCCCGGGTTTGCTAGCCCGCCTCCATATGTACCTCGAGTTTCTTCGTGTTCATTTCCACAGGGATATTGCCCATACCCGATCTCCATGTCATGATAGCTGACAGTGGGACCAGTGAGATCATCTCTAGGCTCCAGATCAGTCTGTAAGCCTGGTGCAGTGTGATCAAAGTCTTTGAAGTAGTGAAAGTCCGGGGGAGTTATGTCGCGCTCCTTCATGATTTCCTCAAGGTATTGTAGGTAGAATGGATTTTCACTTCGCCTGGCAGCCACATACAAGGATCTGGTGTAGGGGGGCTTCAAACTTCGGAATATCGAACCGTAATCACACATTATACAAGTGATCGCAACTTGATGTCCCATGGACGGACACTTTCGAACCAGATCAGCTAAAGTGTTCGCAGAGGGCTTCACGGGCCCCCATATGACCCACGGGAGGCAGTCCGAGTCATCGTCGATACCAGAGATATCATTGTTCATTATCATGCGGGCATTAATTGCAGTGCGAATCTCTCTACACTCCCGTTCATTGCCTTGGCTGAGCAATTTACCTGGGAGGATAGCCCGTCCAGGGTTTGTTTCCAGCTGATAGGCCCACCATCTGGCGAAGGTTGTACTGTGATAAATGCCACGAAGAACGCAATTGTATTCAAGTTTGGTTCTCAGCCTACGTGGGTGCATTAGTCGACTGTATCGATCCACATTGCCCTCCCACGCGGCCATCTGTGTCTGAAGGCGCTTCTCAAGATTTGGGAGATCAGGCGGAAGAGGCATCCACAGTTGATCGGACTGGCCTGGGCCCAGTTCAGCGTAGTCCTCCATTCCGCTGATATCCTTCAAGCTGACATCTTCAATGCCGATAAATCCATCTTCCTCGATGTCAATATCATCAGCAGTCGTCTCGGGTAAATTTTTTCCGGGGAGAACTCGCTGTCCCAAAGTCCATCGGGGCTTCATATCGCCATTCAGAAACACAGGCGTTCGTGGGGTTTCAAGATGAACGGATCGAGAGAAATCTTCCATGATAGCATATCGTTGGGGGGCGGACATGATAATCTTGTAGATTTCAGCGTCTTTGTCAACTTCGCGGGATTCTTCCGCGATAGAAACGTCAGGCAAAAGGTCCAATTCTTTGTAGAGATCTGTATAGCCTGCTGCAGCACACGCTCGGCCCACTTGATACCGCATAGGCGGATACCGACGGGCAACTTCGCGATATACTTCTTCTGATGCAAGGTCGGGATACCAGATACAGTACGGCTGAGAGGCAGGATTTTGTATATCGGGGATTATGTCACTCATTATTAGGCGAGCATTGCGGGCGCGGGAAAATTGATGGGCCTGGCCATCGTCGCCGGAGCATAGCTCAAGAATTGCCGGGCTTGTTGCAAATTGAAGTGAATCACGAATCCCACGGATAACTGCTCTCTGGTGCCAGAACGAGCTTAGATCGACGGGGAGATCCTCCCCTTTATTGCCGCAGCACATTGATCGGGGTCGCATGCAGGTATAGGTTTGCCGGAAGAGTCATACGCCTGCCTTTTCGGTAGAACGATATTGTATTGGCTCATAAGGCTGATACCGGACTTTTCGGTAGCCGCCATTAGGAAATAATACGGGCAGTGATGCCAGTGGCGGTGCTATGTGCAGTGACAAGTGGGGGAAAATGGAAGTTCGATGTTGAGAAAAAGGAAGGGGGACGTCAACTTCTCGAAGGACAGGATTGTGCTTCGACCAGAAAGTATTTATAGGCGAAGTAACCGTAATTTTTGATACAAAAATACGGACCCTCGCATAGGACGGAAAAGGCCGATCAAGAAAAGACAAGGCGGAAGTGGAGGTGTTGATTGAAATCAGGAAGCATGGCAGGGCCCAAAAACGAAGGGGGGCTCTATCAATCTGTATTCTAGTACTAAATTGACTACTCTATACATTTCCCACTTTATATTAATTAAACAGCACTGATGAATAACGGCAATGCGGTATAGATGGAATAACGGTGGGCCCTCAACTTCCTAAAATGCTCTCGTGTAGCCATATATTCTGCGGGATATCTTTCCTTTCGCTATATAATTTACCTTTGTGAACGTGTGGGTGGCTCCGGCTTTGTTTGACCATAATCGGGCCACTTAATTGAGATCCGTTGAGGCATCATTGGAGGCGTCAAAACCAAGGGGTGAGCACTAAAACGGAAAGGGAAAGATCTCGAGTGCCAGGTATTATCCGGTACATATGCGCATTTCTCACTTCAAGCTATGCCTTCACATCAATGGTTAGCAAGTAAAACTGCGGATTGAAACGTAAGTTGTATTGATATTGACGGCGATTATGCTTCGGTCCAATATTATTACCAGGAGCCATTCGACACTAGCTGCAAATAAAGAAATTATATTATGCCTCTTACTTCTACAGCAGAAGCACTACCTCGTAGAGACAGTGTCAAGAACATCAACCCGAATTCTCACCTCTCCCACCTCGCCCTGAAACAAGAACCCAATATCCCTCGTGGATTCAACTAGCTCAACCTCTCTGCGCACGAACCGGCTCGTATCAAGATCTTCGCCTGTCCGTTCAGGCCCAGGAGCAATATCAGGGCGATCCTCATCCTCACTATCCTCGTCACATTCAACAGCAGCGTCAGCGCCAGTTTCTTTTTCCACAGGATCCCACTCATCAGTTTCCCAGATCAACCGGAAGCCAAACGCTGGTAGTCCGAAGAGCCGCGATACCATGGCCTTGACCTGGTAGGTATCAAATGAACCGGGGATTTCCTTGATATGGCTTATGAATGTGTCATCCTCTTGCGGCAGACGGAACGCCATCTTGACTAACCGCGCAGCCACAGACCGCGGGTGGATCACCCTCGCCCCAGAGGAATCCGATATGATGGCTCTTGTGATTGTTGGCTCAGCATATAGCTCGCACAGCTCGCTGTACCGCGGGTGTGTAGCCAGAATAGCGGGCTCTTCTGTCTCGGTCGTGACGGAGAGTTCTTTGCCAATGAGGGAAAGGTAATACATTTCTGCATTAGAGCGATCTTGTGGTGAGATGGTGCTGTAGTTGAGGACTGTGAGGGAAGGCGGGAAGCGAGATAGAGTTAGCATGAATGCTTCGTCGATGGTCATTGGTTTGGAGGCGTCTGTGACGGATAATGGGAGGGGCGATTGGTCGAAGAGAGGATTGCCAGTGGTCCGGAGGGTGGTTAGCCCTGGGAATACGGTGGAAACTTTGTTAAGAATGCTCCAGGAGGTGATATTGTTGCGGGAAATGTCGAGAGAGCGGAGGGTCGGTGGAAATTGGAAATCTAGGGTTGTATCTGTGGTGTTTTCGTTCACGGTGCTGATACAGTTCCCACGAACAGATAGGTGCTCCAAGTTAGGAAGCGCGGCGAGATGCCGAAGAGCTGATATTGAGGCGATCTCATTGTGCTCGAGGTTTAATGTTGTGATAGTGCTGGGGAGGGGACAGGTTATCTCAGAGAGCTGGTTTGCAGATGCTGTGAGAGATGTCAAGTCGGGGAATCGAGATGCAATGGCAGCAATCTATATTCAAAGTTAGTTTAATAGAAGATCATTCACGATATTCAGGCACATACTTCGTCCCAGGTCAGCAAGGTTTCTTCTAAGTGTAGCTCGGTGATCCCATTGAACATCAAGTTATCTCCCAAAGCTTGGAATCGGTTGCCACTATGCCCTAGTCAGCCCTGCTACCGATAGATTGGTTGAAACCGAGACTCACCTCAACTTCAGCTTCTTCAGCTGCTTCAGCTGATTGCAGATATCCCAAACATCACGCCAGCGACTTAGTAGGTTTCGACTGAGATCAAGGTCCGTAATCTTGGGGCAAGTTTCTCCAATCTTGTGAACTGCTTCACTATGGGACGCTTGATCCTGGTCGTAGGATGCGATAACCCCGACAACTCGCAAGCCATCAAGCAGGACAATGCGCAATTCCTGGAGCTCAGCGAGCTGTTTCCGAATCTTGTCGAAGCCAACTTCTTCGACTACCTTGCCGCTAATTTCGATTGCCTTGCCTCGAGCTGTTCCACTCAACAAGGTATCATGAGAAAAGTCTTGTTCAGATTCAGAGGCATATTTCTCCCGTAGGGCTTCTAGAAAGCCCCGAGGCTGGTCTGAAGGCCTGGAGGGGCGAACAAAAGACCCCGCCGTGAGACGATTACTTTTGCCTGAGGAAGAATTAGCAACTATTTCAGACCCATAGATCATACCAAACGTACATGAGAAGTATCTGACGCCTTTATGCTCGCCCGAGTGCTTGCCTCGAGTTGCATCGTCCCATTCAACACCCAACCAGTCACCGGTGGTCCCTTGAACGGTGCCCACATACCGAATGGTACCCAAATGTCCGTCAAACGACTGACGTTGACCTACAGCTGGCACACTCATAGCTCCAGTTAGAATTAAAAGGTCATTGGTTTTCAAGTGTTTTGGAGCTGTTACTTTGTATTGTGATCGATGCATGTATGGATTCACCAAAAGACCCGCTTACATAACAATTGAAGCTTAGGTAGCCTGGATTTTGGACAGGCTGGGATATGTATTACTAGACACGATTTAGTAGATAGAATGTCCAATCTTGCTAGAACTCCAAGCAATCACTAAATTTATCCCTTTCTTGAAATAACAAGATGGCTAGAAGGGATGTGTTAGCATGTCAAGTAAAGCTTTTTACCAATTAGGAAGGCGGTATATGCGGGAACAAAAGGGCGATAAAGGCGGTCGACAATCTACCGCCTCCGTAGAACTCCTACGAGGTGAACTTGCAACTTTATTTGAGCTGCAGCATCAACAAGATGGATTACCAGGTACGTACATCCTGGCATAGCGCATTTTGCCATGACTTCTATCTAGAAACAAGAAATGCTAAAACGTCCACCAGAACCGTGCAGGCTCCAAATTCGGCGGCGGCGGCGTTGCCTCCAGATCCGCCACAAACGCCGACCGACGTGAGCGACTGCGCCAGCTCGCCCTAGAGACAATCGACATCGAAAAAGATCCCTATATCTTCAAGAACCATCTCGGCAGCTTCGAGTGTCGACTCTGCCTGACAGTCCACCAGAACGATGGCTCCTACCTCGCCCACACGCAGGGCCGCAAGCACCAGACAAACCTCGCCCGCCGCGCCGCGCGCGATGCGCGCGAAGGCAAGAACCAAGATCCGTCGTCCATGCAGGGCTTCGCTGGCGTGCAGGTCAAGAAACAGCTGATCAAGATCGGCCGGCCGGGATACAAGATTACCAAGATCCAGGACCCTCTGACGCGCCAGCAGGGACTGCTGTTCCAGCTGCAGTTCCAGGAGATCACGCCTGGGGTTGTGCCGCGCGTGCGCTTCATGTCGGCCTTTGAGCAGAAGATTGAGAATCCGGATAATAAGTACCAGTATTTGGTCGTTGCGGCGGAGCCATACCAGACTTGTGGATTTAAGCTACAGGCTAAGGAGATTGATCGTCGGGACGAGCGCTACTGGACTTGGTTCGATGAGGATAGTAAGGAGTTTTGGATCCAGATTCTGTTCAAAACTGAGCGCGAAGAGAGGTTCAGTGGCGTTCCCGGGTTGGCGCCTATGCAGTCGTGATCTGTTTTTCAGCGACCTTTCTACCCGGTTCTTGGGCTTGCTCTGCATTGCTTTCGGTACGCACAACAAGACGATGGTCTCTACGGCGGGAATCAGGATAGGCGTTTCGGGGTTATTCTTTGTGCATATCTTTCTTATCTCGAGCGATCAGCTTTTACGACAATTCCTATGCAATTGTGATGGTGACTATACCGTCAACAATATCTCAAGATTCCGGGGTTTTTTTTGGCTTGATAGATTTTACGTAGCTGGCAAATATACCTAGTCCATAACACAGCCAGCATAGCCCTATAAATGGCTATGGTATTGCTTCTGGCCGAGTACTCGTAGTTCATTTTGATTGCTACTTTACATTGGACTGCGACTCCACTGAAGTGTAAGTACATAGTCAGAAATAAGTCCATTTAATTCTTTAGGATGATCCCGACCATCCCAGGATGTGTCTAACTAGATCAAAGTTAAGATTGCAAGATGGCACTACCCTTCTCCGCTAGATCTCTCCGAATATGTGAAAGGTATGTGTGTATCGTCTTGAGAAGGATGCAAAGCGTTAGATACATATGGACTATGTATCAACAAGTGAAACCGAAGATGGGTCATGATTCGGGAAAACAACATCGCGCTGATATGCTCAATGATAATATGTAACGAGATGAAAGCAAATCCGAGCTTTTTTTTCTTCTGACCGACGATAGAGTACATGGAAGAACAAATGATGCAAGCCCTGCTTGCTTCCATTGTTCCCAAGAGTCGGTCAGTCTCGGAACACAACGAACAAACCTAATTGGTTTGGAAGGCATTGAAGGCCTTGTAGGTATAACCGATGAATGGCAAACTCATCTCGGCTTCCTGTGAGTCTGGCATGGCACGGGCCTGAGCACGGTGAATTGCGCTGGTATCTTCCTGAGGAATTTCATCAATGGGGAAGTACGACACATCGATGTTTGAGCTGAGACGCGGCTCGAAGGGAGCACGGATGCCACGCAGTTGATCCCAAACAACACCCCTGAAGAAGGGGTGGTTTTTGATCTGTGTGGCGCCTCCGTGCTGACCACCTTCGCTGCCAATACGGTGATCCGGGTCACATAAGAAGCTAGACGATCCAGTTAGTTTGATTTTTCTTCTTGGTTCTGCGGAGTAAGAAAAGCGCTTACTTTCGGATCAGTCCCTCGGAGTCACGCGAGAGAACCAGTTCATCAGGGAAGTACAAGCACTCTCTCCAGTTGACAATCTTCCGGTAGGTGTCATTGGTGTCTTCAGCACAGAACGGAGGCCAGCCCACGAGACATTCGAACATGATAGCACCAACAGACCACCAATCGCAGAGATAAGTATAACCCTGACCGTTAAAGATTTCAGGAGCAATATAATCCGGAGTTCCGACTGTGGAATAGGCCATGGCACGACGAGACTTCCTCCAGGTGTTGATCTGGCCACGGTTGGATACTGTCAAGTTAATGGCATCATTGAAGTAGCCAGAGTTGCGGTTCCGATCCTTAGAAGTAGAGTTCTTGAGGAGATTCTGATAATAAGCGTTGTCGTGAGTCTTCTTGCCTCCAGTTGATAGACCGAAATCAGTCAGTTTGACGTGGCCACCCCGGTCAAGCAAGATGTTGTCAGGTTTGATATCACTGCCAACGAAAACTTATCAGTATGAGATGATTTTACGTGTTGGCATGACGCCCAATGCCAAGGTCCCAACTGGTACCAAGAACCAAAAATCACTTACCGATGGAGGAAACCAAGCTTGTGTACGGCTTCAATTGCCATCACGACCTCGGCCATGTAGAATCTGGTGATATCCTCAGAGAAGATTTCATACTTGATCAACATGGTCATCAAATCACCACCAGGCAAAAACTCCATAAGCAGGTAAAGGTACGCAGAATCCTGGAATGATGCGTGTAGCTTGACAAGCCAAGGGTTGTCCTTTGAATCCGCCAGAATATCACGCTCGGCACGGACGTGGGCCAGCTGATCCTTCTTGAACATTTCCGTCTTGATCAATGACTTGAGGGCATAAATCTTGCCATCGGTCTTGCGCTGCACGAGCTTGACCTCACCGAAAGCACCCTTTCCGATAATCTTGATGGTCTGGAAGTTCGCCGGCGTCTCCTTTGTGCGCAGGAATCGAAGGAAGTCGGATTCTCTCTTGGAAATCACATCGGCATCTTGGCGCTTCTTCTCCATGGAGACGTTAGGTTCACGGATCGTTTTGTCGAGTTCCGCAGAGCTGCGAGGACGAACAACCTAGTGTTAGCCAGAAACCCGGGACATCGTTTCAATAAGTCCACCGAGGGCATGAAAACTTACCGCATGTTACGGTCACGGGCCCGCTCGATATTCTCGTGGAAGAACACCGTCACCAACTCTTTTGCCGCTTTTCCTCGCTTATGCACATTTTCCGAGTACCGGTCGGGGAAGCGCTGCAATTCTTCATTCTCGGAGGGCGGGCGAGGACTGCGGGGCACCGGGGGGATCAGGTGTGATGCTTGACCTTGTGCTTGAGCGGGAGAGCCGCCGGCGGTGCGAGGCCGCTGCGCTGGGGAGGCAGCCCGGTTGTTGTAAAATCCTGCACGGTTTGCGTTGAGGTCCTGGTTGGAGAACTGCTGGATCAGACCGTTGGTACCGTCGGGGTAACCCGGGCGTGTTTGGTAGGCGGGCTGGGGAGATTGCAGCGCTTGCTGTTGCGCGTACTGCTGTTGCTGGGCATATTGAGCCTGTACCTGTTGGGGTGGGTAATGGTTGGGCATGAAGTAGCCTGGGGCATAAGCTGGGTTGGAGGGGTCGACATATTCCTGAGCCCCCTGAGTCTGATAGATGGGCTGAGGGAACGCGGAGGGGGTGGTGGGATAGGCGCGGTTGTTGGCATTGTAGTTACGGTCGTAGCCGTAATTCATATTATTCCGGTTATTGTTGTTGGGATCCATCTTGACTTGAGTTCCCACAGGGACTTTTCAAGTAAAGTGAGGGAGAAGAAGGATGGATTGGGGGAATTTAAGACGAGGGCGGGGAGTTTAAAGAAGCGGTGGCTCAGGAGGCAATCTAGCCCCAGTGTGACTGGTTGACTCTTGTTTACACCACTCAATTGACTTGAAACAACAGGATGGGTTCCTAATGTCAGTGATGGCTTTTCTTTCGTCCAATTATTTGTTCGAATCCACAGGCGGCTACCGAGTACTGGATGATTGATGTCGCTCTGGGTGTGTTCAGATCTTTCTACTCCGTACTACCAGCTGAACCTATTTACGCAGTTGGCTTAGAGCATCCAGTAGATCACTGACAGCTCTCTGACGGCCTCTTTAGAACATGAAACTGGAATCCAGGGGGGGGGCATTGTGCACAGAATATGTACCTAACGGAGTACCTACATGTAGGTACTCCGTTAGGTATTTCGGAGGTCCTTACGGAGTAGACATGTCATGACAAGAATTCCAGTGTGGACTGTCAGTACATGAGAGGAATTCTCATGACACGTCGGGTACCTTTTTTGGCCTTTCTCGTCCTTCTATCTCCATTGTGAAACAGGAGTAATTTCCCGCGGGCAATAGGTAACAAAGCCCTATAATGGACCCGGAGAAGGCTGTATGTAGTGCGGATAGAAGAGTTTCATGACTCGACTACAGACCCAACACGGCCATCAGAAGATATAAAAACCAAAGTAATAATTTGCACAGAAATCGAACAATCAATGCAATGATACCCACCTCTCATATCTCGAAGTCAGTACTACTTCGACTGCCCGACTCGGACGTTTATACCAAATCACGTGTAGTCGGACTATTGTAATCCCGAGTCAACAATTTTCCCCGAACGAGCATGCCCCGGGTGTACGTTGTTGATCCGTACAGATCATTTCACTCAGTACACAGCCCAATGGCAGACTCCTCGAGCTCTGCTGCGCCTGCAGGCGCTACAAAGCCCCAGGCGGCCCCGAAGCCGCCTAATCCTGCGTTCAAAATGATGGGTACGATCATGTTCCCCGGATCTCAACAGCCGAAGATGCTAATACGCCATGATCAATAGGTCTGCCGAATATGCGCTTCAAATTGCCCTCTCGCAACTGGATGATCTTCTTGACCATCACTGGATCATTCACTGGTGCTCTTATCTATGACCGTCGGGAGAAACGTCGCATCCAACAGAAGTGGTCGGAGCTTGTGGCTCACATTTCAAAAGAGACTCTGCCCGTTGACCAAATGCGCCGGAAAATGACAGTCTATCTTTCTGCACCCCCAGGAGATGGCCTGCGCGTTGCTCGGGATCATTTCAAAGAATATGTCAAGCCGATCCTGGTCGCCGCGGCATTGGACTACACCGTTGTTGAAGGCCGACGTGAAGGCGACGTAAGAGCCGGCATGGCGGAAAACATTCGCAAGCTGCGCCGAAAGGCCGGCGAGCCCAGCTCAACCGTCGAAGAAGTCGGTGTGGAGGCGGTCGTTGCCGCCACCCGGGCAAACATGGGAATCAGTGATGAGCCTGGCCCCAAGGGCGATTTGGTTATCGGCCGTCACACCTGGAAGGAATATATTCGTGGCTTGCATGAAGGATGGCTTGGCCCCTTGGATGCGCCACCTCCACCCCCGGAGGAAATGATAGTTGATGCTATCGAGGACACCAGTGCAGAGAAACCCGTTGGTCTCGTGAACCCCGAGATTGCTAGCATCGATTCCCCCGAGTTCTCCGAAGATCACAAAGAGCCGATCCCCGAGCCCAAGGCCGAGGAGCCAGAGAAGGAAGAAGAAAAGCCGGAGAAGGAAGAAGAGAAGCCTTCCAAGCCCACCGGTCCTACTCCCGCATACATCTACCCATCCGAATACTCGTCCGCCTCCCTTCCCTCCACTCTCCCCCAGTCATTCGACAGCTCCACCCCAGTCGAATTCCCTCACCTCCTCGGCTTCCTGAATACCCCTATCCGTATCTACCGCTTCCTCACACAACGCTACCTTGCCGAGGATGTCGGCCGCGATGTCGCCGCGCTTGTTCTCGCCAATAGCGCCCGTCCTTACCGTGACGACAGCTTCAGCGCAGACTCCGAGCCCACCGGCGCCAGCGTTGACCCCACTCCCTCCCCCGACAGCTCGTTCGCAGACCTCCCCCCTCGCCAATACGAGCAGCAAACCGTGATGGAGGCTGCCGAGAAGGAGTGGCACAAGTCTGTGCACAAGCGCGAGGAAGACGAGAAGGAGCGCGAGTGGCTTGATGACGTCGTGCTTGACCAGCGTATTGCCTCACGCATGCAACGCGCCATTCTCTCTCCCGAAGACGAAGCCCGCTCTCAGCGCATCGCCGAGCTCCAGGAATACATTCTGGGCGAGGAGCGACCAGCCCACATTCCTTTCTGGCAGCGCATGTGGATCGACTACGGCTACGGCGAGAGCGAAGAGGCTCTGAGACGTAAGCCCATTATTGGTAACCTTGACGAAGAAGATGGACAGTAAAGAGATATCTCCCATTGTTTGAAGTTTGTTCGTTTACTAGAACGGTTACGGGATAGGTTCTTTCCCTGGCATTGTTGAGCACGGCATGTGTTGGTCTGTTTGTTTAGCATATTGTGACTCCCTCCTCGGCTTGTATATTAAAGGCGCTCTTTTTTTTTCTGTTCGTTTAATGTCCCACTCTAGAAATGTACATTGATCCTCTTATGGAAACGGCGCTTCAAGTTTGGAGTAGATTTGTTCTACATTTAGCCCTCACTTTCTTGGCAATAGATACCAGTACATTGTGTTTTTCCAGCATCTTTATACTCCACATGGCACTGGCCAGGATCAGAGTATATTTCTTCCCCCCTCCCCTTTCCTTCCTATGTCTTTCTCTATGTTCTCAATCCTTTTACCCCCTGTCCCAACTGCTGTCATTGCTCTATATCGCTAAATCGCCAGGCAATTCATGATCGAAGCGGGTGTGGAGTTGAGACCAAACGGTTCTCCATCTCAAATCAGTTAAGTACAAAGACAGAAGATTCGGGCCACTTCTTGCTCGCCTTCTCGGCGTAGGCAGTCTTGTCACTGCCCCACTTGTTCAGAAGGTCCAAGGCGGCGATAGCCTCGTCGATGGTGATATCGGAGGAGTCGAGGGTAGCAAGCAGGTCTTGCTCAGACTGGGACTTAGCTTCCGGCTTGAGGAGCTGACGCCCAGAAAGGGCGGCTTGCACGTGGGCGGCGCTGCCCTTGTTAGCTGAGAGGAAAGACTCGTTCCACTCCTCAAGGTCCTGAGACTTAGGGAGCAGCTTGTCAAACTCGGCATTGACAGCCTCGGCAACCTGCTCGGGAAGAGGCTCGGAAAGGCTGTTGAGAGACTGGCGGAAGCGAAGCAATTGGAGGTGAAGAGTGGCGTTGGAGGGGTCGATGGAATGAGCGGCCGCAAGGCACTTAACGGCAAGGAGGTGCTTGTCTATGATAGTGTTAGCGGGATGATTTCGTCTCAAGTTTCACTGAATTCACTTACTCCTTCGGGAGTGAACCTCGAATCCGAGACACTGAGCTTCGATATTCTGGGGGCTGGACTCAAGCAGCGGCGTCAAGAACTTCATGGCATCCTTGAGGGGATCCTGAGTCTGGACCAGGGTGTTACCCAGAGGATCGGCATCCTCCTTCTTGGTCTCACCATCCGTACTCTTGGCGTTGGCAGCAGCAGCTTTTCTTGCGGCACGCTTGTCAGCCTCGATCTTCTCCAATTTCTGCTGCTCCTTCTTGGCCTTCTTGAGAGCCTTCTTCCTTTGGTTCTCATCAGTGGCATCGATTCCGTTAATTCCGCTGGGCATCGGTCCGTGTACGAGATCCGGCTCGTCGTGAAGAAGCAGGTGGGCCTTGACAGCTCCAATAGCCATTCTTGTGTAGAAGGGATGCTCGCGCAGGCGGTCCTCCCAGCGCACCATGTCGACATAGGCTCTGATCATGCCCTTGCGAAGAGAGAAGGCGTGGAAGTCAAACTGATCTTCTTGCCATGTATCAAAGATGTTGTGAACAGAGTGGAAGCGCTTCAGGGCAAGGCCAAGTTTCTTTTGTCGGAGGAAAGCCTCGGCATCCTCAGTCAAGAACCAAGTGCACTGCATATCGTGAAGATCACCCAATGTGCCACCGACGGCCTCATTGCGAGTGAACTTGCCCATGAGTTCTAAGGCCTTCTCGTTATCGTTGTTTCGGAGCACGTATTTGGCCGCCTTGGTGTTGATGTGGCGATCCTTCTCATCCAACAATCGAGCCTTCTCCATCTCCTCTGCTGCCTTCTCTGGGTTTCCGTAGTGCTTCCAGATACGAGCCTTGGTCATTTGATATTCAACGGCCTTTGGTGAAAGTTCAATGGCCTTCTCAACATTCTCCATGGCCTTGGTGAGGTTGCGGCTGAGGTGATAGTTGTAGTGTTGAGCGAGGAAGTAGTATGTGCATGAGAGGAACTCGTTGTTGTCTCCGTTGGGCTCCTCGGAGCTGTTTGTGGCCTTTTCAGAGAGATATCCCTCCACCAACTCTTGTACGACGTCACGCTTGGCCGGGTTGACGTAAAGTTGCTTGATGTTCACAAATAATGAGGGAACACCCTTCTTCAGCATGCGCTGCAGATAAGCGTCGGTGGCCTGCTTGAATTCATCGCCCTCAAGGAAATCAAGGGGGATGCGACGAGCAGCATCAGAGCGGGGGTATGTCTCAACCCACTCATCGTAGAGAGCCTTCAACGCCTTATGGTCGTTTTCAGGGATGGACTTAGCCTGGATCAGGCCATTGTAGTAAACCGAGTTGTCCGGGTTGCGCTCCAGAAGAGCAGTGTATGCAGCCTCCGCGTCGGCCTTGCGGTCCAATCGCAAAAGGTAGTCTGCCTTCATCTCCATAACTGCGAGCACATCGGTGCATCGGTATCCAACAGCCTCAAGGTTTTCCAAAGCTCTCTCAATATTTCCTGTCTCCGCAATGATCGTGTTCTTGTACAAAGTGGCCTCCGAGTTTTCCATATCGGCGACAGGCGGAACGGCCCCCTTCAGTGTATCCTCGTAGGTAGTCAAAACCTTCTCGGCCTCTGCCAAATCGCCGGCCAGGTGATGGGCAATCGCAAGAGCTGTCCAGTTCTGGCGCATTGCCGGTCGAGTTTGCAGCATCGCATTGCGGCTCTTGATGTATCCCTGGTAATCCCGCATCTGCATCTGGAGCAGGGCCAAGTCACGCTGAATAGGCTGCGATTCGGGCTCGAGGCGGAGGGCAAATCGGTATGCCTTGATGGCCTCCTCGTAGTTCTTCTCCTGGCGTAGTAGCAATCCATACACGTGCCAGGTGATATGCGACTTCATATCGTTCTGGAGAGCCTTCTTGGCGAGCGCAAAGGCATCCTCCAATTGGCCAATCTGGCTCATGTTGAGAGCCTTCATGGCCTGTGTGTCGCCATGCTTGGGGTTTTTGCGAAGAACCTGGTCTGCCGTCTTGATCCCTGCAGTGTAAAACGTGGTTAGACGGGTCTAGGGCCTAGGACACTGCAGAAGCCAACCTTTCTTGTACTGCTTCATCTCAAAGTGGTGAACCACTTGACGAAACAAGGACTGGTCCTTGGAGCTCAATGTTTCCGGCATTGTGGGCGATGCTGTGGAAGACTTGTGCGAGTGAGGAATCGATGTGTGCGGGGGACGACTTCTCCGAGTCCGATCTTGGCAGAGCTAACGGGCCGATAAGATAACGGCTTCTTCAGCAGGCTTGTTTTGTTGGGATTTATGTATAGGATGTCGGAGATCGAGATATATGGATTGGGTAAGTCTCAGGTACAGGATGACCAAATGCCTGGGATGACGTGGTTGTGTGTGTAGACTGGGGATGATTTGCCCCGGCTAATTTGCGCACTACGCCGTCGTCTACTTCCCTTCAATGCTGCCAACATAAAAGACCCCTCCTATTCTTTAATGCTTTTATATTTCACACTCATCACTGTCCCCTTTTCTTCTGCTGCCATCCCCCCATCCCCCTATTCCCCTCTGCCTCCGGCTAGCGCTGCGCACTGGCCGTTGTTCCGCTGCATTGTCCCTCGCATTCAAAGGAGATGCTGCTCGAACCGACGTTAGCTCCGCTTTGGCCAGCATAGCATCTAGTCGCCTAGAAATTGGGTTACTAGGTGGATGCAGTCCTCATTTGCTCTCCCTAAAGGGATAGCCCCCAAGTGCCTACAAATAACTCTGCAACCATTTAGCGAGTGTGAAGATCAACATTGGTTTCATGCATCAAACTACTGGGAGGTATGAATGCCATTATCATCGTTAACGATAAAGCAGATCTCAGGGCCTATTTAAGGTGATTCCCAATGAAAGATCTTAGCCTGTCGATAGAGATGTCCTGGTACCCGTGACCAAATGGCTTGACAGAGAAAAGAACCTAGTATAGCAAGCATCAAGGATAACCGTCGTTGATACTTTGGCCTAAGATTGAAACCAGTGCGCGCGCATACCCAGATATAGTTTGTTAAAATACTAATAAGATCGAATTCTTGATGTGTTCTAAAGCAATATAGCCTGTCAGACCGATTGTGCTATGGAATGCATAGTTTCGATCCCATTCACACCCACCAATCCGCGTAAGTTACTATTGTAGGTTAGATCCTTCCCACCACAATTGATGCTCTAACATGGGCAAAAACATGTTGAACTGTGTATCGGATGGCATTTTATCGTCCCTTTGCCCACCGCAGGTCCTCTCTTCTGTAGTGGAGCCCAAGCATGAAAAGCTGAATTGTTCTTGGGTAAATTTCACCAGAAACAACACCGTATGTTACTATCTCCTTCGTATGGCTACTCTACAATATGGAATCTGTAATAGCATGTAAAAAATTTCAATCTGCTTGTCATTGCTTGTCATCAAAGAAAGTGGTTTGATATATACAGTAATCAGCTCTGCCCCGAGCCATGGTTTATATGCATTCAAGGAAGAGTAACAGGGGCGTAGCTCTGATCAGGCTGGACGACCTTGCCCTCCGCAACCTGATTATCGGTATAAGCAGGCCAGATGATCTGGCGGACGTCGTTCTTGACAACGGAGAGGGTGGTGAAGCCATTGCCCTCGCCGAACTGGCCGCTCCAGCCGGAAGTGACGGTGAATTCGCCGCAGTTGACGGGACCACCGTCGGATTGGGAGGCAGGGCTGCCCTTCACAACATATTTGCAGGCAGTGGCATCACCGGCGCCGGGGTAGATGCCGAAAGTCCAGGTGCAGGAGGTGTCCTCGGTGTTGCAGACACGCTTGGTGTTCTGGATGGTCCACTGGGGACTGGCGGCCATCATAGACTTGCTAGAGGCGGTGGGGGCAGCGAAGGCCGAGGAGGCAAAGAGGCCAGTTGCGAGGAGGAGCTGAGTGAGCTGCATGGTGATTGAGAGAATTGAATTGGAAGTTGGTTGGATTGTTTGGTGTTGAAGGATGTAGATGAGAATGAAGAGGAAAGCATGGGGGGAATGAAGCTATTTAAGTCTTTTCCTTCAGTATATCATACCGAGCCCTTGCCTGGATATTGAGATTGAGTTTCTTCGTCAGGCTGAAAATAGAACTACCTGCCTAGGTGGGTAAGTATAAGGATGTAACGTCAAGTCAGGTCACCACGGGGAACAGGTATCGGCTACTCCACAACGATGTCTTAAACTTCCGCGAGGACTTATGCAGGAGTGAGACAGTCCCAACGACTATGATTTGTGCCGCTTTCCCCATCACTTCTTCGTTCTTTCTTCACATGGCGTCCAAGATAAATTGGCTGAATGGATTTAAGACATCTTCAAAACCCAACCAATTGGAGGGTCGTACAGCTGCAGGTTCACCCCGCAAAGATAGTCAGACCGACTGTCGATCGCCGATTGCCATCTTTTCTTATACGAAGTGTCATCCATGGATGAGGATGGAATATCGGGAGATTGTGTGGGCTGACTTGGAGGTTTCCCCGGGAGAACCATTGCGGAGCAACCAGGTGACCCCGACGGAAATCCACGCCACTTTGACGAACCCTGGAACGGTGAGACCTATGCTTAGATTACCCAAGATCCATAGCCATTCAAGATCTCCACAACACTCGGTCGTGCTTCTAATTCTGTTGACTTCCCTAGTAACGACATGCTTATTAATACCAGCCTTCCGGGCGCCACGGCCCACTTAACCGAAGCCATAACCAAACAAAAAAGAAGCTAAAGGTGCCATTAAACGAATGAGTGGAAGGCACCGGGATATCGGTGGATGCCGGGAGCCCCGAAATGCGGTCATTCTCAAGACCCACGGAGCAAATAGTCAAAGACTCATCGCCATTAGAAAAACCCTGTATGTGGCGAGAGGGGAAACAGTGAAAACTGGTCATTATCCACCCAATTTGACCATGGTGTTTCTTGGCAGATTGGTTGGGAAATTGGTGGGAGTCTTCCAAGTCTCATGTACATGTAGCTAATCGTGCATATTTTGAGCCCTAAAAGCAGAGTACAAGTAGGTAGAATAGAATTACGGGGGAAAAAGAAAAAGGTTGCTAATACTTGACAAACATGCTACTTAGTTACTATCAGGTACATGTAGGTACCTTATGTAGGTACCGAATTAAGGCACCGGTCAATAAAAGCTGGACATTGAACGCGAAATATGCAAGGAGATATCAATCCATGAATCATCGAGAATTGTGGCTTAAGGCATTCATCTTCTTTACTCCGTTCTTCTATAATGTGAGGTAACGGAGCTCAGTAATCCGTACTCCGTAGTGTCTATGATCAGGCACTCCCCACTTTTCGACGGTCTTTCCGGATTTTCATACGGAGTACTCCGTACTGAAGGGGAAGTTTGAAGGGCAGCTGTCGTCGATGGTTTGACCAGCACGTTCAGATAGTCCAAACAAATATCCTTTTCATAGCACCATGTTCATTTTATTCCTAGATGGATGCACATCTACATATGACTGTGTATCCATTCGTCCTCCGCTAGCTCCTTCGCAGAGCTACGCTTGCCGGGCTCCCACTGCAGCATTTTGCGCATGAAACGTATAAATGCCTCTCTCTCCATCTGCCCCTCAAGAGTAGTCTCCCTATCCTCAAGCGAAACCTGATCTGTCAACAAACCTGGAGTGAGGAACTCACCTAGAGGCATAAGGTTAGATGCCGAGTTTCACCCGATAATGTCATAAGGGTTTCCTTGCCTTCGCTTGAAAAGAATTTGGCTCTCAGCTCCCCCTGCATAAGAAGGCTTAGAGGCGGGGGACCAAGAAGATTGATCATCTCTGCTAGATGTGCCCGACTTCGATACCTCCCAAATTCGGGGTCTTGGCCCGTAAACAGGGAACCGCCTTCGTACACATCCCAAATCTACAACTATTAGTTCTTGCCGCACGAGGATCGGACTGGTTGTCATACCATGCATCCCACATTCCAAATATCGGCACTGTATGTCCATGGAACTCCCAGAATCACTTCCGGTGCTCGGTAGATCATAGGTTGAACAAATACTGAGTGATATTGACCGAGCATAGCCGAACCAAAATCGCAGAGAACCGGGGCACCCACTTGTTTAGGTACTTTCAGCTCTTGAGACATATAGATCATCCTTCCGTCTGTATCCATGTCCTTCCTTGGAACGGGTCGTTGAAGTTCGCCTTCCTCAAAATCAGTAAACACTGAATCATCCTTGAAACCGAACATTATATTGTCGGCTTTGAGATCTGGGGAAAGAGTAAGACGATTGTAGGAGTAGGGGAGAAATAAAAGATTACAAACCAGTGTGGGTGATCTGGCACTCTGTATGAAGATAGTCTAATGCTAGAAATAGGCGATGAAGGATGACCGCGAGGACTGCTGATGGTAGTCTCTCTACTGGGTTGCGACGTAAGAAAGCTAGAACACTCTCCCATAATGGGGGATGCACAAGACACCGATGCTTGTCTTGAGGCCCGTCGATGTCAAATGTGTCAAGCAACGTTCTGATCACGTCACGACCAGGATGGGTGGTTGGGGATTGCTCCATATGTCTATACATATTAAGCTCGTTATCCACTTGCTGGCCCATAGATGAAGCTTGAACAAAGATTTTGAGCATAACATAACGACGTTTGCTAAAGTGATAGGATATAAGTATCTCCGATAGGCTATTGAAAAAAAAGAATCCTCGGGGATCTCACTCCATGTCCCGTGCAAGCCAAGCAGTTGAGGTAGATCCAAACCCCAATTTGCCGATAACCTGATATCGCTCCTTAATGACTTCTCCTATTCGGGTTGGATAATACTGCGAGGCGATATAGTTCGGGAGAGTTTCTTCTTCAATTTTGTGCCATTCAGGTATCCGAACGAAGCTTGGGTTAGTGAGATCAATGGGTTTCCACCTCCGCCCGAGCTGGGGCAAAGATCGCAGAAGCGACGAAAACATGGTTCGAAGAAGAAGGGCAGCTTTATTAGGTGATAATTTGTAGCACAAGAAGATTGGAAATGATTACGAGCGATTGAAAGTTGTTTTGGTTGCCAAAAGATGCCAGGGGTGAGGATCGGAGATCGTCTAGTCAGCCGAAAAGGTCCACTATGTACTCTGTACAAAGCACGTACTCCGTACACACCGTGCATACAGAGTTCTTGGCCCTAAATAGCCCGCCTAGCAAAGAAAAATGAAAGTAGATAGAGCCAGGTTTGAAAGTTGGTCAAAGAGAGAAGCTTCGGTATCTGATACCGAGTATGATTAAGGTAAACCCGTTAGTCTAATTAAGCCCCGGAAGCTATCGATTTTCGTCAGATTCCACAGGTACCCGGATTCTAGGTGTCAAGTTAAAGCCATCAAGTTCGTTTTACAGCGAAGTTTGCCTTTTAGGACCTTTGATTTGACAAAGAGACCCGATTTCGTCTGGTGCCGAACCATCATCGCCACGTAGATAGCGAAGAAGTAAAACATTCCCGAAGCTCAAGAGTGGATTTATACAAAAGTCAAAACGTATATATACATCGGCATCTCCATGCCAGAGAACCTATTTTTGATGAGAATGGCGCCAGCTATTGAGAGCTTCTTCCCAAGTAGAAGAATCATTGCATTTGTCTGAGACCAAGCCCCAGGTTCGGGCCCGGATAATTTCTTCAATGGTACGCTCGTTGCGAATCAAGTTGGCCAATGATTCTGTCCGTGCTTCGCGTGGGAAGAAACGAGCAGAATATGGGTCCAAACGCTCATTGACTTCTCGTTCTCGGTCTCGTGCGGACTCTGTCTGCCGAAGGATCAAATCGGGATCATTGGGGTCCGGGCTCGTGGCCACCCCAGCGCAGTATGTGAGGACATCTGATCTTGTCTGCCATGACGGGAAAAGCACTTTGTCCTTGAAGCCCTGACAGGCTGGGGAGTTGATTGTTCTCCGAGATCTAGACTCGAATTGTCGCACCGCTGTTGATGAGGGGTCAAACCCTTCCTGGGCTGGTGTAAGCAAGGCGTTCAAGTGTTGCGTGATGGAATCATCAATGGTAGATCTTGAAAGTCGGAGAAAGTCTAAAGAATAGACAGAAGAGTTAATATGATCCGGTTGTACGACGCCACCTGTAAACCGTACCTCGAAGTAGTCTCTCGTCAAAACAGAACCGAGGAGTCAGCACCGGTGCCGCTGTTGATGAGGCCTGTGACATTCTCCCACGTTTTCCCTCCCCAAATTCTCGATTCGACTTGATCCAAAACCACTCCAGCTTGGATTGAAAATGTGAGTGGCGTTGTTGATAAAGTTATGGTCGTGGCGCGGCCTTGTATAACGTTGATAAATGGGATATCGATTTATCTTTCGCAGATGGCTAAAAAAAATCCGTTATAGACACAAGAAACTGAGGCTGATGGTTGGTAGCTGTCTGACGCAGAGCATCCGTGGACAGCCCGAGAAGCTCCCGGATCTCCACCAGTCGTCGTGCCGCAATCAGCCTCAATCCCATTTGGGACTAGCTTACTCAATTATCTCCACGTGACCGCGCGCGCGTGTTCAGATGGCTCGCGTCGCTACAACATACAGCCAAGTATTCGATCTGAGAAAAGCACTTGTATATGCCCATAATCTATTTATTGCATCTTTTTACTGTTGACTTTTGAAACCACATACCAAAATGCCCGAGCTAGCAGAGATCCACCGCATTGTTTATTTCATTCGTGAGCACCTGGTGGGGAAGACGCTCTCCAAAGTACAGGCACAGCATGACGACATTGTATTTGGCAAAGTTGGCACTAGTGCCGCGGAGTTCGAAAAAGCAATGCAAGGAAAGAAGATCGTGGGAGCGGGCCAACAAGGGAAATACTTCTGGATCACAATGTCCTCACCACCACACGCCGTGATGCACTTTGGAATGGCTGGCTGGTTGAAGATCAAGGATGCCGACACATATTACTATCGAACCGACAAACCTGCTGATCAGGAATGGCCTCCTAAATATTGGAAGTTCCTGCTAGAGACAAGTGATGAACCGAAAACAGAGGCGGCATTTGTGGATGCCCGCAGACTTGGTCGCATTAGACTCGTGGATTGCCCAGCTGATGAAATACGAAATCACACCCCGCTCAAGGAGAATGGACCCGATCCTATCGCCGATAAAGACACTGTGAATGAAGCATGGTTGACAGAGAAGCTGAGAAAGAAGAAAGTGCCGATCAAGGCCCTTCTACTTGATCAAGCGAATATTAGTGGAATCGGAAATTGGATGGGGTAGGTCTTCAAGCCAATCGTGATCAATCCATATAAGCTAATTTGTTTTAGTGATGAGATTCTTTATCATGCAAAGATACACCCAGAGCAATACAGCAATACCTTGAACGACGAACAGATCAAGGCCCTACATTCCGCCATTCATTATGTCTGCTCAACATCTGTTGGTGTACTGGCCGACTCAGAGAAGTTTCCCGAGCACTGGCTGTTTAAACACCGCTGGGGCAAGGGCAAAAAGAACCAACCGGCTGCTCTTCCCAACGGCGATAAAATCACTTTCCTTACCGTTGGAGGTCGAACGAGCGCTGTTGTCCCAGCTGTCCAAAAGAAGACTGGTGCTGTTGCCAAAGATATTGAAGAGGAACCCACGAAAATGACGCAAACCACTCCAGCGAATTCGAAACGGAAGCGTGCTCCCCTACCAAAGAAAGAAAGCGACTCAGACGCGGAAGAAGCAACGCAGACAAAGAAACGAGGAACCCCAAAGCAAAAGAAACCGAATGTAAAGAGGGAGGATTCTGACGAGGAGAAGCCAAAGCCCGCCGCCGTTGGCAGAAGACGATCTACCCGCATGTCTAAATGAGGTGTATATGAGACTCATGATGGTACTAGCGTCCGCATCTATCTGTAAAGTCACAAGCTTTTACCATATTTTCGGTTTTAATTTTCAGCAATATTCTAAATTGGAACCGACTTGACTCAAAAGCGGTCTAGTACTCAATTAATAGTCCCGATATAGGCGATTCATTAGAAGATGCTAGTAATATTGAGATGAACATGAATAATCTACATGCTAATACCAATATATACGATTCTCATCTAGCCCTGTACTTGCTTGCGTTGGCGCTGAGTCAACAACTTTTTCACTGGCAGATCAACTCGGTCCTGAAGAAAGGTTAGGATATCCTCGATCTCATCCTGTACACGGTACCAGTGCCCCAACCCTTGGTAGATCTTCCACGTCACATCCATCCCCAAGCCAACTGAAAGCACATGATTCATCTTTGTACCAAGCTCCACAGCCACCTTTTTATCTTCAGAGCCGTGACCAATGAAAACAGGCGTCCGGAGATGACCGCAGCTTGATGGTATGGGCGTTTCATTCGGCGAATGATCGGCTGCTTCGAACAAAGGAAGATCAAGAACATCACGAACATGATTGATAGCATGGACGAGCAAAGGTGCTTCTTCCTCTTGCGCTGCAAAGGGATCGAAATCGTCATGCGACGAGCAGCTTCTCTCAAACGGGTCGTCATCCCAGTCAGGTTCAGAGAAAGCGCTGGCGTCGGCATCAGCATCAGCATCTGAGGCGGTGTCTAAATCTGACCCATCATCACTGCTAGACTCTTGCTGAGCATCATCTCTGTCTTGTGTGTCAGACACAGCCACAGCCTCAGACGCCGATGCCGATGCTGACGCCGGTCCTTGGATATCACCACATCGAAGAATCTCACACAGCTGCTGCTCAAAAGGAAGCCATCCACTCATTCCAACAAATGCCCCGATAGTACTTGCTCCACTGGTATCGGATGAGCCACCCAGCAGCGTGAAGATGCCTGCCGCACATCCTTGGCTTAACCCCCACAGGATGATTCTTTTATGGCTGCCTTCGCCCAAGATGCGAGTCTCCTCGCTGATCAAGTCGCGAACAAAATCAGCTGTCTCACAAAGCCCATCGACTTGTAATTCTATTCTTTCACCGGGGTCAACGATTGAGAAGTTGTCAAACCACTGGTTGATGGGCATTCTCTTGAATCTCGTTGCTCGCCGCTTCTTTGCGGTCGGAAAAACGAATTTCACGGTGGGAAGTCGAGCTCGCAGGGTTGCAGCAGTAAGTAGCACAAGACCGTAGCGCTTGGCATTGCTGCCCTTTCCATGAAGCGAAATTATCGTATGTGTATGCTTTTTACTTAGGGGCGGGATGACCAGGGGAGCGGGCCATTTCTTCTTGGGCGGCATGTTGACTGGGGCGATAGAGGGAAAGAGATATTTAGAAGAAATTGGGACAGGATACAAGCTATATGTGTTCTTTCCCCTTTGTTTCTTTGTTTCTATTTTTTTGTGTTTCCGATGCCTAGGGAGCGTAGATGGTTGTTTTCCGTCAAAGGTCAGTGATCCCCAAAGAACGGATACAAAAAGTGTACTCCATATATAACACAGATCTATTTCGCGCTCTTTGGCACATATGCCCCACCATGCTTGTCTTGGCTTGGATCGGTGGGTTGGTGAGTTGTTTCAGCAAGAGGCTGTTGAGCTATTTCGCTATTTTGCTCTCGCTCAACATTTGAATGTGTCGGATAGCGAGCTTGCGATTCACGAGGCACATAAGCACCTCCATGGGTGTCTTGAGATCTCTTTGCGTAGTTCAGCAGGCTGTCTGTTGCTGTTAAGGAAAAAACCTACCGATGCTTTCTCCATGCCGACTGAAGAATAACACCCGATTTCCTCTGCCACTTCTTGTGTCCAGTCCTTGCCGCTTTTTGCTCACCGAGATCACCGAGATCACCTGAGCAAAATCCATACGAGAGCAGCTAAGTCAGCAGCTCACCTGCCCGGGGGCGCCTGGGCAATAAAATGCACCACGCTAGCCCCATCCAAATGCAGCTGTTCACGCTGAGCTTAACGCTGTGGTGACTCTTTGGATGGAGACCCATTTAGGTGGTCCCTGCCGCCAGTTTTCGCCTTGATCTATGCCTCCTGACTTACCTACATGTACCTAGGTAGGTCTTCATCCTCTTGTACACTTAGTAAGAAGTGAAGTTAGCTTCACGTATGGTTGACTCCTGTAAAGCCATTATTGTTACTCGCTCATTTCTTTGTTCTCTACCAGGCAGAACACCTTACTCTTGAACTCTCTTCTCAACGTCTCTGCATTCCAAGATGGTCCACGCCTTTGACACGTGACCGCACGAATGAGCCACAGAGCCTCCACCACCCCGCTCTTTTCCGCTCCCCACTCTTCCCCACTCTCCACCCTTCTGTCTTCTGTCTTCGAAATATGCTCCTATTAACTGACACAACATGGAACCCTTATAGCTGGCTCGCCCTTTAGCACCCTTACTACGAAATGGTGACGCACCCGTCTATTCACAATGATCGTGTGGCTTTGGGGTATATGGGACACTGGGTCTCGTTTATCCAAGACGTTATGACCATGTTTCACTCGACACCAATCACCCATCAAGTCCCTATCAATAATGAGTCTGAAAACTATATTGTAGGCAGTAAGTTCGGTCTTTCCGGAAGATTCGTACGAAACCTTTGCGATCCTGTCATTCAAGCATTGATGCCACTGCCTGAAATGTCCTCCGTACGATTTGCTGATATTCGATGATATCCCTGTACTTGAGTTCTTTTGACCGGTCATTGATTTCTATTTGTATCATTACTAGAATTGTCTGCCGCTTCTACAACCTTGTCATGTTTTATCCATATGCCTTCTTGGTCTTAGGTAGCCTCTTATCTTTCCAAGGCTATCTAGGATAGAATTATCATTTATATACGCGCCGAAAATATAGCCACTCTCTATCAATTAACTCTAGTGCCAATTAACTCTAGCGCTTCTCTCTGGCGATTGCTTCTTTTCTAGAAAAGACGAGTTTTCTACCTATAGCTTGATGGATTCACGCACGATGTAAAGAAAGGCGAAAAGCCGAAAGGATAAGGTAGAAAACTAAGCAAGCTCTCTTATAGGTTTAGAGTAGGAAAATGGTTCCAATGTATAATTTACTAAGGCATCGCGCCATTATAGGTAAGGTCGGTGCCTTCCCATTTTACGCCATCGTGTACCAGTGCGTTATTTTTGAGATGGAAATAGGTAAGACTAGAAGATTGTGTACCTCAAGAAATCGGGGCATGGTGAAAGGTGAGGGAGCATCCTTGTATATGCTCTCTGATACTGTGATAATACCTGCTTAGGTGCAGCTGCGCCCCAAGGCAACGAGGTAATCATCTTTTCGGAAGTCTTTGGTGGCGCAGTGATCAGCCTACAGGGTGCCTCTGATGATCAACCACGGAGTAGCTCCTGGTCAGAAACCCAATACTTCGATCCCCCGTATAGATCAGATCCATCACCTCGACACCGCAAATACTGGGTGCCTACGGACTATATATTCCAGACTTGATTCATAACCCCGCATGGCCGCGATTTTTGAAGACCCATCCGTGTTCGACGCCTTTGAAGGCCGAGAAAAGTTCGATCATTCCAAGGCGAAGGATGTGAAAGTCGAAGTTCTAGACTGGAGCAAAGGTGGAGATCCCCATTCACCGAGTCAGATATATTCATTACTGATTTCCCAGACAATGATCGACCGCGCTCTCACTGTGTGCCTGTTCCAGAACTTGCCACGATGCCTGAGCCACATTTACGAATAGTGTAAGATAGATCCATTGCAAATACAGGCAGCGCACGAGCTGATAGTCATATTAGGTTCCTGCCACTTGATCACCCGGGGGACAAGGGGAAACACGGCCTTCTCTGGGCCTTCCGTCACTATTCAGTCCCATCGGCATTTCTTGATGAGCGGCTTCGATCAGTCACTCACTCATTTGGTGCGCAGAGTGATGCTCATGGGAATAATTGTATGTCCCTACTCTTCGCAGATCTATCTGTGTTTAATATTCTGTAGGTGTTTGGTTTCACCACTTGTGCAAAAGCATTGCAGTAGGGCGCGCAAACGGCGAGTCATGGATTTACGAGCCGCGCTCTCAAGTGCAATCCCTCAAACAAGCAAACTGGACCTGGAAAAAGTCTGGATACTTCATGAAATGGTGTACCACTGATTTGGATGATCCCAGGGTGACGTTGCTATGCTTCCAAGCATCGGATCTTCTTCTGAATCGACTACGAGCCCTTCAGTCTGTCAAAACTGCAATGCGGGATCCAATAGCCCTATTGGTCATTATCTTGTCAGATATATCCTCCAACATGGATAGCACAGTCTGGGAAGTGTCCGACGTGTTTGGAAAGATAGAAACGGTGAGTGTTCCACATCCATCTTGCAGTGCTGTAGACATAACTGGTAATAGAGGGCATTGATGATGTCCCAAGAGAGGGAGTCATTCACAGGCTTGCACAATGTAGCGAAACATATTGTCTATCTCCAAGAGAGCTGCGACGCTACATCTCTGATTGTGCAGAAAGTGATCGCACACTCCGAACTTCTCCAAGGTAAAGCCTCCGATGGGGATAAGGAGATCATGGAATGTACACGGGGGATGTTGACACAGGTGGAAACGAGTTTTGAGACTGTCAATCTGAGGCTGAGAAGCTTAGATAGAAGGATGCAAAGTGTCATTGCCTTGGTGAGAATTGAATTTCTGTTCAATAAAAGTGAGCTCGAATTGACGGTGTCAAGTCATTTCATCTCGTTGCCGCCGAGGGAAACCGCATCATGCACTCCGACAGCAACACCATGACTACCATCGGATTGGTGACGCTGATATTCTTGCCTCTCACTACTGTATCGGTAAGTGCACTTTCTTCACGACTGCGGAATCAGGAACTAATTGGGACCTACTGGTCGGCCAGACTATCTTTGGAAGCCAATTCTTTGGTCTCTCGGATGAAGACAACGCGCTCACGGTATCCCAAGACTTTTGGATGTTTTGGGTCATTTCCATGCCCGTGACAGTCATAGTGCTGGGTGCATGGTACGCTATGAAATGGAGACGTTTTGAAATGGTCAATAGAAATAAACAGATCATGGCCAGCCAGCACCAGGTTATTGAGAAATATCCTGGGGCTTGATTGGCGAGATCAATTGGCCCAGTTTGACAAGAAGATTTACGCCCGTAGACGGGAGAGCCTGGAACCTTCTGGGCGTCAGCATCTACTGCCACCTGGGCCGGGCTTGAGGCTCGTAGCTTCCACATATAATGATCTGTGATGTCTCGGTTAAAAGAGCAGCGAGTGGAATACTCCGTACCTATGCCTACATACTCCGTAGTCTGCTTATTCCGCTTTTTGATCGCAGTTTGTCTTTGTTCTTCCTGCGCCTTGCAACTTGCGACTTGGCACCTCCCTTCCCACCAATCAGCTTGAACCCGATATGCATGTTTGCCTACAACTGCCTACCCAGTGTAGTGAAGCACTGCCGTACGGAGTAGATGCGTGTGATATCTGTTTGCGAACCAGATAAACCACTGCAGGATGCTGAGGAGCGGAGGGTAGGAGAGGGAAACTAGAGGGTAGTTTGCAGAAAGAGAGTTAGTTAGTTATTCTTCTAATCCGATGCCTCCAGCACTTCAATAGCCGTCTACATCAATTCTTATTCGTCAGGTCACACCGCTATCTTATAGCAGAGATCCCCTCTACACTATGTAGATAGGTATATTGTACTCCGTACAACTCGTGACACACACTTCCGTACCTACTCCGTACACACTCTGTACACACTCTGTACTATATGCTTCGCCACCTTTCAGCTGGAGGGGAGAATACGGAGCTTGGCAGCCAGATATAACAGGGTGTCCGACATATAAGTCGTGTCGGGTACTCCGCACAGGGTATAACTACAGGCTTTACTCTGTACCCAGGGAACAAACATATACAAAATATATATGCCTATTTTCTGGCCAATAACCATAAGAATACCAACGGATCACTGTTAAGCATTAGAAGAGCGAATTTTAATTTTACTCTACCCCAATGGCTGAGCAAGTAAGTCCAGCAACAGAAGTCTATGGCATTTGACGCTGATCCTGTCACTGATTTACAACAGAGCTCTATTGAGCTGGTGAACATCCAGCAGTCCTCTACAACAAGCGAAGACAGTCGCTTGATACCAGAAAACATTCAAAGCACTCAGGACAGTGATGGGAAACTGCAGTTTTCTCCATCAGAACTCATAGGGCCTGCAGTGCCCCCTCCTTGGGGTGCCTCCGAAGGCAATTCGCAGACCAGTCGCAACGCCGACACATCAACACATCCGGTATATTACCTTGCAAATTGATTTTCGATTTCAGCGACAGGAGCGACATGACTGACTGAGATTTATTCTGCCACAGCCGTCTTCTCATCCGCGCCTCGAAAAGCGTCTGCGATACAAACCAACCGGCCTCTTTTGGCACCGAGACAGCTTGAGACGCGAATGGAAGGGCTATAGAGACGATCGGTTCATAAGTGCCAAGGATGGGCGTCTTTTACCGCTGTTCGTGCAGTCGACAAATGAGGTTCTTCGGGGAACATCTCAGGTTACCTGGAAGCGAATAACTATTATCGATGATATCCCGCTCATACTACAAGTAATGTTCTGGACTTTGAGATCTCACCTGGAAGCAAACGCGGCGTCAAACATCCCATCCAGTGGTGGCGGTACATCCAGTACTCCCTTGGTTCGAAAAAAGGATATAAAGACACATTTGGAGATTTGGTTCAAATATCCAGTCGGCGCGGTCACGATTCTTGTCCTGGTTTGTCTCACCCATGACTTGAATCATATTCCCTGGTTTCAGACTGCTCACAACTGTCAATTAGTTATTTTTCCCTGTGGATCTTGCGGGGGAACCAATGAATAATGGTCAATATGAGCCATTCAAATATCATTACTGGGGTTACGCGCCCATCTCAAGCAATCAGTATGAATGTCCGACATTGCCAAAAAGTCTGTCAGCCTCCGTACAGCACGATCCTGCCTCCGAGCGTCTTCTTAGACCGAGGACTCTGTGTTTCCTGCGCGAAACACATGGTATCGATATCCTAGAGGTCAATGACTGGGAGAAAGAATATGGAGACGCCGAGATACTGCAGTATATTTTGGTTGCATACACCGCCACCCAATTTGCGCAAAATAACATCGACGATATGGAAGCTCTGCATGTCATTGGGGAGAAGGCGGCTCGCCGTGCAGGGGTTCACGCTTATTGGGTTGCCAGCAGCTGCATGCGTGATGATAAGTACATGGAAGAAGATGTGTATCGCATTAGCGATGTGGTGCGTGGTGCACATTCACTCGTTATTGCTCTTGGGCCACCCGTTGAAGGTCGTGGATCTCGGGTTTTCACAGCGCGGGAGCTTCTCAGAGATTGGGGTCAACGAATGTGGACGTTCCCCGAGGTTCTTCTGTCACCAAACACACATCCAATCTCCATTTATACACACGGTGCATCCACAGAGGTCCCCTGGCAAGTCCGCAAACGCAACTTTCCCTCAGAAGCATGGGTTGACGCGCCCAACTCACGCCACCTAGTCGATCATTATGAAGGCTCCATCATATTGAGTCCCCTTGAGCTCGTGACGATTGCGTTGCAGTGCTTATCGGCCAGACTCTTGCAAGAGAAAACAAAAGCAGACATTGCCTATATCTTGATGGGGCTTCTGAGGCGCAGGCCCCGAGTCAGCTCTGATAACAGTGCATTCCAGGTGTTTGCCCGCTTGTCAATGAGCAATGACAGCGATATGCTGCTTGAGAGACTTATCTGTCTACTCCCAAAATCACCCGCAGAAAAATGGTATGTCATCAACGACGTATGGGATCGCAATCTCTGGGACGTTGATCCACTCTGTCAAGTCGTCGGTGTTTGCGCAGATGACTCAGTTGTTCTCAGCGGTGCATTTGGAGCCTCCATTCGATGGAACTCATTCAGATCGGTGAGCCTGACTCATAGAAACACAGTCGGACGCTCTATATCAAGACTCGCTCTGCGCATGACGCCTTTATGGCTCATCCTTTCAATAATCTTGTTGGCACTCTATAGAGCTCATTGGGCCGCCTACAAAAGCATAAGACAGGACGATGTCTATGAAGATGAGCTCTCCAGTTACAAAGCGCAATATCAAGTTTACCAAATAGCTGGCTCAGTTCTCATGGGCATCACTCTTCTCCTTGTCGCCCTTTGTCCCATGATGGTCTACTCTCTTTATGCAGGAAAACCCTGGTCTGCGCAACCCTGGCTCTTCGGATTTGAGGGCTACCTACCCATTCAAGAAATTGAAACCCTTGTTTTTGGAGTCAATATGAATCATTTGACGTGGACTCCCTACAACAGTCAGCTATCACGCCACTGTATGATCAACACAGAGTGCATTGGAAAGGACCCCACGGAGGATCCTAAAGTCAAGGATATAGTGGAGCATAGCGCTGATGCTTTATCTAATGAGCCAAAGGTGTTCACGCTAGTCGACACATTCACGATGACGGTAACCTTATTTCAAGCTGTGAGGCCACCGGTAGCTCTCCTGCTCTGTGGAAGTGAGGGCGGTATGTACCGCAGTCTACTCTGCTCGTATGACTGGCCAACACAAACCCTCATTCGGGAGAGCGTACTACGAGTTGACACTCGGACTCTTGACAAAATGTCCCGGGTTGGAAGAATCCGTATCGGGCTGGAGAGGAGTCCCCTTGAGACCTCACCGATTTAGCCGTTCATGAGCAATGGTTCGAATCCAGCCCGAAGAGTTTCTATGTGAGTACATAGACATTCTATTCCTATGCCTAACAATAGGCTTATACTGTGTAACTATTTATAAATCAGATAAACAAATCTTATGCTTGTACCTTGAATTAGATTGAACTAGATTCTCCATGACCATGTTTGCTTTGATCACATTCAATAGTCTTTGTATGCTATGGTTCTTTCTCTATCTAGCTCTTTAAAGAAACTTTGTTCGCAATTAGACACAAGACAATATAACCAACAAAGGTGTGAGACACATAAATGCCTCCGAGTACCCTAACTTCCAATGCTATCTATCATCAGTCTCATCCAAATCCAATCCACAAGCATACCATTGAATAACTCCAAGTTAGCTCCCACAGAAAACGGCAGCGAATCCACTTCTAATATACATAATAAATCGCCCATTATGTCGAACTCCGAGGTTGACTCTTTGGATCTCTATGTGGGCTTCGGCCAAAGGAGAGCTAACTGGGGCCTACACTGGATACTTTTGCTCGCTAGCCCTGGTTCGAACAGTTGTACATGGTATCATGTCATTGGAGGCCCTTCAAAAGACCAGGAATATGAGTGTAAGATTCAAGCCGGGAAGCGAATGGACAGTTTCGGTATCTCGAAGAAAGAATTGATATGCAGCATCCCGGAAAGCAAAATCGGCAAAGTCAAGTCGGCCGTAAAAGCAGTGCCTCTGCAACCATGCCAAAGATGGACTGTGGAAGCACTTGCCAAGCTTGAGCACAAAGGGTTGATTCCTGTGGGCACCAGCGAAAAGTATCGCTCTCAGATGGAGCCTTCTCGTATTGTAAGGACTGAAAATGGCTGGGCCGTTGCTGATAAAGTGCCTGTAGATGAATCGGCTGAATGAACCTTCTGGAGAATCTGGGGGCAGCTAGATGGTTTGAAATGAGGATTTTCTGGTTCAAAATCCTGAGGATATGTTACCTTCCTTATTCTGTTGCTATTAATTCTTGAATGTCCGGGTTGGGGTTGCTTTTTACTTTTTTTGTTATCTAGGCTTTTGTTATTCTATGCCCGGGCTTACTTGACGGTAAATGGAGGTGAGCAATGTGGTAACGGTGCTTCGGGTGATGTGCTAGATGATGGTGATAAAGACCATACAGATGAAGATCAAATGAGGAAGTTAATAGAGCTACGAGCGCTCACAGCTTGTCATAAAGGGCTACTGATGGAGACATCGAACTGCATGATGAGATTACATGCAGGATAATACTTATAGGTATATATAAAGAAACCACCAGTTAGATTGGAAATGATTATGCACATCTCGTGATTAACATTGAACATGTCGCAAATCTGTTCCAAAACCAACAAAAAGAACAGCACATTGAATGAGACAGACTCACATGGCGAGGCCTACATGGTTCAATGATTTAAGGAAGATGTCATAATTGTTCTCGTTTGGTGCATCTCGAATAATGAAATGAATCCGCTCAAACCATCCGCTGAACTCGGCTTCTAGAAGAACGTCTTTCCAGCAATTGGACACTGCCTCAGCGGGATGGCCAAAGGCACCGCAACCAAGGGCACCGAGGGCCAAACGGCGATGATTGTTGTGTCCAGCCAGGCGCAGAATACCGCGTATCTTTGCTTTCATAAGCTCTTGGTCTTCTTTATTCTTGTACATGTCCTTCTCCTTGGTCAATGGAGGGTTGCGTTGCGCTGCCATGCTGATGACACTGACAACACCGTGTGTCTTCATGAACTCGTAGGATTTGTCGACATTCTCTCGGAAAACGACCACATAAGGTGAATAGAGACAGTCCAACTCTTCCAATGGGTAGAACGCCTCGTTGAGGCACCCACTGAGTGTGCTTCGGTAGAAAAGCTGTTCCTCCTGAGCCCGAGCCCCACGGAGCCAACCTCCACCCGGGTGCTGGGCATTGGCAAAGTTAAGAACACAAATCGGCATGTGGTCTGATTTGTTCTCGGCTTTATACATATCAAGGGCCATGTCATACGTATCTCCTTTTATGACCCGGACCTCGGGCTTGCTCTTCAGTCTTGGGAATTCCACGAGCTTAGTTTGCAGGACTGGAACGTTAAAAGCGTTTCCTATGTAGGCGTTCCGAGTTCCTTGCAACTCCGTGTTTTTCAGAATTTCCGCCGTCGTTTCCTGGGTTTCACGAATCACTGTCTGCATTACGACCGGCTGTGTTGGGACCCGTTCACCGATGTCTTTGATAGTTGCTTCGCTCAGATGGCACCCTTGAGGAAAAGAAAACCGTGGCTTTCCAGTGATTTCATCCTCGTAAAACAACTTGAAAGGGTTAATCGTTCCGGTCTCAGACTCCTGTAGCTTCGCAGCGGTAAAGCTTTGAACCAATAAACCAAAGGGAGTATCACCGCCTTGCTTTTTGGGCGATTTGTTCTGAAGTTCATCGGCGTTGAATGGATCGTTGGATTTGCCTGATTCTGAGGTATCAAATTGGATAGTTTGTCTTTGAGACATTGTTGCGTTTTGAAGAATGAGAGGAGAACAGGTAGAAATTCAAAATAAACAGTACAGAGAAGTTGTTGATTTGAAGTTCGAGATGAGGGTTTCGGTTTCTCTTTATAGCCTGGGGTTTTTTTTTAGAAAAACAAGACTAAAGCTAAGCTAAACTAATTTAAAAAGCCAAGTAAGCCAAGATACGAGAACCAAAATTCAATACTCAATGATAGAAAGCACACCGAAGTTGAAAGGAAACAGACCTTCAAGTCCGGGATATCAAGAATGTCACGTGTATACTTCAGACTCAACCAATCAGATCTCTTCCGTCCCGCATAGGGCGGTGAGCTTATCGCCGACCTCGCCACCATGACAAAGCGGGCAACGCCGTTGGCTTGTCGCCTTCTTAAAGAACTATTTTAGATCTCCGATGTTTCAGTTTCTTTATTCTGAATTCTGAGAAATCAGCCACATTTACGCCATTTATTTCCTTCATTCAGGGCCCCTCAAAGCAGAACCCCGCGACAATGAGCGCAATCTTGTCAGCAGACGATCTGAATGATTTCATTTCGCCGGGGGTCGCATGTATCAAACCAGTTGAAACGCTCCCACAGAAGCATACAAAGAATCAAGAGGTATGTCCGTTATTGCCTCTATCGAATCCGTCGAATATTGAGTTTTTGTTCTCTTCCATTAACTTTCCAATTATAGGATGCCTATGAAGTAACAACGGAAGACAAAGTCCAGCCCGAGAATCTACCACCCGCACAGATTTCTTTGACGGACTGCCTCGCTTGCTCTGGCTGTGTTACATCTGCCGAAGCTGTGTTAATCTCACTTCAGTCTCATGCCGAGGTACTCAACACACTTGATGCCCATTCGGAAATTCCTTTGACGCGTGAGCACGATGGTACGACAGTCATCAATGCCGAAGACTCTGGAGAAGGCAAGATTTTCGTGGCCAGTGTCAGCCCCCAGGTTAGGGCAAGCCTAGCAACAACCTATGGGATTTCGGAGAAAGAAGCGGGGTACATGATCGATCAATTGCTCAGTGGCCCGCAGGGCCTGCGAAGTGGGGGGAAACATGGCAATGGGTTTACATGGATTGTAGACACCAATGTCATGCGGGAGGCTGTGCTTGTACTCACTGCAGACGAGGTATCGGATTCCCTCAAATTGGGAGGTTCATCGGCAGCGGGCCAGCCAGATGATTCTCTGCCCAAAAGACCTATCCTATCTTCAGCATGTCCTGGATGGATCTGTTACGCTGAAAAGACGCACCCCTTCATTCTCCCACATCTTTCTCGACTCAAGTCCCCGCAGGCTCTTTCGGGAACATTCCTCAAAACTGTTCTGAGCAAGTCTCTCGGGGTTCATCCTTCTCGGATCTGGCATTTGGCAGTCATGCCATGCTTTGACAAGAAGCTGGAAGCTAGTCGAGAGGAGCTCACAGACGTCTCGTGGCGACACGAAGCTTCCTCGCATTCTACAACAGAGCCAGTTCGCGATGTAGACTGTGTAATCACTGCTCGTGAACTTCTGTCTCTGGCTGCCTCTCGAGGGACCTCGCTGCGAAACCTGCCTTTGCAACCTCTACCGCCATCTCTTACCCCACCTTTCCCCGAGAAAACACTCGAATCTTTCGTTCCCTTCAAGCGATCTCCGACAGAACAATCCCTTGCCGCAGGCACCTCCGGAGGCTACCTACATCACGTTCTTATGAACTTCCAAGCTCGCAATCCGGGCAGCGAACTTGTGATCAACCGCGGACGCAATGTCGATGTTGTCGAGTACGTGTTGATGTCTCAAGATAATGAACCCATCTTGAAAGCAGCTCGCTACTACGGTTTCCGAAATATCCAAAATCTCGTTCGAAAACTCAAGCCCGCACGCGTATCGAGGCTCCCTGGCGCAAAACCAGTCGCTAGACCCACCGCAGGCCGGCGTCAGCCCATGTCTCGCAACGCTGTGCCTACAGGCAGCTCAGGATCAGAATACGCCTACGTGGAAGTCATGGCCTGCCCTGGTGGGTGTACCAATGGCGGTGGGCAGATTCGAGTCGAGGATGCCAGAGAAGCTCTTGGAACTTCTCAAGGAAAGGTGCTAGATGCGTCCGCGAAGCCATCGGCTCACGAGCAGCGTGCATGGCTTGCTCGTGTTGATGAAGCATATTTCTCCATGGAATCCGAGTCCGAGTCCGAATCAGAGACCCAGCGTGAGCTGCCTTCTTTGGCTATTAAAGAGGCTAAGATTCATGAAGGCCTGCAGCGCTGGTCAGAATTTATGGACATCCCGCTATCTAAGCTTGTCTATACTACTTATCGCAAGGTAGAAAGTGATGTTGGCAAGGATCAGACACCTGCCAACGATACGACTCGAGTTGTGGAGCTTGCAGGAAAGATTGGTGGTGGATGGTAACCTTTTTTTGATTTCCTTCGCTCTCGCAATCTTTTCATCTTTGGGGTGGTTCTTTGTGATTTCTCACTGCTTCATTTGCATGGCTCCAGGATTTGATTTTTCTTGCATCTTGCTACAGGATATACCACATTTTCATTTTTGAAGTCATGGTTGATGATTTATGACTCTTTGCGTTATTGGAGTTAAATGGTTATGGCACGATGAATGCATGGAATCAAGGCCAAATGATCAATAATATTACCTAGCTATTAGAGTACAATATACACTGCTTAAAACTTGCCTACATGTATGTACCTAGCCCTGGGCACATGTTTATTGTAAGTACTAAGGTTATAGTTCCTAATCGGGCTGGGGCCTGGATGTGCTGACTAAGCTGACACATATGACTAAGCACTTAAAATCGGGGCCCGCGCTCCAGAAAGAAAAAGAATCTCAGGTTAGAAGCTCAATACTTCTACATCACAACTCCTTTTCTCCCAACGGACGCCGCCTACACAAGCACAATATACCCCCTCCCACGCTACAGCACTACCGATCCCAGCAATGTCTCGCGAAGCCTACCAAGTCCCCTCCATGGGTGCCCAGAACAACTTCGACACCCAGGCCGGAGGTTTCGGTAGCGCCATGGCCGTCGACAGCCCCTCAGTCACCTACCTGTGCGGCGAGTGCTCTGCCCGTGTTCCTCTGAAGCGCGGCGACCAGATCCGCTGCAAGGACTGTGGTCACCGTGTGCTGTACAAGGAACGGACAAAGCGGTAAGATTTTATCTCCGAGCTCATCATGCGATATTGCGCAAAGCATAAGCTGACTTTGTTCTCTTTGCTCTTGATAGTATGGTCCAGTTCCAAGCTCGGTAAACGTTTTCATCCACTCGGACGGAGATCAAAATTCTGGAGGTTGCGATGTCTCAGGCGCAGGTGGGAAGGCAATCGGCCTGGGATGTTTTCTTTGGGTTTGAGGTCTTTGATTTTGACGAATTATGCATACAATGGCGCTTTGGAGTTGAGTTGCACAAACCAGTCTTTCTATGCCAGTCTGCGAGAATACAACCTGAGTGTGTTCTCCCAAGTCTGGGCTCTGGAGTCGTGAATACAACAAGTTTCCCCTTGATTGGGGAGTCTAATATTTGCTTCCTGAGAATCAAAGACAATTTCATGGATTGTTTGAACCAAGTACCCGAAATATCCACACATCTAAATGTACCGAAATGCACCCATCACACCAGGTGAAACCATGATAACCCCAACCCGAAAGCTCCTTGACCAGGAAAGACCACGAATATCCAATCCACACATGCAAATCTAGATTCGCACAATGATATTTTAGAGCAGGTTAGTAACTTCTATAAATTTTTCCAAGTTTTTCAGAGACTCTCCGCTCTCGATTGCCCAGCGGGCCCGGCGCACACCCTCCTTCCAGCGGCCACCGCCAGGACCGCGCTCGGTGATGACCTTGCCATCATCGCCAGGTCCCATGTTGCTGGTATCGGCCTCGCAGATGCCCGAGGTGACAAGGAGACCGGCCACATTCATAAGAACGAACTCCAAGATAGGGTCATCTCGAGCAAGCTCATTTCGGAGGATACTCATCAGCTTGGCTGCGTTATCCTTGGGCAACTTGCGTCCGCCCACATCACTAAGGGGGTGGTTAGAGAGACCGAAGTCCGATGGCTGGAGCTGGAAAGTGTCGATCTTGACCAGTGTACGGGGATTGTTGGTATCCTCGTCACTTGGGTCATCCTTATCATCTTTGGACGCTTTGTATTCAGGGTTGGGGTACTCGGAAAGTCTCCAGCAGTTTGTCTTTCCAGCGCAGCTGATTTCGTCCATGTCCTCCTCGCCACAAACAATCATGGCTTTCTTTGCTCCGGATTGTTTGAAAGCATCAGCAAATACTGGTCCAAGGCTCTGGTATGCCACACCGACGACACGTGCTTCCAATGCCCAGTCAACGGGGTTTGCCAACGGGCCCAAGAGGTTGAAAATTGTTCGGAGGCCGAGACCCCTGCGTACAGGGTTGGAGTACATCATGCCTGGGTGGAAGTTCGGAGCAAACAAGAAAGAATAGTTGGTCTTCTCGTAGACCAGGGCCAAATTATCAGCTGTAACGGCAGCGATGTTGGGCGATATGGGCTGGATGGCACTGAGAACGTCCGCGGCGCCAGAGGTCGATGTCTGAGCGCGGTTTCCATGTTTGGCTGTCATCAAAAGGGGAGATGCAACGATTGAGGAAGTTGTAGAAATGTTGAAGGTTGAATGAGAATCTCCTCCAGTTCCGACAATATCACACTATACATTGCGGCGCGTCAATATCGGAGCGTGACGGCAAGATCAATGAGGGTTCATACCAATCCACCCTTATAGTTTCCTTCTCCCATTCCGCGAGATCGGATAATGTTCATAATCGGGCCCTGCTCAGGCTGGCAAGCGGCCTTCCGCATGCAATGAGAACATTTTGCAATCACATCGGCTTGCCTGTCCTTCCCAGTTGAGTGGAGCAATGTGAGGAAAGCAGCAGTCTGAATGTGAGAGAGTCGGTCCTCGAAGATCAAAGCAAAAGCAGAAGCAATCTCTTCCGCAGTCACCTCAGGCAGGTCTTCTGCGCTCACTCGGATACCTGCTGCCGCGGGGTATGCGAGACGCTGGAGGAGAGGAGAGATGGAAATTTGCTCTGGGCGCTGATCATTGGGCGTAGAAGTTGCCATGATTGCAGTATTTATTAAATATACAGTATTCACAAGAGCTGCTATCCCTTAGGAAGTTCACAACTCAAGGGATGGCGGTAACACTCGTGTAGGTGACACAAGAATGGGGCCCCTCATAGTTAGGTAGCTGGCAATATATTTCACCGCCCTTGTTGGCGCTTTACCCTTTCGGGACCCAAAAAATATCACTGCGCTTTGCATTTCCCGGGGGCTGTCTTGACCTGTGTATCACCTTTTTCTTGAATTGTTTGGGCGTTGGTTACATAGCCACCTAAATAAATTACCTCACAATGCCTCCTCGGTTAAGATTCTCGTCGCTTCAACAACAGATCCCTCGATGCCAATATGAACTACGAATTGCCAGGAGCGCATCCAGCGCTGCGGCCCCGGCAATCACGCCAGCTGCTTCCATTGAGCAGATGACACGCTCACCAGCTCCTGTATCGAAATTCCCTCCGACCCAGCTACCTTCGCACCGCAATCCCGAATACCGCCGGTCGCAGCTTCTGCGGTCATACACCTCCCTTCTCCGCACATCTCCTCTCATCGTGCTGTTCCAACACAGCAACCTCAAGTCCATGGAATGGGCCGCCATCCGACGAGAGCTAACAATTGCTCTGCAAAAGGTGGATGAGAAGATTGCCGCGGAAGGCCGGACAGCTCCCGCCCTCGCTCCCTACATTAAGATCCAGACCATTCAGACCAGCATTTTCGAAGTGGCTCTGCGTATTGTCGAGTACTTCCGGCCTAGCGAGGCTTCCCTGGCATCAGGAAAAGCCCCCAGTGCAATTGATCCTGTGACACAGACCTCCGCCGAGCTCCCCACGCTTTCCGGCTCCAAGGACGACCCAGCCTTGACACACGATTTGTCTCGCACTGCCCACGCCGCAGTGAAGAACATGAAGGGCATGCACGAGCTTTCCCCTTTGCTTATCGGCCCCGTTGCCATCCTTTCCATCCCCACTGTCTCGCCTGAACATATGAAGGCTGCGCTGTCAATTCTTTGCCCCAAGGAAGCCGGCTTCCCGGCCCCTACCCGTCGGGCAAGCCCAGAATACCACGAGCCTATTGTTCAGAACGGTCTCCGCAAGATCAACTTGCTCGCTGCCCGTGTGGACAACCAGGTGTTCGATGTCGATCAGACCAAGTGGGTCGGCAGCATCGAGGGTGGTATGGACGGTCTCCGCTCCCAGCTTATCACCGCTCTGCAGAGCATGAGCTCCAGCGTCGCGACTACTCTGGAGGGAGCTGGTAAGAGTATTTACTACACCCTGGAGAGCCGCCGGAGTGTTTTGGAGGACGAGGCCAAGGGACCGGAAGGCGAGAAGAGCGAATCGTCCTAATCTGGTCATGGTCATTCCGACTCATTTTCCTGTATAATAGATCATGTTCTGCATTTTGTCCTCAAGACCCCTGCTTCCTACTCCAGGATCAATGTATACTTGCGAGAAATCAACTTTGGTGCATCATATTTTCCGTCCAAACCATAAAACATTGAGTTCCCACTGGGAGATAAAATACAGACGACGCATAAACTACATTTTTCCTCCTGATGTATGCCCAGAATGCCCGCGGTCTATTTCTCTCTCAGGCGCAGCTTAGCATTCATCCCAACAATGCAGCGCACCAGATCCCAATCCCCATGCAAACCAACCCAATCAGTAACAATGATGCCCGTGGAACAATCCCCGTCATGCTCCTTGCCTCGACGACAGATATAAGCAACAACAGCTGGATTAACCTTCGCAGCAATCTTCTCAGGCCAAGTATCCGTTTTCCAGAAGTTACTGGCACTCAAGAAATTGATGTAAAAGGGGTATTTCTTAGTCTCATGCACATTTGGCTGAATCCCAAACGGATATCGACAGCGGCTCGCCCGATCAATCTGCTCCGCGACATACTTGATTTTCTTCTCAATGTTCACGCTCTCCACGACCTCATAGAAATCCTGGATACAGAGTTGGCCACTGGGACACTTCGCATGAGGCGCATTATCCGCCCACGCAGCAGCATCAATGCCCCAGCCAGTACCGCCATGCTCATTCTTCAACTTCTGCGTCAGATTAAACCGGCGCATCAGAATGACCTTGCCGCGGGCCTCGCCCAGAGTCGGGATCTTGGGCCGCACCCACCACCGTTTACCCCTGGCGTAGTGCTCACACAGAATGCGGGCTAGCTGCTCGTCTGTGGCCTTGCCGGCGCCCTCGCGCTTGACGGAGACAATCAGCGTCTCGGACGGGTTGCGGTCGAGGAAATCGGTGACTTCCCGCATCAGGTCTCGGAAGTATTTGTTGCCTGTCAGCGCGACGGGGAATACGCTGTGTACGAGGATCAGCTCATCGCGCGCTGCGTCGTCTGGGTATTGTGGTTGCACACGGATGTCGAAGAATCGCACGCCGTTCTCGAGCTGTTCTTTCGGGCTTACGGCTTGGCAGCGCACGGAGGGTGGTGCGATGTAGCATGTTGGTGAGTTGTGCGTGCCTGGGATGGAAAGAGCGGAGAGGAGTGTTTCATCGCGTAGCTCGTTCATCCAGGCGTTTAGATTGGCGGAGGAGAAGATTGCCAGCAAGGATTCCGGAGTTACGAAGATTCCTGTGAAGCGGTGCTTGGGTTTATCGCTTAGTGCTTTCATTGTTGCTGATTCTGCTGTTGGTACAGGGACCTGGATCTGGTACTTTTGATCCTCGGCCTCGAAGATCAGACGTGTGCGCTCCTTATCGGAGGCAATGAAGGCGCGCAGATTGGTCTTCTTCGTCGTGAATGGCTCCAGGCGTATGTCGACATTCTTTTCCTCGAATGGATGGCTGTCATGTGCAATGGAGACGACAGATTCGCTGCGAGTCTGGTTGGTCAGGACCTGGGTGAGGTTCCTGGCCATTGTGCTGAATACAAGGAAGCCATCCTTCCCAGGCGCCCGGAAGCGCTCAATGCGCTTCAGCGCAATTGGCGTGGAGGTGTTATTGCGGAGAGTGATGTACTCGGCAACCATGGTGAATGGCAATTATCCGGGGAATATGTGATGGATCGGAATGAGATCAATTCCAGCGACTCAGTATACGCAGGGGCCTCAATTGAAATTGGTTGCCTGGAGAGAGAGCAAAGTGGATTACCCCTCCACTTAGGATGAAGGGACGGTCCCCGGAAGGGGAGCCTTTGTTCTTGGCAAACCAAGCTGATTCGCGTGGACTCTCGATCTATGCACGAAATAGCGGAGATTTACAAGATGCAAGATCCTCTGCACCGGGCAATTAATGACATGCCTGGCTAGCTCGGACCTGTAAATCCGGGCCCAATGCCAGTCTCACGAGGCATTCTTTGCATGCAGCATTTGATGGCTCAGGCTTTAGCTTAACGCTTCTCTGCTCTTAATGATTTGCTTAATCTCAGAGAAGTTATCCATGTCCTCCCCCACATTCTTGAGGTCAATTTAACGACCTTGGCTTGGTTTGCATCTACCATGGGACTGGGCCAGGATGACAAAATCTTTGTGTTGACAACGGTTAAGTGAACGAATGGGCTCATAGGTATTCCGTCTAATTATACTGGACTTGTCATTTTCCAAGCGAAACGAGACCTCGTTACCTGAGCCCGCAGTAATGATCGTTCCCGGGACCCGGCCACAGTAGTATGGGTGGTGGTAGCAGCACAGGATTGGTCTTTGCTGTTGGCAGTGATAACTGTGATATCCTTCGTAGCACGATTGATAGGTAAGTGTTTCGATGTGACCGGGATACCGACGTGACTACGTCTACTCGATGCTGTTAGTCATGTCGGTATCCCAGTCCCAGCCCATGATAGGGAGCTTCACATTAACGATCTGGGTGTCGGCTTTTGTTGGCTTCAGAATTGGCACAAAAGAGTATACATCAGTGAGCCCGGTCGAGAGTCTGTGCAATAGTCGTACCTTATTGATTTCAATGTCTGCTCCAATAAACTTTGGGACTTGCAGAGTCAGCCTCCATCTCTGGTTTATTTAAGGCGATGAAGATCGTCGCTTTCAAATCGTCTCCACTCAGACAGCCTGCAGACAGAACCACCCAAGCAGACCTCGATAGTGTCTTGTAGACATCTTGTAGGACCCAACTCTCACTGTATCCAATTGTTGAAAATGAACTCGATGTTTGTAGATGTATGGGGCCTGCTATACTCGGGCTTTGGGTGATGGGAAGGAACAGATCGGATCTGATAACCATCGTCCAATCCAATTGATTGAAAATAGCTTACAGAAGCCCATACCGTTGCAATTCAACTCCTGCATGGTTCCTTCAATGACCAGGTCGTCTATTTAAGTTCGAGAGCCGAAGTGGCAGGCACGTCCATAGTGGTGACTTGTATGGAAGACAACAGTTGGATCTCAAATCCTCTTTCGTCTGTGGTATCCACCATGAGCTTGCAGATAAACGGGATCCACTGCGGGTCGAATTATGGGGATGCATCTTTCCTATCACCGAGTGGGTGGGTGCGTAGCAAAGGGGCTGTCGTTACTTCTGTGGTTACCTGTCACACTGTAGAAGGTCATCCTGAAACAACAGGCAGCCATCTCCAGGGTGTATTTGCTGATACACTCACTGTAGAATGAGAGCAAGAGATTGATGGGATGTCTAAATTCTGGAGAATAAGATCAGGTCCTGTAACGGCCTATGATACTTGATGTCAACAAAAGTAAAAGTATAAAAAGATGGAACCCGTGCCCTAACTACTCCTGCCCCGGAAGCACTATCGCTGAGATTCCCAATGCGGTAGTTCCACTCAACAATCAGGCAGCGTCGTGTCTTTCACCCACCCGGCCACCCAGGGAGGATTCCTAACTGGCCTCTCCGTTACTTTTGCTACACTCCCAGCCTTTCTGGCTCTCCTCCTGGGCTCCCATTGGGCTAGATTTCTGCTTTTCCTTCGGACCACTAGATCTCCATTGCTCTACCCCAATGCTGCTGCAAAGATTGCTCTATTCCCAACTATTCCCTCTCTTGTTCCAAACTGTCATTCCCTCAAGCACATACCATAACCAAACCTATCACGCGGTGGCGCTCACCAGATGCTCTTTTCCCTTTCTTAGCATTTGATTTCAAGGACCGAGCTACATAGGGTAATGATTTTTTACTTCACCTATCTTGAATCAACGCATGGAATTCCCATTCCCTCAGCTGTAACTTCCCAATTGACCCCTTACAGCATAATCAAGCAGTATGAAGTGCCCAGGACTAGTAAACAAGGTCTATAAAGACATGAGATAAGATCAGCGCGTCTCCAATATGAATTCCGGGATGCGGGGAGATCACGTGGGTAGCGTCGGTTAGCATCGGCATGCGGGCAGAACAGTCGCTGCTTGCGAACCAAATAAAGTAGACACAATGCTCCTTTCCTCTGGGAATTCCTCAGACCCATTTCTTTCAATCTCCCCTCCATCTTAGCCTTTTGATCATGAGTTTCAGGCGCAGCGGGGGACTCACTGCCCGCAACTTCAGACCTTGTCTACCCCAGAATCTTCTCCGCATCCGCTCCACTTTACCACCGCTCTTGTCCCGGAAGTTCCATGCCAGCTCTTTGCTATGGGGAATTAAGTCACAAGTTTTAAAGGATGTCGGCGAGGGTAAGCCTATACTCAGTCTCTAATTTGGTTCTCAATTTGTTTGCTTACGCTTCTTAGGCATCACCGAGGTGCAGATCATTCAATGGTACGTGGAAGAAGGGGCGTATGTTGAGGAATGGAAGCCTTTGTGCCAATATCAGTCAGATAAAGCCGTCGATGATGTGAGCATCACTTTTTTCGATCCATTCTCTGGGTTAATGGCTAATTTGTTCAGATTACCTCGAGATACGAGGGTGTTATCAAGAAACTGCACTTCGAGACAGATGATACAGTGCCTACAGGACGGGTGCGTACTCTAGATTTTGCTCTTGTGACGGACGGTCAGATTGTAACTGCAGTACTAATGCCCCTTGATAGGCACTCTGCGATATTGAAGTCGAGGATGGAAAATACCACGACGATAACCCACCACACGAACCCAAAGCAGAGTCCCCTGGACCTACCCCAGCCTCTGAGGTAGCAGCTGGGATTCAAGCAGCCGAGTCCTCCCCATTATCACCCCCTCCTCCCAATGTTGCCGACATTCCTCAAGAGAAGCCCAAGTCAAAGCATGCATCCCTTGCCGTTCCCGCAGTCCGCGGGCTGTTGAAGAGTCACGGCGTGGACATCTTAGATGTCAATGGGACCGGAAAAGACGGGCGGGTTATGAAAGAAGATGTGATGAGGTTCGTAGCAAAGAGAGATTCTCCCACCGCGCCACCATCTGTGCCCACCCGAGCCTCCGCGGTACCAGACACACGGCAAGCAGAGTCAACTGTCAACTTGACCCCGATCCAATCCCAAATGTTCAAGACAATGACCAAATCCCTGAGCATCCCACACTTCCTCTATGCAGATGAACTCAAAGTCAACGACATCACAGCCATCCGCAAAAGGCTCGCCAGCGCCAAGCGCGATCCTACCAAAATCACCTTCCTCCCCTTCGTCGTCAAGGCCGTCTCACAGGCACTGACCGAATTCCCAATTCTCAACTCCAAGGTCGATACCAGCGACCCCAACAAGCCCAAGCTAGTCATGCGCGCAAAGCACAATATTGGAATCGCAATGGACACACCGACTGGTCTGATCGTTCCTAATATCAAGGACGTCGCCAGCCGCTCCATCTTCGACATTGCCGCTGAGATCGCGCGACTCAGCGCCCTCGGTCAGAGTGGCAAGCTGACCCCTGCAGATCTCAGTGGTGGCACCATCACGGTCTCGAATATTGGCAACATCGGAGGTACGTATGTATCACCGGTGATTGTCCCGACGGAAGTGGCTATCCTCGGCGTGGGCAGGTCCAGAGCCGTGCCGGTCTTTGATGAGGCCGGGCAGGTTACACGCGGGGATATGGTCAACTTCAGTTGGAGCGCAGACCACCGTGTCATTGATGGTGCGACGATGGCGAGAATGGGTAACCGGGTACGGGAGCTGATTGAGTCGCCTGAGCTCATGCTGTTAAATCTCAGATAAATGAATTAAGAATTGATCCTCGAGAAATAACTTAGCTATATCTAAATACAAATCTTGTTTGGATATGTATTCTTCAACTGGTCCGCTTCGGCAATACGTTAAGGTTATAGATATATATCGAGAATTATAGTGAAGTAGCAATAATATGGAAGTTGCAATTAACGAAGCAGGTATTAAGACAGTTCTGTTCTATCTACCCTCATCCATGGGAAAAGAGTCCGGGTCCGTATTCATGCAACTTCCAACGCCTTTGGCTACGACCAAAGTACGTTGCACATGGAACTAAGTGGCACACTCTTGTTTGTTAATAGAAAGCGTACTTTTGACGTCGATAATGCAGGCTGAGTTGAAATACCACGTCGAGGGTGAAGGACGGATTACGCCGTACGAGTGATGCTTCATGCAGCATTTCGTATGTGGTGTGTGTAGAAGTAAACACTGCATACGGAGTATACGGCAGCTAACTTGCATAAAGTTGACAGCTTCGATTAATCACTAACTGCTCATCGGGTGATCCCTGACCATATGGGCCCCAGCTGGTCTGAGCTTAGCCTTGAAAGCCAGGCGTCGTACCATGAGGTTCCAATGTGATAGGTGTCAATAATGTGAGTCCTTATCCATGATCGCAGATCAGGCCCATTCTTATCAAGAACAGAAATGATATAGACAAGTCAATTGGTATAAAAAATCCACCTCGCAAGGAAGATATCGAGCACAGGATATATCAAAACAACAAAATCTCGATATGCGAGCTTTATGACAACGCCAGATTTAAACATCCCAAACCCAGTGCCATATCCGGTTCGGGAAACACCAAACACCAGAGGACCCAGAAATCCAAACCAGCAAAAGAAAACAAGATGCTAATAAAAGTCCTCCATGCACAGATCATGCTCCATTTCGCATGAGCCCATGCGCCATGTATCCTCCAAAAATCCCACAAAGTATATGTATCCTCCATAGAAAGATGGAGAGCAAGTCACACATACTCTGCAATCTTCTCGGTGACAGAGTCAATGACATTGCGCTGCACCTCGCCCATCGAACCCCCGGCATCGATAGTAATAACATCCCACTCATTCTCGGGCTCCTCGAGCGCCGCAAGCTGCGATTGCACCATGGAGCTCTTCATGTAGTGAGACTGGCGCTGCGAGACGCGCTGCATAAGCACATCCTCAGTGAGCTTGAGGTAGACGAAGTGGATCTGCACCAAGGGCGAGCCATAGGCAGCCACGCGCATGACGTCCCGGTACTTGTGCTTCAGCGCGGAACAGGCCACTACCACGCCAGCAGGTGGGTGGAAGCCGTTACTGTCTGTGGGGGAGAGGATGTCGATAGCGGCTTGGCGTAGTGAGATCAGCCAGTCCCAGCGGTCTTCGTCTGTGAGGGGAGTGCCTTTGCTCATTTTGTCTTTATTTGCACGTGGATGGTACTATTTTGCGGTTAGAGAGGTGTATATTGTGGCATGCTTGGGGAGGTTGAGAGGCTGGGCGCAGCTGGATGATTGGGAGGGCGTTGGGGCTGTTGCCGGGTAACTTGGGATACTTACATCGTCGCCTTCTATGAATGGGATACCCAGCTCGGTGCGCAGGACATTGCCCACGGTGCTCTTTCCACATCCTGCTGGACCGGTCACGACCCAGATGTGTTGTAGATGCGATTTGGAGGACGTCCCGTTAGCTCCGTTAGCTCCGTTGGCGAGATTGGTGAGATTGGGCATGGTGCGTGCCTTGCTGACAGGCCCGGTAGAATCTACTGTGGGAGCGTGGGCAGGCTGAGGTCGTTCCCCTGCGGAAAGCATGTTGCAAAGAAGGGGGATTGTCTAGGAAGTTGTCTTTGAAAAGTGATCCTTTTGGATCCAGTGTAATAACCGGTTGGGCCGGGTGTGGGAGGTATGACGCTGCAGTGATACACGGAATGGATGCGTTCTATACAGGTCTTGTTCCCAAAGATCAGGAGAGTTCCAAGAAAATGAAAAAAGGAGTCGCGCGACAGAGGGCTACTTTTTAAGTATGACGGTGGGGAAAAAAGACTCGAGCAGAAGCCGAGTGGGGGAGATACCAGTCCCCCGTACGGTTATTGGTTTGTTGTTTGGGGCTAATGAGTCCTGAGTCTATAAGGAATGCGAGTCGAAGCTGTCGAAGTCTGGGTTCAGGGATCTGGAGGTGTAACCCGTATCTTTTAGAGACTTTGGGACAACTTTCTAGCGACTATGGAATACATCTCTACAGCTGTATCGCTGTGCTCGTTAGAATAAACTGAGGCAAATGGGCCTTCTTCATACATCGCCATGATGTCACTGTATTGGGTATTACAGTGACCCCCACGCTAGAAAGACACCGCCAATTTGCGTAGGCCATTTCCCTGTGTCTCCCACTCCGACCAAGCCGTTGGATTTAGAATTGATCCATTCTGTACTTACCTAGGTATCCACGCGCTATTTTCTCTCTCTCTCTGTCCTGTGCCGAACAAAGCCCCGAGAACTCCGTAAGTCGACACCGAGAGACGGGCCCCCACACTTGGAAAGGTTCGTAGATCCACCCGATTCTGGAAACATTGCACACGAATATGCTTCATTCCGTGAAACACAGAGACAAATGTCCCCGGAAAAATACGGTGGCATCCGATAGGATATATCGGACACGAAAAGCAGAGGGGAGATGCATGGTGATTGCCTCGTACAGTCACACCGACTCGGTTCAGGTGTGCTCCGTACCTGGCCTAAGCATCATTTGACATTGCCTGTTAGAATCCGGGGAACGAGCGAATTGTCGTGCGGGGTAAACGAGTCAGATCCTTGCCTGAATTCGAGCTGCTTTTCCTATGGCTCCAACAAAGCACTGTGCCGGGAAGCGAATTCCGACTGATCCGATCTCGTGTTTATCCGCCCTGGTGCAGCCTCTATCTGCTCCGTAGGGTGTGCTGGTCTCTCACCCGTATGGCTGATTGATATCTAGCCGGTTCAAAGGCAATGAAGATGAGCTTCAGGTCCAATCGGTGAGAATAGCCCTGCCAGGGCCTCTTTCAGTCGATCTGACATGTTGGAAGTGTAGGCAGGACGGGTAGTTGTAGATCGATGGTGCTATGTACGCCTAATGTTAATTCTAACTGAGACTATGAATGTATAATGAGAAACAGGGATTGGAATGAAAAGAGAATCAGTAATAGGTGGATACATATATTCCCGTCAAGCAAGGACCAGATCCAATCCCAAGGTGCATGTAGATATCAGCTCACCTGGCGTGTCCGGGGCGCCTTGGAAGGCGGGGAGGCGGTCTTACGTAAGCCTCCTCCAGGCCACCGCGACAGCTCCAGATCATCCAAGCTCCCGACTTATTGGCTCGCAATAGCTGCAGGTCCAATTACCTTCCCGCACTATGGCTTCGCTTTTCTTTTCTGCCCCGATCGACATCGATGTGGTTCTCGAGGATCACGATGAGCGCCAGACGGTCGACGTCAAGCTCGACAAGGGCCGCCGCGAGCGGGTCCCTGTGTACATGGACGGCGAGTCTGTCAAGGGTGCTGTGACCATCCGATTGAAGGATGGCAAGCGACTGGAACATATGGGAATCAAGGTGCAATTTATTGGCACAATTGGTGCGTTGAAATCACCTCTCTCAGCCGAGTTCGTTATCGCAACGTTGGGCCGCTGACACACCATGCTTTGGGAATACAGAGATGTTTTACGACCGAGGCAACCACTACGAATTTCTTTCCTTAGTCCAAGAACTCGCCGCACCGGGCGAGCTGCTGCACCCGCAGACCTTCCCCTTTAACTTCAAAAATGTCGAAAAACAATACGAGTCCTACAATGGTATCAACGTGAAACTGCGCTACTTTGTCCGAGTGGTCGTCTCGCGACGTCTGCCGGACGTCATCCGTGAAAAGGACTTGTGGGTGTACTCGTACCGCATGCCGCCAGAGAATAACAGTCCCATCAAGATGGACGTCGGTATCGAGGACTGCCTGCATATCGAATTCGAATACTCCAAATCCAAGTATCACCTCAAAGATGTGATTGTGGGCCGCATCTATTTCTTACTTGTGCGACTGAAGATCAAGCATATGGAATTGTCTATCATTCGGCGTGAGACAACTGGATCTCCGCCAAATCAATATAACGAGAGTGAGACTCTAGTGCGCTTTGAGGTACGTGGTTCCTTGGATACACTGGGTTTGATCGTGCGATGGGGTGCATAGATTTTAAACAACTGCTGACTTTGTTGCAGATTATGGATGGTTCGCCATCAAGAGGTTAGTGGACATATTTCAGCCTTTGGACCTTGACACCCAGCTCGTGGCTTCTATGATTCTCACGAGGCTTGGCGGGGCCAGAAGGCGCCTCGAGCATAACTGACTTTTCATAGGCGAGACTATTCCAATTCGTTTGTTCTTGGGTGGATTTGACTTAACCCCAACATTCCGCGATGTCAACAAGAAGTACTCCACGAGGTACTACCTCAGTCTTGTATTGATTGACGAAGGTACGTTCTTGACTATCCTATTCGTTTCTCCTCGGCCATGTCCAAAGCAGTCTGTGATGCCAGAAGGTGGGGTGCAGAGGCATCGGGCGGAATGGACACAATAACCCTCGGCAATTGAAATTGCCCAGAGACCAATTCAATCGGCCCGGGTTGCATTGATTTGCTGCCGATTTGCATCCGACCGTGTCCCGTGCCCCCAAACATGGCACCCCCACGCTAAACCCCTTCTGGCACCGGCAACTCCACCCATACACTGTTACCATACGCTTGACCATGCTTCATACATCGTCCTGCAATGCCAATTTCAACCTGAAACTAATCCAATCACAGATGCCCGTCGCTACTTCAAGCAATCGGAGATTGCACTCTACCGCCAAGCTCCCGAGATCGCCCCGAACGCCCAGATCGCCCAACAGCAGCAGATTCAGCAGCAGATGCTCCTCGAGCAACAGCGCCAACAGCCTGCTCTCCCACCAGGCTCTGCTACCGCCGGACCCGGTAGAGAAACCCCTGCGCCGCTCCGACAGGAGCCTCAACCTGTTCCCGCGCCTGCAGCATAGACCGTCATGTTCATTATAGCTTGTGTCTTTCTTACAATTGTTGCCTGCGGATCTGTTCTTCGATACCCGCCTTTTGTCTCTGATGTTGATTTCCCTGTCTACTCTTACACCTTCACTACTCATTCTCTTGTGCCTATTGGTTCTCTTTCATGGTCATGTCACGATAGCACTGTAGTTTACCTTGTCTAAATTCGTGTCAAGTCTCAATTCAAATCAACCCTTCTCATTTTGGTGCGTGTTTCGAGAACAACGATCTGCTGTGCTGGTCAGAATAGCATCCATATAGTAAGGGAGGCAACGCAAGAGAGGAGGCATAGGAGAGAAAGTCAACAAAAAGACGAATAGCATCAAGGTGGATGAACAGGGGCAGAACAAACAAACCAAGATCAGAGAATCAAAAATCGAATAGCATCAGGGTACACGAAATAAGCAGGGAACGAAGGTAGATGAACAGCCAAAAAAGGTATCAAGGATGAATAGCATCAAATAGCAAAAAAGATCCCCATTAACCAGGCCGCGACTGGACCTCAGGTAGCACCCGGACTCTTGACTTCATGGGGAGGCCCTAGTTAGCCTAGGTGGTCTTCGTCCTGACGTTCTTCAGTGTTTCCACCTACTAACCACTCGTAGAGGACCTAGATCCAGGGATTCCCGTCATGAGTGTGTCAAGCCGTAGTGTTTCTCCGGCACTCCCCGAAGGGTCGTCCGGTAGTAGCGACGTGTTTGATCACTGCGCTACTAGGGGGGCGGCTGGCCGAAGGGATTGATCTTGGTTCGTTGATATATGACCAAAGGCTCTGCGGAAGAGTCATTTGAAGCATTGCGGCCTCGATTGGGCGGTCTTCCGGGGGCTGTGTGAGATTGAAATTGGAAAGGTAGAATCTACAGTCGATCAGCTATCTAGTTACTGAGTTTTGAGGGATTTGAGAATTTAGTGATCGTGGGTGGTGGGCATTTTCGTCGGGAGGGTACATTCATCTGAAGGCGAGAATGAAGCCATCCAAACTTCCATTTTGGGAAAGAAGGACAACAGAATGGAAGCCCGATGAAGACTTGATCTTGGAGGGCGTGGGATCAAAACATACCCTCGTCGAACAGTTGAATTATTGGTATTGTCTCAATTCTGGCTTTTTCTCTCTCGAAGGAATGGATGTATGGGTCTTTATAATGTAAAATTTGAAAATAAATCGATACGCTTGATTATTATAGTACATTGTACGTTTTACACACGCAGCTATGTCTTGCCCAGATACTCCACGCATAGTCACGCTCTATCTAATATCCAAATTGACCAATTTCCTCCAACACCTTCCCCAGTGCCTGGAGGATCTGCCCATCATCACGCTCTTTACCGGCGACCTGCACAGCGCGCACAGCCAACGGATAAATCCACTCAAGGTGTCTACGATAGTGAAGCGGAACCATGTCCCCAGACTTAACGATCGAAGTGGTCTTCAGCGCAGGCGGATCCGGGATCGCTGATGGCTCGCTCTTCAGCTCAACCAGGCGGAGGAGAAGATGCAGCAGAGCCTTGCGGGCCGGTGTGGGCTGGGGCATCAAGCCGCGCAGCGGCTGGTCTGCGATATAGGACTTGAGTGAGACCGCGCAGCGGAGAATAAGGTAAGGCGAGATCGAGCGGGCGAGCAGGGTCTGCGGGGATGGGCTGTCGGCTTGGGGCTCGGCCTCGACTTGCGAGTGCGTGGCGAGTTCGAAGAGGGTGTCTATGAGAGCATATGCAATTCCTGGGCGCTGGGTAGGTGGTGGATCGAAGGTACGACCGGGGCGCACGGTGTACAAGTCTTGCAGGGGCGCGTCTTCGAGGCCTGTGGTGGGGAGGTCGAAGCGGAGGGGGGCGTAGATGAAGGAAGAGTGGAAGAGAGCGCGCGCGAAGTCACGACGTATGGCGTCTGGAATTGCTGCGGCCCCAAGGGATGGGAGGATAAGCGTCTTTAAACGGGTGAAGGCTTTGATGTCGAAGGCTTCGTCTGCTGCGATTCGGGCGGTTGGGAGTTGTTGAGCTTGAAATCCGTGCGCGGAAACAATCCCATTGGTGATGTCGACCACACATTGCCAGAATTGCGATATTTGGGGCTCGTTTGTCTTCGTATATTGCTTTTCCACATATGGGACTGCAACTTGGAGAACGTTCATGGAGGCCGTTGTGGCATTTTGCCACAAGAAAGGTTCACGGTCCTTCCCTTGCCATGTGTACTTTTGCGCGATGAGAGCACTGAGATGTTTGAGAGAATTTGCAAGGGCACTATTCGTAAACACATCTTGCTTGATGCCGAATTCGGCAACATACCAGCTGATAAGGTCGATGGTGGTTTTGGAGAAGGCCACGAAGGTTGGTCTTCGTGTGTCGCTGCCGGGGCTCCATTTTGTTAATGCTGAATCAGATAGTTCAGCAAGGCACAGAAGAATATCTGGCTGCGATTCCTCTTTCTCCATACAAAGCTCTTTGATACAACCAATGGCTAGCGCTTGCAGCGCTGAGGGTCGTTCAAGATCTGGAGAGTAGCGCGGAGAAACCGAGTTCCACACAAGCAAGCTGAAGTGGCGAAGAACCTTCTCAATGTGTTTCGTGGTCAATTGGTCTTTGTAAAGGCGATAAACCTGTTGGAATGTATTAAGATAGGCTAAAGCCGCATCCTGATTAGGTTGATCGAGATCAAGCATCTTTTCATCACCAGCAGGATGTCCGTTTGCCCAAAGAAGCCAGGTACATTCAAGGGCATCGTTGCTGAGTTCACTGGCATTCTGGACTCTGAGGAGAGTTGCTGAGATGCTAGAGAATGTTGCTTCGCTGAACTCCAAAATATGCAAGTCAATCAAGCTTTGCAAGTATTTCAAAAGTCGTTTCCACGATTGATCAAACTTTTCGTCACGCACAAGGGTTTCAAAGAAGTTTGTGATCAGATTCGATAATCCGTTAATCATTACCACTGTCGTATCGACCCACGCTTTGAAGTCATCCGATTTTGCATCCCGTCCATTGTGCTTGGCTTGAAGAGTAGTTTCAATTCCCTCGGTCATCTTGAAGAGCACCATATTCAGGCACAGACGCCACGCTTCCGGTGAGAGCTGTTGCCCGTAGGCATCAAAGATACGTAGAAGAGTATGGACTGCACTATTCCGAATCTCAGATCGGCTGTCTGTCGTGATGTCAACAATACGGAGCAACAGCAGCAACCACAATGAGTTCCGAGAAACAGACGGGTCTTCGTCACGAGCCAATATAGTTAACTCTTCTTCACTAATGGATGCATCAACATGGCCAACTGATATTTGCTCGATTTGTCCCTGGAGGAAGTCGGAAACATTCCAGAAAAACGAAGTGGTAGTGAGAGAAATATTGAAGTCTTGGGTTTGCAGTGCAAAGCTGGAAAAGGAATTCACCAAGCTCAAGAGACAGGGCGCCGGCAGCAGGGAAAGGAAGTCGGAAGCAACAAGATTGAGAGACTTATAAGCAGCACGTACTAAGCGGGGTCCTGCCGGGAGAGCCGATGCCCTACGCTGTATCAAAGTGGAAGGTCGATCACCAGTCTCTGGCTCTGGTGTAGGTTGGAAAACACCGGATATCAAATCAAAGACGAGATGCCAACCGTCCACAAAAGTCTCCGCATATTGTTCAAGTATGTTCTTCAGTACTTCCAAGCTCTGCTCGTGAATTTCAATCACTGTTGTTGGTAAAGACTTGGAAGTATGCATGTCTGATGCATAGAGCGAGGCCACCTGGGCTTTCAATGTCTGGAGATTTCTGATCTGCACTTGATTGTAAACTTTCTCATCGTCTTCGTCCCTTTGTTTCATCGTTGAAAACACCAGTGAGTTCAAGATCGTGCTTGCCTGCAGGCGAAGATTCGGACTGGCGGTAGTATTTGCGGAAGCCGAAATGAGACTTTGAGTCAACAATTCCCATGCTTCGCTGTCACCATCTTCAAGGGAGGATATTCTTCCTAGGTTTGCCTTGGCGAGTTCATTGGTTTTTTCCAGTACGAATTTGAGCTCTTCGTCTTGCAATCTTGATTTTCCGACGGTATGCGAGACACGCCGGGCACCCTGATGCAAACGTCCAGGTCCTCGGGAAGATTGAGGCGATTGAGGCAGTTCTGATACTTCCTGTTGATCTCCCTGGTGGCGACGCTGCTCTGTAAAGGTAGATAGGTTCAACAAGGCAAGTAATATTTCCTGGAATGATGCACTTGGGAAATCGCTGGTGCTTTCAATCATTTTACTAGAAGCCGCCTGGACCGCAATGACCTCGGTTCCGAGATTAGCAGTCGGCACATCATTTCCTGAAGTGACTGAAGTTTCCCCAGCCCCACTGGCGGATTTGACCATCGCACTTGATGACATGCCAATCACCAGTCCGGTATACTGAAGTGTCTCGAAAAGAATGGACCAGGCCGGCTGATCCAATGTCGGTCCCAAAGCAATTCCAAGATTGAGCAAAGCCCGCATACAAAGCAGGTTTCTTGTGCTTATAGACACCGGAGCCCCTTCCCCTGTGGGTGTTCCTGCAGAATCCATTGTTGCAGAGCTGATATGTGACAAATCCGCACTTTTGCGTTTCTTGTGGAGCAAGTCACTCTGCTGGGATCCAGTAGCAGGTGCATTCTGTGATTTGGAAGGACCCGAACTCGCAGGCGTAGCAGCCTTTCCAAGAGTTGTTAAAAAGGCATCTCGGGGGACAGACAACCTCAGAAGACCCGCCACATGAGCCAATTTTTGAAACGCTCGGACGAGATTGTGATAGTACTCATCATCCAAGGAAGCGCGCAGAAAAGTCGAACAAGCCGCAAGGACAGCAGGCCAACAGTTCTCGATTATGCCTGCACAGGTTTTAATGGCGGAATACTGGATATGAGACTGTAGCTCCAGAGGGTTGATGGGAACATGTGACTTCTTTGATGGCAAGCTTGGCTGCCTTCGGATGGGTTCTGCTGTAAAATCTTGAGACGACCTGGCGGAATCAGGACCTTGCGTGGGACTCAAAAGTCGGTTCTTGCGTCGTTGCTTTAAGTCCGGCACAGTCAACGGAAGGATGAATTTCGCGAGCCCTTCAGCAAAACTGCTGATACAGTTCAGAACAAGGCTGTAAATGTAAGTTTCAGGCGGTGCAGGTGGATCTGTCTTATCAAGAAGCTCAATATATGGCGTGCGAACAACACTCCACTGTGTGCTGATTCCTGGCACATTGGCTTCACTTGGAGGAACAGTTGATCCAATAACACCAGCAACGCCACCAGTCTCAAGCGTTATCTGATCCTCCGTGGTAGATCTTGAGTGATCAGCGCGTGAAGGTACTGTGGATTGGTTGCTGACACCAATCAACGCAGGCTTCTCTGAAGCCAGCCGAACAAGCGTTGCCATGTGGTCCCGGAGGATGTTCTTTCTTCCTTCCTCATCGTCATAAAGCGTGTAGATTAACCGTACAGCACCCGGCTCGGAGTACAGTCCTCTAAAAACTTCCATGCAAATGAGTCGCTTCCAAGGCGCTGTTGCGTCCGGTTCGACGAGATGGGTTATCAGACTTAATGCCATCTCGCATTCCGTAGTCACAAGAGACATATAGCGCTTCAGAACTATGAGGAGTATTCGAGCAACGCGGACAGTCTGGGCGAATGAAAACCTCTCAGAAAGACAACGGACAGTTAGTGGTAATAGCCGAACGCGCAGCACATGTGAAAGTTCGGGGTGTCCCACAAAAAGCCGGCCACTGTTCAGGAGAATACTCTCGATAAGCTCGAGCACAAAAGTCGGAGGCAAACTCCGTGTTCGCAAGAATTGCAGTGGCTCTCCATCAATCAGGCGACATAAATCATCCAGTACCTGTAGTGCATCGTAGGCAAAATATCCTATGTCGAGTGACTGGCCATCGATTTTGATAGTTGTAGTAGCTTTAGCATCATTAGAAAGTTTGTCCTCGCTTGAAACCCGCTCAAATGTCGATACCACCAGTTGCTGAAGGGTAGCTGCAGCAGTACTGGAGACAGCAATCGTTTTGCTTGCCTGTAATGTGATACATATTTCCAATGCGTTAGCAAGAAGCTCCCCGCTCAGATCATTAGAATAGAACTGTAAAAGTGAGGGCAGAGACTGTAAGATTTTCAGCTGAATATCGAGGCCTGAAGAACATTAGCACAGCTCAAAGCTACTGGTTTATGTTTTGTTACTTACTCAAGCTCGTTGTCTCCTTTAAGCCCCCAAGGACATCTTTCAGGCGACTTGAGGGTAACGAACGAGACGCAATTAGCCGCTGTAAGCAGATAACACCAATACCAGCGAGCTTCGCATGCCGAGTATGGCATGCAATAATGAATGGCTCAACGAAATTCGGTTTGCGGACAAGGTCTAGTGGCCATTTAGTGATCAATAACTGATAGTCACCCGTCATTTGGAGACATACCTGCTGCTATTTGAGCTTCTGAGGTGGAGGGTAGTGCTTTAAGCTCATTCAGTGATTGTTCGGCGGCCTGTCATCTGCTCGTCAGTATACCGGGACCGGTGGATTGTCTGGAGGGCGGTGACCAACATTTCGCAAATCTGAGTTTTTCCTTCGAGATTCATGGATCAAATTGGCGATCTCCGTCTGTAAAAATTGGGAGGACATTTCTGGTACAGTATTGTTGTATCAGACCATGGCCAGCACTAGCTAATGCCCGGTGTCCCGATGTCAACAATACACTGAGCTCTTGGTAGCGGATGATCAGATCGGTGATTCTACACCAGGCCGACTGCGAAGAAGTTTGAGTTCCCACGCCAGGTTTATACAAGCAGAAAGAGGACAATGGCTGCGTCAGCTATTACGATAATTCTATGATGGAATTCATAAGGCGTGGCATCAACACTGGGGTGCCAAGCCTTCGATAAGCCGTATCGCACGTGATCTTGCTCCAAGTTGACCGCCTAGCGCATTGCCCCTCTTGTAGCAACATCCCCTCTGTTCCCTCGTCGTGACGTCTCCAGCATCTAAACCCACTATTCTGTGCTCAATATGGCTGCCAAGATTCCAAGGAACTTTCGACTCCTCGAGGAGCTCGAGAAGGGCGAGAAGGGTCTGAGTGCAGGTACGATTGACTTCTCCGATCTCCGACTATATCCGCTCTTAGATCACTGACGTACCTTTCTGGTTTTTAGATGCTTGCTCATATGGCCTTGCTGATGGTGAGGATATGATGATGAGCAACTGGAATGGAACCATTCTAGGCCCGCCTCACGTTAGTCTTTGACCCTTCTCCATTCTATCGTGAATCTCTTGCTAATCTAGCATTATTTAGAGCGTCCATGAGAACCGGATATACAGTGTGAACATTCACTGCGGACCTGACTACCCCGACAACCCGCCTACTATCCAATTCGTGTCCCGAGTCAATATCCCCTGTGTTGACCCCAGCTCCGGCAAGGTACAATAAGTCTGAATACCATGCCATACGAGCCATTGCTGAGTTGATTGTACTATAGGTCGACCCAACAAAGCTTCCAACCCTTGCGCAGTGGAAACGAGACTATACCATGGAGACAGTCCTGATCGAGCTGAGAAGGTAAGCATAAATCGTACCCGCAATTTCTAGGATGAATGAACAATATTGACTTCATCTAGGTACATGGCCTTGCCCCAGCATAAGAAGCTGCCTCAGCCTCCAGAGGGCTCGACTTTCTAGTCCGGCATTTGTGACCCACTCAGTGCGGTCGGATCTCGGAGTATCATGGTCGGCCTTGTTTGAGTTTCCTGGTTTCTTCTCTTTTTCTACGATCCTAGAGCGTGTACAGTTTTCGCATGAAAGCATTGGCAGGGGTTGCTTTAAGCTCTGCACTTCAATTCCTATCTTACAGTAGGTATTGATATCTAGAGTGTTTCTGTTCTGTGAACCCGGGCATTGTGGCAGGCGCCTGTTTACGAATTACCAATAACGATAGCAAATGATATCTTTTTGTCGACTAGCGGAATAGAATGATTTACACAGTCCAGTCCTGCCCTACTATCATCGCAGGTGTCTGATTCCTGCATTTTGGCTGTACATCCGTGGATATACCTAAGAAAATTGCGAAGTATCTATTACGGAGTACGGAGTACAAGGAGTTAGAATACATACCTAATGATCAAGGCAGGTTCTGCTGCGCCGATCCTAGTATTTTTGTGGGCAGATGAAATTGTTGTGTTGATCCCAGGATACACGAGGGTCCTGGAGATCAGCCATGGATGGGGACCAGAAAGCAAAAATCAAAGCAACAGGCGAGGAGGGGTTTGGGACCTCGGGAGAGTCAAGCCTACGCAGGATCAATGCATCAGAAGAGAGACGAGCAGGTTGTGGACGACAAGGATAGGCGCGTGTCGACACAGACTACGAAGATCAACGATGGTAGGATGTACGTCAATGGGTGTAAGCAACATGTGTACTACTCCGTGGGTAGGTAGGTAGGTGGGAAGTGGAACAACTTCTTCTCCAAGTGCCCGGACAAGCCGTTCAAGTGATGAAAAAGGGGTCGCGTCGATCGGGGGCAGTGTAAGCCCGATGACACTGTGCAACAAGGCATGTGCAAGCACAGGGGCCAAGTCGCGAGGTCCAAAAATAGGAATAATCAAAGTGTTTCCAAGACGGAAACTTTCAGAGATTAAACTGAAAAGAACAGATACTACACTTGATCTAAGCCAATAGGCAAAGAGAGCTAAAGAAGAAAGAAAAGAGAGGAAGATCTGGGGGCGCGGACGCGTATATATATCCTTTTGGCATCACGTGATTTAGCGTTGTGCAGAAAATTGGGGCGAGGACAGGTCCTGCAGGTACCACTATGCGCTAATCCATTTACAGTAGGCGGTATGGTGGCGGTGTGTGATGTCAGAAACGTACGAGGCCTCAGGCGGCGCTAGAAATCGAGGTAGATATCGGTTGTCTAGCTTTCTACGGCGAAATGCATAAAGTACTAGTGCCGAGGATTTCTGGTGCTCATCGATTTGCCTGTAAGAGATGGTTTATTATGTTTCATGCCCTTGCAACTGACACTCATCTCTGTGTCGTGTAGGTTTGGCGCTTTATCGTGCACTTTTGCGACAATGCCGTCCTTTAAATGCAGATGCTCCATGGATTGATGAATCCAGACCGCTTGTCCGACAAAATTTCCAAAAATTCAAGAATTTACAAAGCCCTTCCCAAACTGCAAATGCCTTAAAGGCAGGGTACGAGGTACGCAGCTTGAATCCTTGCCTACGATGAGTCCATGTGTTGATGTTTCATTGTCGCATGACAGGCTTTGGATCTCCTCTCTTCTGCCCATACCAATCAACGTGATGCCAACCGGATCATAACCCTCGTCGCTCGAGCTAGGTCACAGAGAGAGAAATACGCTGCAATGCAAAAGAGGGTTCGGCCAGCAACGCCCCCTCCCAAACCTCTTACACCTCGGCAGGTTCGAAAGGAACAGTCAATTCGTTTTCAGGAAGAAACTTCTCGGCGACACCCAGACGCTACCTCGGTTCTAGACCGACCCCGGCCGCTAGGTGACAAGAAACGGAATGTCCCAGTCCTCGTCAATGCACGCGGTCTACCGTTCTTGCGCTACAAAAAGCCGCAGCCAAGAAACGTTAGCAGTGTCATACGAACAAAGCTTGGGCGTCGTTGGAACTGGATTGAACGACGGGAGGATCTGAAACTCCAATTACTTTTCGCCAAAGACGAAGAGGATTGGGATCGCCTCACTAAGACAAGGGAGCCGTCTACTTGGTGTGAACACCTTGAAAGGGGCCTCTCCGATGTCAATACAAAAATAGCACACTTTGACATGCATGCTAAAACACTTGCAGAGAACATGTGGAAAATTGTCCTGGCTGAAAAAGCTCTGGCAGAAGAAGAAGCAACTCAAAAGCAGCCAAAGCAGTGAACCCGAGGGCTCTGACTGGCCTCGTGTCTCTTCGTGAACTCAAACTACATTTCCCTAACCTTGCAGGTACAAGGATGTTAGGACTAGGCCACGTTGTTATTTTGGTGCTTGGCTGCATGTCTGGTCATCTAAAGGTCAACCAGGAGTTAAGGCCATAGCCATGCATCAGTCGGTTTGTTGGCAGCGTCCCAAAGGCTGGCATGTTGATCGAGACAATCCGACTCAATAAATACATACAAATCTGCCTAGATATGTTGGTATCTGGGGACGTACTTTCTTGGTTGTTTCCGACCAACGGCCACCCCGGGCTGCTCGCCTGTCAAAGCCATTGCGTGCAGCCCAACCCAAGTTGACGCTTCGTTTCCGAGAGAGAATAGTGTTTCATTCTCCCATTGAGGATTGAGTTCTCATGTAATATAACACAATTCTATGTGAACTACCCAGGTTGTATACTACTCTACTCATACCCATGACACATATTCAACGATTACCTGATTTGTTCAATAGCTGCAATTTAATGTGGATTTAATCATTTCATGAAGTGATGGTAGGTCATTAACATTTCTATGGATCATTTCATGCAGTCACCTTGAGCTTGTCGACAGCTGGCAAGGCATCCTCATCCTCTTCGTCATAGTCACCCTTGACCAAGCCCCTCTCCCACAATTGCCGGCCTGTAAGCTTTTTCTCCTCCTTGATAATCCTTTTTTTCTTGTCTTCCAAATCCTTTTCTTCGCGTAACCGAAGCTCTTTTTCCTCCATCTCCTTCTTGAACTTGGCACTCCACTCCAAGAATGACTCAACAGTCACTGGTGTGCCGTGAAACTTGCGATTCTCCTCCTCCTCTTTCTTTGCGGCGACTTTGTCCATCTCAGCTTGAATGGCGTTTGCTCTTTCGGTTATGAGAAGCTCTGCGCTCTCTTTAAGTGCGCTAACGAGAGTGAATACCATCGCCATGCCCATATTTTCTTCAATAGTGGGCAGGAGGGACTCCAGCAGTTGCTCCCGGTCCTCCTGAATATCCAGTCGAGGGTGCTTCACAGCATTGGGCGGAGAGGTAATGTTGAGATTCGGACCAACATCAGGGTATTCTTCTGGGTAGGCAACTTCAAGGCATATCACTGGCTGTTCTGTTTCATCGCCTTCATATTCGAGAGTGTCAAGAGTTATGGATACTCGATATGAGGTTTCGGATATGTCTAGAGTTGGGTCTCGCTGTAAGCAAGGGAGAAAAAAACAGGACTAAGCCCATAAAGCGGCCATTTCTATTGCTTACCGGTAATTTCGTCGGGGAAAATTGAATCGAGCACCTCGCGCTCCTCAATCTGGTCTTCGCGGCCCATAACTGTTGATCCGCCCGCGGATTGGAGGGGTAATGAATGGAGTACGGGAGAGTAGATGTTTCGAGGCACCCTTCCTTGGAGGACAACAGCTGTTCTAAAGAGGGAAATAGAATGACTGTCTGTACAAGACTTCGAGAGATCGTGATACTATGTCCACGCAGGAAGATCGGAGCGCAAAGCGTGGTGCCAATATTGCGGTCCCACATGCAAACCCGTCAAACAGCCACCAAATTTTTGGCTGCGGAGCTTCACTTTTTTTACTTCTTCCAGATACCCTGTGGGTTACAACTTGGCAATCACTCTGTTTGATATTCCGCTTAAGAATATAACGCTCTTTCTCAATATTCCCTATATCCTGCCATGGGAAAGCCCAGACCGCAAAAGAAAAAGTCATCCAAACCCCGCGCAAAGTCCGTCCTTGGCCCTGGTGGCTCAATTTCGAAAGGCAAAATGGCTCAAGATCCCTCTACCTTGCTTGACCAGGCTACCATCCTCCTACAAACTGGTCGAGCCGATGAGGCACTTGTGCTTGCGCAGCAGGCTCTAGAATTGACTCCTGAGAACACCACAGCACAACTCCCCGCCATTAACTTGCTTGGAGAAATCAACGTTGAACTAGGCGATATTGACACCGCCAGAAACTGCTTCCTTCAGGCTGTTCAACTCGATCAGGATGGTTCGATACCGGAATCCCAGGGCGGAGGTGCTGAGAAGTTCCTCTGGCTCGCACAATTGAGCGAGCAAGGTGGAAAGGACAGCGTCCTTTGGTTCGAGATGGGTGTCGCTTCCCTTAGACAGGCTATTCAGGCTCTAGAAGGGAAGAAGTCACCGGAAGAGATCGCCGATATTACACAGAAGAAGGCCAAGATGTCCAACGCACTCTGCGCTGTTGCCGAGACCTACATGACTGACCTTTCGTGAGTTCCTTTACCTTCTATATTGCATGCGAGGATAATGCTAACGTATTCGCTCAGCTGGGAAGAGGATGCCGAAGCTCGGTGCGAGGCACTCATTACAGAAGCTCTCCTTGTCACACCCGAAGCGCCAGAGGTACTACAGACCCTCGCCTCCATTCGGATATCGCAACTTCGCACTGAAGATGCCCAAGCCGCACTCACTCGGAGTATGAGCTTCTGGAAGGATTTGGCTCCAGAGGATCCCAAAATTCCCGATTTCGCACTACGTATCAGCCTTGCGCGACTCCTGATGGAAGTGGCTATGGAATTCGAGGCTCTGGAAGTCCTCGAGCGCTTGATTCTCGAGGATGATCAAAGTGTGGAGGCGTGGTATCTTGGAGGATGGTGTCTCTTCTTGTTGGCCGAAAAGCAACAGGCGCCAAAGGACGCGACCGCTGACGAGCTTGCGGAGTCCCCGCGACATGCATCACTAGAGGCTAGTCGTGAATGGCTCAAGCAAGCCCTGAAGCTCTACGATGTGCTTCAGTATGAGGACGAACGGCTCCGCGATCATGCCTTGGAGCTTGTACAGGAAATGAACCAAGAAATTGGAGAGGATGATGAGAGTGAAGCTGAGGGAGAAGGAGAAGGCGATGATTCGGATTTGGAGATCGAAGTTGACTCCGACGATGAGATGGCGGATTCATGATTCATAGACCCCCAAAAGTCACGACCACATGAGATGATGTATATGTTTTTTGTTTTGTTTGATTTGATACCATTAGAAGTAGTTTCTTTTTTTATCACTACTCTTTCTTTCATTGCCGACCTTTGACCATGAATCCCAACTTCTTTGATATCGCCACACCAGTTCATTCATCGGTTCCGGATTAAGTTGCCTCCGGCAAGGCATGCCCGAATTTTTGCCAGAGCAGATTTCAAGCGCAAGTGAAAGAGTTGTCTCCGTGGCTGGCATCTCAAACTCCTGCAAGATGGATTTGGAACCAGCCCCAAAAGGAGAGGATTCGCTCAAGGCCCCCGTGGTCGGAGTGGAGAGCGTGGATATAGAAGAACAGTACAACATGGAGGATAACGCGCCGGACCTCGCCCTGGATCCGATCTCGTCTGGTTTTGAGTCAGACAGTGACGATTCTGATGGATGGGATAATCTGTCTGACTGCGATGAGGCTATTCAGTTCCTGCGCGATGATGAGATCCGTGACGGCCTCGGTATGCAACTATATCCACCCTCTCTTCTTACCCCGGACATCCCCGCTCGCGGAAACCAGAACAAACAAAGGCTAACTCGCTCGCTTTTCTGTCGCAGTTCCCGGCGCCTGTACCATAGAGGAGGCGACTACATACAGACAGCGTCTACATGCGATTGGCAAGGCGGCATTCGTGGAAGAGACCATCCTTCGCAAAACCGTCACGGCCAAAAAGCTATGCACAGCGTTTGGGATCGCCCCCCCGGCATTCCTTGACGGTGCGCCCGATGCAGCCTATCATGCTCTTCTGGCGATCGCGATCTCGCGCGAGTTCTCTCGGAGGCCCAAGCTGCCCCAGTACAACTCCATCGATGACGCTGTTCGGCTCCTTCGCGAGTCGAAGAACATCATCGTTCTCACAGGTGCAGGTGTATGTGTCCCGCAGACTGTATTCAAAATATTCTAGGCCTACCAGTGCTAACGGTATCTTTTTAAAAAAGATCTCAACGAGTCTAGGCATCCCCGATTTCCGTTCTAAAGATACCGGGCTCTATTCAAAACTGGCGCATCTGGGCCTGAGTGATCCTCAGGAAGTCTTTGATATCCATGTCTTTAGGGAGGATCCGAGCATTTTCTTCTCCATTGCGAAGGATATTCTCCCGACGGAAAAGAAGTGGTCGCCGACCCATGGGTTCATTCGACTTCTTCAAGACAAGGGAAAGCTGTTGACTAACTACACGCAGAATATCGATAACATTGAAGCAAACGCAGGAGTACTTCCCGAGAAAATTTTACAGTGCCATGGATCCTTTGCGAGTGCTACCTGCGTAAAGTGTCAGTACAAAGTCAAGGGTGATGCGATCTTTGGTGAAATTAGGGAGGGGAAGATCCCCCACTGTACTGCCTGCAAGGAGAAGATTGCAGAAGATGAGCTAAAACCGCAAGGTCTCAAGCGCAAGCGAAGTTCGAGTGGTCAACAAAAAGACCGCAAGGTCTCTGATGAGAGTTCGGATGAAGACGACTATGAACTCCCGACTCCTGGAGTGATGAAGGTCAGTGGCTGTTCGATTCGATCCTTGCTTTTTCATTAATACTCACAAATAACGTAGCCTGATATCACGTTCTTTGGCGAGGATCTACCCGATGAGTTTGGCGAACGCCTAATTCACCAAGATCGTGACTTGGCAGACCTCGTCATTGTAATCGGAACATCGTTGAAGGTTGCCCCCGTGGCAGAAGTGCCTGGAATCTTACCACGCAACGTCCCCCAGATTTACATATCGCGCACTGTAAGTCATTCTACTACCTATGGTTGTTCTATACTAACGCGGGTATGTAGCCGGTATCACATATCGAGTTCGATATTGATCTCTTGGGAGACTGCGATGTGGTCGTATCGGAACTTTCTCGTCGGGCCGGTTGGGATCTGAAGCATCATATGATCCCAGACGATGAGAAAGTGGATATCACTACAGTGGAGGGATATGATTCACGACATGTTTTCAAGGTAGTCGGTGCATAGTGGCGGAGTTTGGGCATGTCTTGCTCCTGTCTCATAGGAGGGCGTAACTTCGGGTTTCTTTGTATAGCTGGATGCGGTTGTATCTAGGTAGTCTTGGTTTCTTCTGTTTTCTTCTTCTTTTCCCTGTGATTCTTTTGCGCCGGCATAAATCAGGCCTTCATTGACTCCGGTCTAAGACATTCATTCTGCATCGATATCATTGCTCAGATTCATTCGTCCCACGCAAATTAAGATCAATTTGGTTGAATTCTGAGATATAGAGCTCCTGGATTTTATGTTATTCGTCTGATCGTAGAGAATACAGATGTCTTGATTGTGTTGATATAAATGTCATGGCCAGACTCTGTTGCCTCTCCGTGGAGTATATTTCTGAAGGCCCGAGAAAAAAAAAATCTCAACCCGCAACACCCCGCCTTCACAGATTGCAGCAACGCATTGACTGAACCCCCACTATCAGAAAAGCAATATTGATAGAAAAAGTATCTCGTCTTGTCAGTCATGGAATATCTGGTTCGGTTCGCCCAGCACCATGAGACCTTCAGACGTCCGGAGCTCCAAGCCTGCGCCACTCTTGCCGGCGCCGACCTCGATATCATTACCTACAGTGAATATGTATGAAACTCCCTTTCTAGCAGTGTGGGGACTGCTCATGCCATTCCATTATGAATCTCGATTTATAGGAATCGGACAACCCCGTCTATGTTGCGATTGTAGTCGATTTGCAGAACTGACTTACAAAATAGTCGCCATACTGTGTCGTAAAACTACCAGATGAAGATGCGGCACGCGCAGTCGCTAAGCGCAGTATTCTGGTTAAGGATATCTTCGAGCTTTGGGGCGAGGGTGCCAACTACGAAGAACTACATGCAGACATTCGCCAACGAACGGAGCATCGCTGGAATGACTACAATAACGTCCCATTCAAGTTCACAGTTGACTACTTCTCAGGCACGCGCAGCCAAGAAAAGAAGGGAGAAATCATTCAATCCTTTTCATTCATGGGATTCAGAGGACCGATTCGCCTGAAGAACCCCGATGAGGAATTCTACGTGATGGAAGAGTACATCGATGACGTGGAAGTCGCCGCGCGGGGAGTCTCGCGAGTGGAAGAGCCACGGAAGATCTATCTGGGTCGGAAGCTTGGTGAAAGCTGTCGTGAGGATGTTCTCAAATACGACCTCAAGAAGCGTCGTTATATCAGCACCACTTCCATGGATGCGGAGTTGAGTCTCATCACGGCCAACATGGCTCTTGCAGCTCCCGGTAAATTGTTCTTCGACCCATTCGTCGGAACTGGAAGTTTCATTCTTGCTGCTTCGCATTTCGGAGCTCTGACCATGGGCGGAGATATCGATGGTCGTAGCTTCCGGGGCAAAGAGAGCGGGAAATTGGGCATCTTTGAGAACTTCGATCAATATGGCATCAAGAGCAAATACCTTGATACCTTTACTTCGGATTTGACCAACACCCCATTGCGGAGAGTCGGCGTTCTTGATGGCATCGTCTGCGATCCGCCATATGGTGTGCGCGAAGGGCTTCGGGTTTTGGGAAATCGCAAAGGAAAGCCTGCGGTCAATGTGATCATTGATGGCGTTCCTGCGCATCTGTACGTCTTTCCCCTTTGACTGTCCTTCATTGATCTATAATACTAAATTTGACCCACAGCCGACCCGGTTTTGTTCCTCCTAAAAAGCCTTATGGCTTCGAGGCTTTGCAGAACGACGTCCTCAACTTCGCGGCTCGCTCGTTGGTTACCAATGGCCGTCTCTCAATGTGGATGCCCACAACAAATGACGAGAAAGTCGTGTTCCCTGTTCCTATGCATGAGAATTTGGAGATTGTCAGCATCTCTACTCAGTCTTTCAACACTTGTGAGTGACTTCGAAAGAAAAGCACAAGCATGTACTTGGAGGGATTGGCTAATGTTGTCCTTTAGGGTCTCGTCGACTCATAACCTACCGCCGTTTACCAGAGGGAGAACTGTCTGATGTCACATTGGCCCGGAAAAACATCGATGACCAAGGCTATACAGCAGATGATTTGAATGCATTCCGACGAACGGTACGTACAAGTCCTGGAACAATGCGAAGTTCATCGCTAACTTGTTGAACTAGCACATGCTCAGAGGCCACGGCACCAGAGCCGCGAAGCGCTAGCAAACGACGTAATGAGATTTCCAATACAGCAAATGAGAAGGGATGCCATTACCATACCCGGCGCTTCAGAAGCTACAAAATGGCGCGAAATAGAAAGACCTATATACATACAGCGTGTGATTCAAAGATGGAGGAGCAATGATCAGACGCAAAAAAGAAAAGAGAATATCAGATACCGCGCATTTCACAACTTACCTCGTTGGCTCCCTACTGGGATCAAATCTTGAGCCAAATCAATACCCTCATCCCGTTGAATCCGTTCAACTTCCTCTACCAGCTCAAGCCTCATTTCACGAGCCAAGGCCTCACCCTCATCATCATCAAGCTCCTCTCTTTGCCCACGGCCGAACATAGCAAAGCTTGTCCTCTGATTGGACCCTAGAGCAGGGCGCGGTATGATGTGGAAATGAACATGAGGCACTACCTGTGCCGCCCTTTCACCTATCGCCTAGTCAGAACGGTTGCCATAAAATTGTGTTTTGTTTTTGCTCCATAGACATGCATGTGAAATATGATCTCGGGGAAGGGGGCAGTAAACCTCCTTGAATGCCAATAGTGAATACCAGCGACATACATACGGAGTAGAACTACGCCAAACAGACAAATATCAAGTGGAAAGGGAGAAGGGGGAAGAAAAGCAAGGGCAAGACATACCATTATTCTGCACGACATTCCAGTGTCTATCAGGATCATTCCCAAATACGGACTTCGTAACGACCCTGGAGAGAATTGGCAGCCATTTACCTATCTAAACGTATCAGGAACAAGGATTAGCCGGGAAAAGGCGTCGCGATGGCATATGGGGAGGAACCACTAGGATAGGGTGTCGCATACCTCTTGTCCCGCTCGAACGCCCATGTCACCAAGAGTCTGGTGATGGTTTCTAGGCGCTACGAGGACATGGCCGCGGGTGAGCGGCATGATGTCTAAGAAGGCGAGAACATGTTCGGTGGAAAGAATGATGTGGGATAGCGGTCCTGATTCCGGGATCGTGGAAGTTGGATTGGACTCAGGGTCATTGAAGCGGATTGGGGGGTATGCCGAGGCGATGTTGCAGAACGGGCATGGCGGGGATGCAGTAGACTCCATGATGGGATGATAGTAGGATTAGGATGAAAGAGAGTGGATGAGACTGGTTGATATAAAAGTTGGAGGCTGTCAACCTTACCCATGGGGAGGTCCGACCTCGGCTAAGCACCTCAATAAGATCTACAGGCTACAACGCATATATACGCAGAGAATAGAGAAGGTGTCAATAAGCACGCCATACACACGCATCCAGCGTTGAAATCCAACTATTTTAAAGAAAACAAAAGCGGTCCAACTTGTCACTGATTACCTCCCCGACCGTCTGATATCCAAATCGCTTACCTGGAAGACCCAATCGTGAGTACCCAATTTCATCTTCCAGCTGATGGACAAACGCGCGAGAAACAAAAATCCATGGCCACATTGGCTCCACAAAATATTCCCCATCCGCAATGCCACGCAACCGTTGCAAGGCTTGGGGACCTGCGAAAAAAGACAAGAGAAAAGAAAAGGAAAAAAAGAGGGATTCAAAGGCAATGGCACTGAAACATCCGATCTAAGATGAAGTTGAACCAGGGTGAATCGAATAGATTGCGATTTGAACGAGAAGAAAAGAAAAGATAGATCCCGACGCCTGTAACAGGAATGACAATAATTTAATAGATATCGGGACAGGCAGGAGACAGATGCCCATGCACGAAAAACAAGTAGGCCGGGGTCGAAGGTGTAAGGGAAGAGAAGAAAACAAGAGCACACAAGGGCCGAGCGCCGAACACCCCATCACAGAAGGCAAATGCGAGAAGCGCAGAAATTCAATGGAGTCGTAAGAATATGCAAAATGTGGCGGATACCAGGACAATGAAATGCCAACATGTATAGGAATGAATTTCCCTGCTCAAGTCGTCGCGAGGGCCTTAGGGAGTCATGAAAGGCACCGACGTTGGCGAGACAGGAGTAGCATGACATCGTAAATGGTACAATTACTGTTCGTCCTTGACGTAAGTGCTCTTGTCGGAGCCATCGACGTACAGGTGGTGGTATTTCTTGGCCCACTGGCGAGTCAAAATGGAAGCTGGAGATCTGGTTAGTATGTGGATTTGCCAAGGTAAATGTCAAAAAGCTTCTTACCCTTCAGGAACTTCTTGCTGGCGTATTTCTTGAAGAAGGCTTCGTGGGAAACGGGGCGGTGGAGATAATCCACCATCAGCTGGAAGACAGGGTCGATCTCCTCCTCGGTGTATCCGGCATAATGCGCGAGAGTTGCATCCTATTGTGAGTCAGTTTAGATGTGGGGCTGGACAGGATCGCGATGGAACATACCCAAGGTCCACGCTCGAGAATGAGACGTGCAAGGTACATGGCGGCTGCAGAGATGTGACTCTGGGGGTAACCCATGAAGCGATGGTCGAGAAGACTGATCTCCATCAGGTATTTGCCCAGTGTGCGCGTTTGGATGTCGTAGTTATCGGCCTTGGAGATGCGTCGCAGGAAATTCATGGGGTTAGGGAAGCTCATGTTGTACTCCAGAGTTGCGAGGACGTGACGTTCCGCATCGAGGATCTCCTTATCCGAGAAGGTCTCATCGGCGACATGGCTGAAGTTGGCAACGTGAGGGGAAAGCACCTCCTCGTACTTGGAGGCAATGAACATGGCGGTGACACCGACCAGCTGAAGACGATCAAGTGCGACAACCTCAGCCGACAGGAAGCGGTCGATGATATTGACAGCAAGGAACAAGGTCTCAGGGAGAAGGCGGAACCGTGTGTGAACTTCGATCAGCCAGTCGACGAGAATTCCGCGCATCTTCCACTCCAGATCGGGTTGATGGTCGATGTAATCGGGGTTGGGCAACGTCATGATCTCAAGGTCCTTGAGATACTCGAAGATTTCCACCACGTATTCGGCGGCCATCAATGGGTCATCCAAGTCCTCAGTGTCGAGATCCTGCACAGCGTCATTCAGAGCATCTTTCACGCTGATTTCTGGTTCCTTCACGGCTGGTTCCTCCACAATCTTCTCAATCGTTCTGGGCTTCCGGTCTAGCTCGGCTTTCTTCCGTGGAGGCTCTTGCGCTTGGAGGGTTGTGTCTTTGACCGGGGGACGCTTGTTGGCGGCAGGCTTCTTGTTCGAGTCACGAGGCTGGAGGGCGGAACGGGTTGCAGTTCGTGACGAGTTCGTACGGCTGAGCTTTTGAACACCTCCAGTCTGAACTGTGGCCTTCGATGTCAGACCAGACTTAGTTGTGGCAGGCTTAGTTGTAGCCGGCTTCTTCCCTGCCTTCACCTCAGCACCGTCGGTCTTGTTGACGTTACTGACATCACCAAGGGCAGCTCGGGGTCGTTGGGTTCCAGTAGTTGTGGTCGTCGTGCTTCGCTTGGTCTGCAGGGTTTTCTTGGCTCCAGCGGCAGAGACATCGGAGGTGAGGGCGGCAGTCTTGGCCCGCGTCACACGTGCTGACGGGCCGTTTTCATCGTTCTCATTCATCGCACCTCTGGTTCTAAGGCTACGGGCCTTTAGTCGAGTCAGTGATCAAGCCAATGACGTTATCAGATGGACCAAGATTTCAAGGTTTTGAGTTTGATATCTCGCGAAAACGATTCGAAACGCGTGTTTTTCCAAGGCTAAAGATTGCTCACCTGAGGCATAGTGAAGGAAAGAAAGAAAGAACGACGCGTAAAAAAGGGGAAAAGGGGACAGGAATATAATAATCCTCGCCCTGCTATAGACATCAAGTCAGCATTCCATTCAACATTACCTCGGTGGAGACCTCATACCAGAGGGTTGAGGAAGAAGTGCACGTACCACGCGTGAAAATGTGGTTGTTCCGAAGAGACTACAATGCCAATAGGCAGCTGTAGTTTTCAGACAGTTGGTGGTGATGCCAGTCGAGACTCTCGGCTCAAAGAAGTCTATGTTGATACGTATCAAAACCGCGCAGCACCCTGAGTCCGGGGATCAAATGGGGCGCGAATTAGGCGGGAAAGGTGTCAAAAGATACAGGAATGATCTGGAGACACTGTACGACAAGAATCCGCACGCGATAATTAGGTGGTTGGGAAGTGGGGTGGGAAGACGAAAGGGTAGCTCTAACTGGAATGATGAGGGAAAAGGAAGAGAGCTTGAGGGCAAAAGGCGATGTTTGGCCCTAGTACCGTACTTAGCGCGGAAAACAAGCAGCCCCACTCCGCCAGTCGCGTGGATCACCAAAGTGACATTCGAGACTCCTTTTTTAGGGCAATTGGTAAAATGAACAATTGACGTGAGCAATAAAGAGCTGGAGAGAAATACAGGAAAGATGATCTGGAACAGGTTGAGCGAAGCTGATCGAACAATGAAGGGAGATACGCGTTAGGATCGTGAGGAGTAAATAAAAGGGTTGCTCCGGGCAACGACGACGTTTCCGTTTGTTCAAGTATTGGGTCTCGTAACAAACTGTCACGTGACTGCTGCCTAGCATCATCGACTTTCCCAGTTCATCCACGTGATCTACCATCAGCCACAGGCCATGAATCTCTCTGTGTGGCTGAGAGGCGGTGCAGTCAACCCGGATCACGTGCCACCAGAACTTTTTGTTTCTGTGGAGAGTCTGGTGCATATGTACAAAGTAGAGGAGAGGAGCAGTTGAGTCTTTGTTGGTCTACTTCATTGACAATTGGCTTTCATCCTGATTGCTTTTCCCCTCCGATTGGTTCTACTCTAATCGTCTTCGTGTCTCTCTACCCTGGTAGCGATGCTTCAACCCCGAATTGCCCTACGGGGCATTCGGTTGCCCTTCAGGTGTCTACCTTCCCTTCCTTTGCCAGCCCGCGGCTATTCAACCATCGTCAATGAAATCGAAAAGAACAAGCCGAAGCCTATCGAAACACCATTGAACTCGTTTATCGACCCCAACACTTCATTCGCTCCTCCCCCCAGTCGCGACGCTTCGGGCGTTGTGCTGCGCACCTACACTCCGCGTACCCCCGGTATCAGACATTTACGGCGCCCAGTGAACGATCACCTGTGGAAGGGCCGTCCGGTGCACAAGTTGACATTCCCAAAGCGTGGTCATGCTAAAGGTGGTCGTAACAACTCGGGTCGCGTCACTGTCCGCCATCATGGAGGTGGTGCGAAGCGTCGAATTCGGACCGTTGATTTCCTTCGCATGGCCCCGGGGCCGCACTCAGTGGAGCGGATCGAGTATGATCCCGGTCGCAGTGCCCACATTGCCCTGACTGCTAGTAAGGAAACTGGTAAGTTGAGCTACATCCTTGCAGCGGATGGAATGCGCGCCGGCGACGTCGTTCAGAGTTATATGTCCGGAATTCCCGAAGACTTGTGGAAGAGTATGGGAAGCACGGTCGATCCTGGTGTGCTTGCTGCCAGAACTGCCTGGAGAGGAAACTGCTTGCCGTTGCACATGATTCCTGTGGGAACATTGATCTTCAACTTAGGCTTGCGACCTGGAAAGGGTGGTCAACTTTGTCGCAGTGCTGGAACCTATGCCACGGTCGTGGCCAAGGGTAGCGACTCACGTCAGCAAACGATTCAAGATGAAGAGCCTGAGGCTGAAAAGAAGCCCTTGTCGCAGCGTGAGCAGCAGAAGCAGGAACGTCTTGCCCAGCACATTACCGTCCGTCTCTCCAGTGGTGAGACTCGGCTTATTCACAAGGATTGCTGCGCTACTATCGGTATCACCAGTAACCCAAATTACCACTACACCCAACTCGGAAAGGCCGGACGTTCACGCTGGCTCAACATTCGTCCCACGGTGCGTGGTCTTGCCATGAACGCCATGGATCACCCCCACGGTGGTGGACGTGGTAAGTCCAAGGGTAACGTCGACCCGAAGAGTCCCTGGGGTATTCCGGTATGTATTCACTTTCGTTTTGTAATTTGCATTAGGCCTTCATGGGACTGACTCTGTATTTTCACCTCCAGACCAAATCCGGCTACAAGACCCGCCCGAAGTGGAAGATCAACAAGGCCGTTGTTCACGCCAGACCTCGCAACCAAGGAAAGCGCCGTCGTGGATACAACTAAAGATGATGCTGCTTTGCCGAACTGGCCGTTTCACTCTGCTTTGTCTCTGAACCTCTTGTACCTCTTCACCCTATACCTCATCCCTACTACGCGGTGGATGACTGTACGATATATTTTCCCACTTATTGTTTGACACATTGAATGTTTCATCTTTTCTTCCATCACGCGTTATTTCCCGGGGATCCTTGTTTGCGCCTCTGCCGTCGAACTGGAAATCGGGCGATGGGCACTGTACAGTACGATCGCTCGAGGCCACATACATTCAAAGCGAAAGAAAATAGACTTATCAAAACCCTCGATACCAACAGTAAGAACCGCAATTCTCTGATCAGGAATATGTACAGGATGCGTAATATGTTGTGGATATACTAAATTTGTAATTTTCCTTGTGCTGTGTCTTCCATGCGTCTTGTACGTTTCCCGTGTGCTGAAAACTACGAGAGTGTCTGGAAAACATTGCAATGGCCTCGAGCCTTTGAATAGCGAAGAAAGGCTCTTTTTGCGGTCCGAGGAATAAAGTGGTATTTGCATTTGCACGCATCTATGTCGGATGAGACATTGAACATAGCGGCACTGCAATCCCTTGTGTCTTCGGTTTTTGTCTTGATACAGCGAAATAGAATGAATATATAGATAGACAACACTGTTGACCGTTCACTCCGGGTCCCTGAGTTCAATGCTATCCCCGTGGACTCTGAGTTAGACATCAATAAGCGCTTTGCCAATGGGGCTCTCGGACACCTAGGGACTCGGCGTTGCATCCTGCATGTCACAAACCCCGAAGTGGTGATACTGCGTCTGGTGGAAAACGTGTCCGACAAGTCAAACTGGGAATGCGACGTCTTTGACGAAAAGGTTGTCATGCAAGAGCATGGTGAAGCCATGTTGGACTCACAACTAGGAAACGACTTGTGCTTTGAATGGGACATCGATTTCGATATGGATCTAGTCTCAGCTACCATGGGCAGCTACCATGTGGAATTGATGCACTCAGCAGCTGCATGACAAGGCCATATGTCTCATAGAGACAGGCTATAGCCTCACATTCAATGCCGATTCTCGAGTCTGCTAATTTGACCTGCTAGTCGGAAGCGACTTGCGGCAGTCATTGCAAGACTTACTTCGTATATTTTTGAGTCAACCTCCCAAATTACCCAAGGAAGAAAACGTCCCAGGCCCGAATAGTGAGTCGGTCGAGCCCGCCACCAACTATTCATATCCCTTTTCCTGGTGGACCCCTGTTACCGCATTTGTTCTACCCAACATATACTCGTACAGCTCCATGAGGGGTGACGAGACCCTGTCCCTAGTGATTGGGGCCCTCATGTGAAATTCACTCAAGAGTTTGCAGATATGATCACGAATAATATAGGTGATTGGTCAATTGATTTGGCCGAGGCACAGCGATGGGAGAAGGAATCGGAGGTGGAAATGCAAACCTCGGAGGTAGATTAGTATGACTTCTGGAGGCTGATTGAAGCAATGGAACATGGTATTGTAGTTACTCCTTCAATTAAGCGTATGCTTCATAGTAGACTAATATAGCTTCCGGGGCCTTGTCGAGGACATCATGCAACCCATTGTACGGAGTACGGAGAACAAGATCATCCCCTACACCATCTCTCTACCCACATGTAGGAAGTTTGGTATGACAGTTAGGAGCAATACATGTACTTTCCGGAATTCATGAAACCCCTTCCTGTAGTGCTTTTGTCTTAAGAGTAGCCCTGGACCTCGGGAGTGAGCTGGGCACCTGGCATTTATGTAGTCACCTGTCAATGCCTATATGCAGATCATGATGGGAGGCGTTCACCTCCTGAGCACCGTATAGTTGCTCAGCCTTGGTGATCAAAAAGCAACAAAAAAGTGGACACTATAGTGGAAAGGGAAAGTCAAGGTCTCCAATCTGATGTATGGAGTATCGTTGGAGTCCTCCGTATCCTGATCAACATAGATCCCCATATGTATGCCAAGCCCCCAGGCAACTGTCTGGTGCGTGGCCCTCTGCCGCGTTGGGGCATAGAATTGAAAGACGATTGCATGGTTTCCATTAGAATGTGATCGAAAGGAAAAATAGGGGTCTTTGTTTTGTTATCTAACATTTCATATCTCATACGTCGATGAAGACACGTTGGGGCGGAGGAACCATCGGCCTCCCTGATACGAATTCCCGTCGTCATCCATAGACCTTCGTCCCTTCTCATATCTCCCCACGGAAAATCCGGTGATGACCAAGTGAATATTTCTGGCTTGTTGAAGCCTCGGTTAATCATACATTGATCCACCCAAGTTTTTCGCGCCGATAAACCAGAGTTGGCCAAGCTCAATTTCCGAGCTCGTCCGTTCAAATTACTCAGCCGTTACATCGTGACATCTGGAATCAGGCCCGCGATGGCGGCACTTCCGCCGTCTCAATTTGGACGTGAATCGGCGCAAATCTCCGAATCTGGCCCCTCTCAGATGGAATTCCTGTCCGCTGAAAGTGGCGCCGCTATCGAAAATACTGACACCGCAGAAAGGAACTTCGTTCCCCGCCCCAAGCGCATCGCGTGTGTGGTCTGTCGGAGGAGGAAATTACGATGTGATGGGAGACGACCGAGCTGCGGAACCTGTTCACGTTTGGGACATGAATGCTCTTACGATGAAGTGCGCAAGAAGAGTGGCCCAAAGCGGGGATATGTCAAGCAGCTCGAAGCTCGATTAGGTACGACTTCATTGAGTACAATGATCGCAAATGCTCTTATAACAGTGGAATGTATCGCTAATGATCATATCTGGATCAGCTCAAGTAGAGACTCTTCTCAAAACCCAGGATTCGGAACCGACCCAGCGAATCTCCCCGACGCAACCACCAGAGAATACATTCTCAGCGCCTATCCCCGATGAGCCCATATTGTCTCTGCCTGACCTCCCAGACCTTGGAGGCATTGGTGGTGATATGGAGAATTCTTTCTCAGCTTCGACCGTCCCAGGCGTAGCTCAGCCAGGTGGAATGCCATACCATCCACCCCATGCGACTCAGTGGGACTTGATCAGTTTAGGATTGGAAGAGCCCCTTCCTTCACAGGATGTGATCGATGAATTGTATGTACCCCATTTGGGTTTGATCTCGAACCGATCTAATACAAGGTACCCATCTAGGGATGCTCTATTTTTCGAGAAAATATATCCAATGATGCCCATTATCCATCGTCCTCGTTACTTTGCAGCTCTAAACCTTCCCCCTCATATGCGACCGCCGATATGCCTGCGATACATTATGTGGTGTCATGCCGCGTCTGTCAGTAAGAAATACTTCTTTCTACATAATCATTTCTATCTGCGAGCACGCAAGTATGCGGAGATGGACGAGATGAAAGGGTTCGGAGAGAGCATCGTCAGCATCGCACATTGCCAAACGTGGATACTTATCGGCACATACGAATTCCGCATGATTTTCTTCCCACGAGCCTGGCTGAGCGTTGGCAAAGCTGCAAGGTTAGCACTAATGCTTGGGTTGAATCGGCTTGATGGTGTTGGTCTCGACGTCAAGCAATCCATCTTACCACCAAAAGATTGGACTGAACGCGAGGAACGCAGGAGAGTTTTCTGGGGCGCATTTGCTACAGATCGATATGCCAGTGTTGGAACCGGTTGGCCCATTCTCATCGAAGAGAAAGATGTCAGTACCTCTTTCGTGTCCCTTTTACAGTGAGGAACGTGATATACTGACAAGATTAGATCATGACGAACCTCCCCGCGTCCGAGGAGTCTTTTACAAATGGCAAGCCACAACGAACACTTCGTCTGGCTGACATTATTATAGGCGACGGTGTCGCAACATTAGCACCGTTTGCATGCGTAGTGGTTGTGACGAGTCTCTTTGGCCGTAACCTCGTTCATATACACCGGCCTCATCCTGGTGATAACGATCACGACCTTAATGGAGAGTTTTGGAAACGACACAGGAGCCATGATAATATTCTTTTGCATATCTCTCTCGCGTTGCCCGATCATCTTAGGCTGCCAAGTGGCATGTCGGATGTGAACGTCATTTTCGCCAACATGAGTATTCATACTTCGACTATCTGCCTCCACCAAGCGGCGATTTTCAAAGCCGAAAAGAACAAGATGTCAAACCAGATCACGACGGAAAGCAAGCGTAGATGCCTCGTGGCCGCAAACCAGATTTCGAGCATCATGAAGATGATCAGCCATGTTGATTTGACAAGCGTAAGTCTCTGTTTCGCTTTCTTGTCCATAAACATTCACACTCATATTTTACAGTTAAATCCGTTCATGTCATTCTGCCTCTACATTGCTGCTCGTGTTTTTGTGCAGTATCTCAAATCGCGGCCAGAGGACTCGAGTGTTCACTCCTCCCTACAATTCCTCATCTCCGCCTTGAATGCCATGAAGATTCGAAATCCTCTGACTGAGACGTTCCTTGTTCAGCTGGATGTCGACCTCGATGGAACTGGCATTCGCGCTTTGGATGACAGGCAGATAACCTATACGGTCGCACATTCAATGGCAGTACGTCTCCCCTTGGCCCCGCTGGCTCCGTGAAGCTAATCTCAATCTCGCTAGAAACCCTACTGCGCCGAAAATCGCGACTGTGTTCCCATTTACAACGTTCGTGAAAGACAAGAAAATGCGAGAGATGAGTCTGTTCAATACAGCGCGAACCGTGGTGGCAATCAACAGCCCATAGCAGGCGACTTGACGGCATCTCTTCCTAGCCGTAACAGGGAGTCAAATCCACAGACTGCCGGATTAGCACCCTTCAATAACGATGACACAGCTCGTCTTTTTGGACCTTCCACTCAGGCGACATGTCCAAGAATGAACCAATCCGCACAAACAGATGGTATAGTTGACATGGAGATGGGATTCTCACCTGATTTTGGCAACCTCAGCGACAGAAACAACCCACCATCAGACCATCCAACCCCTTCAACATTGAATTCGTCCTCCAACACCTCCTACTCGATTACCGGTACAGACGACGTACCACCCGCAAACAAGCAACAAAAGACAAATTCCATGTATACTAGTCAGGCGTCAGCCTCGTCTTTTGACAAGGTCAATCCAAGCGATATGCCTCAACGAGCCCCAAGTTCGCACACATCCGACATGACTGCTGTGGGCAGTCGATTCTATCAGAACAACTCTGGTAGTCCGTCAATCCCCCCGGATGCGACAAACTTGTTTTCTATACCATCTGCCTGGGATCTTCCGGCCTCAGATTCAGAAACCCGCAATGGGGATTTCAGCAACTTGAACATGGAGTCCTTCAGTGAATCTCAATGGTCACAGATGTTGAACAATCAGATTTTGGGTGAAAATGGGACTAATACCGGCTGGGAAAACTGGCGACCATCATGAGTTCAGCACGTGGTGCAATGACATCTCTATGAAAGCCATTCGATGTACAGCCTTCAGTTCCAGCAACCGATCAAGCTCGAGATCACTCATGCTCCCATCGTTGGACGTTGCGGTTTATGATCTCTTACTCTGATCAATCCCCCGGACTCCTACCCTCGCACTTTGCAAGAGCATTGATCATCTACTCTATCAATTTTCGCCGAGGATACCCTCTCTGGCTTGGGAATGGCCGTCATTCCAATGGATGACTTCTTCTCTCAGTTTCTCTCCTCGGTCCCCAACCTGAGATCGATACACGTGAGGCATTGGCATCTTACCCTCATAAAGACTGGGGTCGCTGATCACGTTATTCGACCCGGACTCTCCGAGGTTGAATACTAACCACGAAACTCCCCTTAGATAATTGCATCTGCGGCTCTCTTCTTGCCGCAACATTTGAGCGATCTAGTGGATGAAACCGCATTGAGATCTGCTATTGAAATGACTTGATGATGAATGAATATACGGTCTCTTGGGGGCGAAACTCTTCACTCTTGGATAACCTATCCGACATGACTTGGGGTATTTTGGGGCTTTTTCAATCATGTCAATAAACTACCAGAACATTACATCACATATTCAAGAACCTCATTGGTATTACATATCATTCAATTGGGTTGTGTTCAATACATCATTCATAATAATTTTGGACAATCATCTAGATCATACAGGTGAGGGCAAACATACGCTCGCCATGGGATAGAAAGTTCACGTCAACACCAGCGCACAGGTTTACAATCCACCACCACCAGCACCGACAATCTTCAATCCTCCAGGGCTGGAACTACTAGGTCCATCGGTAGTAGTCGAGTAAGCCAGCCAGTAGCGAGAGGGGTGCCACGCGACAGCGGAGACACCAGCGTTGATACCGGTAGTAGGAATCGTATAAATGCTATCGCCGGACTCGGCATGGAAGATCTCCAGTCCGTTTCCAGCACATCCGAGCTCGTCGCATGCGCCAACAATGTAGCGGCCATCGAAACTCCAGCTGACACCGCGAATGGCACCGCCATTCTCGCTGGATAAAGTGCGACGGCAGATCCAGTCGGTGGTGTCCCAGAGGGAGATGAGGGCGTCACTTCCACCAACTGCGAGGTATCGGCCTGTTGGCGCAAGCGCAATGGAAAGGCAAGCTGAGGTGTGGGCGTTGAGAGTGTGCATAACATCGAAGGAAGGGTAGGAAATGATTTTGACCTTGCCTTCGCCGGTCGTCACGAAGATGTGCTTCTCTTGGCGTTCTGGGGTCGGCATGCACCAGGAGAAGGTTGTGGCATTCGTTTGTACAGTTTGAGGGTGGGGATCGAGAGCTGTGTAGGTGGTCGCGCCGGGAGTAGAGGAGGGAAGGTTCAGCGCATTCACGCCATCGGGGTGGGTGGTTGGGGAGGAGGGGAATTGAACAGAAATTGGGATCAAGGTATCATCCTGGTCATATATCGTATGTTAGTGGAATTGCCATGAAGGAGATCAAGTCTGGGGAATCACGGCATTGGGTGATTACCTTTTTGCCGACAATCATTGTGCTGCCGTCAGCAGACCAGGAGAGAGTAAAGGCTTCGCCGCCGACATCGAGACGGCTCACACAGGTCTTGGAGCGCACATCCCAGAAGCGCACTGTACCATCGGCCGAGCAACTAGCCAGCTCTGCATCGCGAACTGGGTTGAAAAGTGCCTTCTCAATGCCAGCTGTGTGGCCGCGTAGTTCAGTGGAGTATCGGACGTGAGGGCGCTCTGGGTTCCAGATTCGAAGAGTGCGATCTGCAGAGCCAGTAGCAATCAGCTGGCCTGTGGGGTTCCAAGCAAGAGTGCGGATGCTGTGGTTTCATTGTTGTCAGTGATGAAGGACACTCTCTGTGAGCAATACTTAAACTTACGTGTGAGAGCCTGGGCCCTTGGAAGCAGGATCAAAGTAGTTCTGAGTCTTCACGTTCCCAAACACGAATGCGAAATGGTCCTTGTGTAGGAGCTCGCGACGTGGGGCCGCCATGTTTTCGTCCACTTCTTCCGCCTCGTCTAGCAAGTCGTGCGAGACTGGGTTTTGGCCTGCACACAAGCTGGCAATGAGGGCAAGAACAGAGTCTGGAGAAGTAGCACCAGGACCCAGCAGCTTAGGCTTAATGCTTCTTGAAGAATGGCGAATGGAGGAGGGCGTGCCCGTAGAGGGAGTCGGAGGGTAATTGCATACCGCCTTTTGGCGGTCCGATACTGCCTCCAAATCGTTATCGGGTGCCATCGCGATTACCGCCTTGGGCACACCGCGTTATCGGTATCGGATGACTTCGGAATCTACCTCGTTGTGCGTTGAACGTTCCTGGAGAATTTAGGGAAGAAACCAGGAGGTAATGAAACTGAGGTAATAAGAGAGGAATTGAAGTCAATAGACCCCGTGTTTCCAAGGTTTGGCTGGGCCTCAGCGTTTCCTCCCCGTGAGAAACAATTCAAGAGGCACGGATTTACCAACCAACCATGAATATATGATGCTAGAATTGACTATGCGTCAAATATAGACAATTTCAAACAATTTCTCTTGTTATAGAGGTCTCCACTCAATGGTTTACCTTATAGGTACTCGCAGACTATTCCCGGCATACCTAGTCACGGATTCCTTCTTACTGGCAGTGTTTTGTTTGTCGGCCTATACATACACTGGTGGATCCACTAGAGCCCCTGGCTCGAAGAGCAATCTGGAGAGAAATAGAATAGTAGACAAGTTGATCTCTCGTCAGAATGCATTGAAGGGTTTAGGGTCGCATTGGTATAATTGGCACAATTGAGCAACTACATACTACCCTGGACAACATATTCATTTTACAGCACTTTTGTGTTGAATCTGTGCCATTCACATTCGATTCATTCTACCTAGATGTTTCCTTAGGAACTTTGAAATAACATTTTGACGGTTACCTAGTGTAGGAGAATATATAGAAGAAAATGCGCAAACAAGATGCCAACACCTGAAGGTGGTTTGATAGCTGCAGCCTTATGGGTCCGATAAGCCTCCCATGAGCTTAATCAAACCTCACCCTTCGGCTGAAAAAATTAACCCATCAGAACTCAAGAGCGTCAACTGTCAACCATCAAGCATCGATTAAATAGCATTACGGACATTATGTTTGAAGAAATGGACGATGCATCACGTCGTGAAAAGTGTTACACCACCATAGCTCAACTGCCATCGTTTATCGACCCAAAACAGATCCCGACTAAAAAATCGCCATTTTCGGCGATCCAGAATCATGCGTTTGTGCATTCTGTAAGTAACCTGTGGATTGATCCGAGGAATGTTTACTTAACTGACTATGTAAAGGTTGAGGTTATCTTGCCAAAGGAGGTCTGTTCACAGATCACGTCTTCGCTCGAGGGCAAGCCAGAGAATCCTCGCTATGCTCGAGTCTTCATGAGACCCTCTGCTCTGCTTGAACATGAATTTTTCAATAAATACATTAAGTCAGGTACTTGTGTCTCTAGCTCAGTCCATGAGTTCTTCCTGATTGGAGTGTCCTTAAGTTGCATAAGCACTAGACAGCTTCTGTGCCTAGGCAATCCATCTTCATGGAATAGAGAATCTGACTCAAGATATAGGAAATATCTTGATGATATCCGAAGGACGTTCGGGATCTGATAATGTCTTCACACTCCGAGATGGTTCGTTTCTCCTGAGTTTGTGGCTTGAGGCGTTGCCGTCGGGGCAGTGAGTCCTGAAATTAACTCGATTGAAATAGGAATTCTTCGAATGGAGTTAGGAAAGGAGATCTATGAGCGGACAGGTCTCACAGGCAAACCTATCCGTAGCGGGGGCAGGAAACACGCAAAAGAAAGATTCCGTGTGTATAAAAAGAGCAAATTGACTAGTGGAAACTTTACTGATAATGTCGTCAGTGGTGGAGCTAAACTTACGGCTACCCTCAATGCTACATGGAAAGAAAGGGTTCGAAAGAATCGTCTGGGCATTTGACAATGTTTTGACTCAATCAGTGGCGTGGCTCTTCCTCGACTTGGAAAGCAGCTCCGGCTGGGATGAAGGTGATGATGCTCCGAACCCAAGAAGGGAACCCGACTAAACTATTATTCAGGAGACAAACCAATTAAAAAAGCCCAACCGCAGTTGAAAACCTGCGAACCACAGGAGATTGATCACGAGCAAGTAATCACGCCGCCGTTTTATGAAGACGGGAAATTGCCCGAGGGAATGTCGGAAGGGGACCTGCAGGAATATTCTGGCTCTCTATCCGAATGGATTGCCATGGTTCAGATGGGTTCTCCCCGAGTTTCTGGGAATGACGATGTCGACCCGTACCTGAGCCGGTATGCTGTACCAGATGCAGATGAAACCCGGCCCTCGGATTTGAAGAGTTTGAAATGGCATGGTTTCATATCGTCCCGCTGGGTCATGCAGCTGTTTCTCAACCTGCTGTGAGTTTTGAATTCCTTCATATATGGTCGGCAGCTGACATTGTTCCAATGGACAGGCAAAGCACTAAGGCCAGTAATTCCTGGTTTGCGCTTGCTGTCTCTACCCTGGGGAAAGAAGCCGTCGAAGGAAGGGACGGTTTCACAGTGATGGTTCTTCCTAGTGCACAGCCCACTGTACAGTCCCAGGGAAATAGCGAAGCAAGAGACCGAGATACTCGCTCTGGTAGTCGGGTGACTCTATGTTGGGAGTTGATGGGAGCGTCAGTGACCGAACCCTGACCTAGCCCTTGCCCTTGTGACGCCAACCCAGGGCATTGAGGCTATTACCCCGGGGCTTGGATCCACGGAACCTTATTGTACTTTCCTGAATAGTCACAGGAGGTTTTCTGATCTCTCACCCCCCGTCCCCCCTTCTTTCTCTTCTTTCCTTCTCCTTCCTTCTCTCTCCCTCTCCATCTATCCTCATTGCAGTTTCCTTTTGATCCCTTCACTTTACATTCCATATTGCTATCTAGCAGTTCTTGCTCTTGAGTTGTACTACTTGTTCAGCAATTGACACACTCAATTCACCCGTTTATTCAAATTTCCATTTCTCCTCACCTTCGTTGAGCCTTCACCTTGTACTTTCCTTCTCATTCATCTTGTATCTTGCCATGGAGACCCTTCTTTCCTCTTGTCGCCCGTCTGGCGAGAGCTCTTTTGAAGAATTGTTTGCCTCTTGCCTTGGCGATTGGGAGAGGTCTGCTCCAACTTTGAGCTCTGAAGAGCGTACCTGTCTACCCACCTACGAAACCATTCGTTTTGATGGTAAGTATTTTTTCCTAATTCAAGACCACCAAACATATCTGATTTATGTCCCCAGGACATAAACCCATGGATCATGGGAATGCTGGCTTGGACTTTGACAAGGCCTTTGCCGAACTCGATCCCAAAGACGACCCAGTCCTTGGCCTAGATACTCTGGGCAATCTGGAAGATCTGGCCCTTGAGCAGCTTTACCCCCAGCCACTCACTCCCATCGTGACTTATGACACCCCACCGAGCTCTTGCATGAGCCAGAGTGACACAGTTACTCTGACTGATATCTCCAACTTTTCCGAGGACACAGTTCCTCTGACTGATATCTCCAACTTTTCCGAGGACACAGTTCCTCTGAATGATATCTCCAACTTTTCCGAGGACACAGACTCGGGCTCTGCCCTTGAAACTGATACAGCCACCTTCGCTACTTCCGCTCCACTGAACCAAGATGCTCCACTCTCCTCTACCTCTGTCTTCCAGGGGAATGCAGATACTTCACTCATTTCCGCCTCTGTCTCCCGAATGAACAAAGGTCCTTCCCACATCTCTGCCTTGAACAACCAGGCGACCCCAGTCGACCAAGTCGCTCTGATCGCTCAGCTTGGTCCGCACACCGGACTCAACTTGAATCACGTCTCCGCATTCAACCAAGCCAACTTCGGCACTGCTGCTGCTGTCGTGCAAAATGCTCCAATTGCTCATACTCCGTATACTGGAATAGATATGAACCTTGTCTCCGCATTCAACCAAGCCAATTTGGTCATTCCTGCCCCGGTCGCGCAAGCTGCCCCAGCCAGCTTTGTTCATCCGGCAACAGGGACTCACATTAGTCAAACCGACTCTGGCACCTCTGGTTTCCTGCCCGGTCCCGCCAAGCTCTTTACCATGGAAACTGCCAAACGGCCACCCAAGCAGAAATCGAAGCGGATTCCCCAGAACAAGCAGGTTGATGAGCTCCATGGAGATGAGAAGAGGAAAATAACCTTGACGACCCCGCGTAAAGCGAAGGCAAAGAAAAACCAAGCCCCTATTACACCTCTTCAAAAGATTGCATCTGTGACCCCAATGACCCCAGTGAAAGGCGTGGTTGGCACGGTCATCCCGCAGACCCCCGCGCCGCCAAAGACACCTGCCCCACTGATGACTCCTATGACCAGAGGAAATGAGCAGACTGTATCAAAGGCACCCATCGCGTACTCCAACCCGCAGCAGCGGCTTCAGATTCGAGAGAGACAACTTCGTTTTGAATGGCAGTTACTCCAAGCACAGCGAGCCCACTTAGAGCAGCAGCAGCCTCCCAGTGATGCACAGCAGCTCCAGATCTACGAACGGCAGACTCAGCTCCACAACGATCAGTTGAATATATGCAAACAGAAGATCATGCACCACAGAGAGCAAATGCGTGGATTCATGTACCGACAACAAAATCTACAGCATTTCCAGGCTGCAGCTGCTCAGCGACCTGCCTACCAAATGCCTGCAGTCTATCCTACCCCTCCCAAGGAGCGAGTGCAACCCACGCTGTACCAACCCCAGCAGGTTGCCTTTTCCGCTCCAGCCATGGGGCATGCACAATCCGGTTCCTCTCTTTCCTCTGCCTCGTCCTCTGCTTCGTCTGGCAAGAGGAAGTTCGAATTTGTGGAGAATGTCGTTCCTCCCAACTTTGTGGCCAACCCCAATAACCATGCCCGCTGGGATGTTGGCCCTGCTGGGGAACGGATCTACTTGAACGGGCGTCAGGCCAAGAAGGCCCGGATTGCACAGAAGTAGGATGGCAATGGGGCCTAGGGACAGGAGGGGAAGGGTGGGGGAAGGGTGCTTTTTTCGCTGATATCAATGTCCAGTGTATGTGTACATGGATGGGAGGATGAGAAGTTGTGGGAGGAGGAGGAGGAGGAGGAAGGGTCCTCTGGCCCCTGTATCTGTATCTTTAATCAAATCAATATTCTTACTTCTCAATTCCCAATTGAAACTGAATCCACGACTTCTTAGATATTTCTCACTTTTCTGGCTTCAGGTGAAAAGAGTCTCAGCAAATTGAGAGAAGCCAGACGTGTGATCTTGTCATAACTCGGTGAGCTTGCCACCCAGTCAGGTAAACACTTCTTTCATATTCAATGCTTATCCTCAGCTATACTGTTCTCTTGTCTTGACTTCTCTTTTCTTTGCTTTTCAACTTATTTTCAGAATAGACATCTTGTTGGAATCGAGTTGCTCGGCCTCTGCAACTTCCAGTATAAGCCAAGATGTTAGCCCTATAGGCTTCAGACTCTCTTTCCCTCGCTTTACAAAGCATTTAAGCACCGCAATGCACACCTCATTGCCTCTCGACGGGCTGTTCACTACTGTCAACCAGACTCTGGGCCTTCAACAAGACAAGCTCAGCTTTATCTCATCTTCCTTCAGACTTCGTGTCATTTCTTTACAGGATCACATATCTGGAATCGCGCTATCCCATCTCTGAATCTTGTCAATTCACGCTTGGCCAACCCTGCTCTGATAGCCCAAGTTACGCCAGCTTCCAGGCCTTCGATGCCCACGTGGCTCCACTCACTACTGCCCTATCCGTTACGTTCGCACCGGGGGATACAATCTGCTTGCGGGGATGGTATTTGCGCCATGGGACTACGGATTCGCATTGCTCTTGTTTATGCGATTGTTGTTGTGATGGCACGGATCAAAGGAGGGTGTTGAAGTGAGGAATGCAGGAAATTCGAGGCCACGAAGTTCAGCCTGTATTTGTGCCTTTGAATAAATGCTCATTCTTGCTACTCAACTCCTACTTCCAGGTGGACTACAGAGATCTACGAGAGAAATTGAGATTTTGTGGACAGTCACATTTGACAGCTAATAACCAACACGTTGTAATGCCAATTAGATAATAGAGGGTGCCCGGTACAATCATTGAGCCCAAAAACATTAAGACGACTGGCTATATTAGCGTCTTGCCAAGTCGTGCGCGATATTAAAACAGAACGCATCAATTCGCATTCGTCAAGCAGTAACATGAAAGTTTATTAGGGGTGGCTATATTAGCCCGTCAGGTCGTTCACGATGTCTCGTAGGATGGGTCGATTCCCGACCACCTTCGTGCCGTTGAATAGTTTTGCGCCTGTCTTTGAAGGCTTTCGAAGACCGCTGTTTTTCTGCCGGGATCCCAGTGGGCTTAAGGGTTCACGAGAAGACCGATCAGAGGGTGACTTCTTGACCACTGGGCTTGTCTTCTTGCCCTTACCCTTACCCTTGGCAGAGCCAGGGGTCGATGCCGCATCCGGAGACATAAGCTGCGATTGTGTGGCACAGGAATGGAACACATGGTTGTCGACTGCTCCACTGGGTAAATTGTAGACCCAGTGTTTGCTTTCCATCAGACGGACGTATTTGCAGAGGAGCTCGTTGCCATCACGGAGGGTGGATCTGCTGCCGACGACGAGGAGTTTGGTCTGGGCACGAGTGAAGGCGACGTTGACACGACGCCAGTCACGCAGGAGCTCGCCGACATTGTTCTCAGTGTTACTACGAACGCAGCTCAAAATGACGACCGCTTTGTCACGGCCTTGGAACTTGTCTGTAGTGTGCATTTCCAGATCCGGGGTATAGCGTCGCAGGCTCTGGCGGAGGAGCGAGAGTTGACTGCGGTAGAAAGTGATTACGCCAATATTGCGCGCGGGGATACCGCAGGCAATGAATGACTCCACTAGTTGTGAACAGAGGAACACTTCCATATGATTCACGATACGGTTTCCCTGCGCTATCTCGAGAGCCGCAGGGCCGATTGGGTCGGTGTTGACCAGGCGTGTTTTTGCAGATGGTGTTAGCAAGTCTCGCAACCAGCAAGGGGTACTCGGGGGTACCCGGGCAAATTTCTCGTTGAGATTGTGATGGAGCACGTTTGATGTCCTCGACATGGAATTTGTCGAGGACACCGATGTTGGGTATATCCAAAGACTGGGCTGCTACCTGCGGCGTACCGCATTTGAGACGGCCCGAGTAGATCAGTGTGTTGGAAAGCAACATGATTTCTTCACACATGCGGTACTGGTGCTCAAGATTGACAACTGAGTCTGGTTGTGCGTCCGAAAGCAGTTTGAATAAACTGACATCTAATCCTCCTTCCTGTGCCGCTTTGTTCTGCACAAGCGGAGGCAATTGATAGTGATCCCCGACTAGGATGAAAGTCCTTGCCATACGAATAGGGCCAAGGCAGACTGGAAGCGTGATCTGGGAAGCCTCATCGACAATGCAGTAGTCGAAGATACGCTGATTGAAGATGTTGTGATTGACTCCAAGGCAAGTGGTGGCAACAACCTGTGGCTTCTCGTACGAATCCTTGAGTTCTTCGATAGTAGACTTGGGAATTGCGGCAAGATCGGCAAAATCCTGAACATCTGGATGGATTTTGGCAGTCGCACCGATACGCAGCACACGAATGTTATCGTCGCGAATCTTGAGCAAAATGTTGTCAACCGCAGTATGAGTGTAAGATGTGAGGAGAACACTCTTGCCTTGTGCGACGAGAGCTCGAATGATATGAGCAATAGTTGTGGTCTTTCCAGTTCCAGGCATTCCAAGGACAAGAGCATAATCCTTGGCGCTCATTACCTTGTCAATAGCTTGGGTTTGGTCAACGTTGAGGCTGCCAGGATCAGTGATCGCATATGCGGATGATGTCGTCTTGAAGGCAGGCGGTTGCCCCTCGACAATGAGCCGTCGAAGCTGTCTCGCTTGGAACAAGTCTTTATCCATCATACAAATGAGGTTATTTCGAACAATGGCCATGCCGTTGCTGAATTCGTCTTTGTCAATCCGGTAGACAAATTGTTCCTCGGGGTCTTCCAGAGCAGCAAGCTCCTCTTTCCCAACCTCCATGATACCTCTGAAGGACTGATTCGTGACGGCGTCGAATCCAACCGTCTTTGATCGTGCATTGTGAAGTTTCCGGTCCACGCCAACTTTGATGTGTGACGAACTAGCATGTACCACGTATCCGTTGGCGAGAGCGAAATGGCCCTTTTCGTCGGAAACGACAATCGGGTCACCGACAGATATTTGAGATTCGGCAAACGAGAAGCCCAGGGGCGGCTGACGTTTGATAAACGTATAGTTATAGCGATTTATCTTTGTCCCGGTATTTTCCTCGTATACGGATCTCGGATCAATGACAACATCACCGAAGCATCGGCCCAGAGCCTCTCGTTCGTTGCTCAGCAATGTCCAAAGCTCTCGTCGGAACTTCACGAGGTTTCCTTCCTCTTTGGTCAGAAGTTCATCCCATTTTCGGAAGAAATCCCGATCGCCGTTGTTAAGATGGCCGACGGCGGCATCAAAGTCCTCGCCAAGTGCGCTGGTCTCGCCATCGCCATCCTCAGAAAGTTTGTGGTAGATAAAACAAGGAGTTCTGGCATAGCAACGAATACATTGACGTGCTTTTTTCAGCATCGGTGGAAGCTGTTCCCTTCCGCGAATATAGCCAGCTAGGTGGTTGCGCACCTGAATCATCTGGAGAAGCTCGTGTCGGATTCCGCGGATGCTGAGCGTTTTAGTTAACTCGAGGTAGTAGAGCAGCCCGAAAGTAACATCAACATCTGCAATAGATTTAGCAACTAAGTCAAGCAGAGTTGGGACCTCAAAAGATCGTATTGCCACTTACCATAGCGATCCGATAGAAGTAAAGTGTAAAGAGCTGTTTGGGCCCTGTGTGACTGGTTTGTATCTCTTCGTCCAGTTTTGAGTTCCAGCGGAACAACCAAGTTCTTTTCATTGTCATCTTCGCGAGAGGTGACTTGGACCGTCGCATCAATGTTGCCTTTAAGTCCATACATCGGGGACCAGATGTGCTCCTCGACCTCCAGCAGTTTGTTGATACTTAAATTCAGCTTAGAGCTATTGCGGTCTTCAACCAAAGAGTTGGCCTATGCATTAATCGTGGTTAGATGGGGAGTTATTTTGACCCAAAGAGGCATTCATCAGCTCCAGGACATACCTGTGGCTTGAGGTGTAGGAACATGTCTGCCCAGTCGACAACGGCAGGCATCCTGCTCATGAGATACTCAACAGCTTCAGGGATGCTCATTTGGATCGAATATAGCTCTTCGATGTGTCTACCCATGACGGTCTCAACCAATGTCTTCAACGAATCCATATCCCATTCATTCGCTTTGAGAGCTTCTTGGAAAACTTCGTGAAAGAACACACCAAAGGCTTGCGGTCTCTCGAGTGGACCGATAACTTTGACTCTATCTTGAAGAACAGCTCGGCGCTGGCAGTCTATTGAGTCTGCCACGACCGTTGCAGAGATGAGATGGTCAGGGTGAAGAATGATCATGTTCTTCGAGTTGTCTACAACGCATATACCCGCAGCGTTGAAGTCCCCGATCAGGTGAATATACGAATCTTTGCTGCAGGGAGTGTCGAACCATGATTCTCGCAGTATAATGGTTTTGCGACCTCTGGTTTTCTCATCTTCAACTAGTAACCCCTGTACTTAAAATCAGCGGACTGGAATATGGCCAGGGCAGGGACAAGTGATCTGACCTGCTCTGGCTGAGTACGTCCTTTTGAAGTGACATATGTGTTCTCCGTGATGTCAACGATCTGGTAACGTTTGATAGCTTGTCGACCTTTTAGGTTCTATTTGTTTTGACTGTCTTAGCATATATTTAGACATAAACCCACTAAGAATGACTAACATAAGCCGGACCTTCTCCACCTGCTGCTTGGTTCATAGTTTGCTCAATGGCCTCCAAATCAAAATCATCGTCAAACTCATCATCCGATGATTCCGTCTTAACATTGACTTTCGCGATAGCTGAAGTTTTACTATGCGTATTGCCGTTTATCGAGGGCCTTGTCGAATCTGACCTTTGCAAACCTGGTCCAGTGGTAGTTTGCCTTGATGAATCGAGTGGAAGGGGTTTTGTGTCGCATTTTGCGAGTATTTCTTGCAAGTTATCGGGAAGATCGTCATAGTCGTCGAATTCATCGGACTCATCATGCTTTGTTTCGTTATTTTTAGTGTTATCGGGGTTTGGAGGTTTGCTGTTAAGAATCGAATTCTCTTGAGGCTCCCATGAACGAGACTTATCTGCGGAAAGGACGCCCCAACTAGAGGATCCCAGAGAGGTATATTCAATAGACGCGTGTTTCGACTCAATAAAAGGATCCGCCGAGGCATCGGCCAGGTCCATCAGATCTTGATCAAGGTCATCGTCGCCAAACTCGGACGACGATTCTTGAAGAACGGGCAGTTGTCCTGTTTTCTCAGCTGGTAAAACACATGGAGATTGGGCAGCTTCTTCGGTAACTTTCTGAAGTTTATGGTCCTTTGTGGGCGAAGACGAGCGACACCTTCGCGCATCCATGTGTTGCCGCAGGGGCGAAGATCCGGGGGGACCCGCATCGACAGGGGCCATATTGATACTTCTTTCAATCTTCTCCATGAGATAGTTGATCCTTGACCTGGGTTTCCCCGATTCGACATTGCTGCTAGTTCGTTGAATTCCCCCACAACCAGCACCAGCATCAAGTCTGTTGACTCGTCGTCGTTTTGCCCGAGAGGCGGGGAACTCAGTAGTGCAGCTAATCGCGCGTCTAAGACCCGAGGAGTCTCGACTTGTTCTGCCCGAAGCTGGTGTTTGGGGCGATGAAGAAAGGAGATTTGCGAGGCGCGGCGGTGGAAAATCTTCCGTTCCATCGACCATGTTTTTATCTATGTAATTATTCCATAACTCGGCAGCCATATCGTGTTGCGGAGTCTTCAAAAGAGCCTGTATGGATTGGAGATCGAGGGCTTCCTTTTGGCCCTTTTTCTTATCTCCTTTCGTGGGAGAGCCAGCAGGCGAAGAACTATGCCGACGTTTCCTTCGGCGACCCGCTGGTGTCTGAGATGACGTATCTGGATTCGAACTGGCAGGCACATGTTGCCATATGACATGCTCAACCGGTGTCACTTCTGGACCTGGCGCGGGATCGAATGAATCTTCGGCATTGCTAATCAAGTCTGCGAGAGGGATCCTGTTTCCTGGAGTCTGAGGGCACTCTTTGATTGGTTTTGTGTCTTGTGCGTGTGTTTCCGGGGCTTGAACTTGGCGAGGCGGAGTATTGCCATTGCTGATGGGCGCCTGCATCAGCTCTACCGCACTGTCAAAGCCTAAGGGTTGTGCTTCCTTGCCACCATGAACTGGTTTCGTCTGGTCTTTGGAATCGGCACCCTCGGGAAGTGATCCGTCCTCTTTGAAGCGAAAAGCGTTCAACTTTGTTCGCGAGTTGGAAGATATCGGGTACGCATTCGTTGCCATTGCGTCGATCCGTGAATATCCAGTGACGCGTTCAAAATTGGTAAGGATACATTCCGCGAAAAGCTATACTATGTAGAGACGAACAATGTCAGGACTGGAGACGTATTCAAGTTCACAGATTGAGACATACCAATTAAAAAAGGGAATTTACTGGTTCAGTTGCTTTGTATGTTCGAGCATATGAAAAGATAAAACGAATGGCGAGTCCAGCGCCCTATTTGCCGCATGGGGAGAGGGGGTCAGGTGTGATAAGAACGCGTCGCGCGTGTAGAGCTGACACCTATTTTCCAAGGCAAGAGCGTAGTGCTGCCTGAATTATCGGGTGCAAAGGCGGAACGAGAAAACTGCCCAAAGTGGATTAGCGCAATGACTGGACAGCTTCCCGGCCTTTTACGGCTTCAACATCAACCCGCCGAACACCCCTCCACTCTCTTGCAAGAGGCACCCACATCAATTGACACTGTCCTTGCCATCTGAATCGACAGGGCAACTTTGAGCCTTGTGACTACCACCACTACACTTGCACGCCGTGTATCTTTGATCAACGCCAACCCTCCTTCAACCCCGTCCTCAAGATGAGTGCCCGGCCATTGTCGCAAATCCTCCGAGCGCGCTGCCTGCCTCGCACGGCTCAGAACACGCAGGCATTCTCTACTCGATCCACTCTTCGTGCTGCGGACCACGGTGACCACTACGATCCCCCCACCGGCTGGCTGTTCGGTATCAAGCCCGGTCAGAAGTATGTGAAGGAAGGCTGGGAGAACATTTGGTACTACGGATTCATTGGAAGCTTCTTGGTTGCTGGTGTCGCATACGTTTTCAAGCCCGATACCTCGTACGTACAATCCGTGGCTTCTAGCGCCTTGATATCAATGCGTCTGCTCCTCGCACAACTGAAATACTAACAATTGTGACAGTATACAAACATGGGCTCTCGAAGAAGCTCGGCGGAGACTGGAAGCTGAGGGTATCCTCGAGGATCCCGACAAGGTCAAGAAATAAACGTCACATTTGTACGGTGTACATAGAGATCGGAGAGGGACTATTTCTATTCATGCCTGTACTACCTGCAACGGCAGATCTGATGTTCCGGTCTCGTTTTTAGACAGGTTTTGTTGCATGCTCATCTATTTTCGTTTGTTCCTTGTTGTATCACTTTACCCTTTTCGAAGTTGCTTTCCGTCATGTTGGTTATAGGTGCTCCGGTCGCAAAAATTGGCTTATAAATTCGCACTGAGTACATCATGAGAATATTCAAGGTTAGATCCCTCAAGGTTGATATTGAATAGACGCATCGAAAAGGTAAGGGACAGAAAAATTATCGATTAGTATTCGCCCTCTCGCTACCTGGAGATCTCAAATCTCCGGATACAGATCATTACGCCGAAGCAGCGGCATTTCGCGCCGAACCTTCGCCACAAGATCCAGATCAATGTCAGCAGTTGCAATTTGGACACGCTCGTACTCCTCTTTTCCTCCTAACTTTGCTACCACTTCACCCCATGGGTTAATGATCATTGAATGGCCATAGCTGCATCTCTTCGCGTTGTGCTGGCCTGCCTGCGCAGCTGCGATAACGTATGATTGTGTCTCGATAGCTCTTGCCTGTAGTAACGGCTTCCAATGGGCCATGCCTGTTGGAACAGTGAATGCTGAAGGATATGTGATGATTTCAGCATTCTGTCGCCTCAACGCCAGGCTGATCTCTGGGAAACGCAACTATGTAATCTAGCATGAGTAAAAGATCGAACAGGCCAATGTCCAATGTGATGCAGACATCCAATCCAACACTTACATCGAAACAAATACTAAGACCAACACGCCCGATAGGAGTTCCAAATGGCTTCGGGATTTGTTGTCCTGGCTGGACGTTCCTAGAGATATCCAAAAATGTGAGCGAATGATAAGCCAAATACTGGGGTTTTTGTTGAAAAAACACTTACGCGCTCTCCTTGAGTACCGGTCCATCTTTGATATCGACGTCGAACAGATGGATTTTCTGGTAGTTTTGCGTAATGACCCCGTTGTTATCGATCCAGATCAATGAATTCTTAAGCCTCTTTCCGGAGGCTACTTCATGGATTCCGACATTTATGTGGATGTTCCTTTCTCTGGCCTCTCTCTGTAAAGATGTGACAAACTGAGTTCTCTCCTCAGACTGAGCGAGTGCGTACGACTCTTCTGCCGAGGCTGCGATATAGTCCGAGGCCTCTGGAAGAAAGAGCACCTATGATGTATGAGCTGACCACTGAGTACTTGACAATGAAAAGATCAAATATCACCTTAGCGCCTTGTGCAACAGCCATTCCCACCAGCTCTTTGCAACGGACTAGATTCAGACCTATGTCGGCAGTCGAGCATAACTGCCCCACGGCCTAAGTGTATATCGAAGCAGATGGTCAGATAGATGGATTGAGTCACGATGGAAAGTAGACATACTGCGCGAACCATGGTAACTGAGCAAATAAATCAGAAAAGAAACTTAGAATAAATCTTTAAGAAGAAAAGACCTTCACTGAAGCATATGAATGGCGTTGGTCAACTCCCAAGTGACGAGCTGATATGCTGACTCAGCTAGTTATCGCGATGATGGATCAGCGATAACCTTTCTTTCTGCCAAGACTCTCACCTTGGATCTTTCACAAGACAAGTCTCGACAGATTCAGCAACTGCCAAACTGCTGATTCTTACGATCGCAATGAAGAGTTTAAGGAGAGATTTGTCTGCCAACCCTCAGGCCGCAAATGTCACCAGCAAGGTCTTTGTGAGGTCCACGAAAAGTGGAAAGGTGCAAAAGATTGTCCGCGAGCTCTATCTGAGAGAAGATATTCCTTGTTCCTCTAAGCTCTGCTCACAATGCCCGACAATTGCGCCGGCTGATGCCAATGGAAACAGTAAGGATTTGATCGTAAACATCGTTAAGCCAGATGCTAATGCGGAACAGTTGCGCCGTTCATCCTATCTGATCGCCCCGCAGGTACGAAGGCATTCCCACGAGGCCACTACCTTGTTCCAGATACAAATGCGCTTCTTAATGGAATGGATCTGTTTGAACATACGGGGGCCTTCTATGATGTGATTGTTCTTCAGACCGTCCTCGAGGAACTGAGAAATCGATCACTACCACTCTACAACCGTCTCTTGGCCTTGGTCAAGTCAGACGAAAAGCGCTTTTACCTCTTTTTCAATGAGTTTCGCCGCGAGACTCATGTTCGGAGAGGTCCGGAGGAAACAATCAACGACAGGAATGATCGCGCCGTGCGCCTGGTAGCAAGCTGGTACGGATCCCACTTGCAACAATCGATCAAGAAGGGAAAGAAAGAGAAAGCGATACCAGCAATTGTGGTTATCACTGACGACAAGGAGAACCTTCGGAAATCTAAGGAAGAAAACGTGACGGCCTTGTCGCTATCCGACTATGTCTCCGGCTTGGAGGGTTCGGAGATGTTACTGGACATGATTAGCGAGTCCAAGGATGCGCGAGATGCCAAGGAGATGGCTCGTGGGGAACTGCTTTACCCCGAGTACTTTTCCATGTCGAAACTCACAACTGGTCTGCGAGCTGGAACATTGCACCAAGGAGTGTTTAATGTTTCGCCTTACAACTACCTGGAAGCCTCTGTTAAGACCGCAGCTTTCGATAAACCGCTTCTCATTCTGGGCCGCGATAATAGTAACCGCGCTATTGCAGGCGATGTTGTCGTGCTCGAAATTCTTCCACAAGATCAGTGGAAAAGCCCTTCGACTAAGATTGTGGACGAGGAGGCTGTGACCCGTAACGACAACCCTGATACCGAAGAGACAGAGGCAGTGGTGACAGATAGAGAACGCAAAGCTCTCCAGGAAGAAGTCAAAAAGGCTCATGGCAAGAACTCAGAAGGGAAGCCACAGCCTACCGCCAAGGTTGTAGGCGTGATCAAGCGCGGCTGGCGTCAATACGTCGGTCACGTTGACTCCAACTCTACTGGCTCACAGACCTCTGGTAGACGCCAACAAAATGTGTTCCTACTGCCGATGGACAAGCGGATCCCTAAGATCAGAGTACGCACGAGACAAGCTGCCGATATTCTCGGCCAGCGCATTCTCGTCACCATTGATTCTTGGGATCGGGATTCTCGATACCCCACCGGTCACTTCATTCGTTCTTTGGGTGAGTTAGAAACCAAGGGAGCCGAAACCGAGGCTCTACTGCTCGAATATGACGTGCAATACAAACCTTTCCCGAAATCTGTACTGGACTGTCTCCCGTCTGAGGGCCATGATTGGAAAGTCCCGGTTTCAAAGGAGGACAAGGGTTGGAACGGCCGCAAAGATCTCCGAGACTTGCTTATTTGCAGTATCGATCCTCCCGGTTGTCAAGATATTGACGATGCACTTCATGCTCGCCTTCTACCAAACGGAAACTTCGAGGTCGGTGTCCACATTGCGGACGTATCGCACTTCGTCAAACCCAACAACCCAATGGATCTCGAGGCTAGTGTTCGCGGAACTACTGTCTACCTAGTCGATAAGCGTATCGACATGCTTCCGCATCTTCTTGGTACGGATTTGTGCTCTCTCAAGCCATACGTTGAGCGATATGCGTTCTCGGTTTTGTGGGAGGTGACACCCGATGCCGAAATTGTGTCTTCGAACTTCACCAAGTCGGTCATTCGCTCCCGGGAAGCATTCAGTTACGAACAAGCTCAGTTGCGCATTGATGACAAATCGCAACAAGATGAGCTCACCCAGAGCATGCGCACCCTCTTGAAATTCTCCAAGATTCTCCGTCAGAAGCGTATGGATGCCGGTGCCTTGAACCTTGCTTCCCCGGAAGTACGCATTGAGTCCGAGGGCGACGAAGTGGGTGACCCTCTGACAGACGTCAAGACGAAGGCTATGCTTGACACCAACAGCTTGGTCGAGGAATTCATGCTTCTCGCCAATATTACTGTTGGTTCGAAGGTCTACGAGTCCTTCTCCCAGACGGCCTTGCTACGTCGCCATGCCACTCCCCCGCCCCAAAACTTCGAGGAACTCATGAACCAACTCTCGAAGAAGCGGAACATGGAGCTCGATGTTTCCAGTTCGCGAGCTCTGGCTGACTCCTTGGATCGCTGCGTTGATCCTAAGAACCCATTCTTCAACACTCTAGTCCGTATCCTGGCGACCCGTTGTATGACCTCTGCCGAGTACTTCTGTGCAGGTGCCTTTGCCGAGTCTGAGTTCCGCCATTACGGTCTTGCCTCGCCCATCTATACCCACTTTACATCACCCATTCGACGTTACGCCGATCTGATGGTCCATCGTCAACTGGCTTCTGCCATTGGGTACGAAGGAGAGGATGGACATGCAATCATCGAGGGTGTTACCACCCGAAACAAGCTTGAAGATATCTGCCGAAACATCAACGTCCGTCACCGCAATGCACAGCATGCCGGCCGCGCTAGTATCGAATACTACGTTGGTCAGGCTCTCAAGGCTCGCGGAGAGAAGATGGCCGCCGACGGCGTTGACGCGGGCATTGAAGAAGAAGGATATGTCATGCGTGTCTTCGAGAACGGTGTCGTCATCTTCGTTCCCCGTTTCGGTATCGAGGGTGTCGTTCGTCTAGAGGACTTTGTCCTGCCCGGTGAATCTGGAGCACGCTCCGTCGCCGAGAGACGGGAGCTGGCCCCTCACCGTACCACAGACTTTGATAATGAGGAATACACCCTTCGTGTATCAGAGAAGGGTCAGGAGACTGACCGCAGTGTCACTGTCGAACTCTTCCAGAGGGTTCGTGTCAATGTCAGCTCAGTCAAGGAGGAGGGTCGTGGTGCTGGCAAGAGAAGGGTTCGGATTCTGGTTACGGAGGCATGAATCAGAAGCTACATTGATGTAGATTAGATCTAGGTATCGAAACGGCGTTCAAATCAAAGGACTGGCAGATCATCGTCTATTTTTGTATGTTCATTTTGTCTGGCATATTTTTACTCTGCCTCATGCATTTCCCTTTATATATATTCAAACCTTCTTTAAAGTAACCATATTGCGACATAGACAGACCGGGGCCCATAGCTGGGCATCCGACTGGGTGGCCTCCACGGTCGAGGAAACAACTGCAGTTTGATCTTGCTTCTCGTTCCCTCCAGCCCTTTGGGTCAATGGGCCAGTCTGCACGACCGAATTCTGGCATCCCTGAGAACGCTCCGATTCGCCGACCTTCCAGCCGCGAACGAGCCACAAACATACGGAAGCACCCAAATACATAAATCCAGTGAAGATCTGAACACGAAGATATGAAGTCCCGCCATCAGCATAATGACTGCGGAGCTGCAGGGCAATTGGCTCAGAGACAGTGCAAGGGATAACAAGCGCCAGCCAGGTAATGCTCAAGCCGGAAGGAAGGTCCCTGATACCAATGATTTCCGCCAGGACGGGAGAAACAGTAGCCCAATATGTCCCTGCAACAGTGCCGACCAACACGGCAAAGAAACATACCACGCCCATACTATCAGCGAAAGTCCAGATGATGAGACAGAATAGACCGCAGAGGAATGTTAGGAAAGTGGCAATATTGATACGACCAAGTCGATCACTGAACATGCCAACAAACGGACGACCAAGTCCCTGTCCAAGATTGAGCAACGCCGAGACAATACTTCCTTGATGCGAGGAAAGACCAACGGAGAGGGCGAAGTTGGCCACGCTGAACAATAGCGCCACGTAGCCTAGCATACTGAACATACCCCACCCGAGAAAGAGCAAGAATTCCGGGCGACGCAGGAGGGGTAGGTGGAAAGCCGTGAATCTACTGCCGACAGCCTTATTGCGATCCCGGAGTAAATTGCAGCAGACCAAGTTCACAACGCAAGAGATGATACCCAATATGCGGAATGCCCAGCCCAACCCGTAGCGCGGGATAATGGCACCCACTGCGAGGGAGTAGATCAGTCCGCCGAGGCCAGATCCAGCGGCGTTGATACCCATAGCTACACCACGGTGTTTGCTGAACCATTGCGGGGTGATACCGACGCTACCCACAAAGAGGAAACCCATGCCCCACCCGAAGCAGACGCCTTGACTAAGGAAAATGTGCCATTTTTGGGTTGCGAATGAGGCCCCGATTAGGGAGAGGGTCTCGAGGAAGATGCCCAAATTGAGGACGAGGCGGGTGCCCCATTTGTGGATCATGTGGGTGGCTAACGGGGCCACCAGGAGGGCACAGGAGATGCTCAGGCCGCCTGTGAAGGCGTATGATAGGGCTGATGTGTTCGGAAATACATCGTTCGAGAGATAGTGGCTCAGGAACACACCGTAACTCTGAATATTGGAGTGGTTAGTAAAGAGCAGAGTGAAAGAGCGATCCGGAATTCATGACTCACGCTGTTGATACCCCAGGTATGCGCATTGATCCAGAAGACACAGGCGACACAAACCCAGCCGTAACCACCGTCCGGGGGAACATCCAGCTTGTATTTCTCATCTTCATCGATCTCGAGCGACGTTGCCGACTGCGGGTTTACTTGCTTTTCTTGTTTTGCACTTTCTCGGTCCAAGTCATCTTGATGAGACCGAATGATATCAATCGGCGCATTGTCCGTCATAGTCCCTTGGTCCGATTCCAGTAGCTTACTGATCTTTATAAGATAATGGCCTTGTTTGATCAAGGCTGAAACCGACAACCGTTTGCGTCACGACATGAGTATGCAGTGAGAAAAAAAATCGCAAAGACGAAGACGCTAAAAAAGAGACTAGAGAAGGATCCTGGGTAGCTCATAGTTATAATAATTGGTAGAGATACATAAATGGAGGCACCGGACAACGCGCCGATATCAGGGAGCTATGCTCGTATAGAGAAAAGATACCCGGGGGCTCGATGGTTGCATTCTTGCAATCGGCGATATTTGACCAATGGAAGAGGTTTGACGGTCTAGAGCTTGGGACTCAGCGACTCGGCGATTGGGGTCACTTCGGAGGTGCCCGCAGCGTTCACTTGGCTGTGGGGTATTAGTGCCGAGCAGCCGATGCGGAGGAAGATTGGGGTTCATTTATATTTGGCTGTGGGGGGAGTTTAGTTCCATATGAATGCTGAGCAGAGCTTATTTGGTGCCAACAGAGATCCGTAGGGCTGAGCAGGTCTAAGGTTGTTCTGCAAGGAGGTTAACATGCACATCAACATCCCACATGGACACCTTCCTCGTCAGGTCCTGCGTGGTTCCCATTTGGGCATCCTAGGGCTTCACATGCCAAGCCCTTATCGGACCTGATAATGGATGAGTCATCCGTTGCCTCGCGACGGGGTTTGTTTGGAGGGGAACAGCGCAATGACGCTAGCCAACTCAGAGCGTCAGGCGTAGATCGCAACTAGGCTCTTCTCATCTTAGTCCTTTTCTCCTAGTCCCCTGCGTCATCCTTACTTCTTTGGATCCTGTCTCTCCAAACCCTTGCAATCAATCATTATGCATAAACATACTGGCCAGAGGAAGATATCTCCTCCGGGGCCGTCGTTCATGTCCAATGATCAAGTTGGTGAGTGGTTGTCTCATGTTCAACTGCTCGGTGAGTCAGGGCTGATACATATGGACAGCAACATACTTGAAGGACCTACGGGCAAACCGTCCTGCCCGTCCGACCGGATCCCGCCCTTACCCTGGTAGAGCAGCTGCGTCAACGAGTTCGGTGCCCGATAATCCCCCAAGGGCATCCTCGGCATTTTCCATGCACAGGCCGGTTGAAGATGAAATCAAAGATCACCCTCGTCCAGGCAGTGCGATGTCTCATCGTCGGGCAAATTCCTATGTGCCTGGCGGCGGCGCAATGGGTCGTCCTTTAGCCCAGGAACCACGTACGCATTCAATCCGAAAGAACGTATTTCCGGCACAAATACAATCGCGAATTATCCCCATCCCAACATCTCCAACCCTATCTTATCGGGAAAATGGTCAACGACGACATGAAAAGGAAGAGGCACGGTTATTACGAGATGCCTTGCAGAACATGGATGTGCAGGACGATATTGGTCTTCACCAAGCAGCCCAAGATGAGGCTACAGAGCTAGTTTGGATGCACCAGAACCCTGGGAAATCTTTCAAGAACCCGTATGCGCCATACCACAATCCCGATGCCAACCGACGCAGTGAGAGCCCTGTCCGGAGTCCTGTCCGGAGCCCTGTCCGAACTGGTTCACGGGGGTTTGGCTCCCCAACTCACAAATTCAGTCAATCAACTGGCTCGTGTATGTCTGATGCTGGTAGCTCCAGCCCTGAATCAATTCAGAAGCGATCATCTCTGGCTGGACCTTCGAAGAAGAATCTCAAAGTCAACTTTAAGCTACCTGACGAAGAGCCCGAGCCGCCTGTTGAGCCCAGGCCGCCCAGTGTCAGTAGTGACTCTTCTAAAGGAATTTTTAGGAATCCCAATGACCAAATCTATGAAGAGCCTGTTGATGTTCAGAAGCAGCATAAAGAAAAGCCTACTTTTTCTAAGTCCGACTCTTCAGCTTTGAAAAGCAAACCGCGCAACGCTTTGGGACGCATCCCTAGACCATTGCCTTGGTTGCAGAATAGAGTCCACAGTAGCCCTGTGATGGATAAAATCTCGCGATTCGAATCCCAAAAGACCTCTCCAACTCAGCCGCGTAATGCCGACTATACTCGAAACGGAAGCGCTACTCCCCCTCCCACCCAGTCCCATAACGCTGGCTACACTCGGAACGAGAGTGCTTCTCCTACTCCGCCTCCATCTGAAGACAAGAACGAAAGTTTCCCCACCAGCGAGGGAAAAGAAAGACGAAGTGATGAGATCCGTGCAGCTACTAGCAAAAGAAGAGGAGATCGGAGTGAGAAGCTACCAATGCCTTCAGCCGTCAGTGATCGGGTTGGACGCCCAATTGTGAGCTTTGACAAAACATGGCAACCAACTAATGAGCCAAAGCCTGAGCGTCCAAGCCTCCCTATCATTGAGGTAGCAGCGCCGGCCATTGAAGTCTCAGCCCCCTCAATTGAGGTCTCCGAGGCTCCTTCCATCCCCGTGATCAACATTCCCGATATCAAAGTACCAACGATTTCAGAGATAGAGGCATCCTCTAAACAAGCGAACAAAACAATGCCTCAGACAGCAAGAAATAGCCCGACTAAACCGGGTTCCACGAGAAAACAGGGATCCGAAATGCAGAATCGTTGGTATTCGCCCTATATACGATCTGGTGTCCCAACTGCAAGCTGTGAACTATGTTCGCTTGGCATTTCCGGAAAAATTGTGACCGCTGGCGGATGTCGATTCCACCCTGAATGTTTTACTTGTTTCCACTGCCACACAGCCCTCGAATGCGTGGCTTTCTACCAAGAACCCGAGGCTAGCAGAGCCGAGAGACTCGCAACTGGGGTTGATGACCGTGATGCCCGTGTGCCCCGGTTCTACTGCCATTTAGATTTCCACGAGATGTTCAGTCCCCGCTGCAAGAGTTGCAAGACCCCTATAGAAGGAGAAGTGGTGGTGGCATGCGGTGCCGAATGGCATGTCGGCCACTTCTTCTGCGCAGAGTGCGGTGATGTACGTATCAATTCCCCTTTGAAAATTTTGCGAGCAAGAAAACTGACAATTCTTCCACCATACAGCCTTTTGATTCCCAAACGCCCTTCGTTGAGAAAGATGGATTCGCATGGTGTCTCCACTGCCACTCACGCCGTACTGCACCACGTTGCCTAGGCTGCAAGCAGCATGTCCTGGATGAGGTTGTCATCACCGCAATCGGCGGCCAGTGGCATGAGCACTGCTTCAACTGCTACGAATGTGGCGAAGGATTCGGCCCTGAGGGTCGATTTTTCGTTCGTGAAGGGGAGCCTAAACGGACAGCCAAGGGTCGCATCATCGGCGGCCCGGTTCAATTGGCCATCTGCGAGAGATGTGAAGGCATCCGCCTCAAGGCGCCTGGGATGTGCTAGCCTTTTGCATCATATATTGGGGACGATGACTACCATGTTTTCACGAGATTACTGCTTTTATGATAGATCCACGCATGATTTCGGTGTTTGATTGTTGCATCATTCCATTTCTCGGAGCGTGTTCTACACATTTGTTTCCAGACCTCATCTCAGGTCTCATTTCGGGAGTTTGTTGTTTTCATGTTGTTTTGTTGTTAGCAAGCGAAATTGATATTGGCAATGCATTTTAGAATGAGAAATGAAACGCCTCAAACACCTTTCTTCTCTTGACCTATCATTTAAGACCAACATTTTGGATAACCTCCCCGTATTCTCCGTTCCGATAATAAGGTATCTAGTTCTCTCTGCTTTTTCAAGCAGGCCACTCCGGGTCGGCCTTGCGCCTGAAAACAGCAACATACTTGTTACCCTTATTCCTCGTCACCTTCTTCGATTCCTCCGTCTCAAACTTCATCACCCGCACACAAGGATCAGCCGCAAGCTCCTCCTCAGAAACCCGCTCGAAAAGATCCTTGCTGCTCGCCGGACCCGCCGTACCATCTGGCTGCTCTCCGTGCAGGAAATGCCTCAAAACCCAGTGGTGATACTCCTCCACATCGGTAATGGTATACAGCAGACCGCCAGGCCGCAGAACATACGCATACTCGCTGTTCAGAGTCTCGGAGACAATACGAGCCTTGTGCTTACGGGCCTTAAAGTGCGGGTCCGGGAAACAGATGAAAATCTTAGAAAGCTGATGATGGCCGAAGAAGTTGGGAAGGAACTTCATTGTGTTGCTGCGGATTGCGCTGACGTTTTCGAAGTTTCCGGGGAAGATCTTGTCCGTGCCGACTTCATCGTCGTTGACTGGAGCAGAGGCTGGGTTCGCTTCGGTGCTTTCGGGCTGAGGATTTTGAGACTCGGATTGTTCTGAAGGGTTGGCGGCTTTGTTCTTGAGACGTTGTTGTTGGCTGCGTAGGGCGTGGATGCGCGAGCTGAGGTATTCCAGCACTGAAATGCGGATTTCCATGCCTTGTTTTTGTTGGTTAGTTTTGTGTTTTTTTCTTTTTCTTTGGAAAGCATTGGGTTGGATATCGTGGTGTACTCACCAACCATCAGGGTATCTGGCAGCAATGGCGCAAGGCCAACCATTAATCCACCGAATCCGCATCCGATATCCACGACCTCGACTTCTTTGGTCAACTTGCGGCCGCCGCTGAGAGTTGTCTTGGATGGGTCTGGATCCACGAATGCAGGGTAATGGGATGACCAGTCCATATGCGCAGGGCTAATGGGGCTATTTGAGCGCAAGTCGTTAGCTGTGTGCCCGTGACGGGATGTCTGGGAATTGTCGCCAGCGAAGCTCGGAGCTTCTGAACTGCACCATTCGATACAATGGCAACAAGGAAATGAGGGCACATACTACTCTAGCCGGTGGTCAGAGAAAGGATTCGCATGCGCGCGCTGGCGGAAGAATTTCTTCTGCGGCATCTTAATGACGGAGCCATCGGTAGCTTCCTGCTGTGTCTGGATGGAGCGGCGGTATTCCTCGCGCTTGATGCGCTTCGCAGGGGGATTATTGGTGGCCATTGTGCCAGCGAAAAACAGGGAGGAATTGGGGGAGTCGAACGTCGAGGCCGAAGACAAATTTGAGAAAATCCTCCCCGCCGATTGGCCCCACCTGTTACTCCAACGCTCTCACAGCTTCACTTTCGACTTCTCCAGGACTTGTTACTGTCTTGTCTGTTGGTTTTTGGCTGTCCGGTTCTTATTTTGCTGTTGGGTATCTACTCTCTATTCCTTCAATATGACAACCCCCTCCCCTTTTCCGTTTCCACCAACTTATAACTTCCCCCCTCTTCTTCACCCCGCAACCAAACACAACAACCCGTCATTCCCAGCTTGAGAAATGGTCCTCTCTGATTCAATCCTGGTGCCGACACCACCGCCAATATCGTCTTTCTTTAATAGACGCTGTGGAAACACCGCTCTTTCACAATGCGGCCTTGCGTAAGCGCCTCGATCTGCGCGAGGTACGCGCGGTGATTGACTGGATGACCAAAAGTGAAGAGGAAGGCGGTGGTGGGCGCCGGGCGGAGTGGATCGCCGATTCTGGCGGTGCTTCTTCCTCAGGAGGCTTGGTTAATGGTTCTGGACAGGGGCCAAAGGCTGTGGCATGGATCTGGTGGAGAAGGCCGGAGGAGTGGGCGGATGTACTGGTCGAGTGGGTTGAGGGGACTGGCCAGCGAGGTTCCGTTCTGACAGTTTATGAACTTATCCATGGGGAGGGAGCGATGTCACAAGGTGAGATGCTTTTCTTTTGGGTAGTGTTGTCTATAGCTTGTGCTAATTTGAGTCTACAGAGTTCCATGGCATGGATACTGATGTCATGCTCCGCTCGTTGAATGTCTTGGTCAAGAGAGGCAAAGCCCAGATATTTGGTGGTGAGGGCCAGGAAGGTGTCAAGTTCTTCTGAAGGACGCAAGATAAGATGCTGGGATTTCTCTATGAGATAAATCGTGGTTATTCGTGACATAAACAAAGTGCTTCACATGTGCAGGTCAAAAGATACCCAAACTACTCGCTGTTACTCCAAACTTATACACAGAATCCATATTCCTGGGCTGGAACCTTGGAAGCCCTGGAGCCCCAAGTGAATAGGTGATGCGGACTTGATACCGTGCAGGATTGGTATCGGCCTACTCATCCGTCTGCTCGATCATATCCTCAGTCAACTCGTACTCGTTGGCAGTACGTGTCTCTTGCGACATGGCCATGTCGAGCAGCCAGTCAACCCGGACTATCCGTGGAGTCTTCTTGATGTCGAGCGCCAATTGACGGAAACGAGGCCAGACTCGGCTGTGCTTGGTCCCAGCGCTGCTGAGAAGGAAGACCTCCCTCCGGGCGGGATGGTCATTTTCTGATTCGCTTTCTTCGTCGTCACTCTCCTCCCGACGAGAATGATTTGCGACGGCTAGACGACCCCGGAAAAGCATGCATTCGCCTCCATTTGTTTCCACAATGGACTTGAATGCATCGAATCCACCGCGGATGTCTTCGACGCAATAAATGCGATATCCCTGAAGCATCTTGTTCTTGTTCTTCTTCGCATTCGTCGTGACAGAAGATAAGTCGAAATTGTACTTCTTCTCGGCTTCTTTATCCTCCAGAAGGTAATCGGATGGGTCCAACAATTTCTCCGCCTTTAGACAACTGTCGATGAAGTCTGTGCTCATGATAGTTGGCGCATATGCGAGTGCATTGACGAACTTCGTGGTCCGCAAGATCGAGGGTGCAGCTAAGTGCGTGCATCGTCGAGCATCTTGGACCACCATAATACCAAGATCTCGAAGGCCTCGCTGTGATAGTGTCAGTGGGATTTGTACCAACCATTTTCATATCTGTAATAGCCAAACAAACCTTGTCTGCATCTTCTTTCTTCTCGTTGCCCTTCCCCACCCACTTTTGGTAGCCAGTAATCAACAGGTGCATAGCAATTGGTGGCCGAGACTTTTTCTGGCGCTTGGCTTCCACCGCGTGTTCGCCGTCGCTCCCATCTTCAGGTTCCACTGAGGCACGCTTCTTATTTCCTTGAACCCGATCCTCGTCCGACTTGCGTCTGCCGCCATAGACAACACCCCCCACGCGCTTCTTCTCCTTTTCGTACAAGGCAAGATCTGGCGCATATTCGTGAAGTCGGGCAGTTGCTGCGTCTTTAGACCTGCGACTGCTAGTCGACGACGGCGTCTCGTTTTCTTTGCCCTCAGACATGATTCGAGTCCGTGCAGGCGTTTGAATAGGCCGGCGCGTCTTCTCACTAGCCTGTGGGGTACCGGTAGCATTCGGAGTATCTGTGTGGTCTTCATGAATCTTCCGTTTCTTCTCAGCAGGCGGCTGCACAGAAACCATGTTCTGGTGCTTGCTCTGCACTGTGCGCCGTGGGCTTTGGGCAGCAGTCTCTACTGATGAGAAAAAGACTTGCTCCAGAACATTGCGGTCGAGACGAGTCTGACCTGCGACTTCCCCAAGATTGGTTCGGAGTGGGAAGTGGCTGTAGCGCGGGTTTGAAGCTGGTTGCAGCTTCCATTTCGCATAACTGTCCTCCAGCCACAGATGGTTAACAACTTCAAGACCCCATTCTTTCGCCGCATTGCACTTCTCACTGGTACCATGAGCTGTGATTAAATGGGTATTTTCTTGCTTTAATGTTTTGGTGCATTCTGCACCTGCTGCTGCGATCAGGTTCTCCAAGTAAATTCTGGCTTCACCAACATAGTTTGACAAACTGATCTTCAAGCCTTCAAACCCGGGGATGCCGGTGCGAGACACCGGGTAGTGCAGTAGTCTTCTGAGCGGCGAAGTATATGTGTTGAATGTCATGAGACGGTAGAGCCATGCGAGATTTCCAACGTCAATATTCAGTCGCGAGGCTGTACGGTATGCAAAGCCATCTCGGTAGCGGCAGATTAACATGTCTGCCGCATCAATATTTGATGTCATTTTAGCACCGCCTTGCTCGAGAACAGCCTGGATTGATTCCTGCAAATGCGAGCCGATTCCGAGATCCGGAGACAGCATAATAGATTTGCCTTCGAACACACTGCGTTGTCCCGATATATGCGCCGAGCCAGCCATAGTGGGCAGCTTAGACGGGTCTGTTGTCGACGCGCCAACCAAGTCCTTATTCTCGTGCCATCGGATTGGAGTCTCCGGGCCCACGCGCAATATCTCTGGGTCTGGAAGTGTGTACGGGCGTTCGTCGATTCGTCGACCAAGTTTGAGGCAGTCGTCAAACCTATTCTTGGTCAGTGCGGGTTTCGGGCTTTTATGCTGTCAGACTCACCAGTGCGGTAGTACGATCTTCACATTTAATCTCTTCGCCTGTACCATGCGCGCCTTGTCGGAATCGGCCGTCAGGTCCACCAAGTGAGTAACCATCTGAGAAATCCTTGGAGCATACAATCCACCCTTCGCTACCACGCCGCCTATGATTGCATCCTTGTCTCCCTCGGGTATATCACCACATGTAACCACGACATCGTTCATGAACAGACGGGGGTCTGGGCTGTATTGACGAGGATTGGCCAGTTTCTTCTTCAGTAATGAAGTATTCACCCATTGTGGCTTCACTACAGGGATCAGCGCATCGCAAGCGGTATCGTAGGCTTCGAAGTCAATCGTGATAGATATCAAGTGGCTAAACTTGGCCAGATCCGGGACCTCAGCCCCGGTTTGAACGATCAAAGGGTCACCACCATTTTCTTCGATGGTTGTTGCGAGCTAGGCGAGGTTTTTGAGTCAATGCAAAGCAGGCTATACTAGTGGCGGGCAACTACGTACCTGCTCCGCGGCGTCGCTCGAGAGATCTTTGGAACATATGATGCAAAGGCAACACTGCTCGAAGAGTCTCGACTCTTCATTCTCAGTTGCCATGGCCAAAATATTCGAAAGGGCTATACACTTGGAGATCGGGTTGCTGATTGGAAATCCCCGAACAAGTCACATCCGTAAAAGGACGCGCCGACGCGTGGCAGTTACGCCGAATCACGTGAGCAAAGCGCGCCGGAGATCGGGTTACTTGTTGCGTTAAAAGATGTGTATTGAGTGTAAAAATGCCTTGAAATCATTTGGTAAAAATCAAGGTACGTCAGTTTTATCTTTGGTTCTCTCAAAATCCAACTTGGGCGTAAATGTAGGGAACTGGAATCTTCGATGTAAGACGCTGATCTATACACTCGAATCCAGGCATCTACACCAGCAATCCTTTACCGTGACATCGCCACTTGAACTTATCTAAAACCCACCTAGCGAGTGTTTAACTACTGCTTATTGAACTGCAATCAATGCGAAGGCTTCGAACCAACGCTTCGTTCAAGCCCTCGGTGTACACTGTTAATAACCCGTCGCAAATGGAATCCAATTCAATCATCTCAATCCAACGGCCCTAAAGCATTCCAGACACATTCTCGCTATCTCTCCAACATAAAATTTTTCACCCTGACCAATGCTGATTCAGACACTCATACTACCATTTCCCTCCCTCATTCACGTAGACTCAGTTCTTGCCCTCGGGCACAGGACCAAATGCTGTGTCTATCAGGATGGAAGACAGATACGGACCAGCAAAGATATCAGTGGCAATGTCGACCGGCCAATCCTTTCGGTCCTCGGGCTCGAAGTCGATCTCGGACACACGCTTGGAGATAGTCTCGGAATCGGAATCGGACTCAGATTGACGGTAGAAGTCAAGAGCAAGGCGATGTGCAGTTTTAGACTGACCAGATTGCTCAGACAAGCAGTGATGAACAAGAGTTTCTGACGCAACCGGGCGTGTCAGACTCGACAGCTGCTTGGTGTCATTAACACAACCACTCTCGGGTTCGATCCTACTGCTATACCTACGTGGTCCATCTGCATAGCATGCCGGGGTCGATGGAATCGGGTGCCATACTCTGCGGCAAATAGAGTATCAGTGCGCCTTGTGTAGCTCGTCATTAGTATATGCTTCAAGTTATCATCGAAAGAAATCATAATGATACGCACGCAATCTGCTCCAGAAAATTACAATAGGCGCCAATCAGGGAGACACGGGCATACTGTAAATCGGGCTCGTTGATGAAGAGAGCATCGCGCCAACCTCCCGTCAATACCCAACGCTTGATCGCATTACTTCCAACCTTCTGCCGCTCAACCGTACCTCCAGGCCTGCCAGTCAGGGGAAGGGCTATAAACCATCAACATATGCTTAGCATGTGTGGATTTGATAGTGGGATACTGACTGGCTCCGGCATGTTGATTGCACAAATTTACGGTGTATCCACTTTGCGTGGTATAAGTCTTACCGCACATAGTTTCGCCGTCGGACGAGATATGGCAACTAAATCTAGTTAGCCTAGTCCGGGCTTTTCAAAAAGCTAGCCATGTAACAGATACAGAAGCATTCCAATTTCGTTCCGGAGAGACATAGAGCCTGGTGGCCCCTGGCCGCTGAGAAGAGCATTTGTAATCGATAGATATGATTCTTGTTTTGTTTGAAGGAAGTTTGGGGGCGTCCAGTCGGGATTATGATCTATAATAGGTCCTATGGAGACTTAGTGTATATCTGGGTAGAGAGAGCACAATAGTATTGCTCGATACTTGCCATGAGCGTAACCCCAAACTGGATGTGGGTTAACTGTGCCCAGCACATCTGGATTGACAAAGTCGTCTTTCGAAAACAGTGTGTGCCAATTGTCTACTTGTTTGATAAACATGATTGATTATGGACGAAGATTCTGTCTAGGTAGGAAACCTGAAAGGTCGAGTGTTGTAATGGAAAGAAAGGTGGAAAGAACAACAAACATATAATGGCCTTTTATACATCACTTGCATGCAAACAGAAACGATGTAAAACTTTCAGAATGTGTTCCTCAGGCAATGCTATATGGAGTGTTAGGCAAGTTACCAAGTATCTCAGGGGTAAGGGTTGTCTATATACTCATCTAAAATTGATAGATCAATATCTAACTCCATCCGCTAGATATCTCTCTGAGCGCGACCTCGAATAAAATCCATCCTCAAGAGCTAATGATAAGAAAGATAGTCATTGCTCCATATTTCAGCTGCTATATACGAATGAATATGTGAATCAAAGAGCCCGGGGATATCAACACAAAAACAAAGAGGCCCAACGGCTCGCTCAAACAGCCACCAAGCTAGATGCAAAAACAAAGCCAACGAGAGAAAGCAAATCAAGCCGCCATCGTCAAAACATACGAAGTAATGCTATCCATGCGCTCAGTCGTCAACTTCAAGCTGACAGTCAACAGCTCACGAGCAATACGCGGCTCTTCATCCTGCAGCGCTTTCCACTGCTCCCCCGTCAAACACCAAGCCACGCAATCGCGCTCGGCTTTGACAGTCGCCGTGCGGCGTGTGTCACTGAAGAAGGGCAATTCGCCACACGGTCGACCAGCGACAATGAGCTCGAAATACCGGCCCTGTGGGAGATCGTAGCCGGCGCGCAGCATGCCAGACTCGAGGAGATAGAAGGCGCGCGGAGCGTCGCCTTCGTGGTACAGAACTGTCTCGGCTGGATAGTACTCACGGGAGAAGTAGGAGCAGACGGGGAACCAGAAATCTTCGTTTTGGGTTGAGAGGCCTTGGAATGTTTGGAGGAGTAGTGGGAGAGGTTGGCGCATGGCGGACCAGGCGGGGGAAGCCATCATTGCTGTTTCGTGCGCTTGGATGGTTGAGGTCGCTACACGTTGCAGGTACTGGCGGCGAGGTGAGCTGACAACATTGTCGGCTAAGGAGGTGATTTGAGATCCCGAGGGCACGGGGACGGAGACGGGGACTTCGAGGAGTTCGGAGTTGGCGGTTGGGTCAGTTGGTGTTGAGAGTGCCTCCTGTCGACTGTAGAACACTTTCAGGTAGTCATTTTCACAGAACTCGAGGGCCGAATTAAGGTCCTCAAATATGGGAACACCGGACTCTGGCTCGAATAGGCCAACATTCTGTAGTGATTTGCCCACATCACCTTCAACATTCAGGCCAGAAATGGCTGTCTGTACGTTGCGCTTTCGGAGAACGCGATTGATGCGGGTGAATGCTTCGGCGGCCGAGAAGTCGAGCCCGTAGACACGAGAGAAGTCGAGAATGAGGAATCGAATGGGTCGGCGGTCAAAGGCTTCATCCTCGATCAGACCACGCATGGTGTTCTCGACATTCACGATGGTTCCGAAGAAGAGATATCCACCAAGTTTTATGATCATCGTTTGCTGCCCAGCCTCACGCAAAAATTGTTGTTGGATAGGAGGACGTCGGACTGTCGACCCGGCAATCTCCCCCGAGTATGTGGCACGAATGGCAGATTTGCGAGACGTCTGAACGACGAAATTCACGCATGCCAAGATGATGCCAACAAATATTCCGACGACGAAATCCCAGGCGCCCATCGTCACGACGATAATGACAACTGTTAGATATTCAAGCCGGGAGAGTTTTCCCCAGGTATCTACCAGGGCTTCCTGCAAAAGCTCAATGCCTAGCAAGAAGATCAAGGCACCAACGACCATAATGGGGATATAGCCAATGATGACGGGGCCAATGACCATGATCCCTGCGGTGGCCGCGGCCAGCATCAGACCGGCCAACCGAGAGGATCCGCCACTTGCAATGAAAAGAAGACTGTTGGTGTAGACCAGATAGTTCTGCGTTTGTTAGCTGTTGTCCTTGGCCCTACCAGTGGATGTCACATACCTGAATGCTTCCAACAAACCCTGAAAGTGCGTTTGTCACGCCATGTGCCATGAGCTCTCTATCAACGTTGAGATTGTCTTCACCCGTGGATATTCCAAGAGCAGGTACGTTGATTGGCACATGAAGCACACCAAAGAATGTCAACGCAAACATGGCGGGGATTGTCTCGGTGAAAGCAGTCCAATTAACTGCCGAGAGATCTGTAAAAAAGATCAGCATGATAATACCCAAAAGTTAGAAGCAAAGTTACTCACCGTACAAGCTATAGAAGTGGTACCAAGGATTGTTGGAAGCTGGAGCATCAAAGACCCATCCATTGTGGCGCAGAGAGCCCATGGATACCCTGGCACTTAGAATGACAATGTAGAACACTGCACCAACAGCGATGAAATAGCCACCGACGAGGAAATTGGAGCGGACAAACCGCTTCAAAACAAGGAGACCAACTGCAAGGAACAGGGGTATCATCCAAAGAGGGAAAGTGTCAAGATGGAAAAGTTTCTGGATCGTGGGTATATTATACTCAAGAGACCCAGGAAGCCGGGCTGAAACCTCCATTCCCGTTTGTAGAAGAAAGTAGCCCACACCACCGATGCACCCAATGAGGATATGACGCGGGAAGAAGCCAATGAGCGAGCCTAGTCCGCAGACCCCCATCAAGAAGAACACCAAACCGGTGAGGATCGAGCTGACCGAGAAGGCTAGGATGGTCGTCGCGATGACTGACTTCGGATTGTCCTTGCCGATTGAGTTCATAATGGTAAACGCCATTTGGTGGAAGAAGGGTACTACTTCGATCATTTCACTTCCTATTCCACCTTTGAAGATCGAGCCACCACAAGAGAATACCACCTGGGAGATAATGGTACTGACATAGAACATCGAGATACCGTCAGTTCCTAGATGAGCAAACAGGGGTTCTCCCAGAGGGAACAAGATCATTCCATAGGACAAAGCATCAAGGATATTGAGAAGAAGCCCCAGCACTACAGCGGGGATCAGACTTGCAGGGTATACCACAGCATCATTCCATATGGCTCGCTTATCCCACGACTTTGGGTTTGACAGGGTCCGAGAATAGTGAGCCACAGATGATATCCCTTTGTTTATTATGTTTGATGGCCGTTTGACAGCAGCCCTTTGGTTCTCTGCGTCGCCTGAACTTCCATAATTTTGTATGGATTTAGATCGTGTCTTCGATAATAACGAGGTGCGCTCAGTTTCTAGTTCCGATTCCTCATAGATCGTCGGCGGCGGAGGAAATGAGATCTCGTCAGTCTCGGGTTGCTTGGCCTGGTCTTCGGCCGTACCTGTCGATGGACGGCGAATCATCGCTGTCAAGGCCGAAGAAGCTGAGGATGTAGAAGGATCAACAGAGGCATATTCCGGCTCCAAAAACGCCTCCCCCAAAGCAGTATGGGAACTTGTAGCCTCATCCTGGAGGTGACCTGCAGAACTCTGGCTGCCGTGGAATATATCAAGGCTGGGGGGTAACCCGGGACCATCTCTCAGGTGAGATTTCTTATTCAGCGAAAGGCCGTAGGTAGCGAGTTCGGCGGTCTGGTCACGGAGACCATCTGAAGCATAATGAGCCGGGTCTGCAACAGGTCCAGTGGTTAGTCAAAAATCGCGCGGGGGGTCTCCAATGGGGCATCATGCAGCGTGACCCACCCATATTGGTATTGAACGACCGATGATAAAATGAGCGGTTTGGGGTTCGCATTGTTGAGCCATTATAACTGGAGGATTCTGCGCCCATTGGACCGGGAGGACTGCCCAGGTTTGCATGTTCCACCAGCGACTCTGATGGGGCATTACCATGCATGTCGCGGTCAAACATGAGGTTGCGTGATAGCGCCGATGCGCGAGAGTCTCGCCGGCCACGAGGTTGTAGCACCGCCATATTCCCTCGCGCAGTTACTATCCACCCAGTGAAATAGCCTGAGTCGGAGAGGTTGTGAGAGGAAAGTCACGAAATGGAAATCCCAAGGTTCGGAAGATAACCGGGTGCCACTAGCGCAAGAAGCAGCCGTTGGAGCAAGCAGATGACGTAATTGAGACCGGCATGACTTGCAAAGAAGTGATTTCAATAAGCATATAAGAGAAACTAGTTACCAACACAAATATCAATTTATGATAGAGAAATGCTCGAGTTTTGCGCCGACGTCTCTTATCTCTGGACAGTCGAGCTAAACCGCATTCGGACTGATCCAGATGGAGATCGAGTCCAGGTCCGTGCAGCGACCAGCCACGTCGGGGCTAGGTCTCTCGCCGTTCTCATCGACACCGTACTCCTTCTGGACTAATGGGCCCTTGAAACAGGATTAGTGTGCGTTGAGCTGCAGCTCCGTAATCGGACACAGTGGATGCTGTGCGATCGGCATTGGCATGCAGCCCAAGCCTTGTTCTTTGCCTTGCACAACTCGCTAAACGATCAAATTTGCCGATATTTGGCTAAAAGCTGGCTTAGCTTCAAACTGCCTGCATGGGGAAAGCTCAGAATTTTCTCCGAGATGATTGGCTAGGCTTGACTTCAGTCTGTTAACTGAGCCAATTGAGAATGTGACACCGAGGAAAAATTGATCGAGGCTACAATTGTGCACAATCGAATTCGTGTTACACCATTGCAATGCAAATCAATCATTATTTTGGCCGTTAGGTCTAGACACGCTAACAACGGGGGTATCTCATAGTATATGGTCCTCCACAAAACCACAGTAGATGGCCAACGCCAATTCATGTTTCTTGGACTCATGTTGAACCTGAAAGTCTCAGGCAATTCCACTTCACATTCAAGTCAATCGCTCCAGGAATCCCTGTGCAATTAACCGCTCCACATCACCCTGTCGAACGTAGAGCTGACTGTTTTTGGTCAAGTTGATCACACTTAAACCCGTATTAGCTATTGTTAGATCCCCAAGAGATGTTCAGAGCACAAAACATACCCATATTCAGTCTGGATCTCTCCAGCATCCTTCAGCACCCGCACATCAATAAACAAATCCTTCGGTGGCTCCAGGGTCCCCGTCAGATCAATATCCGTCCACTGCCCTTTATATGCAGCAAGCATGTCCCCATACTGGCGGAAATACTCTTCCTCCTCGGGACTCAGCGAACTATGTCCGCTAACCCCGAAAGCCGTGTGCTGAGCCGCCCCGTTGGCCTCGGACGGCTGCTGCTGCTCTAGAATATCCACGCCTGTCCAGCACAGCTCTTCGAGTTTCTCGGTGCGCACGCGGTGATACGCTAACAGGCAGCGCTTATTCCGGCGCATGCACAGATGGTCGACAAGCAGGGCACACGCAATGGCTGGATCCGCGGAAGGGTTGAAGCCACCCTCGAAGGGCTCTAAAAGTCGGGTAACATCCCGGTCAAGATCACGGACTTCGCGAGTTACTGCGCGTACGATCTCGGTTTGATAAGGGGGGAGGTGGGCGAGTGATTGGGTGCGTTTGGCATGTTGGACCTATTGTGGTGGAGGTGTTGGTCAGCTCAATGGGTCTTTTTTGTTCTGTTGTTCTCTGGAGATCGGTCTTCATCTTGGAGGTTTCCAAAAGCATTTCCAAAGGCTTGGTAACCGCATGAGTCTCTAGTCCACATACCAATTTGTTGCCGAGTTCGCCGTACATGGTGGCCACGCGGTCGGGGTGGTGAGGGACGCGACTTTGGTCCATTTCGACGAGCGCCAAGATTGGCTCTTAGTCAGGTGGAGCGATCGGCACTGACAACTTGAAGTATGGAGTTGTGACTTTTTGAATGGAGAGTATCGATCTGTGAGAAAGAAAAACGAGAAGGAATTTAGAAAGGATCTTGGAAGGAGATTGATGGAGGCATTTTTATTGAAGTGACACAAGAAATATACCTGGAAGAGGACGCGAACGATCGCATCCCAAGAAAGCTGGAAGAAGCACAAAGGCTTACATTCTAGGAGAATCGTTAAGTGATAGGGAGAACCATCTGGCCAAGATAGAAGCCAATTATTGATGTCACTCTTAATATTGCATAGAAGCCCTTTTTTGATTGTATGCAGCCTGTGTGATCGGCTCATACTTAGCAGCGCCTCTAATACACGACGGAATACACTCAATCACCGAGTCAGGATCCGGAGACATGAAATACGGAATAGAGAACCTTCTACGGGTCATACGGTCAGTTCCCTCAAATCTATCAGCGAGAGGTGGTAAGGTGACTCGATGGCTGGTGGACCTGAGAAGATCTATACAAGTCAGCGGCTGCGAATAGACTAGGGCCAGACCAGGCAACAAACCATTACTCCACCTCTGCAACAGATCCCCTACATTCATCACAATTGCATTCTTGATAGGCGTTGCAGGAATAAATCTCCCCGGCGATGCGATATCCTCTACCTCCAACCCTCCACAGTCATCTTGGAATAACAGCGTGATTGAGCTCCAGGCGGTATGTGCTGGGCATCTGGCTGCACACGTCGTCTCAATTGCTTCCGCCGGAATAGACGGGTAATGTAGTAAGCGTAGCTGGTTGTTAAATTCTGAGTGTTTTTCGACCAGATATTTCTCGTCTAGCTCCAGGCCAATGGCGAGTGCTTGTAAAATTTCTCCCCCAACTTGGAAACATTCCCAGTAGAAGCGGCGCATGAAGCCAGGGAATCCTGGAAGGCTGTCTTCAGGTAGCCACTGATTAGGCTGTGTAGTGTTCTCATCACTTCCTATATCATAGCTTTCCTGTAGCTGGTCAGTGAAGCCATCAACCCACAGACCTTGACTTGGCGAGGATTATGAGGCATGAGACCATGGAGAGACACAGCGGGTTCTCACTTTGACGTCTGTAACTTCCCTCAGCTGCTCCATCATTTCCTGGTCATTACCGGTACTTGTCGCCTGTGATACCTTCTCCAGCCCAGGCCAAGAGTAGCCTCTATGGATTGCCCATCCTTTTGGATGGGGCGCTTTGAGTTTCTCGTCTTGGGGCAGCTCAAAGAATCGCTTCGACCAGTTGAATGCTTCGTCTAACATAGATTCCGGCAGCGAGTGGTTGACGATGTGCACAAATCCCACATTTTTGCAAGCGGTGACGATTTCTTGCGCGATTCGCTGACGGCCAGATTCCGTGTTCCAGCCGGCAAAGTCCACGACAGGGATGTTGGGAGACCCGGCAGAAGCCATGGCACATTGAGGTTCTATTGTAGGGATGTAATAGTCAAGTACGAAATTTGATTTGAAAAAAAAAGTTGAGACAAAAGCTGGAGAAAACCAGCCAGACTCCGGTGAGAGGTGAAACCCCTCACATCTCAGATACGGTGTCTGTCAGGCCCCAGTGAGACAGACCTATATTGTGTGATTCTCGTAGAGGTATAAGACACATGGGGGATTGGTTGGGTACCTACCTACAGGGTCCCAACAGATATTTTTGCATGGTCCGCATTCTCCATATTAATTCTGCCAGGTTTACCATACATAATAACTAGTATTAAATACTTAATAATCAGTTGGACCACCGTCTCTCTCAATAACCTGCTGAACCCTCTTTGGCATACTCCGTACTAAACCATCTAATAGATAATCTGGTACAGCATCATAAGCCTCCCATATAGCCCATTGTAGTTTCCACACTGGCATGGTTTGTGTACCATATAATGTTGATATGCGATCCTTCATCCAATTCCAGATATTCTCTTGGGGATTAAGATCCGGCGAGCAAGGGGGGTGATCAGTGAATTTCACTTCATGGCGAGTAAATGCAGCCATTGTCTCTGCCGACCAGTGACATTTAGCACCATCTTGCATTAGAAGAGGTTTATAATTAAGATCTACCTAACGGGATATTATAAAGTATAAAATCGAAGGGATAATATACAATATAAACCTCGCAGAGTTCATAGATCCCCATCCTTTTTCCTAAATTCGACACGGGCCTTTTTGATCTCCAGAAAAGGATACCTAAAGCATATTCCCACCGCGTGCTTAGTCGTTCTGATTTAAAGTTGCAGTTTGGTGGTAGATCTCGGCTGGAGTTCGAAGAATATATGGTCGACGATGCTATCTAGAACGAACATACGCCTCATTAGTAAAGATAATCGTTCGCCATTCATCGTAATCCCAATGTTGTCGCTCTAAAGCCCACTCCAATCGTTTTCGACGGCGCTCGATACCCTTCGGATCATCAGGATCAAGAGGAGGCTTTAAGGCAGCAGGGCGGGCAGTCATACCATACTTTTTTAAAGCACGGCGTAATGTTTCACCACAACAAGGAAGTTGTAGCTCCATAACAATCTCGTCGTACTTTTTGCATCGGTTATCGAAGCTCTTTCGAATCCAATCTATTGTCTCCAAAACCAAAGCCTCAGTAAGGATTGGCTTCCGGCCAGTACGCTTTGTTGGAGTCGGGTGTGCCATTAAACGAGTATAGCGGACCTGGCCAATCGAACAAGGGATTTTTGGGGCAATTTCGGAGTAGGATTGACCCTCATCAAGAAGGACTAGGATTTTAAGTCTTTCATCCCGAGTAAGATGCTTTTGGCGCGGCGTACGTGGCATAAGAGGAAGGTTATCAGGCATTTTGGCAGGCAGTTTGGCAGGCAGTTTGGTAGGCAGTTTGGTAGGCAGTTTGGTAGGCAGTTTGGCAGGCAGTTTGGCAGGCAGTTTGGTAGGCAGTTTGGTAGGCAGTTTGGTAGGCAGTTTGGTAGGCAGTTTGGTAGGCAGTTTGGTAGGCAGTTTGGTAGGCAGTTGGAAGGTATTGTATGGTAAAAAACCTATGATATCATATAAATGGATATAAATCAAGATAAATATGATTGGATGATGATTCACCGCCTAAGTGGACCATGCAAAAATATCTGTTGGGACCCTGTAGGTACCTACTCTGGAGTGTTCCAAGATTTTCTCCGATCAACGTAATTAAATTAGTGTATTGTGACTTGGCCTTCGGGTGTAGAGGGTCGGGCTGCGACTCGTTGCTGGGGCAGAGATCCCGGTGGAGATTTGCGACCTACATCATTGCCCTGGACTCTGATCTCTTCTGGAACCCCTCGAAGCTCAAAAGTCTGTCATTCACACAGTATACAGGTACTCGGGTAAGTAATGAGTGCTGAGTCTCTAATCATACCATTTGCGACCGATGGGTGCTAATCTTACTCCTTCGAGTAGTTTGTTGACATCCGAGCCCAACCCCAGATAACGCCTCCCACGACGAAACGAAGCATGAAAATTGATTAAACGACTAAATTTCCAAAGCCAACGAAGCTATTGACTCAATTCCACCAAACCGACCATTCCAACCCCGCCCACAGATCCTGAGAATGCGGGCTTCCCGGTGGATCTGGATTGCAGCCACATTCCTCACAACGGTACACTCAACACAGACGGCAACCTTCACCGCTGCCGAAGACGCCGCAGCCAACAAGCGAGCCTTCGAAATCCTCCGAATTCTCAAACGAGCAGATAACAACTGTCCAGCCGGCTACAACCCATGCAGCGAGCTGGGCAACGCAAACGCATGCTGTAAGCAGGGCACAAACTGCTCGCGCGATGCAGCCAACAACATCGCCTGCTGCGCTATCGGCGCCAGCTGTACGGGTAGCTTGACAGAGGCCAGGACGACGGGTACAGGGTTCAGCTTCATGTTTCCCAATGGCGCGACCGCCACCGCCACCACCGAGTACGCAGCTCCACACGTCACCGGGTCGACAGTAGACGGTGCCTATCCGTTTGTTGTCGTGCCGACGACTTTCCACAACCCCGAGATCTGCTCGTCATACTACTCGATGTGTCAGTCTGATTACTCGCAGTGCACCGGCGCGCTGTTGGGTCGCTACGGAGTTACTATTGCCGCCGAGGGCGGGGGCAAGACCATTCAGGCTGTCACGGCGCCGTCGCAGGCCACCTCCATTTGTTCAAGCTTGAGTGAGCATGCTTGCCATGGTTTGAACTTGGGCTACTGTGGTCATGTTGCAACACAGACTGACAGTGCGGATGTCAATGGAAATTATGCCTCGCCTGTACGGGCGTCGAGTCTTCATGACCTGGCCCTCGGACTGGTGGTTGGAATTGCGGGAATGTTTATATGATTCACGGTTGAAATGACATGTTTGGAAGGCCTCTCTCTTTGTATATTCTTCTTTTCCTGTGAGTGTTTCTCCTATGTGGAGCGATCAGAAACGTCTCGGATTTATGATGCTAGATCAATTCTTGTTGATTTCTCTACCAGTGACTACCGGTAGACTTGCTTGGAGTAGCTGAATCTTGCAAGTTTCGATTATGATATATCGATGGATCCAAGTAATCATGGCATAAGCAGCCAGTCACGCCGAGGTGACCACATTCCAGCTCCGCAGACCGCGTATTCGTGGCACAGAAGGTCCAAAGCTGTCAAGTTCTTTTGGTCGGATTGGTCGATAAAGCCGGTTCGGGATTAAACTCAAAGTGAGAGATGATAGCCTTATCGGAGCGTGATTCCCAGTGCCTTTTAGAAATGCTCAGTAGGCTTGAGGCCAGAGTGCTCGAGAGGCGCAATAGACTGCGATTCGGCGCTTAGAGATTGCTAAGCAGCTCTCAGAAGCAACCTTGTTTTATGTATGAATATATGAGAAACGTAGGAGACTTCTATGTATTGCCGTGTTGGCAGTGTCTCTTTGCCTGAGTCACTTCAATTGGGGCTCAGTTTGCGATAGAGCGCTTTCTTTATTTAAATCCTAGCATATCCACAGGCTCGCTTCTCTCTCGGTTGTGAGTGGCAGAGAGGAGACTAGGTCCTTTCTAGCAGACCATTTTGCAGTTTGAAAAAGTCACACAGATTGCACTGTCATCTAGATAAATAATAAGAATTAATTATTGATTCTTCGTCTGGCGTGATCAATAATAATTGTACCTAGGTACCAACCTATCGGTGTTTGGGACCAAGTGAATGGAGCTCGTCCGGGAACAATTGAGAGGCTTGAACCAGACATTCACATGTAGGTATATTATAGAGCGATTGATGAACGCAGGGCCCCACGCTACAATTCATCTACATCGTACTCCGTGCGGAGTACATAACGAGTAATTCTTCGAGGTGGCGGCATCACCACGATCGGCCGTATGAACGATTCAATCGACTCTGATGGGTCGTCGAGAGATAAAGGCACTCCACTTCCCGCGCGATCTGTGGGTCGAACCCCGAGTATCAGCCTATCACGTGAAGCCTTGAAATTGATCCAATTAAAGTTGTAATAAATTTACACGTCACCATCGAATCTCAAACTTGAACCTGTAAAAAAAAAAAAATGGGTAGCTTCTTGTAGATAGCGCGTGTCATCCTTAGTGCAGGGGCCATGCTAATCTTCTCTGTATATTTTCTCTTCGCCATATGCCCCGAAGGGCGAAAGGCTGATCCTTAGAGTTCCGTTTAACCTCCGATTTTTCCCGACAGACCAAAAGAGGAAGGCACAGGGCCTGAGGCTCTCAACCTTGGAAGTATGGACCCGCCTTATTCGGGCCCATGTGGGTCTCGAACGCCGAGCCTCGACCAGTCACGTGGTACCCCAAAAGCGGAAGGCCCAATTAAATCGCAGTAAATAGACCCACAGTTTCGAATCTCAAAAACGAACCTGTAAAAAAGAAAAAAATAGGTGCTTCTCTTTGATTGAGCGTGTCATCCTTAGTGCAGGGGCCATGCTAATCTTCTCTGTATATTTTCTTTTGACCATATGCCCCGAAGGGCGAAAGGCTGATCCTTAAAGTTCATTATAACCTCACTTTTGGGGGGAACCTTGGAAGGGACGACCGCCCGTTTGTTTGGACATCGTTGGCAGAATGAGACTGCCATTTGCTCTTTATCATGTGTGAACTTGGATGATTGAGTTTGCACACTCTCCCTCTTTACTTCTGGTCTATTGAATAAAGTGAATAAAACTCCAGTTCTCTCTCCCCAGTTGATTCTATCTAACCTTTATCTATATGTATTGGCTAACCCTATGGACACTGATCAAAGCTATAACTAACTGCTTTCCGTTAACTTAAGCCACCACTTGAAAATTCTCTGATCATCTAGGTGCAATGACGTTGGTGCTTAACATCACTAGTAATTTTCTTAGTTCCCCCTACGATCAAAATGGCGCCGAAAATAGCTTTTTATTTGTCTAGCCAAGTCAACCGCCTATGGATTGCGTTGTCTTCCCTCCCTTATGGCATATTTGTATCCTCCTGTTCTCGGTTGGTTCTTCTTTAAGCTTCGAGATAATGACTTCTTTTATGATATCTGCCCGTATATATCTAGCTTAGATAAATCTGAACCACGACTACATCAAATCCTGAAGCCTCATTTGAGTTAAATGCCCCAAAACGCCGTATGTGTATCTACCATTGGAATTCCAGACAATCGCCGAAGTGCTCGCATTGGCTTTTCTCCTAGCGCATGCTTTGTCTCCACCTGAGAATCATCTAATTCGCTTTCGTCCTCCTTGGCAAGCTTCTTCAAAATACACAGGTTTAGCTAGTATTCAATGATAGGTAGATAATGTCCGGATTTAACCGGGCCCAAACTTACCACATCTGTCTGCCAGCGTTGGAGCATCGTGCTTAAATCATGTGGGTTATCTAATGCCTCTGCTGCTGAGTCGATGTATTCAGAAAATAAATTCCACTCCGAGGGATCCTCCGGACCGTCACTCTCGTTTGGGGCTAACATAGTGCGTAGAAGAAGATATTCGTATTCCTTCATCCGACCGGGCTTTTTGGGCTCTTGGTTAACAGCAGAACCCGATTGGTACAGTAGAGCATCGAGGTTTGCGGGGAGCACATCTTGGGTCTCATCGTAGCAGTCGTCTCGCTTGGCAGCCCACATCGCATGTACCTCCCTCCATTCTTGAATCAGGCGCTCTACACCAGCAGAGACAAAGTAGTTACCATCAAGAATGCCCCCGACGTTCAAGTTTCGGTATTTCCAAGTATTCCTTGTCACGGGTAAGACGCGCTGAATGAATGCTAGCTGGGTGAAATCGGCGATTCTCTCGAAACACTCTATATGGTATAGAACTGCAGAAGACCATGTGTCAGAAGTGCAAAGATCAAAACCAAAAGATAAAGTCCCTCGTACACGTAGTATTATTTCTCCACCAGCCCTGGTCCATACCTGGATGCAAGGCGAGACGCAGAGAGCCGGGTTCGATCGTTCTTTCACAGCCTGGAAGCCTGCATTTAGCGCCTCGGGGGGAGCTCGGAGCTGACTCGATAAAAATATATGTCATCTTGGTATATGTCGAATTAGATGGCTGCTCGTCTTGGGTGGCAGAGAGACCTAGATGCTCAAGCAGGCGCCTTCGCTCGAACGACAAGCTATCTTCGGGCTCATACACTGTCATCGTCTCATCATTCGAAGATGAGGTATACGTCACTGGAACAATACGCAGAAGATCGTCTACGTAGTCATGGTCTCTCAGGCGATTGGTGAGTTGCTCCGGAACTTCAGCACTGCGAGTACCAGCAAGCCGTCAGTATTTGATCTAGTAATGCACCCATCGTGGACTTGCCCGAAAATGGTACCATCCTCAAGGTCATCCAAAGTTCGACCTCCGTGGTTTCTGATGAAGTCTTTCACTCTGCACGGCGACAATTAGTCGATATAACTCCATCTCTGGGGTTGCAGAGCGTACTGGTCGACATTGTCAGACGTTGCGTCATGAAGGCATCCAATCTATTGAGAGTTTAGCAAAACTGCGTAAGCGAGAGGAGATTCAGAAGGGAATTCTCATGTGGTTTAATGCTTACCATGAGATGTGGCATCGCGAATTGTCAGAATCCGTTGTAGAAGGAAATGGAAGGGATATACTCATTTAAAGAGGAAGTGGATAGTAATCAGTCTAAATATCTCGTCCAGACCTATAACAGGTTATACGATCAAAGGATTGTTGGCAAACGAGTATCATTGGTAGAGTAGGATGGATATAGCATGGCTTCGCGTAACAATCCAAGAACCACCGAATAAGAGGCTATTGTGAGTGTTAGATAAGGTCCACCTTGGCAGATCGCAATTACGATGTACCAATAATGCAATCACAATAGGAGCGGGGTTCTGAATCCCTGAGATCACCTCCGCAATGCTGTACGTCGCTTAGTTGCGCATACGCAATTCGGAGCGGCTTCTACCGGAATTTTGACCAAGCTAAGCCTAGAACCATAGTAAAAGGAGGAATGTAGGCCAAGATGTGGAATTATATGACGTTGGTCATCCTGTTCGGTGTCTATTCTCTGTCAAGTCTCACAGGACTGGCTCTTCTCAGGAGCGTTCCCTTTATAAACAAGGGTTTCTGTCCCTAGGGCTCCAAAAATACTTCCGAGGATGGTAAGCTTGAGAACACATTCTTAGCAATGCCTTCTTGCAAAAGACTAGGGTTCTGTGTGACCATGTCCCAAGCAATGGGTGTGATGACCTCGGGAGGTTGGGATACTCCACCGCGGGTTCGGCTCTTCGGGGAGGCCCGCGAGTGGAGCAAAAGTGGGGGTTGCCGTGAAGGCGGTGGATTGCACCCAATTCTTCCGATTCTTGCAGCCAGGGTCGTTGATCTATGACAAAGTGTCTACCTTGAATTCCGGTGTCACGCGTGGCTATATTGTCACCTAGGTATATATACAAATCCCAAGAAGTTGCTCACATAGTCTATACGATCGGGGCATAAAAGCTAAATTTGCCAGCCGGGTCGTACTTCTGCTTCAAGGCCTGCAGACGTTCTTGGCGCCATTCCTCGCCACCATACATCTGCTTCGGCGTCTCATCTCCGTGGGCATAGTTCACGTATGCATGGATGTCCTCCCGACCATCGGCCTCGAAGAGAATGTTTCGGAGCTGGTTGCCCAAATCAACCGCCATAGTCTCAAGTGCTGCATCGGTGGGCAGGTAGTTGATGAGAGGGGCGGCAAGAATATTTTCCTGGCGGAAAGCGAAAGCACTCGAGCTGCTATCAACTTCGTGCACGCCCTCGAAGGAATAGCCCTCGAACATCAAGATTGAGTTGTTGAAGGCAGAGGATCCACGGATGCCAAGGGCATAAACATCCCAGGCCTCCTTCTGGGCGGCGACGTTGTATGATTGGAGATAAATGGGGAAACGGGGGTTGGCGAACCCGGTCTTTTGGCATGGCGGGGAGTCTAGGGCTACACCGGTCCATGATGCAAGATCCTTATAAGTACCTGCCTGGGAATCAGCGGCAAGCGGGCCGATGTCGTGGAAAGGCTTGGTGTAAACTGAGTCAACGGTCGTCACTCCCTCTTGAATGATATAGAATACAATGACGGGGTTGCTGGAATCAACATCCGGACTGTTCATCCAGTATGACCAGTTCATGATATCCGGGGATTGTGTGCCATTCTTCACGAGATACTCGTTGGCAGCCTCGTAGACAGCCTCAACCTTATCGCCACTGAAAGTGAGCGTCTCAATAGCCCAGTCGCTATGCTCAATATCGTATGTCTTGCTGGTGAGAGAAGTCACAATGCCGAAGTTGTGACCAGCACCCTTCATCGCCCACCAAAGATCAGAGTTGGCGTCGATGGTGTTCAAAGTACCGTCGGCGAGAACGACATCCATTGAAATAAACTGGTCGGAGACGAGTCCATAGTGGCCCTGAAGCCATCCATGTCCGCCACCAAGTGCCGGTCCCAGGACACTGACACATTCACAGGTTCCAGTCACTGTCTGCTTTCCAGCCTTCCAAAGCTCGTCGGTGACCAACTTGGACATGGTTCCTCCGCCAATCGTGACTGTCTTTCCATCATCGCCCAATTTGACGCTGCTCAACTGGCTCAGAGAGATTCCAACGCCATGGTCCATCTTACCCAGGGAAACGAGAGCGCCATGCAAGCCATTGTATGTGAGAAAAGGGAGGTCCTTTGCATTGGCGTATCTCACCTAAACCATGGTCAGGATTAGCATTATCCCATCAAATCTTCATAAACAACAATCAAAAGAAGTCGTCTCACCGTCTCAACAACATCATTCTCGGTGCCGGGCACGACAAGGACGCTCACTGTAGGCTCTGCTAGAGCAGACCATCGCGTTGTGGCATCGCTGAACCCGCTCGACCCGGGAAAATACACCTGGGCAGAGCTTGAGAGATTTTTCCCGAGCGCATCCAAGTCAGCATCACCTCGTGGGCAATGCCCCCCCTCGATATCCTTACAGCCGATAGGGAAACCATGACAGGCTGCAGAGAAACCCCAAGCCGCAATGGCCGAGATCATCCTCTGTTTGAAGTAATACATTGTTTAGAGAATGCCCAAGTGATCGATCACTCACTCCCCTTATATGAAAATTATCGAAAGATGCCAGGGGAAAACGCGGAGGTTGAGCAGTTGTGAAGGAATCCCTGTCAGCTCACGGTGCGTCAGCTTGGGACTAAGGACTACTTTTTGTATATGACTTATGACACTTGTAATATTGCTCTAGAGTTATTCCGGTTAGGTGTGGTTTCCTCTTTATTAACGCTGTCAATGGAATACCAGCTGTTGTACTCCGTACTGAGTCCTGTATTGCTCCATCGCTCCACCGTCCCACGGCCCCCTGGCGCGGCCCGTCATTTCTTGTCAATTACCCATTCCTGTAGTCCCACTGGACGGGTTCAAGCTCTAGGTATAAACTAGGGTTCGCTGAAAACTCACCAACAGGGGTCTGTAGACACCCCTGCACGAAATCAGCCCTCTATAATGCAGGCTCTACGCATGTGGCGAGACTTACCTATGGCTGACAGCCCGAACGGCAGCCCTAACAAGCGCAATCATCCGATCCGAGTCATTCCAAGTTTTCAGCTCCACTAGTCCATACTCCATATGGCGTTCAGACCTCGGGATGGAACGTGCTTGGCTGCATCGTGATTGGATCGTTGAACTTGAGATCCATTCCGGCCCCAAGTCTGTGGGGATGATGCATCAAAGGTTCCACTGTTATTTCCACTACACTTCTAACTAGGCATGATCTACGAAGTACATACTCCGGACATAGTTAGTCTGTGTCTTATGTTTCAGCTTTTAATCTAGAGTGAATTCATTCAAATTTACTGTGGGACTTGATTTGCTACTAACTTCTCGTCGAGGCAATGCCCGCAAGGTCTTATTCATATCCGACCTAACCTGCGTGCGAGCTTCGTCCTCCATGTTTGGCCGTATAGGTGCCAAATCTAAGCGTGAATGAGTGGGTTCCATGACCCATATCTCATACTCATCCGCATTCCTATGCTTTGGAAATCAAGTCTAAAGCCTATAAAAGGATCGCGGCCACTATCGTGCTTAGTGCCGGTGTCTTCATTCTTGTTTGCGCCACTCTCAAGAGCGTCGTCCTTCTGGTGGTGAGTCTGAACTCGTCGCATCTATATCCAGCTTGATGGTATCTCCCTGATATAATCTTTTGCTCTGTGTAGGAGTCTGAGAATGGCGCACAACTGTTCCATGAATGGGGTCCCCGAGGAACTTTCGTCGCAGTCATCACAACAAATCTTCCAACGATCTTCCACCTCTGCAGGATCTGTCTCACCAAAATCTTTGGCAGTCAGTTTCAATATCACAGAAGACCCATAATTTGTCTTTGAGTCGTTTCCACAGCAGTAGTGGCGGGGAAGACTACGCTAGTTGAAAGGGTTGTGGAATCCGAACTATGAATACTGATCCCGAGACTATTGGTATAACGTTTACTGATAGCGAGGAACGGCTCATGGAAGATGTCCAAATGCGGAATCTAAAGACATATCTGGCACCTGTATCTGATAGCTCCTCCTCGAGTGCTATCGTGGTTTCCAACCAAATCGATATTACCCATGAGACTCAACGCAGTCAAGACATCAAACAGCCTGTCCCAAAAGCACCTGATTCATGGTAATGGCTGGAATTTAGAGATAAAATCAATATGTAATTCATTTTCTAATATCAAAGTTATCACGGAAGTGGTGGATTTCCAGGGCAAACTAAATTAGGCAAATTGAGTGGATATATACAAGATCCCTGTTGTACAATATTTACTATGATATAATCCTTGACACTTCAGCAGATCCATGTATGTCTCATTACTTCCATCGTTCCTCATTTCTTATTTCTGATATATATCTATCTTTTTGACAAGACCTCCTACCATACAAGGATTGCTTTAGGCGTAATTATAGTTTCTATGTTGATTAAAGGCACATCAAGCATTGGCACAAGTCGTGCTTGATAGTAGTGAGATCATTTGAGTGAGGTGAATTTAAGAGCAAGGTATACCAAGAGCCCCAAACATGAACCAAGGTTGGGATGTACTCGCACAAACCTCCGGGTTTGCCAAGCATCCAAGGGCCATATTTCTATGGTTGTACCAATGACGACTTGTAAACCTGACCCACTGTAGCTCGAGCGCGGCCCATCCGGGTCTAAGGCACGTGATTCACTAACGCAAAATGGCAAGTGACCCATCTCACCTCGTCAACCTTGGAAACCTCCAATATGATCTGAAAAGGGGGGAAATAGTCTGCTTCTCTTTGATTGAGCGTGTCATTCTTAGAAGGGGCCGTGCTAATCTTTTCTGTATACTTTCAGATCACCACGATGTCCCGAAGGGCGAAAGGCTGATCCTTAAAGTTCATTATAACCTCACTTTTGGGGCCGCTGGGCAGAAAGGGATCGCCTGATTCACTAGTTCGGTTGACCGACCCGAACTACCTATGTACAAACTTCAAAAGACTGTAGCTGGTCATCTGGTCTTTAGGATCACCAATTGGGATTTGCTCTGCCTCTTGTAAATGAAGAACTTGAAGTTCGTTTCTGACGCTGTGCCCTATAATTTCAGTGAGAGAATCAACCTTGGAACCTCGGAGCGGTATCCAATCTAGCCTGGTGACAGTGCACGGGTTGGATCGTAGCAACTCAGATTGACCAGGAAGCGATATCTGGCGCTGAAATGGCTACCATTGTCTTTAACACATATCCATGTTCTATCAGATTAGGACTATAGAACGTGCCGTGGATCATGAGGTGGTCGTGCTTATCCCTTCAGCATGGGGGGTGTATATGTACACTCTGCTATCCACAACCTAATAGGTCTATGAAAATGGGATCATGTTGGGGATGTCCCCCCCCCAAAAGTGGAGAGTTTAATTGATATTGTGCTGAGACACGCATGGGTACCTTGATAGTCAGGCCTTTTTCTCCTTCTGATAGCTAGTTCAGAAAGTGAGCATAGCAACTATCTATATCTTCAGGGATGCAAGTATTCAACCTATTCCAAAGAATGATCAAGACGATTGAGCCTTCGCCATCGCACCACAGTCTCAAATGAGTTATTATTCCTATTTCCCTTATGGTCACTGCTGGCACGCTGGTAAAAATGTTCCGCGGTATTAGGTTCATGTCCGAAACCATCTGTTGCATGCAATCTTGTTCATTGCTAAGACACGTGGTTTTCTAGTTCTCGGACTCGAGGTTTTCCCAGTCCTTCAAGTCCAGCTTACCTGTAGCCTGGTTTGGAATTTCACTCATCACGCACGCATATTAGGGATATCTTCCCCTAGCCCTCAGCAGTGCGCTGAGTATTGGAGGCAAGGGTGGTACCATGGCAGGAAGTCTGATCGCGGGCGAGCCGAGGCCCAGTTTGAAAATGGGCATTGTTGGCGATGCGAAGAGTCCCATGTCCTGCAATTGTGTATAGCACTATGGAATCAGTTTCAATTGCAATCGAATTTGTTGGCTGAATATGCCTAGCTTTGGACCGCTCTTGACACCCCTCATTACGGCCTCTCCAGACACCAGCCAACTGAGTCCAGCGTCGCCTATCAAAGACGAGCTTATCTCTCGCCCATAAGTGCTTTATACCTTCGGAAATATCCCCTCTCATGGATAATGGAATATGTCGATGATGAGAGACTGACCTTGGATGTGACCGAGGACATATTTCAGACTGAGCATTTCGACAGCATTATCGCCCAAACAATCATTTGGGGCGAACTATAAAAGACGGTTGGCGAAGCGGTGTAAAGAATACTGTGATTATAAGTTTCTAACCACAGCTCAAATTAAGAAAATCGAGCGATATACCGAAAGGATGGGTAGTTCCCAGTAACTACAAGGATACCTAGACGGTGATGCCTTTCAACTTGACTGACTCCCTGGGGTTTGATCACCGAGTTCACGACCTCGCTGAATCTGTCTTTGATTTGACTCTACCACTTTCGTATAACGATGCGTCCTGCACTGGTCAATGAAGCTTGCGAGAAATGTACTTGAGGGGATATTGCTTGAAACAATGAGTTCATATATGCAGTACCGGCCCTAAAAGCAGAGTACCATTTTAGCAACCCTCTGCAAGCTTACACCGTAGCCACGGCCTCGGTCGGATCTTCAGGGTCCTTGAAGGATTGGGCAATTCCTCATCGGGCTGCGATTGGTGGCACGAAATATCCCCATCTCCCCGATACTTACGATACGCCCACGGAGTATCAGGGTTCAGGGTATTCATGCCCAACATATAGAAAATTGGATCCGATCTCTCTTTTGCAGGATCGACTTTGAACCTGTCCCATGAGTCATTGTGAAATGGCGGTGTTGAGCATAAAGCCGATTGTTGCCAACGCGGAGTGGGGAAACGTTGATCGCTTCTGACAGGACGCAGGAGAGAGGGCAACGCAGAGCTTCTTACTCCGTATTCGATGTAAAGAATAGTGATGGGCAAATCAGAATCGAACAAAATATGGTTAATCTGAAACCCCAACCTCCATAATTAAAAAAAAACCGAAAGCCGTAGAGGCTTAGACGATTGGTAGGAAATCGGGTGGTTGGGTATAACGAAGAGGCTGGGAGTCACCGTGTATTCCGTAGCTGGCGCAACAAACTGGGGACTCTCTTCTCTTCTTCCCTTCCATTCCTCTTTTTTGTTTGTCTACTCCGCACATTCCCCCGATCTCTTGATATCCGAAGAATTTGAGATCTCTGTTTGCTTGTGTTGATCCAAAGCTGATCGCTCAAGTACACAGACCGGGTGAGACAAGACCCTAGTGCTAAGAAACTTCGCTCCAGTCTAGCACATACACATTGTCCGACTCGACTGATCTACTCAACACTGAGTTTCGGCGAATATTGCGTCGCTTTCTCTGCGATGCGGTCTTTATCCGTGCTGCCGGTGCTCTCGACACTTGCCCTACTTCTCAACCACTTGGTACACACCGCAGCAACCCCGCTCGTATTTGAAGACAACGTCCTCGAAAACAAACTTGAAAAGCGCTGTGAAAACCCATGTGGCTATAACGACTGGCTTTGTTGTGAAACTGGTCAGACATGCAGCACCAACAGCAACCAAGAGGCTGTCTGTGTAGATGGCAGTGGTAGCGGCAGTAGTTGGGACTACCAATATTACACCACCACTTACGTGCTTACCAATACCGATCTAACGACCATCACCTCCGTATGGAGCAGCCAAATCGCAGCGGCTACAAGCACGGGTACCTGCAGAATCGACCTCGGCGAGATAAAGTGCGGCAAGACTTGTTGTGAGGCAGCGCAAGAGTGCATAGAGGGCCAATGCGTTGCTGAAAGTTCTTCGGTGGCCGTGACTGCTACAGGAACAGAAGCAGAAGCCACGCCGGGCGTGCGAGGGACGAGCAACGGGGCAATCACTATGACCGAAACCTCGGCACCAACCATCACCGAAGGATTCACCGCGCCTGTCGGTACGGATGGAGCCGAGCTGATTGGGGCCGAAGCCTCAAGCGGCGGAGGATTGAGCGGCGGCGCCATTGCAGGAATTGTCATCGGCAGTATTGCTGGTGCATTCTTGTTGTTTCTTCTCTGCGCTTGCATCTGCTTCAAGAACGTCTTTCAAGGCCTGCTCGCAGCACTCGGTATCGGCAAGAAGCGCCGCAGACAAGACACGACGTATATTGAAGAGCACCATTCGCATTCGCACGGCGGCCAACCTCCTCCACCTCCTCCCCCCGGGCGACGGACGTGGTTCGGTACCAAACCGGCGCAAGGCAGTGAGGTCAGCGAAAAGAAGTCTAAATGGGGCTGGGGTACGATGGCCATTATTATCGGTGCTCTTGCTCTGTGCTTGGGGTTGAAGAGGAGGAGAGAGAGAGATCACGACGACGATAAGACCGAGTCTTCTTACCCAAGCTCATACTACTATTATTCTGACTATTACTCCGGTACAGGCAGTACGTCGGACTCTATCGATTCTCACAAACGAAAGATCTTTGCTGACTATTCTTCTTTTACAGGTAGCCGAAGCTCTGACAGACGAACTCGGGATACACGACGATCACGACGATCGCGCACTCGGTCCGGCCGTTAATGTCGACTACGATGCCTGATACGAAAGAGAACGAGTGGTATACGAAGGAGACTCGTTCTCTTTCGCCTCGGTTTCCTGTTCGCCGATCTCGGTTCGATTATGCATTTATGGCGCTGGGTTTTTAACGTGACTAATGTATCACTACGACTTGCACGATGAGACTTTTTGGGGTTTGATTTAGGATTGATGATATGATTGCTTTTTTCTATGTCGATACGAGAGATTTATGGCATGTTTTGATGTACATATGAGATTACGAGTACAAAGTCGAAATGATATGATTTTTGGGATGAATTGAATACCATTCTTTTTTTTTTTTTTGTATCAGGGCTTCCTAACGCTATTACATCGACTTCAAGCTCTTAACATGAAATGACTGGTCCGGGCGCTGGCATGAGATGCCCACGAGCACCTGGTGGAAATAGCTGCAGAAAGCAAACCGCTCACACCTTGCAGGGAACAATGTGCTCTGTTAGCAAGGATGCCTGCAAGTTTGACGCACAAGCCCAAATCCAATAGATGAATAAGACAAATAGAAAGGACAGATGAAGAACGCAAGTGGGAGTGCCCAAAAACCACACACAAAGGCATTAGGGGACCAGGCACTTTACCTCCCCGCCTTCACTTCCGCCTTTTCCCTCCTCCACACTCTGCCCTTATCCTCTGATTCTACCCACCCTCCTTGCAACTTGTCTCCAGTCATCAATGATTTCGGTCTCGGGATTAAACTCCTGACGCTATTCACCTTATTTCAACCTTATCTCAGCCACCATTGTACCCGTGTATCGGTTGCCTAGATTCCGATCCTTCGGAGTATTACGAGTCTCCGAAACGACTCATCACCCATCATGCTTCAAGCGCAGACCCAGCACGTCTTCTCCCACCAGCATCAATACCCTCAGGCTGATCCCTCGTGGATGCAACACCAGCAACAGCAGCAGCACCACCAGGGTCAGCCGCATCCGCACCAGTCGCAGCAGCAGCACGCTTCGCTAGTCGCCCAACAGCATGCCCAAGTGCAAGCTGCTGCGGCTGCTGCACAGCAACAACACTATGGCCGTATTGCCATGAGCGGTAATGGTGCTGGAAATCCCGCGCAGGGAGCCGGCGGCGCCGGTGGCATGGGTGGAGATGGCATGTCAAACTCGGTCTCCGTCATGGACGGGGGAATCAGCGAAGAGAATCGCAAGGTCTTCATCTGGGTCGCCGAGCTGTTGGATCCAGCTCGCAGAGAAGCTGCTTTGATGGAACTGAGCAAAAAGCGGGAACAAGTCCCCGAACTGGCCCTGGTCATTTGGCACTCTTTTGGTATGGGTTCCATTCTCAACGTGCGCTCAGCCCTGTCTGTAATAACTAACGGTCGGAAACGTGCAGGTGTCATGACTGCCCTTCTTCAAGAGATTATCTCGGTATATCCGCTCTTGAACCCATCTCAGCTGACTGCTGCCGCGTCAAATCGAGTCTGCAATGCGCTGGCGCTTTTGCAATGCGTCGCATCCCACAATGAGACCCGCACTCTTTTCTTGAACGGTGAGTAATAGACCTTCCACTTTTCCTGCGATAGCAGTTGCTAATTGTTTTTCTTCCTATCTCACTCAGCTCACATCCCTCTTTTCCTCTACCCCTTTCTCAACACCACCTCCAAGTCCCGTCCCTTCGAATATCTCCGACTAACGTCCTTGGGCGTTATCGGCGCGTTGGTGAAGAATGATTCGTCTGACGTGATCAACTTCCTCCTGACCACAGAGATCATCCCTCTCTGCCTTCGCATCATGGAAACGGGATCGGAGCTGAGCAAAACTGTCGCTATCTTTATTGTGCAGAAAATACTTCTCGATGATATTGGCTTGGGCTATATCTGCGCGACATACGAACGGTTCTACGCCGTGGGCACTGTCCTGAGCAACATGGTCACCCAGTTGGTGGAGCAACAGACTGTCCGCCTTCTCAAGCACGTTGTGCGCTGCTTCCTTCGGTATGTTCCTTTTTACAACTTTCTCCTCCTATGCCATTCCTGACAACAGATTCAGCCTCAGTGACAACAGCCGAGCCCGTGAGGCTTTACGGCAATGTCTCCCTGAACCCCTCCGGGACGCTACATTCTCCTCCGTCCTTCGTGACGATGCAGCCACCAAGCGCTGCCTGGCTCAGCTCCTTATCAACTTGTCCGACACCGTCTCGGATGGAGCTCCAACTGCCATGTAACATACGAAAAACATCTGTTTCTTTCTCCCGAAATATTTTACCTTATGATATGCATGGGAAAGGCTTCTGGCGATTAACGGTCACAAGGCGCAAAATTGTGGTTGCAGAATTGGATGGGTCCAACGCGTGAGGTATGTCGTCAATTGAGGGCATCGGGTCCACCTCTGCTTTTTCTTCATTCCTGGTTGTTTCTCTCTTTACTGCATCTATATTGGGTTTTCTTGAAGGTTCAATGATCTGCGTGGGGGAGGTTTAATGTATTCTTGTCTCTTTTTTCCCCCCTTTTCTACTTTTTCTTCCTTTTTTTTTGCATTCTGCTTGTGGGAAATATGCCTCTTCTCTTTTTGATACTTGATTTTCTTTTCCGACAGGTATCCTGTCGCGTGGCGCGAATACTGGTTGGCGCTGTCGTCTGTGTGCATTTTCTCCTCGTCTTTGACGACCCCCAACTGCTCTGTGTGAGATAGACCTTTGAGCGAGAGATATCCAAAGATCCAGGCGTCTACTTTGTTTTTGTTTTCTTTTCTTCTTCTGTTCTGCCTGTGTATACGCGACTTATCCTTCAAAAGCATGAATGTACTTGTCGCCCTTTCATGAATATTCAATCTTCCAACGTTGCAGAATCTTATTGTTCGACGTCTCTATTCACGTAGGAATCAGGGTTCATCGAAAATGACAGTATTCTCCCAATAATTTGCTCCCAACGACTTCTTCATTCAATCGGATTTTCACAAACGCTTCGGGTCACGTGGAACCGCCCTTGACGCGCCGCCTTACTGAGCGTCTTGCCTCACGACACGAAAAAAAAGCCCAGACTCAACCACTTATTTGCCAGGCCCTTTTTTTCTTTTTTCACACTCTATTTTTTGTTTAAGGGGTTACCCACTCTGTGGCTCTCATCTCCGTCCAAATCCCGCTCCAGTGAACTGTTGTCCAGCACCTAGGAACCCCGGCCTTAACGGTTGTCCCGCCGCGATGGGATCGCGAAAGCGCACCCGCTCGGAGGCCATCCCGATGACCGAGCAACAAGCCCCAGAGGAGCCTAGCTTGCTCTCCCAGCTCAGGAGCAACTGGGCATTTGCAAGCCTCATGCAGTACATTGCCATCTTTGGCCAAGTCATGAAGATCGACGAGGACTTTGGAATCGAGGTATGTCTATCGGCATGTTTGAGATGAACGAACGTCGCGCCTTGTGTCGCATTGATAGAAGAATATCACTTCATATATCAATCAGTTGGGTCAAAACTAATACTGTCCTCTTTCCCCCACATTAGGACCTGGAAGTCGAATGCCTCAAGCCAGAACCCTCCCATAAACTGTTGGAGATTGGATTGTGTCTCCTCAAGTGGATTTCGTCGCATCGCGGTCTTACGTACGTATACTAGCGCGTGTTCTGTTACTATTCTGGGCAGTTTTCGCTGACAGTGCTGCGTTGGCAGGTTCGACAATTTCGATGAGTATACCCGACGCCAGTACAATGCGAAAGCGCCCAAAATTCCCAACCCCTTTGGGCACGAAGAAGAACCAAACAAGTTCTTGCATTTCGACGTGTTCACTAAGATACGTGTCCTCCACCAACTTACAGTATGGACATTTTGGAATGCGGATCGCATTCGCGATAAGATGCCCGAAAAGAAAGAAACAGAGCAGATGGAATGGGTGAGCGAGCTTTTCTAGAGCCTTGGTTGTCGATTACCGCATACTGACCTTTTCCAGCGCATCGAAGAGTTTGGCTGGGATCGCGAGGGGCGTACATACTACGTACTAGACGACAATCGCCTTTACCGTCGCACCGACCCACCCTTACCTCCTTCTCCCCAGCGTCCCAAGAAGAAGGGCAAGAGCCGATCCTCCCGAGCATCAAGAACGTCAAAGCGCACCTCCACAGCAGCTGTGGAAGATGGATCCGACGAGGAGACCAAGGATCTCAATGATGCAACCGCTGTCGCAGCCACTTCTGAGGACCCTTTCAAGTGGGAGTGTGTAGCTGTCACACTTGAGGAATATCAGGCTTTCTTGGAGACCATTCAAAAGACTAAAGATGCGGACGAGAAATCTCTCCGCGATAACATTAATACCCATGTTCTGCCCATTCTTGAGAAGGCAGAGGAGGCGCAGCAGCGCAAGCGCCAGAAGCGGGAGAAGGAGCTTTTGAGCCTGCAGCTGGTCGCGGGTGCTAAAAGGTCCAGTCGACTCGCCGCCAAGGAAGAAAAGGAACGGCATGAGCGAGATGCTGCTGAAGCTGCTCAAAAGCGCGAAATGGACCTGGCCGAGGCTCGCAAGGAGCAGGCGAAACAACAACAGCTTGAGCAGGATCGACAGTCGCGTATGATGACTCGGGAGCAACGCATCAGAGACCGTGAACAGAAGCGACTGCTACATGAAGCGGAACTTGAAAGGATCGAGGAAGAACAAGAAAGACTCGAGAGGGGTGAAAGCAGAGTGTCTGCTCGAAACCTCAAGGCTGACCTAGAGAAGTCTCAAAAGAATTTGGCAGAGCTTAACCAAGAAGATCAATGGATCTTCGATTGCTCTGGCTGTGGGGTGCATGGTGAGAACTTGGTGAGTGTCATTTTGAGAGTACGAGGTCACCTTGGTCTAACATTTTCCCAGGATGATGGAAGTCACAGTGTCGCATGCGAAAAATGCAATGTTTGGCAACATAGCAAGTGTCTTGGTATCTCACAGGAAGCCGCCGAAAAGGATGATTTCCACTTTGTCTGTCGGGACTGTAAGCAAAAAGAGGAAGACTCTCACCGGCCCAAACTCCCACCCCTTAAATTCCGGGTCAGCGCTTCGGCGTCTCCTTCTGCCGCTCCCCCGGTCGCGAAGAAACGTAAACTCGAGGATGACGAGGATCACGCTCCACCCTCACCTGTGAAAAAATCACACTTCGCTCTGTCCAACATCCAAAACGAACCCTTAGGAACACAACCTACTCTCCAGTCGCCCGCTATCAGCCATGGCACCTTCTACCCTCCTCCGTCACCCCAACGCCGGGCCCATCCCGCAGATAATACTCGCCTGCCATCTTCAAGCCCTCCTCGTCCACCGTTTTCTCCGCCAAAGGGCATGAATGGTTTGCTCCATGCTACTATGGAGCAGCAACCACGGCCTTCTTCGTCTCAGCACTCTTTCCCGCCTATGCAACAAGCTCCTCATCTTCCTCCCATTGGATCATTCCAATCTGTACGGTCTTCCTCGTCACAATCTATTCAAAGTCCAGTTCAGAACCAACCATCAATGTCACCTACGCAAGGTAATCCCGAGGTTGGCCCTCTTGCGGGTTTCCCACCTATTGCTTCAACCCATGCACCATCTCCATGGGGTTCTTTCGAGACTCCGCGTCCACAGTCAGGCCATGCGGCCACGCCGTCGATGTCTAGCCGCTACCCATCTTTCTCAGCTTCGACTCCTAATGGCAACCACTCCTCTCCCCCTCAAAGTTCTCATGGTATGGTCATGTCGGGGATCAGCCCAACGAAACAGTCTCCTCGTCCGCTTACTGGAACTGGCATGGCGGGCGCTCCTGTGCTGCCACCCATCCGTAGATTGGAACCAAGCCCGAAGCTCATGGGTCGCAGCTCTCCAGATGCTCCGATCCCTCCACCTGTCAAATGCATGACGCCTGAGCAAGAGGAACGCCGCCAGAGGGAGAATGCCTCGATGCTGCACCAGGCCCATCACTATCAGAGCAATGGCCAGCATGCCTTGTCATCACCGTCCCTCAATCGCATCCCTCCCTTGGGTTCTGGGGCTGTTTCACAGTATCCCGATCCTGTTCCTTCCCCTTACCGCGGGAGCAATGGTCAGAACCAATGAAGATCTAACTTAGCGACATGAACAGCACGTGATTGTCTTCTTTTTTTGTGTATCATTCCTTTTCACACATTTTTTAAAAATCTACCAACATCTGAGTAATGCTTTGGATACAATATCCGGATCCGGAATCTTGAAATCGCACTACGGTCTATTTCAAGGAGATGTGACCTACCCTGCCGAACTGCTTTTTGACGTCTCTTTAAACCTCTGCATCTCAAGGGAAGTGGGCGCGAATGGTATCTCTCCGGATATCGTTTTCCAGATGATCCGGAGTTATTTTCCCTGGAGACGACATACCATACATCTCAAGTTCAAGAACTGCACATCCAAGCCTTTTGACATGGCCGACACTCGTGTTCTTCGTTTTTTTAAAAGTTCTTCAATTGCAGATTGACCACCGTGTTTCGATAACGAGGAGTTTTTCCCTTGGTGGTCGCTGTCAGGGCTTTGCCTTGTAAGAATCTTCCTTCATTTCTCTTTTGAGATGCCTGGCAATTTGTCAGGCTGGCGTTTGAATCCCTCTGCTATTGATTTCTTTCCTGTTTCACAATGCATCAAGATGGATGGGAACTCGAGCGGCGTTTGCAGACGGTCTGGTCCTGGACACCAGTGTTTTGGTGAGCCTGGACATGTGTATTTTAATAGAGAATCTTATTTGATTTCAATCCTGAAGAACCAATCGGACGATGGAGGGATAAGTAAGAAGCTTGAAAATCTACTGCGATATATATATGGCGTGGTGAGGGCATTGTATATGTATAGATGCAAGATCCTCCTGAACAAGTAGAACAACATATCAGGACGTGGATTCACCATGCTGGAGCCTTCGGATCTTCTACAATCTTGTAAACCGTTCTGAATAATCCAACCACCTCTTGTATTACCCCTAGTGCTACAAAATAACCCAATATGCATCATATTGTCCACATACACGGAAGAACGAATGTAGTCAACACAAAAGTCTCACACTCAGTCCGAATTAGAATTGGCCGATAGGTCGATCAACACATACCCCTGGCTGCAAATGCAATGCCCAACGCAGTCCTGCCCAGCCGAACAGCATACGCGCGCTGACATACCTACACGATACATGCCTAACCCTGCACTCCGTCGGTACCTACGATGAACACGATGCACGATGTAAACCGAGGCGGCTCGCAGCATCTTAACGCATTCTCTCTAGTGCAGTCCCGTAATGATATTATCCCAGTTCTTTATTAATTGTTTCATTTCCCACAATTACGATAGGACCACAATAAATCAGGGGTGATGGCGAACGACAGAAGAAAAAAGGAGAGATAAAAAAAATAAAAAAGAAGAAGAAGGGAAAAAAAAGAAAGAACAAAAGTACATCGTCCCGTCCCTCTGGCCGCGTTCCCACCCCGAAATTAGTGTGGACAACATGTGTTGGATTTAGGTAGATGCCCGATGGGCATAATATTGCAAGTTCACGATACTGAGGCGCTACCAAAAACACCCAAATGTGCCAAAAGTACAGCACCTAGCCTAGCCTGGTGGGTCCAGCATGCGGCGCAGTCAACTTACTTAGAAGCGCCTGGGCCTTGGTGCTAATTGGAGACGATCGATGTAGATCGCACACTAACTTGTAGGGCGTTAGCTGCATGCGCATCTTGCCCCCTATCTGACGGCAATTTGTTCCTTGAAATGTAGGTGAGAATGCGGCGTACTCCGTAGGGAGTATGGAGTATGGAGTATAGAGTAGCACCATATCTCCCGATATTACGCATGTTGATCTATCATTCTGTCATAGTGCTGTCATACTTCCCAGGAATGACAGGGGTATTTATAGCGATGTGGAAGGGTTAATAAATGAGATATTAATTGTGAGGGTAATATCCAATAAAAAGAATGGAAAATGAGACATAAAACGATATATAATATACCAGTTTTTCACAAGGGAGTACACGATATACAGTATAGGAGTAGCTCGGGGAGGCGAACTATGAGAAATGTAGATGTCATTTCCTCTGAACAGCAGAGAACCACGGTTTCTCCGCGGAAAGTGAAGATCGGAAAGTACGGAGTGGAGGACAATGATTAGCCAGTCCAACCGGAAAATGACTCTCAACGATCCAATCAGGAAAAAGGCTCCCGGAAAAAGATCTGAGAGTTTTCGGGGATCTACTACGGAGTAGATATCACACACGTACGAGCCACCCGGCTATGGCAGATACTGCGTATACGCGAGGATCGGAGACTCCTATAGTACTTGAAATTAGGTTCACACGGCAGACAGGATGCTGATCCGAGCGTTTACCCTTTCTCCACTCATGCAGCTCATCTGTTTCTTGTCAAAAATGGTGGAAATGGGGCAATTGGCGAGAACACAGGGAGAGTGGAGATCCGGAATCTGGCCCGCCCACTCGTGCGGACTGCCGGCCGCCGCGGTCCCGTTTGAGTCTGGCCAGTCATTTCGGCTCGTTTCTTTTTCTTGTTCGAGTAAGAGCAGGCGATTTCCCAGAGCCATGGGCACATGTACAGAAGCTGTAGCACGCTTGGTTCATGAGGTTCTATGTTATGGCCACGGAGTATAGAGCATGGGGACCGGAATGGGAAGGAAAGAGCCAGGAAATAATAGAACCGAGCAATGATTTGTCAATTTCACTTTTTTTTTAGTTTCAAACGTGAAACTATTTCCCCCACTAAACCACAAAGGTATACGGAGTAGTTCGGTAAGAAAGAAAAAGACAATTGCATTCGTGTTCGGAGATCTCCCTTTGAACCCTCCTGTCATGCATACTCCGTATTCCGTACTTTCATATTGATCTCGAGTCAAGATCGACTCCTAATCTAGGCACAGATATGTACGGAGTACATAAATCCCATACCAAGAAGTGGTCACTGCTTTAAAACCCCATCTTGCATTACCGGCCGAGAAGTATTAGTCCCCCGACTAAAATGAGAACTAAATTGAGAACTAAATTGAGAACGAGATTGTGAACCCAACTCGTTTAGCAAAATGGGGGATTGGAATACCGACACATTGGAATCTCGACTAGATCCTGGGAAGAATTGCGTATTTCATCCCAAACTGGCTATGAGCCTCGCTTAGCGTGGTATTTGCTTCTTCTTGTTTGGCCGGTCCAAAATCAGGAGTGCTAATGGACAGACCAAGGTCGGTGGAGCAGAGACGGCCGAAAGATCACGGCTATACTCCGTAGTCCACTTATCGTCCACTTGTCCACTCATCAGCCATTGAGATCCGCGCAAGTGGAGCAATACTATGCCTCGGGCGCGCCGTTGGATGTGACGGAAGGAAGGACCATCACATCCGTCGCGAAACTCAGATCCCCATCTCGCCCTTACATTGTACCTTGCCTCATTTTACTTCTCCATACGGAATATGCGGTACTATAGCTGGGAGCCACGATATGGGGGACCTCAGCTCCGTATGTCTCCCAAACTCTAAAGCGCTTCTGGTTTGTGTGAATGTATCCGTTCAGATCTACATCATGTACGAAGTACGAAGTACCTCGACACATTGTACTCCGTGTTTCCGTACATTGTGCTGAGCCAGATGATAGGGCTACGAGGATCCCCGGATTAGCCCTGAACAGGTGACTGTCGGCCAATGCGGACAAGGATAAGGCAGATGAAGCTAAGTACTTTTAGGGATAGTATATTGGATTATTGACGATTCAGGAGTGTCAAGCCGATCTATTTCGAGTTTGCTAATTTCCTTGCCCTAGAGTGCCATAGACGGTCCCCGTTCGTCCCACTTGGCTAGGTTGTCGGGTTCCAGTTGACTCTAGGCAAAACCGAGCATTCAGAAGTATGTCCTGACGGAGACGAGAGACGGGAAATGCCTGGATCCTACCTCGGAACCATCCCCAAGCTATTGTGTTCGTTAGTGGCTCACGTCCTGATAGATGACACGGTAAATGATACCCACAATCGGCCATCCCAAGCGAATCTACCCCCGAGATAAGTGTATACGAGCTCGTCCATGGGAATATCCACCACAGGAGGCCTCCCTCTTCGGACCTCCCATTTCCCGGCCTCCGAAGCATGGACCTGGCGGGAACGTCGGGCGTTAGAGTTATGACTAAATTGCACAGATCAGCTTTCCACATCTGATGGGCTTGATGTCTATTTCCTAAATCGTCCATCCGATCAACGCCAGCCAATACTTTGCAAATCCTACCAGAAACGGGAAAAAAGTCAAATGAAATAAAATAAAAACGAGGAAAGGGAAGAGGAAGAGGAAGAGGAAGAGGGGGAGAGAGCGGGGGAGAACACAAGACTCAGGTATTCGGGGTAGGGATGAACATGATAACATGACTCCCCTACACCCACTGCGAAAGGTTAGATGCGGCAGATGAACAGATGCTCTCCCCGAAAGACAACAAGCCCATCATAGCCATCCACGCTCCTAAGTCCTGCATTTGCACAGCTCCGTCGCCCGTGCGTCGATGTGGCAGTAAACCCGTCAACGATCTCGCCTTCGAGCCAATAGCAAGGGCAATTCAGTGTTGGTTGAGGACACCTTCGTCTTCTAGCTGAGGGCCTGCAGGTTATTGCAAGCTGTTCATTCCCTTCTTTGGCCACAAGCGCATCAGACCCTTGTCTATATTACTGAGAAATTCAATCTAGCCGCTGTTGCGCAGCAGTTCCTCGTGGCGGTCTGGGAATTGGCAACGCAGGCTTGAATTATCCATGCTCGTCGCTTGTTCCCCAGGATGCAATCTGTCATGGCTTAGGCTTTTGATACCATAGAGTTCGCATTATTTGCAGGCCGTCACTATGATGTCGCCCGGGCGATCCGCTGTTTGCGCCAGATTTATGGTCCATCCCTTTTCCCTTTCTTCCTTTTTGCCCTCGTTTTATTTTATTTTTTTCCCTCTCTCCACCCAGCCCCTCAACAGGCGGCCTGACCGCAAGGAGATCGTGGACTCGGGTGTCGGCCGGATGCACTTGCAATTGGGTTAGATAAACCCGTTGAATAGATGGTGCTCCCATGGCGCTCGATGGCGGCCGTAGCAATGTTCCAAAACAGCTACTCTTGAATTCAATACCGTATATTCCTAGGATAGATTTGATCCCTCTTTCCTTTCTCGTCCCACCGCTTGAGTCAATATAGCAAGACGAAGATCTAATTCCGGCACTCTCAGCCGTCCCACCCAGCACCCCTGCCGAGGCGTAGGACTACAAGATATGTGGACTGCGCTACTCCGTAGACAGGGTTCAGGGTATCTGATTATCGGGGACATGGTCTCGAATAAGCATGTGAGCAATGAAAATGTCTACTCCACCCAATCCAGTAGCCCGTCTTTTATGTCAGTTCTCATTATCAAATGTGGACCCCATTTCCCCATGTTGCTGATCATATCACTAGCCCTTTTTTGCTCCACGGTTCTCTTTCTCGCTCTTGCTTGTCAGATATGAAAATAGTATCAACAATGAGTATAATAAGAACGACTTGAAACGAGGATATCTTTAGAAACACTTGAAACACCCGAAGAGGCGATCAGGAGGCGAAAGAGAAGCCCGTCATGAAACGAAATGGTTTCGCATTGAGACGGTGGAGATCTGAGCATTCTGCGGCATCCAAAAGCGGCCGAGTCAGCAGACGACACTGCAGCCAACAGACTCTTAGCGAGGAAGCTTACCCTGTTTTGGCGAGCAATCGACCTTCTAGAAGGAAGGCAACGGGGGCTCGAGTGCGCTGATCCTGGCTGTCAATCTGGTTCCCACTTTTTAGAGAAGAGTTCATGAGCTGGCAACCAGTCGCAGTGATGCCTCGGAGGGTCTGAGCACTCTGATTTGACACCAGCGATTGGCCATTCTTGAGCGCGGTCTTCGGAATTGCGTCTCCCGAATCTCGAGGCTATGACAGTACGTTCCGATGACTCCGCCGAGACGGCAGATTTGGCTCTGTTGGTTTCTCATTTTTGATCCTGACAATTCAGAATTGGGGTTCATGCACCTTGATCCAAGCCAAGGGGCCGGATATCAGGCTAATGTACCAACTGGAAGGTCCCTGGGACAGGGTGAGGAGCGAGGTATTTGGAATGCCGATCAGATTTGTGGATGGGGCATAAAATGTCCAACCAACACAAGCTATCTAGGTACTCCACAGAAATCAATCAATCTCACTCCGCCGAGTCGGCGGGAAGCAACTATTCCGTACGCCGTACATCGCACTCCGTTGCCATTCCTTTGACCAATCTCGTAATTGAATATACACGGGTAATGTGTTCTCGCTTAGCCCCATAATACCCCGGCATATAGACCAGGGCGAATAAGATGCTTACAGGGTGCTGTCAAAACCATATAGGAAATAACCCAAGAGAAAAAGCAAAGATAAGCTCAAAGCGCAGGCTTGAATCGACTTCTCGCTTTCCTTTGAGAGAGAGAGAGGGTCAACCGCATGGAAATGCAGTGTACCGGTTAGGTTTCGGCGCTCTGACACCTCGTGGATAGCACATGGCACATGGCACCTGTACTCCGTACGCCGTCAACCATTCTAGAAATTGATTGACATCCTGCATACCTCTAGTTGATTTTTTCCAGCGCCCGGGCGTGGGACGGCTTGCAGATTTCCAACAAAGAAATAAAACATGCATGGATATTACTTCAATTAGACAAGAGACAGGGGAAAACATGGTTGGCCGGTTCCTGCATCCAGATCCCAGGTGCTCATGAGGAACCGTAATTCCTTTCCAGCCAGGACTGCAGGGCTCTGTTGATCCCTCACCGATTTCTGGAAACAGCCACATCCAAAGACTTGGGAGCATTTGATAGAGTAATAACCATTGATCTATCTTGGGGGCTGACAACGCTTTCCATCAAAGCAATGCCTGTCCACCGGTCGTGTGGACTAGGCTTGATTGGGAGATACGTCCCCGGGCAAGCGCGATCCCGCTATCTAGATTATACTAGCAAAGGAGAACTGGGGATATTGGCCGGGGAGATTCTCCGGAAATGTAAACTTCAATGAATTCATGAATTTCTTTTTGCTGTGGCGTTGGGAGACGCATTTGACGCTCACCGGTGTGAACGGCGAGCCCGACATCCAACAGGCAATACTGAGTACGGGCTACGGAGTACCTGGGTACGGACTATGGATTGCTGAAAAAGGAGATCGGGCATTGCCGTGCGAATCCCAAAGTTGAACCCAAACGCAATCCATTTTCTGCGAAAGGAGACAAGCCGGGCAGATCCACCGCAAATCGAAATGAGGGCACGGCAGGTCACGCACATCCAGCGCCAAGACTTAGTTGCTCCCTTCGCAGTTGGCGTTTGGGGCGGATACCTCACCCAGTCCCTTTTGACCCAATCAGCACCCAGGTGGCGCCTTGGCCTTAGCTCGACCCCCCTGGGTATCGTATCGGCTTCAACCGATGTCAGGTTTACCGCCGATCAGGAGGGACTCCACTAGATTGAACGGGACCAGTGTCTCCCCGAACCCTCAAGATGTCCCCGTTCGCAATCCCCATTGACTAATGAATTTAGCAACAAGGGAAGAAAGAACTCTCCCCGAGTCCCCGACTCCCCGGATCTCCAGAATCACGAATCAGCGACCACTTCCGATACAGACTCTTGCCGCTTTCTGTGTGGCAATCCATGGTTCAGGATCTGCGCTATCTGAACTTGAATTCAATATCTGGGGGCGAGGGGGCAAAGGGTTCATCTCGTGAGCAATGGAACTGCGGGGAGAGGAGGATGTCTGTCTATCTCGATACTCCGTGCTCCGTGGAGAAAGGCTGTGAGCGGAAGAGACGACTTAGTCGATCGACTAGCGAGGAGTTAAGATTACTGGTGTCATGATTCATGTCACACGGTACATCGAGAGTATTGTGCCTGCCCAGGCCCTCGTTAGTATGGCCGTTAGCATGTCTTGCAGGCTTAGCAGTACCCCACTCAGTGCATCTAGCTCACCGTCCAGTACGGAGTATAGAGCGTGTACCGCGCTTGACAGCAATAAGCTACAGGAGTTCATGCGTTCCCTTCCCATTTCTCTCTAAGCTAGTATCCATCAGGATACCTGCATCATCTGCATGCCTCTCCATGATTGCTTTTTTGGGGGGGGGGGACAAAGTGCCGAGATATAGCGGAATTCCCAAAACATTTGATTGAAAAAAACCAAATTAGATTAATTAAACCCCAATCTGTAAGCAAGCTAAGATCACACTATGGTTCTCCATTTGACATTTGGGGTTCTTACCCTGGACCTGGTTCTCCCCTTTCCATCTGCCATTGGAATCCGGTCTACTACATCCCCGGGTATCGGACGTTGGAAAGTTCCTACAGGCCCATAGTCGCAATGATCTGCCAGAAGTCCCTGCTAGGAGTCCCTGTTAGAAGTCCCTGCTGGGAGTCCCCGCTGAGGCCCATGTGGATTTCCTCAGTGTTCAGTGCACTGTCAATCTTCCGAACCTTCTTCTTTTACGGGCTATTTGCGTCTCGTCCAAATTTGGCACAAAGATGTTTGAAATACTTCATGAAAGGTGCAACAGATCTGCTAGATGGGGTCTGATATGGGCCCTGAAGGGAAATCCAATCAGAAAATAGACCTCTCAGGCCAATGGCAGAGACTTGATCTGACCAAGACAAAGAGGGCACTGCACGAACGCCTCCACCGGATTTAGAGTAGAGGGGAGACATAAAGGGAAAATCCAGAGTAAAATAATAATATGAAATATCGGAATTAAATAAATCGAAAATAGAATAATATGCTAAAAACAATTTAAAAAAAACCAAATAAAACCAACGAGAAATAGATCCACGCCATGCGTATTGTATTCCAGGCCTTCTTCTTGAGTCAGTTTCAGCCTCTCTGTTTGCAACTCTCCCCCTCTACTTCGATTCTATTTAGTTCAGACCCGCCCCATCTTCAATCTTCAAGTCTTTGGCTCTTTTGTCTATCCTTTAATCTATCCGGATCCACTTGATCTTCATATACGTTCCCACTTAGTAACGTCCAATTGGATTGTTGCAGTGTTTGTCTCGTCTTGCATCCGTGTGTGTGAGACCTCTTTCAGGGGACAAGACAGCTGGGTAGGACAGCAGAATATCTTTATTCTACATCTCTTCCACTTCTTTCCTCTTTCTGGAATCCTCTGTTCTTTTATTCTGCTTTCTTGCTTGTAATCAGCATATCTTGGTGTCTACAAGGCCCTAAAAGACTGCAACAATGACCTTGGTGACAAGATCGATTCCCGCTTCGCCTCCCCACACCCCAGACGGACATCCTTTGCCTGAAGAGTCCTTTGAAGACCCTGGAATTTACCAGCCTGTGTACTCCAAGATGTCTCCCCAGGAAATCCACAGTGGCAACCAGCCCCAAGCCATGGCGAGTCTCCTCTCTTCCCACTTCTGCCTGACAATGGTTCTAACCTGTCCCTCAGCACTATGGCTCTCCTCCCTTTTACGCCCCAGTCTATAGTCATAACATGCCAACTCAATCGGTGAGGAGAATCCCTGTGTTGCAATGCCATCATGTGCGAGACTGACCTGGATATGCGGAATCAGATGATGGCGGCATCTAGCTCTAGCTCTCAGGTTACCACACCTCCTTCAACATGTGATGAGGCCCTCATCTCTATGGGCTCCCCTAGCATGTTGTCTTCTTCGCCTTCGCAATCACGGTCTCCACAAAGGAACGGCAAAGCAGCCACGGCAGTCAAACGGCGACAGAGCCGTAACCGGAGAATACTCTCCGATTCGGGTTTCAAGCTTGATGGCCCAATCAGCCAACTCACAGAATCATTCCACACAACCCCAATCAAGGACATGGACGCCTGGGTGGCTCGATCGACTGTTGAGCGACGGGATGAGGTCCGCAAGAAGAATGGGAAGATCTCTCGGCCCATGAACTCCTTCATGCTTTATCGGTCTGCCTATGCCGAACGTACCAAGAGACTAGTGGGGGCAAATAACCACCAGATCGTTTCAAAGATCGCAGGCCAGGGTTGGAAGTTGGAGCCCGCCGACATTCGCAGAAAGTACGAAGATCTGGCAAAGATCGAACGTGATAACCATGCTCGCACACATCCAGACTACAAGTTCTCGCCCAACAAGAATACGGGCTCCAGCCGACGAGACAGTAGCTCACCTTCCGTTCTTCCAGCACATCTCCCAGAGGAAGGCAATTTCTCTGACATGGAAAGTGATTACGGGTCAAATATCTCAGGCATAGGCCCCATGCAATCCTTTGCTCATTCTCGATCCCAAAGCTTCGAGGAGACTTTCTACGGTAGCAGCCGCGATTCCTCACCATTCGGTGGACCTGACTCTATGACACCCGGGTATATTCACTCGTCCTGGCAAAATACGAGCCACCCAAGTGGCGTCCCAGGGGTACAGCCCAGCTCCCTCCAGAACTCCTACACCGAAGACGTATCCTTCCGCCCCGTTAGCCCTACCCACCAGGACATGGGATATGGTTCCTCTCTCGCTGGTCTCCCTGGCGCTGCCCACCACGAGCTGCTGCAGCCGCAACTCGGTCACACATCGCACGGTATGCCCATGCACGACATGGATCCCCGGCTTCTTAGCAACAGTGGCGAGTCTACTGGAGTCGCTGCCATGACCGGTTCCTCCTATTCTTCTACTCCTGGGTCATATTCTACATGGGGCGATGAGACCCACGGTGGATATTTCGCAGTGTCTTCGGGTCCTCCGATGTCTTCTAACACCATTGCCTACCCTCATTCCAACATGACCTCTGCCTACCTCCCGAGCATGCAGAACCTTGAGATTCGGGATCAATGGGACATGTCTCGTCCCGAGAACAACATTGCTGAGGCCACTCCGAGCGAGTTCGATGCGTGGTGCACCCCAGACACCATAAACAACAACTACTAAGCGTCATTATGGGACCAACAATACCCCTGTCCATCTAAAGAGCTTTCAGCAAGATGGCCAGGCGATTGAAAAAAAAAGGGCTGGCCATATTCTTGCTGGTATACTCCTGGTTGAAAATATTTTAACAAGAGCTGGCCATGTCGATAAGCTTTCCAAAACAAAAGCTCAGTGGGAAACTGTGTTTGGGCTTGGGGCGTAAGGCGTCCGGAAACGATCTCTTTGGTTCTATTCTTTTTTCACTTTTCTTAGTATCCTATCGCTTTCCTGGGTATCTGTCTGTACTTTCGTTTAGTTTCCAGACCAATCTGGAACTTTGCTCGACGCTTAGGGTCTTTAGATTTCTGACATTTTCACGCTGGACAATGATGGGCGGATTGCGATCTTTTTTTTCTAATGCGCATTGATTTCAAACCAATTCGAAAATCCACTCCAATCTTTCTCTCACATGCTGTTAAACTATTACATAAAATGATAATTACCGCTCTCCCTTACCCTGGCCTGATTAGTGTCGTTGCAGTGCACGGATCTGTTTATCCCTTTTCCTGTCCCGTCCTGTAAAAGGTAAAGATATCCCCGGACGATCTTAGATCTCATGGCGTCACATCATCTGATATTCTAGTCCGTTTCTATCACATTCTATCACATTCTATCACACCGCTAGTTGCCCGACTCCGACTTGGTCTCCACATGTTGTATGCTCGAAAGCTCTGATGGGTTGGATAACCATCTGCTTCCCCGTGTTTTCGGGCACTGCCTAGCTTAGTTTGCCGGTCATATCCGTTAATCTCTGATAATCAGGACGGAATATATGGATGGACATGCAGATCCTCGTAGAGGGGTTCTCTACTTGGCACAAGCTCCCCGGCTTGATAGCACCTTGTATTAGGTAGACCTAAAAAGCTCTGATGATTCAATTTTATGACCCTAGAACAAGATTACAGAGATTCCTTGAAACTCTCACTAGAAAAACTTGTTTATAATTACATTTCCTGACATTAGTAGCTGGGAACACCCCTAAGTTAGAATGAACTACTCCGTATAGAGACCGTACATTATGAGTGGCTGAAGCCAAGTTTCTGTCTGACATTGCTAGATACACCCAGACAAATGGATCCAGAGCGTCTAGTAAACAATCAATGTGTTGTAAATCCCCCTGACTTTCATCAAACACAGTCTTATTGCCCTTCTCTCGGACTTGATGCATGTCTCGTATACCTCTCGTATCCCCGTAGCCCTAATCTGGGCAATATTCGTTCACCGCCTAATATCACCGACCGCCCTCACCCCGAAGGTCTCGCCGCCAACTGACTGTCTTGATCAAGACATTGCACAGAGACATCGGTGCGAGACAGTTTCAATAAATAAAATTCCGGTCGATCCTCATTCTTCCCGCCTAAACATTGATCCACCTCTCCGGAATCAGCAAAACAATTCCAACCCCGCCCGTCCTCCGCACCCCTCCTACCCCTCAACACCCAAGCTCCGAAAACAACATACACAGCCAAGATGTCGATCCCCAACGAAGCTCTCCAAAAGGTATGTCTTGATTTCAATATTCCAATGTCTTTAGCCGGATACCGCAAGGAGATAGCAAGACAAAACGGTGTACCTTGTCAATCCGGTCTCACTCAGTCTCTTGTCCCTGGTACCTGCTTGGAGATATCATGAATTCAAAAGCTGTATGGTCGTGTTTTGTATATGTAAATACTAATAATTTCTATTCTGCAGCTCCTCCAAGAGATTGAGGCCCGCGCGATTGCCTCGCAGCAGCAGATCAGTATCACCAAAGCTCACATGACGGCCAAGCAGCGCGATATCCGCATGCTTCAGCTTACATCGAAGGAGTTGTCTGACTTGCCCGCTAAGACGAATGTCTATGAGACCGTCGGAAAGATGTAAGCACCCTTGCCTTTCCCTTTCCTGTCTTTTATGTTTTTCCTCTTTTGATTTCCGCTTCCCTGTTTTCGGATTTGCGATTCCGGACGAGTGAGACAGTCGGAGAAACTTTACAGCAGTAACCTTTTTTTTTGTGAAACTGAGACTGATTCATACCCCTGTTTCAGGTTCGTCAACGTTCCCATCGACACAGTCAACAAGCGCCTCACGCGCGAGAACAGCGAGGCCACCGCCGAGATCTCGAACCTCGAGAAGAAGCTGCAATACCACGAGACGACAAACCAAAAAAGTCGGGAGAATCTCGAGCAGATTCTTAAGTCGGGTGGACGGGCGTGAACTAGTTCAAGTGGAACCATGAGTTGAGAAGAAAAAAAACGCGAACGTGATGCGCGCCTATGAGGCGGATCTCCTTGACTGTGGTATGTTTACATCAAGGATTCGGCGATTCTAGTGAATGTGAATCTTAATGGGGAGGAATAGAATGAGCTGGTGTTGCTCTATCTGTTTTCCTTCTGCGTGGACCTGTAACACAGGCCGAGAAACGATCTGGTGAATTGAAGATACCATTGCCTCGAGATTGACGAGTGCTCATGATACATCGCGCCTTGGAGATGCAGGGAGCGTACGAATTGATTCGCCGTCCTATGTCCGGCTGGTCTGGTCGCGTTCTGGCGACTATACATACTTGGGGTGCGGGCTGGTGACTTGGATACCCAGAGTTATTGTTTGCAGAAATACCTTTGTTGAATGAATCTAGCGAGAGAAACGCATGTCATAATAGCCTCTTTGCATAATAAGTCTCCATGTTCTGTGATTTCCCCACTGATGTTGATGTCTAATTTCAGGTATATATGAATCTTTACTGTTGTAGGGCAATAAAACCATTGTAAAAGATAGTCTTGGTTCTCAGATTCAACCCCTCGACTCTGTTCATCATACTCCGTAGTTGCATCTCAAAGAACCATAGTGGGGCCGATACTAGCTCATCACGCTGCAGCTGTCACTAAAAAAGACGCAAGGGTTACCAGATGCGAAGCATGGTTAAATGCACTTCATTCTAGCCATGATCATTACTATGAAACTAACCTACAGAGTCCCAAAACCCTCAGAGATGTTCGTGGTTCACCAAAATCCCAATCTGATAGGGCTGATATGCCAAGGGTGGCCTAACCCAAACTACAGTTCAAAACCTGCATCAGTCCAAAAGCAGACACAGTGCGTCCAGGATATGATAAGCATAAATATCAAAATCAGAAAACATTTTCCACCGGTAAAAAACTGTTGTCAGTTCCAAGGTCTATGTATCATGTACCACCAGACCAACGCCATTGGCGTCATCTCCGTGCCCGGGCTCCATCAACGCCCGCCTTCCCCACTGTGCATATTAACAATGACGTATAGCCTTGCACAACATGACTAGGATTTCTTGGAATTGGGGACTGACGATGCACATGATTTGTGGGAGAATGAGTGATCAATATCTCCGTTGGATCGGGGGGAAAGAGATCCTTGTCGTTATTATCGAAATGACAGGGTTGCCCCGGCTTAGGGCCGCAGAGGGACAAAGTACTTTGTACAGCCACTTCTTTTGATGCCTTTGTTCGACTAAGCTCGTTCGAGTGTACGGGGGAGCTGGGCACGCGATGTCTACATTTGTCAAACCCGAGGTTGGAATAAGCCTAAAGCTTATCTTGAGTGTGCCATGGATTGGATCCAGATTGTTACTGGATTAGAGCTCTGCGGCAACTATAATGAGTCGAAAGGTATTCAATGGATTTTGTCGTGGCGGACTTTGTTGGTGATGCGGTTTATAAAAAGTATTCATTCAGTATGAAGTCAGTTCATGTGCATTTAATGAGATCTACCAGTTATCATGGACCTGCTCATATCACTACATGTATGTATCTGATAAGGTGCAGATCTCGATCTGTGAATGTCATAACCCTCTTCTCTAGCATGGTGTATCAGATGATTACCGATGTGATGTAGAGAGAAGATTGGTAGACAGTCAGCTGCGGAAGTCAGGTGCCATGGGTGATCTCAAGGCAACGTCCGATGGTCTATAGTTAAGTCTCGCATTCGATGGGATCGCGTTCTAGCTCTTGGAAGGTTTCCGCTTTGGTGGTCAACTTTCCACTGCTTTTGATATGGTAAAACTAGGCGAGTACTTTCTATGAAATAGGCCTCACTCAAAGCAGCCTTAATTGAACACTTCTCATGGCGAATTCCTAGTTCGATATTCTTCCTTGCAATACGGCAACACCGGCAATACGGAGTACTAAGGAACATCGTAACTTCCTTCCTCTAATGTCTATCGCAGTCAGGCTGGCTGGTTCATAGGCAGAGCTATTGCTTTAATATCGCGCAGTATATCGATCTTTAATATGGCCTCATACCCTCATAAACCACCGAAATTGAATAGCTCGCATAAGGAAGAATGGGAAGGTTCCCTTGAGATTCGTGAATCCATCTGCGTTATGACTGGAATAGACCACTCATAGTCGGAGAAAATTGTGCCTAGTAATATGCAAGCCCAGTCACATATCCCCAGAACATATCACATTGAGCTAGATAAGCTGACTGGGTCCGACCAAGCGTCTGACACATCCACCGGCGATGCCGAGCGATCCAAAGCTCTCGCCCGTTCCATCTTCATGGACAACTATTTCGTATTAAAGACGGGTGCTACCTCTGATGGAGCCGGCCACCTCAGTTCCTGCACAGGTGTGCATGTCGCGATGGACAATCACTAGGAGTTCCTTGATCATCTGCCATCATGAATCTAGTCCAAGTGACGTGATTACTGTCTTGTTGGTACAGGCTGAGAATTGCTCTGCGCCCACACGCCCACACTTGAAGATCTGTGACTGCAACTGCAATTCCCACAGGCTCGAATGGCTCGGAATAGAGTATTTCTTCAAAGGACATGTAGCTAATACTTGGTCAGGAAGTGATATCCCCACGTGATAAGGCGGACCGGACTGAGATGTACGCCCAGATTACTCCGTACCCCTCCCATGGTTAAGCAAAGCCCCGCTACCGTGGGTCGCAACGGATACTTGTACACCTGTGCCCTGTATACTCCGTATACTCGGTACATCAAACATGAAACATTGCTGCCCGATCCTATCATTGCCAACAGTATCCTTTTTTTAACAGCACATCGGGATGGAACAGGGCAGCCTCAGGAGAAACAGCGCCTAAATGAGTTCAGACCCAAGTTCCAAGTCCAACCAAATGCCCTTCCAAGACGCGCGCCCTAAGTTAACCACAGACTGAGCGCTAGATCGGACCTCGCTATATACTGAGAGTTTCAATAACCGCCTTCAAGATTCAATGGGTGCTTTCGGAATCTTATAGAAAGTCGGTGCGAAGGGTTCTCGCTTGGGACTATTTTTAAGTAGCATGTAATAGGAACATGTTTTCGTGTTTGGGGGTCTATGCAGCTCTCAAGGCCTGAAATACGGTCTAGATGATCTAGTGCTCGCATGTCCAGTTGTCAAGGGCCTAGTTGTTAAGGACGTGAAGATTAATTTCGGAATTGGACTTGAAGTGGGCCCTGATGATGCTGCGTATTACGAGCCTGGGATCAAGGTAAGAGGGAACCTCGGGAGTTATACGGAGTAGAGGTAATCGAGAGGAAAGATAGGAATCAGTATAACCAGTATCAGTGGAATAGGATATAACACTATCAGGTCAAAGGAAATCCCATCGGATCGAGGTCAAAGACGAGTATGCGCCATGAGGCTGAAATACAGTGCTAGTCAAAAGGAATGACGCCCATGACGCCTCAGCTGAATAAATAAAAAGGTACTCCATGGCTGCCCTCTTTTCCTTCTTCTTTCTTTCCAGCCCCTTCCCCCGCTTTGGCTTACGATCTAAGCGCACACTTCTCGAATACGGATCTAGCCTTCTTTTTCTCTGTTCAGCTTATCTTTCTTCTCTTTTCCTCTCTCTTGTTCACATCCTATCATCTGCCATCCGCAGCTGATACAATAAGCCCCGCTCAGGCCCCCCTCTATCAGGGCCCCAATCTATCATTCACGCCCCGCATATTCCTTTTCGCAACCCCGCCAACATGCCTGCCCACGCAATGTTTGACGGTGGCTTCGACTCGGACGACTCCGAGTTCTCTGAGACCGATGTCTCCCTCCGCCGAGCAGGCCACCGGACCCATATCCACCAGCGCTCCGTCTCGCGGCACCGCCGCCCGGAACCAAGAGTGTTCCTAGAGCCCGTGCAGAACCGCATCCACCGGTCGGCCTCAACTGGCAGCCGACGCCGCGAGCGTGAGCCACCCGCGCCAGCAGTGATGATCTTCAACGAACAAGGCCAGCGATCGGAGAACCGCTCGGAGAACAAGCCCTCTACCCGAAAAGTGAGCCATAATCTCACCGAGCAACACGACCACAGACACAACCACTTCGAGGATATACCCGACACATTGCCTGTCCCGGCCCGCCGCCAGCGGGCCGCCAGCAGTGTCTCGCGTGACCACTCCCCCTTCGGCCGTGACCAGGAACTCGTCATGGGCCAGCATCTGCTGGAGCACACCAATATCCGACAGGATATGGATATCTGGAAACACCAGATGGAGATCGAGCGGCTGGAGCGGGAGCTGCAGAAGACTCGTGAGAAGACGAGGGCTCGCGACCGCCATAACCATGAGCAGAAACAGGCTGTCGAGAAACAGGCTGTCGAGAAACAGGTTGTCGAGAAGCAGGTTATCTTGGATCGACATGATCCACATGAGTCACGGTGGATGAGAGAGGAGGCCGAGCTCTATGAGGAGGAGCTTGCTGAGCGGTTGCGCAGACTGCAGCGGTATGAGCGCAAGCATCAGTCTGAAGAAGAGGAACGCAAGGCCGAGGAGCGGTATCAGCTCAGGAAACTTGCGGCAGATAAGAGGGCTGCTGAAGAAGAAAAAGAGGTTGAGCATAAGCTCCAGGAGGAGAGACTGAAAGACATCGCACGCAAGCAAGATGAATTGAGCCAGAGAGAGACGCTTATGCGAGAGGAGAGATGGAAGGAAATCGCACGCCAGCAAGATGAAAAGAGCCAGAGAGAGATGCTTGTGCGAGAGGAGAAATGGAAGGAGCTGGCCAGAGTCACAGAAGAGCAAGAGGAGAGAGCTAAGCTCGTGCGAGAGGAGAAGTGGAAAGAACTTGCCCGAGTGAAAGAGGAAGAGGAGGCGTTAGAGAAGATTAGACAGCAGATTCGAGACGAAGATATGCGGAAGGAAAGAGAGGCTGAGGAGAAGAGGAAGAAGGAACAGGCTATGAAGGCGGCTGCTGTTGAGGAGTGGAAGCAAGAGCAAGAGCGAATGAAGCAGAGAATGGCAGAAGAGGCGATGCGGAAAGCAAGGGAGTTCCGCGAGCATCTTCGCAGCATCGGTTATACCGAGGAGGAGATTGATGCTATCATTCACAAGAAGAAGAAGGAGGAGAAGAAGGATGAGAAGAAGAAAGAGGAGAAGAAGGAAGAGAAGAAGGAAGAGAAGAAGAAGGAGGAGAAGAAAGAGGAGAAGAAGGAAGAGCTCAAGGTGACATGGATCAAGGTATGTCTACTCTCTTTGAGGACTTTGTATCCTTGGATTTTAACTGACAGCGTGCCAGGTGCATCACAAGCATTTGCTGCCAGAAACCTTGATGGCATACAATCTGCCTTGGGACTGGGATGAGGTAAGAACTACAACAGCCTGGAAGATATCCCTGGTCAGTGACTAACAGATTCCAATTTTATACAGTACGATCCCAACTACATCATTATCAAAAAATGGATCACCGTGGACACCCAAGAAGAGCTGTTTGCCCACACCCGACGTTTACGCGAGAACAAGATCCTCGCGGAACATTCTCACTCGATGACCGAACTAAGAGTGAATGACCGCAATAAGGACAGGATGTTCCTCGTCCGGAAGAAAGCCCCTAGAGACCGAGTGCGCATCTTTTCATAAACATTCTGTCCTAGCTGCCTTGGAATGATCGATGCTCAGACAAGAGATTCGGGATTGCGTACCTGTGTTACTTCAACGTCGTTATTGCGTTGTGCGGTGTGACTTAGTCTGATTTGACTGTCCCTTGTTGGCATTGTGTTGTATCATGCTGTGTTGGGATTTGTTTTCTTGCCCTTTTTATATATCACAGAGTATGTGGCACAGTAACGCGATATGATTTTACGACCTCATTTTTGTTCTACTTCTACCTCTTATTCTCTCTCCTACTATGCCAATTGTATCAATCACTAGCTTATGACACATATCCAATTCACGTTATAAGCCTTCATAGGTGCAAATTTTTCCCAATAGCCAGCTTTGGGGGATATGAAAACCCCGAGAAATTGCCCCGTTCGTAGTGACTACACCACTAGTGATCTTGCGCATCGATGGCATCGACACCACGGTATTCAAAGTACTTGGTCCACTCTGGATCCTCAATCAGAGCCTGCTTCAGACTGGTCTCATAAGAGATCGAAAACTCAGGGCCTTCATCTGATTCAGGAGACAGGTCTCGCGACGGATAGATGATAGTGACGCCCGGAGTCAATCGGTCGATGAGATGCCGATACGCAAAGGGTTTTGCAAAACCAAAATCAGTGCCTGTAAGATTGGCGTCGCGATGATCTGTTAAGAGAAGCGTCATGGGCGGATAGGAGTCAATGCGAATGTTCAGCGCTGTCTTGTCACGCACTGTGGCTACTACATCTAGGATTTCATCTAGGGCCTCCTGTGTCATGCTGTTGGTCAGCTGGCGGATATAAGAAGCTATCTCTGATAGCGACCACTCGGAAATGACCTCCGCTGCTGTAGGTGCCGTGACTGGGGCAGCATACGATCTAGCTCCAGTCACTACGTTACCCTGGATCCGTGCCGGTACCTTGGGGCTGTGCATTCGTCGCCGCATATCAATGGCTTCCATCCAGAATAAGGGGGCGGATAGATCTGGCTTGAAAGTAGGGGCTCGAAGTCGGGAGATGGTGCGCCATATGAAGGCGGAGAACGCGTCGTATGTGGAGATCCAGGACCCATCTGTCGGTGTCGCGAGGGTCTTTAGCTCCGCTGCTTTGCTCTTGGGTAGGTGGAAGAGCAGCATTTCGGATGTGATATGGTCAGGGTGACGCTCAGGCGGAGGTGGGCCATCGATCATGGAATCTTCAGGCAAAGCGGGCTTTGTGAAACGTGATAGATCTAGACAGGCAGGGTCCCAGGGGGGGGGAAAGGTGTCTCGTTGACACTCGCGTAGCAGTTTTCTGCTAGCTGGTGGACTAGCCCGGCCCATCCCATAACATCATTGGAGTAGTGGTGATGGTGCATGATGAATACCAGCCCACCCCGAATGAAATTGGCTTTATAGGCCGCAATCACGGGGCTACTGTCAGGGTGAGCCTCTGGTTTCTCGCCGTATGTCATCGGAGGAACACTCCAGCGGTTGAGATCACCTAGTACCGAAGTACAGAAATTGCCCTCGGCAATCTCATCAAAGGATGGGTAGACATCGATGTCTTCTGGACAATCCAACCATTGAACCACGAAGAGTACAGTGCTGTCTTTCTTCTTGACAAACGAATGGCCGCCGGAGGGGTCTTTCTCGATGGTACCGCAGATATGTCGAATTTGGCTCAGCGTACGCTCAAGACCGGTCTTCAGCACATCGGCAACTCGAGGTTTGTCCGTATCATCCACTCGAAAGAAGAGGGCATAGTTGTTGTAGGTACAAGCGGTCAAATAGTCGAGGGTTGAGACTTTGAAACGCTCCTCCTCTGGATCATTTTCCCAACCGAAAGGGTGAAGATAAAAATCGTCTTGCTTAGGCATAGGGACTGAGTAACAACGATGTCCACAGGGAGACTAAAAGAAGGGGAGTTTGGAATTGGTGTACATGCAGCTCTAGGCTTTATAGGGTCTTGCGATCCCCCGACGGCAATTACCTCTTCTTATATGAACATTAAAGATCGACAACGCACAATAGGCACGGACTGTTAGAGGAAGCACCGGAGACTTGTGGGGATTCTGACACTTGCAGGGATTTATTCATGACTATAACTTCCCGTGTCTTACCTCTTTAAGCGATTCACATGAAGCGATAAATCTCCTAATGGCAGGTAGACGCTCCGTGGCAGTGGAGATACTCGCGGCCTCATCGGTGTTAAGGATCTAGGAAGTTCAGGAGTTCTAGTTTCGATTTAATCAAGTTGAGATTTCAGGTTTCCTATCGCTCAAGTGCTGTGAGTCTACTGGGGTTGCAAGCCCTCCACGCCGAGCCCACAGTAAGCAAGGCTGAGCCTGTGCTGAGGTATACCCTGAGATGTTAAGCCTGAGCGCCCCCATAGAAACCAAGGTAGTCCAGATAGGAAAGGCCTAAGCAGATATTATAGTGTCTATATACGGAGTACGGAGTACACAGCTGCATACGTCAGGCCACAGCTCATATGATGGAAATCTCCCATTGGGTCAAATTCAATGCAAGGTATCCGCATCTGGGCACGGGCGCAGATGCAAGCCAAGTGGGTTTTTTTGGTGAGGCTTGAACGGACTATAATACAAAAAGTGGAGGGGTATGAGGTAAGAGAGAGTGTGTGTATCCAAGGGTCAGGTATAATACAAGCTTAAAGTCCGATCTGGTGATTTGACTCCCACCGCTTCTCGGCGCGTAGGATGAGCTCCTCATAAACGGTCCAAGCTAGTGCTGAGCTGATGGCTTTGCGGGCCATGCGAAGACCGAGTCCACCAAAGAGACTGCGCATACCATCCTCGCGGAGCATCAGGCGCGTAGCATGCACCATATTTCCGTATTTGGCAGGCATCAGCTGCAGCCGAGTCTTCACGGCATCAAAAGGATTGGTGATTGCAGTCGCCATTCCAGCGGCGGCTGCACCGGAGACGAAGTGTATTGACGAGGAGGATACACCCGTCACTGGTTTGTCGCCATTGGCAGAGGGAGCTGTGGCCATCAAAGCGAATCGTCGCTTCAATTGCTCGTAGAAGAGAACATAGAGGCCCGCATAGGGGGCATCGCGGGCAGCTGTGGCGCCAAACCCTGCGAATAACCCACGCATTCCTTCAGTTCGGATGATATCCCGTCCTGCACCTACCAAACTCCGGTAGGCATAGTAGTCGGACTCGTACCGGACTTTAAGCACGGTAACGGGCATCATCACGAAGCCTGCGGCGACTCTTGCAACAGCTCCTGTGGTGAGATTGGCTGTGTTGGAGAGTTTGGGAAGGACGGATGATGAGCTAGCGCCTGTTACCGGACTGGCTAGAGCCAGAGGGTTGGTTTGCGCAACGGCTTGGCGCAGCGCGTTCAGACTGGTGAAGTATAGCGCCGACCCGAAGCCAGTGCGGAGTGCCGAAGGGAGTGTACCGCGCCATAATCCACGAATTGGGTTCGGAGAGGAGATGATGGCTTTCAATGTTGGGAGGAGGGCGGCTCCCTGGGATTGCTGGACTCGGGTTTTGAGAAGATCAGCGGGTTGGAGGAGGATGGAAGATGTAAGGCCAGAGCAAAGACCAGCAGCAAAATGGAAGGACGTTTTTGAGGCTGGAGCAATAAGAGAGTGGGGATTAGCAATGGAAACAAAGGATAACTTGTAGTCCAAACCGGTAACATACTTGTCGAGGTGCTTGTTTTCACCTGCGGCACCGCTATAGTCCCACTGTTCGACATCTCGGGCTGCGCAGAGCCAAATTGGGCCGCAATTTCAGTAATAGGTTATGGATTCAATAAGAAGACAAAAGATTCGATGCCAGATCGAGGTCCATCAACGTGTATGGCGGTCAAGGAAGGTGTCGAGGTCCACCGGATGCGTAAAAAAAAGAGAAAATCCCACCAGGACGATCACAGCCAAAGATGGGCACCAAATTTCAATCCACCAGGGAGGAATTGAAATTGAATGAGCCAAGGTAATCAAGAGCAATTGCAGGCTATATAGACTGCCGAGGTCAATCACGGACAGACGTTGAAAATAGTGAAGTCATCGGGATCAGCAAAATGTCCTATCGATAAGACGCTACACCGCACTGCACCGCGTAAACAACCACTTTCAATTCAGGCACAAATCTCTATTATAGCTATAAGTTGGGCATACATAATGGGTCTCGATGGGCTCGATAATATAGCTGGTTATATTACCAGCTATGGCTCTTACAATTGTGTTTATCTTGTTTATCTCTCAGCTTAGCGGTAGAATGGAGGGTCTACGGGTAGCGCAGGAGCAACACGCGTCCATATGCATACTGTCTTGTAGCCTTCAAGCAGGTCGAATGCAGGGACCAGAAGTAAAAGCGTTGGAATGACGGGCGAATGCAATCCAACTGAGCGTCAATATGTAAACTAGAAAGTAGCCGCATCCGGCAACTCGCGGAGTGCACGGCCAATCAGCCGGTACGTAATCTACGTCATGTGCAACCATGTGCCCGCGCATTTGTTGTCTGTTGTCTGTTGTCTGTTTCCGCTGTTTCTCTTCTCCTTGGATTCAGAGCTTACAGAATTCACATCTCTCAAGAGGTGTATCTCAACATGCCTTGGTCTTTGCCCTTCTTTCCCTACCCAGCTGCAAAAGATGGATACTGGGAGCCTGTTACCTCCACCTTGAACTGGTGCGAAGAGGTATGTATTCCTACATGAGAATCGAGAATCACCAACCGATGCGCATAGAGACAAAAACACAGAAAACAGGACGGGGCTAACATACCCCTTCACTCAGGACTATTATGCCACCGAATATGCTGCGGAGATCGTTAATACACTTACGAACCTGCTATTTATGTATCTTGGAGTCCAGGGCATCCTCAGCTGCCGTCGCAATGGACATGACCAGATCTTCACCGTAGCTCTCCTGGGCTACTTGGTAGTTGGAACTGGGAGCTTCTTGTTCCACTCGACTCTGAAGTGCAAGTGCCCCTCTACCCCTCCTAAACCCCATATCCCCGTTGAATGGCAACACCGACAATACCCAAATTCGACCTGCAATCTCATCCCAAGGGCAATACTGACCGTTGATACCAACAACAGACCCCATGCAACTAGTGGACGAACTCTCAATGATCTATACAACCTGTCTGATGGCCTACGCATCATTCTCATACTCCAGGACAACCCCCATACGACTCTTCCTCGGTGTTTCCCTCGCAGGACTTTCCGTGTTTATCACCCTCTACTACCACTATCTCCAAGACCCGGCCTTCCACCAGAACGCCTATGCGATGTTGACCACCGTTGTGGTCCTGCGCACTATCCACACCATGGAAGTAACCCTCCGGCCGAAATGGCGCCACTCAACTGAGGAGGACCGCCTGTCACGCCAGAAGCAAGGATTGCCCGTTCCGACGAAGGAGCGCCAGCATTACGAGAATGTTCGGGACGAGAAGACTCTCAAGACCATGTGGTTCATGGTTATATATGGATTGAGCATGTTTTTGGGCGGCTTCTTCATTTGGAACTTGGATAACGTGTTCTGCTCCGAAATTCGGCAGATGCGTCGCGCTGTTGGACTCCCCTGGGGTCTCTTGTTGGAAGGTCATGGGTGGTGGTACGATATTGAACTTGGAATGTGTCTTGGATCATCGGCTAACTTCTTCCTAGGCACATTATGACCGGCATTGGTGCTTACCTGTATATCGTATGGGGCATTTGGCTCCGACACTGTCTCAATAACCGACAGGAAGAATACCACTTGCGCTGGGCGCACTTCTGGCAAATCCCCGAGGTGATCCGTACGTCGGATGGACCATACGAGAATGGGATGTCGCGGGCCAAGAAGTCCACGTGATGAAACCGTCTAGGCATCTTCCCCCTTTCTTACTGTCGGTTCATTACTCGCCCAATTTTGTTTCCAGGTGGTAGTACACCACACTTCCGCAAATGCGATCCTCATTTCAACATGAATAAGATACCACGCTGCTTGTCTGTCCTTTGCTCCGAGACTTGGAGCAGAGCACCTTTCGTTCTTGCCTGGCGTTGCTTTGGCACAACTCCAATCCGTCCTGGAGACGGATTCCTTGGCTTTGGACCATAGATATACCCATACCTTTTTGTTTGTTTTGTACTTGCAGGCGTGCGGAGTCGTTGCTATAGAAGGGAATCAGGCTTGTGAGCCATTCTTGTGATATTTGATTCCGGGTGCTCATTCATAGGCTATGAAAGCAATAGAAAAAATACAGGATCCAGATGATGTGGATTTGGATTTGGAGACTCTATATTCACGTTTACTAGTATAACCTGCAAAACCAGGCCATGCAAGGTCTATAAAGTCCCACGCGCACGATAGCAAAGAAGTGACAGGATATAAAACCTCCTCACAGCTTCGACTCCCCATTCTGCACCTTCTTCGGTCGACGTGTCGGCGCAGGAACATTCTTCAACCACTCCGCATCAACAGTAACCTTCTCAATCTTCGACTTCTTACTCCAAGCCGTACGGAAACTCTCCTCCTCATCACGCCAGCGCCTAATCTCCGGCACAAACCAGGAAACCGCTGCATCGGCGCATTCATTCACAGCCTCTTGGGCAAGTAAATGGCCAAACTCCTCGAGGAGAACATCGCGCACACGGCCCGCAGCAACACCACCACTGCCACCCAGCCCGGTACCGGTGTTAGCGAGTTTATCGGCGCGCATAAACGGCAGACACATATCGGACTTGCCGCCGAAGATGTACAGCACGCTGGGGCGCAGATGGGGGAGTTGGGCGAAGATGCGGGCTGCTTCTGGGCGGTAGAAGGGGTAGTTTTGCGGGTTTGTTGCATCTAGATCTGGGTGTGTCACGCGGTTGATCGGTTGAGTGCTGTTGGGGGCGTGGTTGTAGTTGGGGCGGGAGAAGGTGAAGACTTCTTGGTGGAGCGGGGTGCGCAGGGTCACTGGTGGCCCGGTGGCCTTGTCTATGGTCTTGGGGTCTAGTGGGTGGATGGCTGTTGGGAGGTCGCGTAGTCCATACTCGATCCAGCGGGATAGCACTCGTGGGTCCCAGGTTTGGTAGAAGGGGCTACGACGGAAGCCCTCTGCGGCTGCTTGGCGGGAGGGCCATAGATCGCGCCGGTGGGTTGATAGCTGGGTTGTCTTGGCGATCTCCCGTATGTTCTTTTGGAGGCTGAGACCGTCTAATTGGGTGGTTTGGCGTTGGATCACTGGGTCCAGGAGGACGAGTGAGTGGATAAGTCGGGGGTGCATTAGACATAGTTGTGCGCTGAGGAGTATATTAGCCCGCTGTTGCGTGTTTCTTTTGGGTTTTTATATGGCCTTACAGATGAGCGCCGCCCATACTATGTCCGATGCCCACGATAGGCCGGGGCATTTCAGCCCGCTTGACATTGACCAGGTGAAGGAGATCTCGGGGATGGTCAAACCAGCTAGCTGTAGCTGGGTTAGCATGATTATCTTCATTCCATCAATAATTCATGTCACATACGATCATTTCCAAGAGTATCTTCATTGATCACGCTGCTCTCGCCTTGATGCGCCACGTCGGCCATCCAAATACTGCGAATGCGGAGTCCATTTTGCTTAGACCGAGCGTAAATCTCTTCCCAGAGCGGCTCATATAGTTCCTGCAAGAAACCATTAGTATATCGCTGGTTCTATATCTCCAAGGCCATATGCGCGCAGCTCCCAAAAAGCGGGTCTGGCGGATCTGGACCTCGGCATGTTGTGCCCCATACCTTGGGGAAGCCATTCGCGTGGGCAGCAAGGATGGTGACATCGCCTGGTTGCGGGTTGGGATTGTCTAGGGGAATGTATTGTTTCACGGCCAAATTCAAAGGCTCTTCTTGATCGTTGGCCGTGGCTGCAGGGTACTCCCTAATGTGCTGACTGGGCACGACGTGCTCGACGATGCGGAATGGGGAGGACATGGTGTATGGTATTGCCCTTGAAGGAGAGAGGGAGGACAGATCCTCTTTATTTCCGCGCCCCGGAATTAATATAGGAATTAATATAGGAATTAATAGGAAATTAAGGACAGATGCACTGGATTTCCGGAGACCGCGGTTTTGCGGGGAGCCGAGGGATCTGGGAGGTTGGGGTATTTGCGCCCAGCCAACTGCCGATCACTCGGCCTATAACAGGTGAACTATCGGTCAGTGACTCTCTATGGAGTATAACATTCAAGATGTCCATACGTGGAACCTTGCAATGGCAAGTAATCTTGCTCATTTGTTTAGACGCCCCACGTGTGTAGTTAGTCCAGGTTACAACGAAGCTATACATGCTCACACAACCAAGGCTTAATATGGCCCCCCAATGCAAAGAGACAGACATCCCCGGGGGGAGGGGGGGATTTTTTTGGTTGCGCACCGAAGACGAAAGAGACAGACGCTGCTAGGACTGTTTTTGACATGATATTCCCGAACAAGCAAAAGATGCTACATTATTCTATATACTACTCTGCACTGAGAGCAAGACACGCATCGACGGCTAGACCGACCCTGTCAAAAACGTTAGTTTAGACCTTCAAATCCACTCAAACACCCAGGGAGAAAATGCTCACCTCCCCTCTTTTATCTTAACCACATCATCGATGACATCCCGATCAAGGTTGGGAAACATGTTCGATAATGTCTCGACAACATTAGTATGTTCAGCACGCTGGATACGGCGTGCCTCTGCATCTTCGGCGCTGGCCTGTCGTGCAGCAGCATCCTGGGCGTCAAGTACACGGGTTAGGTTTTTCTTTGCGGAGGTTCCGCTACCCTGGGCGGAGCGAGAACGGTCGTCGCCTGAGCGGCGGCTGTCTTCACTGCTCGCACGTGGGGGCTGGTAGACGTTCGGGGTGAGGCGGGGCGGAGCGACACCGGGTTGAGGCGTCGGGACGGGTTGGGGGCGTTCTTGAGAAGTTGGGTCTGGCTCATCCGAGAAGATGCGGCCGATGGTGGAGAGGGGTTTTTGGATCGTGCGCAACAATCCTGCGACAGGAGCGGGAGTGTCATCATCGCTGGACTGAGGGGCTTCTTTGCGGCTTGGTCCGGCCTGGGGCTGGGATGAAGGGGGTTGTGATGAGGGTTTTTCATCGAAGTTTTCGGTTTCCCGGTTTTGTTCTGCAATGGCAGAGACAGCTGCTTCGACATTGCGTTCGAATTCCTCGTCGCTGACGGTTAGACTGGTGCGGTCCAGGCTCTCGATAAACTGGATGGCTCCAGACTAGGAAATGTCAGTATTAAGATCTACTTCATTACTGGAGATCAAACATACCAACGATGAGAGGTAGTACCCTGCTTCTCCGCCAAGTTTATCCTGGTTTCGGAATCGAAGGATGTACTGGATGTTAGAAACGAGATGGTCGGGATTTGCATGCAAAACCACGTAGATCAGGAGGGGGATGAAAGAATCGGCGGACGTATCGCCCTTTTTGGAGTTCTTCAATAGACCAAAGATGACTTTGCAGCAATTCAGAATGCAAATGACCTTATCTCGGGGAGCCCGGTAACCATTAATTTTGGAGATCTCTGCCAAACAGAGTCAGTAAGTGAAAAAGATACCCCATAATGCACACGTACCTTGCTGTGCTAAATTCAAGAACCGGCGCCCGCCATTGCTCACAGGTTGGATATCAAGGTGCGCTTCGTTAACCCACCCGTAGATGCGAATCTTCTGAGCCAGGATATCATCTCGCTCGATGTCCTCCTGATGCTGGCCACGTCGCCAGGGCCCATGGAGCCTCTCGAGCTCTCTCCGTCGACTTCGACTTGCACTTCTGGGTATCGTTGGTGGGGCTGGAATGGCTGGCGAGAAAGTCTGTGAATACAAGCGATTCATGACAAGTTTCTCCATGCCTTCCTTGGCATTATCGAACTCGGTGTCCGACACATCTCGCCATACCTCGCACATGGCCATCTTATTTGTTATAAAGGTCAAGAAATCACTGATGATCTTAACCTGCTCGTGGACCATCCATTGCTTCTTGCCAAACTCCATGAGGAATGAGCGCAAGAATTTGGCTACGGGATCGGCGGTGCGGTGACGCAGTTGTTCTAGGAACCGGTGGAAATCGAATGGTTGGTCAGATTCGGGTTCAGGAAGCGGTGGAATCGTCGATGTGGATGCTCGCCGGTTTGTCACGGGCGATTCGGGTTTGTGGGGGTGCTGGGGTACTGGCTGCTTCTCTGGTGATGTAGCGACCGGAGAATCCGCAGATTCAGTGGCGGGCGCATGGTCTAAGCTGGAATTGCGCGGTGGGAAATAGTTTGGACCACCTCGAAATTGCTCAGCAAGCTCTAGTCGGGGAGACATGATCTCTTGTTGGTCGGTGCTCCGCGCGGGGTCCTGGAATTGCCCTATAATGCTTTGAATCTCCGGTTGCGACAGGCTATCGTCCCGTAATCCTTCAGTCTGACCCCCTCGTTTAGTTTCTGGGTCACTGTCACCCGGCACATCTGGGAGCTCCTTCTCGGGACTGGGGGTTTGGTTTGTATCGATGGGTGGCAGAGTTGGGTCAGGAGTTGTCGAGCTTGCGTTGAGGTTGCGGTAGATATCGTCCTTTTCTGGCAGAGGAGGTGGAGAAGGAGTGTCTGCGCTGGACACTGCATTATTGGGTGTTGTGTTTCCTGAGATTGACAGCCTTTCCATCTGCCCCGCAAGTGGTGGTTGTTCAGCTGGTGATGGGGACGTTATAGTAGTGTCCATCGCGGCGGGATCGGATGGGCCAAGATCAGCAGATGGCTCTACTTTGCCTTGTGTGCTCATTTTTCCTGCGTGACTGCTGTCTCGTTTCGAATGATCGTCCTGTGTTGGTGTTGGGAGCTCGGTTGAGGCGGCCGGCGTCTCGCTTTGTTCATGGGTATGGGCGTCTCTCATCTCGGGACCCGGAGAGGACGGGGATTCTGTGGCCGACATAGGCTGTATTCTTCATGCGCGCCCGGGCTAAAATGATGAACTCAGGGGGTTTTCGAGGCTAGGAATATGCGCAACAATGCGGCTCTCATGTTGATGTGCGGATCATCATTCAACCGAGGTAGTCCGCCTGTGCTGTGGTAGAGTCATGAGGGCACACTTGAGCTTCTTCTTTTCTTCTTCTTTTTTTCTTCTTTTCTTCTTCTTTTCTCTTTAAGATGTTGCCTGGCACCTAGACAGACCAAGATAATTAGATTTATCTCAAATCAGGATTGACAACTTGTTACAGGCCGTCTGCTCTGTATACTTGAAAGTATCTGCACAACGTTCTTGGGGACTGCCTAGGTAAAACTTGGGAGCTTATATGCCAGATCCCTAACCAGGGGCAGGGCTTTTGAAATGAGAGGCCTACAGAGTAGCTCTGGAGGTATTATGCATGGAGTACAGAGTACTTGTGGAGTCATTTCATCTCATTATCTCCCTAGGTATTGGTATAGGAGGAATACCAGACCGAATCATCTGTGAAAATACATCGAGAACCACGGCCAATTGCTTCCCGACTGTCCATTATAATCGTCTCTTCCTTTATGGAATCAGAAACAAAAATTATGATAATCACGATACCTATCCGGGCCTATATCTTCGAAGAAGGTGGTCTAGATCGCCCCACGCCATAGGGAGGCAGATATGTACTCCGTCCACTGTCGGACCTCAACATGTGATGACAAAGATAGTCATGCCTTAGGCATTCACCTAACCAAAAAAAGCCAGCTCTCATATCAAACCCTCGAACAACGCGCCCACCCCGCTTCCCCAAGATGTGTGGGATCTTTTTCTCACTGAGCTCTTCAAAGCCCACATCTTCAACAGAAGAGGCCTGCAATCTGCTGCAGAAGCGAGGACCAGACAGCTACAAAACCCATACGTTGCAAAAAGATATCAACGCACAGGATGGAGTTTCTCTGCCCCTTTCCTACTATCTCACCTTCACATCCACAGTCCTCTCTTTGAGAGGCGATCATGTGTACACACAGCCACTCGTAGATCCCACAACTCAGTCCGTGCTCTGCTGGAACGGAGAAGCCTGGAAGATCGCCGAGAAGCGCGTTCAAGGCAATGATACCGAACAAGTTTTCGACTTATTTCTGCAGGCAGTGAATAGTGATCGGGAGAGCTCTGTTGAAAGACTAGCTGAAGCTATTTCCAATATATCTGGCCCATTTGCCTTTGTCTTCTATGATGCAGTCAACTCAAGACTCTTCTACAGCAGGGATTGTCTAGGGAGACGATCTCTTCTCGAAGGATTCGATGAAGACGGGAATCTGAAGATCTGCAGTATCTGTGACAGTGCCTCCGTGGATTGCTTCAAGGAAGTGGGCACCGACGGCGTCTGTACCATTGACCTAGATCGCTATCAAGATCCCTCTCTATCTCCCAAAGAGCTGTGCCAGATTAAAACCATGCCATGGAGCTCTGCTTCTTCAGTACCAGCTGGTCACATTGTATGTCCCTTCATATTCTCTCTCAGCAACAGCAACTAACAAAAACCAAAGAAAAAATCAATCCCACCCATGAACACATCACTACCAACAGAGCAGCCTCCTGCATTGACCACAGACTCAACATTCGTCAAAGAACTCGAGTCAAAACTGCGTCAATCCCTGGAACTAAGAATCCAAAATATACCCAACCCTCCGGGCTACATCGCAGGCGAAACCGCAAAGACAGCCGTCCTCTTCTCCGGCGGTCTAGACTGCACCCTTCTAGCCAGACTCTCGCACGACATCCTCCCCATCGAGGAACCAATCGACCTCCTCAACGTAGCATTCGAAAACCCACGGGTAGCAGCCGCAGCCGCAAAGGCCAACCCCCAAAACCCGTCCCCAGTCTCAATATACGAGAACTGCCCGGACCGAATAACCGGCCGCTCCGCACACAGCGAGCTCCAAAGCACCTGTCCCGGACGCACCTGGCGCTTCATCGCAATCGACATTCCCTACGTCGACACCCTCGCCCACCGAGACCAAGTCAAACGCCTAATGAGGCCGCACAACACCGAAATGGACCTGTCCATCGCATGCGCCTTGTACTTCGCATCCCGCGGCCAAGGCACAGCCCAAACAATCCCCTCATCACCGCTCCCCACAGAAACCAACCCCCAAGCCTACACAACCACCTCCCGCGTGCTCCTCTCCGGCCTCGGCGCAGACGAGCTATTCGCCGGCTACGGCCGACACAGCGTAGCCTTCAACCGAGGCGGTTTCAAAGACCTCATCGCCGAAATCGACCTCGACGTAAGTCGACTCGGGTCGCGCAATCTCGGCCGCGACGACCGCGTGCTATCCCACTGGGGCCGGGAAACGCGGTTCCCATTCCTGGACGAGGAGTTCGTAGCCTGGGTGCTGCAGGCGCCTGTATGGGAGAAATGCGGATTCGGCCTTCCAGGTTCCGCCACAGCCGACATCGATGCTGAGAAATTGGCGCTGCGACTTGTTGCTTTGCGACTGGGTCTGGTGAAGGTTTCGCGGGAGAAGAAGAGGGCTATTCAGTTTGGGGCGAGGACTGCTAAAATGGAGACGGGGAGGTCGAGAGGTACGGATGCTTTGAGTTGAGGTGTTTCTCTGGGGGATTTTCTGAGGAACCTCGTATTTCTTTACATCTACTTCCTTTCTCTCTTTTCTTTTCCTTTGTCTCTTGCACTTTAGATACCCTCCGTCACACTCTTTTCTTTTGCAACCCCTTCTACCAGCGATGATGACACAACATGGAAACAGATACTTCCGAGACCCTGTCTCTCCCTATCAATCTGGCTTTCCTTCGTTTATACACGTCCCACACACGCACCTGTCCGATCTAATCCAAATCTCTAGACACTATGCACCAGAGCACCAAACGCCCGATGACTTGTTATGCCTCCCATGTTTCGTTCAGTCAGAGAGCAACAGCAGTCCTCGGACGGCGCGTAGCTCATGTTGAAAGGAAGCTAACGGGAGGTGTTCTGGGACATTGCGTGCTGTTTGGCTGGGTATAGGGAAAGAGTTTAGGACGCGGATTAGGTTGTGAGTGTGGATGGTATGCGATGGAGTGAAGGTTGGAGGGGTTAGATGGGAGTCGGTGAGGCACTTAAAAGGCAAGTCTGAGCTGGTTTAGATCATACACGTTCACCTTAGAGGACCATGCAAGTTTAGTAGGTAGGTACTAGCCAAAAATGACCGTGACAGTAATGCTAGAGGGGGATGACCAGATACGGAGTACCTGCTATGACGTTACAAAGTGGACCTACTGTGTACTATGGGCGGATACGAGAACAAGGCTTGCAAGTCTGAAAATTGAATAATAATGCAATTTGATTTCGAAGAACAAAATACCATATTAAGAGCCACGAGTCAATCCCACCGAGTGGGAGACGATCAGAACCGGCCGAAACAAAGAAATCCAAAGTCAAAACAAGTAACCTGAAGTGAATCGAGTGGATAAAAAAACATCACAAAGAGACACACATTGAAAGGAAGAAAACAGAATTGACATGTGATAAACAAGTCTCAAAACTTTTAGAGAATCAGATGATACGAAGCAAATAATGTTCATCTGACCTCGGTGAGACGTCAAGGCAAGGCTTTAACCCTTCACCCGCGCCCACAAACCCCGTAGGATCAAACAAAAAAGAACCAAAGCACAATAACCCAAACAAGCACAAAACATGTGGACTACAAGTCCGGTCGTTACTATCGTCAAAAACCACCGAAAGTGGATAAGGAGCCGGAGACCAAAGATGAGGACCAGGATGGGATGAAAGCATCACCATTACTGGAAAGAGTTTTGAATCTGGAGTTGAGCCTTAAGTTTGGCAATCTCCGCGTCGCGATCGGCAATGATCTTCTCGAGGTCCGCGATGCGGCGCTCGGAAGTAACCTGGCGTTCCATCTTCTTGGCACGCGACTTGCGCGCAGCCTCAGTGTTACGCGCACGCTTGGCGGCGATGGGATCATTGGGATCGAATTCGACAGGTGAAAGGTTCTTACGCGATCGCGCGTTGATGCCAGAGATGCTAGAGTGCTTGACTCCACCAGTGGCAGGAACGGGCGACGACGCAACCGATCGCTTGGCGCGAGGCGAGGTAGGAAGTTCGGGGATTGAAAGGATCTGCTTCTTGGGTTCGACAGAGTAGGCTGTCGCATCCAGGGCAGCAAGATCGAAGGCATTCAGTTGCTCAGATGAGTGATCGAAGAGCGAAGGCCATTCTTCGTGGCCGGCAATATCCAAGTCGGTGAACATGGGCGAGGTGTTTTGGCTGAAGTTTCCAGGGGACTCGAAGGAAGGAGTGCTCAAATCGGTGAATGTTCCGGAAGGAGGAACAGACGCATCCATCATGAGATCCTTGGGTGAGATAGTGCCTGGAGGAGCGTCGGCAAAGCTAGTACTAAGACCGAGGTCATTGTACGCGAGAGGAGAATCCATGCTACCAGAGAAGTGGGCAGAGGGAAGACCAAACAGATCAACCTCGTGAGCTAGTGTGGGGTTAGCGATGAAATCGCTAGGATATGGTGAGATATATGGGATATTACCTTCCATGAAGTTAGGAGTCGACATTACGCGTCGGTATGGTTGCGCGTTGGGGCGGTTTTGTTGACCGTTGAAAAGTGGGATGGGAGGGCGGTTGGTGTTTGGAGAATTGGAAGGCACAGAAGCCGGATTGGGACGGGTGTGCTTGAGCGTGGGGTGGGACCAATAAGAAGGGGACCGGGCAAGCTGGGTTACTCTGGGGTCTTGAACAGGCGAGCCAGAATACTGCTGCTGGAGGTGACGGTGCAACTGCAGACTGAAGGAGTGTCGTCGAGGATTATTCTGCGCCAAAAATGGCTGGAGAGCAGACGGCCTATGGGTTGTATTCACGGGCACACGCGGGCGAGGCTGCGAGTGGGGAGTCGACGGTGGATAGAGCACAAAGTCCTCGAGTGCACTGTTGTTGTTGTTGCTGTTGTTGTTCTGATTGGAAGCCAAGGGCTGTTGAGGCGGGGGTGAGGGAAGCCATGATTGCTGGTGGTAATCCGTGGTGAACGACGTTAAGTCGATCGGGGTAAAGTTGGTGGAAGAACTTGAGCTACGCGATGCGATGCTGAAGTTCAGAGATCCTGAAACAGGAGACTCTGAAGGGGGAAGAGAGGAGGGAAAAGGTTGGGTTCCGGTTGGAAAAATAATGTCTGTCTCAGTTGAGATAGACTGGCTGGTGGAAGACGGGGGGCTTATTGGGCACCCATTGTGGCGACGATGAAGTTGACGATAGTTTTGGTCTGGCAGCAATTTGGCGATTTTTTTGAGATGGATGTAGGATGTATGTAAAAGAGCACGATAAAGAGGAGAGAAAATCAGGCAGAAGGGGAGGAGGGGACTCAGGCACTTCTTAAGGACTGTGTGCCTTGGCGGTGACCAATCGGGACTCCGGAGCCGCACGGGGCTTGGTCGTGAAAGTCACGGGGTGTGAGTCACCGTTTGGATCCGTGGTCCTGATTGGCTGCAGAGGACAAGCATCCATCTGGTCTGCGGTACATGCACTGATACTTGCATATGGGCGTACATGGCCGCACTAGCCTAGGTACTCCTGAAGTACCCTTGTCAATGATCTCCTCCGGTTCTCCTAGAATTGACCAATGACCGACTCCTATTTCGGCTTCGGCGTAGGCATCCGCCCTACATTTTGCATTGGCTTCTACTCGTTTTTTGCTTTTTTTTGGCTTTTTCACTTTTTTGCTTTTCCACTTTTCCAGTTTCTCATCTCCCAAACTCCGGCGGACCAATCCACACATCGTATTAAAGGGAGTCTTCGGGCACTCCTTTCGTACTCGCGAAATAAGCCCCCCAGGCACCAATGCAGTTACCCTACTGCGTACTCCCGAGATCGAAGTACACTGGCTCGGGGAGCAACGGCCATTCTCCTTGAGGATCATGCTCCAAGGAACCCACCGATCCTTTCCTAATTGTGTCCCCGCGGTGGGCTGTGTCCATGGCCCGTGTCCTATGAAACACCCGCGTTCTCTTTTAGTTCTGCCGAAGGGCGTGAAATTAACTTTTCGTTGGAACATTCGGAATCCTGTTTCAAGACCATTTGGCCTCGGTTCCGGTGTTGGACTGCAGGAGATGTGTCGATTGCCAGTACGGAGTACGGAGTACGGAGGACACGCTCTAGAGCAGTAGACCGGCTGTTGGAATCCCGGTCGAATCCCGGTCGACTCCATATACTCCATACTCCGTACTCGATATTAGAACGCAATAGTTGAATGGTATTGGCCCCCATGCCTGGACTAGTCCCCAATTTATTAAAGTTTGGCTTCTTGTGATTTTCTTATCTTTATACATCGCCCGGGTATTCCTGACGTACAAACGGGGTGCAGAATAGGGCTAAGGCTCCGATCCGGTGCCGAAACGGGTGTCCGCTGTCAGAAGAATATGTCAACCGTTGGTCTATTTTTGCACTCCCGACTGCGATTTCTTTTGACAATGCCAGCATAACATCGGCAACCCATCCTAGGCGGCCACATTATGGAGCTAATCGAGATCAATCTTGTCAAACAGGATGTCGTGAACGGCTGCCTAGTCGGATGAGGCTTTCCTCAAACGCGAGAAGCTCGTCAAACAATTCAATATCAAAATGCACCCCGGATCGCCAACGCATCGCAATGGGGTCGCTAAATCCTGGAGTCCGTCGGATGTATTTCTTGCATGAAGGCGCTGCAACGAGTTCCCACCCGACACGCGACGGACCCATAGATCAGCGTCGACGCAGAGACATATGTTATCCAACTACGACTACGCTCCTATACTTGAGAGGAATCACGATGAAAGATATCGTAAAACAAAGAAGAACTGAGAGATTCTATTAAGTATTACCTATCGCAAGGTGCGGGACGTCTACGGGTGGAATATAAACCAGCCGTAGGCAACAATAACGGTAGACAACATCAGAGGATCAATTTGGGCTGCAAGAGAAAGGCAAGGCAAAGAATTCCAAGGCTCGAGCAACGGGCAAAAAGAACACTCTTCCTCCCCACAGGGTATCAAACAAGAAAGCAAGGAACCAAAAAAGGAAAACGGCAGTGGTATCAATCTAGTCGGGCGACCAAACCACGTAACGCATAAATGCGTCGCGAGGAGACTCAGTGGTCGCGAGACGCAGGTCGTAAAGGAATGAACTGCAGTCTGAGAGACTGCTGGCGTCGATCGCGCCGATGGTATTATTTTGGAACAAAAAGAGATTTAAAACAGCGACGGCGGGTATCTCATTGCCACTGTTCCAAGCCCAGATCCAGGGGATTGGAGACCGGTACTGTGAACAGTGACAGTGGCGAGGGGGAAAGCAAAGAAAAACCAGCAAAACAGGAAAATCAAAAGGTATCAAATCTGCAACCATTAGGACTCAATTAGACCATCTGGAGTATCACGAATGGACGACGGATAGGACATGTCCCACCATCGTTCAAACTCAACAACCCCTCTTCCAGGAGTTGCACTTCATGCGGCAGCCTGGACGGGAGTGGCAGCGGCAACGCTGACATTCTTGGCGTCCTCGGGGACAGTCTCGGCGGCCTTGCGGGTCTCCTCAACGGCAGCAGAGGCTTCCTCGGTGGCAGTCTCCTTGGCGGGAACGGCAGAGACATCCTCAGCGGCATCGGCCTTGACCTCGGTCTCAGTGGCGGCAACCTCCTCCTTGTCAAGCTTGACAGCCTTACTGGGCTTGCGGAAAAGACCACCGAGCTTGTTCTTGTGCTTGGCTTCCTTGGCCTCGCCATCAGTAACCTCGTTGTCCGAAGACTCGGCCTTCTTCTCCTTCTTCATGCCAAGGTTGCCGAAGAAAGAAGTGCGGCGCTTCTCCTTGGGGGAGGAGACAGGCTCGGCGGCAGAGGTCTCAACAACGGCAGTCTCATCGGCGGCAGGAGCAGTCACGCTCTCGGGCTCGACGGGCTTGACAGCAGCCTCCTCAACGGGGCTCTCGAGCTGGGGAGCAGTGCTGGCGACGGGAGTCTCCTCGACAGCAGGGACAGTGGCCTCCTTCTCGGACTTCTCCTGAGAGGGGCTGGCGACCTTCTGGAAGAAGTTGCCGAAGATGGAAGCACGCTTGGACTTCTTCTCATCCTTCTTTTCCTCCTTCTTCTTCTCCTCCTTGGCCTCCTCCTTGGGAGTCTCCTCGACGGTCTCGGTGGCCTCAGCGGGAGTCTCAACAGTAGGCTCAACGACCTCAGCAGGGGCAGGGGCAGTCTCGGCAGTCTCAGCGGCAGCGACGGGGGCAGCAGCCTCAACAGCAGTCTCAGCAGCGGGCTCGGCGGCCTTGGGCTCTTCGGCAGCAGGAGTTTCCTCCTTCTTCTCCTCGGCGTCCTTCTTACCAAGCAGGGAACCGAAGATGCTGGTGCGCTTGCGGGACTGGGAGCGGCTCTTGGCAGCAGTAATCTTCTCCTCCTTCTTCTCCTCCTTGGGCTCCTCCTTAGCAGATTCACCAGCCTCGGCGGGAGTCTCCTCCTTCTTCTCCTCGAGCTTCTTAGCAGCAGCGGCGACAACAACAGCGGGCTTGGTCAGCTTCTCGAGCTCAGCCTTGTATCCCTCGCTGGAGGTGATGGTCTCCTTCTCAGCCTTGGCCTCGGTGGCATTGGCTTCGATGGCAACCACCCAGCTGTCGCGCTCAGCAGCGCTGGAGGCCTGGAAGGTGTGCTTGTGGCCACCAACCTTGAAAACGAACTCGTTGTGGCCATCCTTGGTCACATCGGAGACATCAGCCTATACTAGATATTAGTGATTGTCGAAACGCAGTGCTGTCGCGCAGAGTCACTCACGAGGTTGAAGATGCCAGCAGGGTGGGCCTTGTCCTCAGCGCGCTTGGTGAGGAAAAGCAGACCCTTGCCAGTCTGGCTGGCCCAGGCGGCGGTGGGGTTGGCGGTGGCGGGCTTCTCGTTCTGGTGGAAGACGGAGAGCTGCTTGCTCTCAACCGCCTCCTCGCTGAAGTAGAAGAAGCGCTTGGCGAAACGGAGACCCCTAGTAAACAGTTGCTGTTAGCGCCTCGTCTTCCATTTGTTCACAGGCGCAGCTTACTTGACAAGACCGGGACCCTTGTAACCCAGAACTCCCTCAGTAGCAGGCTTCACTTCCTCCTTAGCGGGCTCAGCAGCCTCGTTCTCCACGGCGGGGGTGGCAGTAGTCTCAGCGGCCTCAGTGGGCGCCTCAGCTGTAGCCTCGGGGGCGGTCTCAACAGCAGTCTCAGCGGCAGGGACGACCGGGGTCTCCTCAACAGTCTTCTGGACGTCGGCCATGATTAAAAAAGTAAAGTATTAAACGGAAAGTATTAAAGAAGCAGAGCTTCGTAAGTGGAAAAAAAGGCGTATAGGGTATCTCAAAGGAAAAGCAAAGGGAAATAAGAGCGCAAGAGCTCGGGTATCACGAAGGGGTATTTTGCTTTGTGGGAGGAAGAAGGGAAGGGAGGAGAGAAAAGGGAGAAGAGTCAGAGGGTTGATGGCGCTTTGCTCCAAAAGAGGAAAGGACCTGCAGGAAGCCCAGAGCTCAATGGATCCACGATTAGCTAATAGTTCAGGGGTTAATTGTTTTTGTTTTGTTTTGTTTTTGTGTTTTTAATTGTATTTGGTTTTATTATTTTGCGGTCATGATGACCTCTACTCACCCTTTCTCTGGTCTATCGTCTCCATGTCACTATGTAACCTGGCATCCGGTTGGCGACTGAGCCCATCTCCCCGTGGAACATAAGCCGGTCTGCCTGGGCAACGAGGTCAGAAGGCAGAACACGAACTCGTTCCAAGTTCTTTGTCTAGGCGCTAGACTGGATCTAACTTGATCGAGTTCTCATTTGCCCTTAAGAGAGCAAAAATAGGAGAGAAAACTCTTCAAGCCTTGGCTTTCAGGATGAAACCAGCATCACACCATGGCCACCCGAGTTATGATCGGCCATGCAGCTTGAATCAACGGCCTCGACTCCATAGTGTCCCCTAATTTGCCCGTACACTTCGGGTTCTCCTACCGATTTCACGGAGTTAGGGACATCTATTCCGACGATAGGCCAGCACTGGAGGGTTCTGTGATGTGTTTCATGAATTTACATACTCCGTAGATGGCGAGAACAAGGCAACAAAGTAATTACATACATATCGTCATGGCGGGGTCCTCTAAAATGGCGTCGGGTCATCCGATCAACAGTCGCAAAGTATGCCAATCTCATACTTCCTGGGACCCGTAAGGAGGTTCTACGATTGTTCGGTGGGCCACCGTGGTCCCTCATTCCACATCGACTTACCCCATTACACAGTCCAAGGGGGGGGCACCGTCAGAATCGCCAAAACAATCCATGCGTTAGCAAATCAACTGACCATTCCAATGGTTCCTGTGTATTACTCCGCATACTCCGTAGTCAACTCGATCTAAACTTGCAACTCTCCATTTCGCAGAAGGGCCATATCACTACCTCCCTTTGGAGGGGCATCCCTGGAGCCAGCCGTGCCCCCACCGGGAGGCAACCTGTCATTTCTCTTCCTTTGAGATGATCAGCCCAGCATGAACTTTGTTGGATTCGTATGGCTTAGGACGGAACTTGGGTGCTGCGAAATGCACTCAACGCTGGATTCTGTAAATTGGTTGGCTGACACGACTTGGTGCAATATTTAGCCAGACCCCATGACCTGTCTGATATCAACTCTATGATGGAGTGGCGCGCAAAGCCTCGTGGACAGCCAACCAGCGGCGATATAACCCCTCCTTCTTGGCTCTGCCTTTGATGTGCATCGGTGTATCAACGGCCTTCACAACCACGCGGCAAGGTTCCCATGATGTGATGTCCAATCCACATCGCGCTCCGTAGACGTCGTATAACATCTTGTAGCCAATCCCACCAATTTTCCATTGAATGATGGAGTAGGTACTCCGTACGTAGAGTCGCCTCTTTTCAACACACAACATAAGTGATCCGTGCATCATTCCATTCAATGATCGTCTCATCCCTACAACAAAGTACGGAGTACGGAGTACATACTAGCGATGTACTCCGTACAGAGTCCAACGTATTCTGGATGTATATTGTACCATAGGAACTCGTGGGATCTGCAAGACAAGGCTTCTTAGGCAATAACGCCCTTAATTAAGCCCCCCCTTTTTTTTCTCACCCTTTGAGCCACTAGGTACTTTCTTCTAGATTTTCTGCCCAGTAATACGGAGTACTGACCTAAAAAAAAAAAATAGAAAAATAATAAAAAAAACCCCCCAAGAAAAAAGAAATACGGTAGTATCCACTTCACTATGCTCTTGGTTTCGCGTCGTAGCGAATAGGGGACTACAACATACTCCGTAGCCAGCCCTATCTGGTGCAAACTCTGAATCAGAGCTTTTGTTGATTTCCACAGTCGAAAATTGCAGATACATAGAACATACGCCCGCAATGTACGGAGTACGGAGTACGCCGTACCTAGGTACATGTACTCTGTGGATCGGGAAGAGTACCTTGATGATCAGCTCCTTTGCTGCAATTTCGAGCCCTCCCCACGGCGGACAATGTCCATACAAGTCATCCATGATGGATGGTACACTACAATTCTGATCTACAAGGACTATCAGGCCGATCCCCAAATCCCTAGGCCGGCTGCCAGAACAGGACCTTCGGAGCATTTCTAGTAATGATGACCAGGTGAACCCACCCCTGCTCGGCAACCTATTACACCCTATCGGGGGCCCCTTTTTTCACCCGTTGCAAGATACCTAGGTAACTACCGACCATTTGTCAACCCTGCTAATTTTCGCCCTTTGTTTTTGCGAGAACTCTAAGGCTTGTGCCGGCTTCTGCTACGTCTTGTGAATGGTCAGGGATTGCCATTGATGATCACATACTCCGGCATACTCCGTACCCCGTACGGAGTACGGAGTACATTTTTCCAAGTCACGCATGCTGATCTTCCCTCTCCTCTCGATATCACACATTTTGACATTATGCAAGTGCCATGCTAAGCGGAGCCCGTGGGCCTAGGGTATTCTTTCCCGTTTTTTCGGGATGCGTACTCCGTACTGCGTATTGCTCCATCTTACTGGCGGGACTAGCACAGGGATATACATCATGCATACAACTAGTTATTCTGAGCAGGAAAGAAAAAAAAACGGAAGCAACTAAAACATAGGTATCACCATAGCGGCAAATCAACGACAACGGTCGTTTCCACCCAGACACTTTACTCCAGACAAGGAAAAATGAAATGAAAAACAGATCATATATTGCTCGGCTAACCTAGTAAATTAATCTCAATACTTCTCGCCACGCACTGACCTGACTTTCGGTGTACGCAGGAGACGAATTTCCCATTCATCGTAGCTCTCCGATGGTGCCCGAAGACTCTACCCCGTAGCGCCCACTAGATCAACTCAAACCATGGCACACTTTGATGAGGATGGGCATCTGCTGAATATGAGCTTCATATTAACTGTGGATTTCCTACTCCGAACTTCGTACTCGATTTAATCTGCTGGGGATTTGGCTGAACAAAGGTATGCTTCCGACGGACGATATCCGAATCGAGTTGTGGTCTAAAGGTCCGAGTTTTGGGTGGTACATACGGGAGCTGAGAGCCACAATACAAAGTTGTGGGAATAGGGGAGAGGGATCCACATAAGCTCGGTATGGAGTCGGGCCTTTCTTCTTGGGTGTCGAGTGGTAGTCGAGGAGTTTTCAATTATTGATTCCTAAGGTTTCTATGGAGTATGGGTCTGTGTGTTCTCTCCAGAGCATCGTTCTCGTGTCTGTCACAAGACATCTTCCTGTACTCCGTACTCCATATTCTGTACTAAGTAGAACAACAAATGCAAGGTACGAAGCTGCTTCGTAATGTAGAACCTTGGAACATTCCCGGTGCTGACAGGTCAGAATTATCTCAAAAAAGGAGCGCCGTGCTTGAGTCACATCAAGATCACATGGGTCTTACCGACATCACGAGCCCTCGGCTATGGATCAATTAGATCCTCCGGGCCATACTGCCACCGCCCTCGCGAGAGAGCATAAATACCCCCGACTTTCCCGGCCCTTCCTCCTCTTTTTCTTTTCTTCTTCATACTTACCTTGTTTGGGTGACTGCGATCATGAAGGCGGTTCACCACAGATTGGTCCCTGCATTGCACATCGCGGCGGAACAGTTTGTTCAATGGCCTTCGGGTCATTGACAGGCGTATTCTTTGGCACTCTCCACTTGTGGAACTCTTTCTTTTCATCAATCTTCGGGCCAGTGGCTCGATCTTGGAGAAGAGAAGTAAGTAGCTTGTAAACATCGCGAAATTTGATCTCGCTGTACGCGTGTCGCGTATCCCAGCCCACTTTCGTAGTAGCCATGGATGTCCCCCACATTGTGATACCCCAATATTCCCAGTTGCTCTCCAACACGTCCCAGTATTCGCTCCTGGTTATGTACGTATGTAGGTCTCTCTACTTCGTACGGAGTAATGATACCGGTCTCGTTCATTCCTGTCTATGTCCCTACTCCGTGTCCAACACTCAGTGTCTCATAAGGAGCTGCTGGTGCCGGTCCTATGTTGACATGACGTCTGACTCAACGGCTTCGCCACATGTGTGGCGACCAGGTGCCAGTCTACTTACCGCCAGCATATAATTCAACCACTACATCCCACAAAGCAAACTCACAACAGGGCAACTTACAGTTTATCATCTTTTTTCTTACCTCCTACTCTTAAACTCACACGGCCGCAATCGTGACATAACCTCAGAACCTCAAATCAAGATGCCTGTCCCCACTGCCGACCTTTTTGACAAGCAACAAAACCAAGCCAACGGCACCGATCACTCAGGTCCTGCTGCGCGCACCTCCCCTGAGCAAGACAGCAACGACAGCTATTTCAGGGCTCGGCCTAGCAGCTCGACTGGCGCATCGCATCATCCCGAGGCCGGTCGCGCTCTGACTAGGGAGGAGGCGGATCGTCTGTACGAGGAGCGAATGGAGGAGGAATATGCGAAAAGAGAGGGTGGTGCTTAAATTGAAGCTGCTGGATAGCCGATCATCCCACTCTCGGTGTTCATCGACCGGTATCGATGATCATGTCTACGCGTGACGCTGGGCGCTCTGTATTCTTTTTCTTTCTATGACCAGGTATTTTCTGTAAATTATCAATCTCCAATCAACCTTCTTTCAAATGATCAAGTCTTAGTCGATTGAGGCGATGATATGTATGCTGATGATTTCCGGTGGGATCTTGGAATGAACACACTTTATTAAGTGTGATTACTCGTTTTGTCACACGACCACTCCAGAGCTACGTGCCAAAAAAAGTTGAGAACCTTTTAAGGCGATACCGCTGGGTTGAGAAAAGCATTTTAATGGCAGATGGGTTATAGTCCAGCGGGATATTTCTGATTGGCCTTGCTGATCAAATCCCTGAGACCTGCCAACAGTCTGCACTGCCACCACGGACTCTTCCGAGGTTGCCACGACCCCTTGTATTATGCAGGCTTCCAAATGCCACACCCAGAGCTATGTACGACCCCTGCGGCGCTGCGTTGTTCAAAAAAACTGCTGAGCAGCAGGATACTCAGCCTCGCGTTTGATTCTGGATATATCCAGAGATGTCAAGTGGATCGTCGGGAAGAACCAACAGGACAACCCTTCTCGTATTGGTCAAGCCATGCGAGATGGCCTATCAGGGTGAACAGCAATAAGCACCCTCAATGGGCGGAGTAAATGATCCATCACTTTTGGCAAACAACATGTTTCAATCTGTGCGTCAGCTTCTCACACCGGATCATCGGCGCCGTTTGACGAACAGGCTATAAAAGGTACCTAGACTCTACATCAACGACGCTGGATCCACTATATACTTCACCACCGAGAATTTGAACCCCCCCCCCCCCCCTGGCAAAGACGGAACGTTGCTTACGATCTATCTACATCGAAAGACTTATTTATAACCATGGCAGTCAGTTTCACTTGAATACCAACGATTTTTCTGGGTCACCTTGGTGGATAAGGCACTAATGAAATCGACAGGAACCTTTCTGCCTCGTGAACGGATGCCCAGGTGTCTGGATTGTGATTTCCTTTAACGCCGGACTTGCTCTTGGCGGGTACGCAGTCTACACTCTACGGAACTCGGAAACTGGAGAGACGGTTACGGCACCTGCAAGTGCCTGTGAATAGATGCCTTTGGATATAGCCCCTACGTACTGGGCACCTAAGCAGAAGTGGTGCTATGCTTTGTATCTTTCCTTTGACTGTCGCTATGGGGATATGATATAGAATGAGCGATATGATTTTACATGAAGACATCTACAGGTTCGACTGATCTTGTGAGCGATACATGCCAAAAATTTGTAAAGTATACGTAAAGTATACCTATAGTTGATTGCGTTTTCAGCACTAGAGATTCTGCAGATCTCGATTTTACCACTCTTGCAGCACTATTGGAATCAAATCCGGTACAACAGGGAACCGATGAATGCAAACCCTTGTAGACAGAGGCTGGAAAATGGGTGTATGTAGTTGATGTACTTGGCGACTCTTGGATGAGTACTCCGTACAGACTGACCAAACCCGGATAGTTGAGATGATAGATATGCTCTCGGTTAATATAGCACTATCAAATTGCTCCTTTCTGGAGAGAGCAACGAGTAACCATAGGAGTTACATCGAATTACCCTCCCGAGATCGGACACTCCTTGGCTCATGAGTCATAACCTGGCTTTTCATCTCCCTGTATATACTTTTGTATCTTTATTTGTCTTCAATCTATAACTTCCATACATCTGCAATCATATCACTGTCTTCATGAACCTCTCCAACACCTGTTTCCCGAAATTTTGATATCAGCAAGTCACCTCAACATGAGCCTCTATCCCGACCGAGCTACAACGGTAATCATACCAGCCAATGCGAGCCCTATAAATACAAATCGCCTATACCTGCGACCAATGACTATGGCCGATGCCAGTGCCATTTTTGAGATCCGCCGACTACAAGACGTGGCGAACTGGCTGTAAGACTACACCCTAGCAGAGGCAACAATATCACAGAGATGGCATATTGATTTATGGACATCTATAGCTGGCCTAGAGCGGTACACAAGGATGTCTCAGAGTCTGAGGCCCTCATTGCCAGAAAGACCTTCACTACGCCAGATGCATCAGGTGCTTCTGGACGTCAGTTTTTCTTCGTCATCATCCGCACCGATGATCCATCCCAGCGAATCATTGGAGGGGCAGGGATCAACTCTCTTGTTCCAGCTCCATCGGTTGGGTATAATTTGCATCCTGACTTCTGGGGCAAAGGCTATGCCAGCGAGGCAGTTGCTGGAATCGTAGATGCGTGGTGGAATCTCGAACGAGTGGACCAAATGGCATCGGCATTAACGAAGGAGAAACTATTCGCGGCATGTAATAAGGCGAATATTGGTAGTATGAAGGTGCTACAGAAGACTGGGTTTTGTATATACCGTGAACAGCAGTTCGAGGATGATATTGTTGCGCTCTTTGAGATGGAAATACCTGATAGATAATTAATTGAGACTATATTTTTAGGTACTCTATGAGCTCACTCCAGCTCAATATTTGAGGGTCGGACATCATAAGCTACTCATTAACTACTATTCTTCGTAAGTCAGCTATGGAGACTAGATCTCGGGATGTTAGCAGTTGCTGCTAGTGGGGTTACACCATGTTGGACACTGGATATATTGATTCATAAAGCTTGAACAATATATTAATGAACATATGATATGGAAGGGGAAAGGACCATGAAATAGAAATTGTTGTGCAGATCCAAACACATATTTTGGTATCATGTTTGGTGCATTTGGTATAGCGATAGTGGGTTATGTTCTATGGCAAACGGAATCATACTCTGCAATCTTCAATTTTGACATATATAACCCACGAGAATGAATTTCCTCCTCCTCCTCCCTTCCTTCATCAACATCATCGTTCCATCAGAACCGTTCATATCATACATTGTCGGTAATAACTACCATTCGCAATGTGAGTCAATGAGTATAGCCAACATCACTCAATGAGAGTTAGAAAGCTAAGAGGGTGATAGGAGTCTACAAGCACTTGTATTGGATTATGGTCGGGACCCCTCAGTCACCATCCGGCGAATAAGGGAGATGACGCCCCTTCAAGACCCTATCTTGACTTCCATGAAACCATCACAATTTTCCCAGCGCCTTGGTAACAAGCTCTGCTTGAAAGGGGCAACAGCACAAATTTTTGGCACCGAATCCATTAGAGCGTGCATTCAATGTGCCAAAAATCTTACGCCATTCAGCTCATGTATAGTGCCCCAAGGCGTGAGTAACGGCAGCTGTGCAAACTGCATATGGAAAGGGAAATCACATTTCTGTAGCCTGAACGATATGTCATAGCTACTATAGAATATACCCTAAGATATACGCTAACGCCTGCTGTCTTTGGTGGCTGATAGAGATTAAGACCCAGAGGCTCCGGAATGTCAGGCATCGCACGTCGGTTCTCAGTGGAAAGGTAGCTAAGCTGAAAAGGAAAGCAAGGAAATACGATCAGAGCTATAAAACCATTCATTTTGCTCTGATGGATTATCTCAATGAACAGCCGACCCAGAACCAACAACTCCAAATTAATGGTGGATTGTTAGGTCTGAGAACTGCTATCAATGAGATGTCTGCAGCTATGGCTGATGTTTCTGTTAGGACAGTATCTAGTAATATCAAGGAGAAAGAGAGCAAGGAGGAGGAGGGGGAGGACGAGGAGGAGGCAACCGAAGAAGACGAGACGACACAGAAGAGATAGAACAGGATCGACGAGTAACTCCCATGACATATCCGGGGTCTTCCAAGGGTCACAGTGAAGCTCTCGAGAGCTAGAGGAAGCATTCTTTCATCATAACCTACATCCCTTTATGGGTGTGTATTGCTTGCTGCATGTAAGGTGTGTGGTATGAGCTAGTAGGTTGAATGCAATGTAATCATTGCAAGCACTGATCGAGACATGTGTACATGTAGTTAACACTTCATTGTCTCCCGCGGCTCCAAGTTTACATCTGTTGACGTGGATCCCGAGGTCCTCTCAGATGCACACTAGAGAACGGTTACATACACTACTAAATTCCCCACTGACCGAGACCCTTGATTGACGGAGTCAACAGATGATTAACAATATATCAGATTATACTCCCAGAAGAAATTAGCAATATCTGATTGGGTTAGACCTATTCTGACCTATTGAGGTAGGATATTATCTGTTCGATTATCCCCCGGTACATACAATATCGAGATGTGTCACGTGAATATCACGTGACAGACCGCAGCCAGCTTGACATAGCCACTCAAGAGCCAGACCAAGTAGTGTCCGGACTCTTCGCAACAACAGAGCCGAGGATCTGTGTGTCCTTCGTTGAATCCATCTATTTACAGTCACTCTTTCATCTCTATTGTCTTTTGATTAGAAGACTCGGCTCTTGGTAGCCTCCTAACACCATGGCTCCGCGGGACACCTTCTTCCGCTCGGCGGATATGAGCTTGACCCAGCTTTACATTGCCAACGAAATAGGAAGAGAAGTTGTCAGTGCTCTGGGTGAAGTTGGTCAGGTGCAGTTTCGAGATGTAAGTGGTGCAGTATGCCTTTGGTCAGATAGTTCCCTGCTGACTCGTTCTAGTTGAACCCGGACACGAACGCTTTCCAAAGAACCTTTACGAAAGAGATCCGTCGCCTAGACAATGTCGAGAGACAACTTCGCTATTTCCATCAACAGATGGAGAAGGCGGCCATTCCCATGAGATCTTCTTCGGACTTTACCGATACATTGGCTGCCCCCTTGGCGTCGGAGATCGACGAGCTGGCCGATCGCAGCGAGAGCCTTGAACAACGAATCATCTCCCTCAACGATAGCTACGAAACCCTGAAGAAACGTGAAGTTGAGCTAAGCGAATGGCGATGGGTGCTGAGAGAAGCCGGTGGATTCTTCGATCGGGTAGGTGGCTTGCGTGTACACCCTTAGCTGGCGGTAACTGACTTGAATAGGCCCATACCCAAACAGAAGATATTCGGCAATCCTTTGATAATGATGAAGCTCCCTTGCTCCGCGATGTTGAGCACCACGCTCCTCGCCAGAACGGAGACAGCCAGGGCCAGCAGAGCTTTTCGGAAATGAACATCGGTTTTGTTGCTGGTGTCATTCCCCGGGATCGCATTGGTGCTTTTGAGCGTATCCTTTGGCGCACTCTGCGCGGAAATCTTTACATGAACCAGTCCGAGATCCCGGAGCCCATTATCGATCCGATGACGAATGAGGAAATCCACAAGAATGTTTTTGTTATCTTTGCTCACGGCAAGAATATCCTTGCCAAGATTCGAAAGATTTCAGAGTCACTCAACGCATCCCTGTATGGCGTCGACGAGAACAGCGAGTTGAGAAGAGATCAGATTCACGAAGTGAACACTCGTCTCGGCGACGTTGGCAATGTGCTCCGTAACACCAAGAACACCCTTGATGCTGAACTCTCGCAGATAGCTCGCTCGCTTGCCGCGTGGATGATTATTGTGAAAAAGGAGAAGGCCGTTTATGATACTCTGAACAAATTTTCATACGATCAAGCGCGGAAGACGCTGATTGCCGAGGCGTGGTGTCCGACAAACTCTCTGGCTCTGATCAAGTCAACCCTTCAGGATGTCAACGACCGCGCAGGCCTTACTGTCCCTACAATTGTCAACCAGATCCGAACCAACAAGACCCCTCCCACTTATATGCGGACCAACAAGTTCACCGAAGGATTCCAAACCATTGTGAACGCTTATGGTATTCCGAAGTACTCTGAAGTCAACCCTGGTTTGTACACGGTTGTCACTTTCCCCTTCTTGTTCGCTGTCATGTTCGGTGATTGCGGTCATGGTGCACTGATGACCCTGGCCGCCTCCGCTATGATCTTCTGGGAAAAGAAGTTGGCTCGAGCTAAATTGGATGAACTGACATACATGGCCTTCTATGGACGTTACATCATGTTGATGATGGGTATATTCTCCATTTATACTGGATTTATCTACAACGATATCTTCTCCAAATCTTTCACGATCTTCCCCAGTCAGTGGGAATGGCCCCAGGACATCAAGGCGGGCAAGATGGTCGAGGCGACTTTAAAGGAAGGATATCGCTACCCGATTGGTCTGGATTGGAACTGGCACGAGGCGGACAACTCCTTGCTCTTCTCAAACAGCATGAAGATGAAGATGAGTGTTCTCCTTGGTTGGTGTCACATGACCTATGCTCTTTGCTTGCAGTATGTCAATGGACGGCACTTCAAGTCCAAGGTGGATATCTGGGGCAACTTTGTTCCTGGAATGCTTTTCTTCCAGTCTATCTTTGGTTACCTTGTTCTCACCATCCTCTACAAGTGGTCCGTGAATTGGCAGGAGAAGGGGGTGAACCCTCCCGGTCTCCTCAACATGCTCATTTTCATGTTCCTGAGCCCTGGTACAGTCGCAGACGGAGAACAACTTTATCCTGGCCAAAGTTTAGTTCAGGTTTTGTTGCTGCTCATCGCCGTGGCTCAAGTACCCATTATGTTGTTCCTCAAGCCGTTCTGGCTCCGCTATGAACACAACCGCGCACGTGCCTTGGGTTACCGCGGCCTTGGCGAGAACTCCCGGGTGAGTGCCTTGGATGCTGACGGTGACATCGACGGTGGTCTAGGCCGTGACAGCATGGCTAGCGACGGGGAGGGTGTAGCCATGCTTTCCCAGGATATCAGCGAGGGCGAAGAGCACGAGGAGTTTGATTTCGGCGATATCATGATCCACCAGGTCATCCACACCATCGAATTTTGTCTCAACTGTATCTCTCACACAGCCTCCTACCTCCGTCTGTGGGCTCTGTCGCTTGCTCACCAGCAGCTCTCGATCGTTCTCTGGACCATGACTATTGGCAGTGCCTTCGACCAGGAAAGCCCCGTGACGCGTGTTATCATGATCGTTGTTAGCTTCTACCTCTGGTTTGTGTTGACGATTTGCATCCTGTGTGTGATGGAAGGTACCAGTGCCATGTTGCACTCACTTCGTCTGCACTGGGTCGAGGCCATGAGCAAGCACTTCGTCGGCGAGGGTATTCCTTTCCTGCCGTTCAGCTTCAAGACGCTTTTGGAGGAGGACCCTGTGGATTAGTTGATCCTTGTCACTCCCTATTTTCATTTTGTACTGCAAAGGTTCTAGAATTATACATTACCCACTATTTATCTTGTGCCGATCAATGCCCCTAGCTTGCTACGATGTACGGAGTATTCCAGATAGTCTATTCGGTTGTTCCATTGATGTATCATCCCTGTCCCCACCAGACTATAGGTATTTTTAGCTGGACTCCTCACGTAGGGTACGCGGTATTGTTACCCCTTTTAATGAACCCCACGGCATTACCTAAATCTCAGGATCTTTTCAGGTGCGCATGACTGTAAGTGGGGTAGAGCGAATTCTTTCTTCCGTTGCTGATCCCGAGGCCGAGTCGGGCAAGGGGAAGACCGGGAGGTTCTAGACCATTGGGCAGCATATTTCCAATTGAGATGGTTTTGGGAGTTGGTATGAGAGAGTGGTGGCTTATTGGAAGGGGTGTAGAGTGTTATCAATTGAATCGCTCCATTGACGCAGCGATCAACGGGCACGATGGTGTCGATAGGGATTCTTTATAGTCCAGAGCACGGGGATTCCCGGCGAGAGGGAGGAAACCGGCGAGGGGCCGCGGAGGGTCACGCGGGGCAGATGACGAAAACGCAGGTCGGGACTGAGGTCACCCCCGCCGAACTACTTCTACCGGTTTGATCCCACTGACGTTGAATTCCAACTTTTTATTTTCTATCTAGTCCTTGTTTTGAGCTTGCCAACCTCGACTATATATTGAGTACTCAATTGATACTTCCTTTTTTTTTAACTCCTACGCTTTAATCTTCCAATTCAAAATGGCTTCATCAGCCGCCCCCGTCGGAGCGGAGAACATCAATACTGATATCGTTACACTCTCCCGCTTCTTTACAGAAGAGCAGATCAAGCACCCTGAAGCTTCCGGTGACTTCACTCTTCTCTGCCATGCTCTCCAATTCTCCTTCAAGTCAATTGCCTACTACATTCGTCGTGCATCATTGATCAACCTGACCGGTCTGGCCGGTTCCTCGAACACAACCGGCGACGACCAGAAGAAGCTGGACGTGATTGGCAATGATATCTTTATCTCTGCCATGCGTGGTTCTGGCAAGTGCCGCATCATTGTCTCAGAAGAAGAAGAGGAGGTGATCAGATTCGACGAGCACCCCGACGCTCGCTACGCCGTTGTCTGCGATCCCATCGACGGCTCCTCCAACCTGGACGCCGGTGTCTCAGTCGGCACCATCTTCGGTGTCTTCAAGCTCCCCGACGAGGTCCTAGGTCCCAACAAGACCGTCGGCCCCAAGGACCTGCTCCACCCCGGTACCAGCCTCGTTGCCTCTGGATTCACCATGTACGGCGCCTCGGCACAGCTCGTCATCACCATGCGCGGCGGCGGTGTCAACGGATTCACTCTTGAGAACTCGCTGGGCGAGTTCATCCTCACTCACCCCAACATGAAGCTGCCCCCTTCACGCTCCATCTACTCCGTCAACGAGGGCAACAGCATGTACTGGGACGAATGGTGCAATGCTTACTTCCACAGCCTCAAGTACCCCGCCGATGGTGGCAAGCCTTACAGTGCCCGTTACATTGGTAGCATGGTTGCTGATGCTTACCGTACTCTGTTGTACGGTGGTATCTTCGCCTACCCCGCTGATTCGAAGAGCCCCAAGGGCAAGCTCCGTATCTTGTACGAGTGCGCCCCCATGGCTATGGTGTTCGAGAATGCGGGCGGTCTTGCTGTCAACTCCCGCATGGAGCGGTTGATGGACGTTGTTCCGGAGCACATTCACGATAAGAGTGGTGTCTTCCTCGGCTCCAAGGACGAGGTTCAAAAGGTCATTGATACGTACAACAAGTACAAGAAATGAGCGTCTTGTCAGGGACTTGATTTGATTCTTTTATGGATGCGAGGTTGGCATATTCTCTAATGCTGTTCATCTACATCACTTTTTGGATTGATGATCTAGCTGGAGTTTTATGTTCTACCTCCATTGCAGTGTTGTTGTTTTCAGCGTTTTACGATACTTCCATCCGCATAGTCGGGATTAAAAATAAGAAACATTATTGGAACATACTATTGACGATATAAAATATGGGCGAAGAAAGTGTTCCTGTGCCATCATACCTCACAGTAAAGTGTAGTTTACTCATTGAGTGTTCTGGTTAACTCTCAGTGTGAATTAGGTGCTGTCCAGCGTGGATTCCAGGCCTCTAAGAATGGCACCTGTTTTCCCATGGAGACCGGAATCGCTACCTCTGACTGGGAAACAGTGACCTGTCTCGCTGCTTCTACAAGCAACATCACAACTACAGGCTGTTCGACAAAGGCCATTTCAACTCTTGCTAGTGGGTCACTATTCAAGTATTCCCCGGAGACTCGTGTACCTCGCTAAAGACCGAGTGCAGTATCACAGCGTCACAGTTCACATAATATGATTCCGACCCAAGTCTATGCCCTCGAGATAGACCACATAGCGTATTGGAGGGATAAAACACGCGTCTCCCCATTACAATGGGCCGTGGAGCATGGAAGAGTCAATCTCGTCAATCTATTCCTAGATAATGGCGCCGACACGAACTACTCCCCCATCAAAGAAACATGGAGCGGCCCTGCTTAAGGCAGTGACAAACAAACACCAGAAAATGTTCCAGATTTCTGTGCAGAGAACAGACCGAATCTCCTGTACCAGAGCCCTTGCTCTCGCAGTGGAGCAACAAGACACCACAACCGTGAACGCGCTTCTTGCATACGGTGTTACCTGTAATCTTGAGGAATCGGATCAGCCTTCTTCGCCTGATCCTATTTTTGGGACCATGAGTCCTTGCTGTATAGAAATTTGCAAGCTTAGCGGAGGATCCCACGCCTCCTCTTTTCCGGGCTACTAGATTAGACAATGCAGCTCTACATTGCTCATTGAACATGGCAAAAGCCTTGTTGGAAACCCTGGTAGATCAGAGACCCCCTGCTATGGTGTTCCCAATTATTTACATTGATAGAGAAGATGACTCTTCGACCAAAGGTAATGGCACACCTCAGTCTGTATCCACGTCCGTTCTTCTTATGTGTAGTAATTGCGATTCGTACGCGTGAGTGAATGAGATTTGTGCTCATAATTCAGAGGACCGTGCTATTGTTGTCAGTGCTATGAATACCTTGGGCAATAGCTTTGGGGGGCATGCTAGTCATGCTGGCCGTTCTGTGTCGGCTCTGGCCTCACGAAATAAATAATCTCGCACATTCACGCATAGATCTTGACTTTTCAAAATATCGATTACATCAACTTTCTAACAATTGGGCTTATTTCGACTTGGATTTGATTTTATAGTCCATGGGTACCAGATGCTTTGCAAACGAATCCCCTTCTGTCATAAAGTCGCTCCTTCCCTCCAGGTTTGCTCGCTTATCTTGTCCGGTTGCTTTCGGAAAGTCCGGCACTTAGGTATCACGTTGGAAACAGTCTGTTGCTTATCCCTCGATCTGGGTTTCAGTCTTTCCTTTTATTTTCAGGAGAGCGAGCATTGTTCGAATGTGTTCTTCACGAAAGACTGGTCGTGGAGTCATTGTTGCGCTCGAGCAATTTCTTCTCCCAGCGTATACCTCCACGAGTATAAAATGTACCAGTTTTCGCACTTGGTTTCGAATCCTGGAAGGCTGCGGACTATAACCCAGGGTATCCGCAGTTCTGGCAATTTATTTTGCCATTAGGCAGATCCACTCTTCGCGTTCTGGGTGCTCGAGTCTCTCCTCCATTCCCAAGTCAAAGTTCCCGACTCCCTGTTGAAAGTATGGTGATAACGACAAGGCTAGGAGTTCTCCGTTTCTCGCTCTTTGATAAGATCACGCTCCGATCTAATGACGCCATTGGGAAGCATACTCGAAATGTCTTCTAGCCAGAGGGATCAGCGGATCCGCTTGTAAAGCAAGTGCAAATCTCGGACTTGTTCAAGGGCGCTTTCATGTTGGTGTCCCTTTGATAAAAGATACATTGCACATGGAGAGCACCGACTTCGCTCAGTTATCCTGGATTCAAATCGAAAGCGTTGTGTCGATGCCCTTGCAATTCTGTCATCTCACGAATTTCGTTGTTGAATTTCCGGGTATGTCTATCTCTTTATAGAAGTCACCATGTGTGTGGTCCATAAGTATAGAAAGGCGACAAGTTTTCGTGCTCCGACATAGGAGACTACAAAGACCACGGCGAGGGCCCGAATCCCTGGGTCATAGCAAGTGAGGGATCACCCGTGTTCAGGATATGGCCTTGGGTCACCTCATAGATCATCCTGGGCTTTCAACTAGCCTCAGATCACCTGCAGAAGATCGCGTCTTTATTTCGCCATGGAACTGGGCTTGATTTCTTCGGCGGGGAGTGAGAGTGGCTGGTCTCTTTTTTGGGCCCATGCCATAGTATCGAGGTTCCCCAGAATCGCGGCAGGGTTGACTGTCATCGCGTGTCATGATGTGGAAGAGAACCGGTTTGGGCGAAGAGGACGATTGGGAATTGGAGTGGATTAAAGAGCTGTCGGGTGTTTGTCTTCTGTTTCGAAATTGAATGGCATCGGCAATCAAATTCTTTTGAATCAAAAGTCTTTCGAAAAGTGATGTGGTATATGTATAAGGCACAAAGAAACTGTGTTGCCGATTTCCGGGTATATTGGGCGGTAGTCAAGGACTTCGGCCACTGATATTGATATAGTGACCTGGACATCGAAGCCGTCCAGAGCCACACAAAACTCACTTGATCGAGCCGAGTTGAGGTTGTTCGAGTGCTCCAATCAAACACTGGGCCCTCCGGTAGCTTGCCAAGCTTAGATATAGTCAAACTCTAGCTTATGGGCCTGCTGAGCCCATGTGAATCTCATATTAGGCCGTATACCTCACAGCAACGACTTTTTATGTCTTGTGATCACCTTCAGCGATATACTTATTGCATGTCATCCCGCTTTGGGCACCGGATGGCACGCGTAACTAAGTTATAGTACTGCATAGAACAGTATCTTGGGGGTTATGAGTGCCATTGAGTCGTGGCACAGTAGCCGTGGGTTGGGCCTATCGATTGTCGTGACGCCAGACATAGGAGCGGCGAGCAGCCAGGAGGTGAAGAATGGGCCTTGACACGTATCGTGTTGGTTTTGCAGAAGCAAACAGGCTTCGTTCTGTCGAAGTGTGGGTGCCTTGTTATGACGAGAAGGCGGTATTCTTCCACATCGCATCATGAGCTGTTTCTGCCTCGTGTGCATTGTGGGCTTCAGCCTTTTGACAAAAGCAAGAAGCGTGTCCAGTACTTAGGGCAATGTGGTAAAGAGGCGATGAAGTGAAACCATTATGAAGAAACAAGAGAGAGCGCGCAGTTATCTAGCTAGGTATAGAAGCACCTGGCTAGACTCTCCATCATTCCGGGCTAGTTGAGAGGGTATATGTAGATTGTGATCATGGGAGGGGAAGCAGACGTTTGGCAGGTCAAAATGCCGAAATATATAACAGGTCATAAGAGTTCAGCAAACGACTGTCATTATGAGATTGTCTCAAGATATACGTGCTCGTTAAAGATGAAATAATATTATTCAAAGAGGCCCACTATACTCTTTTCAAACAGAGTAAAAGCAAGTATTTAGCCGTAAATAAAACAATGCAATGGGTATGCGTGTACGGTGTCAAAGAAAGTGCAAAACGACCCATCTAAAACCACGAAATATCTTTCAGTATCTTGACAGAATTCCGCTTGTAATGTTGGAAGATACAACACTGAACTTGAACGCCAACCATCATACCGAACAAGCAATAATGATATGTCTTTCCAAAGGACTGTAGGGCTCCAGGACTATTTGGCCGAGTTGATATCGGGTGGGGAGATACATGACGTAAGCCGAACTCGCCTACGGTGGGGCTAGGCCCAATACAGAATAGCCTCGGGAGAAGGTGATTCCGCGCCGTTAGAGCTTGAAAAAAGTACAAATTTCACTTTTCACTTTCTTCTTTCCCATCATCCTTCGCTCATCTTCAGCATGGTTAATGCTTCCATTGCAAATGAAGACTGAGGTCGCCGGATATCTGGCCTCTGGCTAGCCTTGACTATCACTCTGTTTTTTTACTAACCTACAGTGGCTCCCAGTATCTGCAACAATGGTGAGTTCTTGTCCACTTGATTCCCTCTACCCCCCTCAATGCACGCACCTCCCAACATGATGATACCTTTAACCACACAAACTAGAGTCTTTGACCCTACGGGGAATGAAACTTATGTTATTGCACGTCAGGCTGAACTTTCCTCATTGCTTTGAATTGTCACACAAACTATGAGTTGGACTGAGCTAATATGTCTCTCCAGGAATGATCTTTAGAAATGGTCTCATTGATTGCAGATCGTATCTTAAAACAAGCGCAGAGGGTGAGTCACATTGTTTTCCCCCGTCTTCCTTCCTACTTTTTATCATGATGAACGCGATGTGTATGAAAATACGCTGGAAATTACCGTCTCAGACCTTCGGGTCGGTGATGATACTTAATGGCTATTTCTGATATTTAAACCAACCTCAACATTTGCAACCACAAAATTTCGAGATCATGTGCTAATGGTTCGAAAAGACTGATAGGTTCCTGCGCTACCAACTCAAATGGTAAGCTATTGCGAGATCTCCCACAACACTCTGTCCGAAGATGAAGCGGCACTGGGCTCCGACGGCGTTTAAAAAAATGTCCGGTCATGACGGATATGCCTTTTTTGCGGCAGGCCTAGAAAACCTCGCCCACTGAGACATTCTCATATATTCATCAACTCGTGAGACGGTTGTGTGACACAGTCACTAACCCTTTTTGAATAGAAGCCTATTTGATTGTGTCGATTGAGACCAACTGTAACCGTAGAAGGTATGCGATTGAGTCTTTATGTTTCTGTTACCCTACCTTCTATGATGATACCCTTTTAGATGACGAGTCTGATTCGAGTTTTCGATGCTGACACATCTTTTAAATAACCATTCATGCCTTTCTGACACCCATTCCTACACAAAACTTTCACTCATCAAATTTTCGTGGCTAGTGCTAACGATCCTTTAAAGACAGATACCTCCCAATATAGACTCATTGCGAGACCTCCGTTTGACTGTGGGTGTATGTACGCCTTTGGCTCTTTTCCCATCCCTGCCCTTTTTATGATGAAACGACACAAACAAAGACAAGCATATGTCCAAGCCAGCTTGCTGGCGAAGACGAGAAAAGTCATGCCTGATCAGTCACGAGTCTCTTGCATCGCTGCAAAATTCCTTCAGTGCTCGATGCTGATGAATCTCGAACAGAAATTCCTCAAGACTAATATTACAGACGCGTGTGCGATCTGCTTTCATATCTTTCTGTACGTTCGACCTTCTTTTCCCCTCTTCCTCTTGCCCTCATCTTATATGATGATTCACTTCAATTTATCACGACGGTCAACGTAAGGATTTAATATTGACGACCACCGCCTGTGACAAGGCATTTATCTGAACTTCCTCCATCACTTGTTATTTCTTGCCATCGCTTGTTAGTCTTGACACTAATATCGATTAGTCCTCCCTACACAGGTGTCCAGCAACCTCGGAGCCGTCGGCATTCCTTCGGCCGAGGCACGTGGCCGATCACATCCTGGTCCTTGATGGACGCAGTAGTTAAGAAGTTTACACTGGAGAATATCAATAAGAAACATTTGAACCAATCTCAATCCTTGTCCTAAATAGCAGGCTGTATACGGAGTAGACGGGTCTCTACCGGGTGATCTTTTTTTAGCTCTTTAGAATCCCCTAATGAACTGTACTCCGGATTTGGCTTGATAATCCTGTGTCCCCAGATCCTTGGCTGTGGTTTGTTGCTTTGATGCGGGGACACAGGCGTTGGGCCTCTCACAGAGAACGATACGCGCTGAGCTCGGGCCTGCATGTGATGAGAACCTCTTCAGGTGCATAACGATCCCCGCTCCAGACTCACTTACTCTCGGAGTCTGGCTAATTGAATGCTTCCTTCTGTTCCAAATTTAGCATCTTTTGCCTCCGGGACATAGCACCGTTTGGGTCTGCAGTAGGTGGTATGGCGTGTTAGGGTTGTGTTTCTCCTTCGGCAAGCTTGTCCTTCGTGCAGCTGGTGCAAAGAATAGAAAGATTAGTCTCTCGCCTGTCTTGCGAAAGCCAATAGCTTCCCCCCCGTTTTGTTGGATCCCGCGATCCTTTTTTGTTCTTTCCGTGGCCATGGCCTCGTATCGGGCCTCCTAAATCGATGCACAGCCCAGTATGAATAGGTGCGACCCATCTGCTTGTTTCTGCAAGATTTCTATGGATGAATACGCGCGGACGATACTGATCGTCCCTATCTAGCTGGTTGGGTTCAAATCGTGCAGGTGTTGAGCAGCCAGTGAGCAACCATTACTCGGGCTGGTCCTCAACAGCTGCGAGTCCCGGCAATCAACTATCGCCAGGTCGTCGAGAACATGCTGTACAGCCGCCATTGTTGACAACAGCACTGAGTGGTCCTCAGTACCAGGGCCTTGGACTGACACCGACGCCTTTATCGTCAACATCGTTGTCGAGCCCGTTTACTCACGGTCAATCACCTTGCGTTCCATCTCCTATAAACAGCAGATCTGTCTCGTCTTCTTCAATGGCGTCCAGAAATGCGTACAATGTACCTTATAATCCCCAGGATTGGGGGCCTCCGGGCAGGTCCCAGGCGCAGGCTCCATATCTTCAGCCAGGCACTATGCATCGCATGACACAGAGGAATAATCCAGGTAAGTCAAACGGTCTATACTTCGACTGGGAATTGGTACTGATCTTTTAGATGTATCATTATCACCGCCTCCTCCACCATATTCACCCCCCAGCAACCAAAACCGTATATCCCAGGTCCCTGGTCAGCCGAATCCTAACTTTACCACCACGCCTTCTCCGCCTGATAATAGGGAAGGGGCTTTTGAGATGCCTGTACAGTATCAAAGACGCTCAAACCGACCACGGCCATTATCTATGGCTTACCCATCTGACTCGGGATCTCAGTGCCAGTCGCTGCCTCCTCCGCCTCCTCCACAGGGTAGATCTGTTTCCCAGAGCAGAGTTGAGTATCAGGGCATGCCCTATAATGACCAATCCACGCAATATAATGCTTCAACGAATCACAGGCCTACCTTGTCATATTATGAACAGGGTCAATCCTCATCCGGATTCTCAGAGCACATGTCTGCAACACCTGCCCACTTAGAGACTCTCTCCCGCCCACCTGCATCTCGAAGAGCTGCATCTGCTGGAGCTGTTATAAGCAGTGCAGGTTCATCAAGGACGACGAGTCATTCGAGAACACGATCGCCGTCAAATAGTAACTGGGAGCCTGGGATGCCACTTCCCCCACCACCACCAGGTCCTCCTCCCACTGCGAGGTCTGTTAGCGTGAGTGGCTCATCGGAGTCCTCTATGAGAACACCACAGGGATCGGCCAGGACGGCGAGAAGGGTACCTCCCGTACTAGGAACAGGACTGGGAAGTATCCCACCTACGCCAGCTGACTGGATAGACGAGGGATACTTGAACAGTCGACCAACAGAGAATCTTTCCGTTGATACGGCAAAAGCGGCTAAAGCACCAGAGCCAACGGACCAAGATTCGTCTAATCAAAAAACTCCTGGCAGTGGTGGTCTGTTCCGCAGCTCAGCGGTACGCGATCCAAGCGCCAAGGGCATCCGTGAAAGGCGGATTGAGCGACGCAATCGGCAAAGCCAAGTCTTCGAACCTCCCAGTGCAATATCCGCAACTGGAAATCCTTGGGCTGATGCTCTCGAGCAAATCAAACCATCGAATCTCGTTCTACCAGAGAACAACCCAGACCAAGATCGGCATCCAACGTACACCCAAGCCCCGCTCAGTACCCGCAGCACTAGGTCAGAAGGACAACATACTGCCTCACGGTCTCGAGCATCCTCCAATGGTATCTTGCCAGAACAATCGCCGTACCCAACTCCAAGACAGCAGCCCAGTTCTGCCGGTCCCTCGGCTACTACGTTTGCACACACGCCTCCATTTTCGCCAAATCCAAATGGAGCGAGCTCTGCGGCGTATTCTAAGGAGGCCAGCCAAGCAGTGCCACCAAAAGCACTACCAACCCCGCCTCTAAATTCAGGAAAAGATACCCGGCCACGGTCACGCTCTCGTGCTCCCTCTCGAGGAACGGAAGACCGTCCACTCTCTCACATTCTTCATATGCCCAATGAAGCGGTCTCAATGATGAAACCCTTGTCACCACGTCGAACGCCAGGTCAGCAACCGCTGCAGGTATCAATGGAATCAGTCCTTAGACAGGATCCTGCTTTCCTTCAGGATGCCATCCAAAGACACAAGTCCTTTATTGAGAAGGAAGCTAGCGCTCATGATGAGACAGAAGCCTTGAAACTATTCGCGGACTATATGCTTGCCGAATCTCAGATTCGGCGCCAGCGGTACTCCAAGGTCTGGGAATCTTTCCAAGTTGAGGATGTGCGCCGCAACCTCTTCGAGTTGCCTCCCAAGCAAGCACCACAGCCTAAACCACAGCCTAAACCTCAGCCAAAACTAGATATCCCACAGAATCGAGCAGGTCGACCCGAATCTGCGTGGTGGAACAATTATCAGCCTTGCCTGTCACCCATTGCCAGCCTGAATATGAGCAACGATGAGAGCTCGCGAGGTCGTGCCCCCAGCCGCTGGTGGGAGTCTGGAACCGGTTCCAGTGGTGAGGGGCCCGAAAGAAGACTCCAACGATCGAAGCGAGAATCAAAGTATATGGGCCTGCCTCGGGAGGCCATGCAGTGGGACCAGGAGCTGACTCCTTCTCAGCCTAAAGATGTGAGCATGAACTACGGAAATACAAATGGACCTGATGAGTACCCACCCGAGAAAGTCGGTTGGCATGCGGGCTCTTCACCTGCAAATTCTACCGGGACTGGGTATCGCTATGAAAGCCGCGATTTGGACATCTCGCGGTTAATCACCCTACCCCCACCTTATCCCCGCCACCACCCTGCTGTGAATAACAGTCATCCCGAATTGGTCACCCATCGAACTACTGTACGGTCGATCACCGATCTCGCCGAGATAAAGACCACTAGGCATCGGTATAGGGCTGATGTGGAGCGAATGCTTCAAGAGTACAAGCAACAAGTCGACGAGGGTTATCGCCAATTCCGGTCCAACATTCAAAGCCAAATTCAAGAGGGTAGCCTCACCTTTGCAGAGGCCGCAGAGGCAGAAGCAGCGATGATCGTCGCGGAGAATGAAAGAGAACGAGTAATGGTTAAACGTCAACTTGACACCTACCAGGAGACCGTGCTCAAACCAATGAATGCTATTCTCGTGGACAGAATCGGCAGGGCAACAGCCTGCATCGACCAGCTAAGCAGTATGCTTTCTGACGATGCACAAAGCGGAACACCCGATCAAACTCAGGAAGAAGGCGATGAGAAGCCGGAGCTTCTGGAGAAATTGACCCAACTAAAATGGCTCTTCGAAGCGCGTGAGCAGCTCCACCGCGAGTCATTCGACCTAATCAGCGACCGCGATGATAAATACAAAGCTGTCGCGTTGCTGCCCTACAAGCAGGCCAAAAACGAAGACAAGCTGCGAGAAACGCAAGCGTTTTTCAGCCAGGACTCGCTGGACCGGCGCGTACAGTACGAGAACGAGGCGCTGGGTCGACTCGAATCCTTCCTGAATGTCATCGAGCAGAATGTCATGCGCGGTGTAGAAGTGCAGTTATCAGCATTCTGGGATATCGCCCCATCTTTACTGGCGCTTGTGCAACAGGTGCCTGAAGACCTACGCGGGTTCCAGGTGCAGATACCCGCGGATGAATACAAAGAAAACCCAAGCTATCATGAGCATCCGCTGCAGTATCTATATACGCTACTATCACATGCGGAGAAATCGAGCTATCAGTTCATCGAGTCGCAGACGAATCTGCTTTGTCTCTTGCACGAGGTGCGGTCTGCTGTTATGCGGGCTAACCAAAAGCTGGTAGAGGCGCAACGCATCAAGCGCGGAGAGACAGAGGAAGATGTGCGTCGGGAGATGCAGGAGACTCGCGCAGATGAAGAATTGGCTCTTACGACCGATCTTAAAGATAAGGTTGCTACTGTTGAGGGTCAATGGACCGAGGCACTGGGGAGCCAGATTGAAGGATTGAGGGAACGGGTGAAAGAACAGCTTGTCAGCGACGATGGCTGGGAAGAATTGGAACAATTGGAGGAGTAAAAGAAATCTTTTGGGCGGTCTTTTGTCATTTTTGTGCAATTAACAGCGTGATATCCCCATTCGTTCGTTATAGATCGAGTGTTGCAAGGCAGCGCCGGCAACACTTTGAGTTTTGGTCTCCTTCAGGGATTGTGAGGGTTAAATATACACATATTTTAACCACGATGTACTTCTTCAGTGTATCCACGCTCGTTCCCAACGGTATATCCCTCGATATGGTGAAGAATGACCTCATGCGGCACTGATAAATCGCTAGCGTATCCACAGTCACGTGCACCTTCTAGAGTCTTCCGTCCGCGACGCTTCAAATAGCTCTTCTTCCCCTCCACTCTTCTGTATTTTATTTCATCTTTCAAGTCCTTAATGCTCTGGACTTAACTAACTCAACTGTAAGTGCAGATTGCATTGCCTCCCTTTGATTCCTACATACATCCCCTTTTTGAGTGAACAAGGGTCGTGGGCAAAATTTCAACCTGCCCCTCGACCTCCACTCAATTGGCCTCACATGAAGAGACTCCAGCTGGCACCAGTCTGACAAGATGTTTCTCACATCTGACTGCGGACAACGCTTAACAAGTCCGGGATTACGCCCCGAGACCTGACATTGGCCTTTCCTTACACATGCATTTTTCTTTTGGACCGCATTCAGAAGATCATCGCTAATAGGAATTTCCAACAGAACTTTTTAGCACTCGGTCAATTTTTTTTGCCAAACAATTTAAAAGAGGAAGCAACTATCTTCCAACCCCAAATCAGATTTTTCTTTCATTTTTCTAGTCAACATTCATCATGGTCCTTCACAACCCCAACAACTGGCACTGGGTCAACAAGGATGCCTCTGGCTGGGCCAAGGAGTACTTGCAAAAGACCCTGATCGGCCTTAGTGTCGAGGAAGGGGGCGTGTCAGCCAAAGTAGACAAGCTGTTGTCCATGGATGGCGACGTAGATGTCAGCCAGCGCAAGGGCAAGGTCATCACTCTTTTCGATGTCAAAGTCTCGCTAGAATACTCAGGTTTGTAGTCCAATATCAATTCAGTTCTATTTCTATTTCTTTTCTCGCTTGTTTTCTTCTTTGTGGACCTGGCAGCTGAGACGCTTCCATAGGTAAGACCAAGGACGATGAGGAGGTCAGCGGCACCATCAAGATCCCCGAGGTAGCCCACGATACCGAGGAAGATGAGTACGTCGTACGTTCACCTTGGCCCCCCCCAATCCCTATCCAAAGGTGATCCGTAACACTAACCCGTAAATCCTCCAGTTCGAGATTGAGAACCACGCCGACTCCAACTCCAAGCAGCCCGTAAAGGATCTTGTGCGCACAAAGCTCGTCACCGAGCTCCGCAAGGCTCTCGCCAGCTTGACCCCTGCCTTGATCACCGAGCACGGCAAGGATCTCCAGCACGCCCCCGGCGTCAACCCTTCCAGCGGCTTCGCCAAGGCCAGCATCCACCCGCAAGCCAAGGTCGAGGCCCCGGCCGCGCAGACCACCACTACCTCCAAGACCGGCAATGTCGCTGTCAACACAACCACCGTGACTGCCTCGGATGAATTCCGCACCACAGCCAGCGAGCTGTACAACACCTTCACGGATGCGCAGCGCATTGCCGCTTTCACACGCGGAGCTCCCCGCCAGTTCGAGGCCAAGGTCGGCGGCAAGTTCGCCATCTTCGACGGCAACGTCACCGGCGAGTTCGTCTCTCTCAACGAGCCCAAGCAGATTGTCCAGAAATGGCGTCTTGCCCAGTGGCCCGAGGGCCACTTCAGCACACAGGAGATCAACTTCGACCAGAACGATATCGACGGTGTTACCCAGATGCGCGTTTCTTGGTCCGGCGTTCCCGTCGGACAGGAGGATGTCACCAAGCAAAACTGGGACATGTACTATGTCCGCAGCATTAAGCAGACTTTCGGGTATGTACTCTCTCCTTTCCCCTTGATTTCCTCCTCCATTCCTCTTTTTCTTTCTGGTCTTTTTTGCCAATCCGGCCTCTTGCTATAGATCCCAGCGTTCCTCAACACCGCAATACTGGAATCCCTTGCTAATCATTCCTGTTTTCTGCGTTGGTATAGGTTTGGCACTATTCTCTGATCGACTAAATCTCTTACCGGTGGCATGAACACACAAAACAATGCATATGTCCGAAGACTTTTTTTTTACCTTCTCCCTCTTCTCTTTCCGTGAATTGGCAGATAAGACCGCAAAAGCGCAAGCATTAGAATTCTTTGCCTGCTTTTTTAATTCGTGTCTCCTTTTCTTTTCCACCCGTGTGGCCCGCTTGCAGTCTTTGTGTTGGGCCTGGGCACAATGATGCTACGATAGAGGATGGTGTTATGTCTATGATAATGAAAATAACTTGAAGTTTATGTTTGATCTTGGCCATTCTCTGGTGGATGACATGTTAGGTTCTCTCGGCAAATGGTTTGATATCTCTCCAGGGCTGCCTACATAGCTAATCTTCCCTTGTTATGCAGATATGAACCTTGCAAAGAGTCACTTTATATAGCTGGATACCCACGCACTCCCAAGGTCTGGTAGATGAATCACTGACAGCCTCAAACAGCATGGATATCTGGAAGTCTATAAAACCTGATTTTTAGATAGCCAAGTCTGTGGAGCAGAGATCATTGCGAATGAGTTGGACCAGCTAAACCGCATATCCGTCAACTTGGAGCAGAATAGTAATGCACAGTGTATTGTTCATTCATCGTCTATGTCATTCCTATCTTTGTTTTTACTAGAGAATCTATCACTTTTGAGTCCTGACTCCACCCTTACAGAGTGCGCTCAATGAGCTCAATGCCGTAGTCCTCCTTCAGGGCCTTGATAAGAGGAGCACAGATATCCATGGTCATGGGAGCAATGACACCCTAGAATATAATCAGTAAGCAGAATTTCAACAAAAAGAAGGGGTAAACGTACAGTCTTGCTGATAGTGCCATCAAGCACCTGCTTAACAGCAACACCACAGGGAATACCAACGGTGCGGGCCATGGCGCTGTAGCCGGCAGGGTTACCGTACTCGCACAGAGTGGAGGTACGGGTCTCCTTGGAGCCGTCCTTGTTCTCAATCTCGAACTTGTGCTGGAGCATAACGAGATCACGCTCGCCCTCGTCGTACTGCATCTTCTTCTCGAGAGTAGCGCAAAGAGTGTCGAGAGCGTTGCCGCGGGGGATGGTCTGCTCATCGGAGAAGAGACCAATCCAGCGCAGGCCGGAGATAAGACGGTCACGCTCCTCGTTGTTGGGGAACTTGGTCTTGGAGGCGATGGCCCACTCGAGGTCCTTCTCGGAGGAGGTGGTGGCACCAAGAACCTGCTTGGTAGCCTCCTTCCAGGAAGTGGCCTTATCGAAAACGCTGTTGGGGGCATCGTTGAGGAAACCAATGTCGACAAGGACCTTGATCATCTCAGGGAAGCCCTGGTAGCGCAGTGTACCTCTGACGAGATCCTGGGCCTCAGGGATGTTATATCTCTCACGGAATCCGGTGGAGTCACCTGTAATAACGTTGGACGATTAGCCCGGAACAGCCCACCAACCGATTTCGATAGTAGCTGTCGACAAGATGTTGGCACTCACGGTTAGGATAGCCGACAAAGGCGAATCCGGGGTAGATAAAGAAGGGCTTAGCAGTAGCCATCAGATCAGGTCCGTCAATGCTGACGACCTTACCACCTAATTCGAGCATTAAAATCCAGTAACTATGGCATATGTGGGGGTTTAGACTTACCTTGGTAGATCTTGGCGGCATTACGCAGGGCAAGAAGCACACCGCGGCTGCGCTAGTTAGTGATTTGCCAAACTTGACGATGGAAGTTTGCTAACCTGGACCACGAGAACTAAAACCAGCTATCAGTTATTTGGTTCAAGTTTTTGAGATAGGGTTTACTAACCTTATATCCGAGGGGGTTGTTCGAGCACTCGGGGGCAGGCAAGCTATTGTTCGTCAGTGGGACTCCTTGAAGACATTGGGGACAGTGAAGACGGACCCTCCGCAGAAGGAAATGAATCCGGTGACCTTGCCGCCAGCAGCGTGGACTTCCTCAATCGTCTTGACAGCATCTGTTACTTGTTAGCATTGATCTGTGTGAATATAGGCTGTATAGGCACTTACAGAGGTGATCAATACCGGGATCCAAGCCTGTTGTACTTATGTTAGCATTTTCTCGAATTCATCAGAGATGAATAAATCAAAATTTACCAATCTCGTTCATGACAGTGATGCCAGCGGCCTTGCACTGCTCATCAAGCTCCAACATAGCAGGTGAAACGTATGAGGTGGTAACCACATTTGTCTGCGAAGATCAGTATCCTGCAGCCGAGTCATTTGGATTTCAACCCTCACCTTAGTGCGGATAGCGGACTTAATGACGGTAGCGTGGAAGGTGTAGGGAATCAGCGAGATGACAACATCTGCTTGCTCGAGAGCGGCATCAAGGGCGGCATCGTCGTTGACATCAAGGGAAATGGCCTTGGTGTTCTTGAAGCCAGCGGCCAGAGCCTGGGCACTTTCGAGGGTACGGCAGGCTAGTTACTTCATCAGCAAAAGTTCGATGATGATATAAGAATCAGTTCGACTTACCGACAGTGACCTCGACATCAGCCTTGCTGAGAACCTCAACAGTAGGCTTGGTGACTACCAGAAATCAAGCATTAGCGGATATACAACATTAGAAGCTTAATGCGGGGCAGTATGACGCATTTAGGCCAGAAAGTTGGGATGGAAGATGAGAGGCGTACCGAAGCCCGAACCCAGAAGGAGGGCCTTGGAACCGGCGACTTGCTTAACCATTTTGATTCAATTTGTATGATAAAAGATGGTGACTGGGATAGTTCACCTGGGGAGCATCCCTCATTCTGGAGACCGGGCCGGCACGGGGGTGACTCACCATCACGTGAACCGGTATCGGCGTGGGGGGTTACCTAATTATGGACCCTTCTCCAAATATACAACGTGGAGCTGGCGTGGAGAGTTAGAAAGTAGTTGGTATTCTATTTATCAATGACCGATGTAGACGATGGCAATGCATGCTGATATCAGTTGGGCGTGCCCAACAGAAACTCCGCCAAAAAAGAGAAAAAAAAAAGAAAAGGACGCCGGTGATGCTAAACAAAAAGCAAGTAGGCACAGGGTATATAATAGACACTTTACTAGATGTCTTTGACCTTTCCACCTTGACGCAATATTCTCGTGTCGAGATCTTCCTCGTTTGATCTTGCGTCGCCGGCGAAGTTGCCCTCTGCATCGGGGTTCTGCCGAGACTTGGAAATCCGTCTCTGCCACCCGAGCATCACGGGGAGGAAGTGCCACAAGTCAAATTCGGGCCACATGACATTGAGGAACACAATCTCTGTGTTCTCATGGGTCTGCCAGAGCATGAAATCGCTTAGGCGTTCCACGCCCGAGGTGCGGATCAAGATGTCCAGAGGCGGTGTACCCTTGGTCAACATGTGATCATTTAGGGTCTGACGAGAAATGGTTTCGGGGGAAATGTAGAGAGGGCTATTTGCGTCATCCGCAGGTCTCTGTGGTGGCGAGCCCTTGGGGTCCTGCTGAGCTCCGAGATGAAGGGTTGTGGAAGATGAGAACGAAGACCCAGACTCGTATACCTTGTTGGGGCGGCCATTCCGGGACGATGTATCCTCATCCTGTGCCGAAGAGCTTGTCGTAGACTCAGAATCACTGTGTGCCTCGTGTACCCTCGAGCTGAGCGTCTGAGTACGGATGTTATGTGTGATATGGGATTCCGAGAACGGGGTGCGGGAAGGGGTAGTCGCGGAGCGAGTCTGTTGGATCGGCGTACTATAATCATCGACTGTATCGCGGATGGCAGAGGTAATCTCGTCGCGGGAGGTATAAGGGAAGCAGATATTCAGGACGCGGTCTCCGTTACGGCTGGTCATATCGACGGCGTTGTTGACGGCCTCCAGAACGTCGGGTTTGAGCAGATCGAGGCGACCCAGGACGCGCACTTTCGCTCCGTATCGATCGAGCAGGTCTCCGTGCTGAGCCATCTGCGACAGCTTCACTTTGGCCATCTCCATGAGCGCATCCACCTCGAATTTTGACCGTTTGAAATTCTCGATGCTGAATGCGTAGATCGTGACTACCTTCACTCCACTCTTGTAGCAGACTTCTAGGATCTATGTGTTGTTAGACTCGGTAACCGAACAAGATAGGGACGCTGCCGTGCAACGCCGGAGCTTCCAAAATGCAACCACTCACCCTAGCCAGAGCTTCAAACCCTAGGTTGTGTCCCTCCACGGTCTCAATTCCATGGGATCGAGCGAACCGCCGGTTTCCATCCATGACAAAGGCCACATGCTGGGGCACGGGGCCTTGCTGGAGTGCGCCGATCAGCAGCTCCTTGAGGCTTGTGATGGCATATTCGACAGGCGGAGAGGCGAGGAACCAGTTCCGTAGCCGTGACATGTGCATTGAACCCGACATGATGTATATGTAAACCAGTATAAAAACCCCTAAACTCCTATTTCCAGCGCCGGGATAAAAATTGTTGGGGGGAGGCGATGTGGCAGAAGCCGGATGCGTTGCAGAACAACAAAAAGGTGCGGTTAGCGGCTGGGCGGATTCGGAGTTGTACTACAAAAGGCGACGTGGTCAATTTTGAACAAGGAAATTCTGCAAGAGTGTAGATGTTTAAGAATCAATTTGGAGGCGAAGTTCCTAGGCTACAACTTTTTCATGTGCTTTTTTTACTTCAGGTTTTGGCCCCTGCTCAACGTAAGAAGTGGCGAGGCCCGCGGCAACGCATCAGCCAAGATCATCAGCCAACGCGTGAACATCTCAATTGGTTGATCCCTTCGCTTACTTGACGGTTGTCTGGATAGTATCCGATTGCGCCTTCCGATATCCTGGGATATTTTTATAGGGCCTTCTGCGCTGTGCTTGAGGTTCCAAGGTAGGGATGTATGATGCATTCATAATCATTAAAACAGAGAGGATATCTTGAATAGTTATATAAGATCAAATAGGTACATCGCTTCACCCAAACACCGTGGTGATGCTCGGGGATGAGAAAGAATTAAATGGTCACCAAGACAGGGTTCACAACTCAAAGATCTTTTCGGTACTCCTCGCTGGATGGGGTTCCAGGGCCTGAGCTGCCCATATCCCAGCTCCCATCTTCGCTTCGGCGACGACGGCGTTCTCCACGCTCGCGCATGGCATCCCGGATACGCGAACTCACGTCTTCGAGTGGATCTTTCATGGTGAGAGGGCTGAGTGGCTTCAACCCGTGCCGAGACCCAGGTCGAACACTGGCAGAGCTGCTGCGGCTGCGGTCACGACTAGGAGGCCGGGTGGAGAAGAAGCCAATGTTAGCCAAATTGTGGAAGGACTCATTGCGAGGCAGGGGCTCGGATGCAGGCATTTTCTCGTCATGGTCTGACACGCTGGTCTTTCTGATCTCCGGCAGTACATTGTGAGGCTTAGTTTCTGTTGGGTTTGCCTCTTCTTTACTGAATGGATCTGTGACAATCCGAGAGGCATCAAAGTCGGGGAACAACTCGGGTCCCATGGTGTTGATCGCATCTGTCACTTGCTGGGCTAGTGCAGCGCGTCTCTCACGAAGTCGTACCAATGTGTTAGCCGATGAGGGGTTTAGCGACAGAACGAGCGGGCGAAGTGACTTGATGATGTCCATGCCCACCTCACCAATCCGGAGTGCCGCGAAGGTGATTGTGGGGAACAGGACCATGCCTCCCATCACCACCGACCAAAGAGGAACCCAGTCTGGAACGAATCCATTGACCCGGTTCCAGTATGTCCAATAAGTGAAGGAGGCAGTATAGAATGCGTAGAGTGCTGGAGCAAACGCAAGTGCAATCAGAAGCTTCCATGTGGCCATAACATCTCGTCCTTGAAGTTTTACGGTAGAGGCAGCCAGTGCCTCCTTGGACTTCTTTGCTGAGAGATACTTGGTCGCGATGAAGACGGGTGTGAAGAGCAAGAAACCGGGGAGTGTGCCAATGGTCAGGAGGGCCAATTTGCCTAGACGGTAGATCAATGTAGCCACCACCTGTAAAATGGTGAACTTGGCATAGGCGACTTGGTGATCCCGGATCCCGAGGATGCGGAGCTGTTTGTTGTATCCTACAATAGACTTGCGCATATCAACGATCCTGGGATCGTCCTTGAAGTGAGCGTAACCTTTCACAAGACGGCGGTTCAGCTCCACAACCATAGGAAGAGGGAGCTTTTTGCCTTTGGTGTTGTACAGGCGGCGAGCAGCTTGGATGACCTTCGGATGGTTAGCAGAAAACAAACGATAACGAGGTAGAAAGAAACATACCATAAGGGTTTCATAATCGGGGCTAGTGACGGTGACGGAGACGAGACTTCCATAGATAATTTCTAGCAAAGCACCGACAGACTCACGTCGTTCACCCTGCTTGAACTGCTCCACCAATTCTGGAGGAACGTCGATGGGAGTGCCAAACTCAATCACGGCGCGGGAGCGGAATTTATGGGCATGGAAATAGTTCATACCGCAAGGAACGATCTTTAAGCCACAGTCCGGGTTCTCGGCCAGGGTGCCGAGAGCCATCAGAGCGACGCCAGCTATGCGATATTAGCAGAGTTATAGATGTATTGCTCGGATATGAAAGGCTTACCTTTCAGGGGAAGTAGTGTAGTGCGATCATGGCTTCCGCCTTCCGGAAAGATACCGACACAGCCTCCAGCGCCTAGTCTTTTAAAAACTGCCTGGTATACTGCAGTCTGATCCACATGCGGAGCGACCTTGAACTTGGTGCCCTTGAAATCTGAGACCTGCTCGGATGCATCTCCAGTGAACTTGCCATCCTCGTCAATATCTTGACGTCCAGTGAGCTGGAAGAGCGCATCTTTGTGCTTGAACGCCTTCTTGAGGATCAACTCCTCCGGTCCCTTGATCTCTGCAATTGCCGTACTGTGGGATGTTCCATTGACAGTAGGCAAAGCGATGGTTCCATCCACCTCAAAGCCTTTTCCTTCGAAGTTAGTTCCGACACCTCGCAGCAAAGTTGGCTGGTTGATCGGATCTGGAAGATATACGGTGCCCGTTCCGGGTTTCAAATTGTCCATAGCCCGTGCCACGGGCAACGTTCCAATTCCTCTCGCAAGAAATCCGATAAACTTGCGTCGAAAAGATTTCTCCGCAATGAGCCATGAGATCCGACGTTGCGCTTCGCTGCGAATGACGCGCATCAAAACCAAAGAGTCCACGAACTGCGCCAACGTCAATCATTAGCATCCTGTGTGTATGTGTGTCGGACCGGAAGCGGGCGGCATACCTGGTTCGCATGGGGAGCTGCCACCAGGATGATGGGACCGCGACGGGGGATCTTCCATGATCCTCGGGGGTGCACTTCGCGGAAGAAGAGGTCGATGAGCACAGAGAATGTCCAAAGGGTCAAATCATACATCCACCCAATGAGGGGTGGGATATACGGGCCTTTTTCTCCCATTGTGCTGTAGAAGCCCGGGAGAGGGCAGTTCACGAGGAGGAAAGAGGTACAAGGCAGGTCGTGTGGGAGGTGTTATTATCGTGTCGACATGAAGTCCCTAGCAAAACGATAAGAAATGTCAGTCCCACAGCTAGCCGGAAGAGCTTGGGATCCACCAACCTGGCTGTTTTGGGCCTCAGATCACCACAAGCTGTTCAATATATCAGACAGAGTCCCAAGATCAGGCCACAAGATCCAAGAAAAACGAAGAAGAGGCGGGGGAGGCGAAACAGCTGAGGTTGAAACCCGGAAACTTTGCGCCTTAGCGCGCTTTGGCTCGGACGCTTCTAGAACATGAGAACGTATGTTGTACTCCGTACATACCATTTAATTTCGACTTTCGACGTGAAACCACTCTGTCTCAGTTGATTCATGTGCATATGATATGTTGCACATGTGTTTGGGGAAAAAAAAAGCTCTGACACCCCGACTCCAGGGTGGTGTGCACAGGCCAGGGTTTCGCGTCATACTGGTATACCAGCCAACCCCGTATGAGTGTTTGATATTCCACAGAATTCCTAATTTTCTCCCAACATAATCCTCCGTATCCCGTACAATGTAGAATGTGGAATGTTGGGATTTGGCGATCCAAGCGGCAGGCGGCTATTTAGTTTGCAGGATCGGCCTGGGGGAGCTATAGCCAAGCAGCCGGGACGCATCAGAAATGTACCAGATGCGATAGGATTAAGCTCAAGTGGAGACAGGGCCTGTTTATATCGGCAGCGTATAACATAGAATACAACTTCATCTTGACAGGACAATGATCTACAAACATCAGCCAGTCCCCCGTAGCCGTACTCCGTCCATCGAAGGTTTCCCCTGCAGGATTGTCTCCCCGCCTGCCCCGCAAACCCTTTTTCATCTTCCTTTGATATTGCACTTCAAGTCTACATCAAGTCCCTTACAAAGCTTGCGACATTGACCTCTTGGTCTTGTCTTTGGAGAACTCTGCACTCCTGGTTTTAGTTTCTCCCCCAAGGCTCACACCAATCACCCCACCTTCCATCAGGCCGACCTCCCCAACCTGACAACCTGACCACCAGTTGCCCTGCTGCGATTTCAGAGGATAACAACCACATCACATACACCTGGAATGAACTTGCACCATGTCTCTCAAGTATGCATCGTCTCCGCTTGGCCATCTTACTAACTAGGGCCCGAGAGTCACATCCACATGAGCATCTATACTAACAGGCCCAGTTGGGTAATGCTCGATGACCAGGATGGCTTCGTCCGTCTTCCCAACGAACGGTTGATCTACACCTCGCCCCCTCGCACTAGTGTCTCCTTGACACCACCGTCAGGATATAAAGGCGCAGAGAAACTTTCAGTCCACAGCAGTGCCGGCTGCATCCACCTTACCAACCAAAGGGTCAGTATTCCATCCGTGGCCCATGCCTCCCACCTTTTTTTTTTCTAACTGTCGATCAGGTTGTCTATCTTCCTGCATCCAAAAGTAATGACTTCCAGTCATTCTCATCACCTCTCTTGAATGTCCGCGACTCCCATGTGTCTGCACCATTCTTTGGACCCAATGTCTGGACAGCTCTGGTGCAACCAGTAGCCGGGGGTGGTATTTCACCATCTCTGCCTGCCATTCAACTGAAAGTGACATTCAAGGAGGGTGGGGCCTTTGACTTCCACACGAACTTTGAGCGAATCAAAGAAAGACTGCAGCAGGCTGTGGAAAACACAAGCCAAGGCACTCGGGGCCAGCAGAACGTGGATCTCTCAGCAGTTCATCTGGAAGAATTGCCTGCATACGAAGCTCCGCCCAATGCGAGATCCACTCAGGCACCAGAAGACTCACAAAGCAATCGAGTATCTGATGGAGGTTCCGAGCCGGCAGAACCCCCTCCATGTTACGAGGAGGTTCAGTCGCAAAGCGTAGCCCAGGAATTGGAGGAGAGGTTGCGACGGGCCAGCTGATTTTTTTTGACATGAAGAAAGAGTGATTTTAATACTCCCATTCCACAAGCTTCTTTTGAACTGGCTTTCATCCCCATTCTCATGTACATTATGCCCATCAATTAGCAACCAGCGACACGCAAGCGATGTTTATGCATGTAGAAATGGAGATGCTTAATGCATGAATTCGTTATGCTGGCCAACACTTTTCCTAGTATTTGTTAGCAAAAAAGCAATCATCATCTCTGAGACCTTGAGAATGAACACCACTGAACCTGAATATTAATTTCCCCATAAAAGTTGTACTGTCAAGTCCTGGATGGCATTGAAGTCCACTGGCCAATCACGTGCGGCATAATTGGCCTCTCTCAGCGGCCGGGCCTTTCCGATTTTCCAGTCCGAAAGAAGCAGCTCTTGGGCAAAACCAACAACCTCCCTCTATTACAACCCCCTTCCGCTTTTCCAACCCCACACAAGACCTCCGGTCATCATTCAATTGATCTCTGTCGCAATGGGTCTCTCCGACTTTTTCTCTGACGTCGTCTCCTCCTTCGGCTTCACCGAGGCCCAGGCTGAGGCTCCCGCTCAAGACACCGAGACCGAGACCACCACCCAGGACGAGCCCGCCCAGAAGGAGGAGCCCGCCTCCGAGAGCGCTGAGACCGAGTCCGCCGAGGAGACCCCCGCTGAGGAGACCGCCACTGAGGAGGCTCCCGAGGAAGAGGAGGCTGAGGCCGAGGAGGAGGAAGAAGAAGAAGAGGAGGAGGATGAGCCTGAGGATATCAAGCCCAAGCTCGAGGAGGGTGAGTTACCTTGCTGTTTTTGAACTGTGCTTGTTTTTGCCATGCCCTTATTGCCTATATCATGCGACCGTTGGATACTCTTCTCTGCACGAAATGGTCTTATGTGTCAGCATCCGCACCAAGGTCACAAAGTCGCCAATGGCATTGCAAACACGGATTTTGCTAGCTTTGTCGATTGGAAACTAATTATTGTTCTTCAGAGTGCGCCCACTCCGCCGTCTGCGCTCCCTACAAGCACCACTACGATGAGTGCGTTGAGCGCGTCACCCGCCAGGAGGAGGATGAGGACTACAAGGGCCCCAAGGAGGACTGTGTCGAGGAGTGTAAGTGCAATTGATATCCACAGCAGGATGGAGTTGGGTGCTCCATCGAGTCTTGATTGTGCGACTAACATAACTAGTCTTCCACCTCACCCACTGCGTGACCGCCTGCGCTGCCCCCAAGCTCTGGAGGGAGCTCAAGTAAACGACTCGTCCATTGAGTCTTGCTTTTGGCGTTTTGTCCAATTCTCTGATCGATTCGGCCCACGAATAATCTTCGCTATCCGCCGCATTGATATGAGTGTATCCCTTGGACCGAAACGCCAGAAGAAAAACCAATCCCGCTTTTCTGATGGTTGCCAAGGCGAATTAATAGCCTGGTAGCTTGCCGCCTTGGATTGAGAACGCAGGATCGATCCAGAAACCTGAAGATTTTTTGTTTCTTGTTCGTTCCTCGCGTATGTGTGCGCATATTGTGTTTTCAAGGCAGGGAGGAGGGCGCAGAGGAAAGCACGAAAGAATAATAGATCATTTTGCCCTCCTCTTCTAGCCTTGCGTGTACAGATAGCTGGTCTTCCGCCTGTTCGAACTGTGCTTTTGTTTATTCTCTTGTTTCAAAACGAATCTCATCTGTCTACATGTAGATTTTCCATTGTGCTCTCGTAGGCTGAGCGTACGGCTAGCATTCAATTGTCTCTCTCTTGGCTATGGCATTTCCATGACCGTAGTTTGGATCACAGATCCAAACAGGATGTTAAACTCACTAATTACAACCAATATCCAATCGATATACATGGATTCCAATCCCCGCGGGTGCGAACTCAATCACATTAAGGCAATATAAATAGGGTATAACTCGTGCTGATCAGGGGAGGTCACAGAAATAAATCCCACCAAGAGCATCATGACACGCAAAGAAATAAACAACAAACTGGCATACCCAGATAGCTTCCCAAAGCTGGACACGAGTAAATTGTATCACATTCCCAACCCCCAATGGTGACACAGCCTCCATCACCTCGAATTACTCTGAAGATTTGATAAGAATCTCAGTATCTGCACTGGTATCATTAGACTTACCCTTTCGAACATTATCAACCGACTCAATCACCTCGCCGGTCTCCTGCAACTCAACACCCCGATCAATATCCGTCCTACGGTGAGGAACAACCCTCCCAAAGAGCCCAATCGTCAACGCAAACGGCGCAGCCACAACAGCGACCACAGCCGAAAAGATCAGCGCATTCCGCATATTCAACGGTGGCGAAGCCCCCGGTCCCGCTTTCAGCGCATCCTGAATGACAATGAAACACGCGCCGAGCAACTGCCCACCCGTCCAGCAGATGGTGCTCCCGATCTCCGGCGAGAGGGGATAAGTGATCTCAGCAAGGTATTCGAGGACGATTGGCAGCAGGGCGAACGAGGATGCGCCGAGCAGGGCCATGACGACGTACGAAGGTGGCTGGCCAGCCGAGCTGCCCGGGGCGAATATTAGCCCGACATATGTCACCGCGATGATGGGTACCAGCACGCGGATGGTGCCTAGGTAGTGCTTGTATCGATCTGTGATCGGGGACATGACTGCTGAGGTGAGCAGTCCTACCACGATGAGAACCGCTCCGGCGATGCCGGCGTCTTCCTCGCTGAACCCGTGTGGTTGCAGGATTTGGTTCAGGAGGGAGGATATGCTGTTGAAGAAGCCCACGTATACGGAGAAGGGGATTGTGATTTGCCAGAATTCCCATGTGGTGATTAGTTTGCGCGTTGCGGCGCCGAGGGGCATGTATGGGATTTCCGACGATGCGCTAGGGGGTGTGGGGGGTTTGGCGGGGAGGAAGAATGATGGGAGTGCTGCGACGGTGGACTATTTACGTGGAAGTGTGAGCAAACAAAAGAGGGTGAGGGGGAAGTCGATGGTCTATTCTGGGAGTTACGGGTTCTACTTACGATGATCGAGATATACAGGACCATGTTGGGGATATCGGATGGTTTCGATGCCCATTCCGAAGCAACCAACTGGCCCAGCGCTGCGCCCAGCGGGTTGGCCAAACTGGCAACAGCCGTTGCACTCGTGCGGCCATGGTCTGAGAACCAGAGCTCGCTGTATCGGGTTGGCGCGCAGAGGCAGAAGGGCTGCGCGAATCCTATCAGGATCTGGCCGAACATCACGACCCCATAGATGCCACCATTCGCTTTGGTACCGGCATATCTGATCCAGTTGCCGACCAGCAGCAGTGTGGCAGTGGTGATGATAGCGGGTTTTGGGCCGCCTTTGTTCAAGATCCAGATGACGACGCTAAAGCATCTGGTTAGTTGGGATATTGGGAGCGGGTGATTTTGTGCCTCTTTCTCGGGACTTATCTCAGTATACTTACGGACTAACACCACAAAAAGCGAATAGATATCCAGTGCTCATCCAATTTATAGCGCTTTCCGAGACATCGAAATATTCCGCCGCCGTTGTCGAGATGGACGAGAAGGTCAACCACTACAGAAAAGTCAGCGACATGCAGTGTATGGAGTGGCGAAGCGCATACATCCCAACTAACGACGATATTCAACAATACCAGCTGGGCCAAACCCCAGAAGCGTCGTTTGTAGACCCTGTAGACAGGTCGAGTGCCATGCTCTGCATCTGGATACAGCTCAGAAGTCGACATGTCCAGAGCGGATTGTGAGAGCAACTCATATCTATGAGCAGATGGGAACGAAGCGGACGACATGTCGTTTTTAGTCTCTTGGCCTTTCGCATCATCAGAGACGCCAGTGCGACTCCAAGGATCCGAGGCACACGCAACCGGGGTACTTGGCAGTACTTGTTCAGCCCTACTGTGACGTTGCATTCCGCAGGTACCGCCAGGTATTTTCTACGGAACTTCACAGATATAGCGGGGTTACTCCATGTGAAGATACTGTTACTCCGTACGGAGTAGACTGGTTTCCAATGGCGGATAGAGCTTATATATTTTATATCTTAGACACCATCCATGCAAGTATGCCAAGTTCCTTTGTCCCTAAGCGAATGCTCAGCTCCAATTGACCAAAAAGTGGAAATGAGATTGGCCAAGGCTCGTAAGCTCGTATTCAGGGGCTTATACTAGCTCTCCGAAGATCTCTAAGAACTCTAGATGTTGATATCTCTAATACATCTATTCTCCGATCGAACATCTCATTCAAAAATTGCCGTGGCTGACATTAAGGGCGGCTTGACCGGAGCCTTGATGCCGATCGTGTTTTCTCTCCTGTGCTCCCCGCCATCTTTTGTCTTTATAACACGATTCTTCGACTCTGGACTTGTTCTTCCCAATAATTTAGGATCAGGCAGGATGTTTGGCGGTTGTCCCTGAATTTCTCAATAATATTGTGATCGGATTGTGATAAGATACGCCATCGACCATGAACATCAGTATGCGTTCCAGTCAGTCCTCCTATGGAGACCCGCGATACATGCCGAGCATGACCGCCTCCGATGCTCCAGCTCCGGTGCCGCCGCTTGGAAAGACTCTCGTGGATGGATATCGGGACTCTCTAGACCCCCAGCACGATGATCGGTCGCGATACAACCCAGTGAGTAGCGGCGCAACACATCAAGTCCGATCCCGGCTAATGACGTTTGGTTTCTGGCAGCTCAACTCGACTCATCCGCGAAGCTCGGCGCTCCTGAATGCCAACGACCCTGTGGCTATGTACCTGTTGACCGAGACCGCCATAGGAGATAGCACGAACTACGAAGTCTTGTCCCTTGAGGAAGTGGAAGACCTAAAGAAGGAAATCTCGTTGCTATCCACTCGCATCGAAGGCACAAAGCGGAAATTGGCGTTGGAAACGAAGTTGCGCGATGCAGCACAATCTCTCGGCAGGCTCTACAGCCCGCCCAGCCCGCGAAACAGCGGCGAATTCGCTGCCAATGGCGGTTCAAACCCGAACCGCCGGAGTCGGGGGATTTTTGGTCGCATCGGGACTTCGGAGGCCCTCGACAAGAGCGATTCCGAGCTTGCTGTCAGTCAGCGACGGTGTGAGGAGTTGGCGCAGGAGCTTTGGAGATTGGAGAAGAGATCTCAGAAAATTAACCAGCGTTTGCTGGAGCATACCGCAGGTGTACTGCAGATGACACACAGGGGTCTGAAGAAAGGCCCCAAGAATCCTGCTCCACGTGCCGAGGACGGCATTGACGACGATCACAAATTCGACGATCGCAGCCTCTACCGGACCACCGAACATTTAGAAAATTTTGGCGTGCACGGGAGGATCGAGAATAACGCGGCTGTTGCAATGAATTCCGAGGCGATGCAAGCCACAGAGAGACGATTGGAGGAATTGAGTGCACGCATGCATGACATGTTGGTACGATCAAATCCCGGTGGTTTCATCGATCCCCCTCCGCAACTATATGGAGGCGGAGGACCAGTCAATCCCACTGCAACAGTCGAGGCACATTTAGCCTACCTCACGAATGGCCTGGATCACATTGCTCTGCCCACCGCAGACGCCCCCGCTGCCGTGCGCGCTCTTGAAGTTAACCCTGAGATTAGCCCTGAGGCCGAGGGCGCCTGGAAACATCAACTCACCGAAATCAATAATCGAGTGCAGGCCATCGTTGATCGGTTCGGCTTAACCCGTTCGCCAGGTTTGCCCCCGCCCCCTGATGCATCCCATGGCGAGGGGTTGGAGGAACAACTCTCTTACCTTCAAGCCGGTGTAGATGGCCTGGACGCCCGAGTGGATGGAGTACTCGAACAAAAGAGTATTCTGACCACGCAGATCCAGCAGCAACGCGAGCTTAACTCCAAGTCGGATGCTGAACGTGATGCTCATATTGGTGATCTCACGGAACAGTTGACCCACGTTCGCAGAGATCTCGAAGTATCTGAGCGTGAAAGCAACGCCAACCGCGACGAGCTGACTCTTGTTAATGAACAGCTCAATGCAATGCGTAAAAATGGCTCTTCTCAGGAAGGAACCAAGGCTGCTCTGGTTCAGACCGAGGGCGAGGTCGCGCGCTTGCAGAGTGTAATCACCTCGTTGCACAGTGAAGCGGATGCTAGAATCAATGAAGTCAGCGAAGCCCGGGATGCCCAGGATGAAGCGGAGGCTGAGGTCAAGCGCCTGCAACACTACATTGATACCATTGAGAGAGATAACGAAACCAGAGTCGTGGAAGTTAGTGATGCTCGTGATCGGGCAGAAGGCGAGGTCAAACGCCTACAGATCGCGATTGAATCGTTACAAAATAACGCTGATGCCAAGGGCGAGGAAGCCAGGGAGGCCCACGAACGCGCGGAAGAAGAGGTCAAGCGTCTACAGCACTACATCGATACCGTCGAGCGAGATAATGACGCCAGAGCTGCGGAAGCTAGTGCTGTCCGTGACCGCGCAGAAGACGAGGTTAAGCGTCTGCATGTCATTATTGAAACCATGCAAGATGAGTCTGAGGCCAAGGCCGAAGAGACCAGGGAAGCCCGCGACCGAGCAGAAGACGAAGTTAAGCGTCTCCAGGTCATCCTTGCATCCACACAGAACGACTCCCAGGCTAAGGCAGAAGAGGCCAAGGAAGCCCGCGATCGCGCAGAAGACGAAGTTAAGCGTCTGCAAGCAATTATTGAATCAACGCAAAACGACTCTGAGGCTAAGGCTGAAGAGGCCAGGGAGGCCCGCGACCGAGCAGAAGACGAACTTAAGCATCTGCAGGTCATCCTTGCATCCACGCAGAATGACTCCCAGGCTAAGGCCGAAGAGGCCAAGGAAGCCCGCGACCGAGCAGAAGACGAGGTTAAGCGTCTCCAGGTCATCCTTGCATCCACGCAGAACGACTCCCAGGCTAAGGCCGAAGAGGCCAAGGAAGCCCGCGACCGCGCAGAAGGCGAAGTTAAGCGTCTGCAAGCCATTATTGAATCAACGCAGAACGACTCTGAGGCTAAGGCTGAAGAGGCCAGGGAGGCTCGCGACCGAGCAGAAGACGAAGTCAAGCGTCTGCATATCGCCTTTGAAGCTTTGCAAAACGACAACGACACCAGAAGCCAAGACATCAAGGGAGCCAAGGAGCGTGCAGAGCACGAGGTTCAACGCTTGCAGGACATAATTGTGACGCTGCAAAATGACAGCGATTCCAGGTCCGAGGAAGTCAGGGGTGCTCGGGACCGCGCAGAGCAAGAAGTGGCCCAACTGGAAGCCGCAATCCAGCAGATTCGCATCCAATCCGATGCCCGTATTCAAGAAGCAGATCAGGAACGCGCACAGTCAGATCAAAATGCCACTCGCCTTCAGAACGAGATGACCGAGCTTGAAGGCGAGATTGTGCGGGTCACAACGGAACTGACAATGGTCAAGGCAGAACTGGACGGTGCCTATGGTACCCGAGCTGAACGCGCAGCAGAAGTAGCTACCAATCCTAGTGTCCAAAGGGAGAATGATGCTTTGGTTACTCGGAACATCGAACTTACTGAGGAGCTTGCGGTACTAAAAAGCCAGCGGGGAGGTGGCGATCTTCAGCAGCGGGCGGATACTCTTGAGAGAGAACTCCGGGAGACCATCGATGACTACGAGGCCATGACGAAAGCCAGTATCGAGTTTGAGAAGGAACGTGAACAGTTCGAAAGTTTCATCGACAGTCTTCGGGATCGTATCGAGCAACTGGAGACACAACTGGCAGAAGAACGTATCAGTTGGATGAACTTGAGTAGTCCCACCTCCGTGGGCCGCGATGGAACTTCTGAGACAACTTCTACCATGGTGCTTAAGAATGAGTTTAAGAAAATGATGCGTGACACACGCAATGAGAACATGAAGATACTGAGAGTGAGTTTTTGCCGGCGCCTTCCTCTCTATGCCCATTGACTAACACCTTACAGGCCGAACAAGAAGAACGTCGCAGGCTTGAAGGATTGCTGCGAACCCTAAAAAAGGAGCACGCCCAGATGACTGGCAAGGCAATGGCCAGCCCAGCTGGCACTCCATTATGATCATGACATTCAACGTTTCGGGTGTTTGAGCGCGCATTTACATTCAAGAGTGTACATATAGACCGCTTTTTGTATAATATTCTTTTGGCTTGAACTCAGCAGGCACGATGAAGGTGCTTGTCTGGGAAACTACCTATTCTTTTCTCAACTTTCCTATGACTCCCATGGCTCTTATGTTTCATATTAGTCTTAGCCAGGCCACGCTCTTTCGCCTCCAATATGATTGTCCCACGGGAAAGACGTGATCAGTCCAGTAACGCTCATTCACAATTTTTTTCGGCATCCCAGAGCCTGCGACGTGGCAAACAGCCTCATGGTTCCGACTTAGTTTCACCGTATGATAACCCAGGATCATCTGGTTCCATTCAAAGCGACGAGACATCTATATATAACGCCATCAGAGTAACCACGCCAAATGATTCCAGCCCCCGATTCTACGCATCTCTCTCTCATGAGAACGCCATTAACGAGCAGGGCTTAGCTGCAAATATGGCCAGATTCCTTCCCACAGGTTCAAAAGAAGATCAATCTCCCACAGATGAACTGACCAGGCGAGGAAGACGACAGAGAATGGCAGGAAAGCTTGAACACCACACCAAACAGTTGTCTGACCAATGCTGGCAAGCCACACGCCGGACGAGGCCTTCTTTAGGGAGAACGGCATCGAGACCTGACCCGCCTCATTCTTTCCATCGCAAGGCTGTATCCCTCGATACGAATGATGAGAGTGCTCCTAAGCCAAGATGGCCTGGTAATATGGGGCCTGCAATAACGACTGTTCAACCTCGATATCCACCACCTAAAAGAACGCCTACACCACCTGGTGTGCCCTCCTTTGGCACTCCAGAGGCTATGAGCTACTCTGCCCAGTTTCTGATGCCAGACAACAATGCACGACCAACCCCAAGCCTGGGACGCGGCGGCCCTACTGATGAACAACGTAGCAGCTCGTATGGCGAGACCATAAGGAGATTCTTTGGTTTCTCTTCTATGTCTCGTGCCGGTGGACTTTCTGTTCGTGGTATAGGAAGAGCCCAGGATGGAACTATAGTGCAGGGTCGTTTTCCCTATCGACAAAGTGGTCATGGAATGAATGTCGGCCGACAGCTTCAGGACCACCCCTTCCATCGACTCAATCTTCCAATTGCCCATCCTGGACTTGCAGATGCAAGCCATGATCATGATATCGAGACTGCACAGGCAAAGGATGGTCTTAAGGTTCGCTCAAGAAGACATTTTCAGCTAGCCGATTCGTCATCCAGACGACATTTGCTCTCGCCAGGGCGTGCATTCTCCTTCCCATCAACCCCAGAATCTGCCGTAGTAAACCATCCACGGCAGCCCCGAGCTACTGCAATCCTTGGCCTGCCGCGCAATCTTTCTGTGTCGGATGTTCCGTCCATAACTATAACATCTACGGACCCAACGGAAGCTTCCATCCAAGGGACTAGGGCAAATAGAGACCATCTTCCTCCCAATCCTTCCCGGTTACATACCGTTCTTACTATGGCGGTCCGCGGTGGCAGTGCAGATGAAGACCCTCATGCAGGTATGCCTGTCTGTGCGGACGTCCTGTCTTGGGTTAAATCTCAGACTTGCCTCTGCTGTTGCTTCAGCAGCTATGAGGAGCCAGAAAGTCCTTCTTCTCTTGGGCCAACCAGCTCACAAGAAACATATGCTACTGCCCAGAGCCAGCTATCGCCTGCTGAATCTCAAAATGAAAACCCGGAGGGAAATACTCGTCTCCAAAGCCTCCAACTATGGATCTCATCCGTATACGGTGTCATGTTTCCGACCCTGGTAAATCCTACCGCTGTATAACATCTTGCTCAACTGCTATGCACCGCCTGTCGCTTTACTGTCACAATAATACGTTTTGTCATTCTCTTTTGCGTGGTCAATACGTTCATAGGGGTGTCTTATCCTTAATTAGACGTTGTCCTCATATATTGTTCCTGTACATACATTCTTCTGCCAGCTGATCTTCTCTTCTCATGGACAGGAGATGCATCCGTTGCCCTACGTGGAATATCACCCATGCTTCTTCCCTATCCATAACAGATGATCCAACGTTTCAGGTTCTTCGAATGTACGATTCTTCATACAAATCCGTATGATCAAAACCTGTAGATGCTTCCATGTGTGCTAAACCTAATTCAGACTCGTGCTATTACTACGGATCACTAGAATAACCCATCTCTCTCAAGTCTCCTTCGTATCATTCTCATTTCCCAGGAGCCGAGAACGACCAATCCCGAGGGAACAGACCACCCTGCACATCATCCCTACCACAGAAGAAATCATCGTATTTCGCAATACGACTCTCCGGATCCTCAGCCTGCGCATAGTACTTATCTCCCAAAGCCTTAAACGCAGGATCCTTCCACATAGTCTCCATCCACGCCAAAGCATCCGGCCCCGCAGCATCTAGAGGAAGACCATAGGAGCGGAACCGCTGGAACAAAGTCAGCCAACACTCCCAACCCAAGAGAAGAGATAACCCACCCAAAGAACCGGCCAAAAGAACGCATCCGCAATCCCAAACCCACCAAACAAAAACCCTTCATCGACTTCCCCCAGCAGCGCAAGACGTTCTTTCGTCACCTTACGCGCTGAATCCCAGATGCCCAACATGCGCTCGATCTCTACACCCGCACCCTCCGGAACGGGCACGTTGCCTGTATACCGAGCGACGAAGTTCGTGGGGAATGCGTTCCTGAGCACGGGGAACCCGGAATGCATCTGGGCGGCGGCGCTGCGGGCCAGGGCGCGCAGGTGGCGGTCTCGTGGCCAGAGGGGGAGGGATGGGTTAGATTCGGCGAGGAACTCGCAGATGGCGAGGGAATCGGTGATTGTTGTTTGAGGGAGGGAATGGCATTGTAGAATTGGGACGAGACCGGTTGGGGAAGCGGCTTTTATCTATGGGATTGTGAGTATGGCTCTATATATAATGGGGTTGGATACTTGGGTATGCGTACTTCGGCGACTTGCACGAATTGATGCGTGTATGGGATTTGGAAGTATTCCAGTACTGCTTCAACGCGCGCTGTCCAGCCTGTGTGTTATGTTAGTTATGGGGATGTGGTTGCGCGGTGGATTTAGGGCTGCGGCGTACTGGAGTAGCGGGTGTGTAGGCCGATGAGATGGTATTCGGGGGTTTCCGTGGCTATAGTCATACTGAAGAAGATTTTCGTAACGCAGGAGATGGGAGGATTGTAAGGTTGTCAGCGTCCTAAGGTGGGATATAGGTAAATTTATACAAATTGGTTCTAGACTCGTTCACGGGTACAGTTCGTGGTGAGTCAACACGGCCGCACGGGGTCCGGCGGGTCTGGCTCTCCAAGATTCGTATCCGGGGCCATTGGCCAATTGAAGTCGAATTGAATATGGGTTTATATCCATAGGCCAAGGGATGGGGTGAGAATGTCTATTCTGGGAGTCGAAACTTTCAAATGATCGTTTAGATCAAGCTCATGTGATGCTAATCATAATAAAACTATGGAGATATTGCTGCGCTGTCGCCATGCGAGAAAGGAACCCTCAGAAGGAATAAGAATAGGGAAAAGACAGGTGAAACCGAAAAGAGTATGGGAAACACTGGATAGCCGAATATGTCTCCTCGAGCAGTAGTGAAAATAAGAGATGCATCGTAGAGTGAGTAGAAAAAAAAAAGAAGAAAAAAGCAAGAGCCCATCGTGTACACAGGAGACGAGATAAAGGGGATGGACATGGGAGGGAAGGAGGACATGAAGAGATAGAGAAGGAGAAGGAAGGCTGCACCTTGTGCGCAAAGTAGAGAAGACACAATGCAGTCGCATGGATGCTAGTAGTAGGTCACTAATCGAATTGTACTAACCATGTATTCATCAAGGGTTCAGAGTTCGCGCCCAGCGCAGATAATGTGGCAAGTGCACCGGAAAAGTAGAAAAACAGATGCCGATATTAATAGGTGTAGAAGCGGGAAAGATCAAAGACCCTGGAAGAATGGACAAGCCTCGATGATTTCTTCATCGTCGCAGGCAAAGTCCCATCCCACGATGCGAGGGTCCACGCTGGCACAAATGATCTTCCTGGAGTCAAACTGAAGTTTGAATACCCTCGCAGTTGGCTGGGGCATTAGAGGCGGTCTTCGTGGATGGATGTGATGATGGTGGTGGTGAGCAGGAGTTGGATTGGCTGCTTGTGCGTTGGTAATCACAGGTGCTGCTTGTGCCTGGGCCTGGTTCAGAGTTGGGTTGGGGTTGGCGTTTTGCCCACCAGGTTGAGACGTGGGAAGTGTCACCAAAGCTTGCGCCGCATGTGTTTGTTGAGCTTGAGCCGCAACAGTAGTTCGTGCCACTTGGCTGAGGTTTGAACGAGTGGCATTGGCAACAGCATCGTTTTGTCGCAGTTGATAGGCCATGGTCCATCTGCCATCTCGGTCTTTGTGCCAAATCAAGATTGACTCGTCGTAGGAACCAGAGACGATGCGGGCCCAGCTGCTGCCTCCTCCGCCGGGTGGGATTTTTGCCCCCAAAGCAGTGATATCACGAGGAGCCCGTGATCCCGCGGTGTTTGTCTGGTAGCCATTGCGTCGTTGCTCCCTAGCACCCCGGTCGACGGGCAATCCGGCCTCTTGAGCAGCAAAGAACTCAGTTTCCACCGCTAGCGCTTCTTCTCGTAGGGCTTCCTCGGCGCCTGGAGGATCACCAAACCCTGCTTGAAGGGTTCGAACGAGGTTGCTATGACCCCGCAGACACGCCACCTCGGCACCGGAGACATGATCATAGATGCGAACCGTATTATCATTGCTGCCACTGATGATTCTTCGGCTGTCAAACTCGACACATGCAATGCCTTTTTCATGGCCCATTAAGGTCTTTGAGCAAGTACCGGTGCGAATATTCCAGACCTTAATCATCCTATCTCCAGACGCTGTCACAATTTCATCACCGTGGATCTGCATCGCATTAACGGCAGCTCCATGTCCTTCCACAGTCATAAGCAACGTGTAAGGTACTAAGGCTTTGTAGTGCTCATGCGCGATGCCAGCTTCAAGCATGTTCGGTTCAACCTCGTTGAGATCGATGATATATGACGGATAAGTGGCCCCTGATCCTCGACAGATTCGCGGATAATCCTGATCGTTGGGTAGAAGATCTCTGCGATTCCATACTTTAACAGTCCGATCTTTGGAGCACGTAACAAGGTAGCGACGGTCGAACTTGAGATTAAGTACCGAGTCCATATGCGCTTTCTCGATTTGATGAATCTTTTGTCCAGTGGAAAATTTCCACACAATAACGCTCTTGTCGCTGCTGCCAGAGATGATGATATCTTCCTCTGGGCGAGGATCAAATTGGAGGCAAAGGACCGATTTAATATGTCCCACAAGTGGGGGATATCGCAACCGCCGTGTGTCTAGATTCCAGACTCGCACGGTCCTGTCTCGGCTCCCACTGACGAGCCATCGCCCTTCGAACTGGATCGCATATACGCACTCTCGGTGGGCTTCTTCAGGATGAGATGGGTCAGGGAGTTGGAAGTTGGTGTAACGGCCATGATGCCAATTTGCTTCGAGTCGTCTGCGTTGTTTGTAGAGGTGAGCCCAGTTGACTTTGGCCCTTCCATTCGGGTCCCGCAAGAGGAGAGATGGCTGCAGAGGGGGATAGAGTGACAAAGGAGATTGGGGGAGCATAGTTGGCAGAATATTGTCAGAGTCATCAGCAAACGAATGTACAACTTGGTCATCATCATCAGTCATGTGGTGATCGCCTTCATTGTCGGCCTCAGCGGGCGCGGGCCCAAACATGGTGCTTCCTTGATTTTCAATACTTCGTGAATCGAGCCAGGTCGGTGGCACCCGCTTTTTATGCTTGGGCTCACCAAGATCGGGTTCCGAGTGTCGTAGGCGTGACTTTCGAGTTTGGGGTGACATGACCACCGATTGTTCGTGCTCAAACGCACGAATAGCAGGCACATCCATTCGCCATCCTTCATTGAGATAGAGAAATCTCCATAGACCCGAGTCTAGGATACGTTCACGCCATGAGCGGGACGCAAGCGAGGCATTCAGGAGTGTCCGAGGGTCGAGATAGGAAAAGACCTCCCATGTAAGTTCCGGGGGAAGTTTGATGACAGGGTCCATATGGAGAATGGGGTTCAGTCGCTCAACGACTGCGGCGATGCTCGAGGTCCGTAGCGATCGAAGGAGGCTGTATGCGAGCTCTGGTGAGAAAAACCTGGGTCAGCAACGTGTGTAACAAGGTAATAGCTCAACAGGGCCCATGCTTCGTGGGTATTGTGGCAATTACCACAGGGGAGACAAAGGGAAAGATATGGTCTTACCAGCTCTGCCGGCCTCACTTTGAGCGAGCACCCAATTTGGAAGCGTCATGACATTGTCCGATCCCAGGTCCTTTTCAGCCTGGCTTCGAGTGTCGTCGGAGTAACCTTCATCTAGCTTAAATGAGGGCGACAGAGAGGGCGCAGGGAAATCAGAGACAGCGGTTGTCTGCAGTTGTAGTGTAGAGGGGATTTGAGCATTGGGCATAGACTCTCCCTCCATTGATGCGTGTTTTCCAGAGGGATCTGCGTCGTCCCGATGAGTCGATGCGCGAAGATCAACGACTTCGCGCGATGTCTGTGAAATCCAGCAGGAAAGGGTTCGCGAATAGATAGGGCATAGAAAAATAAATGAGCGAAGATTTGGGTCTTTCTTTTGCACGAGAAGGGTTGGCGAGAGGGAGATCACGAGAAGTAGTTGAGCACCTGGCCAGCTGGGTTGGCCTCGGATTGTCACGTCACGTTGGGACACAATAGGATCCACCAAATTGATAGATCGCAATTGTTGCGAACGTCGAAACACAATGGAAGACGATCTCAATCAAGGCAGATAACCGAGGAGCTTTTCAATCTCTGAAAATACTATAAATCACAATGAATATGTTTACATTATTGTCTACGCGCGGAATGGACATTGTTCTCCCGGCGAGTCACGTGGTTGTGATATCCTGAAGGTCAAGCTCTGTTTTACACGCAGATCCTCCGTACATCTATATAACTATACTCCGTACATCTGTCCCAGGTTGTATGATTGCCTCGTGCGAGGAAAAAAAAAGCGGGGACTCTTTCTCCAAGTATCATGAGAGTTGACGACGCACTGAAAGACAAGCCAATAACGACGGGCCGAATCCGCAATGTCTCACATGGGTTATATCGATGGAGTGCGATATGTTCCGTAGATATCAAGCTTGGATCCCGCTTGTAAGCAGCATAGAACATGGATCGAAGAAGGTCCATTTGACTATCAACTTTCCCCTCAATCTATCCTGCATGGTTAGGGCCCACGGCTGTGGTTAGCTTCCCCCATGCCTGGCTTCGGGCTTTTGTAGGCTGAAAACAAGGTTGAGCATGCTTCAAGTTGGTCACGGCGTGCAACAAGCATCGAATCCAAAGATGCAATAGACTAATATCCCATCTATCAGTAAACCGGTCTGGAGGAATGTTGTACTCGAAGATATCAAAAGCCAACTGCCCCTCTCCACATCCCACCGCCCCATGGAACACGCGCTAAACCCTTTGAGGCAACTGAACAGTCTCCTTCGGCTCACCCTCTCCAAGGATCACTGTTCCTCTGTTCCATCAGCAGAACTCTCATCTGTGGTGCGTGCTCTTGTTGTTTTGTTTCTCTGCCTCATCATCCAACTTCCGGGGCCCATTTTGTTTCGATTTGCCTCATTCTATAACTCCGTTGTCGCGCCCCCTTTTCTCGTGACCTCGATTGCCCTCGTCCTAGTGACTGGCTCTTTCGCAAAGTTGTTCCGGACTTTCTTTCCCCTGATTTGACTCGCTTGCCCGGCTGCAGCAGTCATCCAAACCAAGAATCCCCATACCCCATCGATTGGGGTCGGCTGCAGATCGGAATATATCCCTCGAGCCCCTCCTTTTCCCTCAGAAAGTGACGGTGCATCGTACTTGATATCCGTGCTCTTGTTTCAAACAAGTATACATATATATCTATCACCTTGTTGCCTCTGATCTCGAGGGCGTTTCCCGGGACACCCAAATATAACAATCATACCTACGACCGAAACGATCCCATCGCTGTCAGTCTCCGGATTTCGAGCGAAACTCCCTTGATAGATATCTCTGCACCGTGCAGCTCACACCCACCCGGGGAATCCATGATCGTCACCTCTCCTTTTCCGACGCTCGTCGATTCCTCCGAACATACCCCATCTTCGGTCTGCTGTGCAGATTTAAATTGAGCCTGGCTGCTCTAACTCATCTATATCTGGATCTGGTCCTCGAAGAAATTCGATATGATTGACTCTGCGGCCATGAGCGGCGCTCCAGTCGCTGAGGATAACATCATCAATCGGCGCGGTGGAGAGTCGATTTATCAGAGCTGTGTCAACCTGAGGAAGCGGCTATCCGAGGTTCCCAACTTTGAATCCTATCTGCAAGAGATGGACGATGATGATCGCATGAGAGGGAATACGGATCCGGTAGCTTCTTTGTGGAGCTGTCTCAGAAACGGTTATCCCCTATTAAGCATTTATAATGCGTCTGGTCCCGAGGAACAACTAGAAATTGATCCTGGCAAGGTGACCGAGGCAAAACGTCCTAAAGCAGCGACCTTTAAGTTCTTGCAGGCTTGTTTACAAGAACTAGCATTCCCTCAACAGGATTGCTTTTTGATCACCGATCTTTACGGCGAGAGCACAACGGGATTTATCAAAGTGATCAAAATGGTCAATCGTGTTGTGGACATCCTTGAGATGCAAGGCCAATTGAAGCAATCCGAAGTTTCAGAGACCCCCACAGGCGCAAAGGCCAATGTGAAACTTACCAAGCGAGAGCATATTTTGAAGGAGCTTTTGGAGACAGAGCGCGATTATGTTCATCACCTGCAAAATCTCCAGGCGCTCAAGAAGGAATTAGAGGAGACGGGGGCTTTGACTGGCGACGCGAGCCATCAGATTTTCCTCAACTTGAACAACTTGCTCGACTTTGCCCAGCGGTTCCTGATTCGTATGGAGCAGCACTATGCTCTGCCAGAGGAAATGCAGAACTGGGGTCACCTCTTCTTCTCCCATGAAGACGCCTTCCGCCAGTATGAACCGTTCATTGCCAACCAGCTGCGTTGTGACGACGCTTGTATGAAAGAATGGGATAAAATCAAGAATGCGCCACGCCATATAGACCTACAACAAATGGTCGCTCAACCGAAAACACTGAATGGATTCTTTGTGAAACCCTTCCAGCGCTTGACTCGATACCCGCTTATGTTATTGGTGAGTAAATCAAAAAATTCGTTTCAGAGCAACGAGCTAATGTGTCTGTACTTTTCCAGGAACTACGCAAACAATTAGAAGACCCGCAACTCAAGACCGATATTACTCATGCGGTCGACTGTATTCAAAATGTGTTGGACTTCGCCAATGAGGCAATTCACAAAGAACATCTGGCCGCGGCAGTGGTTGATCTCTCCGAACGTGTTGACGATTGGAAAGCATTGAAAATGGAGTCTTTCGGAGATCTCCTCCGCTTTGGCACGTTCCAAGTTGTCAAGGGAGACAGTGGAAAGGATAAGGATAACGAGAGAGAGGTATGTTTGTCTTGTTGACATGGGCGGTTCCCCCCTTGGCTTTGAAATGACACATCGCTAACATGGCTCTCAGTATCACATTTATCTCTTCGAGCGAATTCTTCTCTGCTGCAAAGACATTAACCCCAACAAGCAAAAGACTAAGCTCATGATGCAGAAAGACAGGCCATCATTGAATGGGAAAGGGAAGGCTCGTCTTCAGTTGAAGGGCCGAATCTACATGGCCAATGTCACAGATATTGTTTGTCTTCAGAAGCCTGGTGAGTACTAAAATTGTTTTCTCGTGTTGGGAAATATTCATCTAACCGGCTCAAATAGGTCTCTACCGTATTCAGATCTTCTGGAAAGGAGATCCTGGCGTTGTCGATAATTTTATCATCCGCTATGTCAATGAAGACACCATGCGGCATTGGTACAAAGACATTGACACCCAACGAACCATTCAAGCGGAGCGACGCACCATGCGCAATACTGGTACATCCGATAGCGAGTTTACATACCTGGAGGGCATGGCCAACATGCCTAATCCCTATCAACAAGAGTATGACACCGATGATACCAACAACAAAGATCCGTACCATTCCGAATTCCCTATGAGCCGTAATGCATCCAGTACCAGCCTGAGGACTCGATCTGCCACCGGTGGCAGCACCGGCTCTGTTCACCCCAACGGCCGACCCCGCTATGCGGGGGCTGATCCCTCGCTCTCGGTTCACACCCAATTCCCTGGCAGTGGAAATATGTCTCCTAGTGATCGAAATGCGAACTCCTACTTCTCCCCCACAGAGCCTCCATCCACGAGGTCGAGCTCCCAATCTGCAGGATTTACCTTTAGTCGTCAAAACACGAACTCTACAACTCAATCGACGGCTTGGAGTGAGGATTCTGTTCGCTACACAGCACCAGCATTGTCTCGTGTGACATCGCGAGAAGGGTCAACAACTGCGGCATATTTCCCAGCTCAGCCTAATGGACGGGCTGCTCAGCGTCCGTCTTTGCCTCCGCTCTCGGGCTCCCAAGCCCACGCTGCGAATGGTATGGCCCAGCGTATGCGATCAGCCAGTAGCCCTGATATTCACCACCACAATAACAACCCTGAGTCACGGCGTTACATGGGTGTGCACACTATGCAGACAGTCGATAACGTTCCGGTGCCACCGATTCCTGCGCACATGGCTAACATGAAAGCACCTGTCAACCGCAGCCAGAACAGCTCGCCTACCAACAACCAACTCCCTATTCGTGTCCAGCCACAACTCCATACCACACATTTCAATGAGCCAGAATATAATGACGCCCGCAACTCTGGCCAAATCTCGGATCATGCCACATCGCCTCTGACACAAGAGCCAGAGGGAGGAGACCCATACATGCCCACTCAGCTCAAGGCTAAAGTGAACTTCGAGGATAACTATGTCACACTGGTGATTGCGACTAATATCTTGTTCCGTTCATTGATCGATCGCGTGGATGCTAAACTTGCTCGGTTCACTGATCGATCTATCGGTAATAAAACCGTCCGACTGCGCTACCGCGATGAAGATGAAGATTTCGTCACAATCGATAGCGATGAGGCGGTCCAACTCGCTTTCATGGAATGGCGGGAGCAACATCGCGATATGCTTGCCAAGGGCTTGGTGGGAGAGATTCAGCTCTACTGCCAAGTGGTCGACTAGATCATCGGTTCCTTGTCTGCTTTCCCGCTGTTTGAATTAATACCACTTATTCCCTCCGAGGATCCCATCGATCCTCGTCGTTCTGACACTTTGCATCGTCTGCGGCGCTCGTTCTCCCAGCCTTTTACTTTTTCCAACTGGATTGGCTTGAAACTGTTGAGCAGCCTTTCTTGGGGAGATACTTCTTTCTATCTTTCCTTCTTCTTTGTGACTTTCAGCGAGCCACACGTGGCAAACCATGTAGTCGGGCCGTGGCGTCTCGGCGTGAGCATCTGCATAATGATTTGTTTACGGCATGAATGATGTCCCGGTGACGAGGTGAAGGGATTGTCGAAAGACGTCCCTTGTGCATTGTTTGAATTTGCGTTCCAAGTTTTTTTTATGAGAGTTGTCATCTCTTCACTGGTCTATTAGTCGATATCCACGAACGTACGAGGCAGTTTACCTGTATACGTATATATTTCCCTTTCGAGACTGTTAGACCCTGTATCCACTTGCCTATCTGATCGGGATGCCGATTCTTGGCAGGGGACCTAAGCCGTAGCTAGAGCTCTAGCTTAGAGCTATATATTTATGGATATACTTGCTCTTTATGGAGGACTCTCGTTGACCTTGAAGCTGCACTCCAGATATGCACATGTGCCCAACTACCTACACGTACACGGAGGTACCGCAATATTCCCTCTCGGCAAAAACGGCAGCTCGAGCTTTGAAACCATTGACCAATCACCAAAATAGTATATGAGAAATACCGCAAACTATATGATCGTTGCGTGACTATTGAACGCATTGAAGTGTGTGCCTGGTGGCCCTGGCGTCCGAAGCAATATTGGATGGTGCTGTCGGTGATTTCGTCGAATCGTCGGGCACGATTTGTTGGCAAGCGTCTTATTATAAACAAAGGTGGGCTGGAAGAGGGGGGGGGGGGGGGTTTATTCCCTCCCACTCCGCTTCTTTTGTCTTTTAAATACTTCTCATCCCTTGGAAATCTAGTGAAATCCCAACTATAGTTCTTACCACGATCAGAAGCTGCCAAGAATGTCTTTCTCCGGCCGCCGCCTCAGCCTCTTACGCCCGTCTGACAGCCGCCGCTTCTCCACCAACAAGGAACTGTCGGAAAATGGTACGCGCTTCTGCCACTGACAGCCTTCACAATTCTAACATTGGATATCTTCAGAGCTCCGGTCAGAGACTCACCGGCAATTCCGAGCTGCTCACGAAGGTCACCGTCCCCACGCCGGTCTCGATGCTTCCCGTGCTTCCACCGGTGTGGTCTGGTGCACGGAACGAGCCTCCGAACATGGCTACTCCGAGGATCCCTCCAGCTGGGCCAACTTAGGCCAGGGTGCCCCAGAGGCTGACGATGAGATCGAGGGAAGCTTCCCTCGTCCGACATCAATCCCAATCTCCTCCGCTGCTCGGGAGTATGGCCCGACCGCCGGTATCAAGCCGCTGCGTGCCGCCGTGGCTCGTCTGTACAACGATCACTACCGTCAGGGCAAGGAGAGCCAGTATACCTGGGAGAATGTCTGCATTGTTCCCGGCGGCCGCGCCGGCCTGATTCGCATTGCCGCTATCCTGGGCAACTCGTACCTGTCCTTCCCCATCCCCGATTACTCTGCGTATTCGGAGATGTTGACACTGTTCAAGAACGTGCGTTTCTCAAAGAGCTTGAGTTGAGCCGCATTGTGTGTGTTCTACCATTTCACTAACTCTCCATTGCCTGTAGATTGCTCCCATCCCTCTGCCTCTCTCAAAGGATGACCACTACCACATCCACCCCAACAAGATCGCTGAGGAAATCGCCCGTGGCACTCAGGTGCTGCTGACCTCCAACCCCCGTAACCCCACAGGCCACTTCGTCTCGCAAGAGGAGCTGGTGGAAATCCAGGATCTCTGCCGTGACCGTGCAACTCTCATCCTAGACGAGTTCTATGGCGGATACAACTACACCACTGACTGCGACGGATCGACGATCAGCGGTGCCGCGAACGTCATCGACGTTAACAAGGATGGTACGAAATCCAATCCAAGAGTTACGTTGTATCCATCCAAAAGCTAACTCGAATCACAGATGTGCTTCTGATCGACGGACTCACAAAGCGCTTCCGTCTACCCGGTTGGCGTATTGCGTGGGTCGTCGGCCCAAAGGAATTCGTCGATGCCCTGGGATCTGCAGGCTCATACCTGGACGGTGGTGCGAACGTTCCGTTCCAGGAGGCTGCGATCCCGATGCTGGAGCCGTCGCTGGTGCGCACGGAAATGCAGGCGCTACAGAGCCACTTCAAGGAGAAGCGTGACTACGTCCTGAAGAGACTGTACGAAATTGGTTTCCGTGTCCACGACATCCCCCAGGCGACATTCTATATCTGGCTCGATCTGACCTCACTCGACCCGCCCCTGCCTCCCCAGGCTAACATCTCTGACGGTCTGAACTTCTTTAATGCCCTGCTCTCCGAGAAGGTCATTGTTGTCCCTGGTATCTTCTTCGACTTGAACCCGGCCAAGCGTCGTGATCTCTTCGACAGCCCATGTCACCACTTCGTGCGTCTGAGCTATGGACCCAAGATGGACGTGTTGAAGATGGGTCTCGATGGTATTGAGCGTGTCATTAACCGTGCCCGTGGGATGAGTGCGCCGAACTGGGACGACGAGGTTGCCGTGTCAGATGATTAGATTGCCTTTTCCAGTCTTAGCCGCACCATCCTAGACATTTTGGGTTGATCTAGAGTGTGAATCCGAAGTCAGACTACCTAGGTAACATGCCATGTCTGGCCACCACTTTACCTAACGGTAGCGTCATACATTACCTAGAATTTTTAATTGCAAACCATCCAATTCATGGAATTGATCCTTCCACCAACAGCAAGAAAGAAGGCGCTTCCCAGAATCAAGACTCGCGGACACCCGATTGGACATGCATTAACTGGGAGTATACCCTGTCCACCCAAGTCACCATACTCATTCCAAGCCACAATCCTATCTTCACAGCCCAGCATCGACCCCCCAAACGTAACAGAAACACGAGGTTCCTCCAACGTTGCATACGTACCTGCATGGCGGAAAAAAAAAACATACAAACCTCCATAAATCCTTTCCCTGCTTACATCCCCAGCCCAGAAAGCCCAGCCATCGGTGGCCAATATCTCAACGCCCCCTTAGGTCATGTATATACGAAACTAGCCTCAGCCGAAAAATACCACTCGCCATGTGCCTCTTTTTTTATTTATTTCTCTACCTTATCTCAAGTTCATATGTACACAGTACCTTGCGCCGTTGTCTCAAACCTCGCCCATCCCGCCAAGCCACAAGTTCCATTCCGTCTCGTGTTTCCTTCCCGTTCCCGAATCGTTCAGGACGATTCTCTCCGTGCAGCTACTGGGTGCATCCTCGCCGACATCATTTGTATTGAAACGGGTGTCTCGCCATCTGGACCGCATCGGGGCGTCGCACGGAGGGGAAGTGCTTAGAAACGCGGCCGGTACCGAGTCGTACACCCGTGAGACCGTCCCGAGGGGTTGATATCGGGAGATTGGATGGCGCTGATGTTTTTTGGTTCCGAGTCATTTGTCCCGTGGAGATACGATATACTTCAGATGTCATACAATAGAGATGGGCCAGTGACAGGTGCTGGTAGGGGTTTCGTTTAATGTTGCCCGATGCGGTTAGTGGGGGTTGGCTGCCTAGGGCATCTGAGGAAATACATATGACATTAGGTATGTAACTCCCTTAGGTAGTATATAAGATACGTTGCGTATTATATTGCAGGGTTTTGATTAGTATCTGGATTGTGTCTTGTGTCTGGGTAGGAATGGAATTCGATCTTCTGTGTATCGACTTGCTATTCAGCCCAGGATGGTCTGGGTATTGTATAACGTGATATCTTGATGTATCACATAAGGTAAGTACTCCGTACGGAGTATCGAGATTAGAGCAACCGAGACGGTATAAAACCACAGATCACATTTTGACTCCCCTGTGTCTGGGAGTTCGACACCAAGCTTCGCAGGGGAGAACAAGCCCTGTTTCGCTCTGGATGGGCACATAGCGCGGAGGTGAATTGAACCTAAGGAAAGTGCACGCTGATAATTCGATGTAACAGACGCCCTCTCTGCTTCTCCCGACGGAGGACTCCGTTCTCCGTACCTATCACCACATCCACAGCCTCGGGTTAATATACCTCCCAACAAAGGACGATCGCGCGTTTGCGATCTAGACCGGAGAGTTCCAGTGGAGGGTCACACTGTAGGAAGCGAAGGTTTGAAGGCGGATCTTTTCCCTGTTGACCACCGTAGACGATGTGGTTTAGATTGAAAGGTTCTCGGGTGGAGCATATCAGGAATCCGCGGACAGATTCCGTGGGAAATGCGATCCAGAACCCCGATGATCTGCCATGTGGACAGGCGCCTGGAGCCCGTAGAGGGAAGAGGCCAGGCCTCTCCACTTGCCAATAGCCGAGCGGTAAATTTGGGCTCGCGACTCTTGCCGTATTTCGATTTGACTAATGAAAAACGAGAACTCCTTGGAAGGTTTGGGATCGGCCTGAGTCTTTTGTGTCATTCGAGTTGGAACCAGGTGACTGAGTTTTTTTTGTCGATCGCTCGTATCCAACTTGCCCTTTGAGGAGCCCCTGATTGAAAAGGATGATAGACGAGTTCATTTGTGATGTATTGGGAGAAGTGGATAGACGCAACAGCCTCGGAATGATCTGAGACGCAGTTCCCCATTTTCCACAAAAGCTTGTTTCTTCGAAGGCCTCTGTATCCCGATCGGCCTAGTCTCATTGACTCGGGTCTTGGTCGAAGCGCTGCGATTGCGATTACAACCATACTGTATACTGGAGGATTCCGTACAGGAGATACAGAGAAGAAGCAAAAATACAGCGAAATGAGAGTCTCCACCTCAATTTCCTTTGACGGGTCCCATCTGGACTCCTCTCTACCATTCCTAATGTAGACTATGCAGGTCTTGTCCATGCTCCATAGGCCATCGGGAACCACCTGGAACCAGAAACCTCGCGGGCTAAGAGGAGAGGTTTCCCCATGGTCTTCGACAGGTTACATTGTGAATTCATGCCAAGCATGATGTTTTCTGGACACTCTGGTTTTTGGATTTGGTGGGGATTTCGCGTCCTGTCGAATTCTATATCTATCAGGAAGACGTGATTGACCTCGGGGACTATCTGATGTGGCAGATACCATCGCCATACCTGCCAATACGGCCATACGTCTCCATTCCAGGTACCGGGCAGTGGACCTCCGGGAACGGTCCAGTAGCGCCCTCCACCGGTACAAGTGCGTACGGCGGTACCGCGACATGTACCTCAAATACAATAATACCCAATACCAATCACAGTACGCATACCGACGCACCCGCCAGCCTCTGCGCAGTGTATCCCGAAGCTCCCGGCCCAAGCTCCAAAGCTGGGGGGTTGCGGAGTCAGGTTTCCCGGTTTGTCGCTGATCCTCTGATAGGTCGAGCGACGGGAGTCCTTTTCCCGAGACCCCATGACTCGTGTCTCCTGAACACTGGCGACTTTCCCAAAGCTCACAGTTCTCCACCCCGCGCCAACGCCGCCTAGACAGGGCGTCTACGTGCTATTCGGATGATATTTCCCTCTGTGGTTCTCAGATTGCCCTTTTTGAGTCCCAATCCCGGTGTCATATGAGATACCTCTCTCGGCTGCGTCATAAGGCATACAGGGGAACTGTGGCTCATACTCTCTACCCCGTACTCCGTATTCTCTTGACGGACATCCCGAACCCTTTCCCATTCACACGAGCATCGCGACCATTCACATGCGCGGGGAACCCTTTTGCGGGTCTGTGTTATCCTAGATCGCCGTTGGAGGCCATCCCCACAGACTTCCTGGGAGCGGGAGGCATCTGGAGAGGGTTTAACCGACCTATCCCCAAGCGGAAACACGCGCATCCAATCTCGATTTGCCTTTGGCCTTGTCCTATGTTGTATGTCTGCCCTTCCGGTATGGCGATTACAACATGGGTACGGAGTACGGAGTATCCAACCTAGAACCAGCACGTAACATTTGATCGATGGGATAGATGAGATGTCTCATGTACTCCGTACTAATGATATTCTTGCATGTTCAATGATCGCTTATTGGGTTTGAAGCTTCGAGCATAGGGCCAAGACGACTCCGTACCGACATGACTCCCAGGGGCTTGGCTTGGGGGCCGGAAAGATCAGCCTCGGTCGCTGGGAATCCAACTCGGAACACGGAGCTGTGGTGATGCTGATTTTGCGATTTGCGATGTTTCAGCTCGGCCCTGGTCTTGATGCATGGAATGGAGAGACTCCAATCATTTCCATTGCATTAACATGTTCAATCTTCCGAGATCCTGGATAATGCCTCTCCGTATCTGGTATATTGGATTCATTTCCCTGTCGGGATCTCCTTGTCGGGATTTCGCTTTCCCTCAATTAATTGTAGACGACCAGGTCTAGGAAGCTAGATCCGAGTCGATTGCCTCGTTGGGTAGGAATGTGTAAATAGATTAAAAAAAAAGTAAATAACCCCAAATCACCACTCTCCAAACACTCAGAAGTGGATGCTGCGCAATTTCCATTGAAAGAGAGCCCGTTCAGCCAAGATCATCCCCGACGGCCATCACTCTCTTCGCCGGAGCCACGCTATGGCGGCTCGAAACTCGTGGGTCCCCTGCAGGCGCCACATTGAGCGCAATTCACGAAAGAGAAAAAGAGCCCAATGGCAGCGCGCATCGGTCTAGGCTGGGATTGTGTCAACGAAGCGAGATGAATTCCACACCCAACCCCATCGCGGATTGGAGGTATCATCTCCACCGTTTCAAGACTAAAAAGACCGCATAACGCCCAACCTGCCGCACGCAATTGTGACTTGCATGCGGGGAGACAACTCTTACCCAAGGCACCGCGTGGAATAGGCGTTTGCTAGTGTCTCACCGTCAGGTACACGGATTCGAACAAAGCTCCCAGGCTCCTGGGAATAACCGCAGAGCCGACAGTCTGGGTCCGAAGGTTGCCACATCGTCGGCGATCTGTCTTCTCAAAGAACAAGCCAAAAAAAGCAAGTCAATGAAAACAAAGAACTAACCCATGAGGCAGCGGGATCTACCGGCCCCTCCTTTTTTTCATCTTCTCACCGGAACACGCTCTCCACTCTTGACGGCAACCCCCTGTATCGATCTGCACGACTGCTAGTGAGTCCGGAGTCTCCGTGTTGGATTTTTATAGATTTGGTGCCATTGAGATCAGAGACACATACCGCACAAACCAGCCTTTTCATTGAGATCAACAGTGCAGAAATTACCGCGGAAATGGTCTCCGCTTCAGGTCCGCTAGTCTACCTCGTCTAGCTCTGCGAACCAAGAAAAACCGGTTCTGGGCTGCAGTTGAATGCCACTTACGGAGGACGGAGGACGGAGTACAGTATTCAGTCACAGTGGATTTATGTGCGCCTCTGGCCCCCTGATTTTGTTTCCTTTTTTGTTTTTGTATTTTTGTTTTTCTTTTTTTTCCTCTGTATTGGAAAACTACAGTAATTCCTCTCTGCATTATAACTGGCTGGGTCGGATACCCAAACATGGCTAACCAGTCCTCCGTACTCCGTACTTCAAGCCAACACCGTATACAAGGTGAACAAAAACCTACACACAATCCTCGAAGCCACGGTGTCTCACAAAGTCACTGAGTGGGCGAAAAAAATAATCCAGACCCAAAAAGCCCCCAAAAACCAAGAGAAAAAAAAGAATCCTTTGCCACAACCTGAGAAGACATCCCGAGCTGAGTGATTAGTATGTGTTTGAGGCAGAGTGCAACACTCCTGCTACCGTCGATCAACGGTTACTCAATATGCAGAACGAGGGCCCTAGTCCGTATTAGGGGATATCTGGTAGAGAATATGCAATTCCAGGGATGTGCGGAGTACCACGCCCATTTATCAAATCGTACTTCGTATTTTATTCTCGTTTCTGTTGCATCGGTAACTCGGGAAGACAAGGCGAACAAATAAAAACAACCCCAGGCCCTGCTCCAACTGGATTCGATGGATTGTGATTGGCCTGGTCAGAAACATGATCTGTTCTAGAGAGACCAAAGGGCCTGTCAGCGTAATCCCAAAAAAAAGATAAATTAATAAATTATACTCTCATTTGGCGTAATATAGCGTGTATTCCAGGGCGAGGGAGAACGGGCGAATAGAGCGTTGGGCCTTGGTTAGCGAGACAGGGTTGTTGCAGGTGCTTCCTGGGAATTTCTCTTGGCCCTTGGCCTTTTTGTTTTTGGTTTTCCCGTTCGCTGTTATAGGAAAATGGGGGGACCGTCGCGTATAAGAGGCGAATTGCTCACCCAATTGAATTGAAATATATATAAAAAAACTGAGAAGCTAATAAAATTGCAATGCTCGAGGCAAAACAGAAAAAAGCCTGGAGTTATGCATGCCATGCTTTTTGGGGTTGCTCGGACTGTATGCCTTTCTGGGGATGGTAGGGCATTCGAGGTACGGAGTAGTCTCGACCTAACTCGGGTAGGTGGTCATGGCTGGACAAACCTAAGTGTGAGATCAGACGGGAATAAATATAAAGTGATTTGGGTATTGTATTCGAAAAGGTTAGGTCTAAAGGGCCAATGGGAGTGGAGGTTCCATCGCAGTAATATTCCTGGGAAACACTAGTGTCGCGCGAAAGATATGGGAGTATAGTCGTATCATCATGGGCATTATCGGGATGGGCCATTGGGTAAGAAAAGAAATTGGAGGAAATCTGACTGAAAATAGACGACCAATCCAGACAGAGAGGACAGGGAATATAAGAAACCAGAAAACAGATAGGGGGAAAAAAAGAAGACAAAGATCATCCCACATTCAGGTATCAAGACAAAAAAAAGGACATCGCCAATGGGAAACAAGAAACGCCGTTGCCGCCGTTTAGAATGACAATGTATGGAGAGGAAATCGACGAATAGCATAACGTGGCGAGTGGGGGAATCCATGAATGAAAGCGCCCATCGGAAATGGAGCAGCGCAAAATAGGAAAAGAGACAGCAATCCAGTCCAAATCATATGCGAATGTCCGATGGGTAATTTCAAAACAAAACATCAGTAGCCGGGGCAAGGGTAAACAAGAAAAGCAGAAATGTCGTGACGGGCATTAAACACGTATTCGATCCACAGATCTATGCAAAATCTCCTCTTAGCCTACACCCAAAAAGCCCCAGTCAGTCCCCTCTGATTGATTCAAGAGCCGAGAGCCTGGGGGTTTGTACGCATAGTTTGGGTGGTATGAAACCATCATTGGCTGGTCTGGTGACATTTGATGGCCTTGAAAAGACGCGTGTGGATATTGTTCAGGAAGATAGTTCGTGCGTGGGCTCGTGTCGTAACGCTGTTGCATCATTTGTAAGTATTGTTGCTGTTGTTGTTGCTGCTGCTGTTGCTGCTGCTGTTGCTGCTGTGGATGCGCATGGTGTTGCGGGTGTGGCTGTGGTCCGTGTGGCATGTTGATCGGAGAGGTCACGGGTACGTTCTGAGACACGATTGGAGGTGCCGCTTCGTGGACCTGCACGGAGCCCATCGGCACGCTTTGGGGCGAGTAAAACTCATGGCTTGGAGTTGCCGATTGCGGGTAGTAAGGTTGTTGGCCAATCATGTACTGCTCGTTCGGGATTGAAACTGATACGGGCGTTTGATGGTACGAGTGCTCCGAAGTCGCATCTTCCGAGGATGGTCGGGTCATGTTCCCTGGCGGGTGGGAGCGGTGTTGATGTTTGGTGAGAGTGGTCTTGCGGCAGAAGCTAGAATTACAGAATTAGATGGTTCTTCGACGATTCCGCCGTTCCAATACACATACCTCCGCTCGCAAGTAGGCTCGTGGCAGATATAAGGCCGCTTTCCAGTGTGGATTCGGCGATGGCGAGCCAAACTCGATGACTGTGAGAGGACATCAGCAACTGCGCATTCATTTACGCGATTTGCGAATTTGCTTACATCCGAGAATGCCTTCTGGCAGCCTTCATGGTCACAAACATGCGGCTTTTCGCCGGTGTGAGTCCTCGAGTGTACAGTTAAAGCACTGCGCTGAATGAAGCTCTTGTTGCAGTCTTTTACGGTGCAATGGTATGGCCGTTCATTGGTGTGGATGCGGTAATGGCGACAAAGATCTGACTTGCGATTGAAAGACTAATACGAATATTGGGTTAGAGTGGAGCCCGGTCGACATTGGGACGGGAAGAAAAGGGTAGAAGAGCTGAAGTGCTCACCTTTCCACAGTGCTCCCATGAACAGTTGAAGTCGCGTCCGCTACCTGGAGCCATGGCTGCGCAAATCTCTGAGCTTCCGCAAAAGTTTTCGGGAGAGATGCGACTGCTGTGACGCTTCACAAATCGGAAGGTAAAGAGATCGAGCAAGATCAAACAAAGGGGAAAGAGGGGGCGAAAGAACGTAAGCGCATCTGCGATCGCCCAGAATAAGTGGGATGAGTAGATCCTGGTCAGGCTGGATGAGGAGCCGGGCTGTAGTGAACTCAGGACATAATATAAGAAGAGAGGGGGGGGAATATATCATCCAAAGATAAAGAAGAGGGGGAGCCTCAAGTATTAAAAAGACTATTAACCTGGAGATTTAATAGGAACTCCGAGGGAATAAAACGGCGCGGATGGGACCGCAGAGTTATCATTTATATTTTTAGTTTTTTTTTTATTCTTTTTTTTTAATTATTATTCTCGTGTATTATTATTCGCCTTTTGTTTTAGGTGAGATTATTGATTATTTTCTGAGGTACCAGGTACCGCGTTCATTGTATATGTATTTAATCCCCATGGATCTGCCATCTCACTTTCCCTCTCGACTCCGTCGACTCCGGCTTCGTCAATTCCTCTTCCAGTCAGCTCTCCACGATATTGCCTCAATGGCGACATCTGAAAGTCCCACGTACCACATCGGAAAAGCGTGTAATACGTAGTAATTTATTTTTAGTTGAGGAAAGTTGAAATTGCGATAGCCATGAGCCATCCTCCGTACTCCGTAGAAAACCCCCACATTACCGTTACCAGATGGCTCCACCCTGGACCAGAGACGGATGCTAGACTGGACCGGGCATGGCCTGATACCCCGTATTACGCGGTATCCGTATTGCAAATAAAGTTCCCCTTTTAATAACACGGTGGATAGCATCGGGAACACCCCATGTTGAGTCACTCCCTATATAGTAGGAGACTAGAGACGACTACGGGACTGGGATGTTAATTGTTTTCGGTGAGCTAGAGAAGGTCGCTTAAATTGAAAGATAATCGCTCCCATACTGCCAAGGGTGTCCTCCGTACGGAGTACGGAGTAGAGTACATCGGCTAGTCGCGTTAGGGGCCATGATATCATACCTAGGTACTCTATTCTCTTACAGAGGGTACGGAGTACTCCGTACCATGCTCGAACAAGCCATTCACGGGCGCTTGGGAGTCCAGCCATTCAAGGCCTCTGAAACGATACCTGGCCAGGGAGGCCAAGAGAAGTTAGCCGCGGCCGAGTTACTCCGTGTTCCGATTTCAATGCATATGAGAGAGGAAGGTCACTCCTAGAACACGGCAACGGATTGGCAGACGGCGATGGGAAGAATTACGGGAAATAGACCCCAACTCCCGTTAATGCCCCGTGTCCCCGCAAATTAATTACCTAAGAGGGCAATTCACAATCCCAAAACGAAGGCCAACATACATATACCGTGGAAAGGAGATCGCCAAAAACAAAACGAAAAGAATCCTGGAAGATTATCTGCAAAGTTGATGGAACTGTAAGGGATGGCTTATGACGCGGCTGCCAACGGCGATAACTCGGATGGGCGAGAGAGAGAGCCGAAGGATCAGGTACCCCAGCTCTCACGGGAACGGCTTTGTCCACAAACAGCTTCCAAGACTCCTAAGGTTGGCGTCTCTCTCCACACTTCTATGCTTCTTTAGACCCCGCGGAGATATACCTACGTGGGGAGTACAACGTAGAGTACAGAGTCCCGCTCAAGATCGAGCCTCCGGAGTTTGGTAACCGGTTCATCCCTGATATGCCGTTCATGGATGTACGGAGTAGATTTCATTGGATCCGCTGATAGAGTGCAACATCCCTGGACTATGAACAAGACTGGCCTCAGTGTTCACCGTAGACCGCGCACATGGAACACGCAGTAATCATAATTGCTTTTCCATCGACGTAAGTGGGGGCCGATCACTTAGCGTTTTTTTTTTTTCAACTTGACGCCACATCTCCAAGTCTGTTGCAAGGCAGAAATGATTGCATCGTACCATATACTTCCTTCTCTTTTGGTAGGACCCTCTGCCCAATCTTTCTCGAATCAGTGGCAAACCATGAAGGTCGGAAAAAGATGTCTCAGCTCAAGGTGCGGGTAGTCTCGGTTGGGGCTGTAGGCTGTCCCGACGCAAGAAACTTTGATCTTCGCACATCAAGTATGCGGTGAGGATCACGGGCGAGAGAGCTGCCAGAGCGGGTCAGATCTTTAGGAAAAAGAAAAAACAATAGTTACAAACATAGAGGCTGCGTATGGTGGCTCTCCTGAACGTGGCAATCCACTCAGAGTCATCTATATACGCCGTAAACAGCGATCTCTTGATGCTACAACCTTATTGCGTTTATAGGGAAGTGCGTAACGCCACAAGGATTGCAGAAAAAGGTAGGTGGATAAACTGAGCAATGAGCAATGACAAAACACCTGGTGGCTGCGTTTGCCTTTTTCTCTTTTTTTTTTCCCTTCTCTACGCATGATCGACAAGCCCTGTCTACATCACATAGCCTAAGGTAGGAGAGCTTGGCGGGTAGATCTGTACTGCCACAGCTTACACTGTGAAGGGGAGTACCTGAGTCGATCATGTTCGACGGAGCCAATAGTTCTGTGCTGGTGATATATCCGAATTAAGAATGCACGCCGTGTACGGAGTACGGAGTAGGCAACAAGCAGGTGCCGTTTCAAGGACCCATCCACATCGACTCGTGGGAGCTATGGATTGCAGCCCACTTTCAGCCATTGAGGTAATCGAACATACTCTGGGACGAATGATAATCCGAACCGGGAAGATTGCCATTCTTCTTATGCTCGAAAATCCCAATGACTCCAAATCACAAAATAGCATGTGTTGTTTTCCAGCGCAGCAAGAGAAATAAAAATAGGGTGTTAGTCCTGCAACCCCCCCCTGGCGTGCTAAAACCCCCCCTTTGGGTCCTCCCACCCCCCTGCCTGATTTCTGCCTGATGTCTGCCTGATTGGTGCCTGATTTCTGCCTGATAAAATAATTCCCAAAAACTCAAGCAACCCCCCTGACCGCCTTTCTCACCGCCTTCGTGCTAAAATCACTTAAACCTCTTGATACGAATGCCTGACAATTCAGGTATCGAATTACCTAAAATGGAAATAGATGTTAATTTGCAAAGAGTGCGGTAACCAGTAATCCTCACTTTCACCTAGTAACAGCCTTCTTCTCTCCCCTTCTACTCTTTATGCACTGTCTTATCTCCACTTTTCGCTCCTGGTCCTACTCTATGCTTACCTCGAGGTAAACCCCTATCGCCGAGTCTGACCCTGTTTATGCAGAAATAAGCGCGTTTTTCTGAGATAAAAGGTGTATTTTTTGCTATGTAAACTAGGATTTAGAACTACCTGGCAGAAAAAAGGGTCATGTGATATTTAGGTGGCAGAAAAAGTCTAGCATTTTATCAGGCACCAATCAGGCAGACATCAGGCAGAAATCAGGCAGGGGGGTGGGAGGACCCAAAGGGGGGTTTTAGCACGCTAAGGGGGGGGTTGTAGGACTAACACCCTAAAAATAGAGATAAATGGCGACCCACGAGGATAGCTCCGGCGTGTCCAATTCTGCGCTGCCCATCCCAGAGGCCCAGACTCCGCAGAATAGATGGCACTACGAAAACTGGGAAATTCCGTCAAGAGAGTCACCGATCCCGCCGAGGATCCGCCCCTAGGAGATAAACTGCGATTATCGTGGAGCTCGTTGGCCCGAATCGGTCCCGTGGATGCAGCACGCTAGGTGAAACGGGAATCGTTCCCTGTGCGTACGATGTCGATTAGGCACAGCACATCGTACATGCTCCGTGAGGCACATATGCATATTGATTACCTCCACTGTGAATGTGTCGCGGCTATCTGGCTTCACGCGGAAGGCGAAAATCGAAAACCGGTAAACTTGCAGTAGAGAAAAAGGATATATTCGGAGAAAACAAGACCTCAGGCAAGCTACACATGTATGGGCCTCCGGTCGGAGTCTTTGTTCCCTAGGCCTTTTCCGACAGGGATATGGGACCGAGGTATGTTGCAGCCATGTCCAGGTGCAAAGAAGTACTCCCTCGATTGCATCTCATCGCCGAGAATACACACAGGACAATGGCTTTCGGGAATAAAGTTCACTTCTTTTTTTTCGGAGCTCTGACTACCCCGCATTCTGGGCGCTGATTTGATATGGTATTTTACTCTGCTATCCCCAGGTATCCCTTCAATACCTACATGTAGATAGATGACCACGGAGTACCTCAGGGCTAAGGGCTCATCGGAAACATGGATGCGCGACGATCATCCCTTCTGAGATACCCTATACTCCTCTTTGGAGGAAACTGTCCCAAACGAATAATCGATTCAAAATAAAACCTTTCCACATGTTCCAAGCCACAAAATTAATCTCCGAAGCGCGCATGGCGAGGCACTAATGCAGCAGAACTCCTCCGAGAATCAAGGAAGTGGACTCAGGGTACTCCGTACTCCGTACAGAATAGGTACCTACAGATAGGCAATCAGGATAAGGACTCCGGACGCTTACAACCAAAGACACGACTGCGACAATCTTCTTCTTGAAGAGGTAATGTTGAGTAACGAAGATCATCCCCTAGGGAGAACACCCGTCGGAAATAAAATCCTACTTCATTCGGGATCCTTCTCCCTTCCCTTTCACTGTCTCTCGTTGCTCGAATGTCGGTCAACAGTCGGGGTTTGCTTCTCCTATCAGCGCCAAGCGGGAAACCAGGATCGTGAGTCGCGAAAGCGTGTCGATGTACTCCGTACTCCGTATACCATGTAGCTACCAAAACCCGCCCCTTGCAGGCATTGCCTCCAGTGATTGAACAGCCCAATGTTGGTATCTTGTGTATCTTATAGGGGGCCAGGATAGAAACTAAAAACCAAACCCCAACCTCAAACTTAACCCAAGCCCCCTTTTCTCTCTCTCAGAATTGAGAAAGAAAAAGTACACCCTCCTTACCTGAGCAATACGCGGGACCATCTTGCCCTAACAGAGCACCCAAGAGTACGCCGTAACAGCAAGAGGACAAAACAAAACACCCCCCGTCGAGACCAGGGTGGAAATGACGTGAGTTGGGCTCCATTTTCCCGTATTCCACCCCCGCAAAACACTGCAAAAAGAGTACTTATTTCGCGACTGTGCAAGGGCGGGGGAAATAGCAACACGGGGGCTTTGTGGGCTCTCTCTCTTTTCGATTCTGTGCAAATCATCGTCTCATGTTGCTTTCAATCAAGCCCGGTGGAGCCAGGAGAACGAAATGACAACCCGAGGGCTGAGGGCATGGCGGCTGATGGGCTTGGCTTGGATCCAGAGCTGCATACCATTACCCCCTCCCCCCCCACCCTTGCCAGTCATCTGATGGAAATGGCGTCTTTAGAATCGACGGGGAAGCACCTTGCTCATTGGAGGGCATGACGTTTTTTGTTTTTTTTTTGCGCGATGGGCTTCATCGGTAATACATGCAGGGCCGGGTCGTCGGGTACGCATGCACGCCTTGCTGCAACTAATTGTTATGGAGTACGGAGTACTCCGTACCTCGGTGGTACATCGATAGCGTGGCCTCATATCCTTCCTTGTCGGTGGGGATATGTTTCATTTTGAGGATGTTGTGGGTGGCTTGGTCATTGGGATATCGGGTGGGAACCTGGGGTCGAGTGGTCTGATACGGGAAGGATGTACGGGGTACGGGGTATGCGGAGTATGTGCCCAGCTCATAGTTGGACTTTGCTACGGAGGACCGGCTGAGTCTACGAGTTTGGCTACAATTGATCAAGATATGGGACATGTGGTGCTTCCTATGGCTAAGGCGTTATAGATCCAATTTCCAACAGACTCCGTGGAGTGATCACTCGAGCATGCTGTGTATATCAAAACAGCTCAGCCACTTATAGAGTACCATATACCCAAAATTAAAACGCATTGGGGAAATTATCGGCCCAGAATGAATATGCCCGTGAGATAGCTCACTATGTCCACCATACCAACTCCCTTAATCCCAAAAATACAACCATCCAACCGGCTCACCAACTCGTCAGCCCACGCTCACGATCAAACCCAGCCCGCAGCTGCTTTCCAGGCTTGAGCAACTTGCCCTGCAAAACAGTGTACCGGATGATGTTCTCACAATCCTCCGGCCGCACACGTGCTAACCAGATTCCCTGTGCAGCTCCCTCATCCTGAACTGCATTCTCATCCCCACTCCGCTTATACCATTCGAAGTCCCGGCGACGGTACACAATCACATTGGCAGAGTACTTGTGACCCCCAACATGGCTGATGAAGTAGATCCCCACACCACCGGGCCGCTGGTCATCCATGTCGCGGTATAGACCGAGCGGACGCAGATGGCGCTCGAACTCGCGACGGAGAAGCGGTGCGGATTGCCCGCAGCGAGCATCGCGCGTACGTTGCGAGCAGAGCAAGATGACTGCTGCGTGTGGGCAGGGGTGAGACTTGAGGGATGTGGTGATTGAAGTTGCAGATGGGTGGGGGACGGCTGGGTCTTGGGCCTCGTCCGTCGTCTCGCTTGGCAGATCTTCTGAGAGTGGAATGGCGCCCAGAGGCGTTGTTGTTGTCAAGGAGCGGTTGACGAAGTTCTCAATCAGATCAGGAACTGATTGCGGGGTGACGTGCTCGACGACGGTGAAGCCGGGTAGCAGGAGGACATTTGTCGGTTGTTTGCCTGCGTCGGCCATGTGGTATTCGTCTGGGACGGGCATATTCGAAGCTGATAACTTGAGGCGCTGTGAGGGGAGGGCGTTGTTAGCTTCTGCGTGCATGCTGATGGCTAAAGAGGAGGTGGTGGTTATTGTCATACCCCGTTGCTTGGTTCCAATCCGCCCTTCTCAATAGCTTCCATGACACTTCCTTCCTCGTCTGCCACGTCTCTCACCCAGTCGGATTTGCCTGTGGCAACGAGCATGTGTGTCGCCCACCCTTTGACTTGGCCATATAGTTCGTCTTCTTGATCGACCTCGAACTTTGCAGGGTACTTGACTGTGCATGTTGCGCAGTCATGCAAACACTCCTCGCCGTCTACTGCGGGATCAACATTTGCGAAAAGTTTATCATTCGAAGCGATTGTTTGGAACCCTTCTGCGGCGAGGGAATTGTCGCCAACAGCGTCGGTGGTGACATCGGTCTTGGAGGAGGCGAGAGAGACGTTCGAGGAGCTGAAGAGGGCGGAAGTGCCTCTACGAAAAAGATGCATTGTGATAGGATATAAATTGCTTGTTCAACAGCCCGATAAAGGGATAAAATCAACGGCCGAATTGGCTTTATGTTCTTATGACGCGGAATAATAATTGATCTTATCAATCATGTCGCAGGTTTTGCCAAGAAAAAAGGAATGTTTTCCGTCTGACTAAGTTGAAACCCCCACCTCAGCCCTGGAGGGACTTGTCGCAAATTGGTGATCAAATGGCGTTGCTCTATAATTAATATACAGGGTATGAATGGAATTTCATCATTGCCTACGTCCAGCGTAGTCAATTGTGTACGGCAGATCTGTCCGATCTTGTGGTTGGGCCAAGCGAATGACACTTCCTCCCGAGGAAGATTGACCTGATGCCATGCGTCGGAGAGACCTCGTAGAAGGCGTGCGAAGAGAGCTTCGCGCCGCAAAGGAGTCACTGTCAGTGGACGCCTCATATAGACCACTCTGTAATGACGGTGCAGTGTCATAGCCAGACTGGGTCTCCCAGGACGAGGAATTCGATGGGCGAGGGCTATTACTCGGCATGGGCCCGAAAGCACCGTCGTAACCATAGTTCTCCGCAGTATCTGTCGTTCTTCCCTCTTCGTCAGAGGTACCCATAAAAGACGCACTGTAGGCTCGTCCGTAGCCCGCACTATCGCGGATTTCATCCAGTATAGGTGGTGCAAGCGAGGTCATTCCCCTCAGAATCTCCGCGAAGAGATGCATGAGGTCACGAAACTCTGCCTCATGCAGATTGTGTGATGAGAACCGAGCTCGTTCGTACAGCGCGAGAAAGTCCACGCCTAGCTCTGGCGGGTAGATAGCTCCTAGCGTTGTCAAATGTCGAATATATTCCCTTAGACCCATCGAAGCTGGGCGTTGCAGGACTTCTACCACGCGTGTATCTGGGAGAGAGTGCGTCGTAAAGTCGCCCGGAGGACCGAAGGGGTCAGGGGGCCCAAGCGATAATGAATCAGCAGGGGCAAGAGACACAGCTTTGGCTTCAATTAAGCTCGGAAGCTCCTGTATGACTGTGCGATAGGGCAGATCGGGCAGATCTGGCGAGGCAGGTGAAGACCAGCCAGGGTGCTCGATATGACCCCATGGGGGGTTTTCGTGGTCAATGAGAAGCGGTTTGTAATGTTGGAAGTTGTCCTCGTCAGTCGTGATATCGCGTGGGCGAGCTTGGTATGTGATGATGGCGCTACGAGCAAGGCCTTCCTTCACCAGCCGTCTGACGCTCTTGCTCACATCTTCCTTTTCCACAGGGATCCAAGCCTTCGGTATTCCCGTGAGTGTACTTCGATTCGTATAGATGCGAGTCGCATAGATGAGGACTGCAATTATAAAGGTTATTACATATGCGCCGATGATGAAAAAGACATTAGTGAGTCGGTTTGTCTCGTAGCATTGGTATATCGCGTCCGCCGGGGTGAGGACGACAAGGCAGAAGAGGATGAGGGCGAAGAAGAAGAAACCAGTTGTGTTGAGAAATCTCTCGAGTTTAACTGCCATGGCTGCCCGGATGCCGACTACACGGCATTCGGGTGGGATTCAGCAGATCTCAGCCATGGAGCGCGAGGAGTAAGTATGACGGAGAACAACAGGTACAATCTCGCGATAAGGATAAGATCTAGAGTGGGGCACGTGATTCATATGGTGGCACAATTTCCGATTCGGCGAGTATTCTCAACCGATATACTCGGTGGTCGCTCCAGGAGATTCCTTTCAATTCAGGGGAAGCGGGATCTCGTACATTTCCTTTCTTGTCACTTCAAGCATTGACATCCCCGGCCCCAGTCAGCTTCATTCGTTGGGCAATTATATCCCATAACCCCTATCTCCGATATCAAAAAAAGCGGCAAGTCAACAAACCCACTGGAGCAACACGCCATGGACCAAGCCAAATCTGCCAGCGAGCAGCAAGACATGCTTCATATCTTAGTGACAGGAGCCAATAGGTACAGCCTCCTCAATCGCTCAAGTCGGCTCAATTCTATATACTAACGCAGACTCTCCGCAGCGGTCTCGGGTTCTCTATATGTTGCCGCCTTGCCGATGAATTCCTCTCCTCTCACCCAGAATCCGAATCTCTCACTATAATATTTACAACACGAAGCGCGCGTAAAGCTCAAGATACTATCCGCAGACTAGAATCGCATCTCAAATCCTCTGCGCCCTCTGCAGCAGCCGCAGCGCGCGTGCACTTCGTCTCAGAGAGTGTCGACCTCGGCGATCTGCGCTCAGTGCGCGAACTATCCCGCAAACTAGTCCACACCCTTCCCCGACTTGACTCAATCGTACTCAACGCCGGTCTGGGCGGCTGGTCAGGCATCAGCTGGCCCCGGGCCATCTGGGACGTCTGCACCGATCTCCTGCACGCAGTGACCTGGCCGTCCTACAAACTCGCACCGACAGGCGTTCTGACCGAAAAACAAACCAAAACCGAAGAAGAACCGGCACTCGGAGCAGTCTTTTGCGCAAATGTCTTCGGACACTACATGCTGGCACACAACCTGGCTCCATTACTGAAGCGGGCACGCACGAACGGGCCCGGGCGTGTAGTCTGGGTCTCCAGTCTGGAGGCGACTTGGAATTTCTTCAAGATCGATGATATCCAGGGGTTGCGCACTAATGCGCCGTATGAATCATCCAAGGCTCTCACTGATATCCTGGCGCTCACTTCCAACTTGCCGAGTACTGCGCCCTGGGCGGTGGATAGCTTCTTGCAGTCTGAGACTGAGCTTGATACACATGCTATCCATACAGATGCCCCCTCTGCGACTCCGCGCATGTATCTCTCCCACCCTGGTATCTGCGCTACGTCCATCATCCCGCTTATCCTTCCCCTTGCGTGGGCCATGATTTCTGCATTCTGGATTGCGAGAATGCTGGGCTCACCCTGGCACCCATTGTCCACCTACCTCGGTGCTTGCGCCCCGGTCTTCCTCGCATTGGCTTCGCAGGCCGACGTCGAAGCTGCCGAGGAGCCCTACCACCGGGCTGGTGGCGGCCGGGCGAAATGGGGCTCTTCTTGTGGGCGTCGTGGAATTGAATACGCGGCTTCTACTGAGACCGATGGCTGGGGACATGGAGGTGTTGTTGGAACTCCTGTTGTCGAAGCCGATCGGCTTCGCCGTCGTAAGCGCGGAGCGGAGGACCTTACCAAGGAACAGAGGGAAGAGTTCGAGGAGCTTGGACGTCAGTGTTGGAAGCAGATGGAGGACTTGCGAATTCAATGGGATGATATCCTGGATCAAGCTGAAGCTAGTTCCAAGTGATGGACAGAAGATGAAATGGCATTCTTGCGAAGACCTCCTATGTGCTTGTCTTTATTCTTCCGGTCCCCAACTGCTTGGTTGATTCAAGGCAGAATGGCTTCAACGACCACATGTATACATACTACAAACATATAATAATCTGTCCACGATACTTTTGCAAACATGAACCCTAATATGAGATATGTGAAACTTTCGGGAAAATCGTATTGGAGATCAATTGAACTTGTATCTTTTTGTGTTAATTCCGCCTCCCATTATTTACATCAACAGAGCCCGTCCCACGCCCATGTTCTCATTAAAACGGATATGGCATGATTTCCTTGCCCACCAATTGCCAGAAGACTGGCAGTGATAAAAAAAATAGTTGAAAAAATGGAACGAAAACAGGTGGCCAAAACGCAAAGGGGCGGGGAGGTAGTGAGTCCTTAATATGTAGCACTAAAGCGGAAGATAACTTCAAACCAGGATAAATGAAGAAAAAACAAGACTAAAAGGGGTTATTTCTTGCAAAACAGCCGAAATCGCACGCTTTCACCATCGAGGTTTCTGAGTGCATCGATCATCGGAAGACGAAGGAAAAGGTATGGCGAGGGCGATGAACCGTCACGGAAGAAAGGCAAGCTGGTAACAGAAAAGAAGATAAAGCAATAAACGACTCCGGTTCTATGCATCAGAGAGGGCGGGATGGAGGGTGATATCGGCACGAGAGTTGAAGGGAGGTATTTCAAAAGGCATAGCGACGTGAAGGAGGGGGGAATCGAGAAGGAGGAAAGAGGATTACATGATGATCGCGGGAACTAGACAACGTTGTTAGCATAAAGTTATTGGATATTGGTAGGAAACAAGACTTACCATCAATGTTTTGCTTGATGCTCTTGTGGGGCAGAATCGAGCCACCGTTGACATATACCTCGTCGGCAATGGTGACGTCGTCTCCGAGAACAGTCACGTTCTCCAAACGCGCCCAGCGGCCAACAGAGCTGTTCCAGCCAACAATGGTAGACTTGATCCAAGCGTGGTCCTTGACCTTGCAGTTCTCCATCACGACGCAGCGCTGAAGACGAACACCATCGCCAATGACGACGTTGGGACCAATGACTACATTGGGACCGATGCGGCAATTCTTGCCGATCTTGGCGGAGGGGTCAACCATGACATTTCCACCATACACGTAGGACTCTGTGTGGGGAACAAGGAGCTTGGGGTTGCGCTTGGCCAGGGAGGTCAGGTACAGGCAGGTACCAGTGAGGAAATCCTTAGGCTGACCGACATCCATCCAGAAGCCCTCGAGATCGAAAGAGTGGAGCTGGCCCTCCTTACAGATAGCAGGGAAGGTCTCCTGCTCAATGGAAGTCGGGCGAAGCTCAATGCGCTTGAGGACACTGGGGTTCAGAATGTAGATACCGGCATTGATGCGATTGCCAACGAATTCGACTGGTTTCTCGACAAAGCGGTCGATACGCGAGGCCTGGTTGGGCTTGTGGACGACAACACCGTACTTGGAGGGCTCGTCCACCTTGGTGACGACAATGGTGCCCTCATCACCGTGGCGCCTGTGGAAGTCGGCAAGCTCCTGGAAGGGGTAGTCGCAAATGACATCTGAGTTCAAGACAAAGAAAGGCGAATCATCCTTGGCCAAGATCTTCTCCGCCAGCTTGAGCGGACCAGCCGTGCCTAGCGGTTCAGACTCGACAGAGAACTCGATATTGACTCCGTATTGCTCTTCGTACTTCTTTAGGGCCGCGACCATAACATCTGGGCGGTAGTTGACGGCGAGAACGATATCAGTGACACCCGCAGCAGCCAAGCTCTCGACTTGGTGCAGGATCATGGGCCGGTTTCCGAACTCCACCAAGGGCTTGGGAAGAGTGAGAGTCTATAGCAATTGAGTATTAGTATTGTCAAGTAGGGAGGATTCAAGATTCAAGATCCAAAATCCAAAATCCAAGGTGTCAAAATCACCAAATCCCCGATCTGATATCGTAGCAAGATCAACTTACCAAAGGGCGCAGACGGGTCCCGAAACCACCAACAAGAATGAGGGCTGTAGAAGGTCAGCCAAGAAGGCGGGGAAAGCATTGACTCGAAACGTACCCTTCATGATGAATTGGATGGAAAGAAAATTGGCAAAATTAGGGAGAAAATCGAGCAAAGATAGAAGTAAAAGGAGAGACTCTCTGTTATTTAGGGAACACCTGGCCGTTGATGGATTTATTTTCGTCCAGGTGGGGGCACGTGAGTGGCGGTGATTGGAGGGGCTCTGTTTGCGGGAAAAAGGGGCTCAATGTATACGGACAATGAGGTGGTTGCTGTGTTTTCAACCGCTTTTTCGATGGGATTTGCTTCTTTACGCCTGTCGAATCTCATCGGTCAATCCGACGGGTCATTTTGACATTCCTTCAAACCCATGTGCCAGAACTCAGGAATCCGACGGGTTCTGACGCGTACAATGAAGTTTCTGGAGGTCTCCTGAGGTCCCAGCAGACCCTAGTTCAGCCCATCCCGGCCAATACATCCAATGTTATCGCATGGTTGGGCCCGGGGCAATGCAGAGGGCACCCCCGCGAAACTAGAACTGCCCTCATTCCGATGGTCAGGTTGGTCATGAGATGTCGCCCCCTGAAACTTAGGTCGTTTGCGGTGGGGGTGGTATCGCCCCCTCGTCTCAGGTACTACGTTGTTTCCCAGTACGAAGTGCGTTGGAACGCCATTTGCAGCTAATTAACATTAAGACGAAAGTACGAGGTACAATCTCGGTACTAGGCCAGTAAGAACGGTCATTGAGTATCTGGAGGCAGCCCACGTGGGTAAGACATTCCACCCGAATCCGTCACAAATCGGAGCATCCAGTCTCGTACTCTGCGCGCCTTCAGAGCTGGCTGATCGTGGGCACTACCGTCTGGGATTTGGTTCTGGTAAAACCCCACTGCATCCGTCACATCCACCCGTTGGCGATGTAAAAGCTCGACCGTGGTCATTCCTTTGCGTAGACTCTGTCCGTAAACTCGGTCTTGGAATGTACTGAGCCCGACAGTACGGAGCAAGACGATGTCGCGGGGCCGGAGGGACGCCAGAGAGCGGCCCAGGCGATCCGCTTCGTTATCCTTGGCGGCGGACGGCTTCCCTGGCTTAAGCCAAAAATTGACTCCAAATCCAGCTCTTGTCTCATCTCCAACGACGAGCTCGACAATGTCCAATTCCGTCTTCCATTGTCGTGTGACGATCCGGCGAGGCGCATGAACTGCCAGAATACCAACAATCAAATTGACCGTCATCGTTTGCGGTGTTATAGATTGAATGTATCTAGCCGTGGGGAGATCTTGTAGATTGCTGAGGGGTCCGGGTATATGAAGCATGCGAGGTGACTCCAGAGTCTCTGATTTGTCCAACCCCGTGGAGCTAGTCATCGCACTGTCTCCCCCCAGACTGCTTTCCTGCGTTGAATCCGCTACGTACACATCCGAGTTGGTTACCTCGGAGTTTTCATGAATGGCAAAAGAATGGTTGTAAAATTGTGCGAGGATCGAATCTTCTGTTTTTTCTGGCAGTGTCTCTGTCGCAAGATCCAGCTGATGCGAGACGAAGAAGGCTGAATTCTCGTAATCTTGGTAGGTGGCATAGGGTGCCCCTAGCTTGTCCACTGACGGTGACCGTAATACTCTCCATCTCACAGGTGGCTGATCTAGTGATAGCGGTTGTTCTGGGCTCTTCGTGTCTTCGTGAAAGGGAGGTATGGCTGTGTTGAGGAGCTCATCTGTGTCCCAGTCCAGACTTGTTGACAGTGGAGCTCCTACCAGAAAGATATTTTTTTGAGGCATTGCAATTAATCATTTCACCTTGGAGGACAAATTTGACAGCTCCCGCGGGGCTCAAGGGGAGCTTGCGACCTTGGCACAGAGCGTAAGCAGAAAGGTCTCTCTTGAGGCTATTCAAGCAAAAGGTTTGAATTCAAGTGTCATCAAGTCACAAAGGGACCTTAAGTATCAAACCCCGAATTACATACAAGTAGTTGGAACTTGTGGGCGATGTTGAGATGTCGAAGCAAAGGATTGTCGGAGCCTGAACCATGGGTAGCTCATCTATGAGGGACCAAGTAGATTTCGAATATGGCCTCCTCTGTTCTTTGCTCGCTTGTTCAACGGAGAAGTAAATCAGTATGCAAAGTTTTCAATCTCATGTTGTTCAAGCACACTATCGAATAGGAAATTACAAATGTTTATAGACCGGTCCAGCCAATAACAAAAAATCAGCTTTGCCTGGTCTCTTTCCGCCCAACTTCAGTTAGCTCAGCCAAGAACACGTCCAGGTGGCTTGGAAGAAGACAAAATCGTAACCCATTAGTGCCTACGGAGTATATGTAGACACATGCTATTTATCATTACAGAGTGTTACTCCAATCTGGGATTATTCGGTGGCAGTGGCACTCGCCCTTGACCGCTCAGACACATACCCTGCTGCGCAAGCTCGGAAGAAAACCCGCATTAGCGCGCCCTGTACACTAGTAATAAAACCTGTTCTTTTACCAACTCATACAGCGAAACAGGAAAAGTTTTACACTGGAAATACCTCAATTTAGCTGGCAAATTACCGGACTGAGTATAGTACATGTATTGGTATTACTATGATGCTAGGCCCAAATAGGCTAATGGGTAAACTACATTACGGGAGGAATGGGAGTTCAATCAACGCTTGATCAACCGAAGACTAATGGTTGATTATGGTGGACTTCATTTTAAAAAGAGACACCACAAACCGTTTTTTCTAAGGAACCTTGTTTTTGAAAAAGAGTTTGTTTGAAATATTGAGGTTGTGGGTTTAGTTGTTTTTTCCACTGAAGGTTGGTAGGAGGTTGGTAGGAGGTTGATGAATGTTTCTAATTTTGTAAAAAATCAAAAATACAACTGTATTAATTATACCGAAGGAGAAAGGGGAGAGAGGAAGGAAGGGCGGATCACGGGTCCTTATATGATTAATCCCTCGGGCTCGATTGTATTATTATTACCTTAGTAATAGCTTTTAAGTATATCATAATTAATACTATACTTAGAAATGGAATTAAATTCGTGATAAGTATAAATCGAGCCCGCGTTCTACGAAATTATTACTAATTGTCTAACTGACTAAGCTACTTATTCTAGGTAAAATTACTAGTAGAAAAATCTTTCTTTATTAAGTAGATTATTTAATAAAATTAAATAATTAATGGAATTGATAGAGTTAATGATAGAATTGATAGTGTTAATGATAGAATCGATAGAACTGATGAAGCTAAATTGGTCGTAGAGAGAAAATAGCTATTGTTAATAACCTTAGGTTTGAAAACAACGTTTTTTGAGTTAAACGTTGTTTTTAAATTTGAGGTTTGTATTTTAAAAACCTCAATATGATTTGAAAATCCTTTTGAAATAACCGTTGTTTAGGAGTTTTGTAAGGGTTTCCGACGTTTTGAAAAAATAATGCTTGTTAATCCGTTGATTGTTGGAACTCCCATTCCTCCCGTAATGTACAGTCAGTAGACATAAGTATTTGCACCCCCGCCCCACACCTGTAGTATTACATAATATTCTGCCGGCATAAAAACAATCGCATATATCATGATTGTCTCTAATAACCAGATATAAATGCAGGGAGTGGTGCCAGGAGGTAAAAAGATGATAATCTGGGCTATCCATCTCGAAAAAGCAGTTTTATCTACGGTTTGAGGGCGCTCTACTCATAAACACTATCCGTGTCAAGAAGGCGGTGTAGGCGGTGAATGGTGTGGGGCCAATGGGGGTGCAAATACTTATGTCCAGTCACTGTACATGTAGGCACGGGCCTTTGGAGATCACGTGGATTTGTCCGGCCAGGTGGTCGTTTCCAATCTAGAGCCAACAACTTTACTTTTTCGCCTTCTCCACCATCTTCTCACGTGACTATCCTGATCACGCGGATTAATCCGACCAGCCACCATTGATCCGGCGGTTTATCCGGAGGTTTATCCGACGATTTATCCGACGATTTATCCGACACTCGTGATGTCTGCTTTTACCGCCTTTGGGCGTGCCAAGTACTATCACGTGGAAGGTCTACGGTCGGCCATTCAGATGCAAATGGCAGTAGTGGCCCTTCGCCGCCCGCCTTCATAATGCGGAGCACATTATTGCCTTCCTCTCTATCTTCGATCTTGCGTCAGCGATGTCATTCTCTTCCATTTAGCCTTCACAGAATCATCTTCGCGTTTCCTCTGCAAAATTGACCAAGAGAAGCACACAAATATCCTCGCACACGGCCGAGTGCCGCTGTACATCGGACAGCCATGGCCTTTCAGGCCCGGATCCCCAAGCTCGTGAGTACCACTTCGCGATTCCTCATCCAAACAACACAATTGACCCAAGCAATTTCCTTTCAGAGTGTCGCTGCCGTAACATCGGATCTTTGGCCCTCCATCTCGAACGTCCTGGTCGCCCCCTGGAAGCAAAGCGTGCAAATTTCGACGGCCAATGTCAGCGCATCCTCCCAGCGGAGCTCTACTAGACAAGGAAATGAGACGGTATGACATACCCTCGATATAAGTGGCGCCACTATATTCTAACGGAATTTGATTACCCAGCGCGCAACTTTGCCTGAATTCTTGAACAGCGTTCCCATCGAAGCCTTGCGTGCTGAGGTCGTGAACCGGCCCGCGCAACATGGATGGTCCTCCTTGCTGAAGCAAAGTATGTTTGGCTTAGCAAAATCGCTTTGAAGAATCATGTTCATGTCTAACCATTGATCATCTAAAATAGACAACGGACTTCTGACCCCCTCATTGTTTACATCGATTCCCAATGCTATTCCCGGTATTCGTTCCTACTCCACCCTCGCTCCATTCCGGTTTACCTCCCTACGTGCGGCCCCGAAGGTCAATGGTCTTTTGAAGCCACAGCAGCAGCGATTTCTATCTGGAGGATCCTGGCACCACATACTAGCCCAGAAGGAAAAAGTTGCGAACAAGAGCCCGAGCAACGCAGATGCTCAAAATGCTTTCTACACTGCCCTTTTGCGTGCCAAAATGCCTCACATTGTGCTCGAGCGACACCGAAGCGGATATTTCACAGGAGATCTTACGACTGAAGGATTGATTCAACAGGCCCAGGCAAGTGTTGGTGGCACCGACGCTGGAGCTGGAGCTTTCGCTGGGTCAAACCACAATCTGAGCCCTGAACAACTCCAGGCTGTTGGTCAGGCGGTTGCTGCTCGGGCTACTGGTAGTCAAATTGGAATGGGAAAGCAAAACGGCACCGGTGCCAAGGACGCCCCTCTCTACGTCGTGGTCGATGAGTCTCTCGGAAGCACAGTGTTTCGCTGGGTCAAATTCTTGCTCATTTTCGGCTTTTTCACTTATATCTCTCTGGTCACGGTCACTATCTTGGTTGAAACTACGGGCGTTCTGAAGAATGTTCGGGGGGCGCAAGACAAGGAAGCTCAAGCCGAACAGCAGACCGCTCGCTTTACCGATGTGCATGGTTGTGACGAGGCCAAGGATGAACTGCAGGAGCTGGTGGAATTTCTCATTAACCCAGAGCGCTTCTCTACCCTCGGCGGTAAACTGCCTAAGGGCGTTCTCTTGGTTGGTCCTCCCGGTACTGGTAAGACGTTGCTTGCACGTGCTGTCGCTGGTGAAGCGGGTGTCCCATTCTTCTACATGTCTGGATCCGAGTTCGACGAGGTCTACGTCGGTGTTGGTGCCAAGCGTGTTCGTGATTTGTTCGCTCAAGCCCGTACCAAGTCCCCGGCTATTATTTTCATCGATGAACTGGATGCGATAGGTGCGAAGCGAAACGAGCGCGATGCTGCTTATGTCAAGCAAACTCTTAATCAGTTGCTCACCGAACTCGACGGATTCTCCCAAACCAGCGGTGTCATCATCATCGCTGCGACTAATTATCCTCAACTTTTGGACAAGGCTCTGACCCGACCTGGTCGGTTCGATCGCAGGGTCGTTGTTGACTTGCCTGATGTTCGCGGCCGCATGGACATCCTGAGACACCACATGAAGAACATTCAGTCCGGCCCGGACGTTGACGTTGGGGTCATTGCGCGAGGCACTCCCGGTTTCTCCGGTGCCGATCTGGAAAACTTGGTCAACCAAGCTGCTATCCATGCCAGCCGTGATCGCAAGCCTAGCGTTGGCTCGTTCGATTTCGATTGGGCTAAAGATAAGATCATGATGGGTGCCGAGGCTCGCAGCCGTATCATTCAAGACAAGGACAAGCTTTTGACCGCGTACCATGAGGCTGGCCACGCTCTTGTTGCCCACTTCTCCCCATCGTCCACTCCGCTGTACAAGATCACAATCGTTCCCCGCGGTATGGCCCTCGGTATTACTCACTTCCTTCCCGAGATGGATACTGTCTCGAGGAACTACACCGAATATTTAGCAGACATCGCCGTCTCCATGGGTGGCAAGGCTGCGGAAGAGCTGGTTTTCGGCCATGATAATGTCACAAGTGGTATCTCTGCTGTAAGTCTCGCTAGTTTCCTTCTCGTCGTCATCACATACTAACGCTCGCCTTAGGATATTCAAAGCGCCACTGAGACAGCGTTCACGTTGATCACCCGATTCGGATATTCCGAGAAACTCGGCAACGTCGATCTGTCTACAAACTACGACAGCCTGTCATCGGAAACCAAGCAAGAGATTGAGAAGGAAGTACGCCGACTTGTCGAGGAGGCTCGTGAACGAGCAACCACGATTCTGACTGAAAAGCGCAACGAACTGGAGCTTCTGACCAAAGCACTCATTGAATATGAGACGCTTACAAAGGATGAGATGGAGCAAGTCCTCAAGGGTGAAAAGATCAAGAGACTTCACTCTTCCCCCACTGCCCCAGTGAAGCTCCCTGATGCCCTACAGTCAACTAGGGATTAAACCCTTCCTACATCCTGTAATCTCCACTTTTTCTTTTCCCATTTTCCAGTCTTGGGTTCTACGAGAATCCACGTGCCTTGTTTCTTTTTCTTTTTTTTCTTTTTCTTTGTCGTGCATCCCCGGATCGTTCGGGCGTCTGTTGAAAATACCATTTTCCCTGGTTCTTTCCTCCACATCATGTCCCAGTCAGGTCGATACTCAGTGACTGTTTGTACACTCGCCGCCTTTGTGCGTGCGCAATACCATTGAAGCTTGAAATGATCCCCTGTACATATCATCTGTATGTCTATGTTCCAATTGTATTTGTTGAGTAACAGCATCGAGCGTAACACATCTCCTAAGCATAAACCTAAAGAGCAATAATCTAGACAAGCCCTGGAATACAAGTAGATATACCACACGTCTTATACTCACATAGCTATATACATAAAACACCCCAGCAAGAACCGACTAAGTCCCCAAATCTAAACACCACCAGTATAACATTATAAAATTCTCTTCATATATCGTCCCCCCCTCGACATCCCAGCCAACGCCTATACTCCATCGCTACCATGTTCCTGTATACCATGGGAATTGCGTCATCGGTAGTTCCGGACATACACCCAAGGCACCGGACCCAAATATAGCCCAAAGTCCGGGCTCGGCAGGTCCGGCGCCACGGACCCTCATGACTTCATTGCCCAGGGCACTGACTTCGGGAATTCTCGCGACTTTTCGGGGGGTCGATCACTCGGCAAGTTTCGATCTTGGTTTGAATTTCTCCACTTGTCATGATGTCACCAGAGAGTCTGGTAGTGATATACAATGGTGAGGCTTGGGGGCTGCGATGGAGTTGGAGGTTAGAGTTGTGGGATGGCTTTTGTTCTGATATAGTACATGGGGTGAAGCGGGTTGTGTAGGATCCAGTTGGGCATTTGCTTAGGTTTAATTGTAGAATATAGGGATGGTATAGATTTGGAATTTTTTTTGGGTTCTTCATTTCACAAAATGGTTGGTATATACACAGATGCTGAGACTTGCTGGGAAGGGCAAGTCCATAGCAAGTAGGAAAAAAAAAAAAGTCCAGTTCTTCCAGCTCTGCTTCTGGAAAAACGAGTTCCGTCATAACGGTCATGATGAAGGGGGCATCGGCGCGGTGAACACGCCTATTAGGACGGGACTTTCTAGTCAGTTGAGGGCAATTCTTTAAATATGTATAAATGGAACGCGACGTGTCCAAATGCCCCCCATCGGAGGGAAAAAAAAAGGATAACAATCCGGGTATCCAAGAGAGAATATGTGCGATGTCCGGTTGGAATGATCTTGGGGTAAACCTCCTCTCTCGGTCTCAACCTCTGTCGCTGGAGACGCGTGTGTATATGTCATGCATGTGGTGATATGCACAAAGTCGACCGTAGGGTCGAGGATAGGCCGATGGGGATTGTCTCATCGGAATATTTATAAAAAGTTGTTTATTCGACGTCATCCTGGCCTTCATTCCTGTCCTCCTCGTCCATCCAGCCGCGGGACATTTCCACGGCTTTGGACCACTTTTTATACATGCGGCCGCTGGCCTTCACGGACATCGTGGGGGTGAAAGAGGCTCGGTTGGCGCGGTTCATATGCTTGAGTTCGGAGAATTCCTTCCAAATGCCAATGGCAAAGCCGGCGGCAATTGCGGCACCGAGGGCAGTGGTTTCGTGCATTGAGGGCCGCTCGACCGGGATTTGAATAATATCAGCTTGGGTCTAGTAGAAACGATAATAGTTAGCGTTGTTGGTCTCAAGACTAGTCGAGGATGGAAAGCATTGCAACATACCTGCATGCAAACATCCGAGTTACTCATGCCACCATCAACAGCCAGTTCTGTCAAACTCTTGCCACTGTCCATTGCCATGGCGTCGAGAATCGCTTTCGTTTGGAAGCAGGCCGCCTCCATAGTTGCACGGGCGATGTGCCCTTTTTGTGTGTGGGCAGTAATTCCCCCTAGTCAGCGTTAGTGAGGTTCTGTAAAGCGAAGCACCGCCTCCAAAACTTACAAATTGTTCCCTGGGCATCATCAATCCAGTAAGGAGCAAAGAGACCACTGAATGCAGTAACGAAAATACAACCTCCGTTATCCGGCACACTAGCAGCCAAATCGCTGACTTTGCGCGAGTCGCGGAAAAAGCCGAGGTTGTTCATTAGGAAAGAGACACCACTGCCCGCCACGGCCACACTGCCTTCCAATGCGTAGACAGGTTTGCGATCCCGCCCTAGCTGGAAGCCCACGGTACCCAACAAACCGTGTTTCGAAATAACAGGCTTGTCACCGACATTATAGAGAAGGAAGCATCCAGTACCATATGTGTTCTTAGCTGATCCCGGGGTGAAGGCACAGTGGCCGACTAGAGCTGAAGCCTGGTCACCTAGGCAGCTGGTAATGGGGACACCCTCCAGTGGCCCTTCAGCCACACGACCGAAGCCCTCGGGATCAGCCGAGGGAAGAATCTCAGGCAAACGAAGCTTGGTCCGGTCAATGTCGAAGAACTTCAAGAGCCGATCATCGTACTGGAGGGTTTCGAGGTTCATGAACATTGTCCGCGAGGCGTTGGTCACATCTGTAACGAGACGCTTGTTTTGAGGGCCACCGTTGAGATTGTAGATCAGCCAGCTGTCGACGGTTCCAAATGCAGCCCGACCGTCGTCGTACGCCGACCTGACATCTGGGAGATGGTCGAGCATCCATCGTAGCGTGACAGACGAGGGGTATGTGGAGAGAGGTAGACCGCAAATGTTGACGAGTTCGTCAGCACCGGGCCTTGCCTTCAATTCACGTACCAGGTTGACGGTCCGGGTGTCGGTCCAAGTGATGGCGTTATGCAAGGGTTCACCGGTCTCCCAGTCCCAGACCAATGCCGTTTCTCTTTGACTGGTGATGCCAATGGCTTCAATGTCGGATGTGGAGTGGCCGAGGGCAAGGAACGATTTCATGGCTTCTTCAATACAGACATAGACGGATTCGACCAATTCATACGGGTCTTGTTCGTGCCATCTGTGAGGAGTGGGGCAATTAATATTGAGGGGTTGGGAGGCAAAGAAGGGGCTCACACCTACCCTGGGTGTTCGTGAATCTGACGGAATTCCGTCTGGTATTTGGCGATAGGAACGCCTGTGCAGTCGAAGATGATGAACCGTGTACTCGTCGTACCCTGATCAATGGTGCCGATGAACCGATTCTTCAAGTCCCCCTCGGGATGTTCCTCGTCCTGAAGCAAAGAGCGTTCTCCATCGTATCTCTGCTTTGGACGATAATCCAGATTCAGTTGTTGCTGCTGCTTCTCCTCCTGGTGCTGATGCACATGTTGTTCGGCCTCGAAATCCTGGACCTCCGAGTCTCCATCGACGCTCTCATAGTCCAACTCGAACGGGTTTCGCATTTTCAAGATGGGGACCGAAAAAAAGAAGAAATTAAGAGAGAAAGAGCGATTTTTACTCCGGGTTTAAAGAGGGGAATGGCGGAGAGAAGGAACTACGAGGTGGCGAGTGTTGGGGATGTTGGATACGGGGACCAGCTCCCGTGGCAGAAAAGTGGAGCGTGACGTATCAAGCGGTGGCCAGGTATAACCGTGTCCTTCACCGGTCTCAGAGAAATGGTCGAGAAGGGGAGAAAGGGAGAATCTGGAGAAGGGCGCGGTGTAGATAAGAAGAGAAGCAGAGGCTAAATGCAGACAACCAGGGCTCTTTATCCAAAGGGGTGGACCAAGTGCCGGTGGGGGGAGGAGAAACTAGAAATCCGGTTGGTTTTTTTCTGATCAGAAGACCTCGTCACCTCCCCCACTATTTCGGGTCTGAACTATGGGCTTTATAAGTATTATTAGCTCTATAAGAACAGGTTGGAACGGCTTCCCCAGTACCCTGAATCGATCCCCTATATCCTTCTGTTCTTTTTCACTCTCTTTCTCTCCTCTCCTCTGCATCGTCTCTCCAAGCCTGGGCACTCCACAAGCGCCGTCGATCGTACACATGACACGGTCCATTTTTCCCTTGCGGTCTCTCAGTCGTTCTAGAACCCCCTTTTTTCTTAGTTTACATTCTCTGCAGATTAATTGAACCATTCCTATTCATGGAGAAAATCCCACGGGAATAATTATTGATTTGGGGCAAGTTAGCCTATGGGGAAGGGGAAATCCCCAAAAAACGAATGCCCATTCCTGGAGAGATTCTAGTCGGGGCCAAGAACATTCGAGTGCATCACCCCTCTCCTGGGGAACCGCCTATGATCTGGTCCGACCTCTCGGCTCTCATTCTTATTGATCGAGATCCTGGTCTGGCGCATTGGCACTGGTGCTTTATATCCTACAACACAGACCAATCGTTGACTCATGTCCCAATCATATCCGTCCCAGTCGGAAGATGACGTTCTCTCTGGAGAACCGGTCTGGTCAACCAGCGATATCGCCCTAGAACCATTCTCGCGCGGGGAGAGGGGAATCGGGTCAATCCTGCCAGGGACAGGGTGGTGCTAAACTATATGGGGTCTTCCGTGCTCCGTATTACATAGATCACGCGAAGACTGAAAAAAAGCAAAGAGGAAAAAAAGCCGAGCCCAAAAAAGAAAATCCAACAGGCTGATCTATGTGGATTCCAAGGATTTCAGGCGCAATCGGGCCTTACGACGGAGTATGCGTACCTCGCATGCAGGTCTCGCTTTACCTTCCCCAACTCGTTGGTTTCTTTTTCTTTTCTTTTTCTTTTCTTCTTTCTTTTTTTTTTTTTCCAGAAAGCCTATGTTGTACGCCACTTAGCTAAAAGTACCTATTTCGTCCTCTTTCCCACCCTAGAGTGTCCCTGCATTCTAGAAACTAGTCGCTCCGTACTCCGTAGATCTCGAAATATTTTCGACACCCCGTGACTCTGTATAACGGGGCCTTATCAACCCTAGTCGGCTCCGATCTGCGGCAACCCGTGTGAAGAATATGCCGATGATCCCCCTTCATCGACATCCGTGGATGAGTCCGACCTTACAGTTTGATATTGTAGATCAGATCCAATGCCAAGCACGTGTTGCTTTTTCGGATCCATGTTTCTTTCTGCCGCGGAAGTCCATGACACATCCATGGATATACTTCAAGTGCGGCACGCTTATATCTACTTCCTCGAGACCCTCCTGACTAGTAAGGGAAAAAAAAAAGAAAAACGTCGTTGCGACTCGACTCAGGCGTCTCCAATTATTGACACTCCAATTTTGAACAAAAGAAAATTTCAGTGGCCGCCCTAGTGCGTTCTGCGTATTTTACAGGAAATCACGGGTAATGCAAACATCGAGATCAGTCTCGGGGAGTTGACGCCCCTCACCTTATCAAAAGGCAAATTTACTCGGACTCCTCGCCGAGCTCAGCGCGGCGGCGGTTCTCAACCTCCTCCTGCTCCTTCTTCTGCAGGAAGATCAGAGCGTTGATCTTGTCCTTGATGCTGTGCTCAGAGGCAAGGGTCTGCTGGATCTGCTCACGGCCGATCAGGGTAGCCACGATGGAGGCACCGACGACGAAGGTCAGCACGAAGCGGTACATGCCGTACCAGTGGGGAGCACGGCCGGCAGCGGCAGCGCGGGCATCGTTGTAGTACAGGAAGGTGAAAGCAAGGAACTGGCTGATCAGGGCGTACTCGACGGGGAGCAGCAGAGTAGGCCAGGCCACAGCGGGGGCGATCACACCGGCGGCGTAGCGGCGGTAGCCGAACTTGCCGCCGTAGCCAGCCCACTCAAGACCCCAGTGAATGGCACCGAGGAAAGAAAGGATCTAGTGCAGAAGCAGCGATTAGCAAACTGGAAACCGATGTTTCACGACTTGATTTGGGATCACTTACAACGGCACCGTAGCCGACCTGGATGGGCTCCAGCATGTGGAGCATCAGCTCAGCGCTCTGGCCGGAGAAGATCAGACCATCACCGAGAGCAGCGGCGCGGTTGATCTCGTAGGAGAGGTAGACGGTCTGCAGGGAGGTGGCCAGGTAGGGAACGACACCAGCCATACCGAGGAAGAGAGCCTCCTTGGGGACTCCGCTCAAGCTGAAGGTATCCTTGATAACTTTCTATAACCGCGATGCCTAATTAGCATATGTTCGGCTGCCTCCACATGTGAACGGAAATACGTACCGCCTCGGATCGCATACCCGCCATAACATCGATATCATCCTCATCGTGCTGTAGTATCAAAGGTTAGCCATTTAATGCTTCCGCGCAAATCATTGATAATAGGTCATCTCTTACCTTGGCAGAAGAAGAAGAGTAGCGCACAAGAGCGGTGGTAACGGGCTTGTGAGCAGCGAGCGCGAAGCTCGGCGAGAAGGAGGGACGAATCAGAGTGCGGGCAGACGAGGTCATCTGGGCCTTGGAGATCTGGTTGCCCAGAGCGGAGCGAACCACGGAGGCATTGGAGCTCGAGAGGGCGCGGAGCGCAGAGCGGGCGACAGCGTTGCGGTACAACATGGTGGAGATATACAGCTTTTCGTGGTCATCCGGTTAGCAAGTCGCGGGAGAAGAAAAGCCTCGGGTACGGCCGGGCAGCAGCTTGAACTCACCCAATTGGCCTTAAAAAAAAGCTGGAGAGAAGTGGAAGAGTGGAGATTGAGGGTATACACCCGGAAAGTGACTTGATCTCGAAGTCGAGGACGTGAGTTTTCCGGGAGGGAACAAATAAGAAGATCTAGAAATGAAGTGACCGAGTGATGAGGTGTGGTCTGGTTTCGGGCGGACCGCAGCAGCCGGAACCGCAGAAAGTCTCTGCCTTAGGCCCCGAGGGTATTTATGCCTCAGGCGCCCAACCGGTCGGGGCAGCAGCCCTAGTTGACTAACCAGGAGATGGCTACGTCACTCCTGGGGTAAACAGGCGTATCCACCGGTACGGTACACTTTCCTACAATTACATACATAGTAGGGGATGATTCTCAGTGCATCGCCTCGTGCTCGAGAAAAAACCTATCAAAGCGCCTCTGGCCCCCGTCTCCCCACGTAGTGCCAAGCGTATAGCAGCCTGAGTACTGTGTACTTATGAAGTACTCCGGCTGTAGGCGGAAATGATACCCGCTGTTGGTGTAAGAAGTTGTACCCCCTCTGTACCGAGTACCACCCTCGTTCCTTTGCGTAACAGATAGCACCTCTCTTGATCCACGCAAACAAGGTCATTAACTGGCCTTGGATACCCAACATCATTCTGTCTCCATTTAGCGCTTGTTATTCCCTTACATCCTAACCTTAACCCGAGAGCTAATTATTGCAAGAGACCGAGTTCCGCTCTTCTTGGAGGGGAAAGTTCCACCTCGGTATCGCGCGTGCTCCCAGCCCACCCATAGCTGAATGGCTTGAATGTCCCCTATCACCCAGGGTTCTTAGAAGCAACTCTATCGTGTAAGCGACACATTTCTGAATATGCTTTAATTTCCCCTTGAATTACCACTGACATGCGAACTCTCAATGGTAGGCAGCATCAAATCGCTACACGCACACGAGTGAAGCGACCTCCTCCCCGGCCATAGAGCCCAACCACCAGGCCCGGTCTACGGCCGCACGCCGCAAGCATGTTGGAGGGAGTCGTTGCCAATCTTCTCAACCGATTTCTAGGAATTTACGTCAAGAATTTCGATGCAACGCAGCTTAACATCGGAATCTGGTCAGGCGACGTCAAGCTACGAAACCTCGAACTGCGCCGCGAAGCGCTCGATCAGCTACGCCTCCCGTTGAACGTTGTTGAAGGCCATCTCGGAGAGCTCACACTATCCATCCCATGGTCAAATCTACGAGGCAAACCGGTAAAAGTCGATATTGAAGATGTCTTCCTCCTCGCGGCACCTCGAGAAGATGCGGATTACGACCCGGCCGAAGAAGAAAGGAGAGCAAATGTACTGAAGATGGAACGAATTGAGAGCGCTGAGATTCTGCGCGAGCGAAATGCGGAGGGCATGAGTCAAGAAGAACAGCGTCGGAACCAGAGCTTCACACAGAGTATGATTACGGCCGTGGTGGATAATCTGCAGATTTCCATTAAGAACGTGCATTTCCGCTACGAAGACTCTATCGCATCGCCTGGACATCCATTTGCTGTCGGCTTGACGCTCAAGGAATTGAGTGCTGTCAGCACAGATGGAGAGTGGAATCCAACTTTCATCCAATCCGACTCCGATGTCACGCATAAATTGGCTGTCCTCGGGGCTCTCTCAGTCTATTGGAATACAGATGCTACACTCCTCGGAACCGGACGGGGTTGTGACATAGGTGCAAAAGCCCAGGGAATTGACCGGGCCGATTTGATGGAGAAACTCAGGACAGCCATTGATGCCGATGAAGGAAACCAATTTATGTTGCGACCCGTCAGTGGCCGTGCTGGATTGGAGATGGACAAGTCAGGCAAATATGATCGGCCTGCAATCAAAGCGCGATTGCTGTTCGATGAGCTCGGCTTTGTTTTGGATGACAAACAATATCGCGATGCGTTGATGTTGGTGGATTTGTTCCACTATTTCATTCGCCATCAAGAACATAAGAAAATCCAGCCTAAGACCTCACCGAAGGAGGACCCCCGGGCATGGTTCAGGTTCGCCGGAGAAGCTGTTCTCAGTAAGATCCAGGAACGCAACAGACGTTGGACCTGGGGCTACATTAAGGAGCGCAGAGATGACCGAATCGCATACATTGCCTTGTTCAAGAAAAAGAAGAAGGAAGAAATCTTCACACCCGAAGAAACGAAGCAGTTGGAGAAACTGGAAGCCAAACTCAGCTACGAGGATATCCGATTCTGGCGTTCACTTGCACGAAATCAGCTACGGAAAGAAAATGTCGGCGTCAAGAAACCCGCGGAACAACAATCATGGTCCGACTGGTTCTGGGGCGCTAAGAAAGAAGAGTCCGAGGAGACCATGACTGAGGAACAGCGACAAGAGCTGTACAACGCCATTGATTGGGACGAAAAGAAAGCCATCGCTGAAAGTGTTGATGTACCTCGGGAATGGGTTAAGCTTCAGGTCAACTGGAGTCTTCGGGCTGGTAGCTTCACTCTAATTCAGGACCCCCATGGCGCGGCGAACGAAGTCATGAAGCTGGTATTCGATAATTTCCGAGCCAAGGCTCTTCAGCGCCCTGATTCATATCTTCTTGATCTTGACCTTGGTGGATTGAAGATGTACGATGGCACTACTGCCGGGACTCTCTATCCCCAAATTGTCAAGGTCAAGGATTCTCTTCCTGAGCTTATAGAAGATCAAGAGTCAAGCGACGATGATGATCTCGCCTCACAAGCTAGCGCGGATGACCTTGAAGATGAGGACAGTCTGTTCCATTTGCAATTGGAGAAGAATCCACTTGAAAGCGATGCAGACACAGCAGTGAAGGTCAAGCTGAAGAGTATTGAAGTCATCTACAATCCTCGATTCATCGTAGGGATTGTTAAGTTCTTTGAGCCCCCCGAGCGACACATGGAATCCATCGGTGCTCTTCTGGACACTGCGGGAGCCACTGTTGAAGGGCTTAGACAGCAAACTCGAGCTGGCCTGGAGTTTGCCTTGCAAGAGCACAAGAAGGTCGATGCGCAGTTCGACATTAACGCACCCTTGATTATTGTCCCAGAAAGTATCACACAACCAAGCTCCCTTTGCTTGATTCTCGATGCAGGTCATGTGAGTGTTAACAGCGAGTTGGTCGACCGTCAAGCGATGCGGGATCTCCAGTCCAAGCAGAGTCACCAATATGAGGAAGAAGATTACAAGCAACTAGAACATCTGTTGTACGATCGGTTCCTCATTAAACTAGACTCCACTCAGGTCCTCATTGGACCTGGCGTTGACGCAACCAAAGCGCAGCTTAATAGAAATGTCGAGTCTAGGAATTTCCACATCATTGACCGCATCAATGTCGATTTTGCCCTGGAGATGTGCATCGTGCCGAAGGTGACCCAGCTCACCCGAACACGCATCTCTGGACATTTGCCAGAGCTTCATGCATCAATGTCCGATACCAAATATAAGGGTTTGATGAAGCTGATTGATATTGCAATCCCCCAATTCGATACAGATACTCCTCCGTCTGGTTCAGTTGCCACGGCGGCTGCCAAGGAAGGAGCAGCCATAGCTACACGAGCTAGATCAGCATCGTTCCAACCATCAGCCCAACGAGAGCTTCCCGTTGTCGATGACGAGGAGGAGTCCGAAACAGACAGCGACCATGTGAAGAAGAGCGTGGATACGCCGACTAACATCCATCGCAGGGACTTCGAATTCAAGTTCACTGTCGGCCGTCTTCGTGGCTCGCTATTCCGTGCCGATCCCCATGATCCGCAACGAGATGATTTGTTGGTTGAACTGATTGCGGAAGGCTTTGAGCTGGACTTCTACATGCGTCCGTATGATATGGTTGCCGAAGTTGTCCTGAAATCGTTGAGCGTGGACGACTATATTGAGGAAAACCCGATGCCTGAGTTCAAGAGAATCATTTCCTCCAAAGGATTTGATGCTGACGAAGACAAAGACCTGTTCCAGCTGAAGATGGTGCGGGTCAAACCCGAGTCTCCTGAATTTGACTCAACATATGAAGGGGTCGCCATGAACCTTGACATAGCCGTCTCGACTATCAATCTTGTCGTGACGAGGAAAACGCTTCTCACCCTCCTAGACTTCATTCTCCTCACATTTACAAACCCTCAACAGCCGACTGAACCTAGTCCAGAAACCGACAAGGCTATCGAAGGCACAGAAGTTGTGGAAGAACAACCCCAGCAGGCTGGAAAGCTTCGCATCAGAGCTAATCTCAAGAGTATTGCACTCGTCCTCAACAATGATGGGGTACGCTTGGCAACCTTGAGTCTCAACACTGCCGACGTGGGCATCTTCCTCGTGGGCAGCTCTATGCTCATCCAATCTCGTATAGGCAGTCTGACCTTGGTTGATGATGTCAACCTGGGTGCCGCGGAGGACTCTGATATCCGGCGCCTGCTGACCATAGAAGGTGATAATTTCGCCGACTTCAAGTATGAGACCTTCGACCCAGCGAGTGACACGTATCCCGGCTATGATTCCGAGGTCTATCTGCGATCTGGTTCCATTAAGATTAATTTCCTGGAGGAGCCCTACCGTAAAATCATCAACTTCCTTGTCAAATTTGGCAAAATGCAAGCCATTTTCAATGCAGCTCGACAGGCTGCTGCCAACCAGGCCAATCAGCTTCAAGAGAATGCTTCGCGGATGCGACTTGATGTTGTTGTTAAGACTCCCATCGTGGTTTTCCCACGCGCCATGACGGATGATCGCCCTAGGGACACAATCACTGCTCATCTTGGTGAAATCTATGCCAAGAATGAGTTTGTGCCCATGGACGAAGGAAAGGATAGCCCTGCTGTTAATGTCATCTCCACTGGTGTCCGCAACATACGCCTTACCTCCAAGTTCAACTTCGAAGATGGTACATCTGAAGAACTAGAGATGATCCAAAAGGTCAACCTCGAGTTTAGTATCTGTTATCTGGAGCATCAAGCCAATAACCCACGCCCGGACATGGAAATTGAAAGTTCTCTGTCTCCTATCAATCTGCGCATCTCCCAGAGTCAGCTCAAGTTCTTGCTGGAGCTTTCAAAGTCGATACCAGGCGCTTTTGCCACCGATGCTGAACAGCAAGAGCTCGAGGCTTTGGAATCTTTGCCTTCATCGGTGACTGAGCCTACGAGGGAGGCTACCTCGAAAGCAGCCCAAGCACAGAATTCCCCCGGAGAAGCACCCACGGACAACACCGAAATTCAGGAGACTTGGGTACGACTCGATATGATTTTCAAGGTTGATAGTATTGGCTTGGAGCTTATCCTAGCAAACGATGATCAACCTGTCGGTCACTTAGAGGATTCGAGTCTGTCCAAGTTCTCTCTCAATGACACCCGAGTGAAGCTACGCATGTTGACAGATGGCTCATTGGAGTCGGAGCTTCTCATCCATTCGTTCTCCATCCGTGATAGTCGCAAGCAGGATTCGAACAAATTCAGGAATATCATGTCTTTGATCAACAACGATGTCCAGCAGCAATTCATGGCTAGCGTATCCATGTCTGGAGGACCAGAAAAACATCTCATTGCGATGCTGACAATTGACAGCCCTCGCATTATGTTTGCCTTGGATTATCTCTCTGCTTTGCAGTCGTTCAGTCAGTCTGCATTTGCCTCTGAAGAACCAATCGAAGTAGTTGAAGAGGAGAGCGAGTCACCCGAGGAATCCGAAACAGGATCCCTAACTGCTACAAGCTCCGACAGAGCCATAACCGAGGCTTCTTCGAGCGATGCCACATCAGCGGCTATGACAGTATCGTTCCGGGTGAACCTTGTCGACGCTCAAGTGATTATGGTGGCCAACCCTGCCATTCCACACTCTGAAGCTATCGTCCTTGGTACCAAGGAAGTTCTCATTTCCCACCAAAATGTATCTACTCTGCAGATCCAAAAGGTGGGCATGTTCCTGTGCCGAATGGATAAGTTTGAAACTTCCCGACTTCGCATTCTGGATGATTTCACACTTGAAATGTCCGTTGATAGCCGAGCACAAGAGAGAGGGTCTGCTTTGACTTCTATTGAGGTTCACCTTGAGCCTCTGGTTCTCCGTTTGTCTTTGCGTGATATCCTGATGGCAATCCAGATTGTCAATAAGGCTTCCGAGATGCGAGCTCAGAGTTCTCAGCAGACTGAATCAGGGGAAGTGAAGAAAATCGCAGACGCGAAGACTACCAGAGGCCGTTCTTCCAGCAAAACGTCTTCTGCTATTGCTAAGAGGGCTCGTCGTTTGAGCCAAGGTGTTGCACAGCTGGAAAGGCCGAGTACTGCACAAAGTTCAGTTCTCCTGAAGCGGGAAGAGATGTCTGCCAAGATTGATGGCATTAGAGTCATTCTCATTGGTGATCTACATGATCTACCTCTGCTCGATTGGAGTGTCAAGAAATTCAACGTGGATGTACGCGACTGGTCATCAACGCTGAATGCCGATACGAACTTTGAGACATTCTTGAATGTCTACAACTTCTCGAAGTCAGCCTGGGAGCCGTTGATTGAACCATGGCAACTGGGATTCCATATGGCCAAGGAGGTCAATCCGGATATCTTCTCTTTCGATGTGTATTCGCACAAAACGATGGAGCTTACCGTAACATCCGCCACAATTGCCCTCGCATCCAAATCCTTCCAGTTCCTTTCAACGGACGAGGATGTCCTTTCCAAGCCAAGAGGTGCTGATGCCCCATATAGGATTCGCAACTACACTGGATTTGACCTCAGAGTTTGGGCCGATGTTAGCACAGAAGGGGATGGGCCAGCGGCGAAACTTGCTGATGGAGAAGAATCTCCATGGCGATTCGAAGATTCTACCGCTATCCGTGAAACTCTGACACCAGAAGGTCACGGTGGAGTGGTTGGTGTGAAGCTGGAGGGTAGTGGCTTTGACAGCATCAGCCGCATTCCTGTTGTGCGCGAAGGCGAGACTATTTACGCCTTGAAGCCAAAGCAAGAAAATGTTCTCCACCGCCTACTTGTCGAGGTCAAGTTGGGACCAGACAATGTCAAGTGCATCACATTCCGCTCACCACTTCTCATCGAGAACAACACTCAAATTCCTGTTGAATTGGGCATTTTCAGCCCCGGAGAAGGCCACTTGTTGAAGATCGAGAAGATCTTGCCTGGCGATGCACGACCAGCACCTGTTGGATCCGCATATCTCCACTCCATTGTTGTTCGTCCTGATCAAGGCTTCGGATATGACTGGTCTGATGAACGGCTATTCTGGAAGGACCTTATTAGGCGACCCACACGCACTGTCAAGTGTGTCAGCGAGAGTGGACAGCAGGCTCCTCCGTTCTATTTCCAAATGAACGCAACTTTCGACAGCAAAAATTCGCTCACGGGCACCTATCCCTATATGAGAATCCGAATCTTTGCTCCTGTTGAGATTCAGAACCTTCTGCCTTACGATTTCAAGTACCGCATCTATGACAAGAACACTAAGAAGGATTGGACCAATTTCTTGAGGAAGGGTGGCGTCAGCCCAGTCCACGTCGTGGAACTGTCTCATTTGTTGTTGCTCAGCATTGATCTGCAAGATACCGTCTTCCGTCAAAGCGAGTTCGCCATTGTCAACGGTAATGCGCAAGACTACCGCAGAGAGCATACCTTGGCCCTCAAAGACGAGCGCGGTCTTCAACTGAAGTTGCAGCTTCACTACTTCAACATCCCCAACAGTGGCGGTGCTTTCAAGGTCTCTGTGTACAGCCCATACCTTATTTTGAACAAGACCGGCCTTCCCATGGACATCCAAAGCAAAGCATTCCTTCAATCTGCAAGGAACGCTGCTGGTCAAGGGCTCAGAGCCGACCCAAGAGATGAGGGACGTGCACTGCCGTACATGTACTCTTATGCCACCGAGGACCAGAAAAACCGATCTATCCTAAAAGTTAGCGATTCTGCATGGAGCAAACCGCAGAGTTTCGAGGCCATCGGAAGTACCTTCGAGATCATATTCCCCGACCGCCAAGGCAAATCTGAGTTCCACTCCGGAGTGTCTGTTGCCGAAGGTGAGGGCAAGTACAAGCTGACCAAGGTGGTCACTCTGGCCCCACGTTTCATCCTGAAGAGCAATCTGAACGAGGATATCCTGGTGCGCGAGCCAGGCTCGTCCAACGTCCTCCAGGTCCAGAATGGCAAGTTGGTGCCACTTCATTTCTTGCGCCAGGTCCAAGAGAAACAGCTGTGCCTGTGTTTCCCTGGTGTCAACAACCAATGGTCTTCTCCGTTCAGCATTGCAGACGTTGGAACCGTACATGTCAAGTTGGCCAAGGCCAACCAGCGCCAGAAGCTGATCAAGATTGATATCATCCTGGAAGCAGCAACTCTTTTCTTGCACTTCAGCGTTGAGTCTCGTAACTGGCCCTTCTCCATGCGCAATGAAAGTGATATGGAGTTCATCTTCTATCAAGCCAATCCAAATGTGGAGGACGATGATGACGAAGATGATCAGACTAGCGGCTGGAGGCCAATCCGATATCGAATCCCCCCACGGAGTATCATGCCATATGCATGGGACTACCCTGCGACGAAAAACAAGTCGCTCGTGTTGACCTGCCAGGGCAAAGAGCGTCATATCAAGCTTGCTGAGATAGGAAACCTGATTCCAATGCGGATTCCACCCTCGCAGCCTGGCGGATACCAGAAGATCATTGACATCAATATTACTGCCGATGGCCCGACTCAAACGCTTGTACTGTCCAATTTCAAGGCATCGAAGAGTATGTACAAACAACAAAGGGGACAATCTTCACAGACTGGCACAAACACCGGGTTCGAGGTCAAGGAAATGAACTCGGACGTCAACTTCAAGGCACAACTCCGTCTGGGAGGCATTGGAATCTCATTGATCAATCAGAACCTGAAGGAACTGCTTTATCTCACCTTCCGCGAGATTGAGATCAAGTTCAGGGAGTCAAGATTGTATCAGACTCTGAACACCACCATCAAGTGGATTCAGATTGACAACCAGCTTTACGGTGGCATCTTCCCCATCTTGCTTTATCCCAGTGTTGTTCCGAAGACTGGAAAGGAGATGGAAGCACACCCGATCTTCCACGCAATGGTTACACGGGTCAAGGATGACTCGTACGGTGTTCTCTATATCAAGTACGCGACTCTGCTTCTACAGCAAATGACTTTGGAACTTGATGAGGACTTCATCTTTGCCATGCTTGACTTTGTCAAGATTCCTGGTGCTTCCTGGACCGAGGAACAAGAGGGCAAACTGTGCGATGGAGACCTCAACATTCCAGAGCCACAACAGGCAGACAATGGACAAGATGTGTACTTCGAGCTCCTTCATCTCCAGCCCATGCAGTTGGATATTTCTTTCATGCGTACCGAGCGCGTCAACGTGGAAGATACTATGCAGCCCTCTAACCCATTGATGTTCTTTGTCAATGTTATCTCGATGTCGATGGGCAATGTCAATGATGCACCTATCCGACTCAATGCTCTAATGCTCGAGAACGCTCGCGTTTCTTTCCCCAGACTGGTCGGCAATATCCGTGAACACTACACTCAAGAATTCCTGGGCCAGGTCCATATCATTCTCGGCTCGGCTGACTTCTTGGGCAATCCTGTCGGTTTGTTCAATAATGTCAGCTCTGGTGTCGCGGCCATCTTCTATGAGCCATATCAGGGTCTGGTCATGACCGACCGTCCCCAAGAACTGGGCATCGGTATTGCTAAGGGTGCCACAAGCTTCTTTAAGAAATCTGTCTTCGGATTCTCGGACAGTATGGCCAAGCTCACTGGAAGTATGTCCAAGGGTCTTGCTGCTGCTACTCTTGATAAGGAGTTCCAGACTCAGCGCCGGATGTCTAAGGTCCGCAACCGTCCCAAGCATGCGTTGTACGGAATCACGGCTGGTGGCAATGCATTTGCAAGTAGTTTGGCAAGCGGCATCGGTGGCTTAGCACGTCATCCACTACAAGGCGCTGAGAAAGAAGGTATCCAAGGATTCTTCAAGGGTGTTGGAAAGGGTGTTCTAGGCCTGGCCACTAAACCGGCAATCGGTGCCTTCGATCTTGCCTCCAGTAAGTTGGATCATAACCTATTTATTGACATACAATACTAACAATTTCCCCGTAGACCTTGCAGAAGGTGTCCGCAATACTACTACTGTCTTCGATGCAGAAGGTCTCGATCGTGTCCGACTCACCCGCTTCATTGGTACTGATGGCATCGTGCGCCCGTACTCGCAGCGTGAAGCTCTCGGACAGTTTTGGCTGAAGACTACTGACGACGGCAAATATTTCAACGAGGACTACATTGCCCATCTCGAACTTCCTGGTCGAGACATGCTGGTTCTGTTAACATACGCGCGTATCATGCTCGTCCGCACGAAGAAGCTCGTCACCGAGTGGGATATCCGTCTCACGGATATCCAGACCATCTCCAAAGAGCGCACCGGAATGAGTATCACCCTCAAGGGAGGTGCCAACGGACCCTTCATTCCTGTTCAAGACGAAAGCTCGCGGAACTGGCTGTATAGACAGATTGCTGTCGGTAAGTGCTTACTCATTCGAGCTTAATTTTGTCTTAGACTAACTGTTTCTTTCCCCTAGCGGTCAATGCTTTCAATGAGAAGTATAATTCCAGGGGATAGAGATGACGAGGCACTCAGTGTTGTTTACGATGTCATGAGATGGACTGCTTTCATTTTTGGGACGGGATTATCAACATTCACAGAGCACATGAATGATTCATGGCTCTCGGTTTCTCAATTTGTTCCATTCACGTACATAAGTTGCCTAATTCTTGCCTTTCGGCCTGTTGTGTTGGCCTTTTTAATTGCCTTTCTCCCATGCACGCAGCGAGGAATCCTTGGCTTCATGCAATTCATCTACAATTTGTTTAATAGAGTCAATCAGATATCCTCTCCAACGAAAAATGTCTCTTTCAAAGCTACATGTATGGTGGCCCTATGTGTTTACCTACCTGTAACCGATGACGAGCCTCCATATATCTACCCATGAACTGGAGTAACCAGAAGGTATCCGACATTATTGTGGTCCTATCTTTAGGATGAGATCAGTCCGGTTCTTCGTCAAGTCACTGCTCCGGTAACCTTTGAAGGAATGACCATTGCTGTGTTGAAAAGACAGAAGCAGACGAAGAAGGGGTTGAAAGGGACAGTGTTTTTGCCTGGTTTCAAAAACGCAGTGTGACAGATGCTATATTTACGAGAGAGATAGTTTAACAGAAGCGACCAACCCTCTTGGTGAGATTGGTGTAGAATGACTTCGGGTTCCTCCGTGATAGATATGGAAGCAAATGACAAGGTATTATGTTCTATAGCTGAACTCCACGAGCCCCAGGCAAAAGTAACCATACAAAAAACATTCAGATAGCCACCCCAGATGAATTACGGAACAGCCCTGTCAGGCCCCATCCCTTGAGCCGTATTTTTGATGGTATGGAGGAACATGGATGGGAAGCAATGTCGACCATAGCGATCCTCGGATAACTAGAATAGATAATATATATCAGTCAGTCTGCTCAAACTTCCCATCCAGGCAAGAAGCAAAACAGAAAAAGGCTATACTCACTGTTCTCCCACCCTCATGCTCCGCGGTCCTATACCCCAGCCAACGCCTGTACAAATCCTCTGCACTATGCGTCGTGAACATGTACGACAGCCGGTACGTGATATGATCAAAGACATGATCAAAGTTCCAAATACTGTCCGGTCCACCGTTGATATTCTCCGGCGGACCGGGGTTGTATATCCTTGCCAGCTCCTTCGGCGTCCACTGGCCATCCGCGTAAATCGGATGCGGAACATACACAGCCTTGAGACCGTGGAAAAGAGCCCATGATGCACCTGTCATTTCAGACGCAAGACCCAGACCCTTCGTCGCCTGCGCGTGGTGGATCAGATCGAGCAACCGCTTGGAGTACCGGCCCATGGTGATGACTGCCGCGCGCCGCGGTGTGTTCTCGCCGTTCTTGAAGTTCCAGATCTTATTGGGGAATGTCCATTGCGTGTCTTGGGGGTTGAAGATTGGGAGGAAGGTTATGAAGTCGGCTTCCTCGCCTACGCCCCAGGTGTAGTTGTCGCTGTCGGGGTGGGAGACTGGTGGATCGGGGCCGAGGGGGCGGATTCCTGTGCCAGATATGGGGCCCCAGATTGTGGCATCGGAACGATCTGAGAGGCTGTCGTGGACCATTTTGGTGAACTCGCTCCAGTTGCCGTGGGCATCGGGGGTGTAGAAGTAGGCATTTCGTTCCCAGAGGTATTTGCGTGGTTGTTGGCGGGCGAAGGAGACAGCGCGGCCGAGGAAGTGGTAGGTATGTCCTGTGTGTCGGCCGTCCATTTCGAGTTGCCAGTAGTAGTCAAAATGGGGGTAGAGTTGGGAGAAGATCTGTAGAGGTTGGTGGTGTTGGAGTTGAGGGCTGGATGATGTTAGTATGACACTTCTTAAGAGGATTATCCGGAGAGAATTGCTTCACCTATGCTCTTCTATCCTGGGATACCAGGCCTCTAACAGCTTGTTGTTAAAGAAAAGAGCCATGTTTCTGAATTCCTTTGGGATGGAATTCTTGAGCCGATCAATGGTCTTGATATCAGAGAAGATCGGCATCATATCATCCTTTACATGAATGAGGATAAAAATCTGATATTCTCCACCAGAATGCAATGAGAGTTCCATAATCAGAGAACGAAGATATTCACAATGGTGAGGCTTCCAATGAAGTCCACTCCATGCCCGAATCAGTACCGCTGAGCGAGGATGGAACCGTTTCACATTCGCGTCACTTGTGCGTGACTCGGATGATTTCTTAGGGGCCTGGGGAAGATCAAAGGCCAGTGCATTCTGATTCAAAGAGTTAATCATCTCGGTTGACTCGTATCTGTTTGCATTTCTTTCCAAACAGAGAGACTGTAGCTTGTACCAATCAACTTCGCACCAGGGCACCGCACGAGGACGTGTGAAGCCCGGTATCTCATCCTCGCCATTCTCATCGTAACCGTATGCTCCGAAGCGAGAGTATCTATCCGTACAAACTTCACCGTCCAAATCCAATGCCTCGTACGATCCGAATCGCGGAGGTGGAAATCCCGCTTGTTGGCCCTTGTACACTTGCATCATATCTTCCGGGGACTTGCGATCAAGATAACGACCCCGAGGACCAAGGCAGGACTGGAACTTTCCATGGAACTGCTTCTTCCATTTCCGGCTGTTGTATGGGGGGTATGGGTCGTAGATTGACGGAACTGGATGCGAAGCGTTGACGGACTCGATACTCGTTAGGGTTAGAGTCCCGCCAAGATAGAATCGCTTGTCCCTAACGAGGATCATGTCTCAGTATCATCCTATATCAAGGCACTCATGGGAATCATCAAGAAACAAACCTCCGGTCATGAGCCATGCCCATCTCATCTGGCTCGGATGAGTCTTGATCTGCCGCCTCCCCTATGGGAGTAGCTAGATGATACTGCCCCGGTCGAAGGACCCTTGGGCCACAACAAGAAGCATAAACAGCCCGAATAAGGCTTGTTTCTTGTCCACCAGATAGATAGAAACCTGTCTGGAGAATGAAGACTAGGCACATAAGATATCCCAACCAGCGCAACCAGGTCCACCGTCGATCCCATAGTGAGGCGTTGAACTTAGTGTGAAAGACAGGCGGCGCGCTGTTCCTTGTGAGGAGCTTCATGGTAAATGAAAGTTGTGAAGCAAGATGATAAATCACATAATCTAGCTTCGAAAGCCGTGTAGTAAAGATAGTGGAAACGACAGGAAAGAGAAGAGAAGTGATGACCAGACAGTTAAAATGAAAGAACACAGGATGTTTTCGATTGACACGTCAAAGATATGGGGAAAGTCAATAGATGAGATTGTCTGTCAGGAGCTTGAGCATTAAGTTACATGTGGTGGTTGGGTGCTACGATGTCATCACTACGCGCTGTTGACTACATCGCGGTCTAGGTAGGTTTGGGTAATGCCTCACATAGTCTCAACGTGCTGTTCATGATGAAACATTGTCTAGAATAGCATCAACCTTAGCACTTCCCTGCGAAATATGCTCTTCTTTAGGGTATCATGCTAATAAACTACATAGACATATGTGTCACACAATATCATGCCGTGGAAAACAGCGCGATTTCGTATCAACCCTCAGCTTGGAGTCTGATTGCTGTACAGAGGAAATTTATCAGAAGGCAACTTATGTACCCAACATGAGGGATGCCTTCTTTAGGTGCTGCGAATGTGTGACTAAATCCTAAGAGTGCGTTTTCCTTAAAACCTGTTCTAGCTTAGCCCTAATTATAGAGTTGAACACACCGGGTAGATTCCCCAGGGGGCCACCGAGATACATAGAGAATGGGAGTACAAAGTAACACAGGTTTTTGATTTCAAGACTAAAGATAGATTCTATCAGAGGTAAAGATACGGGAAACCCAGGATATATACAAATGGCTCGTTGTATTACCATTATGTGTTGTCTAAACCGAATAATCAAAAAGTAATCCTGCTCGTGAGGTTGAAGAGCAGCCAATACTCAACCATCTATGCAAAATAGCTCTTCCATAAAACACCGGACAAATCTTCCAGCTGATCTGATGTGAAAGCCTAAAGGAAACATTGTTAGCTACTTGCTTCCGAAGAGATATGAGGGATGAGCCCCTGAGGGCCTCAATCACTAACCTTTGCGTCAATGTGCCAGGTATCTTGTCTAGTCTTCTTGAACTCGCTGATAATCGACTTCACACTCGAACCAACGATGCCTGGATCATTGGCCGCACGGGTACTGAGCGAGGTCAATGCCTGGGGCATCCACTGAGGTGGAGGACTGTTATACGGGAAGGCCTGAATCAAAGCGCCAAGACCAAGTACAGCACCGTGACGAACGATAATTAGGCGGTTGTGCTCTGGAGTGGGAGTCCCGGCACCAGATGACACAGCAGAGGAGGCGATTCCTGAGCGGAAATTCTTTGGTTTCTTGGGGAAAGGATTGTCTGCCAGAACCTTCGTGAAGCGTTCATGGAAGCGACTGACCATCTTCTCCCGCAGGAAGATGGGGGAGCATCGCACCATACCGGAAAGAGTGGCAGAGGCACCAGCGCGGACTTCGTGCTGGGGGTCTTCGAGCATGGAAGCAATGCACTCGAAAAGCTTATCGCGATCTGCGGGATCGAGGAGGAACAAGCGGCGGAAGTAAATGATCTGAATGTTGATCATGACACGCAGTCTCTGGTGCCACGATGGGGATGTTTGTCCGATGCGAATGAGAGATTGGATGAATTCGGAGTTCTTTTCGGCTGGGTAAGGGATGTTGGGGAGATGACGGAAAACGTGGTATGCGAGAGATTGGAGCTCTGGATCTTCCTTCACATCCATCATGTGGAGAAGCTGCGCAGTAAAGACATCCGGGAAGAATGAGACAAGTTGTGTGCACTCGTGAGAAGACAAAGTGGAGTCTAGCCAAAGAAGAACCGTCTTACTGCCCGAGGTGTAGGGTGAAGGTGTCTGTTGACCGGGAGTTCTGGCCTTGCGCCACTCCTCGATTTGACTGAAAACTCCATGGATCATCTTCGTAAAATCAGCTGTGGGCGGGTAAGGATATGCGCCAACGGACGACGAAGATTTCTGGGCCTCAAGAAGATGTTGAACATCAGGGTAAGACTCGTGATATCTTGTGCGATAAATAGTTGCAAGAGTCTGGCCCATTGCCTCACGAACGCCCTTATATGGATGGTCCAGATGTGCAAGGAAATCTTCCACGATGGGCTTGTCAAGCTGGTAGTGCCAACCAGAATCAATGATGCATTGGTGCAAGAGGTTGATCTTAGAACTCTCCTTGAATGCTGCATTGGTTGACATGTCAAGGCGGAAGCTGGACAGCCAATCCACCAAGGGCCAGGCGCGTCGGGGATCCCGACATTGCAGGATCATGTGGAGGAATGTTGTCCAATAGCCGGAATTTTCGGGGGTGAGGCCATCGGTGAAGATCTTTCGCACAATAGGGAAAGCATACTCCCAGACCATAGTCCGCTGCTCCACACCTGTGTCTGTCACAGAGGATATCAAAGCTCCGAGAATTTCCGCTGTAGCACGATGTTGATGTTTATCACTGCCATCCTCAAAGACTCCCTTGATCTCTTCTTGTATTTCTTCAAAGGAGACAGCTGTAAGACCGTCACGGATCATGAGCTCAAAAGCGTAGAGAAGCAGCATAGCACATGACATGCGGAATTTGTCGGCCGATGGATCCCGAGGCTCTTGCTTCAGGTACATAAAGAACTTGTGGAACCACTGGCGAGTGAGCATCTTGCCCATCTTGGTGCGGACCTGCCACTCAACCTCATCATACTCAATGTCCCGCGCGACGTTGGACTTGTAAGCGGGCATGGTCTTACCCCACACAAGCCAACCCGGGAAATCATGGTCAACGTAGTACTCTGCCTCTGGTTGTGCAAAGCTTGAGAGATATTGTTGAGTGTATCCCTTCTCGTAGGGCTTCGTTGCCACTTTGATTTTGGAGGGGAAACGTTGATGTCCAAGAATATAGTTCTTGTATTCGTGGGTGCAAATGGCACGCACATCGATCATAGTGAACAACGCAATAAGGGCTTGGGAGTACATGCCTCGCAAACCAGGGTGGTCATCAATGGATCCAACTGTCATCAATTCGATCAAGTTATCACTGGCGATATAGTCAAAGCGGAGACCCATGGTGATAACGATAGTCGCAGCGCGACTGGCGATCTTCCAATGCGATATACGTGCCAGGTTGACCAACTCTTCAGACAGATCGGCTTTCTTTTTCTCGATAGCAGCGCGCTTGTTGTTGATGACTGCACGCTTTTTCTCAATTTGCCCGCTGACATCTTCAGTAGGAGCAATGGCTTCTACGATATCTTGGTCCAAGATAGCCATTCGCTCCATGGCGCGACCGTAGTCCATAACTTGGAACACCGCGGTGGAGCAAATCTTCTGAACGGAGGGCTTGTCAACGGCGCTGGCATCGATGAATGTCCTGATCAATGTTGGTGCATATTTCCAATTCCGTCCGACGGTTTTGGCTACGCTGCTGAGAAGCAGTGAGTAAAGTGCTCCCTTGATGCGCGCATAATCATTATCCTTGACACCCTTTTGTAGAGCCGTGAGCAGGGGCGGAATGACAAGCAGTCTACCACCATAGACAGCCTTGAGTGCCGATTCGCCTGCATTTTGGGCATTGCGGCGTGTTTCTGTGTAGAGAGAGACACAAGACTCGGCAATATCAAGGAGAAGAATCTCGTCAAGCTTAGATCGAGGACGGGGAGAAGCGTTGTGTCTTAAGCGTTGGAGGTGATACACGTTGGCTCTGCGCACAAGCAAAGCTCTAGGGTAATCCTTTCGCAAACCACTCATCTTATAAGGATGAATGTCGGCTGCTAGAAGCCTAGTCACTCGGTCGAGTACGTGGGCGGATCTCTCAATGCCCACATCAACAAACCACGATCTGAAGGCAGAGTACAAAGCGCCAAAGCAAGGGACATCATCCTCTTGCTTATCGGTCAAAAACCGATGTACCTCATGCAAGACCCAACCAGTTCTCTCGCGGAGTTCGTGGATGGTAGTATACAACTGGTCATCTTCTTTGAGAGAATACCCAGTGGGATAAGTGAAAGACTGTCTGATGGTACCATCATCAGAATTGTCTAGGGAAGCATCGGTATCGGTATCAACGTCATCTACGCCATCTGCCATCTCGACATCCCCAGAGGTACCATTTTGAGGCCCTTGTGTTGTGGTTGATGCGGCTTTGGGATCAAAGAGAACAGAAATTCCAGACAACACGAGTCGCAAGAGGACAAGGTTTCGAGAAACCTCATCTGACCAATCCTTGCCGCTGCCATCACGTTTGACAGTTGATGTCTCATGAGTGAGTGCAGATAGTTGCTTCAAGGCCGCCTCTGTCTGGCTTTTGAAGACGTCGACGGCAAATTCAATCTCCTGTCGCGTAGGTACATGCCAGTTGATGTTGAGATTGTGCACATCGGCTTGGTAGCTCCAGAGCTTCGGTTCGATACCATTCGCTTTGACTGAAGGTTCGTACAGCGAGAAATCATTGGTGTATGTTCCCGTCAGATTGAGCAGCAGGTGGTGAATGAAGTTAGAGATATGAACCGTAGGAATGCCACGGCAGTTCTGTTGCATGTACACTGCAATGTCGAATAGCTCTTGGCGGTGATTGATGACAGCACTGCCGACATGCACCACACACATGCTGAGCATACTGACATTCCAGACCAAACCACGATCACGAGGCAAAACATCGGTGCCTGTAGTTCGGGTCGACCCAGCGCCATTATCTTCGATCTCAGTACGGATAGCCCCAGTCAACACCGGGATGAACCGTTTGAGCGCCTTTTCGGGATTGACCTTGCATAGAGCGTTGCAAATGAAAGCCATTGCATCACGAGCTTGGTGAATAACATGGTTAGACACGAAATCCACAATCTTCCCTAGAGCGATATCATAATACTCTGGAGACAGAGAGGCAAGCAAAGGCATGAACGTGGCAGGGAGAGTGTTCACAATATTCTCTTCGGGAGAACCATTTCGAACTCTGGAGACGTCCGGCAGATTCTCCAATAACGTGAAGACGCGGCCCAGAAAAGCTATCGTGAAATCTCCGAAACCACATGTAGAAGATCGCAAGATCAATTCCTCGGTTGCATCATCCAGCTCCGTGTCATAGCCAAGCTGTACATCTGCCCCTTGCTCTTCCATCCTCTCCATTTCACCCGAAATCCATTGCATGGCAAGCATGTTGCAGTTGACGTCATCGCGCCCTTGGGTCAAATCGACCATTGGAATATTGTAACAGGCCGATTGAATGAATGAAAGTGCATGGAGCGATTTTTCAAGATCGTTGGCATCAATACCAGGTAGTGTCAGACCCAGCAAAGTTGTCATGTGACAGCGATAACCCTTGGTGCGCGAAATAACGCGAGAGAGCGATGTCATAGCCCGGAGCGATGAAGTAGTGCGGTGCACCTCAACAAGGCCTTGAAGCGCCGGATAGATTCTCTGCAATGCCCCAGGTAGAATGAGATGTGGTTCCAAGTAGGCCAGACCTTGCAAAGTCGACAGGGAGAAAGTCATTGCAGTGCTGCTCTTGGCATAGATTCCCATGAAAATTACATCACGGATGCAGAGTACAAATCGCCGCCTCAAAGGCTCATTCAACCGTCGCTCAGGCGGAATATCCATCTCGCCACTTTGTTCCCGGTTCCAACGCATGACGAAGAAATCAGTCAGGTAATAAACTAGCTGTGACAGAGTCTTGGTCCACCCGCCCGCATTAGAAGGATGGAAGAAGGTCTCAACGGCTTGGATAAGGCCTTCTAGTTGTGTAAGAATTGAAACCTCCGAGTCGACGCACGCCGGGGAGAGCGACATCACAATCCATCGAGCTATATGATGAGCAACTGGGTGCTTGCGCCCATCTCGGTCAAGCATGATACCCAAACCAGATGAGATATCCACTAACGCACTGTACGGGGAAGTGGATTGCCCAACAGGGATCTCCAACAGTCTTAGGATCGCGGTGAAGATAAGTGCGGATTGCTCCTTTGTGAAGATACCATACTCAGAGAACGGAATATGACCGGCCGGTAGAGAATCCCGGGCCAGTCGGGAAAAGTAGTCTAGATAAGTGGTATCAAACGTTTTCGACCGACCAACTAAGGACCACAAATGGAAATGTGTAGGCAGATGGTTCTGCGGTAAGAGATCGGCTCGCGAATCGGGAGGTGGGGATGTCGGGAGCAGCAAATTAATGAGCCCTGCGACAACGAAGGCACCTTCTGAGAATGATGTGGTATAGTGCGGCAAGAACTCTTCAAGCATGGCGGGAAGTTCACACGGGTCAATGAATAATTGAGCGAATGCGCAAAGTTTGGTCAAGGTCTTGACATTTCGTTTCAGGTTGGTCGAGTGAACGAGGCCGGACTCTGTAGGCAGGACAAACGCCTTGAGCTCTTTGTAGAGAGGCTTCCAATCTAATGTAAGATCCTTGATTGGTCTGAGATAATGCTTTCGCCTATATTTTGGATTAGCAACCATATTATCCCCGCAACAAGTCTAAAAAGCGAACTCACTTGGTGAGAAGCATGAACATGCTGGAGAATCGCTCCGCGACCGACGGGTCGATCCCGGGGGCAAGTGCCAACTCATAATACAGTTTCACAAGGCTTATGCGCTGTGCGCGAGTTGGATCGAACTTAAGTGAGAGCCAGCCGCGAAGCTCGCGTGTCCAGTGCACCGCTCCTGGGTTAAAATCGCCAGCCTCCACTGCAATATAAAGCTGATTCAAAATTTCCCGCAGGTTTTGATTCCGTTCGGATTCATCTTCCAATTCATATGGGAGATATTTGGAGTATGGATAGGTACGAGGTCGCACGCGGGCTATTGGCTCGCCTTCGCTATTCACGGCCGCGGGCTCGCCACCGGGTGAGGTCGCCCGGGAAAGCTCTTGTGCATGGTGGAAATTGTCGGATGTGAGAATTGCCTTGGGACCGGAGGCTTCCATGGTCGGATAGGAGGTAGGGAGGGAGATGGTCGATACGAAATGGAGATGGGGTGAGGGAGGAGTGGCTACTGCCGTCGGGTCCAGAGCTCTGGCAGCAATACGTCAGCAACGCCCGTGTTCCACGATAGTACCCTATTTCCCGCACAGAAGATACCACCGAAGGAGATTCGAAAGAGAGTGTACTTTTTAATGAAACTTTGAAGCTCCCACTCCAACAGGCGCGGAATTTGAAACCGGAGATTTTGTTTCACACGACTGTCTTTGCATGGGGTTCTTTTTGATTTGGTTCGCCGTAAGAGAGGGTATGGAAAGACTCAAATCCTTGGTAATCGAGCGATTCGATTATACAGACTCACTCTTTCGCATTAAACTGCCTGATATGTTGAAGGTCCAGAAGAGGTCAACGGAGAGAGAGTCGAGGTTGTGATGACATAATTTTACGGTAATCTTTGATGGAAGCTTGGGCCCTGCAGCAAGCTGTAAAGATGTAGACTAAGGTAGAGTATGTATGTAGGAGGTGCTCTTGACGCTCTTGTGCAGGATCTAAATTTCACATCTCTTTTGTTTCTCGTTCTTGATATTTATAATGACTCACTTGGTGGGCGACTGCGCCATTTGCCCCAGTTTAGGCAGACAGCCTTACGCACACAACTCGCCCAACCACCTAGGCAACGTTAGAACAAATCAGGAATGGCTGTCATTTTAACCTTTCACAACAGTCTGGCCCCTGGTTTACAACCTCAAATCATACTCCGGATATCAAATCTATATTGTACACGGCAAGGAGTCTCGGAGTAATGTTGGACCGAGTGGGGGCAATGTTTAGCCGTTCTCTTTCATGCTGGAGGCAGGAAAGAACCAAAAAGAACACCTTGGATCAACGCATAGGCCACCATGCTATACACAGCGGCTACGAGGATTCGGCTTTGCTTGGGGGAGCTTGAACTGAGATCCACGGCGCTGGTTACCAGGTACCAATACCACAAAGGATAAGCTGACGAGATGCGGTTGATGATCTGGACATGATAGCTTGTGACTGCCATCACTGCCAGCAAACCTTGGGGAACCGCCAGTCGAGTGAGCATTGATCCGGGACTGGTCGATGAGGAAGAGGGACTCTGGAATGCCCACAAGCTAGATTTGCACAGAACTGCCAACATCGGCGCCGCCAGTAGGAAAAGAGGTATATTGGAGACGGTCCAATATCGCAGGAAACCAACATCCCTGTAGAATTTGTAAGCATAAGATCAGAAGTATGCAGACATGCATTTCAATACTCAACACGTACCAATAATGAGTTTGAACCCAGCTATAGATGCTAGGCAAGGTCCACTCACACCATGGCCGAGCGTCGCTCTCGGACATGCAGTACGCGCGATAGGCCAAGACCTGGGGAATCATCATCCCAGATCCCACAATGCAGCCACCGAGAATGATCACCGCAAGACGTACGGTGGTGTGTAGTGTCGGTCCTTGAGTCAAGGTCTTCCAAGCCAAAACCACCGCATCGTATGCAAACAGGAACCCACTGAGGATCCCGTTACTGCGGACCATAGTGGCAGCTGCAAAGAGCACGGCACATGTGAGGACCCTGACATCCCTCAGACGCGTTGCCCCGTTGCGCTCGGCAATGAGGGACGATGAGTAAAGGTAAAAGCCAGTGATGTTGAAGAAAGAGACTATCGACTCTCCATAGGGCGCGGATAGAAAGGCACCCGCTGGCGAAATGATGTGAAGTGCCGCAGACAGAAAACAAATGAGATGTTGAGTGGCCGTCGCATGACCAAAGATATTGGCCGACAGACGATAGAGCGCCAGCACAGACAGGTAATGAGCTACATGAGAGAGAACTACGCCCACCACTGCAGTGCTAGCTTGCCCAGCATGTCCGCCAGAGAGGCGAATACCTGTTCGCCATATTAGAGTCTATCAACATGAGATATTCGTTGCAGGGTGAATCTAGGGAGGTGATGATATACCGGAAACAAAAAGAGAGAGAAGTTTGGAGTAGCCCCAGCTAAAGGCCCACTCTTGCTCAAATACGTATCCCTTTTCCGCAATATCTAGGAAGTAGATGCTGTCCCATCTGGCAAATTTGAGAGGTCCCGAGAGAGACTCAGACTGGCTGGCGACCGCTGTAGAATCAGCGGCATATGAGATTAAAGATGTGGAAGTGTCGTAGCCTGATCCTGGAGAACACGCAACAACAATATACAACAAGACCTTCCATGACCAGAAGGCTAGTGTCAAGCTTCGAATTGGGTTGTCCAATCGTAGTAATTTGGCGAACAGGGGTGGTGGCCTTGAAGCGGGCTGAATTGAAGCCATCACGGCACGAGTCAGCCAGTAACCAGGGCGGTTTCTTCGAATACGACCTCGGAAGCCTTCCCAATTAGGTTTCCTGATGGGGTCGGGTTGTTGGGTCCAGAGGTCGGGACAAGTTCACCTCACGCAATCTGCGGTGTGCCGAGGCAAAGTGGTGAGTTGTGAATACATAACTGTGCATTATTAGTCAGTGGGGATTTATCCCCGGCCCCCTTGCTCACGTGGGGGCTAACCTCGGACTTCGGCCATTCCCGAGGTCCAATCGTCATCCACCGATTTGCCAATCCTACGCTCGAAGATCTCTACATTACTCGATATGCACTGGGATTAATTTGAAGGGATGCAGATGTTTCACCAAAAGCCATTGGTTCGGATCCCGGACATTTCGTGAAACGAATCAATGTGCTTTTAGAGACCAAGATGAGCAGACTTGGACCAACTCAGCCCTATACCACTCTGCGCTACTCCGTACTGTAGAAATTTGCCACGGCGTCCATTATGGGGAGCATACACAGCCAATCAAGTTCTCCACTTGCACATCAATTTGTCCGAATCTCTGAGGAAGCAGATCCAAAATCCCTCGGACAGACTATCCGAACGAAAAATCTGATGTTGAGCGTGACAGTCCCCCACTAGGCTAGGGACAACGATACGGTGTCCGGTGTATTTTCTCGCATAACACCAATAACGCTAAGTCGAGCGATCTTGGCCAGACCAAGCCATTTGCTGATTTCTCAAAAGATGGGGCTTGCCAAGGTCCCTAAGGCAATATGTAAGACAACATCATGACGTCCAGTACGATATCAATGATCGCCACGGAAGCCGGATGTGTCGGAGCCCGTAACTGGCCGATCCCGGTGGGCATAAGCCAACATGATTGAGCTGTATGTTGAAGGTACGGAGTATAGTGTCATCTGGTATTGGATCGGTTCCACTCGACAGTTTGGATTATTCAATGTTCTAGTTTTTCTAGTTTTTTTCTAGTTTTTTTCTTTTTTTTTCCTTTTTTGCCCTTTTTTGCCCTTTTTTTGCCCTTTTTTTTAGATCCTCCGTACTCCGTACCTAGGCAGCTCTATAAGGCTGACCGCCCCATTCGTACGGAGGGTGTTGTTCTTTATTGTTCCTTCCATGCAGGCTTTTTGGACACATCCCTTCCACTCGTTTTCTCATAACACCCCCCTTGCACCCTGAGTTCTTTGTGCAAGTCATATTTTCAATTTCCCATCGCCTCTCCTTTTACTTTCTGCAGCCCCCCACACAATTTCCGAACTGAACTTTCCTCCCCCGCAGCTGTTGGAACACGGGCATGACTACACCATATTTCAGGTTTTGATGAAATTCCACCAAACCTTGGATCCCAAACATTGATGTGGCTCCGCTAAGGCTCAAGAATGCTATTGAATCTTGGCCTTACAGCGGATGTCGCAGCTGCCCATGTAACTGAACCTTTCAGCCAACCAGAACCACAACCTCCCACCTCTGCCATCTACTCGCCAACCTTCTCACTCGCTACCTTGCCGTTGTTGAACTCTTTTTACAATCGTCCCAAGCTTCCGGATGGTTCTACTGATTGCCCAGGGCTTGTGTCCTCTATGGCAATGAGTTCAATCGAGTCGGCCTCCGACTCAGGTGAAGGATCAACTGTTGTTGCCAGGACCCGAGCCACCCATTCAAGCACAGGCCGGAAGCCCCGACCCAAAACCACCTACCAGTTCGCCCATCCTGCCGGTCATGCTCGTCACAAGCGGTTGAGACTTCGCCCCAAACTCCTCCTACAACTACAACAGGTGTCGCAGACTCCCCGGCCCCTACCAGTAGTAGATGTCCTTCCATCCAAATCTTTTCCACCGATTCTATCTCGCAAGTTCCCGGCCATTTATCGAACCAGAACCGGACTAGGTCCGTATGACCTGATCGTTGTCATTAGCGAACAATACGACCGCACAGTAGGCACCATTCCCGAGAAACAAGTCAGCTCAGAGGATGAGGACGAAGATCATCGCGAGGTCGTCGCCACAATCTGCCAAAAGGTGCAAGAGGATGAGCGGCTCAAAGGAAAGGCAGAGATATGTTTGAATTTTGGGCCTGTTTGGGACGCGTCACCTCTCCCTAGCGGGTCCTACGAGTTTGTCGCCGAGACGGATACCGGCGTGCAGATTGTGCGGTGGGCTTTACGGAGTGGGAGAAACCGCCGGATGACTGCGCCTTCGGGGACCCAGTCGAGTGAGGGTGGCAAACGCTTCACCTTCAGTGTCATCGATCCCACCACTCGCCGGCATCCCGTTCTTGCTTCCATGACTCGAAACCAGTTGGAAGTCAACAGTGAATACTCCCCGGCTGTTCGATCCAGCACTGGGCCCACAACTCCAAGCTCGGGAATGTCGGTAGTGAGCGACCTATCCGATGGAGAAACACCTCTTAATGGAAGCTCAGTCACCTTAGATGATGGACTGCGAACTTTAATTATTGTCACAGGAATCTGGGTTGCCTTCCGTGAAGGATGGTCAGACAAATTCAATTATGCCGATCGAGTGTCTACAACAGGTGCAAAGTCGATCGTGTCTCCATCTGCTACGACAGCCAAGAATAGGTCGGACAGTTTCCCGGAAAGCGATAAAGCTAGTCCAGGGAAAGATCCAGCCAGTGGGGGCAAGCGCTGCATGTCCATCTCCAACATGTACCGGTCGAGCACCCCAACCCCTGTAGATGGAAGGCAATCCGGTAGCCTATCCAAGCGTTCTAACTCCACTGGTGCGGCATTCATGGATCGAGCGAAGCGACGATCTGCTTCTGGACTTAGCACTCGTTTGAACCGACACAGCATGTTCACCACCTTGGGCGAGAACGGCCGCGATATTGTTGTCTCTCGCCCTCCTTCTATCATTCGCCAAAATTCTGCTGAAATGGAAGACACACCTCGGGCTAGTCAATCCAACCCAAGATCCCATGCAAAGCCAGAAGATGACACCCTCAAGTCAAAATTGGGGTTAGACCGAGACAATCCAACTTTTTCCCGCTTCACACAGCACAACAGCATGCGCAAGAAGAAGCGGGAATCTCTACTTCCCGACTCCGCCGACTCAAACCTCAACAAAGGCAAACTCCGCCATCGCCTCAGCTCTATCTTTGGCATCTTTCACCGCAAACACGATACTCATTGACACCGATTCCCTATTTCTGGGGCATGTCCACGCCTACATCATGTCCGTGGCTAGTCCACGTGTAGGCATATTCACAGGACCCTTTTTTGTTCCATTGCATCTAGCATAAGTTTGGGCGTTCATACTTTCTACGGCGATCCGTCTGGTACGAATTTCCGCCGATCTTTCCTTTTCTTCCACACCCATTCCTCTCTGTTGCATTCCAACTAGCATCTTGCACCCTTTGCATTTGCACATCCTTTTTACTTTCTTTTTTTATACCTACTTCTTCTCACCATTTCTTACAACTCTATACCCTGGCGGTCCAGACTTGATATGTCCATGCTTGCACCTCATCTACACATGTACATCGTTAGCCATCTATCTGTCACGCTGTAAATGAATAAAATACCCCATCTCCTACCGTCAACACCTCATCCTTCCTCATTTCATTGAATTTAGTGGGTATCAATGGGCACATATCTTTTGCGCTACACTAGATACTAGTGATCCCTAGCTCTCTCTAGTAGTGAGCCCTAACATCCCCAGCCATAACACGATCAGCCCCAGACCACACTCAAACACTAAAACTGCGCAGTCTTATTAGACGGCGCAGCGGTATAAAGCTGCTGTCCATTCTTCTTAAACCCAACAATAACCTTCTGCCCCTCCGCGCTAATAACCCACTGCGCAAAGCGATCCGCCATCTTCTCATTCTCCGCTCCCTTCCCAACAAGCATATGAGCCGGGTTAAGCAAAGGATCACTCGGCGCATCCGTCGCCGCCTTATAGATAGTCGTCCGATTCTGCATTTCCGGATCAATAGAAAGGAAAGTCCCCCGATCCGTGATTGTATACTCCTCCAGCAAGATCGCCGCCGTCAGCGCCTGGATCGGATACGCAATGTACTGGTGGTACCACGTCGAGTACTTCGTCGCCCAGGGGACCTGCCCAATTTCGATCCACAGCTGGGAATCCTTGATATTGGTGGCAGACTTGTCGTACCGCGAGAGGAAGCGCACGGGGGGTTCGGTGCCGGCTTCGGCGGCGGAATAGATAGTCGAGAACATCGTCTTGATGTCATAGGATTTGGACAGCTTGGCGGGGTTGGAGGCAGGGCCGACGAGGAGGAAGTGGTCGCGCCAGGCGTACCAGGCGGGGGATTTGGCGATGTTTTGCTTTATGGCGATTTGCTCGGCTGCGGGCGTGTAGGTGATGCCGACGTCGATGGTGTCGGATTTGAGGTAGTTGATTGATTCGGTGGTGTCGCTCTTGTACCAGGCTACTTGGAATGGGTCTGAGCCGTTGCGCACGCTGGATTGGATGAAGGCGTCGGCGAGCGCTGTGGTTTTGTTTTAGTCTTTGGGTTCGTTGGTCTGAGGTACTTGGGTAGCTTTGGGTATGGGCGAGACGCGGGTGGCTTTTGCTAAACTTACCCTCAATCAGTCCGCTCTGGCCGGCACCGCCGTTGCCGATGCGAAGGAGGACTTGGCTAGATGAGTTGTAGCCTCCGCTATAGATTGCAGCAGGGTCGACTGCGTAGGCTGATGTAGCGAGGGCCAGGCCCTGGATTAGGGTGAAGGAGCGCATGATGACCGATAACGAACAGAAGCGGGGATGGAACCAAAGATTGACTGGGAAATTGGCTTTTATAAGGCAAGTAGTATGAAGTCACTATGAAGATAGATATATAGGTTCTCGCTTGTCGTTTCTGGGCCGGACTTCAGGGGGGCCATCTCAACATGGCGTGCGGGCCTGTCTATCCTTGCGATGAACGAGTATCCCGTACTCCCTACGGCATATAGAGTTAGTCTGACTCTCTAGCAATGCGCGCTAGAAAATATCCAGAATAGATCACCCTGCGTGGTGGTGCTAGTCTGGAGCCTTATCCGCACTTCCGATCAGATCTGTCTGTGCCAAGGCAATAGTGTGAGAGATGGTCGGGATCTACATCACCCTTGCCTGTACTCCGTAAAGCCGACGAAGATCAGCGTGAACTCAGACACTGCATGTGGACTCTAAAGTTGTGACCTCGTTGTCTGCAGGTGGTGATTCGTCGATAGCTCCTCGTGGCTGATTTAGACTGGGCTGGCCACAAGACCGTGGAACACATTTCGGAACAGTGCAGATTCCCAGCAGATGGTTGTGGATTCCAAAGCGAAGTATTGAAAAATAACACTGTCAAGGTCGGTGCCAGCGCTCAATGTGGTCACTAGAATCAACCTAGTACCTATTTGTATACCGCTGTACGGAGTAGGTGAACTGAGCTCAGAAGACCTAATACCGCTTTTGGGTAGCTTGTTTTGATCATTTTCCTCTCATTTCCCAATTTGCCTCCAACAGCGCCAAGTCTGAACTGCATGAGGGTAAATTTTGAGATAGCTAATGCAATCTTAAGAAATACCTAATGCGCAACCTTATGAGCTGCGTCATGGGCCGCCTTGAGAGCCACCCGATGATACTCGAGAGTCGAGAGGGAAAGTTTGAGGGGAAGGACAGTTCTAAAAGAAAGCAAGGATACAGCAGAGAAGAGGAGTATCTACTAGTAGAGGATGACATTCGATGGTCTCATAGTAGACCTCTTTTCTTTATTATTTCTGCTTATTCCAATCTCAAATGAATTTTGGTGAAATATACATATCTCATTCGCTCTATACATCGTGATTCGGAGTACTACGTGTTTTCTATTTTTGACAACCAGGTAGCTCGCTATAAAAGCCGGGACTCTAGTTCAGGATCATGAGAATGCCTGTTGTTCATCTATTGATCATGGTACTTGTAGTTCAAGTCACCGGAACCACCAACCCAGAACGAATCCCGGAAAACATACGCTCATAAGATGCCATTAGCAAGTTCCTCCCGTCAAGAACGGGTGATGAGATATTTAATCTACACGAAATGGCCTGCTCATTTGAAACAAAATTGACTTTCGTTCATAAAGCGACCTAATACGACCCGCGTTCCCCCCTAAAGAACGCATAAAACATATGATCGCAATGTGATTCACTCCCGAGTCGAAAGATCCAACAACCTCCTCCCAGTCCCTATTTTGCGTCCTAATAGCCAGTAAAACATGTCATGTCTTGACACTGTTCAATTGAAATGCTATTGGACAGTACCATATGCACATAAAATTCCATATCTCTCTTCAACATTTACCGCTCAAGAGCAGTAACAGCCTTGGGAACATACGGCTCCTCCAGATACTTAATCTCCTCGGCCGACAGCTGGACCTTAGTAGCAGCAACAGCCTCATCAATGCGCTTAATACTGTGCAGTCCAACAATCGGGTTCACACTGGGGTGAGTCAAAGACCAGGCGACAGCAACCTGAGCCATGCTCACACCCTTCTTATTAGCGACTTCCTCAACCCGATCGATGATGGCTTTGTCAGCCTCAGACTCGCGGCTACGAACAAACATCTTCAGGGCGCCGTCGCTGTTCTCGCGCACTGTCTCGCGCGAGCCCCAAGGACGCGCCAGGGCGCCACGGGCAATTGGTGACCATGGGATGATTCCGACTCCTGAGTCCTGGCAGTAGGGGATCATCTCGCGCTCTTCTTCACGGAAGATCAGGTTGTGGAAATTCTGAATGCAGATGAATTTGTGCCAGCCATTGCGCTCGGCGATGTTTTGCAGAGCTTGGAACTCCCAGGCCGCCATCTAGAATTCCCGGGTTAGTGCAGTTCTCGCTTGGTAGTTGGGAAGCTGAAAGTCGGAGCGGATTAGAGTAGAAACGTACCGAGCTGGCACCAATGTACCGGACCTTTCCACTCTCAATAACATCGTTCAGGGCCTTCATGATCTCCTCGCGTGGCGTTCCTCGATCCAGTCGGTGGATCTGCAGCACGTCGATATAGGTGCCTAGACGTTCAACGCTGGCATCGACGGCATCGAAGATGTGCTTACGCGATAAGCCGGTGCGGTTGACAAAGGGGCCATCGTTCTTTGCGGATGCAGCAATGGGTGGGAAATTGCCCTCGTCGTCAACGCCGTAGAAGCACTTGGTCAGAATCACTACCCGGTTGCGAGGGATGTTGTACTTTTTGAGAGCTTTTCCGACGATTTCCTCTGATTTTCCGTGTGAGTAGACATCTGCCTAGTCGGGGATATTAGTTAGCAAATTGCGAACCATCTTTACAAAGAGGGCAGTGGTATGGCTCACCGTATCCCAGGTGTTGATGCCCTGCTTGTAGGCATATTCGATCAGAGGCAATGAGTCTTCCTCGTCCAGAACCCAATCTTGCCATTGCTTGCTACCATATCCCATGGTTCCCAGGATAATCTTGGAGATCTTTAGACCCGAGTTTCCAAGGCTGTCGTTTTTTTGTGATATCAACATGCTGTCTTTGCGAAGTGTTTGCTATGAGGGTCTTACCGGACATATTCCATGTTACTCTCAGCCATTTTGAGTAACTTAGAAGATGCAATAAACTCTAATGACAATTAAGTTGTTAGTCACAAGAAGTCGTTCCAAGGTTGTATCCATCGATCTATCTTCATATGGAAGATGACGTCGGGCCGTGGGACTGGGGGAAGAAGGAGCACGGGGAAACCCTACTGAAGTGGAAACAGTTATAGCTTTCAGAGAGAAAAAAGAAGATATGACAAGAAGCTAGAATTTGCAGTCGAATTTATCGAGAATAAAGAGGCCTGGAAGTGAGGGGAAATTAATAATCTACTTTTGTAGAATCTGCCGAAATTCACAAGCGTGAGATGTATAGCCGGCGAGTTACCGGGAAGCGTTCCGTCCGTTGATCCACTGCACTTAGTCTGATCGTCCGGTCTAGAAAGTCGGAGACTAAAACTTCGAGGTGAAGGTGACCGCGATATACGCATTCAGATATTCTATTCTGAAGTAGTATATATCGACCTGCGCGAATGGTCGCACGATCTCGGGTGATATTGGTCGTTGAACTGTGTTACGGGCTTTTATATGGCCTATCGTAGAGCAAAGCAAACGTGAAGTGATTTGATTTCCCATAGTGAAGTTCTCGATGCATACATATAGCTACCTACCTTGCACATTAAGGCTTGACTTTCCTCAAACCGTGCAAGTCTGCTCGCCAAGGGGTACCCATGTCTTCAGTATCTGTAAGACCTGGTACATCGCGCGGAATGCCGCATTGTTTGGTGTTGCAGATACTTGCATATATGAGGCTGGTCTTTTTTCTGGCTCTGGGTCATTGGTGGGATGGTGGAGCCAAGGGATTCGATTAGGCGCGAATCCCTCCGCAGTCACACCGTTGCCAAAGCTTCCGAATTTTTCATTGAGGGTTTCATGGACTAGGTCGAAGTCTTCCCAGCGAACAATTTCGGTTGCTGCGTAGTAATGGAGAACAGTGCCAGGCCAAGGAACGACGACCTTTCCATTTCCGTTCTTGTCTATGTGCCCAAGACTTTGTTAGTCGATCAGGTGGCAGACAGACAAGAGATATAAGCCACTTACACCATGAGTTGCAGGGACCAGACCAGACCATTTCAGACATTCTCGATTGCACCCATTGGTTAAATGCAGTCTGCGCCTGCCCTGTCACAGCCACTGATCGCAGCTTGTCTTTCTGGAGCCGAGATAGGACTCGAGTCATGTAATTACTCGCTCTCTCGATGCCAGGGATGGCAGATCCGTTCACGGGGCAGATTGGTGGGTTGAAAACTGTTGCAATCATCTTTATTAGAAGAGCTGACTCCATAAGACATCGCTATTCTTACCGAAAAGGTTGGGGAATCCAGCAACCATCGCAGCCATGTAGCTCTCGCAAGGTCCCTGGCGATCCCATTCAGCAGTCAAAGATCGCCCATCGCGACCAATGACGGGGAACCGTGGCTGGTATGGCTCGAATCCGGTGGCATACACCAAAATGTCACACTTGTATTCCGCGCCTGATGCAGTGATGAGGCTGTCCTCTGTCAGTCTGTCGATTGAGTCTTGCACATACATGGCATTGGGCTTCTGCAGGGCATCCAGATAGTGGCCACCTGGAGTGAAACGGCGACAGCCAGCCTCAAATTGTGGTAAGAGGGCCTTCAGGAGAGCGGGGTCTCTGATCTTAGATTTCATAAACGACTGTGCCGATGACGTAAATTTGGCTTGAGATTCAGTTCCTTTCCAAAGTCCCGAAAAGCCTGCGGCCAGCTTCTTCTCCAATGCGAAACAAAAGTCATAATACTGCGAAGGAGATGACTCGAGAGCTTGTTTCTGTTCCTTGGAGTCTGTGTATGGATTAGGACTTTTCTTCCATGATTATTTATATCTTTTTGTGTAGAGACTCACATTGACGCTGAATAGCACCGTCCTCGGAAAACACATGCGGGAGAATCCACGTCGGGCCTCGGGCAATGTTGATGATCTGAGAAGTGACTTGAGAATCCGGCGCAGTCAGCATGGTGTGGCTTCAGAGAAGCGCTTCAACTCCGTTGCTTACCTGGCTGCAAAGCTGCCACGCACTGAACGGCACTCGCACCATTTCCAATCACAATCACCCGCTTGTCCACTACATTGATGTCCGTGGGCCAATTTGCAGTGTGCAATTGTTGTCCTTGGAAGGAATCCTGGCCCGGGATCTTGGGGATCTTGTAGTTGTTCAGCCGTCCGACAGCATAAATGAAGACATCAGCAATAACAGTCTTTTCCTCGTGAGAAACCACATCACGGAGAACCACTGTCCACTTTGAGGACTTCTCATCCCACTCAGCCGATTTACATTCGGTATTGAAGGTCATGAACCGACGAAGATCGTGCCTGTCAGCCACATCCTCCAGGTATTGGTGAATCTCTGGAGCTGGTGGGTAAAACGACGACCAGGATGGATTGGGCGCCCAACTAAACTGATAGGTGTGGGAAGGCACGTCGCATGTGCATCTATTTCTTAGTTAGAGACGTGTCTATCCATCTGTAAACAAAGCTGGCATGGGGGAAAACATACCCGGGATACCGATTTTCATACCACGTACCCCCAAGGGAAGGGTTTCGGTCATAGATTTCAAGGTCAACATTAGGCAGGGATTCAGTCGCATCGTGTGCAAATTGAATTCCCGAAACACTACCAAAGCCGTTAGACATAACCATCGTCTCCGGGCTCGAGTCCAGTATACACGTACCCAGCACCGATGACCACAGCCTTCAGCGGACGTGCTACGAAAGCACTCGGGATGAGATCAGTCGCCATTGCAGATGCTTGGTGGAAAGAGGATAGCTGCAGAGGAAAGATTCCAGGACACGGTTCGGAGGAGTGGTGGCTGTTCTTTATAGGAAAGCAGCGTACTTGTGCTGTCGGTCGCCTGCGTAGTCCACTTGCTCTCTGAAGAAGCGAGCAACAAGTTTTGAATCAGTGATGGTACTGATTCACAATCAACTTTTGTGTTGCCTTTGTTGTTGTTATTGCCTGTGTTCTTTCACGTTCAAGTCGGTATCACAACGTCTCGGAGAGAGAAACAATAAGACCCAGGAAGGTAAAGTAGATAAGCGAAGAAAGTCTGAATAGAATACTGTATAGAGAAGAAGCTCGTTGGTGAGTAGTAAAAGCCCAACGGACCCTTCTGGCGGAGTCTTAAGTAGATGGTAATCTGAGCCGAGGGATGCCAAGCTTAGAAGTCTGATGCCCTTCTGCAGGAAGAGATGCAAGATTGCGTTTTCCCTGTCGATCATGACGATAGATCAGCAATAGTCTGGCTACAGGCCTTCATCATCAGACCTCATATGACCTTCAGTGGCGCTGAACGTAATTGGCTTACTGCGCCTTAGAAGGAATGGAGGTCACTGTCAATATCTGCAGACCCATTCGATAGGTCAATTGTATTTTTGTCCTTCGAGACTGAAGATCTCTTCCGGATTATGCCATTGAAGAAGCAGGACAAAGGACAGCAAAAAGCAAAATGAGATAGCAAGCAAACTAGCAGAGCAATACAGATGCACAATGACATGTCCCGCGTTTTCCCTTTTGGTCTTCATCGCTGCCATCTCTGTCACGACTACAGGCTTGACCATCCACTATCGAACTTTGATCACTTACAGTTCAGTTGATCATCTTAGCTATCGGGAGCCATCTAGTTGATTTACCGTCATGCTGATTACAGATTTTCTCACAAGTATGTCGATCTGTCATCCTGGATGCTGAAAACGTGTCTGACCCAGCCAGACCACTACCTCAGCCCCGAATGGGACCCAATCATCTTCATTCCATGGGGACAGTCCCACCGCATATTATGCCAGCCAATCGAGTGCATTCGAGTCATATGCTTGACATCAAATGTTGAGAGCGGTCCAGAAGCTCCAAACCACTGGAACTTCTACATATCCACATCTGAGGAGAACAAGACGGCGATAATGCTGGAATGCTCGCCAGGGTTTGGGGAACAAACCACGATCCTTGAGTCAGGGTGCAAAGCTGAAATCCTCTTTGAGGAGAAGATGACCTTGAGCCCAGATGATACACAGATAGTCTTCACATTGGGTGTGAGCAGTGGGCTTACAGTAGGGGATCTCCACCAGCTGATCATTCGACACGGCCGTCACAAGTATGAGTTCGACGATAGCCTGTGTAATGGCCGAGCCTGGGTCGCTGATCAGGTCAATCTGTTCAATCGCCACGGAGTCTTCACTAATCAGGATGACGTTGCGCTGCTGGACTATCAAATCCGAAAAAGATGGCCAGCACAGGTTCCCGCGCCACTCGAGATGGATAGAGGCGTCTACTATGCATGACCTCAGACTGCATGTCTTTTCATTTTTTGCTATCCAGAATGCCCTCCTTGAACCAATCTTCCTCGGTCGAAATACATCATCCCTGGTTTGATTTTGACCTGTATTGTGTGCATTGTACATTTCTTGCAGTCTAGAACCAAGGGCCAAGCATCATTGTTGCACCGGAATTAGATGAACATTTCCCGGTTTGTCTTGACTAACTTCCGGAGATTATTAGTTAGGTGCTGTATATACAATGCACTGAGAAGCTTGTCGTCTAGACTTGGATGCAAGGGATTTGATCCCACCTTATCATGTACTACAGTACTATGTACAGTCATCAGTCTGCCAAGCACATGTACGGAGTATGGAAAACCCTCTCTAACACGGTGAATATATCTAGGAATTATTATAGATTGAGCCAATTGCAAGTGTGCCCAAGATTCCAGTCTTCCCAGAGAAAAAGGCGAGATCGACACCTCTCAGATCTACACAATGAGTTGATTTGCGGACTTCCAATTATCAATATGGTTACCTCCATCGTCATAAGTCGCCCCGTGGCATAGTTGCACAAGGCATGTCTTCGCATTCAGGATACTACTGGCCACCAACACGTTACACATGCCTTCAGTCCTATCGTCATGTGGCTTGCCCCCTGCATCCAAACAAGCCCATCTCCCATCATACTAAATCTATTCCTATTTTTATATGGTTTGCAAACCCTACCTTGTTCTATGGGGAGACCCTGATTAGGTGATGTATCGTGGCGTCACCGGCATGTGTACAACGGTGAGCTCACCAATTCTGCCACCGCAGACGCTCTGGGCTCTCCGAGCCCCCCCCACCATAAAGCAGGCGGTGAGCAACCTGTGGGGTAGGACTCCAACCAATCAGCGCCTCGGGGTCCCGAAATGGCGGCGAAATCGGATGTGTCCCACCCCTCGGTCTGGGGGCATTGACTTCAAGTGAGTCATCTTATCTTTTTTTTCCTTTCTTCAACTCTTTTCACATACTGCAATCATGGCGATAGGAACGGCCTCTTTGCAGGATCGCCTGGAGATATGGGCACAAAGGTTGAACAACCTGACTGTCTCTCCATTGACCCGCGATTACCCTGATACACAGAAGCAAGAGCATAAGAGAGCCATCGAAGCGTTTGAATCTCTCCAACTTCCCAAGAATACTCAATCGCAATTACAAAAGCTTCCAGGCTCGGCCTTTACCGTTTTCTTGACTGCCTTTGTGATTCTGGTAGCCCGATTGACTGGTGATGAGGACATTGCTGTGGGGACAAGCTCCGATGAGGATGGCCGCCCATTCGTCATCCGGGTTCCCATCAATACCGCGGAGACCTTCGCCCAGCTCTATGAAAAAGTAGACAAGGTTCGCATGCCCATATCTTAAGATCATTCATACTTTGCTCCATGCTCTAGGATCTAGTGCTAATCTATCTGCATTGATAGGCGTTTAAGGAAGGCGCTTCTCAAATCGTGCCTTTGGGCAGTCTTCGCTCGTACATTCAGGAGAAATCCAAGTCCGAACGCACTCCAGTCCTGTTCCGATTCGCGGCATATGATGCCCCTGCAGCCTCGCAGGATTATCCTGCAAACACATTTGATACCACTGATTTGGTAGTCAATGTGGCACCCGCCAAAAATTCCGATGGTTCGGCGACGGAAGTCGAACTGGGTGCATACTATAACCAGCGATTATTCTCGAGTGCCCGTATTGCTTTCATTCTGAAGCAATTGGCTGGTGTTGCTATCAATGCTGCCGCCAACCCAGAGGAGGCTATTGGGCGCATCGACCTGATGACTGAGGATCAGCGCGCATTGTTGCCTGATCCAACATCCAACCTGAACTGGTCCAAGTTCCGTGGTGCTATCCACGATATTTTCTCTGCCAATGCCGAAAACCACCCAGACAAGCTGTGTGTGGTTGAAACTCGGTCGAGCAGCTCTCCTCACCGCGAATTTACCTACCGCCAGATCAATGAGGCTTCCAACATTCTCGGCCACCATCTGGTGCAGTCTGGTATTCAACAAGGTGAGGTTGTGATGGTATATGCCTACCGTGGTGTGGACCTTGTGGTTGCTGTTATGGGAATCTTGAAGGCCGGTGCCACATTCTCCGTCATCGACCCTGCCTATCCCCCGGAACGCCAGAACATCTACCTCGATGTTGCCCGTCCCCGTGCATTGGTGAACATTGCCAAAGCTACAAAGGATGCTGGTGAGCTCTCAGACATTGTGCGGACTTTCATCAACGAGAACTTGGAGCTCCGTACCGAAATTCCTGCGCTCGCCTTGCTAGATGATGGAACCCTCCTTGGTGGTTCGATCAATGGTCAGGATGTGCTCGCCAACGAAGTTGTACTGAAGTCCAAGCCTACCGGCGTCATCGTTGGCCCTGATTCTACCCCGACACTGTCTTTCACCTCCGGCTCGGAAGGACGACCGAAGGGCGTTCGTGGCCGACACTTCTCACTGGCCTATTATTTCCCTTGGATGTCCGAGACCTTCAAGCTCACACCGGACGAGAAGTTCACTATGCTTAGTGGTATCGCTCACGATCCTATCCAGAGAGACATTTTCACTCCGTTATTTTTGGGTGCTCAACTCTTGGTGCCCGCTCGGGAGGACATCCAGAACGAGAAGCTTGCCGAATGGATGCAGAAGTACGGTGCCACTATCACCCACCTTACACCTGCTATGGGCCAGATTCTTGTTGGCGGTGCCTCTGCTCAGTTCCCTACTCTTCACCACGCATTCTTTGTCGGCGATATTTTGATCAAGCGTGACTGCCGTTCGCTCCAGAGACTTGCACCTAACGTGAACATTGTCAACATGTACGGAACAACCGAAACCCAGCGCGCTGTCAGCTATTTTGAAATCCCCAGCTACGCTAGTCACGAGGGATACTTGGATACCATGAAGGATGTTATCCCCGCTGGCCGTGGAATGTTGGATGTGCAAATGCTTGTTGTTAACCGCTATGACCCTACTCGCATTTGTGCCATTGGAGAGGTCGGTGAGATTTACGTTCGTGCCGCCGGCCTTGCAGAGGGCTACCTTGGTTCCCCTGAATTGAGCGCGAAGAAGTTCCTTACCAACTGGTTCGTCAAGCCCGAAGTTTGGGCAGAGAAGGATCAAGCCGAATCCAAGGACGAGCCCTGGCGCCAATTCTACGTTGGTCCTCGGGATCGTCTGTATCGCAGCGGTGATCTAGGCCGATACACACCAACCGGAGATGTTGAATGCTCCGGTCGTGCTGATGACCAAGTTAAGATTCGCGGTTTCCGTATCGAGCTTGGAGAAATTGACACTCACCTTTCTCGTCACCCTCTCGTCCGCGAGAACGTGACCCTGGTGCGAAGAGACAAAGACGAAGAACCCACCTTGGTCAGCTACTTCGTGCCCGATATGAACAAGTGGGCTTCCTGGCTGGAGAGCAAGGGCTTGAAGGATGATGACTCTGCTGATGGTATGGTGGGTTTGCTGCGACGATTCCGTCCTCTCCGCGAAGATGCTCGTGAGCATCTTCGTAGCAAGCTCCCTACATACGCAGTGCCCACCGTCATCATTCCCCTCAAGCGCATGCCTCTAAACCCGAACGGCAAGATCGACAAGCCCGCACTTCCCTTCCCGGATACCGCGGAGCTCAGCGCCGCCGCACCCCGCCGCCGCTCTTCCGCATTGCAGGCGCTGTCTGAGACTGAGCAGACTCTTGCCCAAGTATGGGCTAAGCTCATCCCTAATGTGACACCTCGCATGATCGGACCGGATGACTCCTTCTTCGACCTCGGTGGTCACAGTATTCTAGCTCAGCAAATGTTCTTTGAGCTCCGTCGCAAATGGCGTGGCATTGACATTAGTATGAATGCTATCTTCCGCAGCCCATCACTGAAGGGCTTTGCTGGCGAGATCGATCGCTTGCTAGCTTTGGAATCATTCGCAACTAGCGATGAGAAGACTCTCGCCGGCGCTGTGCAAGCTTCCAATGAACCGGATGACGAATACTCGAAGGATGCCGCTCAGCTTGTGAATGAACTACCGAAGACTTTCCCTCAGCGTACTGAAGCTATGCTCACCAGCGAACCTACAGTGTTCCTCACTGGTGCCACTGGCTTCCTTGGCGCGCATATTCTCCGTGATCTGCTTACCCGTAAGGCTCCCTCCACTAAGGTAGTCGCTCTTGTCCGGGCAAAGTCCGAGGAACAAGCGCTAGAACGCCTTCGCTCCACTTGCCGCGCTTATGGTTTCTGGGATGAAACATGGACCTCTAAGTTGCAAGCAATCTGCGGTGATCTTGGAAAACCGCAATTTGGTCTCTCTCAACCATTGTGGGACGACTTGACTAACCGTGTGGATGCTGTGATCCACAATGGAGCTCTTGTCCACTGGGTCTACCCCTATTCAACTCTCAGACCGGCCAATGTTATGGGTACTATCGATGCCTTGAAGCTGTGCGGCAGCGGTAAAGCCAAACAGTTCTCATTCGTCAGTTCCACTAGTGCGCTCGATAAGGATCACTTCGTCCAAGAATCCGAGCGTATCATCGCCGCTGGTGGCAATGGCATCAGCGAAGACGATGATATGGAGGGGAGCAGGGCTGGCCTTGGAACTGGTTACGGTCAAAGTAAGTGGGCTGGTGAATACCTTGTCAAGGAGGCCGGCCGCAGAGGTCTGAGGGGAACTATTGTCCGTTCCGGATACGTCCTCGGTGATTCCGTCACTGGAACTACCAATACGGACGATTTCCTTATCCGTATGCTCAAGGGTTGCATACAACTTGGTGCTCGGCCTAATATTCACAATACCGTCAACATGGTACCCGTCGACCATGTGGCTCGTATTGTCATTGCCTCTGCCTTCTATCCACCGACATCCGCCGTTGGTGTCGCCCATGTCACTGGACACCCTCGCTTGCGCTTCAATGAGTTCCTTGGTGCACTAGAGCTCTATGGATACAAAGTGCCTCAAGTTGATTACGTTCCTTGGTCCAATGCCCTGGAGCAGTACGTCAATGATGGCGAGCATAACGACAAGGAATCTCAGCATGCTCTGTAAGTCCCCTTTCCCATTTGATGGTGCCCCGTCCAGTCCATCATTTAAAACTATATTAATTGATATTAATTATTGTGTAGCATGCCGCTTTACCACTTCGTCACTTCCGATCTTCCCTCGAACACCAAAGCTCCGGAGTTGGATGATGTCAATGCAACAGTGGCTCTGCGGGCCGACGCCGCTTGGTCGGGCGTTGATGCATCAGCAGGTGCTGGCGTGACCGAGGAATTAGTTGGCCTTTATGCCTCATACTTGGTGCAAACGGGCTTCCTTCCTGCACCTACCGTCGCTGGAGCTCGTCCCCTTCCTGTTGCCCAAATCAGTGAGGAACAGAAGAAGACTCTGTTGAGCGTCGGCGGCCGTGGTGGTACCTCTTAAATTTTTGAGGGAAAAAAAAAATTTTGTACATAATCTGATTTTAAAGTATCTATATGAATGACACGGTCCTAGATATCGGAAATGAGTGCAGAGATGTGGCTTGTATAGAACCCTTCTAGAGGCATTTAGTTCTGCGAAAAGGCCCGATTCGCCGATCTGCCCCTTCTCCCTCGGGCTCACCATTTTCCCTCCCCCACTGCCCCTCGTATCTGGCAATTTATATATAGTCTGAACAATATCCTCTTTGTTTTCCCTCTCATTCTTCCATATCTCCCTTTCCACAATTCGTATTTCATCATGTCTGAAGGTAAGTGTGTGAGCGGACTCTGTTTTTGCGCGTTCTTGGCGAATCCCATCTTTCCCCATCAATTTTTCCCGCCTTCATTCTTGTCTTCCCATTCACCCCCCCAGAGTGCCACGCCGATCACACTGTTTGAGCTCCGTGAGAACGTTTGTTGGGATTGACTGTCTCCCTGATCATTCGTGTAATCCTCCCGCCTCCCTCAGTCGGCCTGTCCTCAAATCACCCATCCTTGTCACCACCCCATCCTCCTCCTTTTCCTCCCCCATAAATGAGTGCTGCGAGACTCGCCGGGCGATCCGGTGTCATTGCGCGCGTAGTGGAGACCTCCCGGAACTCGACGGGTTCTCTACTTGCGACTCGGTCTCGAGGGATATCTCGCATGACCGGATTCTCGGCGACTCGTACCCCTTTCTCAACATCCACATCCCTCGCCTGCGCCGGGCACCAAAGCACCACAGCCTCGCAATCAAGCAGTGCCAAGACTCAGACTGACTCAGATGTCGATCGCTCAGATCGGTATGCCGCTGGCCTGCGCCTGAACAAGGAATGGGCCGCCCAAACAGCCCGCGACCACCCCGAGTTGTTCCCTACCCTCGCATCCGGTCAGAAGCCTCAGATTCTGTGGATCGGATGCTCCGACTCTCGCTGCCCAGAGACCACCTTCTTGGGTCTCAGCCCTGGTGATGTCTTCGTGCACCGCAACATCGCCAACGTCCTCCACCCCGGTGACCTCAGCTCCTCCGCCGTTATCGAATACGCCGTGCAGTACCTGCGTGTGAACCACGTCGTGGTCTGCGGCCACACTGCTTGCGGTGGTGTTGCCGCCGCCATGGGCAACAAGAACCTGGGTATTTTGGACCCTTGGTTGTTGCCCCTCCGCCAACTGCGCGAGCGCAACCTTGAGACCCTCCAGTCGATGACCCCCGACGAGGCTGCCATGAAGCTGGCCGAGTTGAACGTCCGCGAGGGCTTGAACGTCGTGAAGCAGAAGGGTGTTGTGCTCAACGCCATTCAGGAGCGCGGACTCCAGCTTCACGGCTTGATCTATGACGTCGGATCGGGTGTCCTCAGTGAGTTGGACACCAAGGACTCGGAGGAGGCCATTAGAGCTCGTCTCACAGCCTTCCGGACGGAATAAGTTAGTTAGCGTCATTTAAGGAGTTGGATCATTCAATTGTTTTTTTCTCAGCCCAAGGCCAACTCAACCGGAATTTGAAAAGTGACATCGAGCGTAGTCTTCTAGATTGACACGCGATAATTGGCGATTAGACGAGGGATTCTACAGAGGAATAGTTTTTTTTTAGCCCCTTGGGGGAAACACTGCGACCCCTCAAAATCGTATGGCATGATGTGTGGAGCTGCTGGGATCCGCAACGACCAACGGGCAGCCTCAACAATCAAGAACACCAATCAACGCAACTCATTTGCGTACATTTGACAGATCCCAGTTAGATTGAGCTAGGATTGTGGATTCCGTGGGATCCGTTGTTCGATATTATATGGTCAAGTCATATCTGACCCCGATGTTGCCCTTATATGCACATCGCGCGGCTTTATACGATCCAAGTACGACAGTTAACTTGATATTTTCACACACCGCAGATCATTAGGACAAGCCTCTTTTATTGGAAAGTCGACTTGTTTGGGCCAATACTAGCCACTGCCAGACGCCTGCAAATGGCCAAGCAAATGAGTTCGCCCTGCATATATGAAGCGCTGGATGAAGAGTCAGCGCTGGAACGGTGGTTATACAGATATGTCTGGCACAATAGCTCATATAACGTTATATTATTAATTGTCTATGAAGCTCTGGTGATTTGTGCGCCGACCAGTCAATTGGGGGGAATGCCAGTTGCTTTTTTTATACCTTACCTACTTCCTTCTATGGAAGGCCAAGCAAATAAACTCTAACTTATCAGATCTTCAAGGCCTACAATGGGCTTGCGTTTAGTGCAGACTACAGCAGCCATGATGGCAATCAAAAAGAGATCGAATACCATGTCAAGGGCCGTGTCATTATTGACACCAAGGCATACAACATGTTTCATTCTGGCCCTATCGAAATCGACAGCGAGATTGATGAAGAGCTGGTTGATGCTCAGTATCTCATTGCTACTCTAACAGTCTATGGATATTTTCCGAAGGGCAAGAAATGGCTTTCATTCCAGGTAGATGATTTGACGGACATTGAATGGAAGGAGCAGCCCTTGGAGTCTCTAATCCTACCACAGCAGCAAGGTCTCAAGGACGTGATTTTGGCCATTGCAAACACCCAGTCCAATAAATTGAATGTCTTCGATGATTTTATCGGAAGGAAGGGAAGGAGTCTTGTTATACCGGTGTTGGGAAGACCTTTACTGTGGAGTGTGCAGCTGATCTAGCTCATGCTCCAAACGTTGAAGCCAACTTGACAGCCATCACGGACATGGCTCGCAAATTGGGGACTATCGTGTTGTTTGATAGAGCTGATGTCTTCATGGAAGTGTCTTATAAACCCAGTCCAGCTCGCGATGAGATGGTCGCGATTTTCTTGATGATGCTGGACTATGAGGCAAGTCCCATTCATCCAATAAGACACGATAAAAGTCCCGCAAAAAGACACATAACCGATTAGTTTCAATAGGGCATCTTCTTCTTGATCACTAGCCGAGTACACACTGTCGAATTCGACGGAAGATGTTGAGTCTCGAATTCACCGTTATCTTGGCTTCGGAACCCCCGATGCGGAGATTAGCCGTCAGATCTGGATACAATTCCTACGCCGCTTGTCGAGCCTTGCGTCTTTCACGGATGAGGAAATCGACCAGCTGGTCAGGAACCAATTGAACGGCCGCCGTACCAGGGACGTGGCCAAGGCGGCTGGTCTTTTAGCCCGGTCAAAGGGGTGTGAGCTTAGCTATGAACATTTGACGACTGTGATTGCTCTAGGACACCCGCCAAGGATGTTTTGGTGAGACATGGGGGCTAGTGAGATACATAGCAGTGCCCCGCAGAATCGTATCCGGTATTCAATTCGACCTTGCGGCTGAGATTACTGTGCTATATTGACAATAGTGCCATGACGTGTACATTGACGGTTGAAGATTGCCCTAACTTCAATTCTCTTGCGGAGGACTGCGGACTCCGTACCGCAACTCTCAGCGTGTCTTGAGAGTCAAACTAACCAAATGATGTCTAACATGCACAATTTCCCATGCACCCGATGGAGATACATGTCCGGTATCCGAATAAGATCAGGCAGCACTGAAAACCCACAGCCAAGACTTGGCCATCAGCCCTAGAGCGCTTGCAGTGCCACTGGCTTCCGGCAGGGCCCGGGCCCCCTGAGGCAGACACGGGCCCACTGCCTTCATTTCTCTCAACACTGGCCCTGCCATATCCTATATTGCTATGGAACAAAATGTCGATCTCTCCCCGGAATGTCGATCGCAAAGATCAGCAAAAAAGAAAATAGGAAGAAAAACAGCCGAAAGTGAAGGGCGGACCCCCTGATTCAGGTCGAACGTTGAGCGCCACTTAGTGCGGACACGATGAATTGACAATTAGCATCCCAGTGGCGTCTGGCATAACTCCGATAGTACGTTGTGGAGCACGCGAGCAGTCCATTTGTTCTCCCTACTTTCTTTTTTATATTATTTTTTCCCCTCCGCCGTGTCTCCCTATTCCACCTCCAATCGCCCCTTATATCGACTGTATAGGCGGACACGTTGGGAAACAGTCTGCATCGAAAGAATTCCTCATGTTGGCCGCTAGTCTTAGGCCATCATGATTGTCGTTCGTTTTCATCATCCGCAGCGCTTGATTTTGTCCGTTTTGGTGCTTGCCGGTCTCTGCTCCAAGTTGCTTCACATATACCAGCACCGATCTCTTCCCCTATACCTTTTGGCCCTCTATTTCCCGACATTCTTTATTCAGGAGATCCTGCTATGTGTCGCCGTATGGATTCTCTTATATACAACCTCCGGCCGGTGGTCTGTGGCCGCCGTGGTCCTCTCATCGATTGTCGCGTTCGTTCACCGATTTTTTACTTCTTTATTTTTCTCATATACCATGGCAATATCATTGACTCTTGACTCCTTAGATGCACTGTCTTAATAGCAACCGCATCGCAATTTAGTTTCTATTCACAAACCGGCAGCGAAATTCGATGGGATGCCGCCAGATCCGTGGGCGCCAGTCGCCAGGGAATGAAATTGATCTTGAGCGGACTGGTGCCCATGGCGATCACGACGACGGTGATCTCGGTGGCGTCCTGGCTAATGGCTCCGTGGATCTGGAATTTCATGAGCCGCTGGCTATGCACGCTGTCGAATATCGGAGACGTAAAGTCATACCGTTTGTTGCCAGGCGCTCCGAATCTGAGAAATATAACGTCCAACAAACCGCGCTTTTGGACTATTGTCGGCTGCGGAGTAACGATCGTACTCTGGTTGGTCCGGCCAGAAATCCCGTATAATCATATGACCGGGGCTCTGCCCTTCACCATGCTCGGCGAACACTCCAAGGCCCGCCGAATGACCATCGAAACTTTCCCGCTGCCGGAATTGCTCGCGGAGGAATATCGGGAGCCCGCCAAGGGTCACTATAAGGGATGGGCACCGACGTTGGACGACTCGGGTAATACCGCATACGGGGACAACATCCCAGCCTGGGCGCGAGGTCCCCTCCCCCTGCGTTTGAAAGATGGATTGTGAAAAAGGACGGCGATACGCCTGAAATTAGCGTGTCTAACTCGAGTGTTCAGAACTTGTCTAAGAGAGGTGATTCCGGCAATCAGAACAAAACCGCTGAGCCGCGACACTACTTTTACAATCCCGTTCAAGACCCTATGCGAATCACCAATCTCGATCTGGAACCACTTGCTCCCCTGAAGGAGGCTTTGAAGGACCACGCCATCCCCATCAACCACATCGTCTTCGTGTTCCTGGAAAGCGGCAGGAAGGATCTGTTCCCTCTCACGAACACTTCCCGCTTGTACGACCAAATCCGTGAGTCGTACGAGATCTATGGAGAGGAGGACGAGGCCGATCTACACGACAAACTGTCCCAGGTGACCCCCGTAGCAGAAAGGCTCACAGGGGAACCATCTGGTTTCGGGTCGCCCGCGAACGCAACGAATTCCGAACTGGGGGGATTCAGTTACAACGGGATTTTGTCGGGGAGCACTCTCTCTGCCAAATCGCGTCTCGTCAATTACTGCGGTCTTGGGCCACTTCCGGTGGACTTCATGCATGAGAATAAGATCATTCCTTACCAGCCGTGTTTGATGCACATTTTGGATCTGTTCAATCAGCGCAAGGGTCTTGCTGCTTCTAAGAATTCCACCGTCAATTCCTTCGTCAGATCAGCTGCCAATATCACCATCAATTCTATCACTAACGCTACGATCACCAATTCCACTATCACCAACTCTACCATCAACTCTGTCACCAATTCTACCATCAGTTCTATTACCAATTCCACCATCAACTCTACCACCCCTGCTATCATCACTCCCCCTCACGATTTCCTTGAGCGGGAATGGCAAACCATCTATGCGCAGTCTGTCACTGGAGAATTCCAGGAACAGACTCGTCTTATGGAGATGCTTGGATTCAACCAGTCGTTGTACTCGGAGGATATTGATGTGGAGGACGCTAAGTACTTCCACGAGGGAATGGAAAAGATCAACTACTTCGGGTAAGTTATCAACGGCTACTGTTCCTCAAACATCTATACTAACCCCGCGCAGTTATCCGGAAACTGAGGCTCGCCCCTACATCAAAGATATGATCGACGAAACCCTTCGTCAGGGCAAGAGACTGTTCCTCTCCCACTTCACTAGTACCACTCACCACCCCTGGGGCACCCCCGAGGGCTGGAACCGAGAAGGATATTTCGGCAATTCACAACATGAGCACATGGACGGTTTCCTCAATGCAAACCGCTTCGTCGACTCATGGCTAGGCGACTTGATGGATATGCTTGGAGAGGCCGGCATTGCCAACGAGACCTTGACAATCTTCGTTGGAGACCAGTACGTATAATCCTCTACAATCCATCCAAGAAATCCTAACGTCTAACTCCTCAAACAGCGGCCAAGCCTTCGAAGAAGACAGCTCCGTTACAGGAACCTATCACAACCCACACATCAGCAATTTCCGCGTCCCTCTCCTATTCCACCACCCCCTCCTACCCCGCATGCACCTCAACGTCAACGGAAGCGCCGTGTCCATCCTCCCCACAGTCCTCGATCTCCTCGTCAACACCAACTCTCTCAACGCCATGGACACCGAAATCGCCCTGGACCTGATGAACGAATACGAAGGCCAGTCCCTCATCCGACCGTACCGCACCTCTCAAAACGGCCGCGAAGCCTGGAATATGGGCATCATCAACGCCGGCGGCTCGATGTTGAGCGTCGGATCCGCAGCCGTTCCCTGGCGTCTCAACCTCCCCCTGAACAACGACTTCGAGTACCGCTTCACAGACTTAGAGAAGGACCCCTATGAGCTTGCCGCCATCACGGGCTGGACTATGGGGTCGCTTGCTGCCGAGGTGCATTCCAAGCACGGACCGGAGGCGTTCGAGTGGGCTCAGAAGGCGGAGAAGGTTGGGCTTTGGTGGGTTGCGGAGAGGAAGAAGCTTTGGAATTATCAGGATCCTGAGGAGTGATTGTCTTGTGTTCTAATGTTTTTTTTGTTTTGGGTCAACGGAGCGATTTGCATAGCATTTTGTTTTAAATGCTCCTTTTTTTTTTCTTGGCTGACTAGCTGTTTGGCCTGTATTTATTAGTGAGATACCTAAGGGTGGGTTCCCTGCTGGCTGTATAGTATTGGGGTTAGGTGGACCTGCTGTATATAGGCAAGAGACGAAATCTATGACCTTTTGTGCCAATTTGCTCCATCATTTCCTCGGATACATGGCTAACATAGAAGCTGAGATGAGGTCCGGATGGTCGACATGAGGAACAACTTGTATTCAATTGCTTCGTCCGGCTGGCAGAATCCAGGCGGTAAGCCGTCAAGGCAGATCGGGGGGTTAGAGACTCGGGTTAAAGAGAGCTGTGTGAAAGAATGTATTCAGACACCAAAAGGACCTGACATCGTCCGGGGAATTATGCTTAGTCCGGGACTTGGACCGAGTTCAAGCGCTAAACAACGTGAGGATGCATGAATCGAGGTTGATCTGCTCAACTAGGACGCCACTACGGAGTACTCCGTACTCTGTGACTATCTACTAATCAGTGCTGACGAGGCCTCATGGGATTTAAGCTCCACATGAAGATGATCAAGGAGCTTTTCTGTGTTTCACGCCCCTTCGCTGCGTCAGAGGGCCCAATTATAACCCCGTTGCCCTGACCCTTCCCTGCCATTGGCCCCACGCCCTACGACCAGCTTCGATCCGCACACCTCTTTCCCGTCTAAGTCCTGGTTGAAAATGGCCTCCTTTCCTGTTCGATTCTTCAATGCTTATCATCCCACGCTCTTTTGAATAATGCTGTTGTTTAGCGTCTCATTGCTGTTATGGCTGTGCCAAACAGCGCTGGCGCAATATACCAGCGATGACCTCATGTCATTCGTTACAGTATGTCCAGTCCTAATAGTTCAATCCCGCGCTGACACCGCTGACACCGTGTTCCCCAGCTCCCTGATGTTCGAGCAGTGAATTTCAACGTCCATTACTATAATCGTGAGCGCTTGACGCCCGGTTATTGGTTCGTCGCTCCTTACCTACACATGGGCCCCGATAAACCAACGAGCCGATACGAACAATACCAGATTGGCCCACATATCTACGATGGCGAAGGAGTGCGTTTTTTCTTCCTCCAGCACGATACAAAATCCAATCGCTGACCATATCCCGACATAACAGCGCCTCATCTGGACCGGCTCGCAACAGTTTGATAATCGCAATGTCTTCGACTTCAAGGCCGTCAACAGTCTGGGCCCGGACCCACATCTCTCATTTGTGTTGCAACACTCCTGGGATGGAGCAGAGGATACGGGGTACGGGGTTATCTTGACGAATGACTATCAAGTCCAGCGAAAACTTCCTCTGCGGAAGGACCTTGGTATTTTTGACATTCATGAGTTCAAGATCCTGGACGATGGCAAGACTGCACTGCTTACCATTTATCTCTCTCACGAGATTACCTTGGAGGAATTTGGTCGTCCTGGAGAGCCTACATGGCTCGAGACTGGTGGATTTGCTGAGATCGATTTGAACACTGCGGAAGTCATCCAGTGGTGGGATTCCTTCAATCGCATTCCTCTGCCTGAAAGTGTTCATTATCACCCAAATTCCCCTGCGGAGGGACATCCTGGATGGGATTATGTGCATATCAACTCCGTGGACAAGAATGCAATTGGAGACTACTTGATCTCTGCTCGTTTCACAAATACCATTTACCTTATCTCCGCCATCAAAGGAGACATCATGTGGCGATTGGGTGGGCAATATACTGATTTCGAGCAAGACTTCGTGTTTTCGAAGCAGCATGACGCGAAATTCGTGGAGTCGAATGGAACACACCATATCATTTCATTTTTGAACAACGCATCGGACGAAGAATTCAATGAGGAAAACCTATCGGCCTCCATGTTTGTCGAATTGGACACCAGTGTGAGACCCATGACTGCCAGGGTGATCAAACGCTATAACCGCCCCGATCGACAGCTCTCAAGACTCCGTGGTAACACCCAGCTACTTCCAAACGAGAACGTGTTCACCTGCTGGAGCAAAGAGGGCTATCTCTCTGAACATGCCCCCGACGGCGAACTATTGATGACCGCCAATTTCACCTCTGACCGTTATTCATCTTACCGTGGATACAAATTCGATTTCACCGGTCGCCCCCAGACCCCACCAGACATGGTCGCATCAGTCTTCGGCACCGACGAAACGAACATGGTCACCACGTTCTGGGTCAGCTGGAACGGTGCGACGGATGTCGCATGGTGGCATTTCTACGCGCAAGCCTCTGAATTCCACGTCCCCGTCCTCATCGGCAAGACCCCACGATCCGATTTCGAAACCATGTACATTGGAAGCGGATATCTAGACTGGGTCTCTGCCGAAGCTGTTGACGCCAACGGTACCGTCCTGGGCAAGTCCGAGGTACACCGCAGCAAATCTCCCAACTGGGAGTCAGCCGGATATCGGGGAAAGACAACCCCACCTATGCCAATCGACCCATCGATCGTGTACCAAACAGGCGAAAGCTCAGGGGAAAGTGTTGTTGACGGCGCTGGTCGCACATCTTCGGATGCAGTCGATACCCAAACACAGAAGACCATCCAGGTCCAGAAGCACACCTACGATGTGATCCGCAATATCAGCGGTTTCTTCTCTTTTGTCTTACTTCTTTGTCTGTTTGTCATCGTCATCGCTGGGTATCTCGTCATCCGTGGCTGGCGGGTCCGGCTATACCAACGTTCTCCCATGGAAGATGGGCTCCCCAGTGAGCGGGCGCATCTCGCATCGCTGCATCGGGATTGAGATTCTTCGATCTTGATTCCAAGCATCTAGGTGCTACTTGCATTATTTGTGGGAGTTTCTTTGTTTTTGTACATTAATTTTGGGGTTTGAGATGAAATCTTACCCATCGTGTGTGTATAGGTAGTACTGGCTCATTGGTTTCATCGACCTGGCCATCATGGATTTTGGATTCCAAGACATATCGTCGCTTCTCCGGACATGAACATCAATATTGACTCGGTTACGATGTGTGAAAATGCGGTATTCTAATATTAGTGGCAAGGCACATGATAAAGCGCTCATATCCTTGCTCTATACGTGGCGTTATATTTTGAACTTGTAGGAACCACATCGAAATACCATTTTCACCTATATCAAGCTGTCACTCTGCGGAATCTTCGTCAAACTTATAAACCCCTCATTGTTTCGGAGACAAAAGGCTGCTAGACGTTTGGCCGAGTACCTACCCCAGGACGATCGGCATGAGCTGAGCTGATCAGCAATTGGCAGCTCTGTGCGAGGTATGCTATCCTGCTTTTGTAGATCCAATCCCTCCGTACGTGACGTTACTCAACTATGTAGAAGTATCAGAGCGCTGTGTCCGAGCGCCGGCGACCTCCGAACACGAGCATCCCCCGATTTGCTCGGCGTAGAACCTATTAAAGGCTAATATCCCTGTTCGTTCTCCTTGGTCCCTAGAATATTTCCTGTTTATTTTTCAGAAGAAACTTTTTTCGTGCTCGGATTTACATTTCATGATGGCCAACGGCAGCTCTATGCATTGAAAGAGATTCACCAATCAATCCACCTAAGGCTGTTTTGAACATCCTAGCTACAAGCACAACGTGCAACCTTCCCAGGCTATCGATTTGCTCAACGCCTATGTCGTACACGAGACTAACCGTGTTCGGAGTATGTTTCCAGAACAACTCGGCAACACCTCGGGAGCTGGAGCCCACTGGTTTTGATTGGATAGAGGCCAACCCCTGTTTCGGCCCGAGTCCAATTAGGGTTGGTTTAATCTATGCCGATTCCGAGTGTTGGGAGTTATGCCGTCCCATATTTCCATGCGAATTGACGGGGAGCCCCTCCACGCATTGAGGGATGCTGGTATAGGATTGGGCACCGCAAAGGGCTTTTGTTGACCGCCATGTCTGAGTGCCCAAATTGAATGCATACCCCTTTTATGCTCGTTTGTGGCCCGGACTGATCCGAAACTTGGTGAAACAGATCTAGAACAGATCATACCCCTCATGAGGGGTATCCTGGTGAGGGGAACGACCTGAGTTTTTCTTCACAGTTCCAGAGCGTCCGGAGAGAGAGAGTGTGTGTGAGAATCACCTGTTGGCCTGGGATAGTACCGATGGCTCGATTTAGAGGGACGTCACTCAGCACAGCTTTGACCCAAACCCTCTATTTTTAAGGCGGCAGAAAGAGCGAAACAAGAAAGAGGAGAAACCGATTACCCCATGTTCTGGCCCACCACATTACCTGATGAGAACTGGGCGGATTCCCGAGTGTCGGGAATAAAAGTGGCAATATTCCCGAGAAAATTATTCCCGAAGATTCTTTTCCGCCTTTTTTTATTGAGAACGGGGGGTATTATTGTTTTTCTTTTTTTGTTACTCGTTTAAAGCTCTGCGAAACTCTCTCCTGTTTGTTCTCTTCAATCTCCCAGTTGGTGTAGTACCCATTATGCCGTCAACAAGCCTATGCCAAGAAGAGGCATGCCTCCCATACAGCCTCATGGATGACTATAGTGAGGGAGCTCACCCACAAATCCTGGAAGCTCTTTTAAGGACAAACTCAACCCAGCAAGTCACCTATGGTGGTGATGAATACAGCATTAATGCACGCCATTTAATCCGCAACAAAATTGGCTGTACTGAAGATGAGGCCGATATCTTCTTTGTTCCCAGTGGAACCTCTGCCAACCTCATTTCAATTGCCAGCTGCCTGAGGCCATATGAAGCTGTCATTACCCTGGACTCGGGTCACATTGCCTGCAAAGAAGCCGGTGCAATTGAAGCAACTGGCCACAAGCTCATCATCGTACCTGCCGTCGACGGCAAAATGACACCCACAAACCTTCAAAAAGCCGTCCAGCAAAATCAGTTCTTCCCTCATTCCGCCAAACCCCGCCTAGTTTATATCTCTAATGCCTCTGAGACCGGCACCGTCTACACAAAACGTGAGCTCACCAGTCTCTCGGCAATCTGCAAACAATCAAATCTTTTGCTTTTCATGGACGGCGCACGAATTGGCACGGCTATCTGCTCGAAGAAGAATGACCTCACTCTACGCGAAATCTTTGACATGACTGATATCTTCTGGATTGGTGGCACCAAGGCCGGAGCTATGATGGGAGAAGCGATTGTCGTCAAGCGGGAGCTGGCCGATGGATTTGTTTTCCACCTTAAGCAGCACGGCGCTTTGCTGGCCAAGGGCCGCATGCTCGGTGTTCAGTTCATGGAGCTCTTCCGATCAGATCTATTCTTTACATTGGCGACTCATGCCAACGACATGGCGCAAAAGATCTCGAGGAACTTTGAGGAATTAGGATATCGGTTGTTTGCCGAGACGGAGACAAACCAGGTATTCGTTATTCTTCCTCAAGAGCTGATTCGGAGGCTGCAGGATAGATTCCGGTTTTATGAGTGGGAACAACTTGACAATGGAGATTCGGTCATTCGGCTTGTGACTTCTTGGGCCACGGATGAGCTCGAGGTCGAGAAGTTCAATGCCTGGGTGCACCAATGGACCGTGGCGACCAACATTTAACCTGCCGGTGGTGATTCTATGGGGATCCCTCAATAATAACTTAATAATAACATTCAATCTTCAATATTCGAGAAGCATACACGTCTCATCTATAGATAGATTAAATCCGGTCAGCTGATCGCTCTAACCACATTGGGCCGCTAAGATATGATTCTAGCCCGCGGGAAACTGTAATTCTTGCTTTCCTCGACGCCCACTGTCTTCCACTCTTCATTGAATCGAGATTGGTGATGCTATTAGTGTAATTGCGCTCCTACATTGATCCGATGGCTTAAGTTCGTTTAATATGCCCCACGATACTTGACGGCCACCTCTTCCTCTACCACGGTCCGCTCCACTGTTCCCCGTGTATATGCTCAATGCGGCTGTCAATATCATGTGATGCTTGCCGGTGAGTGTGGATCCATTTTTCTATGTGTAGAATCTTATCTCATCTCTTATACAGGCAAGCCAAGGTCAAATGCGTCCATGAAGGGCAACCACCCTGCCAACGTTGCTTGAAGACCAAGAATCAAGATTGTAGTTTGACAGATCCCCGCGCCTCAAAACAGCGGACAAAGAGAAATGTTGTCTCATCAAAACCTCCAAGAAAACGAAAGGCCTCATCGGTCTTATCGCCCGGGGTTGAAGACGCAGAAACAAGCCCACCCGAGAATGTCTCTGTGTCTCGGGATGCATCCGAGGACCCCGTGACGGCCTTGTCACCAGCGATCGTTATCAGCGCAGTGGAAACTTACCGGAAAAAGTTTCCAATCACTAATTTTCTCCATTATCCTTCTTTGATCTCCGATATATCATCCAGCGTCCACCTGGTGGACTCCGTTTTTGTCGCTTCGGTGCTTTCGCTGTGCGTGCGGTTCATGAGTAGTGAGGAACTTGAAGAAGAAGAGGTGTATGCCGACTATGCACGGAAGAATCTGGCCCAACGTGTACTTGAGGCACCTTCGCTTTATCTTGCGCAGTCCCTCGTGATGATCTCGTTCTATGAGTGGGGTACTGGGCGACCATATCAGGCTTGGATGTATAGCGGTACGCACTAAACCCCGGACTAAACACGATGCACTAGTTGACAAGCAACAGGCATGGCGACATATATGATTCAATCTCTTTTAAAGATGGCAGATGATAGCATGGAACACAATCCCCAAGAGTTCCACGCATCCCAAACACAATACGAACAGCTAGTCCGAACCTATTGGTGCTGCTTTGCACAAGACTGCGAGTTGAGCTCCGGTGCTCGTCAGCATTTTGCTTTATCCTTCTCTCAGATTTCAGTTCCTCTCCCTATCAGTGATCGGGATTTTACATTTAATCACACGCCAGCCAGCAGGCTGATGCCTGCTGACATGAACAAAGACTGTTTATTAGCACGGGATCTTACGATCGAGCATGGCCTCACGATTGTAACTCGTGGGTTCGATATATTTGTGCGGATTCTAAGATTCGCGAACGAACATCGACGAGCGTTGGCGTCGTTGTCTTCGGATGACTCGGCTACATCGCCGCTTCTTTTGACTTGGCAGCGTCTCAAGGAAGAACTGGATGAATGGAGGTCTATTCAGGATGTCACAGTTCGGTTCCCTGCTACCAGTGTTCAGTCTCACGTGGCGCTCGGGTATGGGGAGCTATTCGCATACATCAATTTAGTCTATTGCATGAGGTATATGTCCTGTTATCTGGATGTTTTCAGGGGAGCTAGACTAATTTTTCTTTCCTCTAGCATCCTATTCCTTCATCGCGACCGTTTCTTATCCAACCTCAAACCCCATTCCGACGTTTTCCACGACACAAATGATAATGCGCCTGGCGAACCCCATACAATCCAACAACTGTTCGAAGCTGCCCAGCAGATCGGCGGTATTCTCAATGCACTAGATGCCTCCGGCGCACCCGTCATGTCCCCATACTCCGGTTTCAGCGTATTCGTCGCCGCTCACATCAACATGTACGGAACGATCGCTCCGCAGCGATACCCAGGCGGTCTCGAACGAGCCGAAGAAGAAAAGAGCCGGAATCTCCTATACCTTGAACGACTAAGTAAACTCTGGCCCGTGGGTCGCAGCTGGGTGAGTATTGTTTCTCCCACCCATACCTATTACCACACCTAACGATGAACAGTGGCGAACCGTCCAAGAAGCAAACCGATTTTACGAAACAGTGAAAAGTAACCAGGCCCACGTCGAATCCGGGATGCACAGTCCTAGGAGATTCGCTCTGGCAGGGACCCTTGATGAATACGGGGATATACGATCTCGTCCGAGCAATGCACACGCAACTAGAGCGGCGACCGCGGAATCCCGTCCTGGGGGCTCTGATGCGCGTGGGCGAACTTCTTCGTCGCCGTTGGATGGGGGTGGGTTCCTTGCCAGGGAGAATGCCGCGCTTGGGCATCATGATCTTGAGACGGATATGTTTCAGTGGCCGTTTATCGATGGGTCGTGGTCCTTGGGGTTTGATACAGGGTTGGATGGGTTGTGGTCTAATTCTGGGTTGTTTGATCCGAATCCCGGTCTTAGATGATACTCTTTTTGCTTCATTGGGGTTTTTTTCGCCTCGGTGGTTCTTTCATATTGCATAGGCTTCGAGAGGAAGCAGGGGTGGAGCTGAGTCTCATAAACATGGACTGGATTCTCGGGGATTGGAGTGATCAGAGGGTTTCACCATCGATTATCATACTATGTTTCTATGTGTGCATGTGGTACCCGAGGAACTAAATGTTGAGGTACACTCTTTCCACCAGGCGAAGCTCTGAGCCCTTGTGCAATGGGTTTATCGGTCTAGGCTGATTCAACTATTCAACTATTTAAGGTTTTAAACAGGTAGAGAGGTTGGTATGCGTGATGCTAGGTACGGAGTACTCCGTACACAGGATAAACCTAGTGTTCATGTTTTGTTATGCGATCGGCAGTGAAATTGCCCCTTCATATTCCGATGAGGCATATGTCCAACTTGTATCCCTTGGTCGGGTGTTTATATACCTCCTTGCCGCAAGGTGCATTGTATTTAGCCGATGTTTCTCCGTTGTTTAGTATCCAAGATAGGAACCTCGGAGATCACGCTATTTTTACTATTCAATTATACCTATCATTCCTTTGCGTGTATTGATGAAATTCTTGCGCATGGTTGCCTTATTTTTTCTTTCCAAGGTTGTATAGAAGGAGCTCTTTGATAGACCGATTGTTTGTGCACTGTGTGGTAATTATATAATGGTTTCTTTTCTAGAGTAGAGACATTCAATTCTTCTTCTTTCTCTGGCCCTCTTTGCTTTAGCACATATATCACACATTTAAATATATATATCATCACTCGTCGCCGTTGTTACTCTTTCATTGGCCGTAATCACTTGAACCTCCGTCCCATGGGGTAAGATTACCAATTTACAATCATCACCGCACCACGATATATCTATAGATGAAACTGACAGAGAAAGAGGACAGCGTAAAAAGGTTCCTAATCAGAAGGTAGTAACGACAATGAAAAACAAAATCACCCTACTACTGGTGAGTCAACTAATGACCACACTCACATCGACCCCAGAGGTTAACTATAACCAGCGAGCCCGAGAGTGCCAATGAACAAACGCTGCGTTGTCATTCCAAAAAAGAAACCAAACTCCCAGCAAGCGCCACATATATAATCTCAAACGAGGCGGAAACGAGCCGCTGAATATTCCATCCAACCCACCTGTCGTTCTCAGCTGCGAATAACGATAGATCGGATCACGAGCCGATCGAGACTGATGGGCTCATGGAAATTGCCGCTCTGTGTTGTGCCAAGCATCAAAATGCCGAGTTTCCAAAATGAATACCGATGGTGAGACTGGGTGTCGCTTGTGAAATCAAGAGCCATTGCGCTGTTCGCTTTGGGGCGTAGGGACGCGTTATGCGTGTCAGGCGCCGCACCATAGCTGGGAAGGAAACCGGGTTGGTTTGGACGGGGACATTCATTGACATTCCTCAGATCGGGGTTGATTGAACTTTCGAAGAATCGCAGATTGGTGGGTTGGAGGTGTCTTGGGTTGTGATTCTGGATTGTTGAGTTCTTCTCGCCGGTCCTGTGTCTTCTCGATGTATATATCTTGTCATGCTGTGAAGCTAGGTTGTCCCTTGGTTTCCTACATGTCTTGGTGCGATAACTTGTGGGATGAGAATTGGAGCATTTTCTCATGCCTTCTTATAAGGATTAAAAGAATCATGCCGTAAATCTATTGAGGTTCCTGTTCTATGCCTCACCGTTGATAAACGTACATGGAGTGTGACAATGTACTATATTATTATTACCTCCTTCACGTAGCCACAATCTGCTGCTTCTTCCATCAACCAGCCAAGTGGCCGAGCAGTAACTCAGCCATCACATCTTCCTTGGTCTAGTGGTGATGATTTCCGCTTGTCATTAACACCGATAAGCGCGGGAGACCGGGGTTCGATTCCCCGAGGGAGAGATTTCTTTTTGCTTTTGCCATGAATTAATCAATGGATCATTGGTTTTTTTTATTAATTGCAATGGGATCGCCATGGATTTTGTTTAACAAGGAAAGACGCAGTGGAAAAGCCTTAATATCTCGGTTGAAGTTAAGTTGACATTATGTATGGAGTGAGTATACAATGTCCGAGGTACATCTATAGGATCGGAGAAATATCAATGATAATGCTCATCTAAAGACCAAAATCGAATACAACCTGTCCAGCGATTTCCTCTAGCCGCTCAGCAATCTCCTGACACGTCTCCTGCGAGGGGTCACTGTTTAGGGCTAATGCCATTTGATCCAAGTCCCGCTCTAATCTATGGAACACCGTTTCGAACTTGGAAGTGTCACCTTCGCGACTCCAATAAGAAGGGTAGCGACGGGTGATATTGTTATCAGGGGTATCGGCAATCATACGAAGGCCGAGTTCTAGAATCCGATCGGTTTGGAGAGAAAGTCTTACCACTGCGCGAAAGACATCTCCGTTGCGCTCCAATCCTCGATCATATCTCAGGGCATGGGCTTGAGATTCTAAGTTGGCTTTGAAGGTGTGGCATTCGTGTAAGAGCTGGTCATACGGGGATAGAAGTATTGGAGACATGATTGCAAAGATGCCTTAGATGAGTTAGAGGGGATAAACGGAGTGTCTTTATAGTGAAGTGGGTGGAGTATTGAAGGATGCCTCGAACAAAGGGAAAAAAGAGAGATTCAAGAAGACCATTGTGTATATCATTGATTCTCTGGATCGAGGACATGACAAAGAACTTGTCTACTGACAAAGGTCTGGGCATATAGGGCTGAGTTCGTGAGTGACAAAGAAAGTCAAGCATTATGTGTGGGTCATCTGTACACTTGGTATTGCAGCTACATTGAAAACAGATCTTTTTATAAATCAAGAAAGGAAACCCGTAGATAAAGAAAATTCATTAGATTCTATTAATGATAGTGGATATATGACATAAAAGGAAAGTTCATCTCGTTAGGATGATTCGACGGTCTGTGATACAGCCACCGTCTTCCGAATCCCATCCTGGTTGTAAACCGACTCGCTCGCATCGGGGACCCCGGCGAATGAGATAAGATGGCTTTGATCGCCAAAGTTTGTCACCTTGTCCCACTCACAAGCAGCCTTGGAATTTCCAGCTCTCTCACTCAGTGGGTGAGTAGAGCCGCCGTTCTGGTAGTATTTGTTGGAAGAGTAGTTCTTCTTATAGTAGGCCAACATGACGTTGAGCACAGGTAGACAGGCGCAGATCAATCCGACGCCTCCCTCGGCATTACTAGTACACGTTAGAGAGAAAGAAAAGAACGAACAGTAGGGGAAGTAGGACATACCCAGACAAGATGACGCAAACGAACAGAACGTTCTGATCTTCGTGGCCCTTCAACACCAGCACCAACCGGTACAGACTGAATGCAGTGGCCAGCCCACCAGCCCCGAGCAGACCTATCACGCGTAACTTTCGATTACGCGACATTTGTAAAGACCATGTCAATGGCAATGGGAGAACAAGAATGATGAGATCGCTGACGACACTGATCACGGAGTCGGCGATGAGGGCGGCGGTCTGGTCGAGGCAGCTTCCTTTGATCCTGTCTTCGAGCCAGTATTTTGGAATGGGACCGCACATGCGGATCTTGACGACCAAGGCGATGGTGTAGTAGCAGCATAGACAGCCGAGGAAAATGTAGATGAACAGGACTTTGCCTCGGAAGGGCTTGAAGATGCGGGTGAGGATGGCTAGAAGGGCGACTTTGACAAGGAGTGCCATTGGGCAGTAGAGGATGGTTGCGACATAGCAGTACTTCTTGAAATGGATTTTCTCTTCAGCGGTAAGCTCGTCATAGTAGTATCCTCCGCCATATTTGCCGACTAGAATGGAAGTGTGAGTATGTTGTTTTATACCTGGGGGAAGTATGCGGTATAGCGCTTACCAACGATACTGATTCCACAGTATCCCATAAACAAGAGCTGTGTATAAGGTTAGTTGAAAGGACGCCTTACTTCTCTTGTCTAACGTACCCATGCGAGTGTGCATGCAACTAAACGAATGATTAGCACCGTTCTTGTAGAAATTCAGGGATGACCCGGGTCAACTCACGATCTTCAAGCCCTAGAGATTGTTTGAAAGTAAAGCGGGTATAGAATCGCAAAACAACAAAGAAAGTCGTGATCGGTATACATAATAATTGAGTGACAAAATTGAGGGTGTGCAAGACATCTGTGGGTTCTCCGACAGGCATAATGAAGTTCAGATTAGATTCGATCTAGCAGGACTACCAACAGGGAACTGACAGGGTAAAGAACCTCCGAACCTCCCATCGAGCCTACTGTGAAAATGAGGATAGACAACCGCCGATCCCTTAGTGGAGCCATGAAAGCTATCGAACCACTACCAGATAGTGGCGCGGCCCATATGGAGGCGATGATTGATCGGGGGACTGTGTCCGATCCACCCTCGGACTGTGTCCTGCACCGAGGGCTACGACGGGGAATTTTGTGAATGGTTCCTGATCTCTTTGAGGAACAACGCTAGTCTCCATTGTATACCCCACCCTCGTGGTATCACTCTCGAATCGGACTAATAGTATCGATGTTAGCTCGTAGTTGAGCCGAACCCAGAGTTCTGTGTCGAGTCGCCACGCCGCCGTTGTTTTACCAAGCAGGCAACTGGGTCCTAGTTAAACCCTATATGCTTAGCCGACCCGACACTATGACACTTTTGACACAATATCTTTTGTTGAAGATCGGCATTGGTCTGGAAAAAAAATAGGGGTTCTTGTGTTCATTTCCCTATGATTGCTAATTTTTTTTCTCACTTATTGTATAATTTCCCTCCCCTGGCTCTTAATAACTGATCCTATAGTACTCCGTATAACCACCATAGAACAAGAAAAGATCAAAAAAATGACCATCCACTACTTGAACGGCAAAGGCTCTGCGCTTTTCCGTCCTCTGACTATTTCAAATGGCAAAATTACCCTCGAACATCGTGTCGTCCATGCGCCTTTGACCCGCAACCGTGGGGAGCCATTGAGTCCTACCAGCACCCCGGACCACCCGAATCGTATTTGGATCCCAGGAGATGCGGTTGTGGAGTACTATTCCCAGCGTGCTACCAAGGGTGGCTTGATTATTACGGAGGGAATTCCACCATCGCTCGAGGTAAGCTACCACTCTGCTCATTTGGTGGCGGGATGGCACCCTGTCAGTCCTATTTAGGCAAACCGGGGCTCATTTCCCGGGCGTTGCTGGCTTAACGACAATGACCCGAACTCTAAAATTTTGATTTGACGTTTTTGACAGAGCAATGGCATGCCCGGAGTACCCGGTCTCTTCAACTCCGAACAAGCAGCAGGCTGGAAACGAGTCGTCGACGCAGTGCACGCTAAGGGGGCCATTATCTTCTGCCAGCTATGGCACGCCGGCCGTGCTACGATCCCTCAGATGACTGGATCGCCTCCCGTCTGCCCCTCGGCCAGTGTGTGGGACTGTCCGACAGAATGTGTCAGTTCCTCTTTTTATGTGTCTTTCTTTTTCCTCATTCGGTATTGGTGCATGCTGATACATACCCCCCTTAGTACTCGCACGCGCCCGTTGGTACCACCGAGCCCGTGCTCTATGCTAATCATCCGCCTATCGAATTGACTGTGGACCACATCAAGCAGACTATCGATGATTATTGCACTGCGGCCAAGACCGCCATGGATATTGGCTTCGATGGCGTCGAGATCCATGCTGGAAATGGATACTTGCCGGAGCAATTTCTGAGCTCCAATATCAATAGGCGTGAGGATGCTTATGGCGGGACTCCGGAGAAGCGCTGCCAATTTGTGTTTGAGCTAATGAGCCAGATGGCGCAGACCATTGGCGAGCAAAACCTGTCTATTAGATTGTCGCCCTTTGGTGTATTCAATCAAACGCGCGGAGAACAGCGCCTCGAGACTTGGACTCATCTCTGCGAGGGTCTCAAGAAGAATCTACCTGCGCTTTCCTATGTCAGCTTTATCGAGCCGGTATGTTTCGTTTACTCTTTATCATATGCGGTTCCACAGCTGATATACCCAGCGTTATGAACAAATCTTCGATGTGGAAGAAAAGGACAAGTTCCTGGAGAGCTGGGGCCTGCTGGACGTGACTCTTGATCGTTTCCGTCAGATCTTTGGGTCCACTCCATTCTTCTCCGCTGGTGGGTGGAACGACCAAAACTCCTGGGGAGTAGTGGAATCGGGCAAATACGATGCTCTTCTGTACGGTCGCTACTTTACCAGCAATCCGGATCTGGTGCACAGACTGAAGGAAAAGATCCCCCTGGCTCCATACGACCGAGCTCGGTTCTATGGACCCTTTGAGGATAAGACCTTCCATTATACCGATTACCCTACTGCGGATCAGCAGAATTAGGGGGTCTGATCGATGTACAAAGCAAATGGATCGAAAGTACGGAGTACAAAGTACAAAGTACATTAAATATAGAAGAGCAGTGATGTCAGTTGAAATGATTTACAAAAGCACGTTTCCCCTGAGATACTCACATGAAAGGCTAGACCGAGCCGGCTGTGGCGAAACCATGGTTCGCCGCCACGGAATTCCCGCGAACCAACGTGGCTTTGAGTATCTCGGCTTTCAACGGTCTACTCCGTGCAGCCACTTGGGAATAGATTGCTCAGATCCTTGTAGTCGCGCATTAGCGTGCTTACTTTTTTTTTTTCAAAACCTCAGTATTAGATTAATCCCGAGGTGCCCGACTCGGCAGGAGATTATCCGGAGCTCCACCTCCTCCCCTCCACTCCGGTAGGGATTGTGATGTGCAAAAGTACCTAGGTACTAAGCCTCGGTCCAACTCATCAGGAAAATCCCCTGCATGCAGAAATCTCGATAAAGAGACTGAAGGAACCCCCAAAAATCAGATACGCTTCCCAATTAGGTTCATGCTTCAGACTATCAATCACTAACAACCCTGGAGCCTTTAGCCTAATTCGTGCCAAACCCTAACTCTGACCTTTGGGGCAAAGATCGTCCGCTTCGCCCGTGTTTGCAGGTTTTCTCCAGGTAACTGATTCGATCAACATTGCTACATACTCTGTGGTCTTGCTCCGAGCCGTGCCCCTAAAGTTTATGTTGTCCATACTTACTCCATACATCGAATGGGAAGCACATTGATGTCAGGCCAAGCAAATACAACCCCTTGATATTCCGGATCATGATACGGAGTACTGCGGCACTATACAAGGCATATACTACGAGATCAACATGGACGATCTACTTCATACTGAGCACCACAAAGGAAACTTGATTCAACACACGGTATAAACCATACATCGTCAACTCTTAGACTGTAAGGGTAAGATGATCACGATGAACATCGGATTCAGACTAGACCCGAAGGGGTCTAGTGTATCAAAAGCACGAATAAACTTCTTTGTACGGAGTACGGAGTATGTACCAGTCACACTATGGAAACTTAGGTGTCTATAGGATTCTCCGCGCCGCGATCCCCGCTCCCCTTACCTTGAATAGCCCCGAGGTGCAGGGAACATTGAACGAAATTGCGACAAGTGTCCTCGCACAGCCGGGATTATCTGAAAATTTTGTTGCGCTATACTCCGTATAGAGAAAAGCATTGTCCCCTTAAACCACCAGGTGGAATCGTCGTTTACTTGATAACCCCGGATACGAGCTTATCTTCAAGTACAAGGAAGAAATCCTCGCCGCGATGGAAATAGGCAGGACTTACTCCATATGCTTGTCTACAGCAATAAGATCAGCTAGGGCCGAATGTCACACCGATATCACCGAATTGCAGAAATGGCTGGTACAGTGTTATAACTGGTCATGGTATTTGGGCGACTAGGGAGGATCAAGCGGACAAGAGGCCCGATTTTCAATGCCATATGGTGGTATGTGGTAGACCATGGGGTAAGGGACATTACGTACTAAAATACGTGCACAACTGGTGAGCATGGTTAGAGCGGTAAATCCCTTCCGTTAGTCAAAACTCTGGAATAATAGGAATAATGGTTTACTTGGATGACTTGGTGTGAGGGGTGATGGGCCCCCCAATGAGACTTGATAAGAATAAGTAAACGGCCCACTTCGAACAGAGCGAAGGGGGATGGGTGGATCAATCATCTTTTCGAAAGTGAGACTAAAGTTATGTACTGCAAGGGTGCTTGGGGGAAAATATGTATAGAAGGTTACAAGAATGTAGGGTATAAATAAGCCTAAAGAAAGGCTGGGAAGAGAATGAGGGAACAAGAAAGAGAGAGAGCAAAGGAAAGAGAAGGAAAGAGAAGGAAAGAGAAGGAAAGAGAAGGAAAGAGAAGGAAAGAGAAGGAAAGAGAAGGAAAGAGAAGGAAAGAGAAGGAAAGAGAAGGAAAGAGAAGGAAAGAGAAGGAGAAGGAAAGAGAAGAAAAGAGAGAGGAAAGGAAAGGAAGATAGAGTTTTGAGAAAGTCGTCAAGATGTTCTCGTGCATAATCGAAAGTCTTCTCGTGCGTGTCTTAAGCCGGTGACGAGCTCTGCGCGTTCTCTGATTTCGAAATCCATGAGTAGAATCGTGGGGACAAGGCAAATGGTTGCCGGGGAATGGAGAATCTTTTCGATGCTCTTTGATCGCCGCTGCACTTCACTTGTTGTCGAGTGGGGGTAGCAGAAAGGTGAGAGCGAGGAACCAAGCCTGCTTCAGGAGAGTCAAGTCTGACTCCAAGTGCCTTTTCAGTGTGTTAGCTGCGATGTTCGAATCACCCGCGGATATCCCAGGAAGATGAACTTACCCATCCGTTGTCAAAGATCCATGATATACCCAAAAGCTGGCCCTTTTGAAGTTCCAGTTGACCAGTTTTGCGCGGATTGAAATCCATTTCCACGGTGTAGATGTTGTTGATCATTGGACTGGCTGAAAGCAAGTTTCCAATGCTGGAGTTCTCCATGGACCCTGGGCCGTAGACACGTTCCTGGCCTGCACTATCCGCCGGCTTTGGCGAGGAGCCTGATGAGGTGACACTTGGGGCGTAAAGACTGGGCGTCCCTGAGCTTTCATCTGTTGCTGGAGATTTGCATCTGAAACTCTTCTCGCTCTTCTCCTCATCTGTTGCTGGAGATTTGCATCTGAAGCTCTTCTCGCTCTTCTCCTCATTTGTTGCTGGAGATTTGCATCTGAAGCTCTTCTCGCTCTTCTCCTCATTTGTTGCTGGAGATTTGCATCTAAAGCTCTTCTCGCTCTTCTCCTCATTTGTTGCTGGAGATTTGCATCTGAAGCTCTTCTCGCTCTCCATCTCATCTGAAATCGATAGTGAGGAACTCACTGTAATCAATGGTAAACTCTTTGGACCAGAGAACAGATTGCGCTTATCGTCCCGGCTGGAGCCACTGGAAGCGCTCGAGGCGCTGTTTGTTCTTGCCAGACTCTTGTCTGAATTGAAACGCGGGAGCACAGGGGTGTTCTTTTCCCTGCCCTTGAAAATACCTGCTACTGAGGACACCACTTGATTGCCTTGGGCCTGTAGGCCTGAGAGGAAAGTTTCTTGGTGCGGGTCGTCCGTATTAGGGTCATTTTGGAGAGTGCCAGCCTTTTGGCGAAGCTTGCGTCGTCTGCGGAGTGGGAGCAGGATGAGAACTGCAATGAATATTGTGCCAATAACGACACCTACAGCGATACCCGCAGTTTTTCCTGCGCTGTACGACGACCCAGACTCTGAGTGTTGGGCTAATGAAGTGCTGCTTGGCCCTGTCTGACTCGTAGTCGCCAGTGAATTTGGTTGTGTCGAAGTAGGTGTCTCAGCATTTTCAGTGGATGAGACAGACGTTTGGGCTGATGAAGATTGCTCCCAGGGTGCTGGTGAGTATTGATTGCTTTGTGTAGACCATTGATTGTTTCCCGTACTATCCTGTTGCAGGGTGGGCGCCACAGACCATTGATTGCTTCCTGTACTTTCTTGCTGCGCGGCTGGTGCTTGAGCTACTGAGGCGGTTTGTTGGTTCCCTGTCTGGCCACTCCATGTCTGGCCACTTGATGCTTGGCCATTTGATGCTTGGCCATTTGATGCTTGACCACTTGATGCTTGACCACTTGATGCTTGGCCACTTGATGCTTGGCCGGTTGATGCTTGGCCGGTTGATGCTTGGCCGGTTGATGCTTGACCACTTGATGCTTGGCCGGTTGATGCTTGGCCACTTGATGCTTGGCCACTTGATGCTTGGCCACTTGATGCTTGGCCACTTGATGCTTGGCCACTCCATGTCTGGCCGGTTGATGCTTGACCACCTGATGCTTGACCGGTTGATGCTTGACCGGTTGATGCTTGGCCGGCTGGTGCTTGGCCGGTTGATGCTTGGCCACTCCATGTCTGGCCGGTTGATGCTTGACCACCCGATGCTTGACCACCCGATGCTTGGCCACCTGATGCCTGGCCACTTGATGCCTTGCCACTTGATGGCTGTTGGAGAGATTGAGATTGGCCGTCGTCAGAGGCACTGGGCGAGCCTTTTTGGTTTGGATGGTATTGCCCATCGTCTGGCACCTGTGCAGAAGCTTGCTGGTTCCATGGCGAAACTTGCATCTGCTTGGTCGAACCGTACGACCCAGCTCCAGCAACCGGATAGCTTGATTGCCGAGGCAAAATTGGATCACTGTATGCTTGATTATCCATGATGATCTCAATCAGCCTCTTCAATGTAGGCTTGGCTAGCTGTGTACGGGGTTATGAGAAACGCAGAGACTAAAGCATGGACATTGGCGAAGTATTCAAATGAAGAGCACGGAGATCCTCATTAATAGGCATGCTCTATCTTCATATTCCTTTCCTCATTCGTACTTTTTTTTTGTTTTAGTAGAATTCCACAAGAGGGAGTATGCTAATTCTTTTTGTGCAGCATCTATCCAGGTGGTGGAGCGTGTGAATGCTAGAAGGGACAAAGAGTGATAGTAACATTCCTGGACCACAAGAATATTCGCAAGAATGGATATATCGAAGCATAAGATATGCGTCCCCGTGACCTCGCTAGAGAACCGAACATTACTGGGTAGGTTCAGAGCAATCCTAATGAGGTCATTACAGTGCTTTGTTTGCGCTCTTCGTTGGAGGTCTACCACATTCGACCGCCACCCGATTGTAAAGTATTTACTTCCATGAAAGCAAAAGCTACATGTGAGTAAGTGCTTTCGGGGAGAAATATGATAAAAAAATTAGACAATTGGTTCGAATTATCAAGCACATTCCTTTGAAGCAAATCGTTCAGGTGGTTAGGCGCTTTGAGATGTAGGGAAACAACACTGTCGCTTCATGTCTGAGATAGCATGCCATGGGACCAAAACAACAGTGGGACCAAAAAAATAGTGGGACCAAAACAACAGTAGGACTAAAACAACAGTAGGACCAAGGGGCTATCAGGTACGGAGTGAAGTAGCATCGTTTAACTGAATGCTTCTGAGGGGTGGGTGGCAAATGGTGGGACCCAAGGGGCCGAGTACCCGGTGGAGATCTACCGAAATATGCGAATAAAAACACTCGGACGAAGGGACGGGTACGGGTAGTCCCATCGAGCAAACAAACAATCGTATTCCTCTGCAGATACCCGCGTGGCTGGGGGTGTCCGCTGGTTGGTCCCCGATTCTCGGGGACTACGGAGTAACCTTGGAATGTTCTTGATGTAGATCTCCGGTGTTTGTTCATCTTGTATGTTGTACAGAACCAATCTACGAAATTCGGACCGGATTTCCATCTGAATTGAAAGTAAAGGAAGATCTCGACACTATTAACTTAGCTTAAAAACTATAGACAAAAATAATGAAGACTTTCGTTGTTTTCTAGATATGTCTGTGAGCATAAGTCGTGCGACAAACACGTTACCCCATCCGGAATATATCGCCACTTTCAACAACATATATCCAATCCAATAATGTAAATATTTATTATAATTCATATTTTTAAGTAGCCGATTAGACCCCCAATTTATTCAATTCAATTTTTACTGCGATAACCCTTACCTTTCTCGTGCATATCAAGCCATCTCCTTGGGATAGGTAGTATTGAACCATTGTCATCAAGTGCCTCCTTCATAGTACGCATCCCTGGGGATAGGACCGGTGAACAATCCCTTTCACCTAATTCTATCAATTTAGAGTTTATGTTTGCTAAGTATGTAGGTAGATATTCAGTGTCGCCAATCGGGACGAAATAAGGCTCAGATCTGGTGAATGTGGAGGCTATTCCTCAATGTAAACCCCTCTCGCGCAGTCTCAGAACGACGCACCTTTTAAGTTATCTCGCTGAAGGATAGTCTTACATGCATAGAGTAATAACCAAATATCTTTAAGGCCACTGGAATAGGTTGTCTAGCGCGAAGGTGATCTATGATACATCCTAATAGCAGACTGTGTTGCAGAACTCGAAACACAGGATATATATATATTTAGTCTTCCATCTCAGCCACATTCTAGCTCCCTTCACGAATGCTAACTACTGTAGGCAGTAGGGCTATAGTGATACCTTTCTTATCCCTACCACACTGCCACGAATTAATTTCTTCATGGAGGCAACCGACGTTGATTAAACACAGGTGCTCACTAGAATGAAACGGACAAAGGCCGCAATGAGATACTTGACCTTGCTACAACATGGGATCATAGCATAAAATGCCAACATTGTATTCCTTTATTATTCCTAATAGCTGGAATCAAGCCCAGATTTATGTGTGTCGATTCTAGTACAATGTACAGAAATTGCCTTTTTCCTATTTATTAAAGAAGACTTGATTTCATCAGGTTCCATTGCACCCAGGACGCTGCATCATGAAGGGTTCCGCCAGCTTGTCAAATAAGGGGTACACTATGGATATAAATCATATTGGGCACTTGCCACTCGGAGCCTGTAATAGTCGTATTGCGGCGATCAAGAAAAAGACATACGAGGGCACAAGGCCCCAGTGAGACTTTGACAGCCATTCGGCCCTCCTCGTCTATCCCATCGTCCTTATTATGATGAGCCCATGATAGTTTTGTCGCGTAGAATAGAGGATAGATTGCGTAATGTCCGGTGAATTTTTAGCATCAACAAGGTTCATCTTCATGAGCTATATATAACCTATGAGAGTCACTTGGAATCATCAAGGTATGCATAACCTCCAGAGTCTTTTCCGTATTCTGGTATACAGATTCCAGGACATTAACATCTCTGTGGAAATCAAAGTCTGGTTCTCTTCTAGTCAACAATCTTCTTAAGGTTCCTGCAGTAAAAAAAACATCGAAATCTTCCAAGGATCTCCGATGTCATAAGATGAAGAAACTGCTCGATAATGGCAGATTTGTAATTTTGCTCTTCTTCCATAGGATCTTCGCTTTTATGTAATCGCACAGAATCAGCCCGTTGGAAAAAATTACACATGTGCATTGGCCACAACAAACAGGATTGATGAACATATCTTGTGCGTTGTACGTCGATGTGCTGTAAGGAGTATACTTCGTGGCGATGAGGTCATCTTGGGGCCCAGGCGGCTGAGTCAGCGATTCTACCTGAGGTCAGCCTCAGGCAACCTTACAAGACAACAGGAATCAGCATCCCCATCTGAGCCCGAAAGATCATTATCAAGGGCTCTGTATTGATCGGCCATTACACGACGAGTAGAATTAGTTCGAATCACATGATTCAAATTGAAACCGCGCTGAGTTCGCCGCCATACTCATAGGCCACCCTCTCGCCAAGACTTGGTTGACCGAATCCGGTGTCGTTCGAGGTGGAGTTTCAGGAGAAGTGGTTTCGAAGCCACACGTTGTTGTTTTCTTTTTTTCAACTTTTGACGGATCCTTTAATACAGGGTCCTCTGGTGTTGGATGCGTGAAAGATGATTCCTCATAGGAGTACAGCTCTCCTGTCTGTGATTGTTTTTGTTGCGCTTCTGCTTTTTATTTTCTCGTCCTCTCCGATCCCTGACGCCGGGCAGAAAGAAGAAGTCACAGGCCCAGCCAAGTTTGTGCCAACACCAAAACTACCATCTCTAAGCAACTTCCACCTTCCATCGTTCCGCCCTCCCTCTCACGAGCAACCCGAAGAACAGAGCAATAGCACCCACGGCGAGTCGAAATGGTACAGCACGCTCGAATGGCTGAACCCATTTTCCTCGTCCATAACCTTGGATGAGAATCGCTCCGTCCTACCCCCCTTCGCGAACGTCGACCGATCTACACGTACTACAACGCGAAATACAACCCAACCAAAGCCAATGGCAAGGATCTCAAGGAATCGCAGAATGCCGATGCGCAATTGCTTCTCGCATGGCGTCGGGCATGGTTTGCGCAAGGCTTCAGGCCCGTGGTATTGACTCCGGGGGATGCAATGAAAAACCCCAACTATGAAGTTGTGCAGAAATGGAAACTTACCCCCAAAATGGAGAATGAGGTGTTCAGCTGGCTTGCATGGGGTCATATGGGGACCGGTTTACTCGCGGACTTCCACTGCTTCCCCATGGCGCGATATGATGATCCTATTCTCATGTACCTTCGCCGGGGAACTGTTCCGGAGTTAATCACCCGATTTGAAAATCTCAAGAATGGCCTCTACGCGGCGGACAAATCGCGAATCGATGTGGCTGTCCAGAGCGCAGTCCTGAAGCTCACCGATCAGACACAGTCCTTTGTTGATTTGATTGAACCGGAATCGTTCAAGGTTGAGTCTCCGAGCGCCCTGGCATTCTATAAATCTGCAGCCGTCACCTCTAACTACCCCATCATACACGAAAAGATGGGACAGAACGCTGCGACTGGTCAACTGGCTTTGGTCCAATTGATCAATTCCCATCTGCACAATCAGTTCCACATCTCCTTCCCAGCTGGAATCGCCGTACTGAAACCATTCCCTCAACACACTACCGCGCTGGTGGAGCCTGCCCTCCGCCTGGCGAAGGCCCTCATTGAGTGCCCCGAGTCACCCATGCCCGAGTCTTGTCCCCCCAACCAACCCGAATGCCACCCATGCGGAGCCGCAAAGCAACCCATGCGTATCAGCCAGCCTCCGACCTACAAAAATACTACCTTCCTATTCACCATTGGCACCCTTCCTCATCCTTACACTCTTATCAGCCTACAGAGGAACTCGGAGGAGATCACAGTCCCACAAATCCGCCGGGAGACCACGCGCGACGCATGGCTATCTGATGTGACCAAGGAACATCTTGGGCTCGAATTGGGATCCTCATACCGAGGAGTCATCTTCAAACAAGTTGTCGCAGGCGAAGATGCCGTTGGCAATTCGCTCTGGATGACAGTGGAATCTCTTTCTGCGCAGGCAGGCCAGAGTCTGCCCGGGGAACTCTTGGACGAGTTCGAATGGCAATTTGGCTTCAAGATTCCTCGTGGCGGAAGGATTGATCCCGCAACCGAGAACAACAAAGAAACTGCCAAGAGTGCTCAGGACCACACCCCAAGCGAGCAAGGAGTAGGCAAAGAATACGAGCTGATCCAGAAGGCTCGCGATATCATTAAGAACAAGAATACGGACCACAACATCAAAGATGTTGTCGAGGCTTGGAACCTCGCAGACACTGAGGTCTGGCGTTTTGTTAAGGCTTACCGGTAAGTCTTTGTATATCCCATAGTTTGAGCTTCTGCTAACCAGTTCACAGAGCCCGGAGCGTCGTAGAGCGCCGGAAGTGGGAGGAGGAAGAGAAAGCTTTCGCCGGCTCAAGGCCATGATCTATTACCAATTTTGGGACCATTTTTTCTTCACATATGTATTGTAGTATATATTTTATTTTGGGGCGCAATTGAGAGGATACATACTCCGTACATAATGGCAGGGGCCAACGTTTAGTCACTTCGGAGAGCGCCAAGGCGGGAGCCGACGGTCATCCGACCTCTTCGTCGGCCAGTGGCGATCCCCGCGAGATAACCAACCTTGGAACTCCGCCAAGTGGGGGTGGCACCGAGATCGACCCTTGATACCCCGTAATCCATTTCGACTTCCCCTCAGATACGATTTGTGGGAGACTTCGCCTTGGACATATTTAGGAATCTTGTCAAGTACACACCATTCAATACAAGCAAGATGCACATTTGAGACTATTCCACATTGCCACCGATCTGAACATCACCATGGCGCCGGGAATACTAGGGACAGACTCCACGGTCGCCACCGAGAAAGCGACCAGTCTGTCTACACTGACCGAAGACTGGGATGATACGATTCGATTTTATCTCAACGGCACCAAAGTTGCGGTGGATACGATCGACCCGGAAGTAACACTGCTTGAATACTTGCGAGGTATCGGGTTGACAGGGACGAAGCTTGGATGTGCGGAGGGAGGCTGTGGTGCTTGCACGGTGGTGAGTTTCTGACAATATGGAGCCCATGCACCTCGACACTAACGAGATGGTAACAGGTAGTTTCCCATATCAATCCTACAACCAAGAAAATCTACCATGCCTCTGTAAATGCGTGTATTGCGCCGCTGGTCAGCATCGACGGGAAACACGTTATCACAGTCGAAGGCATTGGGAACGTGAAGGAACCCCATGCGATTCAGCAGCGGATCGCGGTCGGCAATGGGAGTCAATGTGGTTTTTGTACCCCTGGAATTGTCATGGTATGCTCATGTGGCTATTTTGCCTATCCATCGGGTGTGATATTAGCTAACACCCTCAAGTCTCTCTATGCCTTGCTGCGAAACAACCCATCTCCCTCAGAGCACGATGTTGAGGAAGCCTTCGACGGAAACCTTTGCCGCTGCACCGGTTACCGACCCATTCTCGATGCTGCCCAGAGCTTTAACTCGGCCAACAATTGTGGGAAGGCCTCTGCCAACGGTGGATCGGGTTGCTGCATGGAGAAAAATCGCTCTGGTGGTTGCTGCAAAGGCCCTTCCACCAAAGATGGGGAAATTGAGACAGTCGATTACAAGTTTCCCGCGCCGAACTTCAAGCCCTATAGTCCAGACACAGAATTGATTTTCCCTGCGGCTCTGCGGAAACACGAATACCGACCATTAGCATATGGCAACAAGAAGAAGAAGTGGTACCGACCAGTGACCGTTGAGCAACTGTTGCATATTAAGAACATCCACCCAGACGCTAAACTAATCGGCGGAAGCACGGAGACACAAATTGAGATTAAGTTCAAGGCAATGCGATACCCAGCCTCTGTGTACCTGGGAGATATTCCCGAACTGCGACAATTTACATTACACGATGACTGCTTGGAGATCGGCGCAAATGTGTCCTTGACAGACCTCGAGCAAATCTGTGATCAAGCAGTAGAGAAATATGGTGATGCTCGCGGCCAACCATTCAAGGCAATCAAGAAGCAATTGCTTTATTTTGCTGGGCGACAGATCCGAAACGTTGCTTCACCGGCGGGCAACTTGGCCACTGCATCGCCCATCTCCGATCTCAACCCCGTTTTGGTAGCCATCAACACCATCCTTGTGGCCAAATCCCTGGAGGGCGAAACAGAGATCCCTATGACTGAATTCTTCCAAGGCTACAGGAAGACCGCTCTTGCCCCCAATGCAATCATCGCTAGTTTGCGCATTCCAGTTGCCCAAGGGCGGGGAGAGCACATCCGAGCCTACAAACAAGCCAAGCGGAAAGACGATGATATCGCCATCGTCAACTCTGCTTTGCGCGTGACTCTATCCGAGTCCAATGATGTGGTCAGCGCGAACCTTGTGTTTGGCGGCATGGCAGCGATGACTGTATCAGCCAAGAACGCCGAGGCATTTTTGGTGGGCAAGAAGTTCACGAATCCTGCAACTCTAGAGGGTGTCATGAGTGCTTTGGAGCAAGATTTCAACCTGCCGTTTGGGGTTCCCGGTGGCATGGCTACTTACCGGAAGTCGTTGGCGCTGGGCTTCTTCTACCGATTCTACTACGATGTACTTTCGGGAATCGAGGTCAAGGCTTCGGATTTGGATCCTGATGTCGTTGCCGAAATCGAGCGAGCAATCTCGACGGGAGCGAAGGATCAAGAATCTTCTGTAGCCTATCAGCAAAAGATTCTTGGACGAGCGACTCCACACGTTGCGGCGTTGAAGCAATCTACAGGCGAGGCTCAGTACACGGATGATATACCTGTGCAACAGAATGAGTTATTCGCCTGTCTGGTTCTCTCCACCAAGCCTCATGCCAAGATCCTCAGCGTTGATCCCTCCGCTGCATTGGATATCCCGGGAGTTGCGGATTACGTAGATCATACAGATCTCCCGAACCCCCAGGCCAACTGGTGGGGAGCGCCCAAGGCGGATGAGCAGTTCTTTGCTGTCGATAAAGTTACTACGGCTGGCCAGCCGATTGGTGTGATTCTGGCAACTAGCGCGAAACTGGCCGAGGAAGGCATGAGGGCTGTCAAAGTCGAGTATGAAGACCTTCCCAGTATCCTTACAATTGAGGAGGCTATTGAGGCAGAGTCTTACTTTGAGCACTTCCGGCACATCAAGTGTGGCGATACCGAGGAAGCTTTCAAAAAAGCCGACCACATTTTTACTGGAGTTTCCCGAATGGGTGGACAGGAACACTTCTACCTGGAAACCCAAGCTTGTGTGGCAATCCCAAAGCCGGAGGATGGCGAAATGGAGATTTGGAGTGGTACCCAAAATCCTACTGAGACGTGAGTATCCCTATGTCCCACCGTAGTATTCAAGCTAACTGTTGCCAGGCAAACTTTTATCGCTCAGGTGACTGGAGTATCTGCGAATAAGATCGTCTCACGCGTGAAGCGTCTTGGTGGTGGTTTTGGCGGCAAAGAAAGTCGATCTGTACAGCTCGCTGGTATTTGTGCGGTTGCCGCCACGAAAACAAGAAGACCCGTGCGATGTATGCTCAACCGCGATGAAGATATATTGACCTCTGGCCAACGTCATCCGTTCCTCTGCAAGTGGAAGGTTGGTGTGACCAAAGAAGGAAAGATTCTTGCGCTTGACGCGGATGTATTTGCCAACGGAGGTCACACACAAGATTTATCTGGTGCTGTTTTGGAGCGAAGCATGTCGCACATTGATAACGTGTACAAGATCCCCAACGTTCATGTGCGCGGCAAAGTCTGCAAGACCAATACCGTATCAAATACCGCCTTCCGTGGCTTTGGAGGTCCCCAAGGCTTGTTCTTTGCCGAGTGTTATGTGTCGGAAATTGCAGATCACTTGGACATCCCAGCCGAGGAAATCCGAGCCATCAACATGTATCAGGCAGGCGAGACGACGCATTTTAACCAGTCACTCAAAGACTGGTATGTGCCATTGATGTATAAGCAAGTCTTGGAGGAAAGCTCCTACAAGGAGCGTCGCAAGGCTGTCGAGGAATACAATGCGCAACACAAGTGGTCCAAACGTGGAATGGCAATTGTGCCTACCAAGTTTGGTATCTCTTTCACAGCCGTCTTCTTGAACCAGGCAGGAGCTTTAGTCCACATCTATCACGACGGTAGTGTGCTTGTGGCACACGGTGGTGTCGAGATGGGACAGGGTCTACACACAAAGATGGTCATGATCGCCGCGGAAGCGCTGCAAGTGCCTCAGTCGAGCGTGTTTATTTCAGAGACAGCGACTAACACAGTCGCTAATACTTCCCCAACCGCTGCTTCAGCCAGTTCCGATCTCAACGGCTATGCCGTCTTCAATGCTTGCGAACAACTGAACGAACGCCTTCGTCCGTTCCGCGAGAAAATGCCCAACGCAACCATGAAGGAGCTTGCTCATGCAGCTTACTTCGACCGTGTCAACCTCTCCGCACAAGGATACTACCGCACTCCCGAGATCGGTTACGTATGGGGCGAAAATAGCGGCCAAATGTTCTTCTACTTCACACAGGGTGTCGCTGCTGCTGAAGTCCAGATCGACACACTGACGGGTGACTGGACACCTCTACGCGCCGACATCAAGATGGACGTGGGTCGTTCTATCAATCCCGCAGTGGATTATGGCCAAATCGAAGGCGCCTTCGTGCAAGGCCAAGGCCTATTTACCACAGAAGAGAGTCTTTGGCACCGCGCCTCCGGCCAAATATTCACCAGAGGTCCCGGGAATTACAAGATTCCTGGATTCCGTGACATTCCGCAGATATTCAATGTGAGTTTGCTCAAGGATGTGAATTGGGAGAATTTGCGCACCATTCAACGCTCTCGTGGAGTCGGTGAGCCGCCCTTGTTCATGGGCAGTGTGGTCTTCTTTGCTATTCGTGACGCTTTGAAGGCTGCACGTAAGCAGTGGAATGTGACTGATGTGCTCTCCTTGGAGTCTCCTGCTACTCCTGAGCGTATCCGGGTTAGTTGCGCTGATCCGATTATCGAGAGGGCGAGAGTGCAACCCAAGGAGGGGGAGAAGAGCTTTTTTGTTGCCATATAACGATACATACGGACGATTCACATGATGTTATGCCTTTTCAATGGAGTTTATGGTAAGAAGAGCCAGATTAGAATGATGTATTTTTCTTTATTATGTGTTTATCCATTTTGGAGGGTGTGGTGGGAATTCCACCCCCATGATAGCGTTCAATATGACTGAAATCAAGCTGCATTTTCGATTCTGAGCTCTATCTCGCTGGGAATTACGTATTATGACAGAACAAAGGTCCTATATACAGAAAGTGTCCGAGGAAAGTGCAATAAACGCCGATAAGTAGAGGGAATAGGGAAAGCCATCAAGAGTGTTTCTCCTGTACAAACGGAAGATTCCCATCATCGCTTTATGTCGTATTCAACGTAGCTGCTACCTCTCAAATCGGGAGCCGTATCCACCTGCAACGCATTGCCATAGTTCCTCTGTCCTGCAAACCCAATCTTCTCATCATTGTATGATGCCGGGTTACTTTGCACAGGCGCGGAGCTTGCAACCGTGGCAGTGTATTGCGGAGCAATGTGCCCATCCACAGACATGTTTCTCGGAACAGAGGTGAGTGGAACCTCAGTGAAACCATTCGGATCATGGACAGGCGGACCACCCCGAGGGACAGGGTCGAGAATATGACCCCGACCCCCCTCTCCGCGGTGCTTCTCGTGGCCCCAGAAAAGCATCATTGCGCGACCGATACCGATTAGAGCGATGAATACCCAAAGCATGAGGATGGCGGTTGCGATGATGGCTTCGATGCGCAGGGCTTCTTCGAGTTTGTTGATCACTCTGATGACGACCTCGGAGATTTTGTTGGATGTCTGGTCACCCGCGTTGGCGAGGAAACTGTCGGAGGGATTGTCGCTTTCGTTGATGCTGGACGAGGCACCGGCGGAGAATGTGTTGTTTGGGAGGGTGGGGAGGGAGATATGTGCGTGTTCGACTACCCAGTTGAGACCCTTTTGGAGTGCTTCTGCTTTGAGGCCGATGAGGCACTCGTATAGCTCGTAGACGGGTTCTTGTAGGAGAGTGCCTTTGAAGGTCTCGTTGAGGACGCTGGATGTGTTGTAGATGAAGAAGTTCAGAGTCCCATTGATGGCCTGCGTGCTGCTGTTGACCCAGCCGAAGACGTCGTGGTTCAAGTCAGTGTCAAGTTTAATGAGCGCTTTGTTGGCATCGGTGGCCCAGTCTGTTGAGGCGCTTTCAAGTGCGTTGACGACCTTGTCTGCAAACTCTCCTACCTCTGCGCTGAGTGCAGGGACAGTTTGCTTCACTGTGTGGAGGAGGATGTACTGGCATAGACATGCGAATAGTGCTGCTAGAGCAAGAGCCAGCACAAAAAGAGCAGGTAGGGATGTTGCATAGGCAATGGCCCATCGAACGAGAATTTGCCGGCGGCTGTTGCTGAAGTGGCTTGCTGCTCTGATGCCTGCGGCGGCCGTGTATGGACGTGAGACAATGTAGACAACGTCCATTGGATCATGGGCTTCCTTGCGAACTAGCTGGGAGCGTTCTTTCATTGCGCGCCATCGGCGGATTTCTTGCCATGCGATCGGGATGCATACCAAGATGGCCGCAACGATGAGGACGGCAATGAAGATTTTCCGTGCTGTTAGTGTCAGCTCTGCGACTTTGTTGAAGAAATCGTTGATGCCAGTGTTGTCATCGCAGAACGCCAGTTGCTTCTTGGCAGGGACTGGGAGTGCAGATCGATCGAAACTGTAAGTGCCCAGAGTCTCATTGACCAGATCTTTGACCTCCTGGAAGGGTGTTTGAAAGAGAGTCTTGGTATAGTTCTGGATCTCTTTGAAGTTGGGAAGGACGATATTGTCCAATTTTTCAACTGTTCTGTTGACTGATGATGGAAGGGAGAGATTCTCCAGTGCACTGATTGAGCTGTTCAAGTTGATTGGACTAGGATCATCCGAAAAGACACTGGCCACTTTGTTGATTGTCTCGAGGAATGAATTCAGTTCGTCTCTGTATTTGTCGACAGTACTCTCAATGTCGCCGCCGATGGACTTAAGAGTCTTGTTGATCCATTCGGTAGCTTCCTTCACCAGTTCAATACCGGCTCCTACCGTTCCGCGAACAGCCATTGTGATGAGACAGGCGTAGGTAGAGTACATCATATTTATGACGAACCAGAGGATCTCTCCGACGCCCGTGATAGTCATCAGCAACACGGACTTCAAAGCACGAACAGCTTCATCAACAGAAGAAGCGACGAGCTCGTTTGTACCCTTGGATAAGTAGTAAGGCATTGAAGCCATTGCGCTACCCATGGATTCCACCGATGTGCATGCGGAGAGCGCCTCACGCTTGGCGGATGCCATGTTGGATTGCAAATCACCGACGGCAATCAATAGTCGCACAAGAACAAGTAGAAGAAGAATCGTCCATCGATTGATCCATACTTGTGAAAGCCGCGCCCGCAGGCCAAGATAAGGGGTGAGACCATCTGGATGTAGAGGAATTATCCGCCCTGTACTGGAGTCGTGAGCTCCATAAGGCGGGAGCAAGGGAAATATCGATTTCCCAGATCGTGTGAACACCATTGCTGTATCTTTCTTTTCGTCGTGAGTAGCTGGAAGATTTTGGGTGCGACCTCGTCCAGCGAAGATCAGAAGCCAGGTTGTTTGGAGGCGTGATTAGATCAGTGAGATATATGCAAGACCGGCATGAAGATGGGGTATTTTCAAACGAGGATAAAGAAATAACGCTAGTCTAGTGACGGGACATTCTGTATATGACGCCTTATAGAAGTTCAATGAATAGGGAGGGACCAATAGATGAATAGCGCCGGTGGTAGTAATTCAAAACAATAGAATCAGAATAAGACAGGGACAATGAATCGTCAAATATAGTAGGCAGAAGGCGTTACCTGAAGCATGTCAAACATCCTGGGCGGCAAGGGACATGAAATATTCATAGAAAAGAAGCAGTTTAATGGCCCTTGGCGGCCCTGTATAGCCGAAACAGCCCAATCAGAATCAACCATGGCGGTGTCTAAACAAAGAAAACATAAAAATAAAGCCTGAAGCCAAGGGACCCGTGCAAGGGATCGTTTCATGAAGCATCGAAGTGTATGACTGGCTACTGTGCATGTCAAAGGCGCTGGGGTGGATAAACGGCCAAATATAGCCTTCATGGGCGCTAAGCCGCCCGCGACGGATAGCCAATAGACGGGCAGCGAGGGCTGGTTGATCAAACATCAGCCTTGCACAAGGTATTCCCAGCCCATGATAGGTTTTTACGCAGAATGATATTGTAGTTTTGAGGTCCCAGGTGGGAATCTCCACTTTCCCGATTGCCCGTCAACCCGGGGACTTGGTGTGAATCGAATCACAATCTCGCAAGTTCGTGTGCAGACGAAAACTTTCAGACGTACAATTCTTGATGATAAAACGACTGGTAGTCAAATTATAACATGATGGAATATGCTCGTAGATTATTTACCAAGTCCATCAAGGGTTAAGGTATGTTGATTAAGTGCTTGATGCTTATTCGAGTCGGGGTCACTGGCGCCAAAAGAAACATATCACGTGACATTCACATGGACCGTGCGAACGAGTTCTGCACGTGACGATGCTACACCCTAACAACTTTGGTCAAGTGAAAACGACGTGTCTTCAAGTTGATGGTAAGAAAATGTAGAGATCCTGAGTTTGTTCCCCCAATTTTAGCAAATTACAACATAAAAGGCCTATGAGCCCGGTATATGGCCTTTTTCTAGCATCATTTCCTCTGTGGGCGCATCATGAAAAGTCAGGTCTTTTTATTCTTTAAGCTAGCTAATCGTTCAAACAATGATAACTATCATATTCTCCGCGGCTGAATCAGACTCATTGCCAGGGAAGTTTGAGAACACTGCTGGGATTACTCATTCCCGGAGAGGAGATTTGATGCTATGTTCTCCCCGTGGTTCTTGAGCAATTGCGATGTTGTGAGGAAGTGACGGGCAATTCGTAATTCGTGATTCGCTGGATTGTACACGTTTTCTCGGATTGATCGTTTGTTAAATACGGTCGCGACGTATCACGTATTGAAGTTTTTGAAATGTAGAACAGTACGGAGCTCGGCGGAACCCTCAGATTCGGAATAGCTTCAACTTCGGACTTCGTCGCGGCGTCGCCAACCTTCTTCGGCGAGTGCAACTATAGAATTTGGCAATAGATGTAAGCTCAAAAAAACAAGTTCATGAGATGGAATCGAAAGACTTGCAAGTCTTTCGATTCCCGACTTGATTGATCGTAGACACAAGCAATGCTGTGGATGAATAGGCTCTTCTTTGCTTGCCGTATTCGTCTAGTCAGAGTCGTGGCTTCCCATTGAAGGCTCTGTAGGCGGTGTTCGAGGACCAGTATGTTTGCCCCAATCTTGATCGAAGCTTGAAGCTGTCCGTTTCCATATCTGAGGTCTTCCCCTTCTCATCTTCCCTTCCTTTTTTCAACTCTCTTTCATCTTTCCAACCTGTGCCCTCTTCACACTCCTTGGACTCGGTTGATCTATCATATCTTTCATCTCCTTTGATCAACAGAGTCTTTGTATCATATTGATCAAACAATATCATCGTGTTTCTTGTCATAGTGCGCGTCTCAGACGCGTCGACAAAGTCCTGGCACTCACCGTAAGTCACCGCAAACCTTCATGCGTTGGATCACCATCAGCGTTCACAGGCCCGGGCTGATGCATGATAGAGTCCTTGCCAGCTTATCTTGTCTTGAAGAGTTCTCTTGGTAAGTCGTTGAATGTGAGGCATGATTTCCCACCGTCTGGTTGACTGATGTGTGACCGACACAGCCCACACACTGTCACTCAGCTTCGACTTGAGCCACTTGTGGGTTTTCAGTATTTCCAAAATCAACCTTGGTAAGTCATCTCTGGTGAAACTGTCTTCGATATAGTCTTGTTGGCTGATGCATTCTGGAATCAGTCATTTGTTGCACCGCGTTCAAAGAAGAATCTTGGGGTCAAAAGTGCCCAGCGTCTACCGAAGAATATTTGGTAAGTTTGCATGAATCTGTGCCCCATTGACAAGACATGGTTGACTAATGGGAGAAAGTAGTTGTTGCTAGAGAGTTGCGAGCGACAACCCGTGAGAAGTTTGTAAGCTTCTGCCAATCATTGGGCAAGTAAAAGCCTTATGGAACACCGTTGATGGGTAATACTCTAATGCATGGTTAGCTTTTGTTTCAACTAACAGACGGGTGGAGCCACTACCTTATCGCCGTGCCCGACCAGTATGTCTTTCCTTCTTAAGAAAGTCACAGCTTGAATGAAGAGTCACTAACTGACAATGTTGCGTAACAGTTTGTCACCACCTGTGTTCAAAATGCCTACCGTTCTCAGCAAGCCAGTCCTGGCTGGGGGCTCTCTCAATCCTCGTCCATGGGCGCCCGAGAAAAGAAACCAGGCTACGTCCGAAGCAAACCAGGTCATGTTGGCAGCACCCCTCGAGATTCCGGGCCATGATACCCCTGGTGATAATCGACCATTCAACAGCCATGAGACTCCTGATGATGAGCCTCAATTGACCGATATTCAGTTGAGAATGCTCAGAGCAAAGAAACATCTGCAAGAATTCCACGACCATATCACGAAACTTCGGTCTGCACAGGACGAGCGGCTATCTATGGGGGAAGCATCATTGATTGGGACGCCCTACTTTGATGAGGCTCGCGCAATCAGACAATCGCTTGAAATGATCCGCGCAACTAAAATCATCGCTGAGCAATTTTTGACAAGCATGCCCGACTCACTAAAGCCTCCTCCACTCACACTTGATGCCGATAAAGAACAGAACCTTCGGGTCATGAATGGTCAGATGAAACTGCAAATTCACAATTGGCGGAGTCCCAAGCCAGGTTTTGTTATGAGAAACAATCCTCAGGGTAATCCCAAGACCGGATTGGATGGGGTGATTGAGGAAAATGGGTTTGCAGAGGTAGATTTCCAGATGCCTCTCGATTTCCCAGGTGGAATGTCTGGCTTTTTGGGCGTGCTCAAATCGTTGTTCATCAGTCCGAAGATGATTGGGATCACTCAAATGGAGGCTGGCTCCGCAGTCGCCAATCAAGAGTCGAGAAACACCAAAAAAGCGCACTACCATATCAAATGGACGACTCCGTGGGAAAACACAGGCTGTCGGGTGAGCTGGATGAAGGAGAAGGAGAAATCTTCGGATGTGAAGTTCAAGTTTGTGAACATGCAGAATGCAAGCCCGGAGGAGCAGGTGCTTGTTACTTTTGATGAGCGTGATAAGTATTATCAGAGCATTTCTCAAAAGGACCCTGTCAGTGATGATTCTTAATCAGGCAAACCCAGAATTGAGCTAACATACCACAGAATCTTTGCGGCAAATGGATGGCAATGCCGGTCAGGATCTGGCTTCACACGCAAGCGATAGTATCCCAGTATGGGCCGGTTGAGAACACTCTTTTCAACAAGCTGTCTGCCCATGATAATGTCACCAGCATTGCCAAAAAGAAGAATAAAGGCAGGAGCCGAAGGTCACGAAAGAAGTCATCGAAGAATTCCACGTGCAAAGCAAACGAAGAACCTGAGGCACCCGAAGAACTGGAGGCACAGGAGGAGTGTGACGCAGCAAAAGACAATATCAGCGAGATCACAGAAGTTGACTCTGCCGCCGTGTTAAATCCAGAGCAACCAACTTCCGGGGAGGTAGACGATTCGGTGCCTATGGGTCAGCAAGGGAATCTGACCAAAGAGCCTCCAACCCTCACGATTGACACCGAAAGAAGCAACAAGCGATGGAAACACAAGCGCAACTCTAGATCTGATGGTACAACGGAAGTGAAGGATACACATCAGCTCACTCATCGACGTGGCAACTCGCTCCACGGGTTGAATACAAACATCCCCTTCAAGAGTCTCTTGGCTGAGTTTGTGCCCTTTTCTGATCAACATCACACGTTAAATTCCTCCTCACCCATTCTTTCTGGTTCCTTGCAAGATTCAGCCTCCTCCTTTGAGACAGCCCGATCTCAGCTCACCCCTCTTACCTCCCTCCCATCATCCACTCCTTCCCAGTTCTTCACACCCATGAGCGCCCAGCGTGAGAACAACAAAGAGCACCCTGAGGCGTGGAAGGACAAACTGGAGCCAGAAGAGCCTCCAAGCCAACGGTCTCCCATTCCGCCAAAGAAGGATTTGGTTGAGCTTCGGCGTCTTGCCTTGAACACAACAAGCGAGCTGTATTTTTCTGGTAAGTTCCTTTGTCTTTTTGAGAATTTTAACGTGACAGCCACTAACTATTCAACCAGACCCCGAAGACTATATCACCGACAGCAAGGCCCTGAAAGTGATACGTCCTCGCAAAGACTCCGCCGATGCAATCAGACTAGGTATGTGATTACATTCTCTGCTTTTCTTTCTTGCTCCAATACTAATGCAGTGCAACAGGACTCTTTGAGGGCCTCCAGAAAAATACAGTCTCGTCTCCCATGGCCGACCCTCCATTGACCTCTCACACTTCTTGTGACCAGGCTACAACAGACAGCAACAGCACCGAGCTTGTGACGGAACGGCCCATTTCTCAAGCCACCGTCCAAGATCCCAACCAAGCTCGAGTCGAAGCTAGAGCCAAAAATAAGAAGACCGTGTACAAGAAAAGGAAGTCTGAGCGACGGAAGCGCAAGGATTGTCAGCGACGCGAGGAAACTCGTGACGAAGCCCTTGATGACATCCTTGATACAATTCCTGAGCACCCATCTTCCGAAACTTCCTCTAGTCATGGAGTGGAAGGCCACAATCCGTCTCCCCGCGAGGCGTCTAATGAAGAAGAACAAACTCCCAAAGCCATGCAGCATGGCGATATCGGTGCCCCATCCTCCCAGATGGTCTTAGACCTGACGACACTCGCTGTCCCTTGTGCTAAGCCAGACTGCAGTGCCATCTGTGGATTCAAGGATGGAGTATCCGTTATCTGCCCAAAGTGCGGGCCGTACTCAATGACCCGCTACTGCGGCAAGATCCATCTTTGGGAGGATGTCAAGGCACACTGGGCTGAATGTTCAACCCACCCAATCGAACAGCCGTGCTTGACAAGTTCGATTTCGGCAGACGCTCTCGTGGGTCCACCACTACTGCCCTGCCTCCATCAATGGGATACCCCTGCGCGTCACCGCCAGGCGGTGTGGTTCAGTTCCGCTAGCGAGCGAGGTGACTACTTCATCTTCGCGGACTGGACCGACCAGATGGGGGCTGGGGACGATCCAGCCAGTCACATGCGGCTGCGATGTTCACCTCAAGTTGCACTCACTGTGCGCTTCGAGGACGCCGAAGAGAAGGACCGGTTCCGCCGGTGCTTGGCAATTTGTCTCTTCGGTAAGTTTCAATTCCCCCCTGATATGACTTTCACTTCCCCGTCATCTCTCTCTTACTTTTTACTGAATTTGAGCTGACCTTACTTTCCCCTTTTAGCGGCGGTTGAACATCCAGCCCTTGTGGACTACCTGTACCGGCTTATCCGGGACTGGATGCGTGCTCACAGTTCGTGGGCCAGTGAAAACGACGTGGACGGCATGCTCTGCGACCAAATGTCGCGCGAGATGGGTGGCAACATTCATCCCGCTCGCGTTGGGTTGCGACATGCTTGCGAGACGGAGTGGGTTGGCGCCAACCGACGCCACTGCGAGGATCCGACCTGCGCAACTGAGCGCCCACCAGTGTTGCTCGGTAACCAGGGTGTGGGGTTGGGCTTCCGGAGAGTGTGCGAATACCTCGAATCCAAGTATTGGATTCTGAGGGCACACCGGGCCACCCATCCTTCGGTGAGCGACGTGGGAGCTCGGACGTGCGGTGGAGGTTTCTCGGAGGTCCTGACTGTGGACCGGCGGTTCTTCCGCCGTGGTGAAGGTTGGGACGGGGCGGGAACGGGCCCCTTGGAGCTGGAGTGGCCGTAATTCGGCGTGTCAGGGTAGGGAGCCGTCCCCTCCCTAGCCCTTTTCTGTGTACCGGGGTCCTGGACCTAGGGTGGCTGGCGAGAGAGAGAGATACCAAATGTTCAGTTAGTGGATGCCCCCTGGGTCCAGGATGCCCATATTTGTATTAGCGTTTTCGGTGTGCGGCGGGTGGAAAGGGGGAGTTGATCGCCCCCTTTGTGTTTCTATTTAGATAGAAACAAAGACCGTTGCTTTCCTGTGTGTTTGTGCCCGCATCTTGGTGGTCCTCAATTAATATCAGTACTCTGTACACATCAAGCAAGGTTTTCACTTTGCAAAGTAGATGTATGGTATACTGGCAAACTGGCAAATGAACCATAGAAGAAGGGGTGGTTGGGACCTTATGGTTGCTTTTTTTTACTTCGTTGTCTTTGGAGGACGTATCTTGTATTCGACACCTGAATTCCAAGGGTTCAATTTATTGTCTTAGTATCGGACCTGGGATTTACTCGCGGACTACATCCAGTCAGTTTGCTGTTTGGGGAATGAATACCCTATTCTGTAATCTCTCTTATTCATCGATGTGACATACAAGACCCGATCTAGCCCTTTCAACTGTCCATTTCATCATTCTTATGGTCTGCTTTTGGTCCAGATGTACCATAGAATATTGGCGTTCTGTATGTCGGCCACCCTCTCGTCCGGCACAAGAGGCGAAGAACCTCCAGGCGCCATTGGCATGTCGATGAGCCGGGTGCCCATAAGTCCCAGGCTTGATTTGCAACCTCGCCGGATCTTCTTCGTTCTTCGAAGACGTGTGCTATGGAGCCCCCAATCAAGATAGTAAGAAACATTCAGTTTGAATATTGAATGTTGAAAGTCTTAATGTACTCTATGTCTACAAAACGATACGTGGATTCTGAAAGAGCTAGTATGACAAGATGCCGCTCAGCGTCATCTAGGTGATGTCTTCCATGTAGGCGCTGGGAGTTACGGTGGAAAGGCGGCTGTTTCTAGCGCCAAAAATTGTCATTTAAGGCGTCAATTCACAGGTCCTCGTATTCTATTGGTAAAACCTCTATTCATATCTCATCACTTCTCACATATCAAAAGCCCATGAGTCTATGTTTACTGAGTGATATACTTCTTCAGTCCCCTCAGGCGCTCCTTGGCAGTTTCAAGAACATCATCGTTCTTGCAGACCGCAAAGCGAAGATAATCTTCCGCAAGGTGAGCATTTTCCTCGGTGTAGAACTCCGTGGGAGGAATAGCGGCAACGCCAACCTCGTGGATAAGGAACCAGCAGAGCTTGAAATCCCGAGGACGACCAGCGACGTGGGGTGGGAAGGGATAGTCAGCTGGGAGTTTCACGGAGGCCATATTGACAAGAACGAAGTATCCACCCTCAGGATCGGAGTACTGTAGAAGATCAGTATATCAATCAAAGGCAATTTGAACTTGATGGTGAAGGGGGGACAACATACGGGAATACCAAGCTCATCGAAGACCTCACAGAAACGTTCGATCTTGCCCTTCATATCGGTTCGGCTTTCATCCCAGAAGCCCTCCTTTTCAGCCTGCTCGAAAGCAACGGCGGCAGCTTCCTGAAGAGGAGACACACTGCTGTAGCAGATACGAGTGTGTGCACCGGCAACATACTTAATCAGATGTTCAGGGCCAAGGAGGTACCCAACACGCCATCCAGTGGCGTAGAAGGCCTTGCCCGCAGAGCCAACGGTCAAGGTGCGCTCATACAGCTCTGGGGAAAGGGTGGCAATTCTTGTGTAGGGAACGTAGAAGAGACGATCGTACACCTCATCGGACAAGATGATGAGGTTGTACTTCACACATAATTCGCCAATGCGCTCAAGCTCCTCGCGAGAGAACACCTTGCCGACGGGGTTGTGCCTGCGAGGTCATAGTTAGTTGAGATCCCATTCATGTCTAAAAAGTAAGTCTGCTCACGGGGAGTTCAAAACCTGACAGAATTAGCTTCGAGCTTCATCAATGATTTCGGAATGCATGCTTACAATCATCTTAGTCTTGGGGTTCATGGCAGCTTCAAGCTCATCAAAGTCAACGGTCCAGTCCGATGCAGGTGAAGTTCTAGTGGCACCATCCTTGGGCGGATGGAGAGGAACATAGCGGACAGTACCGCCAGGCATCTCAATGTTGCTAATATATCTATGAAGAGTAGTTAGCATCTGCTCAATGCTCTCGCAACATCAGAGCTTCCTACTGGTCGAAGAAGGGCTCAAAAACAATAACTTCGTCACCGGGCTCAATAAAGCCCATGAAAGCGCTGAGCATGCCTTTTATGTATTGTCAGCGCTGTCTTTTACTGATGCGTAAGCGCTGCCAATTTCTTACCCTCATTTGCGCCCGTTGTGATCGAGACCTCGGTCTCAGGATTCAGCTCTCTGCCAAAGAAAGGCGAGTAGGCGTCTGCAATAGCTTTTCTGAGGCGAGGACGACCCTAAATGATATGAGCACCTGTGTAACAATGCGCGGGGTCACTGGCGTTCCCTACCTTCGTAGGCGAATATTGGTTGCATTCCACTCGGTCGAGCGCATCCTTCGCAGCGTCGATAGCGAACTTGGGAGGATTATAACCACTGCAGAAATCGATCACAAGTCAGTTCCTCTCTCTTGGAACAAACATAGCTTCCACAAGATGGTGACTCACAAAAACCCTTGGCCCATGTTCACGATCGGCTGGACCGGCGAAGCAGCGGCTGCCTCGTTGACGATTGACCTGGCATTTACATTCAGTATATCTCTCTTGGCTTATTACCCGAATCCGCATACCAGACATCCTGACGCTGTCCTGCCACCCGCTGGGCAGGACGAAAGGGATCGGGCCGCGGAGCTGTGGCCGACATCGGTCTTGTACCGTAACTAGGGCGAGGTAAAAATGAACGCGCAAAGAACACAGATCTTGGACTGCGAGTTAGAGCAATTATGTGCCGATGTGAAGAGCGGAGAAGCATGACAAGATTGGAGTCGAAAGATGAAAAGAGTGGAGGAGCTGGATTATTCCCCGCGCCGATGGCGTGCTCCGCGTTCTCCCCGGCCCGCGTGCCACGGGGTCAGTTTGTACGGATCTGAGCTATTTGACGGTGTTGACTGTTCTTCGGATCATTCGGAGATCATCACTACTTTGCTAATTGATCGATATCATCAATGGAAGCTTGGATTTGACCATTCTTCAGGCAGCAAGGCGTTGTTCATTACTAATTACAGGCGCGTCCAGAGGACAGGTTGAACGCGTCTTATGTCCTCCGTAGACGCCGTTCTTCCTACGTCTAACTTTGAAGCTTGTGGGTAACACGGCGAATCACCATATCATCCATCGATCATCATGGTTTCCTGTCCAATATGTGAGAAATCTGTTCCCCAGTTGAAGATCAACGACCACATCGACTCGGGCTGCCGGAGCTTCACCGAAGAACCATCGTCCTCTCCAGGGGACTTGTCATCATCCCAGAAAGGGCCAGTTCCAAGCATATTTCAACCCCCATCCGCACGCAAAGCTTCCGCCCAATCGAACGTTCTGAAAGATTCCCCATCGCGTCCCACGACGACCCCACGCCCTCTCAACGGCAAGCGATCGTTTGTCGACGATGCGGAATCACCACGCGAAGGAGCAGCGTCAAAACAAAATGGGGAATACAAAGAGCCACAAACGAAACGACCGAAGATCAGCGCCTTCCACAAAGCAGCCCCCCTGGCGGAACGTATGCGACCCAAGACCTTGGAGGAAGTCTGCGGTCAAGAGCTTGTCGGACCCAAAGGCGTCCTACGCGGGCTCATCGAGCAGGACAGAGTACCGAGCATGATATTGTGGGGCAGTGCGGGAACAGGCAAAACAACAATTGCTCGAGTCATTTCGTCGCTGGTGGGCAGCAGATTCGTGGAAATCAACAGTACCAGCAGTGGTGTGGCAGAGTGCAAAAAAATATTCGCCGAAGCTCGCAGTGAGCTGGGACTCACTGGGCGGAAAACAATAATCTTTTGCGATGAGATCCATCGATTTTCCAAATCACAACAGGATGTCTTCCTAGGGCCCGTGGAGAGTGGCCAGGTCACGCTCATCGGAGCCACCACGGAGAACCCATCCTTCAAAGTTCAAAATGCGCTACTCTCGCGTTGTCGGACATTTACCCTTGCAAAACTCACCGATGAGGATATCAGTTCCATTCTTCACCGTGCCCTTCGGGTAGAGGGCCCAAATTATTCACCGTCCGAGTTGGTGGATGAAGAGTTGATTCAATATCTCGCCAGATTCGCCGACGGGGATGCTCGAACCTCGCTGAATCTGTTGGAGCTGGCGATGGACTTGTCAAAGAGACCTGGAATGGACAAAGACGATCTCAAAAGCTCTTTGACCAAGACACTTGTGTATGACCGTGCTGGCGACCAGCATTATGATACGATCTCCGCTTTTCACAAGTCCATCAGAGGAAGCGATCCTGATGCAGCACTCTATTACCTTGCTCGCATGATCCAATCAGGCGAAGATCCTTTGTATATCTCTCGGAGGTTGATCTGTGTCGCTTCTGAAGACATTGGCCTCGCCGACAACACCATGCTATCACTCGCTATAGCCACACATTCTGCCGTTGAAAAGATTGGACTCCCAGAAGCACGAATTAATTTGGCACACGCTACCGTGGCGATGGCGCTATCGAAGAAAAGCACCCGTGCGTACCGCGGATTGAACAACGTCTTCGCTGCTTTGAATGAGCCAGGGATCGCGGGCTTGCCTGTTCCAGTTCATCTGAGGAATGCGCCAACAAAGCTCATGAAGGAGCTGGGTTATGGTGCGGAATACAAGTACAATCCCAACTATATTGACGGTAAGGTTCAACAAGATTACCTGCCAGCGAAACTCCTCGGTCGTACTTTCCTGGAGGACTTGGACTTGGGTACTCAGAGAGACCCTGACTTGAATATTACCCGTCATCGGAGCAATTGATTGTTTTCAAGAACCGATCACATCTTTATGTTGCTTTTATACATCATACCTAGAGTTGAAACTCACCTGGGCATGGCAATGTTCATACTTCCACCGCCCTCAACATAGGCAATGAAACACTATACATCACACGCGCTAAACCCAATCAGGATTCGGCCTCATGGCTCTAGTCGCGCCTGCTCCATGTCGAGTGACGCCGTTATGGAGTCGTTGCAAGGTTCAGATTAGGTTGGGTCTCGTCATTGCGCTACTAGGCCTCTTTGGGTATCTTTAGAGGTCCATCGGCTAAAGGTTCACTTTTCCTGGCTCATTCTCTGCCTTACGGTTGGCATCTTGTTCGAATTACAAACCTCAGCTTGCTGAATCTTGCCCTTTGCCTGTCCTTTTTCTTTCGCTTTCGCTTTCGATCTACTCTTGTCCGACGATCGTTTATGGTGTCGATCACTACAAATTCTCTCGTTTGATCCCGTAACCATGATGGCGCAAGTCGATACACGGCATCGCCTATCTTCACTCTCTCATCCCGATCCAAAGCGCCAGCGTACAAATTCACCAGTTCCAGTCAATCCTGTGAGTTTGATGTTGTCTCTTATATCATCATCCCCTTGCCTCCCCTGTGACTTTTGTCCTACTTTGCAAGCCAGGCTGAGTACTGACTGTCTAGTTTGCTCTGGCTACATCCGCGTCCACTGTGCCTTCTTTGCCCAATTTCGTTATCGGGAATCCTATGACACAGACGTCGCAGCTGTCATCCTCAATCTTCATTCCATATGAGGCCCGGCCTATTGATCCTGGAATACCTCAAGAGCAAGGAGAACTTCGAAGTAATATAGAGCCATTGCCAGATTTTGATGATATCATGAGAGATGATAGGCAGATGGACAGAGCACTGCCAATTTCAAACCCAACCATTCATGACATTCTCCATCCACGTCACTCTCTACTAATGAGGCCACCCACGATTGAAATCCAGGCCGTTGAAGGCATGAACGGTCTAGTTAGTTTCGATATGGCGATGCCATCCACGATTGAAAATGTTCCACCGGTTTTTGTGAACCCGTCTGTCTTTACAACTCCGCCAAGCTCCACAACTCCATCAGCCTCTACAATCTCACCAGTCACTGCAATTCCACCAGTCTCTGCAATTCCACCAGTCTCTGCGATTCCACCAGTCTCTGCAATTCCACCAGTCTCTGCGATTCCACCAGTCTCTGCGATTCCACCAGTCTCTGCGATTCCACCAGTCTCTGCGATTCCACCAGTCCTTATAACCCCACCAAGCTCCGCATCTAAACCAAGCTCCGCATCTACATCAAGCCCCGCATCTCCACAACCCTCTGCAACTATACCAGTCTCTACAACTCCATCAGGCCCCGTGTCCCTAATTAGCTCCAACGTTCAGCCCAGGACATGGCTTGTCAGTTTTAATGATCTCCGATCATGCACCACGGCTCCGCATGAATGTGTTCAAGGTGCTCAAAATAGCTTCAAAACCAAACAACTCGTTACACCAGTGTGCCAGCCCTCGTCATCTTCAACCCAGCCTGGTGACTATGAGTTCATTGCATGGGATCCAGCAAACCCTCGAAAGACTGACCCGCGTGAAAGGATGCGCCGCAGCGATGGCGAAATCAAGCAACAGAGAGAAGATGCAGCTGCACTTAGGAAATTCGGTGGCACTTGTCTGTGCTGTTACCGAGCCAAGAAGAAATGTGGAACAACCTCACCATGTGGTCCATGCTCTTCCAGGCGTAAGGGCCAACGAATCTGTTATCGAAACTGGGAAGCACTGCGCCTGAGCAGGCTGTCTGTAGAGAGATTTATTCAAACATGCGGCTTCCCGACAAACGAGGCGAGGGATACCTTGAAACGGATGTCTAACGATACGTTCAAGGACATCAGTGTAGTTAATGCGGTCCTCCAGCTTCGCGAAACATCTAGCGGTCGTCAGGTTGCGTTGCATTGGAAGATATTGCGCACTCACATCACATTAGAACAAAAACATTATAACGAGGAACTTCTTCTTGGTGATTTTGCCGGCATCTATCCCTCCATGGAATTGATCAGATTTGAAGATATATACGGGACCGATCCACTCGTTCATGATGCACTCACGGTGGCAAAGTTGTTCATGATCGCTCGGGCCTTAGCGCAGGGCATCATTCGCACGTCCTGCGCTGAAATGCTCCCCGGGCGACTCGTTTTGTATTACGTCTTGATTCGTTCTTTCCGGAAGCTGGTCAAAATGTCTCAGTATTTCTGCCCTATTTTGTACGAGGCTATGTGCGGAAAAGACAAGCAGAATGGCCACGCGAAGACCACTAGCCCACCAGGAAACGAAGACAAGATCGACTCCGCTTGGGTCGCCGTAGCGTTATATTATCGGGTTGTTTGTGCCCTGAAAGATCTCCAGAGTAATGCGGTCGTTGCGAAGATATTCGGGCCCTCGGACTGGCACTTAAAAGAAGTTTGCGATAAGCTTGAAGACTTTCTCCGCCATGTGCCGCCCGGACAGGAAGCCTCGCGCAATTGCTCCAATCTGACCATCCTTGAGAACAATATTCCCGTGCTTCCGCCATCTCCAGATATCGATATGGCGTTCCACCTCACGCAGCATGAGCATGAACACGAAGCGATATCAGATATGACGGAGCGTAATGCTGCCTATTCACGGTCCCACGACCAAGTTCAAGCATTTCTGGCCGATGATTTTACTCAGCTTGCGTGTATGGGAGTCCCCCCGGTTACCGCAGTGGGCAATCATCAGCAATGCCTCAAGTTGCGATGACTACATATGAACAAAATACCTTTGATAATGTGGGAGCTTTGGATCAAATTGGACGTCTCTCTCCAGTGGATCCCTGTGAAAGTGTCTCTTCACATCTTTTGATGCATCTCCTCAGCAACGGAGATGATTATCTCTCAATTCCCTCGTACAATTGTTGAAAGCTGTGATATTACCGTTCGCGTTATCCTATTGCTTTACTCTATATGGTTATTCGGGACAAATATGTCGCTCTCGTTTGAAGCCCAGTATTGGTTGCTGGATGTGAAGCTATGAAGTTCGTGGTCTTGGATGTATGCAGTTGCTGATTAGCCAAAAGTCCCCTCGCTCTAGTTCTGGGAAGATGAACAATGCAAATGTTTTTTGGATCTCACTTTCTAGATCGAATTAAGAGGGTAGCAAACCTCATGGCCCGAGACATCATAGAAAGCGGTGTCTTTTCCCTCCTCCCTTGAATATAATAGTTATCATTCGATCCACTTTTGATCAACTGCTTCAAATGTGTATAATGCTGAAGGGTCGGTTTCAATCGAAATCAAATTTGCTACACGAATGTGCCGGGTTTTAGGCACTCTCGATATTGCTTATATCTGTGTAATATAAATCATAGTAGTCCCCCGTTAGAGCTATTCCTACCATCTAAGTAACTCTTACAAACAGGGGGGATGTCTGTAGAGACGACTGCTTGACAAGAGATTGTAGAACATATCTAACAAGAGCAAAAAGGCATTGCAACGGCCAGCTGTATGAAAAGCTTCATTTTGCCTGTTCATATCATCCTCCGACAGAGAACAATTCTGCTTACCCAGATCCAATGTTTGCTATATCTCGCTAACCAAGGGCCATGAGGCTCTTAAAATAAGATCATATTCTTTCTACAGTAGTCATCGGAAACACGTTTACCCCTAAACTCCAAGCCTCCACTTCCTATACTAGGACCTGTAGGCGTCCCAAAGGCGTTTAGCGTGTTCGGCGTCCGAAAAGAGCTTAGCTTGTAGATGCATTTTGATATCAAGCAGGAGGGATCAATGCAGACTTCCCAGGAAGAGGTGATACAGCGCTTGTTTGTTGTTTGAAATTCATGGCATCGAAATGAAGGCAAACAACTGTAGCGACTTATCGCCTCCATCGGCGAGCATCAACCGCTCTTCGAGTACGTCCAACGAAATGGACTGCAATTTGATTTTTCCAGACGGTGGCTGGCGCGCATGGGGCGTTGTTCTTGGTTCCTGGTGTGCGATGGTGCCGTCGTTTGGGCTTATGAATACAATTGGGGTGTTTGAAGCCTGGCTGGCAGATCATCAGTTAAAGGACTATTCGAAAGCCTCCATAGGCTGGATATTTAGTCTTTATGTATTTTTCCTTTATTTTGGAAGTATCCAAGTTGGTCGGAGTCTCGAAACAGTCCACATTCTTATGCTAAGCTAAACATCTAACAGGGCCTATTTTTGATGCATATGGGCTAAAGCCGTTACTGATTCCCGGGTGTGTTGGACTGGTCGGATCGTTGATGGTCTTCAGCGTGGCAGAAGGTGCGTTTATTCCCTCTTGCTTTGTCAAATCTAATCCCAGTCATTGAATTAGAATATTATCAATTCATGCTGGGGTTCAGTGTCCTTGGCGGTATCTCTTCGTCCATGGTCTTCACTCCTAGCGTAGGTTGCATAGCTCATTGGTTTCTTCAGCGTCGCGCGTTGGCTACGGGGATAGCAGCGACTGCTGGAGGAGTCGGAGGTATTATCTTTCCTGTTTTGATCTCTCATCTCGCTGGGAGTCTAGGCTTTGCATGGGCCATTCGAATCGTGGGTTTGATAAGTGCGGTGTTCTGTGCTCTCTCCGTGGCACTTTTGAGGGCCAGAGCACCCTTGTTAAATTCGGCACAGAAAGGAAAGATGGATCTCAGATGTTTGAGTGAAATGCGCTTCTCATTGTTGACGGCTGCCATCGTTTTCGTCGATTTCGCGCTACTGATTCCGTTAACGTATCTACCGTCCTATGCTCAATCTCGCGGCCTGGGAGATTCTCTTGCATATAACCTCCCATCTATCCTGAATGCAGCGTCTATCTTTGGACGCATTGTCCCCGGATATTTTGCTGATCGGTTTGGGTGTTTCAATGTGATGATCATCACAACGTTCGCCTGTTCAGTGATTACTTTCGCTCTCTGGCTTCCATCTCGGTCCAATCACGCGGCCATATTGGCATACACCGTGCTATTCGGATTCTGGAGTGGCTCTGCAGTTAGTCTTTCTCCTGTTTGTGTTGCGCAAATTTCCAAAACCGAGGAATTTGGGAAGCGCTATGGTACAACCTATTTTCTGGTCAGCTTAGGGACTCTTGTTGCTATTCCAGTTGCCGGCGAACTTTTGAAGGTCCAGCCAAATGGGGGACTGGATAGTTATTATGGTTTGATCATTCTTTGCGGACTGGTTTATTCGAGTGCATGTCTGTTTTTCATCTTATCTAGAGGCGTGAGCGTTGGTTGGGGATTCAAAGCTTTCTAGTACTGTACAGTAAACCAGAAGCAACCCTCCTATGTCATTTTCCAGTATTTCGTCTTCCACAGGAACTTTCTCAGATCATCTCAGAGATCCCTTTCAGTGAGCCAGTAGGAAAACCTCATTTCCACGGGGCCGGTGTCTCATGTTGTTCCTGGATTTTGCCTGTTGGGATGTCATATATAGCATGCCCTCTTTGGAGTTAGACAACATGCGATTCCGGCTTTAGGAGAGCTGTTCGCTCTCTCGACTCTTCGAGCTGAATCGATCTGATACCCGCCATCTGAACTAACAGTGAGAGATATGTTAAAGAAGGAATGCACCGGGGAAAACAAGAATATATAAGGAAGCTAGCTATATATAAAGGCGTGTAGAAAGTTGTATTATAAGAAACTCACTGCGATAGTATCTCTTACCCCCCGGCTTGTCATCAGTCTGAGACATACTCAAACAAGCCGATAGAATTGTTGGCTCTGTAATCGACTCCACGAGAGACTATTGAGTACCAACTGCTCAAGGGTCGTAGTATATAATAGAAGCAAAAGACGTCAAGACCGGAGCTATCATCTCAATGATCTCAAGGGTCAGTTATCATTCTCTAGCCCTAGCTCTGGACGTACGTGTGGAGTGTAGAGGGTGTCAACGTTGGTTTGCACATGGATACTTGCTCATCACATTTTCAAATGCTAGGAGCGTGATATATACTCGTCCTCTGATGAGAACAGTGACTTCCACAGGTTTCCCACAGTCTTCCATTCTTCTAGTCTTCAGGTCGAAGTTCCTAGCGTAGATCCTAGCATTCAACATTAAAAACCATCTTCCACATGAAATCCCAGTAAAGCCCTCCTCCCATATCCCCCAAACCAATGATCACTCAAATTGCGTCGTTGATGCTATATCTGTAACGAGACCAAAACAACACGGCGTGATCATTCCGCCCGAGGCGCGTCTCCGGAATCCTCCCACCGCCAAACATCTCCATCTCCCCACATATTCGCATGGGCGACAAGCCCCTCCTGAATTAATGCTGAACGCCCGAATCCCATCTAATTAAGGAAAAAAAAAACACACATCACAATGGCCTCTGGCCAACCCTTCGCGTCGCGTTCCTACGCGGGCACGAAACTGCCCGACCGCTCCAACACAAACGCCATGCCCTTCAGCGCCTCGTCATTCTCACGGCACCGCGGACTAGGAAATACCACCCAGGGAGACTTCAACGGCCCCGAGACCTCAAAGCAGATGCAACAGTCTGCGCCGGCGCCCGCGACAAACGCGCAATCCCACGGTGCAGCGCAGGATACGAATCCGCTGAACCGACTGACGGAAGAACAGAGGGAAGAGATCAACGAAGCTGTAAGAGACACCGGGATCGATTTAGAGAGAACATATCCCCAATGATTTCTTGACTTCGTTCTGTGGCGAGGGGGGAAGTAGCTAACGCGGTACCAGTTCACGCTGTTCGATCTCGACCGCGACCGCCACCTCGATTACCATGAGCTCCGCGTTGCGTTCCGCGCTCTGGGCTTCACACTCAGCAAACAGGAGCTGATCTCGCTGTTGACTACATACGGCGTGCCCCGACCACAGGTTCAGCAACAACAAGCTGGTAACCAGCAGGTCCAACAGACTTCGAATAAAGGCCCCGTTTCGAACCCCCAGCACCCCTCCAATCTGCTCATGCCGCTCTCGTCGTTCCAGGCTGTGACGGCGCTGAAGATTCTGGAGCGGGATCCGCGTGACGAGATCCTGCGCGCGTTCGAGCTGTTCGATGAGGGTGCTAAGGGATTCATCGATCTTGAGGATTTGAGACGCGTTGCGAGGGAGCTCGGAGAGACGGGGTTGGAAGAGGAGGAGCTTAGGGCTATGATTGAGGAGTTTGATCTTGAGGGGGTTGGTGGTGTTACTCGTGAAGCTTTTGTTGGGATTTGTTGGCAATGATTGGTTCTCGAAGAGGATTCTTTGGATCTTTGATTAAGGATTTGAACTTCGGACTGTTGGTTGTTTGTTGTGCATGGGGGTTTCCATTGGTGTTAGGCTTTCAGTTACCTTTTTCATGTCTCTTGTTTTCTTTACTCTTGTGCTTGTTTTGGGAGTAGTGACCTGTTTTATGTGTTGACTTGGGTTTAAAATCGTACCTTCGAATGGATATTCCTGAACAAGATCTACTTGAGTACTATATGCTAGATCACAGAATCTAGAAAAACGAATAGTGCGGTATCATTCATATGCAAGGGAAGTGATCTAAGGAAGGAGAATTCATACAATAAAAAAAAAGGGAATAGCCACAGCTGAAATGAAAGTCCCCAAACCCAGACTGCGAGTGACTCCATGAGGACTGATGATAACCAATCATCCGCGATGACGCCAATAACCAAACGACCCGTAGCGCAAATCCCAAAGCGGGATGCATGCAAATATGAGGTTCAATAAATAGAACCTAGTAAAATAATATACCCGAAGCAGAAAGATGATCATGAGTATCGCGGGGGCGCCGCATATCCTGGTGGTGGTCCAGGGGGAGGCACGTTCTGATACGGCATGTTCTGATGCGGCATATTCTGATACGGCATATTTTGATATGGCATATTCGAATACCCGGCATTCGGGTAATTCTGCCACTGGTCCATGGGCGAGCGTGCAGTGGGCTGAGGTCCATTATAGCGACGATATGTACCTGGGGGAATGGCCTTGCGGGCCTTGCGCAATTGTGCGCTACGCTTGCAGCGACTATAGATACAGCAGAAGATAACCAGCAGAATAAACGTACCGACACCGACACAGATGCCGATCACCAACTTCTTGTGTTGGTTAATCCAGCCCAAGGCCGAGGAGCCTTTGCATTCGCCTGCTTTGCAGTAACCACCGGCATCGCAAGGTGTACCGTCGAGGTAGTTCTGGTTCATAATGATGCATGTCGTGGTTCCGAATGAGTGGGAGGTAGGATCGCCGCAGACGAGACTGCAGGACGGCTGCATGGTGTTTCCACATGCCCAGGTGTCGTTAGTGTTGAGCAAGGCGCCCACCACTGAACGGCACTGGTAGTCACGACTGGTGCATTGGCCACTGGCACAGGTGAGACCTTTGCCCTTGTCGCCACATGATTCACCGTCCTCCTTGTGTTTGTTTGCTGGGCAGGAGCTCGAGTTTCCACTGCATTTCTCTTCGAGATCACATACACCCATGCTGGCACGGCATACGGTATCGGCAGGCGCAAACTGGCACTTGTTGCAGCAGCTGTCGTTGGCATCGTCGCAGACGGCGCCACCCTTGAATTTGCAGGTTGATGCATCACAACAGGCGTTTTCGCTGCAATTTTCCTCGCCGCCGCAGTCGCAGTCCTCGCCTGCTTCGACGATACCATTACCACACTGGCTGCCGCTAATGGTGACGACGCCACGATTGTCCGAGAGACAGGAGGACTTGATGCTGTTTCTACCAATAGCGGAACACACATTACCAATGGTGCACTCCGAGAAAGTTGTCATGGCGTTGGTGGCGTATGGGTTCATGATGTACTTTGCTTTAGCATCGCAGGTCGACGAACTCAGGGGGCAGCATTGTGAGGAAGCATCTAGTTTCCTTCGGCAGCCATCATCGTCACAGTCGTGCACCGCTCCAAAGGTATGACCGGTCTCATGAGCAAACACCTGCCAGGAAGAACCGGCATTGCGAACCACAACGTTGGCACCCGACACCGAGTTGGCTCCGGAGCTAACCAGATCAGAGGAGCACAGACGACCCACCCAGGCAACTCCAACCTCGCTGCCTGTTGGACAGTTCGTCATTAAAGTCCAATAGGCGTTGTCATCCGAATGAGTTGCACGCCACTTGGAGAACTCATTCAGACGCCAACTGACATTTCCTCCATTGCAGTCCACGTTCCAGGGTGTAGCAGATGAGCCTGAGGAGGAACAGCCAGGCTCAGAGATCGATAGATTGCGCAAACCAATCGAAATATTGAAAGATTCCTCATAGAGATTCGAAGCCGTATTCACCACATTGATGACCCAGTCCTTAGCAGCATCCTTGGGCGTTGAGTTGGTAGATTTGAATGAGTCGGTAAATTCACAATCCGTTGCGATTCCGACCAAAGCAACCTTCTTCGTCTTGGGACATCCAGAATTATCACCGATGGTCGATTTCAGATGCACGCCGCCAGTGCCGCCCGAGACGCCGCCAACATCATCTCGCTTGCCTAATCCAAACAGCGAGTTCAATGAGGTAACCCCCCATTGACCGTCGGCTTCGCTCACCTCATAGGGGAAAATCGAACTGGACATATTGGCGTTGTAATCGAGCGTGTCTGAGCCGCAGCCTGAAGAAACGCTTCCCATCTCTTCAGGAAGCGAGCGCTTGAGCTCAGAGTGTATGTAGCGGAACATATCCGAGTCACGGTATACAAGCATATATTCTCCATCGCGGGGCTCGGCATCGGCATCGATCGGGCGCTTCTTATCATGATAGGTCGACTGCAGTTCAATGTGATGCTTGTCATTGTTGATACTGAATGCGCCCTCGAAAAGAGGGTCTAGGCCATCCCTTTTGACGGTGATTCTAGCCCAACCCACAGGCGTCCACCTCCCCTTGCCAGATCCTACCGAGGCGCGACCCCGGAAGACCTTGTGTTCATGTCGCTTGATCGGTTCTGCGTGTGTTACTGTGCCGTCGGCACGGACGTATTGTACATAAGCATCTTCGGCCAAGATATCATGATTCGGCTCGAGTTCTAGCTTTATGCGCTTGCCATCTTGGTGTAATTCGAAGGTGATATCGAACTGTGAGAGGTGATCTATCTGATGCGACGGAGTTCGAATAATGGCATTGTCGATGGGCGTCACACGTTGAATAGCTTCTGATTCCTGTGATCGTGCTGTTGGGGAATTGTCAGCGGGGCTGCCAGGGCAACCGAGGGGGAGGGTCTTACCTTGTGTATTGTGAAAGAGCGATGAGAATGCACCGATTAGGGGCAAGACATTAGAGAATCTCATCGCAAGATCGGGGTTCTTCCCCTGGGATTGAGGGGTTCAAGGGTCTTTTATAGGGAGCCGATAGAGTTTCAAGTGCCCTGAGTGACAATCATAGGGGTGTTCAGGGCAACAGGTTCCACTTGGATGTCAAGATCGCCAAAAAAAAGGTCGAAAATAAAAGGTAGAGAGACAGATGAAACAACAAACGAAGGACTGGGTGAGATGATTAGGGAAGTGAGCAGGATCACAATAATCCGACTCAGCCGTATGCCAAGGGTCGAAGAATCCAATGGCAGGGACGCCCCCCAAAGACCGCAGGGGCTTGGCAAAGTGGATTGAAACAAATAACCCGACCCAGTTCCTATGGGGAAATCTCTGACTGGCCATTGTGGAGAGCGCTATTTTTATGGAACTTCCAAGGTTATAATGCTGCCTGCTGGAACTAAAATGTCCGTTGTGCTCCGCACGCTCTAGATGTACGTTCTACGGAGTATATCCACCAAACATCTATATCTCGACCAAGTAGTCTCGGACTCTCTGACTCTACAAGAACGACCGTGATTTATGTTTGCAAATTATCCATGCATAAGAGTACGTATGTTGTACGCGTAGGTGGCACTGGGCCAAGGCGCGATTAACCGGCTATCAAAGACTTCAGTGCTTGGCAGTCAAGGCTGCCGAATAATGGATCTATGTATCTCGATTTGGACATCCGGAGTACGGAGTACAACATAGTCAAGAGTTAGTCGGGAGCCGAATGATACATCTGGTGTGCTAACTGGGCGAAGTGTGGAATTGGCACCCCACAGATGGGGCAGTCCAGCCCCAGCGGTTCGTCGTCGCCATCCTCCCACTCGTCCTCGGATTGTGGCTGAATCGCAGGGGAACCAGGATCTGGCAGTCGTGACACGTCAACGGACAACGGTGGTGGCTTGGGTTCTTGCACGGTCCATTCTCTAAGCGTGGTCTCCTGGTGTCGAAACATCTTCCCGATATCACGTCCACTATGTTGCTTCTGATCCCCCGCGCGCTCCACCATGTTAGTCACTGCCACGTTCAATAAACTGAGATTCCACCCCGACTTTTCAGGATGCAATTTGCGGAACATAGAAAAGATACTCTCTCGGACTAACCGCTCGGCCAGGGAATCGATGTTCTCGTCCAAATTGAAGATAAAAGGCGGAAGGGGCGCCGACCGAGAGATGCGATTGGAGTGGTAGGTACGTCCAGTACCCGCATCTGGCGGGAGCCTCGGTCGTGTGGATAACCGCAGAGTGCGAGGATGCGCACGCCATCTCCCTTGAGGAGAAGTATCATCAGTCATGTCAAGCAGATCAGTCCTGATACGGCGGATCAAACTTCGGGTCAAGACAACGAGCTCTCGTCGTACACTTTCGAGTGTATCCAATCGACCATAAGAGTCCTCAATGCTAATCTGGGTAGGCACATCGCGACCCTCGAGTACTTCAGAATTGTCTACACCATGGAGAATGCTCCACATGCGCATCCCGATCCCTTTCACTGAACCTGGCCCACCCAGGATTTTGTCCAGCAAGACGGGGTTCATGCCAGGAAATTGTCGGACATGTTGAACGGTGATCTTTTCGTCAGCGGTCTCTTGCCCCGTGACATGGGATGTTAATTTCTGGGCTATTCGTGATCCAATCCCGGGAATTTTCCGAATCTCATGGTCATCCAGAAATTGGAACACATGGCTTGTATTATCCTCAGTGGTCACGTAGGGCGGCAGAAGAGTTGTTTGACCGTTAGGCTTGTGAACGTTACCAACCAACTTTGCCAGCAATTTGGAAGTTGAGATGCCGCCTGTAGCCGTGAAGCCTATCTGATGCTCCAACTTGCTTCGTATATGACCCTGTAAATGAGAGGCAACAAGCAACCTCATTTCCAACGCTGAGGGATCCTGCTGACCAATGCAGGCAGCGTCCATTGCCGGGAACGTCGATCCCTGGAATTGAGTAGCATCGTAGCTGAACCCAACGGTTGGGTCGGTCCGATCAAGATAGAAAAATGAATTCACCAAATCATTCTGATTTAGCACGCTGGTATTGTAGTCGATCATTTCCGTCACATCGAGAAAGAGCTCGTCAAACCCTAGCTTTTCAACACGCCCTCCCCAGACAATGGATCGAACCAGCATGTAAAGCTCCTTGGAGGCATTTCGAAACTTAGTCAGGTCTTCACCCAGAACTATAACGACATCCGGACAGATGCGCTTGGCATCTTTGATGAGTTGCAATTTATGCAGACCACGTCGTCTGGCTTCGTAGTTGCATGTTACTACGATCTGTTTTTGCTGAACTGCCAGAGGGAGCGATTTCAGTGCAGGTTGCTCAGCCTCAAACACCGATGCATAGAAACAGTCATAATCCTGGATATCATTAGTTAAAGCGTTTTTGGGAGTGAGAGTGGGACTCACCAGGTGGAGGATGATCCGACGGTCGTTCCGCACCAGTAGTGCAGCCATAGATCCTGAGCTGAGGTGTGTCCATGTGTGGATCGGATGAGTGGGTGCCTAACACAGGTCTATGAGCTGAAAACCTCCATGTACGGAATACACCGTAGGGAGTCGTGTAGAACAGAGTCAGGACCAGCCTTGGAATGAACCTGTGGCTGATGTGGCGTAGTGGCTTAGCCGCTATTCGGGGTCGGCCGTCGTGGCCTCCGAGATCAGGCCCTAATCCCACAATGTTCATAGAGAGGCCAAATACTCTATGTTAAACTCATCTTTCTGCTTAACATGGAGCACTTTACAGAGTATACACAACATAACTCTTATTCTATTAGGATCTAAAAATTTCCACCCCTAGTCTGAGCACAGTCTGAGTGATTGTCGAACATTCCAGCAAACAAGCTTTCTTTGGCTTCTATTATCACGATCAACAACGTAGGCAAGGCATAACTTGGCGACTAATCCCCTTGTTGAGAAATTGCACTCATGCGTGCCGACGCCACCGCCGATCTGCACTTTACAACTCCCCTCTGGCGCACCAGGATGCCGTCCTTATAGCCTATCATAGACATCAGCGCAAGCCCTTAATAAAAAGGAATTCGAGACTTTGACAACCGAAATAACAAGTTCAGAGCAGAGTGCGACAAAGTTTGACAATCAAACTTCGAGATCTGCTCTAGATCTACAATGCAGACCATTTTTAGTAAGGAATCTCGCCACCGTTCGCAGGAGTAACCGTCTCATAGATCGCCGGGAGACCCACGGACCTTGTTTCTTTTTATAGCTGCGAGTCGGGCTTTTTCTCTCTGTCTTTGGAACGAGGAATAGATTAAATCTGAGGCAAATGGATACGACACCGCGTGCGTAGTGTGAATTAGAGAAAATTCCTGTTTAGTTTGGATGTGGCGTCAATAGTTAGCATCCACTCGAGTCTGGAATCCTGGTGTTTAGAAAGTGGAAATCTCTGATTCTCAAAAGCAGAGAGGCACGGAATACGAAGTACATATGGAGCGATAGTCGTAGATCTTAAAGTCCAGAGTGAATCTTTGGAAGTGACTGCATCTCTCATCACATCATTGCAAGCGCCAACCTCCTCTATTCTTAGATCAACCCCGCCACCTCTTCCCCTCTGACTCTTTTTTGCATTTTTTTTCCTTTCTCTCTGTTTAATGCTCGATCACACCGGCTTATTCTTCTGATTCTTCTCTACCTTTTGCCCCGTCCACTATGTCGTGTCTGTCGCCAGATGCAACAACCACAATAACCTCCCGGCCAAAACTCACCCTCCAAACCACTGCCCTTCCTCGCACATTCGGCAGCTCAACTACTGGCCTATCATTTTCCTTCGCAGCCACATCAACTGCATCCCCCACTATTCGCAACACCTTCAAAAATGCCTACGAGGTCGCATCCCCATCTTCCGCAACAACCTCCCCGTCCAAAGCCGGCCGCTTCAACAAACCAACCTCTCCTTACATCTACCACCAAAACAATAACCTCTTCAATCACCGCAATCCCTACCAACTCCCGCTAGGAGTGCACAGCATTCTGCGCAACTCCCCACTTGAATCCTCCCGACGGCGCTCAGGCTCCATTTCCGCGGGCGGCAATGGACCAAACGGCGCAGGATCGCGTCGCGTCTTCTTCCCCGCCAAGAAACAAGTCAGCTACCGCTTTCCACTGGAAGAAGAAATCCACACAGAGCGCTACACGGCGCAGCACCTCGATCTCGTGAAGGCGGAGGCAGTGCACACCGAGGCAGACACCAAAACCCCACCCGAGACACTCCCCACCGACTCTAAGCCCGAACAAGACGAAAAAGAGGATTCGGATTCCAGCACCCCATCATTGTCAGAGACAAGCGCCTCGGATGACACCAGTGCTGACGAAGGCATCCGTGGGTCGTTGTCGAAGATGGAGCGCAAGAAAAGACGCACGATGCGTGTCGAGCGTCAGGTTCGGGCGGTGGCGCTGCTCGATGGCTTTGAGGCGGACGGCTCCTCTACTCCTCAGACCCCACGCCAGCCTCGTGCCAAGCGTCGTCGCGAGTGGAAATGGACACTTGGTCCTATCGAGCATGCGAATAATGATAATGTCTCATTGTTGCAGTCAGCTAATCCTGCATTGGATTCGCAGTCTCTGTCGGTATCCACCGACCTCCGTCAATGAGTATCCCGACATTCATGGTTCTATGGCTGATGTCTTCTTACTTTTTCTTTTCATTCTTGCATAATGGCGATGTATATATTATGTATTCACGAATCATGTTGTATAGAGGCGCTGTTTGGGGGGTTTCTCAGGTGGCCTGAGGCGCATTTGCGCCTTTTTCCTTTCTATTTTTGACCTTTTCATCAAGCTGTGGCTTTTGCGTATTATCCTTGCATTATATCCTTGACATGTGTGCATTTACCATATTTTTTTTTAATTTTATAAAGGCGCCGCAAAAGAACTCAGCGATAGCGGACAAAAAGAGGGCAGTGCCCATGAATCCGTTGATCATCTATGAGTTTCAAGCGCCCTGTTGGTCTTCCATAAATCTCGTCTTAATACTTATAAATTCCAGGCTTGCAGCATCCTTTTCTTTGCAACTATAGCCCTCCAAGTAATCTGTAGTATAACAAATCAGAAGTCCACGGGGTTTGCGATAGGTTGACCACACATTCGGTAGTCGTCTATGATTGTTCTCGGCACTATCACTAAAAATCTCTGTTAGTAAAGTTACTAGAACCCCAGAGGTAGAGTACATATGCTGTGACTGGTGACAAAAGAAAATCATATGAATTCGGATGTGTGACCGACCTGGACGCCTATGTTTTACTATAGAGGACTAGTATCTCTCCGACGCATATATTTAGCCCGACAAAAGAAACAGTCAAAGCTTTCCTCGTCCTAGCCTCAGCAGGCGTCCAAGATTGTCTCGGGGGCTAATTAATGTAAGAAGGATATAAGCCGGATCTAGATTTAGTAGAATGAGCGTGTTATGGTGTATGCATTGACCAAATGGATGATGGTATTATTTGACAGTAAAAAGATGTTCAACAGTAAATGACTATTCATGATGCATTTGCATTTGATACAAAAGACCCGACACATAGGAAGAGATCCCTGAATGATATCAAAACAATCCGGAAAAAAAAAGTTCATACTTCGTTAAGTCTCCGTCTCGACATCTGGTTCACGTCCAGTGAGGCCACCCGCCCCGAGCTTCTTCTTCATCTTGTGAAACGCATACTTGGCCTCATCTTTCGCAAAAGCCGCATTTCGAGCAGGACGCCATTGCATAATCCCACGCTGCTGTCGCTGTTCACTATGTTTATTGGCTTTGTTTATTTGTCTGGTACTCATACTGCCTTGTGACGAGGAACCTCCAGCTCCGCTACTGCCACTACCACTGCCACTGACCGTCGAGGGTCCCGCAGACAGGGACTCGAATGACTCGCCTTCCGATTCAGAGCTATCTCCATGTTCTCCGTGTGCTCCATTTTGTAGATTCGGTTCCGCGGGAGGTTGGCCCTTCAGCGGAGGTGGAGTATACGGGTCATGGCGAGGTTGGTCACGACCAGGCTCGGCCGCTTTGCGACCGAATGAATCCGTGTAGGCGCGTGGGTCATGACCGAAAGCACCACTCCAGTCATGGCCGTTGTGATCAATCCATCGTTGACGCTCAGAGGGCGAGGCTTGTTTCAACACGTCCCGTCCGTCGATCAATGATTGCTCGTGCTTTTCCCGTACTTCTGGAGGAACTTCGACTTTGACTGTGCGGGAACGGACACCTTGTGATAGACACGCTTCCCAGGACTCAAATGTCTCGCGGGAGTCATTGTCGACTACGAACCGCTCGTGTGATTCGTCAATACCTGGCGAGAACTTGCATCGGAATTGCAGACGTCCGACCTCTGTTAAATCCTCGAGACCGGGTGTGCGCTTAGCCTTCCAATTCTCCTCAGTGATATAGTTCTGCGTCAAGCGGGCGCCCATCTTCGTTGTCCAGATGGGAAGGTCGATGTCTGTTTCTTCGTTATCGATGAGATGCTGGAGCCACAGAACAGAGTATGCGGCTGCGCCTCGCTTGCCCTGGGTATGGAATTCGAACACAATCGGTGATCGGTACCGGTACTTCACTGGCATGCGGAGTGAGTCGCGGAAAGTTTTGTCAGAGGTATCGAAGATTGCATCGCTGTCTTGTAGATGGCACTTGTGTCGGGTGATCTTGCCAGTGCTGCCGCCGGTACGCAGCTTAATCTTAGTATGGCGACCGTAGTCCTTTGCGGTAATCTGTTGTCCAGCGAATTCGAAGGTACCAACGTCCCAGCCGAGCATTGTTGGTGGCAGTTTGGTCTCTACGTGGCGGAACAGGAGAGAGATGCGAATACGGCCGAACCCAATGCCACCATCGAGAGGATACCAGCGAGTGACTTGTGAGCTAGTTTGGAGAATGTCGGACAACTTGAGAGGAACAATGCCGAGAATGGGGTCATGCTCGCGATAGCGTTGGTCTCGCACGGTGATAGTCACGACAGCTGAACGCCAGTCGCGAACAAATCGTTCAGTTCCTGCATTGAAGATGGGCTTGGAGCTCACAGCCTTTGCACGAGTGCGGTAAACCTGGAAGGTAAAGTCAGTATCTCAAATCGGAAACAGAGGGATGATGAAGAAATACTAACCAGTTGATCATTAAGTAACACCTTGCAGTAACTCGTTGGGAGATCATCGCCCTGCTCCTCTGTGTTTTCACCATATGGCTTGGCTGGCTCGTACTCCTTACCCTTTCGGTTCCCATCACTGCCCTTGATATTGGCAAGTTGAAGGTTGACAATCTGGTGAACAACAATGTGGACAATACCGCTGGGCCAGATAGGATCAGGCGGCGTGTGCATAACTGCGTCCTCTTCGTCGTTGTTGATAGTACCCTTCTCGTCTTCGAAAGTTGGATTACCCTTGAGGTTCTCGGGCAAATCCTTCTTCTGACCATCTGTTCGCAGCTCTGGGCGGATCTTAGGTTTTCCGAAATATCCAACTTCCCAATGAAGCTCTCCGGGCATTTCGCTCCCTTCATCCATACCCTTGAGCTTCGATACCTGGGGATACATCCGACTGGGGTGCTGCAGCATCTCACGGATCGGAAGCTCGACCTTGCCGACTATATCATCCGCAGTATTGCGGTCAGAGTCCCAGAGCTCGATACTCAAGTTCTCGTCCGCCTTAATCAATTCAGGTGTGACCAGAAGGGCAGCAGTCTCTTCCCAGATTGGGTTAAGGTCGTCCGTAATCACACGTGTACAATACATAGGCTTGCCGTACTTCGAGAAGGACAGGTTGATGTAGGGGTCGCTGCCACCACCCTCACTGCCGCGAGCATCTTGTTTGCTCAAACCAACGGCACGGTGAATACGAATCCACATAACACCCAGAGCCAGGGTATCTTTATGAATGTCATCCCCTGTCAGCATCATGCCAAGATCCATGGTCATTGACTTGGGAGCTGCAAACATGCCACATGCTGTAGCAATGGCAGAGTTGACAAAGTTGGAGATCAAGGGTAGATTGAGAACGTTCACTCCGTTTCGGAGCATCGGTATGCAACCTGCCCTGACGTGAGGGATGCCAACCAATGTGAAAGTCACATCCTTCATGAAAGGGGCTTCAGGCATCATTTGAAAGCGCATGCGAACAGTTCCAACCAACTCAATTAGCTCCACGAAGACAGGAAATGGCACACCAAATAAGCCTCGGATACCAAGATAAAAGACCAATTGCATGTGCATATTGCGAGCTTTGGAGGAAGCAGTCTGAGCAGTAGGCTTCGCGTGATAACCGAAGGAGGCTTCCAGGTTGTAGTAGCTCCCACCCTCCTCAGCAGCAGCCGCTTCTTGTGGATCCTTGTTCTCTTGGTTTTCCCTGTGGATATTGTCCTTCAAATCCTGAACATGGTCGTCCGGGAGGGCCCGCATGCTGAGAATTCGGAGGGGGTTGTTACCCTGATCGATTTCTGCGATTCGGACATTCTCGACGATCTTGGGGGCAGATACTTGCATGATATCTTCGATTGTGTCGGCCATTGGGGTCAGCATCTCTGGGTTGACAAGCCCCCAAATGACACCAAGGAAACTATTCAGCCACTCGACAGATTCAGGGAGAAGGTTGGCAGTGGCCTGTAGATCATTAGTATATTAACTCGTCAACAAGAGTATGAGATAGAAAACATACCATCTGGCCTCGAACTTGCTCACTGCTCCATTCCATTTCTCGACCGCTGCGAATGACTTCCTGCATCCATAGCCATACGCCACTTGTGATACAGAAAGCCAGGGGAATAAGACCCCATAAAGATCCCCCAAATATTCGTCCGAGTACAATAACGGCAAAAGATATTCCGATGCAGAGTATTGTCGCACGCTTTTCCAATGCCTCAAACATTGGCTGGTAGGAAACAGTCGGCGTGGGGTGGAAAAGCACATTTGTCTTCTCTCCTCGAATGGGAACATCAGAAGTCGTGCCTTCGGCGATAGGATCGGGGGGTGCTGTCATGTCTTGGTTTTCCTTATACTCTGCAAGGTCTTGATCGGCACTTGTCCGAAGGGGCTGAGGTATATGTCAGTAATACGTCTCCGTTATAATATCCCATTGAAACAACTCACCGTATCTTTTCCAAGATTTGCATTCGGGACCGTCAACTGTGATTGGGTTAGAACCCACCCATAAGCTCGGGTGAAAGTTATTAACCTACCACTGGCTCCTTTACAGCTTCCATAGATGTCTCGTCTTGGTCTTCAACCCCGATATCTTTGCCCGTCGTCGGATCTGTCACGGTACGTATCTTGGCCTGCGACACCTCACGGACCTTATGAGCGACAGCATCTCCCTCTGCTTGCTCCGGCTGTTCTGGTAGCTCCCCGGCTCTTTCCCGAGCCTTTGCACGAGCGGCCTCCGCCTGCTTAATTCTCTTTTCTTCATCAATTCTGCGATCGCGTTCTTTCTTGTCGGCATCAATATGTTCCATGAAGTGGTGGATGGTTGGAATGGGATTGGCTCCACTCCAGTGCTCCCCCAGCCGATGCCTCTGAGGGGAGCTAGAGGAGTGCTGACCAGAGGCCATATTGAAGGTTGTTGGGGGGTAGAAGTTAAAACGAGGTTCCAATGCCTCTTCCCGTAGCGGGGGGAGCTGTGTTGACTATACTGTACAAGGTTGTAGAAGACCGAGGCTTCTTCTCATCAACAACAACACCCCAGCCTAGACAGAAGGAATTGGGGAGGAAGGCGTTCAGAATTGCGAAGGGAAAATGTCATAGCAGGAGATCTCGCGAGATCTCAAAAAAAAGGTGAGTGCAGCAGCTTTCCCCGGGGCCTACGTCATCGACACAAACCCGGAAAATGGCTATGACGCTGTTATAAGGGCTCAACCGCTTATCATTAATCCGCGACTTGAACGCATCGAATATCACCCTGGTTTCCCCACAATTGGGGCCATATGGTTTAAATCGATGGGTCTGGCCGATGATGGCTGTCGTCGTGTTGCCAATCGCCAGAATCCGAGTCTTGGCGTTGCGACAGAGCTCCCATTGTCAACGTTGGTCACCCAGCACCAGCGTCTTTTGATACATGTTTTATACGCTTAACCTGGAGAAGATCAGTTTCACTTGCTTTCTCTCACCCGTGTGCTTCATCATTTGCCATGGCAATCGAGATCAAGTCCAGCCAAATCGGTGTGAGATAGCATATGATGTCATAGAGTGGTCGTACAAGGTGCATGCTTCCTGCCAACAGACTGTTGTTCAAGATGGCGAGAGATGGGTAATCTCAGCCCTATCGGGACCTGTCATAGTGCTAGCTCCCATCATCTGTGGTCCGCGCAGGAAAAAGGGGCATAAGCAGATTTCGCACTGATTGAGATACTTTCCCCTGTAACCCGCGAGCCTAGGGAAAACCAGCTCGCAAATGCTGCAGCCAGTACTCCGTTGATTGGGTGCGCAGGTGTATAGCGGCCAGGGGTCGGAAACTTGTTACAATAAATTTTGATGCCTGGAGATGCCTGATTCTATACCGCTTTTGACACCGCTCTATACAGTGTATTGTAAATGAACTCCCGTACTGAACCACCAGCCCGGGCAATACCTATTGAAGCTGTTCCCACCATACAAAACTCCAAAATCTCCCACTTCTAGGCGTTGAAGCCTCTCAGATCATATTCTTAACAATTTCAAAACCCCCCGACCATGCATCACCCCAATCTCACTCATTCCGCTACCCCCTAACGGTTAAGCATGTGGGAGTGGTGAAGGGGAAGGGAGGGTGACGATTACACAGAGGACGCCCAGAAGAAGGGAGTTGAGGTCCAGGATTTATATGAGTGCGAATAGCGTCACATTTAATGCCCATTTTCTAAGGCATCAATAGTGTCGACGGGAAAAAAATTGAAGAATGCAAGGGCTCTGTTATGGCAATTCAGGTATTCATATTTTCTGCCGGCAAAGATTCAGGCATCTTGAGGCATATTCAGGCATCAATATCACAAATATTAGTTTCCGACCCCTGGCCGCTATACACCTGCGCACCAGTCGCTCGACTAATAATTGTCAGACTTCCTCCTCAGTCCATAGCCTCTTGGCTTAGTCTTCTCCTCAATCAACATCTTCATGATGCATTTAGACGTCTCCCAGCAGTAGACTCTGACAGCAATGAGCCTAGTCCACCGTGCGAACAACATCATCGATTGCTGTCGCAACATACCGAACATTTCGCTCATTCACTATGCAATGCCATTAGCAGTCAATCTTGCTATCGCTTTAAGGAGACTTACAGCCAGAAATCGAAATTCTGCCGGATTTCAGCAAATAAATATGATGCTTATCTGTCATGACTTTGACTTGGCTTTCCGTCAATCCAATATAGGTGAACATGCCGATCTGAATGATATTAGTCTCAAGCCACTCTGCTCAAAGTTCCCATGTAATGAACCCCGTACCTGATTTATAACGTGTTTCCAATCACCGGGTGTACCGAGTCTCATCAACTCATGGAAAAGGGCTTGCCTCATATCTTGGATCCTCTGGCTCATCGTCGTGAGATCTTCCTGCCATTTGTCCCGGAGATCCTGACTACTTAAAACAGTCTTGACTATCTCTGCACCACCTCTGGGAGCCATAGAGTATTCTCCACGAACAAGATGGCACAGATTTGCGAGCACCCTCTGCGAAACGTCATTTGTGGCGGTGGAAGAGAGTGCAACGTGTAGAGCACCGACTCGCTGCCCGTAGAGCCCAAAATTCTTCGAGAAGGACTGTGCAACGCAGAACTCGACTTGGTGGAGCTCATGGAAGAAGTGTCGAATGGCCCAGGCGTCTTTCTTCGCATTGCCAGATGCAAATCCTTGGTAGGCAAGATCGAAAAAGGGGATGATGCCCTTTTCTTTACACAACTGGGCTAGCATTTCCCACTGTTCCTTCGTCGGATCAGCGCCTGTCGGATTGTGGGCACAGGCATGAAGAATCACGACATCATTCTGCTTTGCCGACTCTGATAGTGTGCGGAATGTTCCATCGAAATCGAAAGCCTTGCGAGTGGCATCGTAGTACGGGTATCCTTTTCTGGGAACTCCTGCCAAATCCCAGATAGTCTCATGGTTTGCCCAAGTAGGATCAGGAATCCAAACACAGCCCGGTCGGACATTCCGAGCCAGGAGCTCCGCGCCAAGCCTGTTGGCCCCAGTCCCTGAGACTGTCTGTATAGAGACAACCCGCTTTCGGTCTTGTTCAGTGACCGATTCTGCCGTGCCTTTATCTTCACCAAATCCAAAAACAAGGTCGGCTGCGAGCGTGAGGAACTCCGAGTCACCTTGGATGCTCAGGTATTCGTGTCTATTGACATCGCCTGCTTCATGCAGTTGCTTTTCTGCCTCTTTGACCACGCGCAGGGGCCAGGGAGATCCTTCGGATGTGCGATAAACCCCTATTCCCAGATTGACCTTTTTTGGGCTGCAGTCCTGTTTGTGTGCTCCATTCACGGCAAATGGCTCGTCGAGTGGTGTCTCGGGGAGAGTCGAGAATAGTGAATCTACGCGCCCCTTGGCGGATGGTTCTGAGGTTGATTCCATGGCGAGGAGAACTAGTTATGGTAGATTTGAGATATATGAACGACTCTGAAATGAACCAAAAAATATAAATTTATAGATTTTCTGTGCTCCTTCGGTGTTCATCCGATTCTTAGATCTGAGATATCCGACGATGATGAAATACCCGGCTCCAACCGTCGGATTCCGCTGCAGTTTTGCCTATAGATCGCATACCCCGTAGCATTTGTCTAGTTTGATTTGACATTTCCCATATTTTTACTCCGTACGGAGTACAGAGTGATACGATCGGGGCTTCACTGATGATGACGTATGACAGTGGGATCTCTGTGCCATATGGTGGTTGCTTTGACCTATACCTCCAAAATCGAGTCGGTCTCATCACCACGTTCTGGAGATCTAGCAAAAGAAGCAGAAATCCTGGTTAAACTTCAACACTCAAGAGTTTCACATCGAATTCCATTCTCTAGCCCACTCAAAAGAGATATACGGGGTGGTAATCGCTACAGCAGAGAACAACTACATAAAGATTGACAGTTTTCAAGACCACGGAGGTAGCTGTTCAACTATCGGTACCCCCATTATCATTACGACAATACTGTTGACCGAGGTTTTGAGATCTATGAGATGGTCGATAAGGTCAAGCTAAGGAACGCCTGCGAGCTGCGGGAGACGTCAGACATAACGCACTGCTAAGAACCGTGGCGAAAAATTGGAAACACAGGCTTGTGAGATGTTAGCCGGCTGCCATAAATCGTCATCAACCAAGCAGATGAGTTGCAATGAAAGAACGGTCAAGGATAAAAAGAAAATTGGTGGGAATGCAATATGTCGGGGTAGATCTCCGCAAGGGGCTTGGTTGGGCCCTACCTTCGAGGCCCAACTACATAAGCTCACGGCCCATTAGTCGGGGCCCATAAGGCCCCCAATAAAGCCCATTTGTATGCAGAAACACAGTCTTAGCGCTCATAAAGCTGCTGAGTAATGCCTGTTTGTCACGCGTGTTCGAGTCTGTGAGCTTACCGCAGAAGAACTGGGTCGATTTAGGGCCTAGAGGGTGATCTGAATACCTACATGGAAATACTAGAAAGATCTACACTATGTATGTATCTGCCAATAATTAGCATGTTTGCATTGTTTGACGCGCAGTGGGCTTCTATCGTAGGCCCATAGCCCATCGATGGGGCTAGGGACCGGGCCCAAAGCCCAGCCCATTAGTGTAGCCAAGATGAGTGCATATCATGCAAATCCACCAAACTATGCAAACCATATAGGAAACCACAAAGCTACCTTGGAAGCCTGATGACAACATCCCCTCGTCCGACAGAATAAATGTAGTAGGCGAGAGGAATGTGGCAATGGAGTGGGTTCCCCGAATGTATGCATTTCTCGCCAAAGACTGTCTGTTGGACGAGGGCCGAGGCAGACGCCGACGTAAGGCTAAGCGGTAGTAGAAGTCGAATTCATCCAAGGCATTTTGTTCCCTGTAGCTGGATTGATGAAGTATACCTCGGAAGTATTGAGGGCGTAGCGGCTATGGGAATTGTGTAAAATGTTTGCCTGCTTGGTCGTAGCGCTAACGTGTTGTGACCGGGGAGCGTTTTGGAGACGGCGAACTAAAAGGGTTGACTAAGGTAGGTTTGTTGGAGACCTATAGGTTGAAGCATAGAGTATTCACGAGTGAATAGCTTGATTAGCACTGATGTGGAGACAGAGATAGCCAATAATTTGACAAGGGAAGCTTGACTGGGTCCAAACTTGAGTCCAGATGTTGACGGCGAGCGGCCACTTGCCAAAGAACTGCCAGGGTTTGCGAGAGAGCTGTCCAAGCTTGACGAAGTATTTGGGTTTGTGTAGCTAGACTTCTAAGCCGCGAACTGAGTACTCGTTAGAGCATTTTGTGGGCATCATAAGCGTTGTTTGTGTCGCCGATGTAGAGCTCGAAGGGTGGGCTGTATTGTCTCGAAAACGAAGGGGAGGGGAATGATGCTCGCGAATGCCCTTTTACTTCATGCGTGCATCCACGATTTCGTTGGCGGGCGACTTAAAACAAGGTCCAAACTGAATTTTGTCATGGTCATGATCCATCTAGGCTGTGGGATGTGAGACTCCATTTCCGGGAGGTTTTCACGCAGTAAACTTTGACTCACTAACAAGGGTATGAACAAGAGCCATGAGTCTCAACTCGGATTAACCGAAGAGTGATATTTCGATGAGTAGGTAGTCTTTGAATGGTGTAAAATATTGAGAATTGAGAAAAACGGAAAGGCGAAAAGGCGAAAAATTGGAAGGGCTGAATTAGAAGCCGGGTTAGGTAGGGACAACGCGATTTTTGCGGTACAAGGAGATGGAGAGTTGGCCTGGATCGATTTTGTTAGCTTGCTGACAAAATGTTTGAAATGCAGAACGGTTGATTCGTGCCATGAAGGGGAATAGAAGGCTTTGTGTGCCGTTGGACGCAGAAACGGAAAGTTGGTCTAGCAGGTCGTCAGGTTGAGATTGTCTTTGATGGAAATCAAACGGAAGATGACGAGGAGAATGCCGTCGAAATTGAACAAGTCGGGTATATATGATAGATATCGACTGCTAGGTTAGATACGGATGTTGTCGATGTCGAGAGGCGCTCGTTAGACGTCGATCGTGAGGATGGATGATGGAATTCGGATCGCAATGAATGCATTAGATAGGTACTGGGGAAGCCAGCAATGTGCTGGAGGGCAAATACGGAGCGGATGGAGCCATCTCCCATCATAATCCCTTCAGGGCCCACCTATGGCGAGATTGAAATCCATGATGGGATTGTTGAGAAAGTTGAGACTGAAGACTTCCAAGGTTTGCGCTACGGAAAAACCTAACAGACACACATACCTTGCTACGGAGGTATACGAATCGCAATTGAACTCAAGAGAGGAATCCTTGCATCTCAAAGGACATCTCAAAGGAGTGATACTTCCAACAATTTAATATTTTATCTGATACTAACTGGTCTTCTGACACTAAATGAGGTGGTTTTCAGAGCATTGGAATTGTGATCGGTACTATGATTCCTTTATATTTCGCCAATCTCTGCTATTGCCTCTACTTTGACAGCTGGATTCTACAGAATACAGTGTATTTGTCTATGTATACGGCGATAGGTACAATATGGATTTCGCTAATTTGCTCCCATTGTGTGATCTAACCTCTGCGGAGCCCTCGACACCTATGCACGCCTGGTCGCATGATGCTGCCTCTGTGGGAATAGCGGTTATTTCGGATATGTGTCCAGTATTCCTGGAATATTGATGGTCTCATTTTATCTTACGTTACTTACATCGCTCCCCTATGCGTGCCCTGGAAGCGGCGCTGGACGAAAATCACATGAGCACGACACTCCGATTACAGGAGAAGCACCCATTCCGTCGAGGTCCGAGCGTGATAGAAGACTAAAAGACTCTTCTCTTCTTTCTACTTTCTAGGAACAAAGGGCCAATATCAAAAGTTTGTAGGGAGTAGGGTATTTTGTGCAACCCAGGAGTATGCTTAATCTGTCAATATGCCAGCGACCCATGGATGTGATATCAACCGGGAACCTAAAAATGGATCCATGTGGAGATGGCTCTTGATTCGGATTGGTGAGATGGTTTAATGGCTATAACAAAGGCCACTGATTGGCTGGAATACACAAGCGGCCATTCAGCGTGAAGCATATCGATTATATGGGGCTCGCAACATTGTTGAATCCCTTGGCTGGTTTTGAAGTTGCTTGGGGGATTAATTGAATCAATTCGATTAAGAACTGTGGTATGGCCAGAATGACTGGTCATTTCAAGGTCCATCTCCCAAAGAGTAACTAACACGGTAAAAGGTACGACTGGCAAGAGCAACTCCAAGTTCGAATGTGTTCCAGTCCTTTCTTCAATGTAGGCAACGGTGGGCCGCTGGCTTTTTTCTTCGGTACACCAACCAATACCAAGCGATGTTGGACCGGCAGGGGCAGCCTGCCAATCACAGTTGCTGTTTGCTTGGCCAAAACAGTACGCTTGTAAGCTATACGGAGTAGTTCTGGCCTTCAATAAGCCCGCCATCGCCAAGGATGTGACTTTGCCAAAGGGGGGTTCCTCTTCTCGGCAGACCATTTTCCCTAAGCGTACAGCATCGGGGCTGGTTTGTGCGTCTCACCTTTCTGTCACTCGCTTATACCTCAGCGCTGACGATGAATAGCGGGCTGCGAAGTCGCAATGAGTGGAAGGCCATCTCTTCATCACTCTTCGCGGTCTGAAACCGATCCATCTGTTTCCCAGAGTGAGGAAACCAACCTTTCTCCCCATGACGCAGCTGCGCTCAAGAGTAGAGAAGTCTCGCCTTCTACCCCACTTGAGACCAAGGGCTTCGGCACATACGGGAGCGCATCACGAATCGTATCAGACCAGCCATTGAACGCTAAAGTTGCCATTCCTCGGCTTGATCTTCCACTTGCAAATAGTTCTGGTCGAGTAAGTCGAGCTTGTGACAACTGTCGCAAGCAGAAAAACAAATGCTCTGGCCATCGTCCCTCCTGCCTCCGATGTCAGGAGGCAAACGTTCTTTGTCTTTATGTGGATGGAAAACGAGAGAGAAATGCCAAGTTTGTTACCCTGCTCGATCCGTTCGTCCGCGACACTGACTTGGAAATTTAGACAACTCACAGTCATAACAAGTCAACTCAAATACTACGAATCCCTCGTCCGCGATATTTATCCTAAATTTGACACCGAACTCGCGAGAGTTGTCGACCAAGCCCTCGAGAAAGTGCGTGAAATACATTATGCACGGCTGAACACAATCATCTGAACACTGAACCAGCTTGCGCGACAGCTAACATTTCACAGATCTCAAGCCTTTCCCTCTCCTCGCCGACCGTCGCCAAAACGCCAGATGACACGGATCTGTCGACGCCCACAAACCCCTTCCTGGATCACACTCTTGAGGATTTCAATGGGGACAGTTCTCTACAAGTGATTGGGTTTGTAGGCGAACATTCGGCGACAGTATGGCTATACAGACTCAAACTCTTGATCAATCAAACAGCCCCGAGCACAGACGGTCAATCTGAGCAATCTGCCCATCCATCGTTGTCATCCTGCGGACTCTTCATGGATGAGTTGGTTATTCCGTCAACAAACGATCCTGATGTCTTCGCATGTCCCCCACAACCCATTGCCGACGAACTCGTAGATAGGTACTTCCAGGTTGCGCACGCTTCCTTTCCTATCATCGGCAAAGAAATATTTCTTAGCCAGTGCCGGTCATTCTACTCGAACATGACGACGCACCCTGGAAACAAGTGGATGGCGCTATTGAATATGGTGTTTGCGATCGCCGCGAGACATTCCGAGCTTGCGAGTGACGGCCCTCAGCCGGATCGAAATAACCACGCAATATATTTTTCTCGGGCCTGGCGATTGATCATGAGCGAGAATGTCCTGCTGGATCATCCCAATTTGCAACAGACGCAGGTAGAGGCATTGGTGTCTCTCTATATGCTTTCCATCGGGCAAGCCAATAGGTACGTTGAACAACTCGTGCTTTTGCTTGGCCGCTGATTTTGTTTCCAGGGCTTGGAGATTATGTGGTATCGCAATCCAGTCTGCGATCGCGATGGGTATCCATCTTCGTAGCGAAAGCACCACCATCACTTACGTTTCCAAAGAAACGAGATACCGGTTGTGGTGGGCACTGTATCTATTAGACACTGTGCTCTGTGTCATGACCGGACGTATGCCCAGGATGCAACAGGAGCACTGCACGACCCCTTTGCCGGTGCCTTACAAGGAGGAGGATTTTCGAGATGAGCATGTCATGAAGCTCATTTTGGACAATCAATATCGCGGCCGTCTCATAGCTTCTTTGCCCTCTTGCGACCCGTCGTTCTCCAACGAGAATCTAGGACAATCGCCCTCCCAACAGACCATGCCTCAGGCTTTACCCCCACCACAGATCCAGGCTAACGGTTCCTTGTACTTACTTTATTCTATTAACTTGGCAGCTGTGATGAGAGATGCCATCAACCTGTTGTATTCTCCTGAAGCTGGACGCAAAACCCAAAACGACACTGAGCTGGCAATTACATCGCTCAATAACGCCGCCGACAATTGGTTTGCCCGACTGCCTGAAACTTATCGTTTCATAGAGCCTCGAATCGATAGAGCATTCGCTCGTCAACGTACGAGCTTAGCTTTCCAGTATTATTCGACGAAACTTGTCATCTTACACCCCACCCTTCACGCCCTGGCTAGAGGGGAAGACAATATCAGTGATCTGTACACTCAGATGGCAACGATCTGTGTCAAGTCGGCATCTCAAATGCTCGATCTTCTACCTGACGAACCAAACATCTCCTGGCTCTTGGGTTGTTCGCCATGGTGGTGTGCCCTCCACTACCTCACCCAAAGCACCGTGGTTCTCTCGACGCAACTATTCACTCAAAGCCGCCAACCACGACCTGGCGAACGAAACGAAACGTTGGAAAGAGTACAAAAAGCTCTGCGGTGGTTGGGCGAGTGCTCCATAAAGGATGGCTCCTTCCACCGGGCTTGGGGTAACTTTACGGAGCTCTTGTCACAAAGATGTGGTTTAAGATGAGATTTCTCAGCCGTCTGCAACACCTCTCCTCCTGATTTCTTTACTCATCTCTTTCCTTTGTTAACTCGCGTATAACACGTAATACTGACCTACCACGATCACTTGGAGAGTTATTACTCTACTCCAAATCGATCAGTATGTAATAGTCCAAATGCGCACGGTAAACCCTGTGTATTATCATCCCTTGGGCATCCACCCGGCCCTCTCCAAAATATGGCACTCCCCGTGGGTGAAAATCACGCCCCGAAGAAAGAGTACGTCCAGCCGAAGGAAGCTGTCCAGTTATTGCAATGCGAGGCGCTTAGAGACATCAGATAAAGGTCTTCTTTTGGGCACATACAGGGATTTCTCGAAGTGCAGCTCAATAACCCCTCCAGACAATCCGGTAATTCCTCGACTGGTGATGGGCATCTGTTATCCCGGCAGTCGCCGCTAATCAGACCCTTCAGTATCACAAGGCAATCTGCCATCCAGTTCAGAGGGCCTTTCTTAACATGATTAACCATCTCGCTTCCACGCACGAGTGGATCCAGATGCTAACGTCGACAGTCTGCCTGTTTGGGGTCTCCTGTTCGCTTCCCCAGTGCACTCTCTTCCTTCCTTTCTTGCCCAACATTTAATCGTGATGTTTTTCCTGAGTACTATGTCGTCTTTTAGGCTGTAAAATCCAGGGATGGAAATCGAGGGTCACCGGTCGAGGTGTTTGCTTCGCTTCGCAGTGATGATCTCGGCTTTCATAGGAGCGTCCGATGGATTTCTAGTCGGTATAGTCAGTATGCGGAATGGTTTAGTTCAAAGGCCGAAATTATTCTTCCTCCATAGTTGACACAGTGATCCTAGAATCCTAGAACCAGGGTTGTCATAATAGAGCCCAGGCCCCCACGCCACGGCGTCACGCTGACAGCGGAATTGCCACCCAGTATGCATTGGCTCAGTGGCATGCCGACTATGCACTTTGACAATGGAACCAGGAAAAATATATCGAATAGCAATTCAGGAGAACCTGTTGCGCACACCGGTACTTGCTGAATGGAACTTAGGGCTTCAGGAGCCGGAACACGGAGTCATTAACCGTTCTGTTCCCATTGGCTGGATGTCCGTACCGCGCCAAGCGTGGGCTGGGCCTTTGCAGTCATAACAGAAACCGGGAAATAGTGGGTAAATGACGATATACATCCACGTTCGGTATAAATCTATAGGTACAGGCAACATTGAGAGGGAACCCTTCACTAGACGCCGAAAAGTTCGACTTGATGAAGTGCATAATGACCCAAAACAGCCATGTTTGTGTTGACTCCCAACCTACCAGATACATATCCCATAACAATGTGGATGGTCTTTTACTATGATTTCGGCACCAAAATTCCGATTGGGACCAGGATCCTCCGAGGAGGTTCTTAGCTTGGAAGGGCTGCCGCGTATCAGGGCATTTGAACGGTACTTTCTCGGGTACCTTTGCTCAAAGGATTTTGCTTTTTAAAGTCATTCACCACGAGATACGGGCTGTTTCGTCTAACCCCGTCTCTGAAAACCCACAAGCCCCTCCTTGAGGTTGTCTTTATCTCTTGTGATCTGCCGAGCGCTATTCAACCCCTTGACGCCATGGCGCGATTTGTCAAGACTAGTGTGTTGGGTGGGAATTTCGAAACGCCAGACCGGTACGTGTGCTTTGTGCTCGTATCCCACACACAAGCCGCCTATTGACACGATTTGATAGGTATACTGGGCTCGAAACTCTGAAAATTGGCGTTTCTGGGATTGTGTGGTTTGGCTCCACTGTTTCATTCGCGCTTAAAACACATTTCGAGTGAAGCGCTAATAGTCGGCTTGGGATAACAGCTCTTCATGGGATCAAATCGGCCAGCAATATGTTGCGGTGAAGAAGGTCTTCGAACCGTTCAGCACGCCAGCGACTACTCAGTGCATATTTAGAGAAGTCAAGCTGTTGAAGCACTTGCAGCATGAAAATGTACATTGCGTGAGGCTTGTGCGCAGTTCAAGCTAATTTTGGTGGCAGATCATCCGCCCGCTCGATATCTTTATATCGCCCACGGAAGATATGTATGCGATATAACCGGCTTTGACAACAGGATCTGTTACTGATAATTGTAGATATCTCGTTACGGAACTGATGCAGACCGACCTGCGAACGCTTTTGACGACGAAGTCTATCGGTCCCGAGTTCATTCAGTTCTTCGTATACCAGATAATGGTCCTCTCGCTCCTCTTTCCTTTGTTTATATTTGTTACTAATTGCGACAACAGCGAGGGTTGAAATATGTTCATTCAGCTGGTGTAGTCCATCGCGATCTTGACCCCGGAAACATTCTGATCAATCAGAACTGTGATCTCAAAATATGCGATTTTGGGCTGGCGCGAGTCCAGGAGCCGCAGATGACAGGCTACGTTTCTACCAGATACTACCGCGCGCCAGAGATTATTTTGTCATGGCAGCGATATGACGAAGAGGTTGACATCTGGAGTGCCGGATGTATCTTTGGCGAAATGTTGCAAGGCAAACCTCTCTTTACAGGAAAGAACGATGTAGATCAGTTCAGTGCTATCACCAAGTTGCTTGGAACCCCTGAAGAGGACGTTCTGGCCGGAATGACTTCAGAAAGCGTCAGTGGATACGGACCTACAGGAATATTGGTAATTTGAAAGATCCACGCGCAGAGAGCTAACTTTTATTTCAACCGTCGCAGACCCTGGGCTTCCTCCAGACACTCCCCAAACGCGAGGGCATAGGTTTATCAAGCACATTTTCAGAAATTGACGCAGCTGGTCTGTTTGGCTCCACATCTACGGCAATCGAGTTGTTGCTCACCAAATCGCAGCACGCGAACTGCTTCAACAGATGCTGGTTTTCGATCCTTATGATCGGATATCTGCAGCTGATGCTCTTGATACCCAGTATCTTGCCTCTTACCATGATCCTACAGACGAACCCGTTGCCGGAGAAAAGTTCCATTGGAGATTCAATGGCAGTTACCTTTCGGATGATGCCTGGAAACAGAAGTTGTATGTTCGTATGACCAATGGGAAACACGAGGCTGATTGTACATCAGGTACGCCGAGGTACTGGAATACCATAAACAAGCAGAGGTCCAAGAGTCTGTCAAGCGGTGGACTCAGAGTACTGCAGTCGCGCAGAATTGATCAGTTGAATTCGACAAAAAAGAGAACCCCGTTGGCGCACAAACTGTTGAACCAATGAAGGTATTTATGGTTATACTTGAAGAGAATTTGGGATATTTCTGGGTTTCGAGACGATTTTGCCGCTCTATCTGGTTATTTCATCTTAACTTCAGTGTGTTTCTTCTTCAATTTCCAAAATGATACCGAAAATACGCATGTTGTAGACGTAGGGGGCAACTAGGGCTTATCTCCGGCCTTCGAACCACAGCCCTTGAGCTACCAGAACGGGAAACAACCTTCGCGAGATTTCAAAAAGAAAAACCGGTTTGCATTCCATGATGTCTGTCACTGCGCCACATTCGCAAGGATTGAAGTTTCAAAAAGAAGCTATTCCGAGGTATCCGGTTTTGGTTTCATAGGCGGTCGCAGCATCCCTCCAATAACAGTGGCCACCAAAGGCACACGCTTCCAGGTCGCCATGACGTTATTCAGTCTCGACTGAGCCCGAGGGAGATATTTATATCTCACTGTCAGAAACGACTTGACGTCTTGGACATTCGTCTTTTCAACTCACAGCCCATACCTATTGTACTACATCGCATACTCAACCCCCAGAACATGACGACCAAATATATTGTATCTCTTCTCCCTCTTCACTACCTTTTATACAACCAGCTTACAATGGCAGGTAACTTTCCGAGACTCAGCTTCTACTGAGCAAATCAACATGTACATGCATCAGATCCACGAAGAGGGTGGATATGTCGTAAACAGATTCCCCGATATGATCGCCAGGGGCTTTGTGTATGTATGGTGCGCGCAGAGAATTGGGGATTCTTATTCTAATTTATCTCCCAGGGCGCATATAACAGAGCCAATGTTTAACACGATTCAGGCAGATCCCCAGGTCGATCATGTAACACCCGATAGCGCGCCCGCAGATCAATCTTCCCTTGCACCTTTTGAGATATCTGCATAGCTCAACAGTTCTCTATGCGCTTTTCATGTTCCACTACAATAAGGATACGATTTACGGCTATATAACTATTCTTTTTCCCACGAATATTGTTTCACGTAGAAACTAATGCCGGTTTTGATTATCTCAAGAGCACAAGGAAGCTAGGGTCCAATCTATGAGAATGATGTATCTCAAAATGCCATCTGGTTGAGTATCAGAGTATCAATATCGCAATTATTCCCCGTTTATAAGAGACATATTTACCTAACCTCCTACAGGTGCTCGGGAAGCTCAGCTAGAACCTGTCGGGCAGGAAGTTCAGCCCTGGTAGTACTCTCCCTACACATCCCGGACCCTCTCTCCTCCGAAAGCTCCGATAGTGGTTGCGCTTGTGGATTAGTCGATGAAGGCTTGGACCTTGAATCCCCCGAGAGGCCTGGGAATGTCTTCTCTCCTTCGACAGAGGCTTTAGATCGGCGGCGACGGAGGATCAGCCAAGCTATCACAACAATAAGTGCTACTGCAAACGAACCACCAACAACGCCACCCGCAATGGCGCCCTTGTTAATCTTCGTGCCTGTGTTCGCGGTGCTATGCTCGCTTGGAGTCGGAGTTGTGGATGGTGTCACAGTCGGGGATGCCATGACCGGAGGGCGTATTGTAGATGAATGTGGCGCGGTCGCAGACGTAGAAGTAGATACTACATTATTTCCATCAGAAATCTGAACGGATATTACAAGAAGCTTATATGAAGGTAGAACATACCAGTAGCCTTTTTAATAATACTCACCGGGCTCATAACATCCTCATCCAGCGTACCATTTTTCGCACAACCCAAATACCCTCTCGTCTTTTGCTCTGTGCTCGTAAAGCCAATGTCACCAGGCTCGCAGCAGAAGAACCCGTTCGCCTGATACAGGTCCCATGTGGAATTTGAGCACTGGCTGAGTGCTGGTCCGGCCATTTGCACTGGATTGCATTGTGTGTTGTTCGCTACGCCGGTACATTGGGCATCTCGTGGACAACAGGAATACCAGTGGCCCCATCCACGTCTGCATGTGTTCTCTGAGGGTGAGCAGGTGCCATTGCGGCGGATTGCGTATCCTTGTTCTGACATCTGGGGTGCGGGTGTTATCCCAGCGTGAAAGATCGTAGAACGCTATTAAGAAAAGAGAAAGTAATGGAAGATTTTGTTGTCTCATAGGAATCTGAGAGATGGGTTCGGACGGGGAGGTGACATGTCAACAAAGGGGCTGACTGCGGCATTGCCTAATTCTGTTCTCACGAGGCTGGCAGTCGGAATCTGAACTTCATATTTCACAGCCTTGCCTGATGAGCTTCTAGGTACGCATAAAGAATGAAAAGAGAAACAACCTTAGCTTGGAAATGAGGCTATTAGTGATGAATTGATGACTAGAGCAAAATATATGTATCCTAGAGTATCCATAGAAATGCATGACAGATGATGCCAAAGAGACATTCCATCCGAACTCCGGCCAAGGCAATGCACGATATGAATCTAGCAAAAGAAAAAAACAAAATACTGCAAGGCTCGCGTTCAGAGCAGAAGGGCTGTTTAGCTGTTCCTTGTTCGCTACATTCCCATATCCCAGTTGTCCCGGTCAACATTGAAATCAGCCAAGAACGGCGCCTGAAACGTAAATTCAGAGTTAAGAGCCCAGAAATCAGTTGCAGGATCAAAGATAAAGTTGTGTTCACCCTGCGCAGCTGTTTCAGGAGTCTCTCCACTGACAAAGCCAGGGTCCGATGTCGTGCCCATCAACGAAGATGGGGGATAGTATTCTACAGGCATTATAATAGGAGATGCCGGTGGTGTTTTAGCAGTATAAGCATGATTCTTGAGCGTCTCATCTGCGAAAGCGCGACGCTCCAAGTATATTGTACCGAAAAAAAGGAATGTCGAGCTTGATGCGACTCGGCCGTCCACCCTCGTATTCGTGCCATCCTGATGGATCGAGTGGTGGAAGCTCGGTCGCTCTTGCTATTGCCTTGAGAATCCTCAGTACCTGTAAACCGCCAGAAAGGATTTCATCAGGTGGAACAGTTTGTGAAAGTTGGTCTAAAATCCCCAAGACCCTGTCGAAAGCAAAGCAGTCTTTCTTCTTTCGTCAAGTCTTGAGGTCCAAATGGCCCCACTCCATTGAGCACTATTATCATCGGTGCGGTGAAAGCTTGGAAATCAATAATCTTTGAATCGAGACTCTTTTTAGTCAGGCAGCAAATGTCGATATAACAAGCGGTGATATTGCGTGAAGCGTGAATGCAAGTTCTCCGATTGTAATCGAAGCAGTTGTTACTTTTCAACTCCCTCATGAGAGGAAGGTGGAGCTAAGTCATGAGCTGATAATACCATAGTCGGTACTGGAGTTGCAAGAAATAGTGGGATCGCTCGGCACACTTTCCAGGGGGGATGTCATCGGCTAATACAAGAGGGGGAGGTTCGACCAGCTGAAGTTGTGCATCGATATTCTGCGTCATCTGCAGCATGGCCGGGGTGAGTTCTGTAAATGTCTGATTGGGCTCGATGATTAATTCGGCTATCCGAGCAAGCGTGTTCAGAACATATGTATTATGAACAACCAGAGCCGCAGAATCGCTCGGATTGGAGTGATAGAGGTCTATCGCTGTATTGGACGTAGATCCATGGCTTTTGCAATCACAGCTGGGTGACTGGCGGAAAGAACTTCCATCGTGGCTCAAACCAGCGTTTTGTCGTAGTCTTCGACTAGGTATATGCGCATAAGCCACCAGGTACTGTTGAAGTCCGATAATATTTCCAATGTCTTCTGAGATGGGATCAGAACCAACAAATCATGGCGCAGTCGCCCCCAGTCTCGGTTGATGGAACCATATGGTCTAAACTTGTTTGCACTATCGTCGGGTCTTTGGAAAACTAGCTATACACGAGTGAGCACAAGCCTAGGGAAGGTATAGAGGTGATTTGCGTTCTCACACGCACCGTTTCATTGCTGAATAGAGACAATACCGGGACATTGTCCGGAGCCGGGGTCACGGTCGCGGGAGTCGAACATTCTATTTCGATGGGTAATTTTGAGCGTTCCTCATGTTTACCCCCATCCTCAACTCGGATCAAAAGTTGCTCTAAAAGCGACTCAACACGTGCCAGCCGCTCGTTCAGAAGCGCCCGGTCCGACTCGCGGGGATGTTCAGGCTTTGGCAATTCCTGGCTGCGACATGGAACGCCCCGGGCGAGACATTCTTTGCAGCTCGCTGTCAGAGGCAAAGTTGCAGCGAACTTTACGGTGTTTGTCTGTTTGTAAACAACAGTGTTAAGGTAAAATCGCATGCTTCACAGGAAGCTCCAGGGCTACAACATACATTGCCAGCAACTGCGGGTCCTCGTTCGGACCTTCTTCCGGGACTAATCTTTAGATTGTCCCTCTGGATCCTGATGGTTGTGCATCTTGAACAAGTGATAAAAAGGTTCAATATTGAAATAAACACGAGTTTAAGGTGTATTGAAACAATGTGTGACCTAGCCTGCGTAGTCAAGTTGAGCGAACCGACCCCAACACGTCAAACAAAGCCCCAAACCTGACCGGGGTAGCGTCTCCTGACTGCCAACTTGTCCTTTTGAATCAAGTTCTGATGTGCACTGCAATTAAACATGCCGTGCATCTTTCATTCTGGCCGCTGCCTCCAATCTTCTACTCGGAAAAAGTCCGGTCCAGCCATGATGCCATCGCCTTGAGCTGCGAACCAGGGGGGATTTTCAGAGCAAAGTCCGTGATTGGCTCAACATGGAATTCCTGGGGTGCAATACTAACGATGGTGTCGGGATGTTCGGCCTGGGAGGAATCGAATTTTAAATCGCACACGGCGTCTGCGAAAACATATCAAAAGATGAGAGCAGACATACCTTCATCTTCTGCGCCATCTGCTTGATAGAATCTAGCAAGACTTCGTATTCTCCTGCACCGATGAAGATTCTTGTGACGGGGATATGTCTCCACCAATTTACCGGGACTTTTACAGGGCAGTTGTATTCATCTTCTACAGTCCGATCTAGAAACGCCTGTGCCCAGCCATTCAATGACTTTGCGGAAATGACATCTCTATGGGCGTTTTTCTGGTAGCTGGGATAATCCGTGCTAAAATCAACCCAAGGTGACAGCAGCAGAACTCCACCAAGGGGTTCTTCAAGTGACAATCTCGGCACCGTTTCTTGAGGATGGGGATGGGCGATGTGCGACAAGATTGCGAGTGCAAGATTGCCACCCGAAGAGTCACCTTGAAGAACGATGTCTGACGGTCGTTTTCCCAGTGCCTGGATGGCGTACTGCAGAACGGTGACTGCCTGTCCTAATTGACGAGGCCATTGGGCTTGGGGAGCAAGGTCGTATGTAAGGAACAACACCCCGACGGTTTTGTTGTATCCTCTGATATCTTCGCAGAGAGCTTCGATGTGACTGAAATGACTCGGTACTGCAGGAAGGCAGTAGCCACCACCAGGAAAGTAGATGATCAGTTTTTGACCAGAAGGATCCCCCATCCAGAATACTGTAGTAGAGCCTGGAAGATGTAATACCCTAGGCGATGCTTTTTGCCGTTTCATATGGGCTTCGTAACCTTTTTGAGCAAAAGTGGAGGGGAGAACATGTCTGCGAGGTAGAATTAGCCATATTTCTTTATTAAGGCACATGATTTGGATAGATATCATAGGTTTTAGTGGATGCTCATGTGGCCTGAGAGCCGACCAAAACTTACTGGACCTGCTTGAGGGAGGCAGTGTCAAAAAGGGTGCGCACAAAAGAAACTGCCATATCTTTGTAGGTTGAGGCACCCGCCTTTTGCCCACGAAATGGCACGGTGACAGCAGACCATATAGCGACACCAACTAAGTTGCAAGGTCCATGAGATGGTGTCTGTTGAATCCGGGCCTCTGATTGGCTACTTACGAGCTTTGCCCACTGCAATCCCCAGGCCCAGCCACCAGGCAGTCATAGGGCCCAACGATTCATGAACGGATTTCAACTGGTCGGCGATGAATGCGGAGTGTCAATCGTTTGCTAGCAAAAATTCAACTGTCGAAGGAAGGGATTCGAGATGATTATAGTGCAGCGGATCTTTGAGTATAGTGTGGCAATTCAGCCGACTCGGCGGACCCCGGGGACAAAGAACTCGAAACAATCAACCGACAGTTTTTGAGGCAGTGATAGGATACCGAACTGAGAAGACGTATAAATGAGGTGACGAGAAGCATTAATTCGACAGCTGAATCGGGTTAATGATGTTCGAGGGAAATCAAGAACCAAAAATGAAGTGGGAAGGTACTGTTCTTGAAGCAGGGCCCAGGGACATGTGCATCTGGCCCTAATGGACCGTTGCAAGTCTTTCTGGATTACAGCACGAGAGTCTACTGGTGTTTTGGTCTCCGGTAACACAGTCTAGCTATTCGTAGAGTAACCTTTGGAGTATTTGACTGTTATTGGTCAGATGGTCTTATAAGACGCAATAAATATGATGGTGCTAACGAGACAGTCACGGCTAGAAATAAGAAACGGCATAGTAATCTACATGTACTCTGTAGACGTTGGAAAGCTCTCGTCTTATATGCCGATTCCAATATAGCTAGGTAGCCATTTTATTTTTCCAATACTATGGATAAACACTGCAGACATGGTATAAGACAAGTGAGTAATAAACGACACTTTCTAACATTTTTCTTCCGCGGTGTTCAGTTCACCTTGCAAACTAATGTGGCTACTATCGCAGCGCCTATGACAGATTTAACAAGCGAAAAGGTAAGAGCGAGAAGGGATATTTTCATAAATATCTTATAAAAGAGCCAAGCTGAGCGAGAATCGCGGTGTTGGGCCTTGGCCGATGGCGAATACAAGGTATTTCGTACTCTCGGGGCTGTGGTTGATGTTGAACCCACTCCAGTTGCTGGGCGGTTACATTTATTATTGCTCTGCATGAGTCATTCTGCAGCTGCTGCAGTGTTGCTCACTATATGAACACACGGTTATACTTACAACTGCTTCCTGGGCCCCTTCGCGCCCTGTCCTGGCGGCCGATGCGGACCCCCTCTGTACACCCCATCATCATCCGCCAGGCTCCGTAACTCGCCGACATCCGTGGTCGCAACTGAGACGGACACCCAGCTAGCGGAGAGCCGTATACTATCCTGTGAATTTCCAATATTGTAAACAAGGAGCAGGGTATTCTCATCCAAGGTTGTTCTCTCATCAGTGAGAAGGAAGGTAGTGAGATCTACTACTGTCTTCGATACATTCTCCGGCAGAAAATAGGTGATCTTGCCTATGTCCCGGCTGAGGAAAGGATACTGGAGGGACTTGACCGGCGGTTTCGTGACAGAGTCTTTCGTGCCCTTCTGCAGTCCGGCCGCGTTGGCCGTTGTGACAAGGATAAGGCTCGGAGGCGAATCGATCTTGCTTGAAGCCTCGTATGCTGTCGATAGGACAGATGTGATGACTTATCACTGTCAGTCAAGATTAGCTCTCCCGGGACCTGAGAGGGCTCCGGACAGTAGTTGACACCTCAGGGGTGCAGATAATGGGGACAAGGCTCATTGTGAGTAAATTGGACCTTATAACATCTGATCTTGATTCTAGAGTGGACAGGAGGATGGAGGATGGAGGTATGAGATGGAAGGCCTGAGTTCGAGATACATGAGAGTTTGGTCGCAATGTTCCGGGTGCTGTCAGTCAATAGGCGGGGACCTGCATTGGCCCAGTGGCCCCCGGGGGCCCCCGGAAAGCTTGTCTGGTGCACGTGACCGCGCCCCATGTGCTGCCTAATTCTCCTAGGCAGACACCCCAACGACCTGCCTTTTTCGGACTGATCTACAATATCAAACGTAGGAGATCAGAGATTATAAGAACCGCCCTCGAGGACACAAAGTTTTGAAAACTTCTGAAACAAGCTGATTATGAACTGAGCTCCAATGGGTAAGCCACAAATATCTTCAAATTCCAAGTCTTTGGGCTAATAAAAAACGGTGAATAGGATACTCAGAGGTACTGTGTGGTTGCATCTCCAGGTCCTAGTCAAAAAAAGCTTCTAATAATCCACTAGGTCTACTGCCATCTTTGTGGAGTAAGCTTCAACATTGCCCGGCGCCGGAAACCAGGAGAGCCAGATCTGGCCAGCTGGGACTACACCGGCCGACAATGCGATGAGCCGGGTCTTGACGAGCTAGAGCTGGAGGATTGTGCAAAGAACGGCTGTTGCGCAGCTGTCAGACATCCGAAAGACAGTGATGACACCACTCAGGATCCCGACTATATCCCACAGGAAGAAAGCAGTGACATTGAGCCATATGAATATGACTCCGACTACGAATCCACCGAGGCTATGAGTCTCGACGGAGAACAGGATGTATCGGATGAAGAGCAGAGTATGGAAAGTGATGATGAGTACTACAACTGGCTCTCGAGAAGCGTTGATACGCATACGACATTCCGCGGAGAACCTGTCGGGAAATTTGCTTATACAAATACGAATCCCAGAAATGATCTTCTCATCCCAATTACATCAGACGAACTGCCAGAGGGATACGACCTTGAAGAACTGGAACATATCCCCGGGCCAACCTGCGCAGAAGCGAACGCGTATTCGGGATATGTGATCTCGCTTGAGGAGATGAGAGGGTGTCGCACTGCCCAGTTTCTGGTGCATAAAGACGCTGCTGTGGGAGGTTGGACACCAGATGGACTAAATGAGCCCTGGGAGATTTCTGAGGATTGGTTCCTTTCTGGGGTATGTGATGGAATGACCTCGCGTGATATGGGCGGAGGCAAGGTGTGGCCTGCGCGAGGTGGAGTTGATCAACCCCGATCGGACAATGTCAATTTCGATGTAAGTTGAGCATCTCTTCTCACAGCGACGTTGGCCACGAAGATGTTTCAAGTGGATCGTGACTAACCCCCTACAGCCAGAATGGACACCTTCAAATGATCTAGCAATGCCGTTTCATCCGTGGTGCTTTGATATCTTCTGTCGACAATCCAAATCTCGGTTCAAGCATGTTAATGTCTCAGGTCTTATGAAATGGCGCAACGCCGAGTTTGACTGGGATGGCTTTCAAGAATTTCCCCGAACTGGAGATGTCTTCGGGGGCCAGGAACAATTTTGGCGACACGAACCTAAGTCTGAGTATCTAGCTGCCAACCCACTTTCTATCCCGAACCTTCCAACCCTCCTTCTGGCTGCAGTCAAACCTGAGGACGTCAATGAGGACGTCAATGAGGACGATGGTCACGCATCGCATCGCGAGAATTCTGAATTGTTCCAATTTAGGAAGAATAAGTGCGCTCCGTCAACTGGTGGGACAGATGTTCTGGCGTCATTGCCATTGGAGATTCGCCTTCTTATACTTGGCTTTCTAGACCCTGTTGATATTGCAAGATCACGGACTGCCTCAAGAGCATTTACGCAACTTCCCAACAGCTTTTGGTATCGACAGGTGCGCAAAGAAATGCCCTGGTTATGGGAAGCTTGTGATGAAACCGATCCTTTGCATATTCCTTCTCCTTGGACAAAGTTGAGCGCAAATGAGGTCGCGTTTTTGAATGAGTCACGAGAGCACTACTCCCGTGTTTTGAGGGATGAAGAAATGTCGTCCGATAACATCGTTGACCACCTACTTCCCTTACCAAGTGCTGTACCGGATCAGGTGAATTTGCCTAGGGAAAGCACAGATTGGCATCAAGTTTATACGCAGATCAAGTATAATTGGGATGGTCTCAAGGGATTACGCAATCGGCAACGAATTTGGGAAGATATAGAGGAGGTCTTCCGTCGTATTGAGAAGTATGATTCATGAGAGTTCTGCCAACAGGCCTGAACCCAGATGCATATGTACATGTAGTTGTATATAAATCTTCAAAAAAAGCACGCTAAAATGAACAATGCCACCAGGATATGAGGTACAAAGAAAAAAGCAATATGCAGAAGAAAACGAGACCTGATATATGATTCCCAGCTCCAAAGAGCAAAAGGCAAATCACCGTTTCCGAATTCCAGACAACCGCTGCTGTTCATACAAGATCGTCATCTCCTTCTCCTCCTCCATATTGATCCGACGACGGGAGGCCGATCTTGTCTCGGGACCAAACCGTCCCTTCCAACCACTCCGAGCAATTTTCGGCGCCGACCTGAACGTCCGCATCGGGAAACGAGGAAACCCTGTCGTTCGCCGAACCATGACAGTCGGAACAACATCCTCAACCTCAAACCGCATCTGCAGCGCCTCATACGCATAATAAGTTCTGATCCGAGCAATCCGACGAGCTCCACGCGGGAAAGCCCCCAAAAGCATATATCCGACAGTCCTCCCAAGCTGTGTGCCCAGAAGGGCCTCGAATTCCGGGGTTCCATCTTCCCATTCACGGATCGTCTCATCCGGCCAATGGAGACCATTAGGTTTGCTGTAGAGCTCCTTCGTCACAAAATCCTTCGTGTCTTTATTGCAAATATCCAAAAGGTAGATGTATCTTAAAGTCTCGATTGGGAAATAGTGCGTGTAAACCGCGTGGCTGATCTCGGATGTATAGGGTCCGTGGGTCCGCTTAATCTCTTCGATCATTAGTATCCCAGGGGCTACTTGCCCTTCCCACATGTGAATGCCGGGCTTTTCGGGGTCTCGCTGGGGGTCGATCTCCTGGATGCAGATCTTGTCCCAGGCTCCGCCGCGAGGACCGGATGTTTCGAGTTCGTTGAAATGATCTTCGATCTGTACGGGGAGATAAGGGTGGAGTTCCAGGTCGACTTCCAAATCTCGGGATTTCAAGAGGTCTTTGAGCCTTAGGGTTGCTGGTAGGACGGGGCAGTTATCTGCGGTTGAACCCTCCATCCACTGTTGTAATAATCGGCCGAAGGATTGGCGGGTGCCGTATATGAGATCATTGTGATAGATCATTGGGATTGGGACGGAGGTGAGGTACTTGGAGGTTGTCTGTATGGGAACCCGAGATCAAGGTAGATATTAATGCAGTAAGTATTTTTGTTGATGCTGCAGTGGTTCTTCGAAGTCTGTTGAGGTACAGGCAAAGATTTATAGATTTTGGTTGCACTAGACTTTGCCCTTCTTGTCAAGATGCACTTGAAAGACAAAGATATGAGATCGAAAGAAGCATCAAACCACAGACCCTAAATTTAACCCATGTCATCTTTGAGAATAGAATAGACATTGAATATGATTGGACGCGAGAATGTCTTCTTGGTTTCGAAATAGCAACATGTGGATTGGAAGATGCCCTGGGATACTTCTCAGACAATGTACCCCAGGTTTATTGCAGGGGTTTCTTTGTCTCATACTCCATTTCGGTCGAGGTACGGCGTACATGGTTTCGGATCATGACAATAAAGAGTTGGTATGGGAAATTCGAAGCGTGGTCAGCAACATTAGGGCTCGAAGAGGAGAACAATGAAAGCCAAGGCCGACGACCGACCAATACCGAGTGCGAGAAGGCATTTTCAATCATTTTAAAAGCACGCATAAGTGTGGCCAAAATTCGCCAAACAGTTTATAGATATTCTCTCCCAATCACATTCTTTTGACACAATCAATATAGCGCCAGGACGGAATATCGACGGTTGATTCAAGAGCCCACAGAGATGGATCGTCGCTGGATCTTGGAAGCCCGTTGAAAACATCAACATCCATTATTCTGGAAATGTTCTTGTTTGGGCATTTATCGAGCACTAAGTGCGTGCAAGGTCCTGCTTGATAGAGCAATCTCAGTGCTATTATAATAAGAGAACATCATCCGCAAAGTGTGCTTTTGTGGTTGAAATGCCGTCTATCTCTTTTGCTTCAACAACGCCTATCTCCACGCCTAGGATGAGATTAGACATCCAGGCCTTCAAAGAAGACGCTTGAAGTGTATTGCAGACACAATGGTAGAGATGGGAATATAGCTGGAATACCTGTTGCTTCGATCACTTTCACTCCCGGGTCTAGTATTTATCGTTAACAAAAGCACGAGAGGAGCAATTGGCTGGATTAAAGCGCATTGCGACCGACAAATAAGCAGGATATGGTATGGCCGGGGTTGAACCGAATAATATCGTCTATCCGACACAGATGATCCAATCCTCTGTTGGTGGAAGACGGGTTGACTCGTGGATGAATGAGCAATGAAAACGTAGCCCGGGATATTTGTGGTTACATGGAATTATTTCCAGGTGCATAAGCGCGTTTACCGAATACTATATTCAATTTTTGAGCGCACGGAACAAGGAAGGGCTCACAAGTACTTCCTAATGTATATTCATTGTAGAGATGATTTGAAATTGGCTGATGTCTTGTTACGCTCCGTACATCTACCACATTTCCCACTTATGACTCGGATTCCATTAGATTCCCTCGAAGGAAGATCCCCCGATCATACATATTGGCAATCAAAAACATGAAGCTCCAAAACCCCCCTTCTCTATCAAAACCCCACGTGCAATACTAGCTAAGCCGCCGGATTCGGCAAACGAACGGGGTTGGCTGGACTGGTCTTGGCGCTCCGCCCCTTCCGCTTGGCAAAAAGCTTCAAACTCCCACGCAGACGTCAGGACTTTCGCACGTGCAGAGGTTGCATGCTCCCTATTCGCTCTCATACAACAAAAAAATGTAGCAAGGATCCTGTATAAGAGGCTTGCGACCGGATTCTCGGAGATTTGGTGTCGTTGCACTGCTTATGATCTTGGCGTGCGATTCGCCCGCAATTAGCCGTCAAGCTTGGTGTATTTAAGAGAGCTGTTGTGTCTGTACATGTCGAATTCATCGGTCGTATAACAATTAATTGCGTCAGCATGCGAGTCTCAATCTCGGCGTTGACGTGTTTCATCTCATGCGCGGCTGCTCAGACCTTCCAGAGGCTGGGTGGTTGCCCTGACTTGGGATGCATATTCCCGCCGGATCAGTATGCGATCACTGAATTGCATTCGCGTTCTGTCTACTAATAGTCATGCAGGGTGGACTTTTTGCCTGGTCAGTACTTCGACATCCGTCTCGAAGTACATTCGCCGGTCAATGGCTCTGAAGCACGCACCGGCGAGCCAGATCCAAACTTCACATTCACTATCGCCAAAAAGGGCAAGAAGGCCGTTGCTGCGACAAAATACTTCAAAATCGACGAGCCGGAGCTGGAGAGATGGGACTTCACCTGGTACGAGGGTAAGAGTCTCCTACAATTAGGGCTTATGGGGAGCAAAATAAACTAACAGAAACAGATTTATTCGCCCAAGATGCAAACAAACCCTCCCTTGTCAACGTGACCTCCAAGATCTATCGAAGAATCGCCCTCTACGAGCCAGGCGAATACGAAGCCACTCTGACCTACTATGGCGAGCAAAAGACCGTGGCCAACTGGCTCGTTCGTGACCTGCCTACAAAGCGACGCGCGAAGAACGTCGTCATGTTCATTGGAGATGGCATGACGACAAACATGATCACGGCAGCGCGGCTCATTGCCCATCGCAGTATCAATGGTAGGTATATGACAAAGATGGCATTGGACAAGTTCCCCGTGCTGGGTCACCAGATGACACACTCGATGGACTCGTTCATTACCGATTCAGCCAATTCCGCCACAGCCCTCTACTCGGGTCACAAGACTACTGTCAACGCTTTGAATGTCTATGTGGATTCCTCCAGTGACCCCTTTGATGACCCGAAATTCGAGACAATCTCGGAAGTCTTTCGGCGTCGGTACCCGAGCGGCGGTGTTGGTATTGTATCCACTGCCTTCTTGGCGGATGCTACGCCTGGTGGATTGGCTGCTCACACCAGCGACCGTGGTGAATACGATCATGTTATCGGCGCTTATTATGAGGGGTTGAAAGACTACAAGTGGACCAATTGGAATGGTCCCGATGTTCTCCTTGGAGCTGGCGCCGAGGACTTCCTCGAGAGCGAAGAAACTCGAGATTACTACAAGCTCTTCGCCGAAAAGAACTACAATATAGCATGGAACAACACCGCGCTGCACAACGCACCAAACGATAAGAAGTTGCTTGGCGTTTTCCAGAAGTCCAATCTCGCCACTTGGCTCGATCGCAACGTCTACCAGGCCAATCTCTTCAACCAGAGCAATTACCCCGATGGATCTGGTCGCGACGCAGACGATCTCCCCGGACTCAAGGACATGACCCTCAAGGCGATCGACGTTCTAGACAAGCGGCACCGAAAGGACGGCTGGTTCCTCATGTCCGAAGCCGCCAGTATCGACAAGCAGATGCACACACTAGACTACGACCGTGCTCTAGGCGAGCTCCTCGAGCTCGACGATACCGTCCGAGCGACTATCGAAAAACTCGAGCAACTCGGCCAATTAGAAGACACCCTCATCATCGTCACCGCCGACCACGGGCACGGCTTCGACGTGACCGGGTCCGTCGATACCAAATACCTGAACGCGCAAGACAACGACCGCAGCAAGCGCAACGCAGTCGGCTATTACGAAAACTCCGGTTTGTCGCAATATACCGTCGCCGATCCGAACAGCTTGCGATATTCGGAGGGTGTCCACTTCCCTGCCCGTTGGGACCCGAGATATACACTGCATTCGGGCGTTGCTGCCTTCCCCGACCGGAGGGAGAATTACCAAGTTCACAGCGAGGGCCCTCGCAAGCCTGCCGAGATGACTGATGAGAAGAATGGGTACTTTGCCAGTTACAAGGATGCAGTCACTGGGTTTGTCGTTAATGGAACCTTGCCCCTTGATGCGGGTCAGGGTGTCCACTCGTTGACGGACGTGCCGGTCTTCGCGCGGGGACCTTGTCAGGAACTCTTTGGAGGTGTGTATAATTCCATCGATATCTTCTTCAATATGGCGGAGTGTCTGGGGTTGTCGGAGACCAAGCGAGAGGGCAAACCTCACCATGGTTAAACAGTATATATGGCAACTAGTATCATTGGGTGATAATATAGTGATATCACAAGTTTCATCCATACTCCTGCCCAGAAGTGAACATTCCGTGGAGACCCCACGGAACCCCGGTTTCTGCCGACCGGCCCGGAAGTAACCATCATACATAGCCTAAATTGAACCTGTAACGGAAGGGATCTGCTAGATATGGACTGATCGCTGATAAAAATTGCTAGGAACAGATGTAAACCGAAGAAAGGATCATATTTTGATTAACATTGAGCAATACGTTGTAATGTACACGCAAAAGAATTGAACGCCAATCTATTTGCAATGATCAGGCCCTGCCCACCCCATTTATATATCATAACTCTGGCATTTGTATAGCAAATGCGTAAAAGCAACCACCTCAAAATCTATAGACATCGTGTATTGATCATCATGATCTCGTCTAGGAGGCATTGTTGGCGCAGGTCCAGCTGGCCTTGCTCGAGCTTGCGTTGATGGCGACTCCCGAAACGTACAGTCCCAGGCCACACTACTTCAGTTAGCATTTTGGATACCATAGGGAAGGGAGAGGAAGGAACATACAATAGCAAGGGCGATTCCAAAAATCACGAGGTTGAGAATCGTCAGGGCGATCTTTTTGGGTGTGGAGAACCATTTGCCCTTGTTCATCACAAGCCAGAAAATGGAGGGGAGACCATCTGTTTTCAGTTAGGATTTGATGGTGATTGAAAGGTTTAGAATGCGTGACTTACAACTGAACCAACTTCCGAAGATAGCACTCTACAGAGTAAATATTAGTAGGGATAACACGGGACCAGGGAGTCGGAGAACGTACAATCAGACTCAGCAACTCGTTGAACACAGGAATCGACTCGGCAATAACCCAGGCAATGGTCCAGGTGGTCAGACCGATCGCAACCCAGGTGCCTGTAGCCAGCATGTTCCTCTGGTGCATGTGGTGGGAGCGGCTGCCGCGGAAGATTCGGACGTAGATATACTTGCACGCCACGTGGCCGAAGATGACACCGGCGATGATAACCTATGAAGATGTTAGCAACCATTTCCGAGATAACCATGGAGCTAACGTACTGTAGGGATAGCCAAGCCGTAGGCAACCTTCTTCATCAAAGGTCCAGCAGACGAAAGAGCTGGCGAGGTGACATCCGGACCGGCATAGCAGTAGATGACCATCGCAGTCACGACATACATGGTGGTATCGACGATCTGAAGCATAGCGAGGGACTTGGGGAAATCGCGAGGATCCTGCATCTCCGACATGATACCGAAGAAAGAGACGTGAGCGATAAAGGCGAAGACGATATTTGTGACTGCCAAGAAAGCCTCCTGGAAGGTTGGGGAGGTGGTAATATCGTTCTGCACATCATCAGGGGCCTGGACACCGATGGAGATCATAGTGACGATGGTAGCGATGAGGATACTGATAGCGGAGGCGATGGACATCCAGAACACCTTCTCTGCTGTTCGAGGAAGAGCCGCGATACAGCTGACGACTAGGCCGATAACTCCAAAGACGATGGTGCAGGTACCGTGGTTTGTGATCGTGTTGAAGAGCACCGAGAATGTGAGAATGTGACTGGCCATCAAGAAGATGATGAACAGCAGCTGGCCGACGAAGCAGATCTCGCGTCCGATGGGGCCGAAGAGTAGTTCTCCGGCATCACCCATGCTGTGAACTTGGGGGTACCGCTGCTTGAATTGACCCATGACATATCCAGTATACCATGAGATACCAGATAGTCCCATAATCAGGATGAAGGCGCTGCAGGATGGTTAGCTTGCTGCACTGCACTGCAGAACTCGCTCATACTCACGGGACGATTCCAAGGGTTGCTACAGCAGATGGCAGAGATAGAATACCGAGGGAGATATTTTCAGCGACCATTACTGGATGAATACGATCAGTATGGGAAATTTCATTAAGTGTTCAGTATTGGCTCTCACGCGTTCCAGCTTGCCTAGACACAAATTAGAACTTGGGCACCTCCAACGCACCACAGAATTACTCACCACCATGGCATAATACGATACTTCACCTCTCCGGCATCTTCATTTCCGAAGGGGTCCTCCGCTGGCTCTTCGGGAAACTGCTTCTTCTCCATGTCGGGATAATGATCAGATACATCGTGAACAGGACGGGGTGCTTCAGGGAGACTCATGGTGGCGATGAATCTACGAGAAAAGAAAATTGAGAGAAGGGAAAGCGCCCGGTGAAAAAGAAAAGGCCTTGTGGAGGTGGCCACAAAAAATCCTACGATCCAGAGTTTTCTCTTGGCGCTACAGATTAAAGTTGATACGATATTTCCATTACCAGATGAGTATTAGTCCTGTTTTAGTATTTGCCAGTGGGGAACCTTTCAACCTTACGAATCTCGTTTCCAACACACTCTGGGGTTCCTCCGGGGTAAAATGCCAATGAGATCTAACCAACGCAGATTGCCTCCCAGAACGTGTGCCTGTATTTCGCCAATACCTCCGATGCATGATTACATAACCGGCTCTTTCACCGGTGCGCTCGAGAGGAAATGTGGGGTTAGCGGCCTCGGAGCCAACGGGCGACGCTGAAGTGCAAGGCTCCTGGCACATTTATCGCCGAAGAGCAAAAGCGATGCTGATTCCCGGCCCGGCGCACCCGGCCCGGCGTCACACCCCGGGGTCCCCTCGGCCCCCAGGTCTACGTTCGGCCACTAGTGAGGAGTGGACAACTGCGAAAATGTTAGTCACGGATTTATGTATTCCACGGCTATCAATGGATCCATTCTCTTTACCCCAAATATCAACCCCAGATCTTACAGTTTCTCCTCAAAAAAGCCCGGTTTTTCGACCAAGTTACGTGATCAGTGGTCAGTCTACAGTTCATGCATCAAACCAGGGTCCAAGTGGCGCTTTTAACCTCCGCCAAAAGTAAAAATCCGAGACTAGAATTTTCTCGAAGTGCGATTCGCCTATCGGCAGATAGCCCAGTTTCGGCGCCGGAAAGCCATCGCTCTCGGTACCCGAACCCCGGTCCTTGGCAGCGGTGGATCGCCACTCGCTTCTTCCTCCACGTGTTAGTGCATTTGCCGGCCCTTATGTACTCCGTACGGTGGCTACAACTAGCTGGAGCGATTCCGCGCATCTCCTATCCAATGATATCCTTTGACAGATCCCAATCTCATTTCATCTTATCTGCCCATAATCTCCACTGCGGAACGTCACCTTCCTATTTGGGCGACTGCGCTTTGCTGGCACATCTAAGCGGCGTTCCCAGATTCTTCTTAACTATGGTCCTCCCAAACATCCCGTATGGCGTCACAAAATTGATTGCAAGTTGTGGGGTATAGATTCGGTGGATTCCGGGGAATGCGATGAAGGACTGATGGTGAAATCCGAATGGGAATGGAGGGAACATCCACCGATTTCGTTCTCGTTGTAGAAGCAACCACTTTGTAGCACTAGGCCTTCCCTTGCTAACGCCTTCCTCCTTGTCAAGGAAGGAGTATGTATTAACTCAGAAATGACCGAGAGAACAATAATATATTTTGCATACTGTCCTTGTAGTCCTGGGGGTCCTCAATGGCCTTTAGGGCGTTTTTGACGCTGTTTAGGGCATTTTTCCCAACAACAGTGCATGTACTCGTGTGGTGTCACCCAGTTTGCACGAAATTGCAGGCGAGCAAATACATGTGTATATGCTCCTGTGGCCTCACCAAGCTCAGCGTCCGACCTTTTGTACTCTTTGTAGGCGGCCAGTACCCGAGTTTCACGAAACCCCAATTTCCAACGACTTGCCGCGAGTTTTTCAGGGTTATAGTTTATATAGCCTTCTGATTTGAGAAAATGCGGTGTCATGGGGTATCCGAGAAGCATTTCCAGGTCGTTTTGCTGATCATGGCGACGGATCGAAATTTTATAACTTTAACGTTGTTTCCGTCCTTTAAGCTTATCCAGCTCAACGAAAGGGATTGGAGATGTGGTCAAATATGAATATATATTATCACTCGTTGGCTCTAGTGATGATGATGTTGCAGGGAAGAACCTGAGATATATCAAGGTTGTAGGGGTGATGTCGCCTGGTGGCCTAAGGCCACCATGGCTTGTCAGCGCAGTACATAAGCCCCCTAGGCTATAAACAGGAAGCTTGGTTTTTGTTATGGCCTAGTGGTAATTTGCTGTGTTTTTCACACTGATATAAGTGCCTTTCAAGCAACCGAGTTGTCTTTCACGAGTCACAGCCCGACTCTACACAAAAAAATACGGAAACATCGATTTTACTTTTGCAATCTAACTCTATAGACTAGATGATATCTGTCGCCAGTGCCCCAGGCTCGATCATACTATTGATATATACGTTCGCCACTTGGTATCTATATTCTACTGAGGGAAAATAACGCAGCTATGGTACAACGATGGGCAAAGACAGGGTAAGATACAGCTGACCCGAGTCCAAAACGGCGTCCTCACCTCTGCTTAGGGGTTGCAACAAAGTTAGTGCAGCTGGCAAATATCTGGAGATCATTCTCAGTATTGAGTTGCACCAAGGGAATGTCTGTTCATGCCCATGGGTATTGCCAAATGCTAGATACTATCGCATCGCCATGCAGCATGTTTTGCTCTTCTGCAGAAATGTCGTGCAATCCGATCGATCTTGACCAGAATCGAAAAACAAGAGAAAGTTCATTAAGTATGATAAGCAGCAAGGATATCATTCGAAGATTAGCGGGTCTGCACGTAAGCGGAATCTATCAATAGCCACTTTCAAGTAGTGAATTAGCTCGGTCGTAGTAAGAGTCTGCCATAGCCCACGTACTGTTGATATTGTGACAGATCGCCTCGGTTGACCCTCGAGTGCTCTGTACAGCGTCGTTCCCGGCTTTGATGTGCCCTTCGATGCCTTCGAAGGGATAGGCAGTTCGGTGGAGTTCTAGGAACTCCAAACGACCATGCGCGGAGAGCGCAAGGAAAGTATTCATATCATTGGTTACAGACGGGCGGAGGGGCTTTTGATGTAGCCCCAGCAACACAAGGGGGAGACCCTAGGGGGATTACTCGAATATCTCAGGGTCTGCTCGCCGCGAGGAAGCTTTGAAACCCTCTTTTCAAGGCACAAGCATATGTTAGCTCAGAAATGACAAGATAGATAGATTTTACATACTTTCCATGTAGTCCTCAATGGCCTTCAGGGCGTTTTTGGCGCCATTCAGGGCATATTGCCCAGCAACAATATGCCCCTCGATCCGATCATGGGGGAAGGCGTTCTGGTAATTCTCAAGGAACTCCAGACGCGCGTTCGCTGTTCTGAAAAAGAGTTATGTCAGGTGGGTACATGGAATAAGGAATAAGGAGGCTTATAGCCAGTTCCCACTTACTGCACAGTTTTCTTTGCCCATATAACTGCGAGGCCCGCACAATGCATGTGCTCATGTGGTGTCACCCACTTTGAACGAGATTGTAGGCGTGCAGATACATTTGAATATGCCCCTGCGGCCTCACCAAGCTCCTCATCCATTCTCTTGTAGGCTTTATAGGCGGCTAGTACCCGGGGAGGCCAAGGGAGGTCCTGTGTGTAAGTACTGGGGTCGATCGATTTGAACCAGCTTTTTAGGTCGTTCACTCGTTGATCCAAATGTGGCAGTAAAACAGCTAGCTTATCAGTGATCCCACGAGCGGACTGACTGGAAGTTATCTCGTCGATCGATGGAATCTGAGCCTATGTATCGGTATCATGTCAGATCGTTTGTAGTCAAGTGTAGTTTTTTGTCTTCGCCAACTCACTGGGGTAGACATTATGGTGGTACTGAGCTTAATGATGGTGATAGAAAGCAACGCTGTAAACGCGGGCAAGAAGCAGCAGACCGTCGTCGAGTCGAGTCACTGGATATCTGGGAAGAGGAGACCAGAGTTGAGGCTAAACTAGAGAAAAAAGCTAGCCGTTGTCGAGTTAGCAAGTCCGTAGATATGGAAAGAGGAACTCTTTGACGAGAAAGAGGAAAGATTACTGGACCTGGTCAAGTTGGCAGACTTGGAGATCAATTGGAAGGCTCGACGCTTGTGTTGTCCGAGGGGATGTTTGCACCATTGATCAATACGCTTTGCTCCAACTGATTGCTATTATTGTCCTACTTGCGCTTATGGATGTTATTCCCTATGAAAGCCTGTACTCCAGTCATCCCAGTCAAGTGCATATGTCCCGTTCAAACGAGTCCCATGCCTTGAGGCGCCTTAGCGACTACCAGGGTAATACAACTTTAAACCTCATAGTGGAGGCATCTCATATTGCATAAATTTGGTATAGCCTACCTATATAAGCTGGTTTTGCAAGAAAGAGCCGTGGAAGTCATGGTGTTCTGACTACTCTCTCACTTGTATCTCACTTCCTAGGCAGTTCTTCAATATATTATATCTCTATCAATATGAGATTGTACATATTTCGTGCATAGAATCAAAATTGTAAAGTTAGACAAGGTCCAGAACTTCGAGATTGCCGAGTCATGTTGGCCTTAGGTATGTCTGTTATCTACATGTATGCAGTTGCTGTATTTACGGACACCACTCATCTTTCACTTCCCTAGATTTGGGGGACTCCCAACACTCCATTTATCACATATCTTTGTCATCAGTATTACGATAATTGGCTAGGTTCTCCATCTCTCCCCCCTTCCCCCTGTCAACCTAAGCCCGGGTTATCACTGACGTAGTCACACCCGCTCAACCTTTCATACACCCCAGCTCTTGTCCTTGTTTCTTTCTCAACTTCCACTTCAAGTCAAGCACCCTTCATCCATCATGGTGAACATCCATAAAGGAGGTTCTACTCTTTTGACCTTGCCCAAAATCCCTCTCACTATTCCTCTAGTCCCACCGCCGACAGCGATATCCGAGAATCTCGCAGTTGCCGCTCAAGAGAAAGATACCACGCCAGTTCAACAGGCAAGGAACACTGGAGGCGAACCGGTTGTTATTGAGCCTCGAGAAGAACTGGATGCCCCTGCAGCAGTGGCGGAAACAACTAAGAGTGAACCTGACCTCAAGATTTGTGGAGACAAAACGGTTACCATTGCACAAGAGACAGACACAGCTAAGATCGAACTGCTTGTCGACCCTCCCCAGAGAATTCCATCGTTGGAAAACTTACCACCTGAGCTCCGACTTTACCTGCTCTCGATGATAGAGCTTGATTGCCTTCAATCTTTGATCCATGCCTCTCCCGTCTACTATCAACAATACAAACAGGACCGCGAGCGGCTGCTCTGTCGAAGCTTGGAGTCAACTCTTGGCAGTGTGACTATTGATGCCTACACAGTTAACCAGTCGAATACGGTGGAGTTTTCGAAACAACGCACCGCAGAGAAAATTGATCAATTGCTCCAGTCTTACCGTGAGCTAAGGTCTCAGCCGCCATCTGCGCCTCTCAACAAAATGCTTGACACCGAAGGAATTATGTCTATGATCAAGTTCCATTGCAAGACTGTCCAACCATTGGTGCGAAACTTCACAACTCAAGCATTGAACAGCCTGGCCGAGAAGACCAAACACCCCCGAAGCCACAACAACCTGACACGGACAGAAGAAGTACGATTGATGCGTGCCTTTTATCGATACCAACTATGTTGCAATCTCTATGGCCTTGGACGGAGCTACATCCTTGGCTTTGAGGAGGCATTCTGCTTTGATGAGGCTTTTCACTTTAACGCAGACTATTCGACTTCCGATTGCCTTCTCAGGGATTTCTTATGCATCTTTGATCCTTGGGAGGCCGAAGAGATAGCTTGCGTTAGTAGATTTTGTCAAGAGAAATATGAAGGCTTCTTCGACGAGATCCAATGGGATTTGGACGAGCAGAACCCCAAGTTTGATGGTCAGCGTCCGCCCACTCCCCCTGGCGCATTTAGTCTTCAACATTGCGGTGAGCTTCGATCCCTTGAACTTCATACCATAAATTTGTTTCCTACAGTTCTATTTGACAGAAGCTAATTCTTACTTGAATTTGCAGTGGACAGAGAGAGTTATCTAAAATCACTGACATCCCGTGGCCTCGAACTGCTACATTTCTTTGTTTTCAAAATTGAAGACCATGAGCACCTTGTGTCTACAATGCAAAAGTGTATCACCAGGTGTCTGGGTGATTTCTTGCAAGGCTTCGGATCTCCGTTCCGGGAATCCCCACAATGGGATCGACACTGCGACCAGCCTGGGGATCGCGATCACAAACAAGGACGACACGAGCCGTTCACATTCCAAGGAGACAAACAACCGAATGGATGCCACGTGTTTCCACCCCTGGCCTGGACATTGGTCTTCGGTGGGACCTACAGCAACATCTTTGGGGAGTACATCCCAGACAAATTCCAAAAATGGGGATGGGTCATGTGGGATGCAGCCCGTTTGGAGCGCATGGGTGCTAAGGATGTGCTGGTGGATCAATGGGAGCTCTGGGGAGACCGCAGAGAGGAATATTGGGACCTCGATTAGTGTATCTACGCTCTCTGTAGTGTGATGATCAAGACCACCCAGCTGTTCAGCATTCTTCTCAAAGACACACGATGGATGTTCTTTAATATCAATACCAATACACATGCAATATCCATATTCAATATCGGGGATACTGACTTGCTCATCAAGTATAACGTGGTAGCTAGTGCTGGACTGTCAGAGAAATGGTTCCAATCGGCATCCCCGAGCTACGACATCACTACATGCTGGTTGGTCGTCGATAGGTGGCTTACATTAAATTCTTATGCACCACCAATCAACCCATGCATCAATATACGTTATGTGCAGTATCCCTGTGTCTAGGGAAATATAACCCGTCGCGGGTGATAACGAATACGAGCGCGCGATGTCACATGGAAGCGGGGTGTTTCAAGGACTATGAGGCTCTATTCATCATTTATAAACATTGCATGGTAGGATTTTGGGAAGACACCAATCTTCCCAAATCTGAATAAGCAGACTGTTCCGCTTTTCCCACATCAACAATGCTGTGTCCCTATTGCAAGCGGGTCAACTGCGAATGTGACTCCGATGATAGTGATTTCGGTAACGACTGCCCCGATGAGTAGACAAGCACTCATCTGGTGAAGTTCTTGGAAGAGCATGTGTGTACTGCCATTTGATGTCCTATTGGGCTGCCGTATGGGCACTACTCTGAATCTGTTCAATGCTGAGTTCGGCTGTTCTAGGACTGTCCGAGACTCCGAGAATCCTCAATGGTGCTACATACGTTGCACCATCTCCGCTCCTCTGTATATTTTGCGTCATGAATTACGAACACTATTACAACCCTGGAAATCGATGGACAAAGCCGCCCATTGATCAACTCATCAGATTGTTTTGCATTCAGCTTCTGCTGATTGCTACGAAGGCACGGCCGGGATATAAATGATACCTATGAATGAATGATATGACCATTGAACAAGTACTCCATATACCTAAAAGCCGATCTACTTAATGCCAGTAAATAACTCACACACATGATCTCCCGCTATACACTTCTAGCAAGGCAAGATTTCAAGGTCACTTCTTCTGTCTCCGGCAATATCTTCATCAGTACGTGACAGTCACATTTTTGTTCAGATACTTGGCGTCCATCTTCAAGACCAGATTCTCCGCGAGCCATCTTCCCGCATCTTCCCTGGAGATGCTATACCCAATAGCCCGAGACTGCACCCCAGACTTAGGATCCTCGATGCCCACACGGATAGGCGTATCCGACTCACCATCACTAAGATAGCTCGGCCGAATGATCGTGAAGGTTTCCCCGCTCTCCGCGAAACGCTCTTCCATGACAACCTTGTCAGCACCAGGCACTCTGACGAACAAAAAATAAATAGGTATCATTGCAAGCGGAATATCGCGACCGAAGCGGGAGAACCCGGTCGTACTGCAGGCGATGATATGCGGTTTCCCGGCGATGCCATTACTTCGCAGCTGAGCAAGAGCAGTGAGGAGAGTCCCCGCGCCCTTTTTGCATGCGTCGGGATCGTCAACGGTCAGTCTTTGGGGGATTGGCTTGGCGCCGATGGTGGTCACGATCACATCGACGATGCGACCATCGTCGGTTTGGAGGCAGTGTGATACGGCGGAGATATTGTGCGCATTGCCTTCAACGATCTTGAGATTCGGTGTTGATTCTGAAGGGAAGACGGTTGTGAGTTTTGAGGGATCACGGCAAAGTGCAATACATTTGTGTCCGGCCGCGAGGGTGTGTTTCAGGGCTGCCAAGCCAATACCGGTGCTGGCGCCGAAGAATGTGACGACTTTATCGCTGGAAGTCATGTTTCTAATGACTGTAGTCTCTCTCACAAGAGAATATCGGGGGATTCTGTACGGTTTGAGGCAGGTAATATAGTGTTCAACGGTGATACGTGGAAAAAAGCGACGTGGTTGTGGACTGCTTCACGGCGGACGATGGGCTATTAAATACATTTTAGCTAACAGGATGAGAGTCTAAACCGTCAGATGGGCAATACGAGATTCGCGAGATCCAGGCGAGCGTGCGAAGCACCTCTCGCTCTTTTCTCGCCAGATTCGTGAACAACTCTGGAGGACGAGGGGGCGTAAATGTGGGTTTCTCGTTGGTCGCCACGGTCGCTATTGCGCCTTGAGTCAGTCAACTCATCCAGGCCAGGCTATTTTGCTGCCTGGCACGCATTTGAAAGATAATCAAGATCGCTTGAGGATTGATTGCTGGCTGAAGAAAGCTCATTAAGCCATCACATGCGCAGGATGTCGCAGGCATCTGCGGTCGCTGCCTCAGGGGTCACTTCGGCGGGAGAGCTCGCGTCGGCCTCGGGAGCCGAGAAACACGCGAGACTCGACGCCTCAAGCGGAAATGAGGCAACCAAGCCGCGTAGTTGCGTGGTATGCCGAAGCCGGAAAGTTCGCTGCGACAAGCGGGCACCATGCTCGAATTGCCGTCGGGCGAATATCGCCTGCGTGCGTCCACCAGCGGACCGTCAACCGAGATGGGCCCGCCGTCTCAACTCGGCCAACAGCGCGGGTTTCGACTCACAGGCAGCAGACGGGATGATGCAGAGAATTCGCAACCTTGAAACCCTTGTTCATGAGCTACGTAATCAGTTGGAACAGGCGAAATCAGTAAGTCAGTCCGTTGCTGGAGGATCATCCGGGGTTGGTTCGCCTGAGGGCTCTATGCATGACCGGTTATCAAACCCATCTTCCCTTGATACTGCCAACGTGGAGAGTCAGTTTGGGAGACTCGTGCTACAGGATGATAATTCAAGCCGCTACATCAGTAGTGGGTTTTGGTCTCGGATCAATGACGAGGTGTGCTAAATTGTCTTGTGTACACTACCACGCCAAACGAACAGCTCACTGACTCTGATTCTAGCTTGATGGCCTTAGGAAAGATGCTCATACGTTTCCGTCGGGAAACTCAGAGATCTCAGATGATGAGTTGACACCGGATAGTATCCCTTCTACTCATGAACTTGGGCGGACTCCTGCAGAGCGTCACGGGTTCTTATTTGGGCACAATCTGCGCTACTGTCCCCCCGATCTGACCGGCTTTCATCCACTTCCGTCTCAAATCCCCTTCTTGATAGACGTATTTTCCGAAAATGTCAACATCATTTTCCAAATACTCCATATTCCCACTGTTAAGAATATGGTTCGCGACTGGCGCGGCCGTGAAATGAAGGGATTGACCCCGGCCAACGAGGCTCTAATGTTTTCTATTTACTATGCCGCTATAACATCTATGGAGGCGGATGATGTAGGTGGCTCATGAACCCATCCATTCTTATGACTTTTCAACCGTTTCAGCCACGTGAAACTCTAGCTCACAGCCCCGTCAATGCAGGTACTACTCAATTTCGGAGCCACAAAAGCGGAGGTCAATCTCAAATATCGCCAAGGCCTGGAGCATGCACTTGCAAGGGCTGACTTTCTGAATGTGCCGGATCTGGTTCTTGTGCAGGCATTCGCCATATTTCTAGCTCTCGTGGGTCGACATGATAGCTCAAGATTTGTGTGGATGATGACAGGCCTGGCTATTCGAATGGGTCAAGCTCTGGGTTTGCACCGTGATGGGACACGGTTCAATCACCTGACTCCGTATGAGATCGAGATGCGACGAAGATTATGGTGGACATTGTGCTTGTTGGATGTGAGAGTATCCGAAAGTCAAGGCACCGACTATACCATCGGAGACGGAAGCTTTGATACTAAAATGCCTCTGAATCTCAATGACACCGATCTAGACCCTGAATCGAAGCAAGCGCTCCAAGCCCACGATGGATTGACTGATATGTCCGTTGCACGCGTCTCGTTCGGCATGTGCGCAGTCACACGGCAGATGATGGCCCAAAGCTCCAAAACCGAGACCCCAAGTTTAGAGGAGCAAAGCCGGTTGTTACAAAAGATATACCGAGACCTTGAACGAGAGTTTCTTCAACACTCAGCAGAGTCAGGGAGCATCACTTATTGGGTGATTGTCAGGGTTGCTCGGCTCGTTATGGCTAAGATGACTCTACTAATATACATGCCTTTATTATTTGTCTCGCCAAATGAGGAATGTTCTGAGGAGCTTAGGACAAAACTCTTGGTATCAGCTATTGAGGTTGCCGAGTACAACCACATCCTGAACAACGAACAACAATGCCGCCACTGGCGCTGGGTATTCCAAACCTATACCCATTGGTACTCCATCGTCTACATGATGATAGAGATCTCTCGACGTCTGTGGTCAGCTCTTTCCGAGCGGGCCTGGGTGGCGCTTCATAGTGTTTGGCTGATACCCGCTCGATCATGCATGGAAAATAACTTACGCATCTGGGTTCCACTTCGACAGTTGATGGACAAGGCTAGAAAACATCGAGAAATGGAGCTCGGACGGTTGCGAACTGACCCCGAAGCTGCTCAAAGGTTAGAGCAGATCTATCGTATATATCCTTTGCCATCAAGTCCGGGACCGTTTCTGCCTGGATCGAATTCTGCCGACCTTTTCCTTGAGCGATGGTGCCAGTTGGTGTCAACCCCGGATAAAGGAGGGCATACCATGGGAACGTCAGATTTTGCGGATGTCTTAACCCCGTCAAATTACCACATCGATACCACCCAGCCAAGGGTTGATTCTGCCTCCTCTGTTCAGAACCTCTGTTCAACTTACACCGTTGAATCGGTATATCCTGTCGCCGATGCGCGACACCTCGGGTACAATATATCACACGCCAAGTCTGCCGACTTCTTTTCGACAGATGCTCCCAATGCAGGCGACACGTTTGGATCGGAAAACTCTGCTGCTCCAATATCCAACTATCTCCCGACAGTACGAGAAGAACAGCTCGGTGGCCAACCCGCTGACCCAGCCGTTGCCCCTTGGCTATGGCCCGAAGGAGAGATACCAACCAACCTCACAATGACTAGTAACGGACTACCTGATATCAGCATAGGCTTAGATGATGAGGTAAACTGGTACAATTGGGTCGACGCCGCAAAGGATATGGAGTGCGATAGGGGGCTTTCTGATGGGCCAATCTAGCCTAATGTTGGATCCAGGCCAAGACCTCCTTGGAAAACCAGCCACATCGCTACGCCATGGTGACAGCAGCCTTGGCAAGTATTCCCCCTCACATTTCAGTGGGAACGAGATACATTTTTAGAACAAGCGCCATCGCAGAGCCCATGGATCGGACAAGCACGGTGGTTTCCCGGCCCGTCCCGCTGATCCATACAAAATTAACGTCTTGGCATATGGGGCGAAACAAATGTGTTGCTCAAAAGGTCAACAGTTTGAGAGAGCAGGGATTCTACTACAGTACAGAGTACGGAATAGCGAAGGACAATTTGAGGATCTGTCAGCTAACTGCGAACTTTCATCCCGTGTTTGGCGCCACTAGCCGTGGATTGGCTGTCAGACTCGTAAATATGCAAGCCACCGCTGACGATGAATAGGCGATCGCTGTAAGCGGCATGGCGTGCTTAATTCTCCTATCAGATGCAGCCGCCCCCAGCGAAGGCACGCGGCTGATACCCCAAATCGTCACAAGGGGCTATTTTCAGCCTCGGGGTTGAGTCGGCTTGGAGCTATGTCGTAGTCGAGTTTCGCAATTTCTCGTCTCTGTCTTCTCTGAGCCCCCTTCAGAGCCATATGTTGCGTTGTAGGAGGCGTGGAAGCCTATACTAAGGTGCAGCGATGGCTTCGACCGTCGATCACCTTTTCTCTCTGGTTGGGATTGTATCCCTACTCTGTGTTTGGTTCGGCCACAAATATCTTCGAACGCGAGCTGCAATCCGAGACGGGGAACCCACGCGACGGCCAAGTTCGGAAGAGAAACCCGTAAGCCCTACCCCGTACTCCGTATGGATATGCTTTAAAAATCCCCGGTCGCTGATCAACGCACAGAGATTTGAAAATCGACCTTCGATCGATGTTCTCTATCCCGATCCAGGTATTCAGCATCCAGAGGAAATAGAGACAGAGATCGAGTATGTCCTGCAAAGATTTACAACGATATTACAATCTCACTAACCCAACCCGGTAGTATAATCGCTGTTCATGGCCTTGGGTCACAGGTTGATTGGTCATGGACTTGGAAGGATGAGACCGCTCAAGTCAATGGAAAGCCCCGGCTTGTGAACTGGCTAAAAGACAGCAACATGTTGCCAGATATCGTTCCCCGAGCGCGAATTTTGGCATATAACTATGAGTCGAGATGGCATAAAAACGCCTCGAAAACTCGAATTCAGGTCTGCGGCGAAGAGCTGGTCAATGAAATCCACGATTTTCGCAAGCTCACAGGGACAAGTGATCGGCCGCTTATTTTGATCGGGCACAGCCTTGGGGGAAATGTGATTCAACACGTAAGAATCCTTTTCTATCTATATTTGGGGTAGACTCTGACTTCATCATATATCAATAGGGTCTTTTGTACTCCGATACCGAGCCAAAATTCAAGTACCTGCCTGAGGTCACGGTCGGTCTGATCTTCTTAGGTTGTCCGTTTAAGGGTTCCAGAATCCAAAAGATGGCTGCTGTAGCTACACAACTCTTGCAGACCGCTGGGTCTGACGGTGGCATTATCAGAGACTTGCATTATGGGGATCCTATTCTGTTAGACAAGCTGAGTGCTTTCCAGCGCCTTCTAGAACGGAACACAGTCCCATTCTGCGCTTTCATCGAGCGCAAAGAGACAGATTATGGAAGAAAGATAGGATTGGTGGGAATTTGGAAGGAATTAGTACGTTTCCAACGACTCCTCATAGCAGCTGACTCAAGAATTAACATCAGCCTCTAGGTCGTAGACGAAGAGTCTGCCGGGGCCTTGGGACCTCACAAGTTCCATTTGAACACCGATCACTTCAAAATTAACAAGTTTTCCGGTCCCCAAGATCGATCCTTCACAAGAGTTTCATCAGAGATCAACGGAATGTTTACAAATTGGAGATTGTTGATTGAAAGTCGGAATGCCGGTACCAACCGCCCTGGTGCCCAGAAAAGGATCTTGGAGAATAAGGCACGTCACGAGAAGATTGTGACCTATTTGGCCAAGTTCGATTTCTCTGCCCGATACAAAGATGTGTTTTTGACTAGATACAAGGGGACAGGTCAGTGGTTTCTGGAGGCAGAAGCTTTTCAACGGTGGCTCAACACAGAAGGTCAAACTCTTTGGTGCCCTGGGATTCCAGGTGCAGGGAAAACAATTTTGTTGGCTGTTGCGATTAATTATCTCCAGCAAAGAGTGTCGAAACAAGACGAGGCGGTCCTTTTTGCTTTTTGCGATTACAAGGACCGAGCGAACCAGAACGCAGAGAATGTTCTCCTATCCCTCTGGCGCCAGTTGATGCAAAAGCGCATATTGAGTGAGGTCGAGTGTGAGAGCCTTGAGGCGACTTATATCAAGAGAGGCGTCGCTCCAACAACTGACGTTTTGGTAAAGATGATTTCTGACGAGGCGAGCAAATATCCAAGGGTTTTCATTTTGTTGGATGCACTTGATGAGCTCGACACCGAAAGCCGAGACACATTGTTGTATCTTCTCTCAAAGCTATCTATCAAACGCAACTTGCTGGTGACATCTCGCGTACCGAAAGAGAAGACCTCTCAGTTCCGTGATGTCCCTCAGTTGGAAATACGCGCGAAAGATACGGACATCACGGATTACATTAACGGTCGCCTGGAATCTGTCGCCAATCTCCGTACCAGGGTCGAGCGCAATCACAGACTCAGGGAAGAGATCAGAAGCACAGTCACTAAAAAGGCGGATGGAATGTAAGTCAATTACAGGACCTCGATCAAATGCTTTCAGCTAAAGAAACAACACAGGTTCTTGCTTGTCCGTCTCCATATGAATTCCCTAGCATCCAAATATACTGTCAAGGATATACGAACTGATCTGAAAAATCTCCCCGAGGGAGAGAATGCTATCTCGGATACCTATGAAGGGGCATTTTCTCGGATTCGTGATCAAGTACGAAACGACCGAGAACTTGGAGAAAAGGTCATTTTGTGGATTTCTCATGTGCAAAGGCCCTTGACGCTGAAGGACTTACAATGTATCTTGACCGTGCGAGAAGGAGATACCGAGCTTGACCTTGACGACCTTATTCCTGAGGAATTCTTAGTCTCCACATGTGCTGGCCTCGTTACAGTCGAGGATCTATCGGGGGAAATCCGATTCGTGCACTCCACCGCGCAAGAATACTTTGACTCAATCAAATCAACAAAGTTCCCTGGTGCCGATATGCAAATTACAAAGTCTTGCATCCATTATCTCTCATTATCAGTCTTCTGCACAGACACCAGGGGGCTGGATACTACGGCATTCTCTCACATGGTCTCAAAATATCCATTCCTCGACTATGCGGCACTTCATTGGGGACTACATGCACGAGCCATCGACGATCCTACATCTCAGCTGACTATCGAGAAATTGATCAAACAGTTTTTCAATCGCAAGCTTGAGTCCATATTTGCAGTGCGTACCTTGTTAAGTGGAGTGGCAGGAATCAATGGCGCCGAAATGGGAGAAAGCTTGGCAAAGAATGATCGATCCATCAAACTCATCAATGTTCTAGCCTATTTTGGCTTTGATACACTTATAGTTGAGCTCATAGCCAACAGGGAAGAAGTGCTGATGGAGTCTTACGACGACTTCGTCGGGAACGTCCTACACTGGGCAGCCCTTGGCCAACATGATACCACTCTACAGCTTCTCCTTGGCCAGGCCTCCAGTCCAAAAATCATAAATCAGAAGGGCTACAGTCTATTCACTCCACTCCACTTGGCCTTGGTCCATAGACGTGATTTATCGGCTGAGCTCTTGCTGGAGCATGGGCCCGATGTTACAGCGACCGCCCACTACGGACATACACCTTTATTGGTCGCAGCCCTGAACGGTAATAGCAACATCGTTCCAAAGCTGCTCTCAGCAAAAGATGGCATGGAAACTTTGTTAGCCACGGGACATGGTGCTACCACCCCTTTCCGTGCTGCCGCCATGTGGGGACACACAGATGTCATGATACATCTGTTAAGAGGCCTGGAAAACTTCGAGCTCCATGGAGATCTGCGCAGTCTGGATGACGATTTTTCCAGAAATCCCCTTCATAAGGCCGCCGAAAAGGGCTATTTTGATACCTGTGAAGTCCTGCTTCAATCAAAACACGGTGCCCAATTCGCCACCAGCTCGGATGACTGGGGGCTCATCCCAATGGAATTGGCGATTGTGCATGGCCATGCGAAGGTGACCGAGCTATTTTTGAACTGGGATGGGGGAGCTTTACTTTCAAGCGAGCCAGGGTGTGTTGCTGGGGCATTGGCTCTGGCCGCTCGCTCTGGGCAGCCAATGGTTGTAGACATGTTGCTAGCTCGTCATCCTGAGGCTTGTAATTCTGACTTCCGTGAATACACCGCTCTTCACCATGCAGCGTACAGTGGCTCGGTTGAAACCGTCAAAGTCATTTTGGATCATTCCTCAGAAGAGTCAGCATTGGAGGCCACGGATATCTCAGGATATACACCCCTTATTGGAGCAGCTGACAGAGGACAAGCGGAGATTGTGGAATATCTTATTGAACGGGGAGCAATGATCAACGCCACGAACCGCTTCTATGAAACATCTCTCCACCGTGCCGTCATATCAGATGTTGAAGAAGTGATTCAAATCCTTCTTCGGTCTGGCATCGACATTGATGCTAAAGATTCCAAAGGGCAAACGGCACTTGATGTTGCAGTAGAGTACAACTCCCCGGGCCCAATACGACTACTTTTAGATGCGGGCGCTCAAATTCCCGACGGTCTTGTGATTCCAGATACTCTTGAACCTACCACAAAATATTTCCCCGAGAAGCCAGCCGACCAGTTTGGCGCTTACTTCTACCTCAAGAAAGCATCCGGTCATAAGTTACCCCAGCCTCTGATCTCTCACATACTAGATCTCGCAGAGTACTGGCTTGTGAGAACAACCGAGCATTGCGAGCACAGGTACGCCTCAAGACTTGATGGTGACACAATGGTGTATCTGCGAACGCCTCCCATAGTAGGACACCCCCAACATCCCGTGCGACGAATCGAATATGAAATCATCAGCCATGACCAAGGATTCAGTGGCGACTCGCATCTGCATGGCACCTACGACGGTTCGTACACCTGGTTTGACGCCAGTCGCGAGTGCAGCCCGGGGCCGTTCCAGGATAAAGCGAGTCGAATTCTTGGACCGGAGATTCTACGGAATGTGCATGCGTTGTATGAATGGTCCACGCATCGGGTATCCTGGTGCACTATCACCGGTGTGAGATCTTTCCGTGTGTATACAGGTTCCAACAATGACGAGGTTGAAGAGCCTGTCTCGACGGTTCGTCATGATCACAGATACCCGAGGCCTGAGCCCACCAAGTGGATTACTGAAATCAACCGTGGGGAGAGACTTGTCGTGGCTGCTATGGCTCAGTTTCCTGGTTGGGGGAATGATGTTCTGAGAGGTAAAGTGGTGGTCTATACAAGCTGTTTGAAGTCTAGTTGTTCGCCTTGAAGCCGTCAGGGGAGCATATAGATACCGTCAATCCGTGTATCAATCTTGGTTGGGAATATTTTAGCGTCGTTTGTTTGTTTATTGAATGTTGGCAGAAGAGATCCAGTCTATTGGCAATTAGTATCGAATACCCAGGTGCTCCTCCCTATATTGCAGATTATAGTCCGTAATCAAAGCTATTCCTACCGTTTAAATATTGAGAAAGGAAGAAAAAAGGGTCCACTGTAAAAACCACCAAACAGACATTCCGAAGCAAACGCGGCGGAGTAAATGAAAAGCTTCGTTTTGCCTACTTTCCAAGGTTGGACCTCGGTACCTTAACTGGGCTCCTGCTAAGGTCTCCGTCATGGGAGTTTTGTAGATGAGGAGGTCTGGCGCCACGAGTTATTATAGCGCCTTAGGATATATAAAGAGTATACATAGTAACTTATTGCCACTTGAGTGTTCCTCCAATCCGAGAATACTAGGTACATTAGCCTTATAGAAGTTAACCGGGCTAAGATCTTCCGGACCCATTTCACTTAGGTCAAGAGGTGGGATGCTATCGCTTGCAGAGATTTTCTTAACAGTGGATAGGCTGGAGACTACCTTCTGAGCAGAATTTTGCATCCAGGATGGTGCATGCGCCTCGCTCACGAAGGGTCCATTGTCCACAGCCTGCAATGTGGCAAATCGAGTGTTCCAATTCGATTTGTAGAAGCCACTTTTGAGATACTTCACTAGCTCCCAGCACCGATTGTGCGGTTTGAGCTGTCCCTCGCCCTCGTCAGTCGAGGGGCCAAGCTTGGCGACTGGGAACCCTTTCAGATCGGGTGGAAGCGGAGCTGTTCCTGTTCTGCTTAGCGAAGTTGTTTACTTTTAAGATGTGGGAATTTAGATATGGACAAGGATAGTTTGAATATGTTTAAAATTATTTATTCCTGAGCCAGCCAGTGTGCTCTAGCATAATCTATATGCGGTCTATATACAGTAGGATTTTGAACCAAATAACGTCGTAAAAATCAGCAAAAGCAAATGATCCAACCAAACGATCTAGGCATCATTGCTGGCGCAGGTGAAACTGCTGCTGCCAGAATCATTGTGGATGGCTGTGCCAGAGGCATAAAGTCCAAGAACGCAAAGCACCAAGCCAAATATAGCGATGCAGACGTTGATGATAGTGAGGAAGATCTTGCGGGGAGAGGCGAACCATTGGCCGTGGTTGAGGTGCAGCCAGTAGATACCCGAGAGACCGTAGCTGAACCAGGAGGCAAAAAGGGCACTGATCAAACTGTTCAGGTTGCTGAACACGGGAATGGCCTCGGAAATGACCCAGGCGACGACCCAGCAAATAACACCAAGACCAATCCAGAGACCGATGGAGCGCTTGTTGCTCTGGTGCATCAGACCAGACTTGGCGCCGAGGCGGAAGTAGATGTACTTCAAGCCGATGTGACCGTTGACGACACCGGCGCCGACAATGGTGGGGATGGCAATGCCGTAGGCGATTTTGCTCATCAGGGGTCCTGCGGAGGTAAGGGCAGGGGACCGCACATCAGTTCCGACGTAGTAGTAGATGACGACGGCGGCAGTCAAGTAGAGAGAAATCTCGAAGCCCTGGAGCATGAAAAGGGACTTCTTGAAATCTTGGGGTGTCTCCATCTCGGCGATCAGACCGAAGAAAGCGACGTGGGCGCAGTAAGCGAAGACGATGTTTGAAACAGCCTGGAAGGCAGTGTACAAGTTGTTCTCGACAGTGGCCTGGATGACATGGTCGGCTTGCTCTTGCACACCCACAGAAATCATGGTGATCATGACAGCGGCGAAAATGCTGACGAATGATGCAAAGGAGATCCAAGTCATGCCCTTCATGGTACGGGGAATGGACAAGACGAGGGAGATAACCATACCAACGACACTGAACACAATGGAGCAGGTACCGTGGTTGGTGAGGGTGTTCATCATGACACGGAAGGTCAAGATGTGACTGCCCATAACGAAGATACAGAAGATGAACTGTCCAATACCGAAGAGCTCACGGCCGAACTTGCCCAGCAAGATCTCACCGGCATCGCCCAGGTTCTGGATGTGAGGGTAGCGTTCACGGAAAAGACCGATGTTGTAGCCAGTGTATGTTGCAAGAATACCCAGGCCGACAATGAGGATGATACCGGGCACGAGACCCAGAGTAGCGACAGCTGAGGGCAGTGACAGGACACCCAGTGAGACCGATTCACAGATCATGAGCAAGCCACATTGCCTGAAGAACAACCATGTGTTAGCCACTTGCTTCAGCTGAACAGGTTGAGGATACATATACATACCACCACTTCAAGGTTTTATACTTGATTTCAGCGTACTCCTCGTTACCAAAGGCATCGTGGACCTCGCCAGTCTTCAGACCCTCCTCATCAAATTGAGGCAGATCCTTCCGCTCGGCAATCTTATCCTGCGCGTAGGCAGGTGGTGCTGTGTTAACCTCCATGTCTGTGTTGAATGACAGAAGAACGAAAAGTTGAAATAGATGGGTACTAAAGATATAGATGTATTCCCACGGAGAACAGAAAAAAGATGGGGACAGGTGCACATCTTATTGTGTTTCCCCAACCTCGCGTGCATTCGCCCCATGGAAGGTCCACAGAAAATTCGATGCAACTCGACGAATTCACCAATGACCGATTGGGGTTCGGACCGAATCCGGACACGAGGCTCCCGCTGCCGATTTGGTTTTCGCTGACTCATTTCGATGTGGTGATGGAAATGCCACAGGCAAACCTAATTGCACGCCCCATGCGACATTGCCTGATTTCGGTGACACATACGGAGTAGTTAGTGGCGCTCGACCTTCCATTTTATGATAAGCTTATAGCAGACTCCGACCGGCATGGTATGTTGTACATTGAATATCGGTATATCTAGTCATAAAGATCATATTATGCGAGTAAGCAGAACAATGTACGTGGTGGCGTTGCTTTTTTTTTTTGCTTTTGTTTTTTTCTTTTTTTTTGGAAATTCGGATTCTGCACCGGAATGCTCTCGGCTTCGTCGGCCTTAGGTTTGTGTCCAGGGCCCCGAGTGGCAACACAGAGCCCCACCCGAACTCCGGAGGACAGACCAAACTCCGGCGTGTCCACCTGGGGCTTAGCTCATCTACCCCGGGTCTGCTTTCGTGCTTTGTTGTCATTGTTGTTATGACTATCTCTTTCCCCTTTAATTCGTCTATTCAATTCAAATAGGGGCTATTTAAGATATAAGCATCTGACCTAGCAGTGATAGTGCCCGCCGTACCCGGGCTAAGCTCCGTTTCTCTCAATCCTGTAAGCATATAAAATAACCTTAATGCCGATAAGCAACTCGGCTGGATAACGTGATTTGTTGGGGTTCGGCTAAGCCCTTCAGGCTATGTATGTATGCTTTCAGAGGACATATTATCTCCCCACCTTGGGAAATGAGCTACCTAATTTACCCGACAACTGCCATCCTTGCTAGGGTGATGCCCGAGGTCCGTTGAAGAATCACGAAGCGATCTCGGCGACTTGATTTAGTCGGGATCCTGTCCATCGGTAGGGGACTATTGGGCCGCTAGAGGCGTTCTATGGTTCTCTGAATCTCCTTTGGGAGATTGGCAGAAAAAATACAAGGCAATCCGGCACAGAAAAAGGCCATTGTTGGGGAACTCGCAATGCGCCGGCACTTGAGACCATCGGGAGCTCAAACGGGTTCCACTCGGGAGGCCGAAGTCGGCGCTGGTCGCTTAGTCAGATAAGTTGTTCCCGAGGTCGGCCCCGCTGTCTCTGGACTAGTGGCAGTGTCTTTGACTTGGCGTATTCTGGATTAGCCTGGAATGCCCAGCGACCCACGAATATCAGCAAGTTAAGACATCCGAGGCTGTGAACGTCGGACTTCAGCTAAACTGCTTATGGAAATTGGAAGAACCCCGTGATACAAGGTCTCACCGTGTATCCTGCTGACTCTGCTCGCTTTATGGCATGAATCCGCAGCCGCCTAGCGACCATCCATCATGGCAGCCTTTGCCACTGCCCCTCGAGAGCATAGAACTGGAGGCCATGCTGGATGCAACCGAGCTGGATGCAAATGAGCCCAATCGATGGATACAAGAGGAAAATACATTATACACTGACCAAGACTTTCTACCCTTCCCCTCAGACATCGAGGATCTGGAGTGGTCACAATGGACACATTCTGAGTCAGATCCTGTACCAATCTCAGCTGACGGACATCTCCGGCCTCAAGATCATGAAGAACCGGGGACCCCAGGAAATTTATTATTAGCCTCTGCTCCACCTCAAGTAGCAGGGCATGTGGACCCCTTGCTTTCGCCGCTGAATTTCACCAATGTCTCGCAATGGCTTGATGGAGCGTATCGTCCCCCAGTGTCCTGTAGTCACTGCCGCAGGCATCGGCTGCAATGCCTGATCATTCGTACTGCACCTGCAAATCCAAACCCGAAGACGTCCTGCTCAAGCTGCGTCGCGCTTTTTCGGGAATGCAGCTTAGCAAGGGGAGAGAAACGTCTGCCATCAGGCTTTGAGACTTTCTCCCCGGTCCTAGGCCATCTTCACGGTGTTCCGGAAGATGGGAACCCATTATCTGCTGCCAATGTTGAGAACAGTGACGATCCAAAGGAATCTAAGCAGTTTCTCAGAAAAGGCGCCAGAGTCCTCCGCGAGTGGTTTCATCAGAACCAAGAACATCCCTATCCAACAGAAGCACAAAAGGCCCAGATGGCCACCGAGACTGGCTTCTCGCAGAAACGCATATCAACTTGGTTTGCAAATGCCCGACGCCGGCAAAAGCACAAGATCCAATCAGCGGGTCTCTCATCAACATCACGTACTCGCTCTGGGTCTCCGATGGTCACCAGCACGTTGTCTTCTATGACTCCCATGGAGCGATGGCAGGCTTCCCCGCCAGAAGATGAACCAGTTCCAGAAGCGGCAATTCAAAACGCCATTGCATCTGGTTCATTGGAATTAGACAACAGCATGGAATCAGACAACAGCATAGACCCATTCCTCTTTGATGTTTCCACCATGGATTTCTTTAACTTCGAGGAGAGCTCGTCGCATCTGGCATCCTCTGTCTCGAGCATTGGGAGCAAGGCATCTGAGACATCCGATAGCGCCTCTTCAGCATGGAGCTACCATTCCTCAGGTGACAGGGGCATTCCATACCCATCACTCCCCAAACCAAGTAAACCGAGACGCATCCGCGGGCGGCAGCGAGCAGCAGAAGACCATCATTACCAATGCACATTCTGCACGCAATCTTTCAAAAAGAAACACGATTGGGCCCGTCATGAGAAAAGCGTGCATCTCACCCTTGACTCCTGGATTTGCACCCCCAATCCCAGCGACATTCAGCAAGCGTTCGAACTACAGTCTTCCGAATGTCCCTTCTGTGATGTCCTATTCCCAACACCCGCCCATTGGGAAGAGCATGAATTCCAAGTTTGTGCTGATAAGCCCGTTGGCGAGCGATCATTCAGTCGAAAGGACTATCTATGGCAGCACCTGCGAAAATTCCACAGTTGCACGAAACTCCCCGTGCGTGACCTCGACCTCGAGGCCTGGCGTGGGTCGGGGGCTAATGTCGAGAGCCGCTGTGGATTTTGTGGATGTTCCTTGTCTACCTGGTCAGCTCGGGCAGACCATCTGGCAGGTCATTTCAAGAAGGGATCTCGAATGGATCAGTGGGAAGGGGACTGGGGTCTGGATGCTGCCGCATTGGCTGTTTTACGCAACGCGGTCTTACCATCTCAGCGTATCGTGAATAGTATCCCTACTTAATATTTGAAAAAAAAAAGGTATATACGAATAATGAAATAATGACCACATGAATTATGCTGAAAATGAGACTCATATCACGCTGATCGTAAACGAAACTACCTCGCTACTACTCTGTAGTCAGCCATTCGCGGTTGTACCAAGTTCCCATGCCTAACATGAACAGCACAACGCTGCCATCCCGGACAATGTCTTTCAAAAGCTGCACTGCCATTCCCATTCCCGACTTCCCACCAAACAACACCTTACTTCCGGTCAAAAGCAACTCGCCCGTCACGAAGATCGCGAAGGGGTTCTGTGCCGTCGCAGGCTTGGGCGGGGGATTTCCGAACAAGGCGACCGAACTGCTAATGATAAACAGCAGGTAAACAGCAACCGCCAAAGCGAAAACAGTATGCAACGTCTTCCAGACCCGAGCCCTCTTCTGCTCCGCCTCCGTTGGCGGTGCGGCTCCACCCAGCATATTCGCGAGGAAAGGAGGCACGCCGAGCATTGATGCAATGGCAGCAAGCGAGAATCCAGGTGCTGGTCCATTTCCTGCACCAGCTGGAGGCGCACCAGGTGGAGCATTGGGGTCACCGCCAGGCATGGCACCCATGAGAGAGCTCAGCAGTTTCATTGTGGGGTCCTCGTCGTTGGGTTGTTGGCCCTGTCCCTGTTCCGGTGCGCCTTGTCTCAGCATTGCGCGGAACATATCTTGTTGGGCTTGCAGGCCATTTGGCGCTTGCGGGTCGGGTTGCAGGCCTTGGCCTTGTGGCGGGACAGACTGTCGCAGCAGTGAGAGGAAGGCTTCCTGCTGGGCGCGGATAGCGTCTGGTGACTGCATTTCCGGTTGCGAGGATGCCGAGTGTTGAAACTGGGGATTTGAGGGTGCTGGAGAGGCGGATGCGGAGATTGCGGGTTGAGGGGATGGAGAGGCTTCTTCGCGGTCTGTTTTGGTTGGCTTCAGTTAGCATGGGCCTGGCGTGTGCGACGATGTGGGATATGTGTGCTTTCCCGGGAACTTCTTGATCGGGGTCAGCAAGGCAGTTTTTATATTTCATACCGGATTGGGGCGTCCGTCCACTCAGACTGGTGATCTTGTCGAGGCGCGCTGAGCCTCCTTCCTTGATCTTTGCCTCGCGGCGCTCACGGCGCAATCGAGCGGATCGCTGTGCTGGTGATTCTTCCGACATCGTTGTGGGATCTTCAATAGACGATTTTGAATCTGATTTGAGATCGGAAGCAGCGAAATTGGTGTGTTGGATAGCGAATACAGGTGGGATGTAGTCTGGCGAATGTGGTGATCTGGGTGTTTGCCGATCAGTCGTCCGGGGCTGTCATTTCTGTGGCGATAACACCAGCCACAATACACAACACACGACACACTCTGAACAACCCATCCATCACTGCGTTTATCTCGCTACAAATTATTATGAAGTATTATTTTTCTGGTAATAAATTACTCGGAGAGTTATTCCCCTACATGAAGTAACATTCAGTTGTTGATCAGTTAAATGAGTCTACGATAAGTATACATAATGGACCCTGCTAGATGGCCACTGTTATGGTGTGTTGGCTGGAAAGCCATTTTTAATTATATGGAATATATATGATAGGATTGTTGGGTTTTCCAAGGCTATACTCACACACAGGCCTCTGTGTTCAATAGCAGAAATCCTGTACAAGCTGAGTAAAGACCTTCTCAAATTGTCGCAGACTCTCAACTTCGACCCATTCCTCCTTAGCGTGAAGACCTTCTCCTGCCGGGCCATACACAATGGATGGGATTCCAACTGCACCGAGCAGAGCTGCATCGGTCCAAAACGAACCAGCCTGGACGACAGGCTTGCTACCCAGGACAGCAGAGGCACTAGCAACTGCCTGCTGCACGAATGGATGATCAGTTGCTACTTTCTGCGTAGGACGGGACATAGCAATACGCGGCTCGGCATATTTGAACCGAGGCTTCTGCTGCGCGATCTCTTTCAGCAGCGCGCTGATATCCCCCAGGATAGACTCTTCACTCTGTGCTGGCACTGTGCGGAATTCGACAGTGATGGTGCATTTGCCTGGATATGAAGATGGTTCCTCGCCACCCCGAATCAATCCACAGTGCAGTGACCCCTGGCCCAAGAGATCATCTACTGGCAGCTGGGACTGGTACTTTTCCAAAGCCTGCAAGAAGGATCCAGCATACAAGATAGCATCTTCTCCGGCAGCAGGGTCGGATCCGTGCGCAGCAACTCCCAGGATGTCAACTTCCACCCACAGGAATCCTTTGTGAGCAGTAAGAATTGCACCTTGGGTTGGCTCGGGAAGTACAGCGGCATCGGCACGCCAGCCTGCTTCAATCACATCTTGAGTTCCTTGTGAGGCATCTTCTTCGTCTGATACTGCAGCCACAATAACATCTCCTCGAGGCACACGGCCACTGGCTTTTGTTGCTGCCAGTGCAGCTAATCCGGCGGCCAAGCCTCCCTTCATATCGAGGCAGCCACGGCCAAAGATGACCTCCTTGCCGTTCTTGGTTCCAATGGACCCAGACAATGGATCCTTCTCGTAACTGGACAAACTGACAGTGTCTGTGTGGCCGTTGAACATAAGCGACTTGCCTCCTCCGCTGCCTCGCAAGACTCCAACGATTGATGGTCGTCCTGCGACCTTCTCGATCCAGTGGTATTCGATGTCCCGGTGGGCGAACCAAGCGGCAAGATAGTTTGCGATTTCAGCTTCACCTACTCCATCTGTGACAGACAAGGTCGGGTTGGAGGAGTTGATTCGGGTAAGAATTTGTGTTAAGCCCACGACATCATCCACAGTGATGTCCTTGGGAATGTTAGGAACTGGATACTCACGTGCACCTTCGGTGCTGAGAACAACCACTACGGAGTCTTTGTTCAGAAGTGAGGTAGCCTCCTTCGATGTAGCCAGCTGACGCAGTGCATCCAAAGTAGCACCTCCGCATGGCCCAGCCGCCACAGACTTGGAAGCCAGATACTGCAAAGCGCAGTGACTTTCACAGGATGAAACTGTGACGCAGGCATCGACCAAACGCTGCAGATCGGGCCAGGCGGTAGAAGAGACTGTGCCGCAATTCATACCATCCATGATAGTCGTAGAAGTTTGGACAGTAACCGGCTTTCCAGCAGCCATACTAGCAGACAGACACGCAGCTGTATCGGGCTCAACGGCAACTACAGACATAGGTGTACTCTGTGACTTGCAATGCTTCGCCACTGCATGAGCAAGACTGCCCACGCCAACAGGAGTGATCACCAGACTACCCGGCAAACCAAGCTGAGCAAGTTCGTCCTGTACTTCGCGCATCAGAGTCGAGTATCCCTCCACAATCCATGCAGGAACATCCTCATATCCCTCAAATGCAGTATCCTGAATGAGAAGTACACCTTGTCCCGTTCGGGCCTCATCCAAGGATTGCTGCACCGCTTGATCATAGTCGCCCTGAACAACAATCAACCGAGCACCCTCCCCGGTAATAAGATCACGAGTCCACTGATTCAAAGATTGAGGAACGAAGATCCACGCCTCGATGCCGAGAAGTCGCGCCATGAAAGCAACTGCCCGCCCATGGTTTCCCATTGAGGCAGTGGTTAATATAATGGAAGCCTCCTGTGCTCGGATTGAGAGTTCATCGAGCGAGATTGTTGGCGGCAACCCGAGTTGCGCTGCGATCGCTCGGAAACATCCCCATGACGCACCCAGGACTTTGAAGGAAGGCAGGCCGAACCGGTTGCTCTCATCTTTGACCAGGACGGCACGAATACCCAGCTCTGCTGCAAGGTCTGGGAGCTGGACTAGTGGTGTTGGGGCATAGTTGGGGAAGGATTGGTGGAATGCTGTCAACCCTTCGATCTCCGGGGAGGCAATGCGCTCATTTGCTGCCGCGGGGTTGAAGTAGATCGGTCGTCGTGACATGCTGAGGTGTGCGCTTATCGCGTATGTTTAATTTACCGCATTTGAATAGCACAGTCCTCTTGATTTATTGCAGTCTGCGCTATGTTATAAGCCTTCTAAAGACGTCAACGCGCCTTCTGGCGACATGTCGGGTCGAGTGGGGACTCTACTCTCTGCGCCTTCTCGCGACATTGGCATTTCTCAACTGTAGAAGTTCATGGGGATTTTCTAAGAAATTGGTTCTTAGTTGTTCTACTGGGTAAATCCATGGATGTCTGCACGCTTTGGCATTATCGGGCTCTTTTAAGATTGTACTCTATAAACTACATGTACCTACCAAGCCTGGTACGGCACATGCCAGGCATATTTCGATTCTTTATTCTTTTTTGCGGAAACTAAACGCTATATTTTATTGACGCTGAGATGAAGGAAAGAGATCTCGGTATTCATCAATTTATGCAGTATTGTCAAATCTCAGGATATCTGAACATGCTATCTATTTCTGTCCTTCGGTCTCAACCCGGAACTGGTCGTAATGAACAACAGATTCGAGAAGGGCTTGTGTACCCAGAGCACTGCTACTGTCAGATTATGAAAGTCTTTGGAAAGGAGAGGACTTACCAATCCTGTGGGGTGCAGTATTCTGTCGGGTGGTGGCTGACACCGTCTCGGCAAGGGACAAAGATCATCGCGGAGGGACAGTGCTTGCTGGTATAAACAGTATCATGACCCGCACCACTGGTCATAAGCATCGATTGCTCACGGCCAACCAATTGATCCGCTGCAGCCTGGATAGACGCCACGCAGTTCTCATCAAACTCGACAGCCGGCGAGTCCGTATCCAGAGTCCATTCAAAGGACACGCCCTTGCCATCTTGGGATGCAATAGCTTTGAACGCCTCGAGACACTCATCTTGCACAGCATGTACTACACTATCCTGCGGGTGTCGGATATCAAGGGTAAAGGTCACTTGCGACGCGACAGTGTTCGTAGACGCATTCGATGGAACTCTAATGATACCAGTCGAAGCCAGCGCATCATGGCGCTTGGCAATATCGTGCGACGCAGCAATCATTCTCGATGATGCAAGCAATGGGTCCTGGCGAGCACTGAAAGGTGTTGTTCCCGTGTGAGCATCTTTCCCGTGGACGGTCATAGTCAACCATCTGTATCCTTGAGCACCCCGAACGATACCAATTGAGCGGTTGTTTCCCGGAAGAATTGGGCCCTGCTCAATGTGCAGCTCAAAATGGGCTCCAAGTGGGTATCCAGTTGTCGGATCGCTGGAACAACCAATGTCGCCCAGATATCCGTGTCTCTCAAGCTCGGAACGGAGAGTTACACTGGGGTCGTGGATATCCTGCAGGTCCCAGGCTTTTTGAATTGGAATGGCTCCAGCCCAGACACCGGATGAGCACATGGACTTGGGGAATCGTGCACCTTCCTCACTATGAACTTGTGATTAGCGACAACCTTTAACAAAAGAATCCTCCACTCTTACTTGGTCCAGTTGACCACTCCCACATCATAGTTAGTCTGGAATCCATTTTCTTTCATCGTCCGGAGAACCTCGAGAGCAGCCATTATACCGAGAATACCGTCATACCGACCACCGCGAGGCTGAGTGTCCAGGTGGCTTCCCATTGCGATCATTGGAGCAGCCGAGTTCAATCGGCCTGACTGCCTTGCAAACATGTTACCCATTTGATCAACATCGAGAGAGCATCCCAGCTTCTGGACTTCGGCGGCAAACCACCGGCGCACACGAGCATCATCGTCATTGAGAGTCAGCCGAGCCATGCCTGTGTCTGTTGGGTTTCTGCTTTTCCATTAAGCTGCGTTCGATAGTGGTAGGAGCAATCGATACATACTCGCCATAGCGATGCGCAGCACCCCATTCACATGTCTCGTGCAATGTGTTCCATAGGCGCTCAGAATTAATCTTGAGGCCCGACAGTGCTTGGAGTCGGGTGGCAGTAGAGAACCGCCGGGCATTGAATTGAAGGGCGCGTGTTGCGCTTTTTGTGCCGTACATCTTGTGGCAATGGTCAAATATTTCGCTTGAATAGTGAATCAAGGATCAAATGGGTGGGATGCAACGAGCTTTATTGTGTTAACAAAACTCGCTTTCTCAAGACTCCAAAACACTCACCGATCTATGAGTCTGACGGCGCCTTCCCACGACAGGTGTGGATACGGTCGCAGCAATGATTGAAGTGTCTCTCCAATTAATTTGACTGGATCTTCGGCAAAGAAATATCGGGAACTGGCCGAGAATATCTGAGGCTTTTGGTGACAGAAATCAGCGGCTCATCGTGGGGAGCGGCGCCTTCCCGCGACATCTGCGAACCCTAAATCTCTTACTTGGCGTCCGACAGCATCGAGGTCAAAACCTGGGTTTTGAATAGCAAATCTCTTGAGACAGGCAAAAATTACGTAGATAGACGATTTCCCTGTTCAGGTTTAATATAAGAAAAATAAACCTCGTTTCCGGCAATCATTCATGCTCAACGTTTGCGGTATGACCAGCAGGTGCATGCAAGAACTACAACTCCCGATGGCTCCGAGGACGAATATTCAAGTGAAGATGCAAAACTAGAGTTGAAATCATTCCTTGGCTGATTCTACCAACAAGAAGCAATGAGAAAGATTGAAATTTCCTCTCTAAAGCCCATCTCGCGGGCGCATCCCTTGCCTCAACGAGAAGAATCAAAAGGCCAGTTTCCTGATAGTGACTCATATTCCTGATTATGGCAGTACGAAGGCAGAGGATTCTGTTATAAAGAGCAAGAACGGTACGACAAGCCACCCTGCATTGATAACTGGCCAGGTCAGGGGAAATGATATCGCAACAACAAGTACATATCGGGTATGTTCATGAGTACATGTATTTATTGGATTCTTGCGACCCAGTATCTCTAACTACGGACAGGGATAAGATCGATCAGATGCAACTTTGATGTTGCTACGGAGTACTGGTTTCTTTGCTAGGCATCTTGTAGTTTGCATTGCCTTGGAATGAACCTTTATGCTCCAGATTGGGTTATGCTTTCTTTTGTTTCCCTAGATTCAAGCAGAGGTTCTTTATAGTTGTCTTGCCTTGGCTTGAACAGAACAATACAGGTTTGTTGAGAACCATGCCTGAGGCAGGATTCTCTCATCCGTAGGATTATCAACGCTACGCCCTTTTTGTCTTTTCTGCCGAAAAGCTTACCTTTGGGGGCTAAATTGAGGACTCCGATCCTCGGCATATAAAGGGGCATAAATAGTAGGAAAAGACAGATATTATCTAGATCTTTAGATAATTTAATACTTCTATAAGAGATCCTATTCCTAGTATCATTTGAACCTATTATTAAAACCCTATATGCTATATCATACCTCTATATCTTTAATAGGTTATGAGCCCGGCTATCTCTAATAGCCGGAATACCTAAATTACGTAGTATAGTCTATTTACTATATTTACTAGTAAATATTTGCTTACCCCTATACACCTTTTTATCTGATCTTTGCCTAGACCTATATATATAGGTCCTTACCCTAGGATCTCTCTCTCCTTCTTATATATATCTTACCTCTTATTTTATACCTTACCTTTTATACCTATACCTCTCGATCTCTCGTAGATCTACCTATTTTTTTATTAATTTTATTATAACCCCTATTACCCGACGGTCCTAGCGAGATAGGGGGGTATCTAGTACACTTAGTGTACCCTATATACCCTACGAACCCTCCGACTCCGACGCCGACCGACTAGACGAATTAGGGTCCGATAATAACTATAGTAGCGCCTTAGGCGAGGGTAGCGATAACGAAGGAGGAAATAATAGTCCTATAGCTCCCGCTAGCACTAGAAATATAGACCCCGGCTAGGGCCTATAACGTCTAAACCCCGCGGATTAACTAGCTAGAGAACTCGAGTCGACCGAGTATCTCTATACCTAGTAGCCCTAAGGATTAACTAGGTAGCTCGTAGCGGGTAGACCCCCCGCTAAAGTCTCCGAGTCTATCGAGACTAATATATAAGTCCTATTAATATAGATTAATAACCTAAACCGATTTAATCGAGATAGCTCTATATTCTCGCTATATAACCGCTACGCTACTCTAAAGAATAATACCCGAGAAGAGAAAGAAAACGCCCTTCGATACCTTAGTTTCACTAAAGATCTTAGGAAAATATTTAAAAGAAAAGAAGAATATAAAGGACTAAAACTTATAGGATTAAATAATTACCGTACCTAGGCCGCTAATATACGGTAAGTGCTAAACTAAAACCTTCTTAAATAAGTTATCGACGGTAAGGTAGGATTATTACTTTCTTCGTACGAGAAGCACTATATACTAAATATATAGAAGGGAGTAGCCTAGCTTACTATCCTAAATACTATATACCTAGACTTAGCGAAAAATATTATACCGCCGAGCCCTCTAGAACCCGAGCGTATCTAGTAGGAATTATAAAATTAATATAATATAAAGAATACTTTTACCGCCGAATAAGACGCTATTATAATAAAAGTATTATACGTATCCTACGTCTATAACGTCGGAACCTTAATCGAGGTATTTAAGACTATATAGACTAATAAGACTATTATATATCCCCCGATTGAGAGTCTACTAATTAAGCTATAAGAAATAGACGAACTTAAAAAATATACGGAACTTATAGCGTGCCTCGATAGCCTAGAATAGTACCTATAGAAGCTTAACTATAATAAAATAGTTAGTAGGTTAACTAACTAGCTAGACTAATACCTCTTCGATCGCCTATATAGCGAACTATAAAGAGAAGAAGATAACCTCGCCGCTAGTAAAAAGGTAGCTATAAGGACCTTATCTACGGAAACTAGTAAACCTATAAAACCGCGAGGACCCCGTATACGACGAGGACCCCTAGGATTAGTATATACCTTCTATAAAAAGAAGGGGTACCCCGCTAAGAAATATTAGCTAAAAAACCCTAATTTAGTACCTAAACGGACTACGGAAACCCTAATTATATAGGTCGAATACGGTTACGAGGTATAAAACTTCTTAACTAGTATCTTAATTAATAACTAGATCTACGATATAGCCTATAACGAATATATAATTAGCTTATTAGACTATTTTATACTAGGCACTACGAAACTACTAACTACTACGATTAAAATAGCCCTAATAAACTAGCTAGTCTAAGATATAATCGGAGATATTAAGATTATAGTCGACGACGGGACTAAGTAAAGGAGAGATCTTATTCTTATTAGGACTATATATCTCCCTAAACTCTATAGTAACCTTATCTCGTAGCCTAGGCTCGCTAACTATAGGATTATAGCGATATACGGAGACGAGGTTATTTTCTGAAAACTAGATAGTAGTATTCTTATAAAAGGACTACGAAAGGGTAAAAATTAGATACTAAACGTTCGCTATATATACCGATACTAGACCCTAGATCTAGAAACGTTAGTTTTAACGATAGTATAGGAAGTAAGGGGTGTCGGATACCTAAAAACTTAGGCCGATACTCCTATTTCCGCCGAAAAAACTACCTACGGATACCTAATTTCTTAGGCTAATAATATAGAGGTTATCCTAAGAGACTCCTACCCCTAGCTAGAGGGCCTAAGTATATAAAAATTAGAAAACGCTGTAAGTTTATCTAGCTAACTAGTGAAAGATACTATTCCGCTAAAAAAGGTAATATCTCTTCTACCGAAAAAGGGACCCTTTTCTTAGGTAGAAAAGGTAGAAATACTCGCTACCTGTAGAGTAATAAAGATATAGAAGATAAACTCGTCTAATAGCTTAAAATAATAGTCCTCGGAGACTACCTCGACTTCTTCTAGCGAGACTCCCCCTAGCGAGCTACTTACTAAGCTTAAAAAAGATAGGGTTAATATCGATACCTAGTACTATAGACTATACTATATAGGGATTAAATCCCTATAGGAAATAGTAAAAATTATAGAAGATATTAATATTATAGGCCTACCTACCTCTAAAAGACCCTATAGCTACTACTAAATTAGAAAGGCTTAGCTCGTACCCTATAGAACCCTAGTTTTATATAGATCTAGTAAAATAAGAGATCTCGTATACCTTAATCTAGGGGGCGGGGGTAAAATACCTAAAGGTTAGGGAGGTAGCTACTAATACTAGATAATTAGTATCGACGACTTCGATAGATAAAGAGAAATATAGTTTACCTCCTATAAAGACTTCGTTCTAGACCTTATAATTAAAATAGTAAAACTATATTCCGCTAAAAGGGAGATAATAATTAAGATATTTATAACCCCCGATCTCCCCCCGCTACTAGCACTAGGAAGTAAAATACTACCGCCTAATAGACTAGAGATCGGAGCCTTCTAATTAGATTATAGAGGAGAGTTTAATAACTTCCGCTTATAAAAATAGGCTAAGAATACTAATACCTATCTATATTTCTTAGCACTATATATATATAGGTAAAATAGTAAAGTCGAAAGAATAATACGAATAGTATAAGAATATATTAGAGCTATTCTCGACGATACTAGACTCCTAGATATACTATAGCCCGAACTAATAAAAATAGTAATAATAACCTATAACCTTACTATCTATTTTAGTAGAAAAAGAGATAGTCTCCTAAACTAGATACTATATAAAATACGATTCGGTAGAAAACCTAATATCTTATTCCTACGGATACCCGGTAGTAAGGCTTACGTTATAAGAAGCCCCGAAGAGATTAGGGCTATAGTTAGTATATTAATAAGTAGATATTTATAGCCCTACGCCTAGATAGGTAGACTCGTTAGGTATAGTAGCTACTATAATATATAATACCGTATTTAGCGTCTAAACGTAGATAGAAATAGGGGAGAGATTATAACTCGGAGAGACGTTATTTTCGATAAAGGAGATAACTAGACCCTATATAATAATCCTAATCTCCTAGTCCTATTAGAAACCCTATAGTCGGTAAAATAGTCTAGGTTCCTATTCCTAGACTTTAGGGACCTTATAGACCCTAAGAATCTTATAGACCCT